CTTGAGGTTTTGATTTTGGTTTCAGATCTTGTTGTTGATTATGATGATCGATAGAGTGATGATGATGGTGGTGGTGATGATGGTGATGATGCTTTGTTACTGTTATTATTATTATTATTATTATTATTATTATTGTGATGGTGGTGATGATGATGGTGATGTAATACCGGTTCCTGTTGTAGTTGTTGTTGCTGTTGAGGTGTAGGTGGCTGTGGAGATTGTTGTTCTGAGGTTGAGGTTGCAGGTGGGGAATAACTTTGTTGTACCTGATATACTTGTTGATGTTGTGGGAGCGGGGGTGATGTTTGTCGAAGTTCCTGTTGGGAATGTTGTGTTATTTGATTAATTTTGGGCAAAACATATTGTTTTTCTTCTTGTGGTGCTTGTTGATGCTGATTTGGTGGTGAGACTGATGAGTGGATCAATTGTGGAGATGCTGAAGTTTTTATTTTTTTATTTACATGTTGATCACCATGGGATTGTGGAGGTGACAATGAAGAAGTGGCTGATGATTGAGGTTGAGCATTTGGTATTGGATTATTTAGAAAATTGTGAATGCCCAAGCTTGTTGGTGGTGACAATTTATTCCGTTGCTGCGGCGGCGGTGGTAGTTGAGCTGGTTGAGTAGGTGGTGAAGCTGAGGAAGACAAGAATGATATTGGAGGTAATCTAATACCTTGGTTTCTATCCGAGGACATTCTTTTATAAAGGTTTATTCTGACGTGGCTTGAGTGTTTTTTCCTTTTTTTTTTCACAATCGATGATGATATTGATATTGGTGCAGAAAATTAAAGAAATAAAAAATTTTCTTTTTTTTTTCGTGGGGAGATTTTCTTTTATGTAAGACAACCAGAATTAAAAGACCGATAGAAAATGAGTTCTTGGTATGAATTGCAACAATCTGATTATATAACAATAGATTGAATTGATAATTGACAGTGGTAGTAACTATGAGACTCAATTGAATCAGCTGATCTGTAATCCCGTGATACTATCAATTTAATCAACCAGAGTTCCAATAAAGAATTAAAGTAAAAAACTCAAAAGGGAGATGAACAATTTTTTTTTTGTTGTTGTTGTTTTTGTTGAGCCAAAGACAAATGGACAAAACAAAAAAGAAAAATGAAAAAAAAAATAATAATAAATTCAGGAGCTGTACACTACCGGCACGTGTATATGGACATACATATCCGATAACATGCAAGGTGAATAAAAATGTAAATTTATGAAATGGTTATTATCCACAGGACAAAAAGTATAATACAACTGGGTTAGGGCTACTATGAAATATTATTAATCTTAGTCAATCATCAAAGGAAGAGATAGCCAAGAAACAGGTAGAAGCTAGCCTATTAAAAGGGTATGTAGATCATCTTATTCTATCATTGGTGTATTCCCTAGTATCCGAAATAGCCTTCAAATTCTTCAACCTATTACTTTACCATCCTAATAACAAAGAAACGAAAAGGAAAAATATGTATATAAACTTTCAATCTATTTAATCAAGGCGTGTAGGTATTTCTTTCTTTTTTTGGCAGGGAAATGTGCCCATACATAATTAACTTTTGCCGAGGTGGACAGTCTCCTGGTTACTTACAAGAGAGGCTATGATTCACACAAATTGGCTTTATATTTCACTTTATTGCGCTCTTGATCTCAAGAATTGTAAATAGATGTACAAGAAGTAGTTATTAACTAACCATACACACATATACTACGATATATACAGCCGAAATTAGATAGTTGACAGCGTGAACCGTCTTCGGATACTGCTTAATGTTTTGGCATGCTATGTTGGTAGTTGAAAATCGATTATTGATAATTTTAATGTTTATATATTTTACGGAAGAAAAGGGACGACACAAGATAAGAACACATAATACAGCGAAATTCCGTTTGTTCTATAAGTATCAGTCTGTATTTTTTTTTTTTTACAAATTAATACCCAGTCATGAAAATATTCAAACCTCCTAAATATTGGAAAAGCATTCCCAACACAATAATTGTCTACTCTTGTTTTTTTGGGTGTTAAAGAAATTTAATTGCCGATGTTACAGTGTTTTTTATTCATATCAACACAAACCTAGTCTGGTACTTCCGTGACAAAATTATTAGCATTAGTCCCCTGTATGAATGTTCATTGCAAGATGGACAAAATTGTTGCTTCTCGTCTTAACAACAATAAAAAAAAACACATCACGTGAACAATATTTAATTCTAATACAAGAGCAAATTTGATAATATCTTTACATAACAGTTACTCAAAATTGTGAAGATGAAACAATTGCAAAAACTTACACAACAATTCACCCGTTTATACATACATATTACTTAAACTGCACTCATGGCTTGAGAAAAGTGACAAATCTTGGATCAATTCTAGATTCATATTCCCAGATACCATATTTACCTTGTGCCATCAAGGTACTACAGATGCAAATTATTTGTTTAACCCCCAGTAGAGTATTATTATGTGGTGAAAATATGTTGTGTAATACTCTAAGGTCATAAACCGGAAACTTCAACCCCAATCCAACATAGAGCCTCGGATTATTCTTTTTACTGGTTACCAGAAACAAGAATTCTTCCTGTTGGCCGTTTTCTTTCAATACAGATCATTTTCTCTTCACAGACAAAACTTACTTCCGAGTTACTTTCGTCCTTTGTGTTGTGTAGTTTCTGGACAATTACATCTCATTTTGGGGATCGTTATGAGTATTGATGGTATTGTTATTAGATAACAATGATTTGAAGAATAGACTTTGTTTCCGTTATAGGAACAGATCCTATTGACGTTTCCTGTGGATATACGTATGTGTATTTCCAGTTGGCTTCGTGACATTTCACAAACCACAATAAAAGCACACCTAAGTATAATTTTCAGTTATTCTTTCCATTTGGTGGAAACATACCGACAAATGAAGCGTCATAAATTGTGGAATGTACTCCCGTTTGACCATCGTATCTACGTGATTTGTTTTGACTGGTAAATCGATGTATGAGCATGTTTGGGGGTTATAACAAACTACTTTTCCCGCCACCACACACGACTCTCTTGGTTGCAAAACTAAAAAGAAAACAAATAAAATGGAAAGAGCTTTTCTTTCTTTATTTCTGAAATGTGTCTAGACAACCCAATGTAAGCTACACAATTAAATACTATCAACAAGTCTTTCTCTCAATTGAAATAGAGATAAAACTTAGTCTGGAACCCCCAAATGAGGATTCTATATATTGTAGATTGCACACGAGGCGTATATCCACACCACAATCTGTATATGTGTGTAAGTGATCTTTCACTCGAATGTGTTTCTTGTAGTTAACACATACATACACAAGTTGTCAATTGTATAGATAAGCACAGAATTTCAGAATTCTTTTTGTCTATCATGTTTTTTTTATTCTTTTTGATGCATCATATGGTAATTAACAAATACTATCATCAGGTATAGGATCAAAGAAAAACAAAAACGATCACAATATCACAAGAGAGTAATACAACCATTGTCATCATCTCTGGAGCATAATCAAAAAACAAGTGAAAGCGAAGAAGGAAATCTGACTGAACCAAATAAAGATGTGAAATCCCAAAAATTAGACCTGTGCATTAACATTACGTTGACTCTCTACGTTTGGTTAGTGACTTTGGAAACAATTCCTTTAATTCTTGAAAACAACTTGAAGGATAAATCGTATGCTTTAGCAAATGCAAATATAATTTTATGTTTCAAGGGGGGATTTTTTGTTATTTCTCTATTTGGTGTTAGAAACAAATCAAATTAGCTAATGTTTCTGTTTGGGATCAGTTTCATTCATAATAATAAGTAGATGGCATATATTGGAGATAATTTTGACATGTTTCTTTGTTTCGTAGTTCGAATGCTAACTAAACATTCAATGCTTTGTTTAAAACTATTTCAAAAGCTCAAGAAAGGTACTTTTATTCTGTTTCATATTGAAGTTAACTAACAAGATCCCCGGTAGTTACAGTTGCATTATTGGTTCACCTAATGATTGTCAAGCATGATGTGCTCGTGACAGATAAAACGTGACCCGAATATTGGTATTGCAGTGTAAAATACTTTTGTCCATTTTTAGTGGTAAAAGATGTACAAATAATTTTGTCATTCTACTACGGAAAAAAAAAAGAAAGAAAAAAAAAAGAAACTCACAGGGACAAAGTAACCAAAGAAACTAAAGAACCAAAAAAAAATTAATCAACGTTTATACTACTTTCTTCTTCTTCTTCTTCTTCTTATTCTTCCTAGTTGTTATTGTTCTTGTTCGATAAAAGTAGTTGGTGTGGTATTAATAATTATTTATCTACTTCTTCATATTCAACCATTATCAAACTACTTCAACTCAGATATTGCGTTTCCTTTTTAGTGTTCACTTCTTTATTTCGTTGTTTTACTTTTTTTTTGTTCTTTCTTTTTTAGTCATACGATCATAAAAAGAACCATTTCCCATAATTTCTTTGATTTTTCAAATGATTAGTGAAACCAGAAGTATAAACAACCTCCCAACTACATCTACTCCAACTACTACCACTACTGCAACAGTCACTACTACCACGATCACAGCAGCCAATAAAGAGCATCTACTACGCAAAGCAAAATCAACCCCAAAATTAAGATCATCAACCACTACTACAACTAAATCTATCAGCACTACCAAGAAATCAAAAAAACAATCAAGTTCAGGTATTTCTTCGTTATTCAGGAAATTTTCAAATTTTCTATCTAAAATTAAAACCATTTCTGACGACGTCTTAAATCATCCCGACGATTTTGATTTATTTATTGAATATCCAATGCTGCCTTCCTCAACAAACTTCAATAATAACTCCACTATTGATGAGCGGTTTTTACAAGATTACAAAAAATTCAAATCTTTGGATTTACTAGCTGAACATTACAAGAATAATACACCACCTAAACAAATTACTAGTACTGGAACAAATACTGCTAATGACGTTAAATCTTCTTCAACTATGACTTCAACTTTACAAGATTTTATGCGTAAGCAGTCAAATCAAGAAATACTACCCACCTCAGACGAATTTTTACTGGATGATATCATCCAAGCAGACGATGAAGATGATGAAGACAATGAATCAACTTCTGGGAAAGTTTTATTTCATGATATTGATATTATAGAATTAAGAAAAGAATTTGAAACTTGGGTTAATAGTAAAAGTACCACTGATACCGATTCAAAATCAACTTTATTATCACAGTCAAACATTGGATCTAATTTGTGGGAATATCGTCGAAGTAAATGGTTACAATGTGATGATCCAAATAAATTAAATAATAGATTAAAACAAACTTCAATTTCCTATATCCCCAAGGATTCTTATGTGCAAATTTATTCAAGTTTAATTGATAAGAACAAAACCCTTAAAAATGATAAACATATTAATTTACTGGATTTATTAAAGATCATAAATGCTGGTTGGATAGCTGAGGACAAATGGGAAAGAGCCGCTAGGGGGTTACCTTGATTTGTTATCTGGCGATACGTTTTTTATTTTTTTTTTTTGGCATTATATAAATAATATCTTTTATCTATTTCATACCCCTAGTCATATACATATATATATTAATTAATACGTAATTACAGATATCATTTTTTAACTAATTTCAAAGTATTTTCCAATATTCGTAAATCTTGATCAATTAATTCACTTCTGGATTGTAAAGTGTTAATATCTTCAACTATATCATGACATTCTCTTATTATATTTTCCAATTTGGTTTTATATTTCATTAATTCATAGAAATTTTTAGATATATCTTGATTTAGCTGTTTATCTATAGTTTGATTTAGTTGATGAATAGTAGTTATTTTATCGACTAATTCTGATGATTCTGATATTGAATTTACTTTAATTATTGAAGTTAATAATTGAATTAATTGTTTAGAATAAATCGAGGAATTTTTCAATTCATTGATTTGATTTATTTTAGCTTGTTGTAATAATTCATTATGCAGTGGACGCGATTGTGACTGTGACTGTGATGATTGTGATTGTGGTTGTGGTGATGATGTCATTTTATAAAATCTGGATGTGGTTTCATGGTGATAATTGATTTTCCCTTTGTTGATTTGTGGATTTTTAAATTCTCGCACTCTAAAGAAAACAATCAAATATCAAAAAAAAAACCCACTATATCATTTATCAAGAACTGAATTAATAACGTGGGGGAATCTTGAACAATGACTACATCGACGACTTATTTAACTAAAGATTCTTTATTTTTGAAACTACCAACAGAACCAACAACTAATTCAATTACATTAAAAGATCTATATAATGATTTATCAGCAAATCCAATATCATATGATTCAATAATCAATAAAACATACTATTTATTAAAATCTTCGTTATCATCATCGCCATCATCTGAATTGACAGTCCAAACATGTTTGAAATTATGGCAAATCAGATTGACTTGTCATTTATTCAATAATAATTTAAATTATGCCAAAAAAGAACTGATTAATTTAAATAACTCCTTGTATTTAAATGAAAATCATAATATATCACCATCTAGTTTAAATACCATTAGTGGAGGAGCAAATGGGAATAATAATCTTCTTTATCCATTACCTAAGAATAATTTAATGGTTATTGATTATAAATTATTGATTCTATTAATGAGATTAAAAAATTTCCCAAATTTAAATTTAACTAATGAATTATACAAATTGATTTGGCAAATTAGATTAAAATCAAATAATAGTCCTCAAGATGATACAAATGATATGAATATAATTTTGGAAAATTTAAGTTTTGATAATATTGTGATTTTAATAATTACTAAAAATTTCATACCTTTAATTAATTTTTTAAATCAATTAATTGAAGAATTGAAAGAATTGAATAAATCCAAAGAGAATCAATATTATTCGAATATTTGTTTAATTTATATTATTATTAATTTAATCGTATATTGCAAAAAGGGGAAACTTGGAGGAATATTTGATAATGTTAAACAATTATGGGAAAATGATGTGAATCAATTCACTAAAAATTGTTTAAATTATTCATTACAAAAAATATCTCCTATTATAACTCAATCAAATCCATCTGAATCTATTCACAAATGTGAAACTATCGATGATTTAGTTGAATTGGTCAATAATGATTTAATAACTGGGAGAATAATCTGTTCAACTTTAGGTATTTGGGATTTAATAAATAACTATGATTTCACCTTGGCTGAATCTGAAGATGGTTTACAATTCAGAGGCAAAACCAGTGCCAATAAAGATATATCCTCATTGTCAGATGAAGATCTTGCAAATGAATGTTTGAAAGTGTTAGAAAGCCAATGGTGTAAGTATATAAATAAAGTGTATGGATTAGAATAAAGAGTAATATTATTTTTTGCAGTAAGAATGTGCCACTAGGGTTACAGCCCTAATATCGTAGTACTTTCACGTGATCGTATTATATACACTCCTTTATTGGGTAATGCACGTACAACAGGAGAAAAACTCTTGCACTCGCGGTTAACGAGGCACGTGACACTAGTAATAAGTTTTCTTGTTTTTTTTTTTGTTTTGTTTTGTTTTGTGTGAGTGCGCGTACGTAGTGTGGGAAGCTAATGTGTGAGTGCGTGCTGTGGTAGTGGCTCACAATTCCTTGGTAGTAACTCGGTTGAGCAAATTCACTGTGCGAAGAAACCACTCACTCACTCACTCACTCATTCTGAAAATTGAGTGAAAAAAAAAAAATTTTTGTTCATAGGTACTAGTGTAATATATTGTTCACATCAACCCCAAATAGATAATCAAAGATGGCTTTACAAGACGTTGTTACTAGAGAATACACTATCAACTTGCACAAAAGAGTATGTTTAAACCCACTAGAATGAGATGGAGAAGAGAAACTGAAGGAGAAGTGATGTTCAGAATTGAAATTGAGAACAATGTTGAATTGGAAAAGAGAAGAAGTGAAAGAAAATGACTGGACTAGATATGGGACATGTTAAGAAATAACAGAAGAAATGAACATGTATCAGAATATATCAAATTATTGAACGTATTATAAGAATTGTATTTATTAGTGGATCCACAATAGTTAGCTCCCCCTCCATCTCCAATCAATAAGAAATTTTTTTTTTTATTTTAAGAAATCAAAGTATACTAACAATATTCTTTAATTATAGTTACACGGTGTTCATTTCAAAAAGAGAGCTCCAAAAGCTGTCAAAGAAATCAAGAAATTTGCCACTTTACACATGGGTACCACTGATGTCAGATTAGACCCAAAATTGAATGTTGCTATTTGGAAGAGAGGTGTCCAAGGTGTTGAACACAGAATGAGATTAAGAATCTCTAGAAAGAGAAACGATGAAGAAGATGCTAAGGAAAAATTATTTGCTTACGTTGAACCAGTTATTGTTCCTTCTACCAAAGGTTTACAAACTGTTGTTGTTGAAGATGAAGAATAAATTAGTTATTCTTGATATCTGAAATAATATATAAATTGTGTTTAGGGTAGTTAAAAGGAATAATTTTCTTTTTGTATAATAAATTAATTATCATTCTGAATATTTATAAGAGAAACGTACTTATTCTTTCAATTAGAGACAATTCTAATTGGTTCATGTCAACTTTATTCGATAAAATTCTACAACTAATAAATAAATTTTTCACATCAAATCATATATTTAAAAAGTCATATACACATAAACTGTTCTTAATAGTTAGTAATCAATGATTCTTTTTGATTAATCCATGCTCTCTCTTATAGTAAGAATAATACAAAAACTTATAAAGTCAGTGTAACTATGACAAATAAATATACCAAATCATAACAAAACATCAAATTGAAATTACCAAAACGGTAATCAATTCAACAAAGATAAAGAAGCTTGCTAAAGCTCCTCTTGTTCGCAAAATGGGTATAGAAAATTAAACTTATCATCATTAATAAATTATGTACATCCTCGTACTATAAGAAAATAGCTTAGTTTATAATAAACATACGTCTTTGACTCTTAATGATATTGTTGTTGTTGTTGATGATGGGGATAAGTTGGTAAAAGTCAAATGAAAATTTTCTACTGAGATTTTTTTTTTTCGCTCTCTCTTTACAAAAGAATGTGATTACAATTGGTAGTGCGAATGCAATCCAATGTGTCGGGTAACTATGATTGGATGTTTAGGAATTAGGGTTGGTTAAATCAACATTATCGTCATAAATACCAAACAACTAGATCATACCAAGATAGAACAAACAATGTAATATCTAATTGTTGCTTACTAGTTACTTTTAGTTGGTGATTTCTCAATACTATTCTTTTATGTATCTATCATTGCCGAGGAAGTAGTGATCATCATAACCAAAAGGTACACCACAGGTATTCCTGTCTAATACTACAACACCACTCTCATGTGATCTCTTTCATTAGCAATGTAGCTGGATGAAAAAGTCGTGATACCTCATCTGTTCTGGTTTAAGTGAAGGAGTTACGGCGACAATAATAATAAAGGTGCGGTGTTAATTATCTGCCCCCGCAATTTTTTGCCTTTTTCGTCCGGTGATTTTTTATCCAGCGGATGAAAATCAAACTTAGTTCAAAAAAATTTCAACAACAATCATAATTGAACCCTATTTCTTCTGGACCACAACCTTCATCATTACTTTAGATCAGATTAGACATAGTAGTTACTATTGCCATGCCGTCAGTTGCAAGTTCTAAGGATACCGAGGAATCAACTCATATTCATGATTCAATATCATCTATTGCAAATGTATCTATTATCAATGATCCAACTTTAAATGATTTTGACGTATTGGAGATTTCTGAAGATTTATTCAATGAAATATTCCCTAATGAGCAATCTGGTATTGACGATGACAGATTCATTTTGATTAAATTATTAGGAGCTCCTGATTATTTCAATACTTTTAAAATTATGAAAATTACCAAGATTGTTACAAAACAATCCCAATCAATTTGTTTAATCAATAATTCAACATTAGTCAAGTTTAAAAATGATCAATTAACAATTCATAAAGCATTGATTAAATCTATCAATTATAAAGATATTCCTAAATTAAATCAAATTTTCGTATCTATCCCAAATGAAATATATCATTTATTACATGATAAATCACAATATTCAATTAAAGAAAAATTCATAACTCAATTTTTAAAATCTTGTGGCGGTGTTATTAATCAAGGTGATTATATTAGATTAATTAATGGGAAAATTAACTTATGTGAACCATTAACTCAAGGTAAAGTTGATTTTGACACGGAGATTGTTTTAATTAATCAAAATGATCAACACGTGGAACTGGAAGAAGATGAAGAAGATATCTACGAGGAATTAGAAGAAGAAGAGGAGGAATATGATGTTAATGACCTTGATTTATCTTCCTATTTGTCATCAAGTTTGCAATTTGGGAAATTTAATAGTAATAACGATGTTGAGAATTCTGTTAAATTCAAGGTTGGTCCATTACCAGAAAGATTTATCCTTGACGATTTACCAAGTAGTTGGTCCAAAGATGATAATGAGTTGTTTGTATTTATAAATAATGATGATTTTATTAAATTGGGATTTCCTATATTCAATGGTGATTTGGTTAAACTTGATACTGGTTCACAATCAATTATTGTTAGATTATTTACTTTTATTGAACCCCAATCTAATTTTCAAAAAGGAATTGCTTATTTATCACCAATTTTATTGATAAATCTTGAATTAAATGAAAATTCAAAGATAAAATTTGTACCATTGAATGATAAATCAAATGATGCATTATCAAGCGTAATTCCAATTGCAGAATCAGTTACAATTTCAAGAGTTAGTTCTCAAATTACTATGGATAAGACTTTCCAAACTAATTTCTTTTCAAGTTTGAAGACCATTTTAAGTAACAAATTAAAGTGTGTTAAACCTGGTGATTACTTCCCGGTGGTTATTGATACTGTTTTATCCAAAACCATGTTTGATTATGTAAACGATGAAAATAACGATAGTAGTAATAATGACGACTCAGCCGCTGGTGTCGGAGGAGGAGCAGGAGCAGGAGGCTATGATAATTTTGACGTTATTCCAATTGGGAATCCGGATGCAGTTGCATGGTTTAAAATTGCTGAGGTCAAAGGTGTTAATGAAATTGGAACTAATCAATTTCTTATTGATCCAAATAAAACAATGTTGGTTTCATCAGGAGTTGAAAGTATTAGATTACCTAAAAATGCATTTGCCAAATGGTATCAATATTTGAATTTACCACCGTTGTTTAATTATCAAGAAGGAAATTTTAAGTATGCACAAGAATTCAAAAAGACATTATCTACTTGTTTATCATCAAGGATTAATTTGAAAACTTCAATTTTATTGACTTCAATGAGTAGAGGAATTGGGAAAACTACTCTTGTTAGAGATTCATGTATTGAAATGGGATTGAACCTAATTGAATTGGATTGTTTTGATTTGTTAAATCCAGGACAAGAATTAAAAACCATTGGGATGTTAACAGGTAAAATTGATAAATTAATTGCTAATGCTTCTAATGAGAATAATTCTTCCTCATCATCATCATCATCATTCCATGTAATTTATCTTAAGCATATTGAAAATTTGTGTCCTAAAACGGATGAAAATGATCAAAATTCAAGTATTTTCACCTCGTTGACATTAAAAATCATTCTGACTTTACATGATTATTTGAAAAATTATTCAAATTTGGTTATTGTCATGAGTTGTAATGATTATGATAAATTGAATGATAATTTAAAATCGATTATTAAATTCACTATTGAATTTACTGTTCCTACTGAAAACGAACGTTTGGAAATTTTCAAGTTTTTGATAAACAATGAAAAATTGAAATCTAAAACCACCACCCCTAATAAAGATATAAATTCATATCCATTTATAATTAGAAAAGATATTAATTTCAAGAATCTTGCATTACAATCAGCAGGGTTTAACACCAAGAGATTTAATTTCAATTATTTAAAAATCCAAAAATTAGCCTATAAAAGATTAACCAAATTATCTAAATCATCGGGTATTAATTTGTCCAATGTTCTTGATATAGGAAATGGAGGAGTTATAAATTGGATACCAGAAGATTTTAATTTGGCAATTAATGAAGCCCGTAATCAATTCAGTGATTCTATTGGAGCACCACGTATTCCAAATGTTAAATGGGAAGATATTGGAGGGTTGGATTTAGTTAAAGATGAAATTTTAGATACTATTGATATGCCATTAAAACATCCAGAACTATTTAATAATGGTTTGAAAAAAAGAAGTGGTATTTTATTTTATGGACCTCCAGGTACTGGTAAAACATTGTTAGCTAAAGCTATAGCTACTAATTTTTCATTGAATTTTTTTTCAGTTAAAGGGCCAGAATTATTGAATATGTATATTGGTGAATCAGAAGCAAATGTTCGTCGAGTTTTCCAAAGAGCAAGAGATGCTAAACCTTGTGTTATATTTTTTGATGAATTAGATTCGGTTGCTCCAAAGAGAGGTAATCAGGGAGATTCCGGTGGTGTTATGGATAGAATTGTATCACAATTATTAGCTGAATTAGATGGTATGAGTAGTGAAGGAGGAGATGGGGTGTTTGTAGTAGGAGCAACTAACAGGCCTGATTTATTAGATGAAGCATTATTAAGACCTGGTAGATTTGATAAAATGTTATATTTGGGTATTTCAGATACTGATGAAAAACAAACTAAGATTTTAGAAGCTTTAACTAGAAAGTTTAAATTGGATGATGATGTTAATTTAGAAGAAATTGCTCATAATTGTTCCTTTACATTTACTGGTGCTGATTTTTATGCTTTATGTTCTGATTCGATGTTAAATGCAATGACTAGAGTTGCAAATGAAGTTGATGAAAAGATTAAAAACTATAATCAAAACTTAATAAATCAAGGTAAAGAAGAAGTTAATACAAGATGGTGGTTTGATAATGTTGCTTCCGATCAAGATATTACAGTATTGGTTAAAATGGAAGATTTTATAAAAGCTCAAAATGAATTGATCCCATCTGTTTCAGCTGAAGAATTACAACATTATTTGAGAGTTAGAGAGAATTTTGAAGGTGGTAAAGAGAAAGCAAAACAAGATTTGATTAATGAAAATGGACATTGATCATTTGTCTGTGTGTGGGGGGGAGGGAAATGATAAGGTTAACAAAAGATGATGTTTCACAAACTCAAAACATTAATCCCCTAACCATAATAAGTCATTGTTGATTCCAGATAGAGTAATATTAATATGTACGAACCAAATACAATTGATAATGATTAGTCATGTTTGTTTAATATACTTTCTGAACGAATCTTAAAAAACCTTCATTGGATTGTCAGGTTCAAATGAGGTAATTACCATTTCTTACAAAACCGCAACGAAAGAAAAAAAAAAAATGCAGCAAATTAATTTTGCAACTGAAAATTTGAGTAGATTTTTAACTCTTATTTCTTACTTCCCCTAAAATGGGTAGTTCATGTTGAAAACCAACTCTAGCAACAAGATAAAACTATATAAATAGGAATTTAATTTATCAAATTGATTATTCAATTGTAATTTCTTCTACTTCATTAAATAAACAAACATTTACAACAATGGCTGCTCAACAATCAAACAATCAATCTAAAACTAAATCCACTTCTACTACTGCTGCTTCTAAAGACAATGCTGTTATTCGTGTCCTTAATGGTAAGGGTTACTTAGCTTCAAATTGTGCTATTATGTAAATTTAATAGTACTATCATTGCTATCTTATTACATTTTTCTTGTTATTCGTCTTCTAATGGGTTGATTCTTATCCATTATTATCGTTGGTTAATTTCGTTTCGTCTTTTATAATAATATATCTTTATATTATCTTTATTTCTTTTTCAACAAAATACAAAAAACAAAAAAAACTCCTTCGGGAATCACAATTCATACTTGTAGATTACCATTTGTCTATTAGAATATTTAAAGCTAATATTATTATTATTATTATGTACAGTTGTTCATATCCTCTTATTTATTAACCATATAACTTTTATCAAGAATATCTTTAGCTTGATTAATTCTTTGACTTAAATATTGACTTCCATTTTTATCAGGATGATTTAAAATCATTAATCTCCTATATCGATCCCTAATCATTTTTTTATCAACATTTAAAATATCATCACCTTCAATTCCTAGAATTAATAATGCTTCTTGTTCAGTCATAGGATCATTAAATGGTCTATTTGGATATTTATTTCTTAAATATCGATAATGCTCATATCTTGGATCAGATTTATTCATACTTGTAAAATTCCCATCACTATAATTTATAAGTTTAATATTATTTAATGTTGCTATCATTGTTGGTGTTAGATGAAGAAACTGTCTATATGCGGATATTGTTGCTTTTGTTGTTAATGCTATTATTGTTGCTCCTAATCCTACTACTATCGGTAACACCATCTCCAGGAATTGATATAATGTATTGTTGTGATTCTGTGGGGGCAAGCAAATTAGGGGGTTTGATTACTTTTTCTTCTGGATTTTTTTTTTTTTTTTTTTTTTTTTTGATTTGCCTCAATATTTTTCACTTATGCATATCGGGGGTAGGGGTCAATGTCGTATGTTAATGTCGCAGAGATCACGCGGCGACATTATCGGTTGTCCCAGGATACACTACCTGAATATATGGAGCACATGATCAAAGGACAATTCCGATACCAAAAGTTGAATAACAAATAATAGAAGGTTAAAATAATCATAGTTTTTGCAACTATTATATTTGATATTATTAAAAGATGTAAAATGAATTATTTTTGGGCGATGAATAATATGTCAAAAATTTTGCAATAAAATGAAACCAAATTTCTTTTATTCTGCATATTACAGGCACTGTGTAATGCAAAAGAAATATTGGGTTGCACCATGAAATTATACCAGGTACAAAGAAAAACCCGTTTAAAAAAAATAATAAACGAATCAATGTTATTCTTACAGTAACAATTATCTCTAGATTATTAGGTATTACCCTTACTTTGTAGGGACAAATCAAGAATCATGTTGATTGTTTCTATAGATCGTAAATCCAATTCCGACTTGGGGAGGAATCACAGAAAAAAAAAAATATTTGAGGAAATTTGATGGAAATACCGGTTTAGTTCATATTTCTATTGTTCTCCTAAAAAGAGATGAATATGAGAGGGGGGGGACATGTGTGCGTAAGAGAAGGCAATTTCCGGGAGGCGGCTAATTATTGAATATTGATTATCAATATCTTACTAAGTATGAGACTGGAGTTAAGTTGATAACTACTGTAGTACCTCTCTCGAGTTAGTGGGGGACTATAGTGGATTGAACAGAAGTTGAATAATCCGATATTTGGAGAATCAACAAACGTGTGGGTATGTCTCAGAGAAAAGTAACACAAAATATGTGATAAATCTGAAGCATGAATATCAACAGGTTTTCCGATTTTTTTTTTAATTCAGCGGATGAGCTTATTCTTTTATTCAATTACATCATGAGATTTTTTTTATTTATTTGTTGGTCCTTTCAACAGACCAGTGGGGGGAAAACAGAGCGAGACAACTGAGGAATGTCAGTTATCCATCATGCTATGCAATTGTACAAGAGTTTATTGTACACAGAAGTGAAACTTTTAGAAAATGCCACCTGGTGATGGTAAGTTGAAGCAACAAAAAAGAAAAAAAAAAATTTTTCCCCTGTCATGATGTGAGTGAGAGAGAGAGAGCAGCAGGAGCAGCAGCAGGTGGGCAGGTGATCTGGTGGTTGTCGAAGTGCGCAGTGCGATCTGATTATTGTAGTCGTCGTCGTGGGTTGATTAAAAATTTTCTGTTGCTTCGGCACACACTCGTTCGGCCGCGGAGTACACAAACCAAAAAATTTTTTCTTTTCTTTCTGTAGTATATTTATTCCCTTAACAATCATTATCACATAATACCACTACTGAAAAATTATATAAATTCAATCAATTCTCCTTTGATTTTGGGAAAATTTTTTTTATCTTATTCTTCTTCTTTTCTTTTTTGGAATTTTTCTTTTTCTTTTCCTTTCTTGCTTCATTGTACTTTTTAGTCTACTACTTCAAACTACAAACATCTATTATACTACAATGTCTTCATCTGCTTTATCCTGGTTATCTAACTTGAACGTTGAATCCGTTCCAGCCAAAAACTTGAGAAGATCCTCAATTATCTGTACTATTGGTCCAAAGACCAACAATGCCGAAGTTATGGTCAAATTGAGAAAGGCCGGTATGAACGTTGTCAGAATGAACTTCTCCCACGGTTCTTACGAATACCACCAAACCGTCATTGACAATGCCAGAAAATCCGAAGAACTTTACAAAGGTAGACCATTGGCCATTGCTTTGGATACCAAAGGTCCAGAAATCAGAACTGGTGTCACTGTTGAAGAAAAAGACTGGCCAATTGAACCAAACCACGAAATGATCTTCACCACCGATGAAGCTTACAAGAACAAGTGTGATGCCAGCATCATGTACCTTGACTACAAAAACATCACCAAAGTTATTGCTCCAGGTAAAATCATCTACGTTGATGATGGTGTCTTGTCTTTCGAAGTCATTGAAGTTGTCGATGAACAAACTTTGAAAGTCAAATCTGTCAATGCCGGTAAAATCAGTTCCCACAAAGGTGTTAACTTGCCAGGTACCGATGTCGATTTACCAGCTTTGTCTGAAAAGGATGTTTCCGATATCAAATTCGGTGTTAAAAACAAGGTCCACATGATCTTTGCTTCTTTCATTAGAACTGCTAACGATGTTTTGGAAATCAGAAAAGTTTTGGGTGAAGAAGGTAAAGACATTCAAATTATCTCCAAGATTGAAAACCAACAAGGTGTTAACAACTTCGATGAAATTTTGAAAGTCACTGATGGTGTTATGGTTGCTAGAGGTGATTTGGGTATTGAAATCCCAGCTCCACAAGTTTTCGTTGTTCAAAAACAATTGATTGCTAAATGTAACTTGGCTGCTAAACCAGTCATTTGTGCCACCCAAATGTTGGAATCTATGACCTACAACCCAAGACCAACCAGAGCTGAAGTTTCTGATGTCGGTAACGCTATCTTGGATGGTGCTGATTGTGTTATGTTGTCTGGTGAAACCGCTAAAGGTAACTACCCAATTGAAGCCGTCTCTATGATGCACAACACTTGTTTGATTGCTGAAAAAGCTATTGCTTACCCAGCTTTGTTCAACCAATTGAGAACTTTGGCTGTCAAACCAACCCCAACTTCTGAAACTTGTGCCGTTGCTGCTGTTTCTGCTGCTTACGAACAAGATGCTAAAGCCATTGTTGTCTTGTCCACTTCTGGTCTTTCTGCTAGATTGGTTTCTAAATACAAGCCAGATGTTCCAATTTTAATGGTTACTAGAAACGAAAGAGCTGCTAAATTCTCCCACTTGTACAGAGGTGTTTACCCATTCATCTACACTAACCCAAGTATTGAAAACTGGCAAGAAGATGTTGAAAACAGATTGAGATGGGCTGTTTCTGAAGCTGTTGAATTAGGTATCATCTCCAAGGGTGACTCCATTGTCACTGTCCAAGGTTGGACCAGAGGTTCTGGTCACTCTAACACTGTTAGAATTGTCCAAGCTTAAGGTTCTTATTCTGATAATATCTAAATATTGATTTGTTTAGTTTTATTACATACGAAGAAAAAGAATTTTCAAATTTTAATGTATAGAGTACGTGTGATTTTTTTTTAAAAAAACTACCTCGTTTATTGTAGATTTTTTTTTTCCGTGTTGTCGTTGTCGTATGAGAATTACCTCCACATCGTTTAAACTTCCTGCGATGAATTTATTTTCTATTTTTTTTTCTGTTCTGTTTTGCACGCCCTCCCGTATTGGTGTAGAAGCAAATTTACTTTTGGGAATTCGAAAAATTTCCCATTGAAATATATATATTATCACGACACACACACTCACACATATTGACCAATCCAACCACACCACCACCACCGCAACCACAAGAGCAATGATTCAAAATCAAATTAAAAGGTCAATTGGAAAATTGACTCCATTAAGAACATCAAGTTATTTACGTACAAATTCAAGAACTTATTCAACTGAACCACAACCATCTAAAGAAAAGGAAACCACTCATTTTGGTTTTAAAACAGTTAATAAAGAAGAAAAAGAAAAACTTGTTGGTGGAGTATTTTCATCAGTTGCATCAAATTATGATATTATGAATGATGTTATGTCTATGGGAGTTCATAGATTATGGAAACATCATTTTATTAATAGATTAGATGCTGGTATGAGACCAGGATCAAATCAACCATTAGAATTTTTAGATGTTGCTGGAGGTACTGGTGATATTGCATTTGGATTATTAGAACATGCTGAAAAGAAATTTGGTGATAATGTTAGTAAAATGACAGTTGCTGATATTAATCCAGATATGTTAAGAGAAGGAGAATTAAGATTTTCTAAAACAAAATGGGCAAATACTGATCGAGTTAATTTCTTGGTTCAAAATGGTGAAATTATGGATAAAATTGAAGATAATTCAAAAGATGTTTATACTATTGCCTTTGGTATTAGAAATTTCACAAATATTCAAGCTGGTTTAAACACTGCTTATAGAGTTTTGAAACCAGGTGGTATCTTTGCATGTTTAGAATTTTCTCAAGTTGAAAATCCAATTTTAGATTATGGTTATCAAGCTTATTCATTTTCTTTATTACCTTTGATGGGTCAATTGATTGCTAATGATAGAGAATCTTATCAATATTTAGTTGAAAGTATTAGAAAATTCCCAAAACAAGAAGAATTCAAACATATGATTGAAAAAGCTGGTTTTTATGTTCCTGAACCAGGTTATGAAAATTTAACATTTGGTGTTGCCAGTATTCATATTGGTATTAAAATGTAGAAATAAATAATACAATTTGTTCACATTTAAATCTCATGTACATACACATATTAATATACAAATATATATATATATATATATATATAAGTAAAACTAAACGGCAATTAACCATGTTTGGTATCTATTAGGTTAGCATCTATTTGACCCAATTCTCTTTGTTTTAGTTTCAATTGTAATAAATTAAATTTGGGACAGCAAACACTTGAAGCTGAAGAACCATTTGATTCATAGAATTTTTTACAACATTTATATAATTCATCAATATAATAGGAACATTTGGATTCATTATATCCATTCTTCATTAAACAATTTTGTATAGCACATGCTTGTGGTTTACAAGTTTCATTGATTTCATCAGACATGATTAACAAACTATCATCAAAAAAAACAGAAAGAGATTGTAATATAGACAGCAATTTAAAGCAAACAAACAAAAAAAAAAGCATTCTGATTTGTTCGCTGAAGATACTAGAACATATCACAATTGACCAATGAATGATTCAATAAATATATTATAAGGCGATAATTATACAGAAGATCTATCTAATTCAGTATGATAATCATCTTCATCTTCATCATCATACTCACTTGGTTCTCTAATTATCAAAGGAGCAAATTCTTTTCTTGTTTCTTCAGTTACATTTTTCCTCTTTGAACTATAAAAAATAATTAATGCCATAAATAATGAAGTTAATAAAGTAATTAAACCCCATCTTGATAAATACCATCTTAAACTTTCAATTTCAGATTTTATATTTGAACTTAAATCAGTTGTTATTTTATGATTAGTTTCTTGAATTTTTAAAAACATTTTTTTAGATTGTAAAGTATTTTCAGATTTTGCTTCATTTATCATAACTGCTGAATCATTTCTTAATTTTAAAAAATCATTATTTAATTCATCTGTAATTGCATTAAAATCACGTTCTAAAATATTAATTAAAGCTATTAATTCATCAATATGTCGATCTCTTGATCTAGTTATATCAACTCGTATTTCTTGTTGGGCACTTTCAAATAAATATTGTTCATTCTCTAATTCAAAATTTTGTGCATATATAGTTGATAATTTAGTTAATTTGGAATTAAGTTGATAAATTAATAATGATATAATTTGATCACTTTGATTTGATGTAAATCCAACATTTCGAAGTTCTTTATAAATTGAATATGTATCAATATATGGATCTAATCCTCCAAATACTTCTGTTAAAAATTCTTCTTTATTAGCTCCTTCAGGTAATACTCTTTCTGATTGTTCTGAAATAATAAATGGCGAATCTAATTTAATCGTATTGTCATTGCTACTACTGCTACTACTGCTGCTGTTGTTGATATTGTTGCTATTATCATCACTCAGTTTCGTATCTTGATTGCCATTAGTTGATTGTGGCTGAGAATTCTTGGTTAAACTGTCATCTTTCTTATTCCCCGGTAGTATACTTTGAAATCGTAGGGTGCTGGTTGATAATGTCTTTATAAATCTAATATTACTTCTATTGGATTCTAAAAAGATATTTCTTGTGATAACCAGGATTGGTGGTATAATATGAATATTTCTTATTCTGGTAAAACTATGCCTTATCATTACAGATTCAATATACTACAAATAATTATGTATGTTATAAAACCAAAAGAACGTGATATCAACGAAATCTCCCCCAGTAAAAACAAAGGCACACTTGTATTGATTAAAAAAAAGAAAAGGGCGAAGAGAGAAAGTAAAAGATTTAGGTTTACGTTGCGCCCTTAGGCGCGCGCCTTCGCTAACCCATAATAGACAAAACAAAACCAAAAAAAAAGTACAATTCATAGCGAGACAAACCCAAAGACTTGCACGTGACACGATAGCATCTTCTTATTGGGTTTTTATGATAAACTTTTAGCAATCATTGATCTTGGACTTGGAATACGTGAAATTCTACTACTAAACCCAGATGATGGTCGAAGTGAAGAAGTACTTATTCTTTTGAAAACATTCATCATTTCTTCAGATGGTGGAACAGTATCGGCAGTTGACTGATCTCTTGGTCTTGCAGTTCCATCATTTACATATTCCTCCTCATCATCATCAAAATTATCTCCTAATCTAAAAGGGAATTCCAATGCATAATGGTACATTGAACGTGAGAAGAACGGGTAGCCAAATTTAATGTGTGAAAAATATACTATCGATTTGATTTTTTTCTTAATATCAGAATCAACACATGCAAACCCGCTGCATTTACTTATATAATGGCCATGGTTAGCTGGTGCAATCACAAGATCAGAAGACGGAGGGAATTCTTCATTGAAAATACGATCATTTGGTTGCAAGTCCTCTTGAACAATATGTTCAACTAATTTAGGGTAGTTCACTGATCTAACTCTATGATCACATAAATTCACGAGTAGCTTCCTTTGATCACCATATGAACTCAAAATATCATCAACAGTAATATCAGGTCCTTCATTTTGCAACTCAGCTTCTCCATCATTAACAATATATGTGACCTTAGAATATTTGTCAAGTAAAGCGATCTGAGGTAGGATTTTCTTAAACAGTTTCAACTCATCCGGATCAAATGTATTGGCAAGTGCAACTAATTCTACTAAAATTGCATTCTTTATGGAGTCAATAAAATTACTATCACCATCCCAACATGCACCCAGTTTTTCAAATATGGTAACCTCAATAATACTTGGTACTAAACAACACCAAGTTATGAAGCGACCCATTTCACGCAATAACCTTACTCTTTCTGCAGCAATATGGGTTTTACATTGTGTAAAATATTCATTTCTAATAGCAATCACATATTGAACTTCTTTCTTTTCTGGAATTCTTATTTTCCTATCGGCATCTAAATATGGTTGTGGAATTTCTGGAGGAGGAACCAACATCGGCGGGTTGAGTTGCAATATTAATGCTATTGATTTTGGATTGTTAATTTTTGGGATATATTCCATACATTTAGCTAATCCCACTGGAGTCCCAGTCCTTGGGTTGAATACTTTCCAAATAACAACAGGAATATACCACAACATTTCCCAGTAGAAAATACTTTCGTCAATGATGGTTTGGACATATCGTTTTGTAGGATCAGTTTCATGAGAAGCAAACTTATATCTTAAATCAAAATAAACAATTTGCACTAATTCCCAGGTATTTACAATTAATGAATGCACATATAATAATCTCATATATGCAAATATTGTAAAATTTAACATTACTCTTAAAACATGAACCACAAATAAATCCCAAGTTGTATATTCCTCTTTAGCAGAATCCAATCCATTGATGTATCTTGCACCGGAGGAAAGCCCTAAACTTGTAGCAGGTAATCCACTCAATTCATTATTTGGAGTCACCTTCTTTTTCTTGAATAATGCTTCAAACATCGATTTTTTTGTTTGTTCTTGATTAAACGGCCAAATCAAGATGTGTTGCAAATAAGAAAGAAATAACAATAATAATAAAAAAAAAAAACATATAAAGTTACAAGAACTTAGCGAACCCTTTGAGGCAACAATTCTTTTTTTTTTTTTTGAAAAAAACGAAATCTAAATAATTTTTTATTCTAATACTCTAATAATAACGATAAACAATCAATGTATCTATACATAACAAAGGGAATATTTTACAAAACATCATAAAAGACCAGTCTTATTATTCCATTTCAACGTCTTCAACTTCAACGTCGTCAAGAGTTGGAGCAGTGACAACACTTTCAATTTCTTCAGTAGTACTACTGCTTTCATCTTCAGCTAATGGCTCAACTGCAATGGAAACAGTATTTTCATCTTGAACAGTTTTGTTTTCATTTGGAATGATTAATTCTAATTCATCTTCACCAATGAATCTAGCTTTAATTTCATCGAATTTGATGATTTTGTCAAATTGAAAGTGCTTTTCAAAGTGAATTTCTTCATTCTTGTATTGTTTAGCCAATTCTTCAGCATCTTCTTGAATTTCTTCATCTTCATCACTTGAACTTTCTTCATCATCTTCTTCTTCGCTTGAGCTTGAACTTTCGTCATCATCATTTTCTTCTTCTTCAACACCATTCCATTCTTCATCTTCTTCTTCATTATAGTCACCTTCTTGGGCTTCTAATTCAGCCAAGATTTCAGCAACTCTGGCTTCTTTTGCTTCTTTCTTAGCCAATTCTTCTGCGACAGCTTTTTCAACAAAGGTATCTTCAGCTTCACTGATTTCTTCATCATCAGAGCTGTCATCGGAATCTTCATCTTCTTCATCTTCTTCAGCAGCACTATGATAATCTTCATCTTCGTCTTCATCTTCTTCAGCTTCACGTTCTTCCAAGTCAGCGATGAGTCTGGCAATTTTTTCTTTACGAATTTTGGCATTTTCTTGAAGTTCTGCAACCAAAGAATCATTGGCTTCACTGTCAGAATCTTCTTCGTCTTCTTCTTCTGCGTCGACTTCTTCAGCTTCATCAATTTCTTCATCGATATCAGCATCATTCAAGTTTAATTTACCACTGATAACCAATTCATTTTCATTCTTTAAGAAATCAATCTTTAAAGCTTCTTTAACCAATGAAGGAAATCTAACAGTCAATTTGTAGTTATTGTCATCGACTTCTTCCAATCTATAGTCCAGACTATTTTCCAAATCTTCAGTTAAATCAATGACCAGGAATTCATCATCATCATTATCATCACTATCATAAGCAATCAATTTTGTTTCATTGTCATCTTCTTCAATATCATCGTCTTCATCAAAATTGTCATACAAGACAACATCTTCATCTTTAACATCTTCTGGTAAAGTAATGGTTTTGTAGATGGTAATACCTTCTTCGTCGTCGGAATTTTCGTCACTATCAACTTCAAAATATTCTGGTTCAGAACCCAATTCGGAACTTTCATCTTCAGAAGTTATTTCGTCACTACTAACCAAACCATCTTCAAATTCTTGTCTGATATATTCCAACAATAATCTGTCTTTAATTTCTTGTTCTTCTTCAGTGTCAAATTCTTCGTCAGAATCTTCATCAGAATCTTCTTGGTCGTTGACAATGTAAATAATATCATCTTCAGAGTCGGAGGAGTCTGAATCAGAAGAGGAATCGGAGTCAGAAGATGAGCTTGAGGATGAGTCGGAATCTGACGACAGACTAGAATCGGAATCTGAGTCAGAAGATGAATCTGAGTCAGAAGATGAGCTAGAATCGGGATCCGAGGAAGAATCAGAAGATGAGCTAGAATCGGAATCTGAAGAAGAGTCACTAGTACTAGATTCATCATCATAATAAGCAACAATTTCATCATTCATATCAACAACTTCACCTTGGTCTTCTAATTTTGCTAAAATAGCTTCTTCTAATTCTTCATCGTCAATTGAGTATTCGTTACCATCTGAGTCAACATAGGTAAGTTCAACCTCATCTTCATCAAGGTTACCTCTACCTGAGAATACGATTGGTAATTCATCACCAAGAGAATTGTTTTCATAATAATCAGCTTCATCTTCGTAAGCATCAGCTTCATCTTCGTAAGCATCGGCTTGGTCTTCATACCAGTCAGCTTCGTCTTCATAATAATCACCTTCATCTTCATAATAGTCAGCTTCATCTTCATAAGCATCGGTTTCTCTTTCATAGCGGTCAGCTTCTCTTTCATAACGTCTATTTTCTTCTTCTTCTTCACTTGGATCAATTTCACTATCAGGTTCTTCAACATAAGCATAATTAGATGGTTGTTGATGGTAATATCTTCTATAACCACCTCTACGTTGAGGAGCTGGTGCTCTGGATCTTGGTTGTCTAAAACTCAGGGAAGAACCATATTGAGGTCTAGCTGAACTGTAATTCTTTCTAGCGTATCTGTTAGCTCTTGGTCTATATGGCATCTTCTCTATAATTTAGTTGATTGGTTATTCTTCTTAATTAATAAAAAGTTGGTAAAAAAAAAAAAGAAATTCTATAATCCAGAAGCAAAAAAAAAGGGAGATGTGAATGGTAATTTATACATCCCACAACCAAATTTCAACAATTAGTAGGAGAAAAAAATTTTCAATTTTGTGTTTGAGATGGTGCGGCGCAATTTCCTAATTCGTGTTATTGCCACCAACCAGCCAAAAAATTTTTTTCACTAAGGAAGGTTCTCGAATTTACGAAAGCGAAGGCGATAATTTTATTTCTTTTCTTGTTAGTAAAGACGCGCCCACGCGCGCTGAGAATTATCAAACACACAAGAGAAAGATTTTGCAATAATTATTGACATGGCATATAATCAAGTAAAGCTATTGTAAAACCTCACAACAATTGCTGTTATTCTCGCGACGTTTTATTCTTCCGATTGATGGATCAACTTCATACGGCTCGAATTATCATTGTTATCTTGACATTGCTTTCAGCCAAGGACAATGTGTAGGGACTGGGGAACGAGTCATATTTGTTGATGAATTGCCTCTATCAAGTAAAAATAAAGACCCCAGGGCTCTTGTTAGGCTATAACGCGTCGTTCTATTACTCCGGCTTTATCTATGAAACGATCATATTTCTACTAGTAAATCAAAGTTAGAGCAGGTAGCCTTGTATTGCTTCCAGATAAATATTCAGTATAGGACGGTCGTGCACCCTGGAAAGGTTGCTTATCAAACATTCTATATACACCTATAGTAAACAATGTCAATGTCAGGGGCTCATAACCAGTGGATAAATCCGATCGAATGAAATGGACAAAATTGTTTGACAGTTTGACCAAATTATTTCTCGAGAATGACAGAATTAATTGCACAGATGTCAAAATGGAAACATCTGGATTTATACCTCTGTTACCAGTTGAATATATTTAACAGAATTAATTTACATACTAATCAGATAACACTGACTCTTAGCTTTAATTACATATACAATTGTTCCATATATATCTCCTGTAAACCCAACTGTTTGTTATGTTAAACTTTCTGTCTAGACAGAGGATGGATTACTCTAGAACAGATAGTTTTGTCAATATTTTATCAGATTTTGACAACATGTAGAAATACTTTTGTCATTGTCATATTTTGAGCTACCTGGCCATCTATAACTCTCTCCAACACTCTTGAAAGAGTTATACCGCCTTTAGAGGTCTATTTTCAATTATAGTGAGAACATCGCCATAACTAAAGTAGTCTAGAGTCAACATAATCACACTTTTCCTTTCAAATTTCCACATGAAACACTTGTTTCGATCATTTCAACATCAATTGAACCTTTTGGGATCAATTCTAAACACCATACGGCATCAAAAATACTATGAACAGGTAACCTATCTTTACAAAATTAGGGCTATCAAAACCATAAAAGGTCGTGTGTGTTGCTTAAATTCCCAGATTTGACCAATTGAAAGCCTCGTACGTAATGTAGCATCAATGGGTGTATTAAAGCTACCTGGTAGTACTTTACAATCAGATAACAACTAAATTTGATACCTGCCCATGTGGCGGGGGAAGAGAAACTTGTTGTGTTGGAATAGTTTGAATGCATTCCAACTTATCGGTAGTGAATTTCCGAAAACTGTGGCACTTGCACGTTTTTGTAATTTTTTTTTTCTTTTGCTTGTATTTCCACGCCACCCATCGCAGATGAGACAAGAAAAAAAAATTTTTTTCTGTCCAAAGTACACGCAAAAATTTTACTATAAATACTAGCCCTTCCCCTGGTCTCCCTTATTCTGAAAACCAAATCTCTTTGCCATTTGGCTTAGATCCAGTGTAGTATCTGTTCTTTTCAGTGTAACAGCTGAAATGTCATCATTGATGACTTTACATTATGTTACAAATTTATACTTATTTTTGGATATTGGGTAGATTGATGTATTAAAGTGGGCTTGCTCACAGTCTTTCTACATAGTGTCGTTGCCACTGTACTTTTATTTTGGCTTCTGACGCAAATTCTTCATTCATATTTTTTAAGTCTCTATCGTGATTGGTTGTTAATTGCAAGCAATTTCATGATATTGAAATAAAAGATAGTTTATTGAAGAGTTTGTATTTTATCTTCTCTGATTCATTTGAATTTATCTATTATTGTTGTTGGTTAGTAATCCTTATTGTCGTCGTGCATGATAGTCTTGGTGAATTTGTTTTCTCTAATTTTCTTGATAATAGAAAAAAGGATGCATTACTAAACCCCAAACCCAACATTATTAATAAAAGAGGATATTATTATTTTTTTTTTTTACATATATAACACTACAGTTTGTTTTCTTTTTGGTGTATTCTATTGCTTTAACAGTTCAAGCTTAGTATAAGATGGCAGACCCTTCTTCTGGGTCTGAAAGAACTTCACAAACGTCATCATCATCATCGTCATCATTTGTTGAGAACAATATCCTTTTTCCGAGTTTACACAAGAACACCAAAAATAGCACTAATAGTCAAGTCAAACAACAACAAAATGATAAACCGTCAGATGTATTAGAATCAGACTCTGAATCTGAATCAACGCAGAACTTGAGAAATGCCTTTGTATCACCATTACGACAGCCTGGGTTTAGAAGCGAATATAATATGGTTGAAGTTGATTTATCTCAAGATCTGTCCCTACATACCCGAAAGGCATCATTATCATCTACATTCTCAGAAGTAAATGCATCATTTGACAGTTCAATCATCAACAAAATTGCAACCTCAGTAGTTAATAAAGATGAGACTGAGGAATCAGGACGATTTAAATATTTACGACTATATGAAAAGTTAAGTAAATCAAAGAAAAGAGAACAAAAACAAACCGAACAGCCAACAATACTTGAAAACCAAGATATCCCATTGCAAGATATGGATTCCGAAAGATCATCATTATTTAATTTATCCCAGTTGGATGATTTCAATAAGTTTGTTAAAGAATCAGCCATAAATGATGAAATAATCCACCGAGTTCAAGAAAAACTACCGAGTGGGCCAGAAAGAAATCAGAATGTACTTAATGTTGTCAATGAGGTTGATTTGGCCGATAATTTTTATGCTGGTCATGAAGAACAAGGAACAAAACAGGAAGGTAAAAAGAAGTTTCAATTGAAGAATTGGAAACGAAATCATAGTGCATCATTTGCTTCACAAGGTGATTTAAGTGAACTTTATTTCCCATCCACAGAAATACCCACTTCATCTGATAGTGTTGACGATGATCATGGGCAAGGGCAACGACAGTTTTTACAACGAAAACTATCTGTGAGGCATTTACAAATGATCTCCTTTGGTGGGACTATTGGTGTGGGGTTGTTTTTGAATTCTGGTAAAGCAATTACAATAGCTGGTGGGTTTGGAGCAATGTTGGCATTTATTATTGTGGGTATCCTTGTATTGGCAACATTGATTTCATTTTGTGAGATTGTTACATTTGTTTCTGTTATAGATGGGGTTTCTGGTCTTTCGTCACGTTTTGTTGATGATGCATTTGGGTTTGCCACTGGTTGGCTATATTTTTTCAGTTTTGCATTTGGTGTAGCCGGTGAAGTTGTTGCGGGTGTTATTATGTTATCATATTATCCGCATCTTCAAACAGGAGTACATTCTGGGTCTACTGCAGGATTTGTCACGTTCTTTTTGGTAGTGATCATTGGTAGTAACTTGATTCATATTAGAGTGTTTGGAGAATTGGAGTATATTTCAAGTTTTATAAAAATTTTATGGGCACTAGTCATGATTATTGCCATGATTATATTAAACAGAGGCGGGTTCCCCAACACACCGGTAATAGGGTTTCGATATTGGACTTATCTGAAGTCTGATTTTGAGAATAATGTTATATTTGGATTATTCAGGCCATCGTTCAATCTTCACGATAGTGGTACAAGTTCTCCTGCTGAGGGTATAGGTGGTGATAAAGGAAGATTTATGTCATTGTTAACGGCTGTACTAGTCGTATGCTATGCGTATAGTGGAACTGAAATTGTGTGCATTGCAGCATGTGAAGCTAAAAATCCTCGAAAAGCATTACCATCAGCTACAAGAAGAGTTTTTTGGAGAATTCTTATTTTTTATGTCTTATCAGCATTTATTGTTTCGCTTAATATTTATGCCGGTGATCCGAGATTGTTGAGGTATTATCTGGGTCTGACTGGTATTGATGCCAGCATGTTCAGCACCAACCCGGCCATATTAGAAGTCGGAGGGGCTCATTGTAATGTTGATTCCAGGGTAGTTGGCGGGTATGGTAGTGGAGCACAAAGTCCATGGATTGTGGCATTGCAGAGCGCTAATATTTGTGGGTTTAGTGCAGTTACAAACGGGTTTTTAGTCTTCTTTGCTGTTAGTTGTGGTAATGCACAGTTGTACGTGAGTTCTAGAACAGTTTATGCCTTGGCATTACAAGGGAAGGCTCCAAAGTTTCTTTCAAGATGTAATAGGCTTGGAATCCCCTATAATGCGGTGTTATTTGCTGGATCGTTTGGTTTACTTGCGTACACGTGTGTTAATGAGTCAGCTACTGTGGTCTTCCAAAACCTTACTAGTGTTATTGCGTCATCGGGAATTTTTGTTTGGTTTGCTATGTGCCTTACATTTATAAGGTTTTATTACGGGTTAAAAAGGCGTCCAGACATTTTAGATAGGAATGATAAGTCTTATCCGTACAAATCCCCCTTTCAACCATATGCTGCAATCGTTGGTGCGATTGGTACGTCATTCATTATCTTTGCCATGGGCTTTGTGGTATTTATACGGGATGAATGGGACACAATGTTTTTCTTTTCCAGTTATGGATCGCTTATGGTATTTGCAGTGTTGTATGTTGGTTATAGATTTATCAAGAGTACGTCGATCCCTAGTTTAGATAAATTGGATTTTGATTCAGGGAGAACAGAGATGGATCGGTACATCTGGGATGGAGGAAGAAGTTATAATAAAAGGAATGTTAAGGAAGTATTCCATAAATGGATTTCATTTCTTGCATGAACGAAAAATTAAAAAAAAAAAAATAACAGTCCAGTAAAAAGAAAGGGATTATGTATATCATTTACAACAAAAGGGAAAAAAGTTTTTTATTTTTTTTAGTCTGGTATTTTAACCATTTAGACATTTCAATTTAATAGATATCTTAGAGACGAATTTCATGTTAAGTTTGTAAAGAATTTCATCCTCAAAGGAAAAGCGGGTTGTAAATTGATGAAGAAAACACAAGGTTGAAAGTGTCAAAACCACACATCATTCGGTATCATTGATTAACATCAAAAATGCCATCTTGCACCTTTGATTTCATTTCAAGAAGAAACTTTTTTTAAAACCAAAATAGGGTATAAAGTTACTTTATTTGAAGAACATTCTAAGATGATATTTCTCAAATATTCGTATCGTTGATCTTCTTTTATTTGTCCTATTCGTCAATTGTTGAAATAAATAAAAAGATAGATAAATAATAAAAAGAAAAAAAAAATCCACCCACTTTTTGTTTGCAAATAATTTAAGATTATTTGCTTTGTAGTTGTTGGGGGGAGTGTACATAAAAGAATTTGTTCGTTTTAGGAAAGGAAATTTTCTGTCTGCTGTCTCTTTTCTCTTATTGTTGTTGTTGTTGTTGTTGTACAATAAATAATGCACACTGAAAATTTTAACGAGCGGTAAAAATAAATTTGACCACAAATGCACGAAATTAAAATATGGAAAAGGCACACTAAAAAAATTCAATTATGGTTCAAAATTAATTTTCTTTTTTTGTTCTCACAATCATTTATTGGGAGAGGGACAAGGGACCTAAAATTTTAACAACCAAAGCCTATTGTTGGTAATCCAATTTAGACCATTTGCAAAGTCAAATACTAAAAATCTAATGTGGGTCAACTTACGTTTTTTTTAAAGGATTCGTTGTCCACAATACAAAGAAAATAACACAGGGTCAACAACATTTTAGCTATAACATTCCATTGTATACTGTTCATCATCTTTGCCCGTTTTCTTTTTTTTTTTTTTTTTTCCTCTTCTTCACTCTGTTTGATTTTATTTTATTTTTCACATAAATTTTTCATAGTTTTCCCTTGAATGATTTTTTTTTGTTGATTTTACAACCAGTGCTTTTTTTTTTAGACGATCCAGTTTTAAAGCTTTCTCTATCATTTCCATTCTAAACAGTCACAAGGTTTCGACAACATGACTTGGATTAGAACAGAATTTTTAATTAAGGGGAAGATCATTAAACCTTTCTTACCTAATGATAAGCATCCCACATTACGTAATGATAATTTTAAGAATTTATATCCTGGTGATAAAGTTTATATTTTTGAAGTCAAGGATAGTAAATGGGCTAGAGTTTATGCCGTGACAAAACCACTTCCTACTGATTATCTTGCAAGTTCCATCAATTTAGATGATTTATTGGTTGAAAAAAATAAGATCGTGGTGGTCCCATTGAGTTATATCAAGATCTTGAAAGAAATGCCTTCAGAAGATATCAGGGTCTCCAAGAAATTTAATAATATATCAGATGACAGTAATATCCCAACCATTCGTGACACTGAATTGGCACACCAAGAAGCAGTTGATGGAGATGCAGTTGATACCTATATCAAGAAACATGTCCCACCATTACCTACAAAGAGAGACCATTCACGTGATACCCTTCTTGATGAGATTGGTTATTCTTTGGAATTGCTTAATGCCCATATATTTGCTGTTTATGCCAAGAGTGAATTTAGATTATTTGATAGATTGACTGCAATTTATTACAGTTTATATGAAACCAGAATCAAGTTGAACTACCACTTGTTAACTGCTGAAGAAGCCTTGGTTGCTAGAGAAACAGCCACATTTTTATTGAACAAGATCCCAAAGATGTTGGCTTCCAAAGCAACCAGATTGAACCAAAGATCATACGATTTAGACAATGCCGACACCGATATTTCTGGGTACAAATCCATCATGGCAAGAGATCCATATTCTGGAGAAATCTTATCATTGGGTTCGGCTACTCCAGCATCCATTGCATTGAATAACGAGTTATGTGCTTTGCTTCCAAATTACCCAATTAATGCTCATCAACACAAGAATAGCTACTCTTTAACTCCACCAGCAAATAAAAAATTCGAAGTTGAACCACCATCCCATATTCTTGTTGACTTTAGATCAGTTAGTGGATCATCTGCTTATCAACCACCAGGTTTTGCTGGTATGATTGCTTATATGTATCTTCGTAATTCAAGAAAGAGATTGACTGAAGCCTTTGCTGTGCACACTAATTCCGTTGATGATCTTGTTCATGTGGAAAAAATCAGTGCTGCATTATTTAGGAATCTTCCTGCAAGTGAAATTGATAACAATAGAGTCTACCTTGTAGCAGTGTTGACAGAAGAAGTCGATTTAAGTATCAAAACGTCAGGTCATGTTCCAACAATAAAAAGAGTCAAGAAAGGTGTTGCCGCTGGTGTTGCTGATATCACCAGAGTGTTTTCAAGAAATGAGGGTTCCCTTCAATCTGGTGAAGCACATCATTTCTCCATTAAATTATTTGGATCGTACATGAACAAAAAAGGACAGAAAAATATGGTGGAAGATCTTAGAGGTGTTCCTAATAACGGTTGGGGTGAAGTTGTTGATAGAATTATTGCCGGTTCAAGTCAAGGTGTTGCTGTGAATCCAAGAGCAGAAAAATTGATCATTACTGTTAAAGAGTTTAAACATCAATTCCAAGGAAATGCAGCAAACCAATTAACTTCTTCAGCTCCAATTTCTAGAATCAAACCGATTTTCTTTGACCCATTGGCTGAAAATTATGAACGTATTTATTTAAAAATGGGTAAAGTTTCTTTACTTGGTTCATCTGCTAGAGATGATTTGTTGACTTTTGAAGTTAGTACCCCTAATAATGAGTTAATCACTTTTGCTAAAGCTTCCAATCAACAAGAAAAAAGATACTGGCAGTTCATTTCCGTTTTCCCTGGTGAATCTATTGGGGAAATTGTCAAAGTTAATGGTGTTGCCTTGAAAAATGCTTCAAAGAAGTTACCTAAAGATGATTATATTGTGTTGTCATTATTTGTCAATGGTGTCTTGGCTGGTGAGGGTAGATTACTTTACAAATCAGGCAATAGATTGGTTGAATTTAACAAGAAGAAAACACACACTATTGAAATCATCTCCACCACCCATAGCGTCCCAATGGCCCATGTTGAGCTTAGTACTGAATATGTTGGTAAGATTTACAATTCTGATGTATCAATTGACAACATCTTCCAGTATGAAAGATTCTTCCAAAATGGACAAAGTGGTATTGATGAACTTTCAAATTCTTTGGTTGCTTTTAGTAGATTGGATATATCTCAACTTGTTAAATACTTTGCCGAATTGTTGAGTTCTTTATATGGTATTATCAGTATCTCCAGTCGTCACACTGGTCCAAGTATTGAAATTCTTGAAGATAATACATTCAAAGGTATTGTTCATATGTTGGATGTCATATTTGGTAAACAAGATCAATACTTGCATCTTATTGACAATTTCGTCGCCAAATACAAGAGTCTGAGTCAAGTGGGTATCTTTTTGTTAACCAAAGTTGAAGAAGTATTCAACAGAGCTGCTTCTAGTTGGAACGCTGTGTCAAGATCAGTTTGTCGTATTCTTTCCATTATCTTGAAATTATCTGTTTCATCAATGAGCTCACCAAGCGATTATGATTTGTACTTGAAATCCTTGAATAATTTATTTAAATCAATCGCATATCTTCTTTCATTGGACTCACCAACCTTGATTGATGATCAAATTTTGATTATGGAGATTATTGACTATGTCTTTGCATTTAGAACCAACTTGGATGAATCAAAACTTGTCAAGATTATCATCAATTGTATTAATTCAATTGGTCTTAAAGGTTTGGGTGTTGATGAAATTAATCTTCAAACTGGTGTTGCCGTTGGTAATGCTAAAGACCATAAAATTATTATTAGTAAATTATTGTTGATCTTGAGAGTACTTAATACTGACTTGGTTAAAGATGAAGAAACCAGAAGTATCTTGTTACCAAAAGCAATTATTTGGGCTATGGATGTTTTCTTGGGTCCGACTGATATTGATGCTACTAGATTGGCTTGTAGTGTATTGAATGCTGTTTGTACAACATTATGGAATAATGGTGATATTCAAACAACTGGAAAGGATTTGGACATTTGCTTCTCCTTGTCTAAGTTCTTACCAGCCATTGCCAGAACTTTCATCAAGTACAACAAGCACACTAGAGGTAATGGTTCATTCCAACCAAAACGTTTATTCACACAATTGTTCCCAACTAGTTTTCCATTTTCAGAATTTTCCATTGATCCAATTGTTAATGACGAAGTGATGGTAGAAGTTTTAGTTGAGCTTGCTACTTGTTTTGCATTTGTTGCTCGTATCGGAAGAAAAGCAGCTGGTAATGAAGGATACACCAAGATTTTCAGTCATCAAATTGAAAACGATTGTTTTGTTCCTGAAAGATATTTGGCAGCTAATTTCCAAAGTGAAGATATTCTCACTATGATCTCTGGTATCAGATACATGAGATTGGGTAAGTATTTCCCAGAAACCAAATGGTTTTCCATCTTTTCAGTTATTATTGAAGGAAGTTTGTGTGCCATTGAATTGGTCAGACCGATTCTCGTTATCCATCAACTTCCATCATTAGATGATTCAGAATTATTTGACAGGGTTCTTTGGGGTAATTATCTTAGATGTTTGTTCAAATTGGCAATCTTGCCACCTGTTTCCGTTGAACATTTATCTGAAATTCCAAAAGGTGCTTGTTCCAGAATTACGAATGATGTTCGTAAGCGTGCTGCTTTCTTGATTAACGAAGCTTGGGACTCCTTGGCATGGGAATCAACAGATGAAGATATGCTTAGGTTTAACTTGAAGAAGTTTGGTGGTTACCAAGTTGAGTTTATTAACGATGAGTATGGTATTTTACCAGATTTAATGTTGCTTGGTTTACAAAGAGACAGTGAATGTCAAAGTGTTGCCGTTAAGATCTTGTGGTCCATTATGATTTCAGAATATATTTTAAGTGATTCTCTTATGGATGTTGAAAAGCAATGTTTGGTTGGATTACATGAAATTTATCATAGACATGCCTACAAGCCAACCGCCCTTGATCAAGCCAATTTCATTGAAAGAATGAAAGTAACCATTAGATTAGATCGTGAAGATGTTGCCTTCGACATCATTTATGGATTCATCAAGAATCTTGATTCATTCTTTGGTACTCTTAACTACTATACATCTGTACCTGCTGGTCCTCAATTTGACGAAGATAGAACTTTCCATGAAATCAAATTGAAAGCACAAATTAAGAATGCAGGTAAACCAGAACTTTTCAATTCATTCATTCACCAAATGTATGAACAATATGTTGCTAAGAATGATTTTGTTCAAGCTGCATTAACATTGGAATTACTTGCCAGTACTTATACTTGGGATAATCACATCATGGTTCCAGCCAGTTTCAGACCAAAATTCCCAGAACAAAGTTCATTTGAAAGAAAAGAAGCTTTATTCAAGATGATTGCAAATAATTTTGTTCGTGGTAATTCATTGGAAAAAGCTGTCCAAAGTTACAATGAATTGTTAGAGAATTATAACATGCATACTTATGATTTGAAGAGTTTTGCTTATGTTCATAACAAATTGGCACAATTGTATTTGGATTTAGAATCTTCAGATAAATTGACACCAGCTTATTTCATGGTAAGATTAATTGGTGGTGGGTTCCCTGATTATTTGACTAATATCAGTCAAATCTTTGAGGGTAAAGCATTTGAACATTTGACTTCTTTCCATCAAAGAATTTTGAAGATGTATCCTGGATCCAAGATTATTACTGATGATGATGAAGCTAAACAATTGAGTGAAAGCAGAACAAACGGAAGATTCTTGCATATTAAGACTGTTGAACCTGTTTATGAATTCTCTGATAAGTTGCTTTACACATCTGTTGGTGTGAGAAAGTATGCTAGAGATAAGGATCTTCGTTCATTTGTTTCCACAAAAGTTATTCCTGGTTCTACATCTGTTTTAGATATGTGGACGCAACAAACTACCTACCATTCTTGGTTGTCATTCCCAACTCTTATGAATAGATCATTTATTAAGGAGGTGCAATCTGTCAAGTTATCACCATTAGAGAATGGTATTAGAATTATTGCTGATAAGAACAATGCTTTGATTGAATTGGAAGCTTCTATCATTAAGAAGTCTACTGAAAAGAGTGATTTCACTGAGCAATTGAATGATTTATCAAGACAATTAGCCGGTACTGTTGATTCCCCAGTGAATGGTGGTGTTGGTCAATACCGTGCATTCTTCACCGATGCCAAATATCAAATTAAAGAAGAAGACATTAGAAAAGTTAGTTTATTACGTGATGCTTTCAATGATCTTGCCATGATTTTGTACCGTTGCTTAACTTTACATGGTAGATTGATTGGACCAACTATGAAAGTTTCCCATAATGCATTAGTTGAGTTATTCAATAAGAATTTCAAAGAAGAAATTATTGCTTTAAGATTAGGTGAAGAAGCACCTAAACCTGCGCCATCAAGCCGTGTTTCAATTTTCCAAGACAAACGTTATGCAGGAAGCCAATTGAATGAGCGTGCTTCAATCTCCAACATGTCTGGTTCAAACTATTCTGGTTCAAGATTGGCAAGATCTCCAACAAACGCGTCTACGAATTCCTCCAGTTCATCGATGAATAGATCTGGTAGATCTTCTGGATATCCATCAAGTAATATCCAACCTGGTTATTCTGGATTAGTTGGTTCTTCTATTCGTACTGGCGCATCCACTACTGCTAAGACAACGATTTCCTCAAAATCCAATGCCGTTAATGGTGGTTGGTAAGAATAATTAGTGAATAATGAAAAGTAAAATATTAGAATAGACATTGCTTTTTGCTTTCCCGCTTTGTGAATTTTTCGTTTTTTATGAATTTAATTAATAATTTGTATTACGTTATTTATTTTTGTGTGTTTTTTTATCTATATATAAGTATAAATGATTGTATTTTCTTAATCATTGATTTTATGACACTAAGTTGTATAGAATCTTCTCCCTTTTTCTAACCCCCTTAATAGAGTTAAACATTCTCTTGTTAATTGTGGTTACAATTTTTCATTTATTACCTTGCAACAGAGTCAAACCAGAGTCGTGTATTTAACGCGTTTCTCACGTGATACATATCTCTGATTTTTTTTTTTTTTTATTCTCACCAATTCCATTTCTTTTTTTTGTGCATTGTCAATGTTTGGCAATAGAATGTAGAAGACGTGAAACAGACAAGCAAAACAAATAAAGAAAAGAAAAAAGAGAGACTATTTCATGATTACCAATTATGGGATGTTTACTTTTGGAATGAGTTTAGCAAGTTCTTCCGAGACTTTTGTCACTTCATCTCATTTAATTTTTAGTTTTAATAGTAAAGCGCTTTTTGAAGTGAAGTTACATAACTTAATAATTACTGTTGTTTTGTCAACTTACCCGTAAATATATAATAAGAAGAATAAGAAAAAGAAGAAAGGGGCACACTACGTCAAAAGCAAAAAAGTATCAGGGGACGGGGACGGGGGAGAAAAAAGGGTCGTGCAGTTACAAACGCGAGATACCGCGAGAGAATCTTTAAATTTCAGGCGATAAATTAATTAGAGTCCTCGCGAATCTGGAACGAGGGCCCACCACAGAAAACGACCCTTCCCCTTCCCCTTCCCCCTAGCCTAATTAAGAGAGAGAGAGAGAGAAAGAAAGAAAAAAAAATTCCTGCATTATGCATAAGCTGCAAAAATTGCCTGTCGATTTTTATTAAAGCATTCTTTAGTTCGGCACCCTATTGTTTAGACGTATGATTTACGTTTGATCTTTGGTTCCAACAGGAACTAAAAAATTTTTGGAAAAGAACAAACGAGAGAAAATGTCGAAGCATTTTTTCTGTTTTAGGGTTGAATAATAAGAAAACAAAATCCAGGCAAGCAGACAGGAAAGTGTAAATAAGTAAGTAAGTAGGTTAAAAAAAAATTGATACTAATATCCCAATTTGCTTCTTTTTCTGTTTGTTTTTTTATTTTATTTTATTTATTTATAAATTATTATTACTTCTTCTATATCTTGTTGGTTACCAAGTCTTTCCATTCCTTTACTTTTTAATTCTATATATTTTTTTTTAATAATAAAACTAAACTCAGTTATTAGTTCAAATGACTTGGGCACCAACAACTTCTTATTTAAAAGGAGCGGTAATCAAACCATTTGTGCCGAGGAAGAAATTGGATCAACAACAAAATCAATCATTGAAAAACCTTTATCCTGGGGATCAAGTCTATATTTTTGAAACTAAAGATTCAAAATGGGGTAGAGGATACTTAGTTCCACCAACTATTAAAAATGATATGGAAATATTGTCTATTGGATTGAATAATATAGATGAATCTCCTGTAGTTTTCCCATTGAAATATGTTACTATTGTGGATAAAATTGGTATAATTAAAAATGGCCCCGATGCAATAGTAGATAAACGATTAGATAAACCAAATCGTCCCAAATTCCCATCCATTGAGAATCGACAATTAACAATTAAAGGACAAATAAGATATGCAATTAATGAACTTAATGGACTTATATTTATTTCATTTGCTTGTGGTGAATTAAAAGTTTATCGAAAACTTATAGAATTATTCAACAAATTATTTGATTATTTTATGAAAGAATGTCATAATTTATCAGCAGAGTTGGAATCTCCCGAATTAAAAGAAACTATAACTTCATTACTAAATAAAATTCCTAAAATATTATCAAATAAAGAATTGAGAGTACGTAAAGGTGATGTACTTTGGCATGTGATAGCTTCAAGATATCAATATACTTTATCTAGAGATAAATCAACTGGAGAATTACTAAATTTAAATAATTCAATGCCATCAGTAATTGCATGTTCAGAAGAAGAATTGGCATTAACAGAAAAGAAATTACCAGATACTTTGAAAAAAGAAGGATTAAGTTCTACCACTACTGATTTTAAAGAATATAAGAATAATCATATTCTAGTGGACTTGAAAAAGATTATTGGAGATGTATCTTCTGTATCAAGTGGTTTACATTGTCTTTATCTTCAGATTTATTTAAGAAATGTAACAAGAAGGTTAACAGAAACATTTGTTGTAAAAGTAAGAACAATGGAAGAACTACAAAAGGCACAGAATATAAGTTCAGCATTGTTTAGAAATTTACCAGATGATTATTTAAATGAAAATGTATACATGGTAGTTGTTGTATCTGAAGAAGTTAGCCTATTAAGAAGGAAAACATTCTCCAATTTAAAATATGTGAAAAAGGGTATTTCTGCAGGTATTGCTGATATTTCACAAGTATTTTCCAAGAATCAACCTAATTCTTGCTTTGATGTTGCCATTCATTTATTTGGAGCTCCCTTTGGTGTTAAAAAACCTTCCAAGAATCCATTCAATTGGGGTATATTAGTTGATCAATTGATCTCAGGAGATGTAACTGGTATTGCCGTTAATTCAACCGTAAGAAAAATCGATGCTACCATAAAACTTATCCATCATGAACCATTTGGTCTTTCAACTAAAACTAAATACTCAAAGCATCATTCCAAATTGGCCATTTCTATGACAAAACCAATGTTTTATGATCCATTTACTGATAATAATGAAAGATTATACATTTCTTTAGGTCAAATCCTGTTGAAAAAAAAGAAAGACTCACGTGACTTGTATTCATTTGAAATTAGTGCACCAAATAATGAATCAATTAAATTTTCTCAAGGAACAACACAAAGAGAGAAAAGGATATGGCAATTTATTGCTGTTACAGGGAATGAAAGTGTTGGAGAAACAGTTAGAATAGATAATATTTCATTAAGAAATAAAGATAAAAAATTGCCCATTGATGATTATTTACAATTGACTGTATATATTAATGGAATATTAGCAGGTCAAGGTAATTTACATTATAAATCTGGTAGTAAATTGGTGGAATATAGAAAGAAACCTCATCATGTTGAAATAATATCCACATCAAAGGGACATCCAATTGCTGAAATTGAAGTTTCTACTGTTTATGTGGGGAAATTATACAATTCGGAAGTTACCATTGATAATATATTAGAATATGAATCACTTTATAGAAGTGGTACTGCTGGAGTAGATGGACTTTCAGATTCTTTGGTGTCATTTAAAAATTTGAAAAAGAAACATCTAATTAAACATTTTCCAGAATTACTAACTTCATTATTTGGAATTGTTATAATATCTGGTTCACCAAATGATTCGGAGATATTATTGGAATTACAAGACAATACATTCAAGGCTATTGTGTTTTTATTGAATAATGTATTTGGAAGTCCTCATCAAAATGGACATTTTTTAAAATGTTTTCAAGATGTATTTGTTAATCAACCTAGAATTGCAGTATTCTTGTGGAATAAAATAAGTGATATATATTCTCGCGGTGAAACTATATGGGATTCTTATTCAAAGTCTGTATCTAATGTTCAAGATATCTTGATTAGATTTGCCACGAAATCAATTCAAGGAAGTTGGGAATTTGAAGAGTATAATGAGTCAGTATTACAATCTTACAAAGCGATGGCACATTTTTTATCAATAAAATCATCTTTGTTGATTGAAGATCAAGTGAAATTGTTAAATATTGTTGATTTTATACTTACCCATAGTATGTATTTTGATAAGCGAGTGGTTCTTAATTGGTACGAAACATTTATTGATGCAGTTAGATTACGAACATTTGGTGATCTTGAAAAATTAATGGAAAAACAGGAGGAAGATATCCAAATTGCAAAATTGACATTGATACTTCGAATTCTAAGTACTGATTTGGCTAGAGATAAAGATACAAGAGGTACTGTTCTTTTAAAATCTGTTGAATGGGCTAGTGAAGTTTTCCAAAATGTGATTCATGTTGATAGTTGTCGACTTGCTTGCAGTATTTTAAACATGTGTTGTATTATCATTTTTGAATTATTAATTGAAGGCGAATCAGATATTATAGAAGTTTGTCTTTTTCTATTCAAACTTTTACCTGGTTTATCAAAATCTTTTCTAAAATATAGTCATGATTATCAACCAACAAAAAGAAAGACATTTACTCAATTATTCCCAACAACTTACCCCTTTGAAGAATTCCCCATTGATAATTTCCATAATGGGGATTGTTTTTCAGAAGCGTTAATTGAAATTGCTATTGTTTTGGGCTTCATTGCAAGAATTGATAAAGAAGTTGCTGTTGAAAGTAACTCACATACTGTGCATCTAGCGGAGTTATTCTCTCGTGATGATATGTACACTATAATTGTTGCTATTAATGAAATCCTCAGATGTGAATATTTTGAACGTTCAAGATGGTTATCTTTAGAAGCAACTCTTGCTGAAAATTGTCTTTGTGTGTTGGAATTGTTGTCTCCGGTTATATTTCAGAAATATATCACTGATTCTACATTGGATGTTCATCTTTGTGGTGAGTTTATTAGTGCGTTGTTAAAATTAGGAGTGTTGGATACTGTTGCACTGGAAAGATTACCTGTTATGGCAAAAGCAGCATGTTTATCTATTACGTCTTCTATTGGTGAAAGAGTTGAATTGTTGATTGATAAAATATGGGGGCATCTTGGGTATGATGCCAATAAGAAAGAAATGGAAGTTAGTCTCAGTACACTTGTATTAGATTATGATTTGATTCATAATGTTGTATTGTATACATTGAAATGTACTCGATCAAGAAAAGTAGGATCAAAGTTGTTGATTTCCATCATGATAAATTACAATCAAATTGAAGTGGAAAGACAATGTATTATCAGTTTATTTGACATCTATTGTAATGGATTATATGAACCAAGTGAAGCTGATGAAATGGGATTTATTAACAACTTGAAAGAAAGATCTATTAATCAACCTGAAAATGACAAGAGTGTATTATTTGAATTTATTGCTTATTTGTCGAGATTCATTAAAATTTTAAATCGCTTGATACGAATTCCCGATACTGTTGAATTTAGTGAAGATAAAGTTGTTTATAAAATTCAAGCTTTACTTTATTTGGTTAATGTTGGTGAACCTGAACCACTTCGAGATTTTATTACTGATCTTTATCGAAGAACTCTTAAAAAGCAGGATTATGTTCAAGCCGGGTTATATCTTGAAATCTTGGCATCGACATTTCCATGGGATCATCATGAATATGCACCTGTTTCTACCATTCCTGTGTTGCCAATCCAAACTAATTTTGAAAGAAGAGAAAGTTTGTTGGAATTAAGTGCAGAACATTATATCAAAGCACAAAATTTGGTGAAAGCAATAGATGTTTACAACTATATGCTAACAGCTTATAGATCAGAAACGTATGATTTGTTAAAATTGTCACATTTGCATGGTAAGTTATCATTGCGGTATATGGAATTGGAATATCAAGATAGTATTCAACATACTTATTGTCGTGTGGTGTTTTATGGTAATGGATTCCCGGAGATTTTACGTGGTAAAGAAAGAATCTATGAAGGTCAACCATTTGAACATTTTACATCTGTTCAACAAAAGATTCTTGCCAAATTTCCTGGATCGGTATTATATACTGATGATGGTAGTGATACTAAAGGATTAATTGGGAAATATTTGGATATTTCCTTGGTTTATCCAAATAAGAATGATGTTTTTGGATCTGAAAGAAGAAGTTTTACTATTCTTAAAAAAGTTCCTGGATCTAGTTCAATTTTTGATTTATGGACTGAAGAAACTACTTATGAAACTAAATCACCATTCCCTACATTAATGAGTTTTAGTGATATCACTTCATATAAAGTTATAAAATTATCGCCATTGGATAATTCTATTAGAACAATCAAGGCAAAGGTTAAAGAATTGTTAAGATTAGAAGGTGCTATTCTTCGATCTACTTCTGAAAGTAATACCAAATCTTTGTTTTTGGATTTATCAAGAGAATTAGCCGGGACCGTTGATTCCCCGATAAACGGTGGGGTAGGTCAATACAGGCTTTTCATTGAATATATTGGAGTCACAAATAATAATAACCAAGCATCTAAAATTCATTTATTGAAACATGAATTTGAAGAATTATCCATAGTTTTGAAAAGATGTTTGGATTTACATGGTAAGATTGTACCACTTAGTATGAGACCTTCACATGATGCTTTAGTTGAATTATATCAAAAGAATTTTAACGATACTATAGAAGCTGCTTATTCATCATCAAGAGAAGAAGAAACTACAGATACTATGTCTACAGTATCATCGACAAATGCAATATCTGTTGGTCTTCGAAGATCAAGATCTATGGGGACATTACCCGAGCCAAAACTAGCGAAAAGTACAACATCAACGAGTGGATCAACATCAACTTCTTATACATCGGGAAGAAGTTCATTTTTAAGTCATAGTCTAAGTTTGAAAAGAAAATTCAAATGGAAGAAAAGTGTTTAAATCATATAGTTTATAGACATTCAGTAAAATCCCGGGGTACAGTAGTGTATAATTGCTAATTTTTTATTTTTTTTTTTTTTTGTTTCCCTCTTTCTATGAAAATTTTCAAAATCCCTCTGACAGGAAGAAAAGAGAAGAACGAGAGAAAAAAAAAATGAGAATGAAATCATTAACCAGTTCTGTTATAATTACAGTGATATAAAATCAATCCTCAATAGATCTTTCTTTTAAATTCATAATGTTTAGATTAGCTTTACGTTCTGTTCGTTCTCCAGTTGTTGCTAGAACTTCATTTATTAAACCAATTCGTTTCTATGTTGCTCCACCACTTTCAAGAGATGAAATTACAACTAGAGCCATTCAAGCATTAAAAACTGTTGCTCCATTACAAGAATCTAATATTACTTTAGAATCTTCATTTCAAAAAGATTTAGGTTTAGATTCTTTAGATACTGTTGAAGCTTTAGTTGCTTTAGAAGAAGAATTTGATTTGGAAATTCCTGATAAAGTTTCTGATGAAATTAAAACTGTTGGTGAAGCTGTTGATTATATTTTCAAAGAAGAATCTAAATAAATAATTAATTAATAATAATTATAATTATTACTGATTAACTATATCATTACAAGTGGATCTATAAATATTTAAATGAAGATTATTTCTATAAAGAAAAAAAAATTTGATTATGAAATTCATTTTTTCAATAATATGATAATTTATAGTTGATTTTTTTTTTCAATTTGGGACAGGGGAAATATCCAATTGTTTCGAGATTTTATTTATTTGGATTCATTTGTCTTTTAAATTATTTACTTTCTTCATCTTTTATTTGTTATATATTTTTTTTTTGTAAATACATATATATATATATTCATTGGTTCTAAAAGTATCAATCGTTTCTTTAAAATTGTGGCGATTCCTATTGTAAGCTTCATCTTGATTCTTTTCATTGGCTAATAATTAATAGTGCGAATATATACTACGCGTGACTGTGATCATGTGATTTGTTTTGTTGTTTCTCTCGCGTAATCTTAGTAAACTGAAAGAAAATTCCTTAACAGAAGAAAGAAAGAAAAAAAAAAGAAAGTAGCAACCAGATTGAAAAAGGATCGGACCACTACATACGAAACCATACAACAAATAACAATGCCAGATACTGAAGAACATCAAGATAAACACGTTGAAGATATTCTTTCACATACCGAAGATGAAGATGAGGAAGAAGAAGATGATGATGGAATTGAAGAACAACCAATTGGAAACCCACCAACAATGCAATATCCAGGAAATGTTATTCCTGATAATAATATTGAAGAAATTGAAGCAGATCAAGATTTAACTGCAGATATTGAATTAGATACTGATTATATTGATTTAGTACATTTAAAAATTTCATCACTTGAAGATTTACACTTGGAAAGATTTAAGAATTTACAATCATTATGTTTAAGACAAAATTTGATTACTTCAATTGTTGCTGTTAAAGAAATTAGTGATAAATTGGAAGAATTGGATTTATATGACAATAGAATTAATCATATTTCAAGTTCAATTGGTCATTTGGTTAATTTGAAAACATTGGATTTTTCATTTAATAGAATTAAAAATATTAAAAATATTGAAAATTTGATTAATATTGAACAACTTTTCTTTGTTCAAAATAAAATTAAAGAAATTAAAAATATTGAAAATTTAACTAAACTTCGTATGCTTGAATTAGGAGCTAATAAAATTGAAAGAATTGAAAATTTAGAACCGTTTATTAATTTACAATCTTTATTCCTTGGTAGTAATAGAATTCTGAAACTTGAAGGATTAGATACTTTAGTTAATTTAAAAGTTTTATCAATTCAATCTAATGGAATTTCCAAAATTGAAAATTTAGACAAGTTGAAAAATTTAGAAGAACTTTATTTAACAAGTAATAGACTTAGTGAAATTGAAGGATTAGAAAATCTTGAAAATTTACAAATTTTAGATTTAAGTCATAATAAAATTTCCAAATTGGATAATTTAGGACATCTTCAAAAATTAGAAGATTTATGGATTTCTTCAAATTTGATTGATTCTTTTAATGAAGTTGATAAACTTTCAAAATTGGAATCGTTAGAAACGGTTTATTTAGAACATAATCCAATTCAACTTAAAAATGCTACTTCATATAGAAGAAAAGTGAAACTAGCATTACCAAATCTTAAAAAACTTGATGCTACATATTTTTCATAATTTCAATATATAAATATAAAGATAACGGGATTAGATCACCCATTTAGAATTTTCATATCTCTATTACAATTTATATATTTGAATTGGATGTATGTCTAAATAAAATGTTATATATATATATATATAACTGGATGGAAAAGTAGGTTAAAATGAAAACTAATAATAAAAAATACTAATAATAAGAATAACTATAAGAATAATAAAATAAAACAAAACAAAAAATTAAAAAAAAAAAATAATAATAATAATAATAATGAAAAAAACAACAGTGGAAATCTTAAAAACAGTTTAGTTTCTACAAGCTGAAAATCAAATCATCATCTTCTTCTGCTGGTTGCATTTCTTCATCTTCGTCCTCTTCTTCTTCTTCAATAACTTCTTCATTATCATCACCAGACACAGTTAAATTTCCAGCAGCAATGGCAGAATCTAATGCACCTGGATTAACATAAGTAAAACCTTGGAATTGTTGTTGAATTCCTGGTGAAATTGGTGTACCACTTGCTCCACTTACTAATACACCAGGAATAATAGCTTCTGAAGTGAATTCGGTATCAAAATTACTAAAATCAGTTTCACCAGAGACATGAGGTTTGAAAGGAGGTGGAATATTTTTAAGATAAAGTTGATGCCAATCAATATCTGCAAACCATGGATGATTCTTTAATTCTCTAGCATCACCAACAGCTCCCAATCTATGTTTAGGGTTTCTGTTTAATAAACCTTTGACAAAACTACGTCCAGCTGAAGAAAGTACATCTTTTGGGAAACGTACTTTACCAAAAGCAATGTTTTTATACATTTGTTGAGTACTATCTGAATGGAAAGGACTCCAACCAGTACTCATTTCAAAGATTAGCACACCAAGTGACCAGAAATCAATACATTTTGTATAACCAGTTTCATCAAGAAGGACTTCTGGTGCTAAATATTCTGTAGTTCCACAAAAGGTATTGGTAGTACCATCCAAATCTGCCTTAGATAAACCAAAATCACATAAAGCTATATGACCATTAGCATCCAAAAGAATATTTTCTGGTTTCAAATCACGATAAATAATGTCATTGTCATGTAAATGTTCCAAAGCAAGAACCAATTCTGCAGTATAGAATTTAACACGATCCTCAATAAACCTTCCTTCTTTTTGTAAATGGAAAAATAACTCCCCACCAGACATGAAATCAGTAACTAAAAACAAATCAGTTGGAGTTTGGAAAGAAAATTTCAAACCAACAATAAAAGGAGAAGATGCAGCAGATGTTCTAACCAAAATGTTTCTTTCACCAATGGTGTGGGCAATTTCCTTCTTTTTAACAATGACTTTTTTAGATAAAACTTTCATGGCATAAATTCTATTGGTATCATATTTACGCACTTGGAAAACTTGTCCAAAAGTTCCTTTACCAAGTAATCTTAAGAATTGGAAATCTTGAGGACCATAAGTTTTGATTTGATTAGTATCAATTGCAGTGTATTCCCATTTGATTTTGATGTAACCAGATGATACTGTTTCACCAGTGATTCTTGCTCCAAGTTGCAACCACTCACAACCGCTTTGTTTACTTTTGGTGTTGCAAGATGGAGAAATTCTAACATGACCCAAAAATGCGTCATCTCTACCACCATCATATATAGAAATGTCCAATTCTGATTTCAGTCCAACAACGTCAAAAATTGTATCATGGTTCCAAATAGGATTGGAAGTGTCATTTGGTACATTTAAATGTTGAGTAGAAGATTGTCTCTGGTATAAGGATGGTCTCTGTTGTGAATTTTTCATTGGTAAAGCTTTTGGACCATGGTTTGAATTGTACATGTTTTTAGGGCCATTGGCTTGGTTTGGATTAATTGGGGATTTACCATAAGAATCCGGAGGATTAGTAACAAATTCTGAACTTTCAAAACTACACACAACATAAGGATGAGTAGCAGAGATATTTTTAGCTTCTATAATGGTGACTTTTAATTTACCCTTGATTGGAGCTGTTTCAGATACAGTATTCAAAGCTTGGTCGGAACCTGGTTGTGGTTGAAATTGAGCACCGAGGTAGTTACTTGCATTGGGGTTGCTACTGGAGTAGATGCTGTTGTTGTTTCTAAAAGTTTGATTTAAATAAGTTTCCGAATAGTTATTTGTATTGGAAGTCGTTGTACCATATACCGATGGGTCACTTGAAATCGCTGTTGTTGGTGTAGCACTTGCGAGTCCTTTAGGGAAGAATTTTGTGCCTGGTTGTTGTTGTTGAGATGGTTCTGGAGTGAATTGTTGATAATCTTGTTGCATGCCTTGAGATTTGTGATGGTCTACTTGATAATATTGTTGTGAATGAGTATGTTGTTGTGATGACGAAGCCGATGGCGGTGGAGTCGGTGATTGCGATGATGATTCCTTCTTATAATTCCCAAACCCGAATATTGATTTAGCAAAATCTGCCATAATTAGGAATATGTTTTAAAATCCAGGTAATGTAAGTGTGTGTGTTAAAGGAAGGAATGGGTGAGCAGATGATGGTAGTAATAGTTCTTGAATAAATGCAAGGAATAATGGAATACAAATATTAATAAAGAAATGGAAATGATGTCTATAAAGTAATTTAAAAAAAAAAAAAAAGAAAAAGAATCGTTGTACTACGGAAACAAACAAATAAATTAAATTAAATTATAGAATAAAAAAAAAAAAAAAGAAAAAAAAAATGAAAGTCAGAGTAAAAAAAAAAAGAGAAGACCCAGCCCTGTGTGTGATGTTGAATGAGCGATACAATTTTTCTTCTTCCTCTTTTTTTTTGTTCCTCTCTCACTCACTCACATAAACAGAGTGATTTGTTGATTGGGGGGATAATGATAATGATAATCAGCAGCATGGTAATTTGCTGAATGGTTTTCTTTCTCTCTCACACTTCTAGTTAATTAATTAATCAGTTGAGTGAGGCATTTCTTTTTCTTTTTTTTTTGGTCTATTTAGGTTTCATCTCTGTGTTATTATCGTGATGCAGTATCGGTGGTTTGTAGAATTATAGCATCTGTAGAAGGTACCAACAATCATGATGATGTTCTTGTTATTGGCGATGATGACGTCGCTATCTCCATATCAGGATCACTCACACACACACGAGAGAGAGAGAGAGAGAATAATTGGAATGCAAACAATCTGTATGAAAAACCCTTTACAGAAAAAAAATAATGCTGGATAAAAGGAAGATTTACAAAGTGTATGCGCCAATTGAGTTGAAACAACAACAACAACAACAAAAAGTGCCACATGTTAAGTTAAATTGTTGTTTATCACATTCAATCTTACTCGTCATCATTCTGGTAATATTCAGTTCACGTTGATTGTATTTTTCTCTTCTGGTTTATTTGCATACTTGTTGAATTACAAATCAATGTGACTTGCATGTTTCATTCGGAACTGTACACATTAACAATTGACCAAAAAGAAAAGAACAGAAAAAAAAAAATAACGCAGGATAAGGATTATTAAGCAAAAATCAATCAGTGACAGGAAATGAAACGACATTACGACATTTGCTAAATACTGATATCATCTGTAAGTATTGGACATCGCTTTGTATCTGAGATTAGTTTCCCTTTTTGTAATTGTTTCTAATTGTAGACTTTAAAAAGGAATTTCTTGCGATGAGTTTAGAGTAACTAGTTTAGTTTAAAATCTTAAACCAATAATCATTTACTCAATAAAATCAAAATTTCCAAACAAGTTTCTTCGTCAAGTCTTTTTTTTATTTTTCCATATTTTTACATGCACTGGACCTTAACAAATAAGCATGCAAATCTAAGGGGTAGGTATGATTAAATCTAGACTGTATTTTTTATTTTATTTTATTTTAATTCCTGCTGGCAATGGTTAACATTCTCTTCCTTATTAATATGAAGTGTAATCTGTGATGTGCATAAATCTCAATTAATTTCGTCGTTAAATTCAAAAAAAAAAAAGAAAAAGAAATTACTATGTGGGCGTGTGATTGCGCCCAAAAATATTCTGTTGAACAATGAAACGACATTTTTTAAAAGAAAAAAAAAACAAAAGTAATCAGTGACACAAAATTGAAACTAATCGGGTCCTTATCTAGCATGAGATTACGTTTCTTTTGTATTTTTAATGTTCATCCCTTGTTTCCTATGAGCTGTGCAACTTATACGTAAGTGAACAAATTTAATACCATGAGTTGCCTATATATCTCATCAGGTATAGATATAGACATGAATTGCTTGAATTTAGTTAAATCTAATTCAAAATTGTATTCTTTATGAATTTCTTGAAAATTTTGCATGAAAGTTTACAGAAAAATCTGAAGCCAACAAACACACACCATGTTTTCTATAACAAATGTCTTTATATAACTATGGATTAATGAAAAAGATCCGATTTGAAATCGAAATGATAATTTGACTACTTTTCTATCGATATCCAACGTTTATCTTACATATTCAACAGCATACACTCTTGAAGCTATGACAGGACTATACAAAAGTTAACTCATAAGAAGTCTCTCTCTCTCTCTCTGATAACTCTTACAACTGTGATGATTTCCAATTTCTTCAAATATCTATTCCTGATTTCTTCAGCAACTGGAACTTTCGCAACCAATGCACCCTCCCAGTCCTCGTAAATAAAAAGTCGTGTATATTTGTCATTTGTTTTTGTCTTTTTCTCTCTTTTATTCACGAATCAACACCCACTGAAAAGAGAAAAAAAAAAAAAACTTTCAACCAAATGGAAGAAAGCCATCCCATTATAAGTTGGAATCCCACCATTAACTACATCTAAATCTCCCCCGAAAAAAAAAAAGATGAATTTCTTTAAAGGAGTTTCATTAGTAAATATTCCACGTATATCGTCTATCGGTATTACTCAACCCGTTAGATATTTCTCCATTACATCTCCAATCTTTGCCAGAAAAACATATGATAGATATTATAAAATTACCAAACAATTGACATCTATTGATAAAAGAGATTATCAACCAGGTCAAGAACGTCCAAAATATATGTCTGTTCCTAAAGAAATGCCAAAATTTCCAAGATATGATTATGAAACTAGATTTTTCAAGAGTCAAAATAGAGGTTTATATGGTGGTTTACAACGTAAAAGTTCTAAAAAATGTTCAGAATTTTTAAATAAAACTTTAAGATCTCATAAACCTAATGCTGTATGGACCAAATTATGGAGTGAAACTTTAAATAAAAAATTGAGATTGAAAGTAGCTGTTAAAGTCCTTAAAACTATTAGTAAAGAGGGTGGATTAGATGCATACTTATTGAAAAGTACTCCAGGTAGAATCAAGACCATGGGTTTGAAAGCTTGGCAATTAAGATATGAACTTTTACAAGCTCAAGAACAAAAAGAAAGAGGTACTGTTACTCTACTGGACGATCAAGTTAAACCAGTCACTTATATTCATTCTAATGGTTTAAAATTCCATGCTACCAAAGAAGAATTATTAGATGAATTACATGAAGCTGTTCAAAGAGATTCTTATTATCCAATTAAACCAATTCATTTCGAAAGACGTTACAGTTGGTGGTCAACCAAACAAATTGTTGATAAATTAGAACAATATAAATGGGATTTCTCCAAATTTGCTCAATAAATAAATAAGTAATATTGGGGTTGTTTTTTTTGTAAATAGCATTAATATCAAACACATACGCGTAATTATCTCAAAGATTATTATATACGTAATTGATTTGTACATACTACTAAATCTTTATAAGACCGCCAAAAAATGCGTTCTTAATGAATCTGGTCAAATGTTAAAAATAACATGCATTAGGGTTATAACCCTAAACAACCGGAAAATTTTGTAATAAAAAGTAGTGTAATATCGCACAAGAAAAAAATAATTAATATGGAGGTCTGACACACCTATTCTCACTCGCACACACACTAACGACTTCGCGCACTAACACTCTCGCACAGTCAGTGTGGTGAGTACTGCGAGTCGTTTTTTGCTGTAAGGAAAAAAAAAGTAATTTTTTTCTGAAAATTTTTAAAGAAGTTCTTGAACCTAACATTTAATAGATCAAGTATACAAAAATGGCTAAGTCAGGTATGTGGTTAGACAACACCAGTTGTGAAATGGCCACTATTGAGAATAGATGGAAAGTATAGATTATTTGGATAAAAAAAAGAAGAGAGAACAGTGTATTTAATGAATATGGATAATTTGTGTGAAGAAACTAGAAACTAGGATGAGATGAAGACAATGACAAGAATATTCATCAAAGTTTTAAAGAAAGTCACTACTATCACATAATCATAATACTACTACTACTATTATTCATACTATTACAATGAAGGGAATACATTTTGAAAATAGAGATGATAAAAACTACGACTACAAGGACCATCAAGAACTATAACTATTACATCTATTTGAGAATAAAAAAAGGACATTCACACACACACACACACGTAAAGACCAATTAATACTAACATTTTTCTTTTTTTAGGAATTGCTGTCGGTTTAAACAAAGGTAGAAAGACCACCGCTAAGGAAGTTGCTCCAAAAATTTCATACAGAAAAGGTGCTCAATCCCAAAGAGCTGTTTTCGTTAGATCAATCGTCAAAGAAGTTGCTGGTTTGGCTCCATACGAAAGAAGATTGATTGAATTGATCAGAAATGCTGGTGAAAAGAGAGCTAAGAAATTAGCTAAGAAGAGATTAGGTACTCACAAGAGAGCTTTAAGAAAAGTTGAAGAAATGAACAAAGTTATTGCTGAATCTAGAAAACATTAAATTGGTTTTTAACTGGGGTTTTTATTAAACTTGTACATTAAATTTCATCTTTCATTCTTTAATATATGTAAAAATATAAAAAAATCAATCAGTAAATCAAGCAGATTTAAAAATTTAATGAAATATTCGTATCAATAATGATAATTATACAGTAGAGGCATTATATTGTAGATTTAATGTATGATGTTGTTGGGTAATTAGTTTGATACGAGTATAGCGCCCATCTGTGTTGTTGACCATAGTGCTGAATTTGTTGGTCGCCCTGAATTAACACTGACCAATCCAATCCCGCATTATTTTCCAACAACCTACAACAACGACAACGAAAAAAAGTAGCAAAACAAAAATGACGTCTTTGATATTTATGGTTTCTACATAGTAAATATATTTTTTATTCTTCTTTTCACTTACTCTTTCTTAATCGAGTTTATTATTTTCAGGTTTCAATCAAGTAAAATAAAATATGATTAGATCAACATTTGCAAAAAGTTTCCATAGATTACTAAGTCATACAACTTCTCCCACTCCACCTCCTTCTCATTTCTCGAATCCAAAAGAAATACCACCAACTTACTCCGAAGAAGTTTTTCAACCCCAGCCTTTAACTGCTCAACAACTGCAACAACAACAACAACAACAACAACAATTGGGAACGACAGCATCATCTTCTTCTAATCCAACCGAGTCCAAAACATCACCGAAACAACATGATGGGTCCATAAGAGAGATTACTGCTTTAATAGCTATGTTTGCATTAGCTTATATTGCCATTGATAATTATACTGAACGAATAAGATTAGATAAACTCCACACTGAAACAACAGCCATCAATTTAAAAGCATTACAAATACAGCAATTAAACAATCAACGAGAGAAGAAAGCAAAAGATTTGAAAATGCTACAAGAACGTAAAGAATTTAATAGAAGAGATTTTAAAATGGGTCTACATATTGCATTATTAAGAAAACAATTGATCGATTTAGGTTATACTCCTATGGATATTGATTTAGCAATTAAAGAATTTGAAAAAAATGTTAAACAAGATAATTCTATCAAACATGTAAATGATCAATATTTATGGTTAGATGATAAATCAGGTATGTAAATAAACTTTTAATTATTCAAATTTGCCACTTGTTAACAAAAACTGATATACTAACTACTTTCATTATCTAGATCTTAAACCGTATCTTCCAGATCCTATGGATTATGATAAACCAAAAAATAGAAAATAATTTATCTAATTAGGGTTTCTTAAAATTATATATATTTACAATAACTATTCAATATTATTCTCAATAATTTTATTTTTTGCGTCACGTGCTCGCATTTTGCTGAGTTCATGTCTCTTCTCTTCTGCCCCCCATCACAGTATAAATTCTTCAGTTCAAAAAATTTTTTTTTTTTCATTTTTTTTAGAAACTTCTTTTTCTTCTTTTTTTTTTTTCTTCATCAATGTCTTTAATTTATTGGCACCCATTAGAGTCACGGATTATATGATTACTTCTACATATAATCTTATAATCACCATGAGGGTTATTTTCGTGCTCGGGTTTCGCCATAGATAAAACTTTTGTTTTGCCCAACCTTTAAATGCTCGTGTCTTTTCGAATTTATGTTGAAATGACTATGCGGTTCTAAACATACATTTATTAAACTCTCTACTAATATGCTGATTTATATGAACTAATTATATCTTCTGTCAAATTTAATCCTTTAATGAATTTTGAACTTGGCGTATCATCTGTTTCCATATCATCACTAGTTATAGTAGTAGTAGTATTAGTAGTACTAGTTCCGTTTGGCACAATTTGTATCTCACCATTTGATATTTTGAAATGAATTAAAATCTCTTCGGCATCAACATTACCTTCAAATATTAATTGTACTTCTCCTTTATTGGAAAATTCAATATCTTCGATTCTCATCAAGAAATAACTTTGACTATCACTAAACTTTATACCTTCCATTTCATTATTATTACTTGATGTAGATCCATTGCCATTAGGTTCATTTTGTAAGAAATTATCAAGATCAATCTCATCTTTATTATTAACTGGTTGAATGGTTGAATAATTTGCCGTTTCTGAAATGGCACTAAGTCCTAATATCTCTTCATCAGTAACATCATCAGGTAATTTCAACGATTCTTTTAATTTTTGCTTAGCTTCTTCAGTTAATTCCTTCTCCGATGTGGCTATACCTAACAATCTTGAACTTCTTCTTCTTTTATTATTGAATATAGGAACTTGTGTCAGTTTGTTGTTAATCACTGTACGTATCAAATTGGACAACACAATGAAATTTCTCAATACTGGTATAATCTTTGGAATATCTAACAACTGATTGATATTAACTGATTTTAAGTTGACAAATTTACTAGGAATATTGTTGCTAAATTGGAAGGATACATTATTAGAGTCAATGTTCAACACTTGCTCAAATTCTTCACCATTATTAACTTTTTCAAATACATCCTTTAACGATTGTTCTGCTTCTGATGTAGTATAATCTAAAAACCCAAGATATTCCAATACAAAAACAGGTAAATAAACTGAATGGTTTAATTCTAATTGTAATGCCCATGCTGAAAAATTGTCTCCATCCACAACAAGTGGTTTCAAAGTATTTTCAAATTCAAATTTATACTTTCCATGTGCTATTTCCCATTCTTGAATCTGGTTATCAATTAAATAATCAACTTGATTAGTTGAATCAACCACATTAAGTTTTAATTCATAATTTTGACCAACTAACAATTCATCAGTACCTTTAATCAGTCTATATTCACGATTTATAAATCGATAATCTTTCCAAAAATCAAGAACCACTCCAAGTTTCTTATCCTGATTTAGTTTTACATTCCCAAGAATACCAAATTCTGGTTGCCAGTCTTCTAATTCTTTATCAATTTGATTTATAGTATTTAATAAGAATGAAATAGTTTCAATATAAATGAATAATTCTGGATTATGATTAGCAAATTTATCAATTATTGCTAAATATTGTAAATTTGCTGGGAAATTTCCCAATTTTGGTCCTTGTAAATTACTCAATAATATCTCTTCAACTTGAGTCTTATTAGAATTTGATGATTTATTTAAAAATGTAACACGATTATTATTACAATTCAATTTAACATGAGTTAATCCTAATTCATCTTTATGAATGGTATATGGTTCTCCAGTTTGAAGGTTTTCACTTCCATTGATAGATAAAGATAGATTGACAATCTTTGTATCGGATTCAAAATCAAGATCTAAAAGAATGGATGAGGCAGCAATGGTTAATTTTTGAACATTTGTATTATTTGTTGAATTTTGTAATTGAAATCCTAAATTGTCGATAAATGTTTCGAGTTTTAATTGTTGTGCTAATCTTTGAATTAATTCAACTGAAATTTGAAAGTTTGATGAATAAGCATACAATAATTGTAGTGATTTATCTAACTCTGAATTGAAAGTCGATCCCATGGTAGTCCTATGATTGTTGTTGTTCCAGTTGGTTGTTTGTTTTGAGATTTGGTGTGTGTAGTGAAAAATCAAGCTGAAAACCAATACACGCCAAAACAAAAAAATATCAATCAATTCATCTGCTACGAGTGAGAAAAACTAACAGAGGAAAATTTTTTTATTTTTTTTTTTTTTTTTTGGTTCTTCCTTTTAGCAAGTAGGGTTTTAATACATCACGTCAAACCAACTCAAATCACTACACCATGTCATTAATAACACCTGAAATCCTGGCACTTATAGATCCAGTAGTGTCAACTTTGAAACGTCATCAGGTTGAAGGTCATAAAGAAATCGCCTTGACAATTGCTCAATTGTTAATGAAGGTTATATCTGCTGCAAGATGGTCCAATATCTATGATTTAATTGAACTTATAAGACAAGTTGGAGTCATAATTCATAACGCTTACCCTAGAAAAGTTATTTCAGATAATGTTGTTCGTAGAGTCTTAGCATTAATTAGAGATGAAATTGAACCAGAACAACCTACTGCAACTACTAATACCAATACCACCACAACTGAAAACAATCCAATGATGAGCTCCATGTTTAGTTTGTTATCAACAAATAACAACAAGAATGAATCTATTAAAGAACAAAAACAGCCACAACTGAAAAAACAAACAAGTGATATGAGATCTATTATTATACAAGGTATTAGGGATTTAATTGATGAAATTTCCAATGTTAATGAAGGTATAGAAAATATGGCTGTTGATTTAATTCATGATGGGGAAGTTTTATTAACTCCAACTCCAAGTTCAGATACTGTTATCCATTTCTTGATTCAAGCCAGTGCAAAGAGAAAATTTAGTGTTGTCGTTACTGAAAATTATCCAAATGAAATCAAAGCCGCTCATAAATTTGTTAAAACATTAGCCAAGCATAACATTGAAACTATATTGATCCCAGATACCACTACTTATGCTATAATGTCAAGAGTTGGTAAAGTTATAATAGGTACCAATGCTGTGTTTGCCAATGGGGGTTGTTTATCAAGTTCTGGTGTGGCTAATGTTGTCGAGTGTGCTAAAGAACACAGAACTCCAGTTTTTGCTGTTGCTGGATTATATAAATTGTCTCCATTATATCCATTTACTAGTAATGATTTGATTGAAGTGGGGAATGCTGGTAAAGTTTTAAATTATGATGATTTCCAATTGGTTGAGAATGTTGATGTTGTTACTAATCCATTAGAAGATTATATACCGCCTCAACATATTGATATTTTCATGACAAATATCGGTGGGTTTGCTCCATCTTTTATTTATAGAGTTGTTTTGGATAATTATAAACCAGAAGATAATAAACTTGAATAATGGGAATAAGAATGTATCCCTTTTCTTAATATACAGATGATTTTTTCTTTTTTATGATTTTAATTTTTCTTGATTTAGGTAATCCAGTTGTATTGTTATCATAATTTAATTTATCTGTCCAAGGTCTTGATAACTGTGTGTTCAAATTATCATCTTTTGAAATTGTAGGGAAACTTTCTCTTGAATCTAATCGAGTATCTATTTTATTCTCATTAATAATTTCTAATTCGTCATCAATAAGTGAACAAATTTGTTCAATTGAAAGTAATTGTGGTTGAATTTCTTCTTCTTCACTTGTGCTATTATAATAATTACTTCCAGTTACATCAAATGTTGAACTAAGTGTTACGATATTTCTAGCAAACCTATCATATTCATTAATGTCTTCATTATCTTGTAAACACGAAACTAGATCATTTCTTGAAAATATTGGTCTCTGATGAAATATTTGTTCAGGTTGTTTAACTGAATATTTTTGAAAGAAGTTTTGAAATCTTTCAACAAGTATTTCAAAATATTTAATCATCATATGAAATTGGCTTATTTGCAAGCAGTATCACAAATAAAGTGTGTGATTATTTTTTTTTTTTTTGTAGTTTTTTTTTTTTTTTTTTGCAGCTATAACAATTTATATTCAAATACAATAGGAAACAAAATACCTACATACTGGAATAATAATAATAATAATAAAAAAAAAAACTACTACTTGGAACTTCTCTTACCTTTTCCAACTGGAATATGAACAATATGTTCATCATCTGGATGTTCTTTTGGTAAGACCAAATCAATACCTTTTGATGAAATATCAGCTTGAATTTCATTTGCATCAATTGGTTGCTCAAATTTAACAGTACTATAATAACTTCTTGCAGAATGACCACCTTCTTCATCATCATCTTCTTGTGATATTGAAATAATCAATTCATTATCTTGTTTGTTGAAATCAATACTAACATCTTCAGCTTTTAAATCATCATCAGCATAAGCAACCAAATATTTATCTGGTTTTTCTTCAGTTTTCAAATTATCATCAAATCCAACAAAATATTTTCCAGAACTGAAATTTTTCCAGAAATCATCAAAAAAATCATCACTAGTTCTTAATAAACCTCTTGATGGTTCATAGCGAGAAACTTGTTGTTGATCATGAGATGTACCTCCACGAGATCTATTATATCCAGCACCTGTAATTTTACGTGGATTATAATTTGGTGGAATCTTGTTGGTGTATCTTCTTGGTCTATGGAATAAATCGTCGAAATCGTGTTCAAAGTTATAGAACCAGGACATTATTTATATAAGTTAAAATAGTTTATTGAAAGTTTTGAAGAGTGATAATTTATAACTTTTAGACTTTCAAAGTGGAGAATAATTATGAAGTATTTATAGTTTTCATTACGGGGGTTTGGACTTTATATCAGTCTGCATGATCATACTGCAAAATCAAAGGAAAATAAAAAGCCACAAAAAAAAAAAAGCGAAAAAAAAAAGAAATGCAACAATAATGAAATATCAAATTCAGGGATGATAATGATAATTATTGAGTTCTAAATTTTTCTTTAAATTTCTATAATCACTCCACATTAAGGTCACGATTGGTTGCCACAGTGATCTCTTGCCACCTCCCCCTTTGTCAATCTATTATATGATCAGATGTTTACATGGAGTATAGAACAGCAATCGTGGGGAGGGGGATTTTATTCTAGGATATTCTTTCGCTCCCATGGATCTGAAAAATAAAGGGGGAATCTCAGTAATATTGCATGATTAGTGTTTGGCGATACTCGGTAACTTAATAATTGACTCATGAAGTAACTGTAAATAAGATAGTTTGATTGATGGTGTGATCTTGAAGAAGATAAAAAAAAGGAGTCTAAGTTTATTCTACGCAAACTCCTGGAATATGACCATTCTACTCTTTGAAATCCTCTCAAGTCCCAAATGACAGACTCTTGAAACTCGTCTTACAAAAGCTATTTGTACTTATTCAAACAATGACAGATGATTCCACTGTAAACTCAAAATACTTCCGATTATTAGATTATTATTCTCCACTTTATTTAAGAAGTAACCTTAGTTTAACATTCCTCATTATACATGTATGCTTTTGTTTGTATAATTCAAAGTAAAAAAAAAACAAAGACCCGGTGTTCTGCAATACACTAACATAGTTTATCCTTTCCAGGAGCTGGTCGTGCACATTCGCACAAAAAGCATGACACGGACAACAAAAATTAAAGAGAAAGTGAGAAAGCTCAAAAAAAAAAAAACAAATTGAAACAAAGAGAAAACTAAAATAATAAACTTGAATACAATTTTTACTTCAATATTATCTTTATTTTTAACAACAAAGCTAGCCAATAGTTTAAATAAGTAAGGAAATTCAAAAAAGAAAATAGGATAAGAAAAAAAAATTAATAAAAGTAAATAAAAAAGTAAAAGAAAATGGCACATCCTGGAAGACCAAGGGGTCGTATGAATAAAAAGACCTTACAAGCACAAGCTGCTTCACAAGCTGAACAATTAGCTAGAGTTCAGCAACAACAAGCTCAACAACAAGCTCAGCGAGCGGCACAAGCACAAATGGGTAATAATCCAAATTCACAACAATCAATCAAAGAAGAAACAGGTGTTCAGTTACACGATGAAGCTGATTTGATATCGTTTAGAAATGACGCTTTGTTGAGATATATCACCAATCATGAATATATTGAAAATGTCATGAGTAAATTAATTCACAGCTCGAAAATTATCCCACCAAGTTTATATCCACTCATACCAAAAATCAATGAGTATGAAAACTTGAAACCAGAAGATGTATATTTTGGAGATTTAGAGGCAATGAAATATGTCGAAAAGAAGCTTGCTGAAAGATCAGATAACATGAAGGGAGAATCAGATCCTTCTTATGTTAAATATTTGTTTAACGATGAAAAGTACCAGTATCAACGTGCAAGTATGGCCAAATTATCAGAATTACAGAATGATTTGCATGATAAGGATTCCCTTAATAAATTGGAATCCGAGTTAGATAACATGTTGAATGAGTACAAGACAAAATTCAACCAAGAATATAACAAGAAACCAGCTGTTTCTAAGTATTCGATAACTATTGACAAGATTTCATCCCAAATTGAAGTGACATCAGCTCCTGCAGACTATAATCCAAAACTGATAAGCTCGTTTATCAATATGAACAATAACAGTACTCGTGAATCACTGGACAACATGAACTCTGATAATAATGGAAGTGGAAATTTCAATAATGAAGGATTAAATGGGTTTCAATTCAATGGCAACATTGATACCTCAAAATTTAATGGATTTAGTGGGATCCCGATGAATCAATTTGACAATAATTTTGGTTTATCTATGAATGATTCTAATGATAACAGTACAAATAATGAAAACAACGTGGATACCAATTCCAGTGTTCCACCTCAAGATACAGGTTCAGGCGAGGATGTCAACATGAGTGGAAGCAATTCAACAAGTCAAATTAATACCAACGCCAGCAACAATGATCTCAATAGCTCCACTAGCAACACTAATAATAGTGACAATGAAAGTAACACAAACATTTCTGCTGAACAAGACGACGGTGAGGATCAAGTCATGGAAGATGTTGGCTCTAAAGATGATAAAGATGGTCAAGACCAAGAGCACCAACAAAAACCACAAGAAATATCAAATGAAACCAATAATGACAATATCAGTAGTAAGAATATCGAGGAGAACAATGAGCATGATGCTAATTCTAATGATAGTAACCAAGCTAATACAAATGATTTGGATATGAATGATTTCTTCAACGACAAGGGTGATGGTGACATGAACCATCTGGGTATGGTTGACGATGATATTGGAGATTTGTACAATTTTGAAACTGGTGGTGAAGACGACAATGGATTAATCGGAGGATCTGAATTTGAGCTGGATTTCTTAAGCCATATTGATCATGGTATGGAATAGAATATTGATTTTTATTTTATTTTACATAGTTTATTCAATAAAATGTGTATTATTAGTATGGTTTACTAACTTGAAATTGAAAGCTCTTTGTGGCGATGGTGTGGGTCGTTCGGGTACTGATTTCCTTCCGTGGATTTGAGAGCCAAGTCGTAGTATACTCCGCGGCACGAAACGAGCAGTCGAAAGAAAACATAAAAAAAGAGAAAAATAAAACAATGAAAACTCTCAGTCAAGAAAACAACAACAACAACAGCGAGAGAGAGAGAGAGAAAGAAAAAAAAAAAAAAAATCATAAACAGAAATTTGTAAATTTTTAATAAACGAATCAAAGTCAAGTCGATAATTTTTTTTTTTTTTTCAGCATTCAATAAGTCTTGTTTCTTACAAACAACCCCACTCATATTGCTAAGTTTGTTTCTGTATTGACTTGTACTTAATTCGAGTGAATCATCGATTGAATCTGATAGAAAGGTTTTCCACCTAGACAGTTGACTTAGAACCTTGTTTTCATTCCGATATTTAACTCACCTTCCTACAACATATTTTTCTTTGATGATAGTTATAATAATATAGCTAAGATAATACTACTACCCGTTCATCATCAAGAAATATTTAATTAGTAATTTTTTTTTTATTTTGGTTTAAAACACAAAACGAAGAAAGAAGAGTAGACCACCTAGATTGATTTATCTTTAAAGGCCCCCCCCATCTCGTTGTTTCTATTTATTTTGTTTACCCCATTTTCAATCAAATATAAAGTCATTATGACCGACGAAAATGGTATTACCAGGCGCTCGATGTCACCCACACAACAACAACAACAACCAATAATGCACACCCAAGCACAACAACAAGCACAATCGTTTGCTAAAGACCCCCGGTTACAACCTCCAACACGTACTAGGATAAGGCAACAGAAATTAAAGTATACATTTGTGGGTTACATCATTGTCTTGATATTTCTAGCCATCACACAAGTTATTGGTGTGTTATTTTTCAAAGAAGGTTTCTTATTGTCTAGGACAGTATTACCAAATATTTCAACATGTAAAGAGCAGAATGATTGCATGAATCCAAGATTCGAAAAGGCCATATTTTTAGTGATAGATGCTTTAAGATTCGACTTTGTGATACCCATACCTGGTTCTGAAGAATACTATCACAACAATTTTCCAATTTTATACGATTTAGCCAATTCAAAGTCAGATCATGCAGTACTTTTGAAATTTATGGCTGATCCGCCAACCACTACTTTGCAAAGACTCAAAGGGTTAACAACTGGTTCATTGCCAACTTTCATTGATGCCGGTTCAAATTTTGATGGTGATGCCATTGATGAAGACAATTGGTTATTACAGTTGCATAGAATCAATAAAACTATAGCATTTATGGGTGATGATACTTGGAAGGCTTTATTTAGTGAGTACATTCATCCTGATTACAACTTTCCTTATGATTCATTGAACGTATGGGATTTGCATACAGTAGATAATGGTGTTATTGAACATATGTACCCATTAATAAGTAAAGAAAATTGTACGAAATGGGATTTGCTAGTGGGACATTTTTTGGGGGTTGACCACGTAGGACACAGATATGGCCCACGACATTATTCCATGAAAGAAAAGTTGAACCAAATGAATGATGTGGTTACTAAAGTAATTAAAAGCATGGATGATAAAACACTTTTGGTTATAATTGGTGATCATGGTATGGATTCAACAGGTAATCATGGAGGTGATTCCAAAGATGAATTAGAAAGTACTTTATTCATGTATTCTAAGTCCAAAAAGTTCTTAAAGAAAGACAAGTCACATTACAATATAACTGATATGGGTAAGAACTATAGATCAGTGAATCAGATTGATTTGGTTCCAACAATGTCACTATTACTTGGATTGCCAATTCCTTACAACAACCTTGGATTCCCAATTGATGAAGCATTTGGAAGTATCAAAGAATTGTCGACAGCGTCTCAAAAGACAATTGATCAAATTAAAAAATTCAGAAAGGATACCCCAAGTTTATCAGACTCATTACTTGAAGAATATGATTCATATAATTCAAACTATGATACATTTGGTGCATCCAAGAAACATTTTTCTAATTTGATAGAGCAAGCCAAATTGTATCAATATCTTTCATTGGAACAGTGTAAAGGATTATGGGCCACTTTTGATTTAAGATTCATTGGCATTGGACTTGGTATTTTATTCCTTTCTTTGACATTTATGATTACATATTCTAGATCAATTCCGGCTGTTAGAGTACTGACAATGTCGTTTGAGTTTATTGGTTCAGTTATAGCCATGTCCATCATGGGATTGGTGTTGAGTTTTTCTATTTTCATTGTCTTAAAACCTGGTGACTTTACCTTGAACATCTGCTTATCTATAGGTGCAGCATTGGGAATGGTTATTGGATTTTGGGCACCAATTATGGATAGATTCAGTGTTGGGTTCCTTTGGCATCAAACAATTGATTTCTTCTTGTACAATTTTAACTCGTGGTCATTTATGGGGATTGTGTTTGTTGCCTTTCACTGCTTGATCTTTGCATCCAATTCATATGTTGTTTGGGAAGATAAGATGGTTCAATTTTTTTTGTTGACATTTGGTGGTACCTGTATTTATGCATGTTACACCAGTAATAAACTTCTGGAGAAGGCAAAGGTATTAGCACTTCTGCATGCTATTACTTTCACCATGTGTACCAGATTGGCATCCATGATTAATTTATGTCGTGAAGAACAAAGACCATATTGTACTCCAACTTTTGCTACTTCCTGGTGGTCAATTTTGTTGTTACATCTTGTCGCTTATTTATTACCAGCATGCATCAAGTCATTTTATCATTTATCAGACTCCTATCACTCAGCAGCACCTTTGTGGATAGGTACTGGGTTAAAGTTTTTGCTATTCATGAATGCAGTATATTGGACTTTTGAATTTGTTTCTACAAATGAGTATTTCAGTAAAATTAACTTATTAATTGGTACGTCTTTACTTGTATCGTTCAAGTTAGCGATAGCCAGATTGGTCTTATTTATTTCATTAGTTTTGGCTAATTTCAGTTGGTCCAGGGGTCCATTGTGTGTTAAATTAGAGTTGTCCAATAGTGCTAATAATTCTATCCACTTGGAAGAAACAGACGATGATGATAATTCCGATAGTGACCTGAGCAACAATAAAACTGCCACCATTCTTGGATATGGCAATGTCTATGGGTCGTCCTACTTTTTGTTGGTTTTGAATTTCACGGTTGCAATTATGTTGACAACAAAACCAATTGGTGCATTATCAATAAGTTTGTTAATTGTTCAAATACTTTCTCTTTTGGAGATTCTTGATGTGTTAGAAATTAGAAAGAACTTAATCACCCCTATAATATTTGGATTGTTGGGTTATCAACATTTCTTCAGTACCGGTCACCAAGCAACATTACAATCTATTCAGTGGGAAATGGGATTTATGACTACTGAGACCATTGTTTTCCCATTCACACATTTAAATATATTTTTGAATACGATGGGTCCATTTCTTTTAACAGGATTGGCCATTCCATTGATCACAATATGGAAGATCATACCATCCTCAAAGCCAATAACCCTTTTATCTCAAATAATAACTAACATAACAACATTAATTACATATCACTTGTTCACTGGTCTCAGTAGTTTGTTATTTGCTGCTCATTTCAGAAGACATTTGATGGTGTGGAAAATATTTGCACCTAGGTTTATGTTGAGTGGAATTTTGATTATAAGTTTGAACATTTTTCTTATCTTCATTACCTTGTGGTTTGGAACAGGTAGAATTTTGTCCCAAATTAATAGAATTTTTGGTAAATAAAGCTTCCTTTGAAATAATTCTAAGATAAATAGAAACAGAGAGAAAACATTCAAAAAGTAGTCCATAGTCAATCTAAATATAGAGTTTATATATACAAATCCATTGGTGGTTCGTACTTTCCACTCAGTTAATATTGCGGATTTAACAAAGCATTTATAAGTGAGTCCTTTGTGAGCTTTTTTCTGTTTTTCTGTTCCTTGTTTAATTTGCATTTTAATTTTTTTCTTTTTTTTTTTTTCTTCTGATAGTTCAAACGAACAACTCAATCAGATCGTGTGAATCTTGTGGATCAAGAGATAGATATAGTGTGCTCCTGCCCCCCCCCCCCACTCCCTAGACTAAAATACCACATAAGTATAAGAATAAATCCGATGTTATGATATCCAAGGTATTACGTTGTCATATATTCCATATCGCATTGGTGCTAAGTACTCAATTATTCAGTCTAACATCTGCATATTCACCATATAATTCATCATTTACACCAGATCATATTCGATATTTACAAAATGAAACTCGAGCATTATTAACTCATTCATGGGATTCATATATGAAATTTGCATTTCCTTATGATGAAATAACACCAATCACATGTCAACCTTATGGGCCAGATTTTACTGATATTGAAGACACTGTACGAAATGATGCCAGGGGAAACATTTCCCTGATGGTACTAGATAATTTAGATACTTTGATTATATTCGAGAAATGGGATGATTTGGAATATGTATTGAAATATTTGAAAGATAATCAGTATAATATGTTTAATCAAGATACAATTGTACAAGTTTTTGAGACAAGTATTCGACATTTGGGTGGATTATTATCAGCACATTTATTGTTGACAGATGTAACTATTAAAGGGAAATTATCTGATAAATATCAAAGATTTGAAATGATCTGTAAGAAATATGATGGATTTTTATTACGAATGGCTCGTGATTTGGGATTAAAATTGATCCCTTCCTACAAGACGTCAACGAATATCCCAGTTCCAAGAATAAATCTTAAACAAGGGCTATCACAAGTGCCACCAAAATTACAAAAAGATGCATGTACTTCAGGGGTGATGACACCAGTATTAGAGTTTACTTTATTGTCTAAACTAACAGGTGATTATCAATTTGAGTATTATACACAGTTGTCATTTTGGAAATTATGGTCTCTGAAACTGGAATTGAATTTATTACCAATGACAATAGATCCAATTTCAAACTATTGGAAAGATAGTATTTCTGGAATTGGGGCAAACATTGATTCGTTTTATGAATATGCTGCTAAATCGGCAATTTTATTTGATGATGACTATATGTGGTCAGTTTTTAAAACATCATACAAAGCATTGTTGACTCATCTGGCTCAAGGAGGTAAAGGAACAATGATTTTTCCCAATATTGGGGTTTATGATGGTGTCATATTTAGTGATTGGATAGATCTGTTGGGTGCATTTTGGTCAGGATTACAAGTTTTAACTGGCCAACTTCAAGATGCTATCAAAACACATGTTGTATATTTGAAGATTTGGGATTATTTTGAACTGATTCCGGAAAGATGGATCTATACTCATCACAATGTCAAGAATAAGAAGAAAAAATTCAAAGCTGAAGATTCTATTGATTTAGAATGGTATCCCTTAAGACCTGAGTTTATTGAGTCCACATATTATTTGTATCATGCTACTAAAGATCCAATGTATTTGCAAATTGGAGAAAGAGTTTTGAATTTGTTGAATGATAAATATAAAGCACCCTGTGGATTAAGTGGGTTGCAAGATGTCAGAATCAATTTGCGTCAAGATGTCATGGAATCGTTTGTTGTAGGAGAAACGTTGAAATATTTATATCTTCTATTTGATACAAAAGATGAAATCTTCCTTCATGATAGTAGCATCATGAATAATAAGAATTGGATATTTTCAACTGAAGCTCATCCACTATGGTTAAGCAAGCATATGGATTCGCTTGGTGATAGTAAAGATTTGAACGACTCATTTACTAAAAGAATGTTTAACAAATATATCTCAAAGTCGACACGAGACTTGATTGACAAGCCGAATGCTTCCTTTATAAGAAATATCACATTACCAGATCCAAGATCATTTGAAATTGAAAGCAGTGGTGATATATCACATATTGCTAAGCGAGATCCCTTTGCTCAAAGATTTAAAACATGTCAGTTAAATCCATGGAAAAAGTCAAGTAGTTCGTTCCTTGAATCCAGTTATTATAAATGGCCCTATCTATTCAGTGCGGATTATGCATTCGAGAAATCTTTAAAGAAACCAAGATATTTAAATCAAACAAATTTGGACGGAAGTTACATTGAATTGACAAAAGATTTTTACGACAAATTCACAATGTTTGAAGAAAAAGATTTAATCTGTCCTATAATGTCAACCACGGCCATTTATGAAGTATTTTGGGGTGATATAAAGCAGTCTGGTTATGTTGAAATTTCTGAGATTTATCATACAAAAGAAGTTAAAGATTCTATAATGGCACCTGGTGATTTATGGATTCCTGAACTTGACTCGTTACGTGTGGTTTTGGAAGAACTAGTTCCTGGTAAGATAGACACGTTTAATAATTATATTACCGAAGATTATATACTATCACTCCAAGATTCAGAAGAAGTGAATGATATCAGAATCATCAACTCGTGTTTAAGAATCAAAAGAGTTAATGGAATCACCCTTGGTGATGATGCAATTGTTTGGACCCTACCATTTGAGCAACCTGAACTGGGTGCTAAAGGACATACAGAGATCGGTATCACAAGTGATGCAAGAGTGGTTATACAAGGTAAAGTAGTAGAAAATTTGTTAGTTTGGTATGGATAGTTTTATAGACTTATTTATGTAAATATACAAAGATGTGTATTCTTTTATTATTATTTTTTTTTTTTTTTTTGCAACAGGAGCGTTTTATCAATACACGGACTTTTCAACAAAATAAGTTTTTTCTGTTAACCAGTCGTTGAATCAAAACAGGAAAAAAAAAAAAATTGGCAACAGGAAAAGAGAGAGGAAGTCAACATTTTCCCCCCAAGAGAGAGAGAGAGAGAGAAAAAAATTCCTTTCAAACACGTTTCTTTCTATCATTTTCTTCTTGATTAACAATCACTTGAATTCCATTTACTTTTGGTTAACCTGGAAGTAATTTATTAAATAATCATTTGGGGGAAAGAGAAACATGAGTTATGACCCAATTCATGACACTTACAAACCGTCAAGTAGTCAATCGCAGCAACACTCATCACCTCCTTCAAGTGGATATGGTCAACAACAGCAACTGCCATCATTATCAAGATCACCACCTCAATCTATAAATAATCTTATTGAAGTAACAGGTCAACAAATACCTCAACAGTACGCGGTGCCAGACCAACCACCACCTGAAGAATATCAAAATCATCTAAGTTCAGTGAATATCCCAGCTCCTCATTTACCAGAACCAAATACATCAATTTTATCATCTTCTCCAGCTGATAGTAAGAAAGCAGGTAATAGTGCAGGCGCATTATCCATTTCTAGTTTGGTTTCTTCTGGTAGTAGTTCAAATAATGTTGCGGTAATAGATTCAAATATCCAACAACCACCTCGTCTTGAACAAAAAGTAAGCTCAATTTCAAAATTAATGAATGATACTGTTGAGACTCCTAGCCAAGAACATGCTGAAGATTACTATGATGAAACCGATATTAACTCTTCTGTTGTAGGAGAAGATGAGGAATATGTTGCCACTCCACCACCATCTAAATCGCAAAAATCAACAAGTACCTCAGCATCAGGAAATAAAAAGAAAAAGAAAAACAATATCGCCAATGCTAAGTTATCATTAAAGAAAGCTGATGGTGAAGCATTCTGGCGTAAAGATATTCAGTATGATTTCTTGAAAGCATTATTTGATGACACAACTGCTTGTTTTACCAATTCATTTGAAAAATCAAACATTGCTAATTGCAACAATAATCCAAAAATTTCATTTGGAGAATTGTATATTCGTACTTTAGCTGAATCAAGTAAATCGTCCAGGGTCTTGAAAGAAAAATTGATTAGAGATGTTGATTTAGGTAAAGCGGTTGCAAAAGTTTGTATCTTGGTTAATGTGGGTAGAATGAATACTACTATTAATTTTGTCCCAGAAATGAAGTCTACCTTGAGAACGTATCATTCCATACCTTCTTTACAAACTGGACCGAAAGGTGGCACTGTTCAACAATTACAAGATACTCCAAGATTAAAATCTATATTGAAAGCAGTTTGTGAGGGTGAAGAAAATAATCTGGCTTTACTTGATGATATAATGAAAACCCCACCTGAAACCAAGCCAAACACTAACATTATCCAATTGTTGTTTTTGTTAAGTAATGCAGTGCACGGTGTGCCGTATATGGATGATCAACCAAATAGCCATTTATTGGAGTTCTTTGTTAATACCAAGATCCATCCTGAGAATCGTGCCAAGAGATTCCTTTGGTTGTTGTACACATTTTTGGAAACTAATTTCAGTAAAGAAGAACTCAGTCAGAATCCGTTTGGAGGTGAAACAATTCCACCCATTCAATGGTTGGAAGAGCTGGAAATTAAAAACTTTGATAGAGATTTGGACTATGAACGTAATTATGCTGATTTAATGTTCCAAGCAAGAATGCAATACTTGGCTAACCCTGATGATGAACAGTACAAAGAACATTCTAGGCGTTTACAAGCTTATCCGTCTTCCAAGAAGAGAGATGCAGAGGAACAAGAGGTTAGTGAAACAGAGGATGGTGATGAAAATAAGAAGGTAACACCATTAAGGAAGAAGATAAAACGTAACAATCCAAGTATCCCATCTCCATTGTCCAGGAATGTGATTACAGTAAATAGTTCTTCTAGAAGACACTTGGATGATCATGAAGTCAGAGACGTATACAAGACTACTTTGAAAGATGTGATTACTTTCCCAGTGGAAGGTTTAAGTGAATTAACTAAAAAGTATAGTCCATCTCCATTTGTGCCTACAGAACCAGATGAAGGCGAGTCGGTTAGTCATCATTGTGAAATAGTAGAATTATCCAAACCAATGGTTCAAGAAGTTCGTACAGCATCTAAGGCCAGTACCGCTTCTTTCAACAAAAAGATTACAATTTTAGGAAACTGGTTGTACCGATATTTTAAATACAAGAAATCCATCGGGAACAAATTGCTCGGCATTGAATGGGAAGATATTCGATATGACTTAATACACGGAGTTGAAAGCTACTTGTATGAAAGCTTTGGTAAATCATTGAACTTGCACAAGTTGTTGACTTCTCACGATGAAGAAGGCGGTGAAAAAAATCAATTGAAAACTGAATCTGGTAATGGATCAACAACTAGCCATAGTAGTGGTGATGATGACGAACTTGAATTTCATTTTGATTACTTCCCATTAAGAGATTACGATAAAGCTAATGAGAAATATAGTTTTATTTTACATTTGACAGGGTTTGTCAATGATTGGTTTATCTTGCGATTAGAGGAGAAGATGGCTAAAATGGAACCAAACAGAATATCCTTTGATTTAGAAAACGAAACTGTATCTATATAAATTGAATGAGTATGTATATCTCAGAATATATTTTTAATGATGATTCTCAAAGATGTAATAACGTCATATTGACTTAATAAAGTTTGATAAATTTGGCTAAGATTTCTTGAGTTGTTCCCATCTCCGCTGTCATCAATTACGTATAAACTAATCAGTGATTGGCAAGTTCCAATAATAACATCACCCATGACAATTCTCCAATTCAACACTAGTCTAAACGGTTTTTCATTAATATGGAATTTTAATTCCACTTCATCAATATTCTGTAAGATTGCATATTTCCTCTTATTATCAGTTATGGTATCCAGTAATAGATCGTGATATTTAGTAGTGTCATATAGATTATCTTTGAATTCTTTTAAAAGTTTATGGATTATAGATATTCTTGTATGTAATAACTTTGAAAATGAATTCAACGCATACATTAGATTATTGATTTTTTTATTGGGTATATAATTCTTTGTTAATACTTGAGTAAAAGAACTTGAAATCAAAGAAAGTTTAAAACAATCCAGTACTTCAATTTTATCCAATATATCATTATCACAATTAATAAACAATTTTATATTTAACTTAAAAATCAATGGTAATATTAATTTAAATTCTATAATTCTCTTCATTTGTTCATTTTGATATTCATTAAAAGTATTAATATTATCAATTTCCAAAAATGGAACAAATTTCTTAATATATTCCAAACGTAAATTCCAATCAGCTGAAGGTAATACATTTAAATTATTCAATATATAATCATCATTTTTTAAATTTTTCAATTCCAATTTTTCAATATATGCTTTTGTATTTGAATCCAATAATTTCTCCAATTGTTGTTGATTTGAATTAAATGTTGCTTCTTTGGTTAAATCATGTAATTTAACTCTTAAATCATTTACTTCATTATATAAATTTGCTCGTGATTTAACTAATTGATCTCTTTTCTCAAGTAATTCAATCTTTTGTGTTTGTAATTCAATAAGTTTATCTTCAGGTGTACTTATTACTTGAGCTTTAGAAATATTTAAAGATTGTGAAATTTGTGGTGACTTGTGTTGGTTTGGTGAAGAAGTTCGTAGAAGATCCGATAATGTTTCAAGATCTGAATTAGAAACATTTGGTGAACTTGTAGTAGACATTAGTTTATGACTTTTTGTTTATAAACTTTATTGAATTGAAGTGAATTGAATTGAAAATCAAAACAAATGCGAAATTCCAAAATTGATTTTATTTTATTTTATTTTTTTTTTTTTTTTTTTTTTGGTCGTTCAAATATAATTCAGTCCTTTGGCCATCTCCATTCATTTCCAAAAACTATTCCAACAACACACCATGGTATCAGAACCAGAATTAAAAAGTGTATGTGTCTTTGATTCGAGAGTATATTTATTGATATTAAAGTTTAGGATTACTAACATATATTTATAGTATATGGATAAGAAAATATCTGTACAACTTAATGGGTCCAGAAAAATTATCGGAATATTAAAAGGATATGATATATTTTTAAACATTACAGTAACCAACGCGTTGGAAGTGGATTCCAAAGGTGAACATTTGAACATTGGTGTAACGGTATGTCGATTATTTCAAGGTTATCATCACATATGTCCAGTTTGATTCAATATACTAACACATTAATTTAGGTAATCAGGGGTAATTCCATAGTATCAATTGAGGTATGTTTAACAAATAAAGATTTTGCAATCACATAATCAACATAATCGAATAAATACTAACTGTTCTTGTTTCTTTTAGGCATTGGAAAGTATATAATATATTGTTGTATTTCTATTAAGTCATTCTATGTCAAACACACAGGTTAATATATAATAATATGTATAATGAATAAAAAAAATGGAGTATATGTTGTTGTTGTTGTCATTAGCATAAGAATTTTTGGATGTTTACAAGAACGGTGATTTATTAATCAAATCTACAGCTCATTTCAACACCAGCATCCTTGTAGCCACATTTTTCGTAGAATCCAACATTTTCAGGAGAACAATCCAAAATCACTTTATAACATTTATTATCTTCAGCAATCTTTGTCAAGGAAGTAACTAAGTAGTAACCCAACTTTTTACCTTGTTCACTTTTAGCGACGGAGATGTCTTCAATATGACCAACTAATCCACATTCATGAATCAATTTCTTCTCTACCAATAACATACCTGTTGCAACTACAATCCCTGCAGAATTTGTTATAACATGAGGATGATATATTGAAGGTAAAGAAGACCAATGTTCAAATAACTCGGTAAAGCTTTCTTTAGATATATCACCAACTGTGGTTAAAACTTTCAAAGTTTCCAAATATTGGTTATCATAATCAGTAACTTTCAATTTTCTAAAAGTGTAACCTGGTGGTAATTGCATTATTGTTTGATGTATTTCTAGGCAAAATCAAGAATGAAAAAAAAAAAAAACTGGGGAAATGAAAGGTAAAGCTTATCACTCGTTCAATTTGGACTAATCTAGAAGGGGATAATAAGTATTAGTTGGTTAGAAGGAAAACAGTGATAAATAAATACAATCCTGGATTTTGTTTTTTTTGGTGTTGTAAAATGTTGAAATCAAGATCAGACATCAACAAGAAAAATTTCAGGTTCAAAAAAAAAAAACAGAAAGAAAGAAAAAGGAAAATCAAAACAACAAATGTCGTGTACAAAAATAGTAACAACAGTGAAATTGAACATGACGACATAGCCTCGGCTGACATAATACGAATGTCGTCAGAAACTTTAAAGTTCCATTTACCTAATTGTGTCACGTGAATCAAATGGACAATGAGGATGAAATCTTGAAATTCGAAATAGGAAGAAATGAGTTTGCTGAAGCTGCTAAATTTGAATTTGCAAAGGGAAATTGTTGTTATCAATCTTAAAATAGAAAATCAAAGGGCTCAGCGAAAGAAGGTTCCATGAAATAATACGAACGAAAAATAAATACAAAAAGAAAAGAGTACGTATTGTGTTTGGATGATGTGCTATAATTACTAATCCAATTGCTCTCTACGGGAGCTGGATAGAGGCAAATACAACTATAATCAAACTATCCACTTAATTATAAGCGGGTTTTTTTTCCTTTAAGGTAATTATTCTCAAAGTATAATTATATCAGAAGGTTATCTGATTTCTTTCTATCCATCACGTGAATTATCCACACGGGCACTAGCTGAATTTAACCCCGTCGCATTCCTACTAAATTATCTCCGCGTGCGGATTCTCTACACGGATTTAAATTACGAGAGTATACCAATGGGGGGGGACTAACAAATATCACGAGAGTACACCATGGATAATACTACACACCACAGCCGTTTAGTTATAAGATACAGTATAGTGGTGATCTACATACGGAGTTTATGCAAGAGATAATTCAAGTCAAAGGTGTAGAGTTCCACATTTGGAAATAGAAGCGATGGGTTGATTTATAATCTTCGTGTTCTGTTTTCTTTGTACTGTACTGTATTGTATTGCATTGTTCGGTGTTTGACATATTTTTTTTCTTTTTTTGCGTGTGCCAGTGAGATGAGTTTGCAGTACGATTTCTTTTTTCTTCTTCTTCTTTTGCCTGTGACTGTCTTTGTATCGGCATCATCGTGATTTTTAAATATCGGCCGAGTTGCAGAATAAATAGACCACAGGTTTCCTCCTTTGAAATCTAAATTATCAATTTATTATACTTTTTTTTTTTGTTTTATTTTGTTGTTCTTTAAAACTATCAATATCCCCTGTTCATATCATCATTACATTATACAAACATGACTTTCACATCTTCAGATTTGACTTTCAACGCTTATTCTTATAAAAACAATTCTACTCCTGTTACTTTAGGTCCTGAAACCATTGAATTGGTTGCTGATTCTTCTAATCCAGGTACTTTTACTGCCCCACCAGGTAAAATCTTATTAAAGATCAATTATACTTCATTAAATCCAGTGGATGTTAAATTACATACTTTAGCTATTAGTTTAGTTTCTATGTTGGTTAATAACAAGAATGGGTTTGGTAGAGATTTCAGTGGTCAAGTTGTTGCCATTGGTGAAAATACTAAAACTGATTTTAAAGTTGGTGATTTAGTTCAAGGTATTTATCCAAAAGTTTATGGTAAAGGTACTGCTTCTGAATATTTATTGATTGATCCTAATGAAATGGATATAACTACTGTTCCAAAAAATATTTCCATGATTGAAGCTTCATCTTGGCCAACTGTTTTAGGTACTGCATTATTGATTTCAAGTGATTTGGATTATAAAAATAAAAAAGTCCTTATCTTGGGTGGAGGTACTTCTGTCGGTAGATATCTTGTACAAATTGCTAAGCAAAGAGGTGCTAAAGAGGTCGCTGTTACTTGTTCTACTAGAACTGGTGAAACATTATCAACAATTGGTGCTGATACTATTATTGATTATACAAAATCAAAAAATATTGTTATTCCTATTTTGGAATCGGTTAAATCTACTGGTAATTTTGATTATATCTTGGATTGTTATGGTGGTAATGACTTGTTTACTGAAATTAGTAACATTTTAATTAAAGATGGTAGATATTACACCATTGCTGGTGATTATCCAGGGTCTAGTTTCTCTTGCTTAGTTTCAAGTGTTTCTAGAGTTGTTGGAAGAAGTTTATTACGTGCTTTTGGTTTATTATCATTCAGTTATAAATTTGTTATGTTTGAAAGATTTGCAAACAATATTAACGAAGCTAGAGATTATCTTGAGACTGGTAAACTTAAAGTATTTATTGATAGTGTTTATCCATTTGATAAATTAGATGATGCTGTTGATAAATTGGAATCCGGTAGAACTGCTGGTAAAGTTGTTGTTGAAGTATCTAAGAATTAGTTGTGTTTATTACTATCACTCGTAAATATGAATAAATAATAATCTATTTTATATATATATATTTATATATTTGTACTTAGAAGTCTATATTTTTCTTTTTTTTTTTTTTGTTTGTTTTTCTTCTTTGGATCATTTCTTGTCCTTTTTCTTATTCAAGAAATGTAAATTATGTAAACTCAAACTCGAACTTGTTCTCATTGGTACACCACCTGTTCTATCTGTAGCACTACTTGATAATTTTCCAACACTTTGCAGTTGAGTATTTGGTGATGTTGATAATCCAAATAAGTTGGTGGTGGATACATTTCTCGAACTAGATGGTGATGAATTTTGAGATGACCCTCTAGATGACAACTTCACTGAACTAGAACCTCGAGATAATACAGGTTTCCTATTTCTCTCAAGATTTAGCAAGTTACGATTCAATTCAGCTAGATTTATATGTGATCCAGGCAATGGTGGTTCATATGCTGGAGAAAGATCATCACCCACATTTTCTTCCTTCATTGCTTCAAAATACGAAGGAACTTGTGCCATTTCTACCGGACTTTTGATATTGGTATCTGAGTTAACTCTTGAAATATGTACTGGTGGAGTCATTAATCGGTCCTGCAAGAAACTATAGTTCGATCTTGTCAAACCTGGTCTTCTTGCTGTTGGTGCGACAACATCGCTAGTGTTATAATTTCTATTGTTGCTGGTATTATTACCTGAAGTTGATGAGCGACTATGGATACTGGCATTGTCATCATCTTCCAAATTGAATGTTGCACGAATTCTAGGACTAGTGACTCCTGATGCATTTCCACTACTATTGTTGCCACTTTCATCTGCTTCTTGGGCAGCTCTTTGGATACTTAATTGCCTCAAGTTTTCTGTCAAAGCTTGTGAGTCCAATGGAGACATTGAAAACTGACTATAATCAACACCAATTCTTTCACCCGGTCTGCTTCTTGGTGTTGTTGCTCCAGATGTCATTGGTGTTTCGACTGGAGAAATATCTGACCATAATCTATCGTAAATATGTTTTTCATACAATGGAGGTGCGACTAATCCTGTTAATGACGTATGTGAACTGTTGTTGGAATTAATTGCTCCTTGGTTATCCAATGACGACAAGTGATCAAACGAGTCACTGGTGAACAAAATATCTTCTACACCATGATCAGAAAGTTCATCGTCATGTCTTGAACTAACAGTAACAAAAGGTGAGATGAATAATTGAATAGGTAAAGTTGCTCTTAATTCGGAAACATGACCATCCGGGTTAATCAAACCAATGGTAAATTTCAATTTATGTCTGACTTTAACATGATTTAACAAGTCAACATCTTGGGTACATTTAGAAAGACTAGCCGGAATTCTTAAAAAGGTGTCAATTTCCCATTTATCAAACAATGTATCTGGATCGGGTTTGGGGATTTTCTTTTCAACGATCGTTCTTTCGGCATTTTGGTATGGAGGTAAAGCACCAACATATGTATAATTTTCCACCAATTCAATTTTTATATCACCCAATTGTAGACCTTTTAACAAAGGGACAAGCATAAAACTAATTGGTGTACCGGATCCAATCGCTAATGCCCTACTTGGACAACTCAAAGAATATTCCACTTTCTTGGGCCACGTATTATCCACGGCTATGGTTTCGGATAACTCTACCGCATCTGTAGTCAAAGTACGCACTACACGGACGTGTTTTTTAGCAACCAATGAACTATGGAACTTGCCACGATCAATTGTAGCTTCCAATCGATAAATATTTGAACATCCTGGTAAACCTTCAATTGACTCTGGTAAATTTCCTGGCAAAATGGAGCTGAATGGAATTTCGTAATTTCCTTGTACCAATACATAACCATTAGAATTGGGTTTATTTGTACTGTTTTGATTATTATTATTATTATTATTATTATTAGGTGAAGATAATGCACTTAAATTGGCTGAAGATCCGGTTAAATTGGAAAGACTCATGGACGACTTGGATCTGAACCCACCAAACAAGGATGAAGATGAATGGCTTCTGCTTAATCCAGAAGAGCTAACAGTTTGTGACGATATACTATTGGAATACATATTGTTTAAATATTTGTTGAATTCCTGTGGATCCCAAACGTGTTCATATAGTTTTTTTGTGAAATTAATAGATCGTCCATTGATTCTTGGGTTGGAAGATGTGATGTCCGCTTTTAGTCTTAAAGTTGAGTATAATCGAAGAGTGATCTTCTTAATTGAGATTGGTTCATTGACTGACAACACAATGTTACCTGCTAATAGAGCAGAGGCAGCATCGTGTTCGTTCCCTTTCAAGACCAAAACGTCGTGTTCAAGATTTTTCAATCTAATATCAAACAATGGCGTTGATCTAGAAGACGACCCCTGAGTTTTCTTTGGCATGATGATACTGTGTTATAACGAATGTGAAATGAAGATAGTAACGAAGGAAAAGAAATGAAAGTTCTATACTCAATTATAAATTTTTCTGTTCTGTTTTTTTTTTTGGTTGCCTTGTGCTTATCGTTCATTCATCTCCTTGTTCATCCAAAAAAAAAAAAGAAAGAAAAAAAAAAAGAAACTCCCAAATTATTCTCGGAAAAACTTTTTGCTGCACGACCACAAAAAAACAATGGTGGACACACTAACAGGACAAATCAAAGAGATCGGTAGTTTACGTCCGGAATGTTAGTGGTTTAAAATTGATTGGTTGGTATTAATTATCAATAACTTGATTATTGACCATGTTGATTAATTCCCAATAGACCAATACGCGTTATCTGTTATCGTCTGGTTTTTAATTTTCGGTGAAAAAGGCTTTAGGGAGCTGATTTCAAAACCATTACTAACACGGGACAACAAACCAAAAAGAAAAGGAAAAAAAAATTTAAAACTAAAATTAATATAACGCTCATCATCATGAATAATGACTTAATATAAAACGAGATGAAGAACAAGGATACTAGAATCGGATGAATGATACCACTTCAATCCGTTTAAATTTCCCATGGTTCTTGAATACTCACTAGAAGAAGAAACGAAAAAAAGAGGAGATGTAACCCAGTTACATTTAAGCGAATATTCACAAGTTGTTTTCATCTATCATCTGTACAATATAATCTATGCGACGTATTCACGTGATTAGTCAAAGTGTTAGATCTGTGGATCAACATAACAGGGCATTTTCAAACTACACTCTCCTTGGCCGCATCTAAAAATTCAAATTAAATCTCGGAGTTTGTCACCCAATACGGCATCTGACGAAAAATGCCGTTGGAAGACCCTAGTCCACTATAAGATCATCAGACTTATAGACTATTTGTGCCATGTATTCTGTGATTCGAAAGCAGATATGGTTCTTGGGAAACCTGATTGATATAGAAAGAATATTACTAGTGATAAAAAAATAAGATCTTTGTCGTATTTGGATTGATAATAGAGCAAGAGGTAATTACTAAGAAGCTGGTTATTTTTGGAAATAATCCTTGTTGATGTGAGATGAAAATAATGAAAGTCTATTGATAACGAATCACAACTTTATAGATATGTATGAAAGGGAATTGAAATGTAGGCTTTCTTCAAACTTAATCGTCTTAAAAAGTGGGCTTTTGAAAGCAAAAGTGCAACATCACCATGTGGCCATATCATAAATTAATCAAATCTGCACCAGCTTCTGTAGTTTTCAAAATGAAGGGATGAGCTTTAGTACGAACTATACAAGGTCAGTGTGTTATAAACATCGTGCCTTAGCTTTTACCAAAAACAAGAAAAAACTAGTGGACCAAGAATGACCTTCAATGATGGAAAAAAGAAATATGTTTATGTAATCGAATTAATAGGACCCTTTGATGAGTATGCCAATCCATTGTTCAGTTTGTTTTCTAGAGAACCAATTCTACGAACAAAAATACTGGAGATGGTGATAGATGGCTGGTTGTAGAAAGTCTAAATTCGAAAAAAAAAACCAATAAACGAAAAAAAAACGCGCGCTACTGTGCGCGATCTAGAATTTTAGTTAATCAAAAAAGATACGGCGCCAGCAAAATACTCGTAGTATCATCCACAAGTCAATAAAACACCTCTGTCGTTGTCTATATGTGTAGCTTGGTTTTTCTATCAAATTAATGTATCATCAAGTATACATTAAGTATAAATTTGCAGAATAATTATGTTTACTGCGTCTTTTTTTTTTTGGTCGCAGGTAAGCGAAACGGTATGCAGATTATGCTTGTTTATTCACATTCTGATCTCACATAATCTACAAGTAGGAACCAACCAGCTTTAAAACCGGGAATGTTGTGTAATTAAAGTTAAAAGTACGCTTTGTGAGGGGTCTCACATTAATTATCTAGCCCTAGTATGTGATACTTGCAAACCCGAATTGGCTGCAATACATTCCAAGATAACACCATCTCAGTATCGTCGTCAAGAGAAAATTACTCGTCTAATCATCAGCCCCAAGGGTTTCAACCAAGCGTTTAAAAAAAAATCAACTCAATTTGTCAAGAAATTGATGGTTTGACAACCAATACAATGAAGAGAAGAAAAAAAGACCAAAGAAATTATCACTAAAATCTAAATTGTAAAGACAGTAGATTCTATGATACAAGCACCCTGGTGAGTTTTACTTTTTCTTAGTCTGACGTTTTTTTTTTTTGTGCGTGTATATGGTTACTTGGTGGAAGTGAATTTCAAACACACACGCGTGTCTAAGTGTACTCATGTCTTTTAGTAGCCAGCTGTAGAAGATCATAATTAGTTTGAAACGTCTACTTATCTTTGTATTCACCGATAAAATTAGTAGATAACATATACTCGCAGGTATCTTACATTTGCCGATTTTTGAATGAAACATAAACTAGCAAAAACAAAAAAAAAAAAGAAAGCAAATTTACCACATCTTACGAAGGGGTCTTTCTTAAATCTTACAAGCCAGTCGTGTTTTCAATTTCTTTTATGGTATAACCTTTTGTTCTTTTTAAAAAATAGCTAAGTCTAAATTTCAAATTCATTGTAATCTATCATTGTTCTAATGAGCTTCCTTTGAAAGGAGGTTCAAATCTTTCTCCTTAGTTGTTGCTAAATTTGGGTGCAACAACCAGCCAACTTCATCCCACGAGAATTTCTTTCTTTTTTTTCTCTCTTGATGTGCGGGTCCCTTTGTTATGTATGCGAAAAAAAAAAATTCTCTGTCGGCGGCGGCGCCGAGTGGGTGTGGTAGTGATAGTGGTAGTGGTAGTGGGAAGTTGTGCCATTGTTCTTTGTTTCAACCCGCATACCTACGTCCAGTGCGATTCATTTCTACTTCCACTTCCACTTCCACCGTGATTTAAGGTACCATTGAAGTGCGAAACATTCTTGAAATTTAAGCTGGTTGTTGTTATGGCAAGAGATATTTCACAACTGAATGAATTGTCTATTTTTAAATTGTCATAGTTCATATTACTCGCTCGACAGAAGAATAGTTTATATTATTATTATTATTATTATTATTGTTGTTGTTATTATTCTTTGCGTTATCAGTTTCATACATTGGATTTGGGAAATTTGTGACGAACAGAAAAGTACTTGCACCAGGAACTCTTTTTTTTGCGGTGTAATTATTTTATTTTTTTTTTCTGTCGCTTTTTTTTAAATTACCTTCTGCAATCACAAAGACCTGGATTAAAGGCTGGTTAAACCATAATCACAAGTCATTAGTTAATATATAGTTCAGCAAGGGTTTATTTCATCATTTATATAAAGAACTCATTCCTTCATCCATCTGTTGAATTTTTTTTTTTTTCAGTGTTATATTTTTGTTTCCCTTGTGTCCACATATTTTGGCTTAGCACATTATCACCAACCCCCTACCAACAAAGCCTTCCTTCACCCCCAACATTCACATATTCCCATACCACCATCACCCAGGGGATAAACCATTAGCATCACACATTAAGAAAATTAAAAACTTAATATACTCACCCATAGTCTATCATTTAATTATTCGTGCATTTCGAACCGTTTATTTCTTTGTTACTAATATATTGTCATTAATCCTTTTTCCATTTTATTAATACTTTTGCATAATTTTTAATTTTAATTCATTTCCATTTGGTACTATTTAAACTGACCATGAGATATAATTCAACCAAAGAAACATCACCAGGTAGTCAAATTTATAATCCATTTATTGTCTCTTCTGTATCCACATCTGCATCCACTGATGAATCCCCACATCATGAACCACTTAAAAGAGCCAGGTCTATAGTATCACCAAAATCATTATCTGCATTATTCACTAAAACTCGAAGTAAGAGATCGACTACTACAATTAGAAAACGCAGAAGTTTGCCACTGTCAAGTCATTTTCTTTCAGCATCTCCATCCACCACTTCTATGCTGAATTTTAAATTACCTGATCAAGAGGAATTTTCATTTTCAAGTGATTATGCACCAAGTTCTGATGTTTCTTCTGAGTTGGAAAGTTTACCGGACTTGACAGACGATGAATATACTCCAGATAGCACCCCAATTAAGCCAGTTCCAAATTGTTATTTCACAACCATTTTAGAACCAGCTCCTGTGTTTGAGTTGCAAAAATTACAACAATTGGACATTTATGAACAACAACCAAAACAACCTTTAGTTGTTTCATCTTCTCCTTCTATTTTTGAAATTCCTGAAATTGTTCACAAGATTCTTTCATATGTTGATGGACAAAATACTGTGTTACCTTTAGAGTCAACTCCTGTTAGACGTAAGCCATTATCTTACAAGCATGCTTTATTGATTCATGGTAATAGGCAAATGGCCGAAAGTGCATTAAACGATTCACGACAACAACAACAACAGCAACTGGAACAGGAGCAACCATCGTATTCATCCTCACCATTATTCAATTGTTTATTAGTAAATAAATTATTTTACAGAATTGCAAGTGAGATTCTTTCTCAAAAATTCTATGCTCATGAAGAGAATCAATTGCATAAATATATTAATAATCAAGGGCCTACCACTGTTCAATTACAACCAAAAGCTTTTATTTTACATAAATTATTCCTGATGAAACAAGGTGTTTTTGATCAATTGATCAAACTTATGGATTTCCAAAGTCTAACATGGTTTGAATTGTACATGTGTCCCAAAATTCTTCCTCCAGTTTCTATATTTAAACAATGTGGAACCAAATTGAAAAAGTTGATCATTACTGGTTCAAAGATTGTTGATGATGAATTTGTAAAACAAGTTAGCAAATATTGTCCTAATTTGGAAGTCATTGATTTCCGTGCCTGTGAATTAATTTCTGATTTTGGATTATATCAATTAAGTAACAATTGTACAAACTTGAGAATGATTAACCTAGGAAGAAAGAATCGTGGTCATTACATTACTGATACATCAATTAGTAAAATAATAGAAAATAATAGAAATTTAAATACTGTGGGATTAGCTGGTTGTTATATTACAGATAAAACATTATGGGAATTGGCTTATAAACTTCCATATTTGTCCCGATTATCACTTAATAATTGTCCTCATATCACCAATAATTCCATCTCACATTTATTTTCCAATCCTAGATTATTCACAAGATTGTCTGTATTAGAATTACGATTTAATTTACAACTTACTGATTTAAAATCATTAATTGAATTTAAAAGAAGACAATCTTATCATTATAATATAGTGTTGTTATTGGAATTATGTGAAACTTTGATGTTTAAATTACGACAACAAGAATTGGAAATGGATAAATTAATCTCCCAGAAAATTTTCCAAGATATTTCCGATTGGGCTAATGATTATAATGATGGTGATTTACTGTATCAAGAAATTATACAATTAACCAGAAAGGATTAATTTAGTATATAAGAATTTGTTGAATATATGTATACACTTTAATGACACACATTCACACTCTAGTAGAAATAATTGTAAAATATATACACAACAAACCACGATCATAATCCAGAGGTGAATAGAAAAGGAATATCGAAAAGAAAAGAATACTTTAGTAGATTGTTTTTTAAGGGATTATTGATTTAAAACTCTGTGATTTTAATACATTGTTTGTTTGACGGTGAAGAAGTTCATTTGTTAAAATTATGTAAGGTCGTGTCCATTGGCGTGCTTTTCATCATTTTGTTGGAAAACTCGACGAAAGTCTATAATAAAAAAAAAAAAAAAATCAGGAAACACCTTCATCCTACTAGAGAAATAAAAACGTGTGTAAATTGCTAATAACTCTTTCTCATATGTTGTATATCTTGTTTGGGCTGCTTTGAATTTTCCTTATTATGTATTTGCAAGTTACTAACCTTTTCAATCCCATTCTAGCAACGACTAACAGTTTTTATTTCAATTAATATATGTTGTGTTTTTAGTATAGATTATAAACTTGTTACCAAATGTAGATTCTCTAACTTATATAGGAGGCTTTATGATGCTGCTACGCTTTCATGGAACACCAAATAAGCATTATTACCCATCACCATTCTTAAAGTGTTGTTGGTTCATTCATTGGTGTAAGGGGTGATGTACATGGTGTGGAAAACCATGTAGTAGATGGCTTCCAACAAGTTGTACCAACTGGTCGAGTTGTAAGATTGCCCTGCTGGCGAAATTGGTTATCGCTTTTGACTTCTAATCAAAGGATTCTGGGTTCGAGTCCCAGGTAGGGTTTCTTTTTTTTCTTCTTCCGGGATATTGTTGAGTGCTCAATGTAGGCCACTACAATTTTTTTTCTAATCATACAGACTTTCTAGCTCAGAACGTAAAGTATATACTGTGATACCCATTTGATGCTGTATATTTGGAAAACACTAAGGTATGTAGATGATATCTTTTGGTTGGTTCCAGTTTGATTTTACATGATTCAACTGAATTTAATTCAATAACATATATCATTGTAAGAGATAACATTAAAGCAGTATTTTAATTGTAAAATTATTAGGATTTTCAACATGTAACGATTGATAAACCCAGTTTCCTTGGGAGAAATGGCACTTAATTGGGTGGAAAAGCCATTACCACATGGATAAATGTCAAGTTTTTCACATTTGTAAAAATACATAGTATTAGATAGTTATATTACTGGTGTTGAAAGTTTATAAAATAGCATGTTAGATATTGGATCATATGGTTAAAGTCCACTAATCATAGTAAGGGGTCAAATCAATAGTTAACGCACTGATCCTTAAAAGTTGATGCAATTAGTTTCATGTATTCTTGAATGAAACTTTCTAAACATAACTGGCTTGATATTTTTTTTTGCAGCCAACTAAGAAACTAATTTTGAAATCGAAAAACAAATCCTAGAATTCAAAATTGAAATTTACATGACACAACTGTTAATATAATACCTAACAGATATCTTTAGTTGATTCATACAGAATAATACTCATTTACCCAACAGATCTTTCTTTGTCAATCTCTTCTACAGAGATTGTAACGTAATGTTTTCTATTACAGTGCTGGAAAGTGCAAGCAGACTAATTATAACAAGTATAAATCACAAGTTCTTTAAATTAAGTACAACGTACATAGGCTAACAAGTCATTAGTTATTTTCTTTTAATGATTGAATTGATTTACTATCCCAAAAAAAATCCGCAATGATATTTCTTGATGGATATTAAATTAGTTTCCTTTTCCTTAGACCTATTCTCGGTTATTTTGCACATTGTTTCTCAAATCCAGGTAAACAGATTAATTATTTTTCAATTATAATTAATACTTTTTGAGGTTAGATCTCATGGGTTAGAATTTCATTTTTTTTCTAGAATCAGACTTTTAATGATGAATGTGGATTCAGGAGAGAAACTTATAATCTTGAGACTGGTGATGGTAACCCAATTGACTATTGATATTTTATTAAACATTACCTCAAAAATTTTATAAAGAATCATTCATCATGTCCATCTAATAAAATATAAATTCTTCTGCAAACTTTTGTAAATAGTATTGAGATAGTTACCGTGTTTTTATACAGATGTAACCCGAACTACCAAGTCAGATTTAACTTATTGAGATTAAAGCCGACTTAGCAGCAGGATTTGCTTTTCAACCTATGCAATTCACTACTTCTTAATTGCAAAAAAAAAAAGCTGATAGTTGAAGGTTGTTGAGATCATAATCTTTCGCAATAACAAGCAAACGAGAGGGAAAAAAAGAAACCCTACCTGGGACTCGAACCCAGAATCCTTTGATTAGAAGTCAAAAGCGATAACCAATTTCGCCAGCAGGGCAATCTTACAACTCGACCAGTTGGTACAACTTGTTGGAAGCCATCTACTACATGGTTTTCCACACCATGTACATCACCCCTTACACCAATGAATGAACCAACAACACTTTAAGAATGGTGATGGGTAATAATGCTTATTTGGTGTTCCATGAAAGCGTAGCAGCATCATAAAGCCTCCTATATAAGTTAGAGAATCTACATTTGGTAACAAGTTTATAATCTATACTAAAAACACAACATATATTAATTGAAATAAAAACTGTTAGTCGTTGCTAGAATGGGATTGAAAAGGTTAGTAACTTGCAAATACATAATAAGGAAAATTCAAAGCAGCCCAAACAAGATATACAACATATGAGAAAGAATTATTAGCAATTTACACACGTTTTTAATTCTCTAGTAGGATGAAGGTGTTTCCTGATTTTTTTTTTTTTTGATCGTGGTTTCTCATCCAACTCTTGAACAATTTATATAATAATTGGTAACAGTGCACGACTTTTATTTATACACCTTATTCCATTAAACAAAGTCAACTTTGTAAATTAATCCATAAAACGATAAGAACGTAACTGTATTGAATTGAGTGAATGAAACTACTTAGTTCAAATAAGCTTGAAATTTTCAAAGTAGTTATATTATTAGTGTAAAAATAGGAAAGCTGATGTTGAACAACTATCACACATGATAAATAGTAATGTTTGACTATTTGAATATAAATGATAGCTTGTAATTTCTCCAGTTTGGATATTTCAAATGATCAAAATATTATAATTATTTCCTCTAGTACAAGGTTAATTAGAAAGAGCATATTCTTTAGTTTAAATATCAATCAAAGTAAAAATGTTGTATTTTCATTCGTAAAGTTTCATCAAGAGGATGCTATTTGGTTGAAAGGTTGCTAATTGTCAGTAAAACATGTAAATCAACAAATAGCTTGTTAGTTCCTGACAATAATTGTAAATAAGGTACTATAATTCCCAGAGTTTGACCATTGTTTAATTGTAAATCAGTTGTAATTACAAGAAACAATTATATACCAACCCATATTGATATCTGTTTGTTTTGAATTGAAATTGTCCTAGGTAATTTATTTAAATTGTCATTGGAACTTGTTTATATTCAAAAGTTAAATTGTAGGATAGTTTCTAACTTTTATTCTATAAGCTCAAATTCTTTTTCTTTTACTTGATTATTTATACAATTTTATCATGAAATAATGATATGTATTTTTAAGGATTATTTACATTAAAAGCAATTAATTATACATTAATCATGGTTGTGAATGACTATATTGAGTTATTTACTTCTGAAAACTGAAGAATGTTGAATTTATTGAATAAATTAATCAATAACTGTCAGTAATTATATTCATCGTGTGACAAAGAAGGCAGTTTGCAACTTTCACGAATTGGCAGCTTTAGCTCATCTGGGAGAGCGTCAGACTGAAGATTCTTTAGTAATCTGGAGGTACTGTGTTCGAGCCACAGAAGCTGCATTTCTTTTTTTTCACCTCACAGTTTGAAGTTAACTGTATAAGGTTATTTTTTGGTTCAGTTGGTGAATGCCTTAAACAAGAGTGTGTCATGAGGTTTCCCCTTCCTTTGGAAATTATTGTTACCAGCAAGAGATTCGGCGGAATTATATTGAAAAGTACCACGGATATTAAAGCATACACCAGCAATAACCAAAATATTAAAATTTAAAAGAAAAAGAAATTACGTGGCATTAAATTTAGAATTTCCTGTTTTAGTTCCGATTGTGCTACAACTGGGAACGTTTCAATTAATGATGAAAGGACAAAAAAAAAAAAAAAAAAAAAAAATTAAATTGCATCGCATAATTCATTTCAAAATGTGTTTTATTAAAGATTCAAACGATCATTGGTTGTGTATCTCTCCTCCCTCCTTATGCCTTTGTTGTAAAGACAAAACTACGATTTAATGAATTATAGTCAATTAATTTTCTTTCTTTTTAATTCGACAATATTGTTTATTTGTTTTTAATCATTTGTTCATTCTTTAATTATCACACTCGTCAAAAATACAATTCGTGTCTGTTTACATCAATACTCGTGTTTAGGTATTATATAATAGGAATGAGTTACGTAAGACAGGTCTTTCATTTTCATTTTCATTTTCATTTTCTTTTTGAAGCATGCATTAAACGACAGAGGATTTCGGGGAGCGGTAGGTGGGTCGTTATAAACGTAAGGCAATCTGGGGGAAAAAGGCACTAAAATTTATTTTAGTTTCTCTTTTTTTTTGTCCACTAAATTTAGCATCACGGCCGATGCAATATGCCGCGGGAGACAACGTAGGCTTGGTACTAAAAAAACAAAAAATCTCACACCACAAAATAACAGAGAGAGGGAAAAAATGATTTTTTGTATTTGTTACAGTGTCCTGTCGCGATTTAAACAAAAAAAGAGTCGTGTACTTATTACTTCAACTAAAAATAAAATGACAATGACAATGATCATGACAATGCTTAAAAAAAAAAAGAACAAAAATCTAGACTCTATCCAAAGATCGTTCCCTCAATAAAATTTCAAAATTGATATCCAAATGCACGACCTTTGCATATGGATCCTGAATTACATAACATCCCAAAAAGCAAAAAAAGAGAGACAAATCAGAATTCAAACTAAATTCTTGGTGTAGCAACCCACTGATACACACGGATATTGATAATCAATGAAACCATGGATTAAATTAATTTTTTTTTTTGAACAGATAAGAACACAACAAGAAATAAAATAACCAAATAAAAATTGGAGGAGTAGGGAGGAGGGAGGAGGATTTTAAGAAAGCAGAGTATTTATGATCATTATAATTCAAGGGTGCTTGCTACATTTGTTTCCCCCCAAAGCAAGTGATATTTTAACCCACATCCTCTTACTCGTAATCTTTTGACCTATTTTCGAGGAAACGTAGCAAGTACTTTATTGTTGTTGGGTTATTTTTGTATATTTTTACGGCAATCCACTACACTACACTACAATATGAAGGAGAGAAACAGAGACAGAGACAGAGAGTGTGTGAGAGTGTGAGTGTGTGTGGGTGAAAAATACCAGAATGCAGTTTTGTGTAATAAATTACCAAAATGTAAAAAAGTTAAACAAAATACCAACTGGTTATATGCAGGCCATGAATTTTCCACCCAAAATAAAAAGAGAAAATGTATGCTGCTTGAACTTGTTACAATTTACACTACTTGCACATCTTGTATATATAAAGGTATAAGACGCTTTTTATTCCTTATTTTTAGCAAGCAGTGGGTGATAGTTTTTTTGATTAACATTTTATTTTTATTTTTCAGCCATTATAAATACATCTTTATAATCTTGACACAGTTTTGAAAATATATTATAATAAATAATAATACCACTCCCATCTTTTATCCATATTTTCACTTCACTACCCAGTTTATTATTTACTATTAATAACTTTCATATTGGATTTCAACCTCCACTTCTATTTATATTTATATTTATATTTATATAATCCTTAGCAATAATTCAATTTTTTTTTAATTTTGTCTTTTTATTGCTTTAAGGAAATTATACCATCTTAGTTGCTTTCATTCCAAATAAAAAACAAGGACAACATACTACTACTACTATTACTTCATTGACTTTTTCTTTTGGAAAGAACCTTCAACGTTTCTATATTGCAAAAGATACATATATTTACTGTTTTTAATTTAACTAGTGATCTCATATATCAACTAACAAAAAATCATGTCAATTTCATCTTTATCACATCAATTATCCTCATCTACATTGAGTCTAAAACACCAATCATCAATATATACTTTAAAACCAAGAAGTTCAAATACAACATTGAAACTAAAGCATCAACCATCTCAATTGGAACTTATAGATGATACAACATTTACTTCACTACCCTTACCACCACCTAAAAGATATTGTTCAAATGGAACAACAACAACAGCAACTATTATAAATAATAATTCTACAATTAGTTCACCATTAAGTCAATCGATTGAAAAATTCGATTATAATGATGTTCAGGATTATTCTTATTTTGATGATGATGATGATGATGATGATTCTTGCTATTATGATGATAATTGTGAATTTTCAGAACTGAATGATACAGAAATTGTTCTAGTTGAAGATTATTTCACTTGTCCTTCTCAAGATAATAAAGATGATGGGAAATTTAACACTACTACTAGTAATAATAATCAAAATAGATTATGGAAGATATTTTATGCTATTTCTTACAAGTATAAGATATAAATTTTTGTTCTTTATAAAAAAAATGGGGGTTTTAATTTTAATTTTTAATTTGCAATATATATATATATAGAGAGAGATAAACAGATTTGTAGTTTTTTTTTTTGAATTGATATTTTTCATGATGGTTCATACAAGTTTGGTGATAACTTTGTATGGACATGAAAAAAAGTGATTCTACAAATACTTAACCTGTAGATAGTTGGTTAATGAATATTAGAGCCAATATATTTTGTTTGATCCGTGGAAACTAGTTGCTGTTGTTGTTGTTGTTGTTGTTGTTGTTGTTGTTGTTGTCATTGAACCCTGTAATCTTCAATATAATAATACCTTAAAATAACTCATATGATCAACATCCTTTTATTGCTTTAATCATTTACACCAAAGGGATCATATGAGATGAGGTTGACTATAAGCTTGGTTACTTGATATTTCGATCAACTCTACTTCTCTTACTTGGTGTTGTCTATATTTGCAACAGCAAAAGAGACAATCAACGGATTTGGAAAACTTGCACGAACTATGGGAAAATAGAAAAATTAAGGAAACGAACAAAAAAAAAAAGAGACAACACTGAAAACACAGAAAACACTGGCAACATAGGCAACACTGGCAACAACTCAGACATCAATTAATATTCAAGTTGAAACATGTTTAGAGATAGGACAAATTTATTTTTATCATACCGTCGAACAATTCCTAGAGAATCATCTAATAACAATAATAATCTACCGATAAAACGAACAAGATTTCAAGATTTCCCGGAAGAAGAAGAAAATGAAGGATTAATTATATCATCACGTAAACAAGGTGGAGAAAGAAATCAAACACAAAATATTCCATTAAAACCAATAATTCCAAGTATATTTGATATTGCTAAAGATTTAGATGTATTATTGAAAGTAATTGAAAAAAATGTGGAGGATTTAAATTCAATGTATAAAAAATTAATTATTGGTGATAAATTTAGTAAAAAAAAAATTGAACAAGATATTGAAGAATTAAATTATCAAATTTTACGTAAATTTGAACAATGTTATGTATTAGTTAAAAAATTTGATTATTTATCTAAAAATTATCATAAATTAGAATTGAATTATACAAATTCTGATTTAGAAATTTTAATTAATTATAAAAAAAATTATGCCAATAAAATTCAAGAAAGTTCTTTAAAATTTAGAAATTTACAAAATAATTATATGAAATTTTTAAAAGATGATGATGATGAATTTAATGAAGATGATTTATTATTGTCTGATCTTCCACCTGATGAAAAACCAGAACTTGATTCTAATACTAATACTTACCAACAACAACAACAACAACAGCAACAGCAACAACAACAAGTAGTTAATGGAGATTCACAATATTTACGTCAAAGAGAACGAGATATATCTAAGCTTGCTCATGGTATATTAGAAATTCTGACTATTTTCAAAGAAATGGAATCAATGGTTATTGAACAAGGTACAATGTTGGATAGAATTGATTATAATCTTACAACTACTGTACAAGAATTGAAATCTGCAGATAAAGAATTGATTAAAGCTCATCATTATCAAAAAAGAACAACAAAATGTAAAATAATCTTCTTTTTAAGTCTTTGTGTTTTTGCCTTGTTGATGATTGTAATGCTTCGACCTGGTGGTTCAACTAAAAAAATTGTTGTTGAAAAACCAGTTCCTGCTCCTGCTACTGATCCTGATCGTCCAACAATTGATAAACCTGAGAATGATATCACTGATCCAAATGATGTAAGTGATCCAAACGATGATTTATTAAATTCACGAAATAATATATAATACAATAGTAATATTAAACTTAATTTTAATATACACATTCACACACACATATATATATATATGTATAAACTAAATTCATTGACCAAAAAGAATAAACTCAAACGTAAAAAAAAGAAATAGAACTTAACGAAACATATGTAAGCAAATAAACAAACAAACACACATATAGACAGCTTAAATACTCCATAAAAACCAAAACGAGACCCTTGCTATTATTATTATCTAGTAATACTATAAGGACCACTATTTGCACCAGCAGCACCTCTTCCCATTAATGCACTAGCATTCTGATTTTTTTGACCAAGTGGTGCACCATTATATCTTGCAGCCACAGGAACAAATCCAGGATTAGCTTTACGTCTTTGCTGTTGCTGTTGTTGTTGTTGCAAACGAGCAAATTGGAAATCTGGATTATTATTCAATACGTTATCAGAAACAGTTGGACCTCTTGGTGGTTGAGGTTGTGATTGTGATTGTGATTGATGATGATATTGTTGTTGTTGATATGGTGATGGTTGACCCAGATTGGAATAATATGATGATGTTGGTGCACTAGCATTTGAACCTGCATATGCTGGACCGGAAGCTAATTGATGTGGTTGAGGTTGTTGTCCCATGTATGGTCTATATTGATTAGCTTGTAGCTGCTGTTGTTGATGAATTGGAGTGTATTGTTGAACATGTGAATATTGGTTTTGTGGTTGATATCCTCCTTGATTATAGGCATTTCCATAATATTGAGGATTTGGTGCACGTTGTGAAACACTAGTGAAATCAGAATCTTCATCAGAATCATTAATACCATTACCATTATCTTGTCTATTGTTATTAACCAAAGCTTCTTCTTCATCTGCATCACTTGAATCATCCAATTCAGTAAATGGTTTATGTCCTTCAACTTCTGGATGATGTTCAAAAACACTTGAATTATAGTCATTCTTATCATTACTTGTAGTTGGTGGTGTTCCAGCAGGATAAGGCAATCCTCCTGAAGATCCTTGTGGAGGTGTATTTGATTGATAACCATAACTATTTTGATCTCTTTGAGTAAAATCATTAACAGTTTGTGGTTTATTGAAATATGATGAAGAATTACTTGTCAACGAACCATTATTACCCATTCTTTGAGATGGTGGAACAATACGATTAGATGCTGGGGCAGAATTTGAACCAAAACTAGAACTAGTAGCAGTAGCAGTAGCAGCAGCACCTGCGCCAGCACCCGCACCCGCACCAGCGCCGGCAGCGGCACCAGCCGTTGCTACAGCCGCAGTAGTTACAATTCCTGGACCATTAGCAGTTCTTACTTTACCAGCATTTGAATTGAGGTTGGTGAAAGTATTATAATTAGATTCTTTTGGTTTATAATCAAATTCATCATCAACAGAACTATTCGTTTTAAATGTTGAAGTTTGAATATGATTAAACTTATCATCAATACGATTGTAATTTGTGAATCTTCCAAAGTCTTCATTTTCAAAAGTTGAACCAACATCATCATCACCATCAGTACCAAACAATAAAGTAAGAACCAAACCAATTATTGAAATGATAGTAGCTGCACCTGAACCAATTAAAATCCATGCTGTCCAACCTAAATTAGGATAAAATGACAAGATGGAAATCACACATGAAATAATAGTTAATATCAAAGCAATAACATTAACAACAATAGCAATTATAACCACTGGTCTAGAACCAAAATGACTAACAAATATCAAGACTAATAAAATAAAATTAAATCCAAGAGCAATAGGAGTTAAAATAAACATTTTTGCTAAAGTATCTCTTGAAGATTCCAGTAATAACCAATTTTTAGTTGAATCATCAACTTGACTTAAAGATAAAGGATAACCTGTGAAACAATCCAGATCATTATTCCAACAAAAACCAAAAACACCATATGTATGACTAGCGGTATCACCTAATTTAAATGCTTTAACTACTGGTGAACTTATAGTTGCAAGTAATAGAAAAACAAATGAAACTAATATTACAACAAATGAAATTGTATTGAAACTCAACCGAAATGACATGATGTGAAATATGAATCTATAATGGTTGAATAATAAAAAAAAAAAGACAAAACTAACAAAAATTAGCTGGGATATATATGTATATATAAAACAGAACTAAAGTCAAAAGTAAGATTGGATAGATATTTGATAGCTTCTTGAACTTGTTGATAGTAACTAAAAGAAAGTAGAAAATCCAAATAGTTGTGACTATTATTATTAGTAGGAGGTTTTTTTCGTTTTTTGTTTTTTTTTTTGAAATCAAATTTGTTGATTAATGATTATTGATTGTGGATGTTTATTTTATTTCAATTTTGTTCAAAAAATATGAAATTGATTTGAAACACTTTTTTTTTTATTTTTTGCCTGTACTGTACTCTACTGCTTAGTTAATTAATTAGTTAATTAGTATTTGTGTAACACGCGGAAACTATCAAATCTTGCCCCTGCGATGTTTACTTTTCTCGTTGCAGGTTCAAACTTTTTTTTTGTCTCGCTCTCTCTCTCTCTCTCTTATTATTATGTAATCAATTCTGAAGACAAGGCTGTGTAATATAAATTAATGAATCATCATCATCCTTATCCACATTAGAATAAAAATAGAGATCAACAATTCACAGAGTAATGGAGTGAGTGGAGGAAGTGGAGGAGGAGGGGGGGGGATCAATTGATCATAGCAATTTATATCCCCTCCCAACATCGACAATCTATAGCTTCCTTTATAATCATTTATGGAAATTAAAAGAAAAAACCAATCATCTATTGTTTTCGATATGGTTGTATTATTATTATTAATATTATTATTATCTAAGATACAATTAACTAAAAATAGGAGTTATACGGCTTCTTCTAGTAATATAACAAGATTGAAAAAAAAAACCCATGCCACGTGATTCACACTAATAATAATAAAAAAAAAAAAATCTCTAACACTAACATGTACACACACTCTGTATACACATACGAATTATTTGATTCTCTTCGTTTGCCCCTATTTTTTATATGTTCAGACACACACCCACACATTTTTCTCTCAGTGTGGGATAATTAAGTTTGACCCGATTGAAAAATAACTCAAAATTAATTTACACGAAATCAATCAATCAATTACCACCGCACTGCACCGCACCACACGAGAAAAAGAAAACAACAACAATAAGGATTCAACCTGTCGCGGTAAAACTTCAACTAATCAAACAAGAACCGCCGCATCCATTACGCGACGTACGGCGTAGACCGCCTTGGGAAGAAGGAAGAGATTACTGCATATACTGACACTCTTGCACACACGGCTTCAAATTTGGACACACAGACACGACCTTTGATATTGATATTACATAACACACACACACTCACACACATGCTTATCGGCTTATCTTAAATAACTACATTAACAACTAACAACTAACAACTAACTAACAACTAACAAGTAATTTTGTCTTTTTGAACAATTACACATTAAACTTCGTGGTGATATCTCATGGCTGATTTGGGTTGTAACATCTTTATGAACTTGGCTGGGATGGGCTGGGCTTGGCTGGGCTGAACCAGTTTTAATACAACACAATGACAATAACATTATTAACTTTTATTAAATAATCTTCATATAAACTGAGATTACTAATACTAATACTACTACTACTACTTATATACATATATTTGAATTTTATTGGTGATACCAACAATCTGGAACTTCAAGAATATAACGTTCCATGGCTGCTCTAAACCTATTACGATATTGTTTAGGTGTAACAATAGTAGGATCTCTTTTACTTCCAATACCTTTGACCCAATTTTCAACTCGTTTATCCCATGTAAACGTTCTTAACCAATCGATAATACCAACAATCATTTCTTTACTTTCATCGTTAAATCCAACAACCAATGAATAATCCATAACTTCCATGGATTTCAAAAATAATGTATCATTAAACAAACAACCACGTAATAATTGTTTCAGCACTTGACTAACAAACACTGGCGATTCATAAATATATTCAATCATATTCTCATCCAACAACACTTCTCCAGTTTCATTAGTATAACGATTTCTTGTTGATCCTTTCAAATCAAACACTTTATTATTCTTCAGATTATAAAATAAATTCTCCATAATCAAGAAATCCATCTTGAAAACTTTACCTGTAGTGGTAACTTGTGTAGTATAAATCCCCCATATTTTACCAATAGCTGTTTTAAGTCCACTAAAGATAGATTGTCCAATATATTTGAAATAAAATGGTGCAATAGATACAAATGATTCCAATTCTTGTTTCGATAATTCCTTTAAAATATATCGATTATCTAAAGTCTTCAAGAAACTTGATCCACTTTTACCTCCACTTGATTGCCATTTAACACATCGACTTAAACTTTGTATAAAACTTTCATCAACTCCACATGCTTTTCTTAATGCTTCAAATTGTTCACTATAGAAAATCTTACATGACAAATTTGTGTTACCATCAATAAATTGATACTTCAAATGATTGGATTTACTCTTGGTTAGAATTTGTTCCAAAGGACTAACTTTGGCTCCTTCTGTATTAAAATTCTTTTTAAATTTCCTTTCAATCTTTTCAAATTGTTCCATTTTTTTCTTATTATCACTGCCAACTGCATTTCTTTTTTCATTGTATTGATTCGACGCTTTATTTTCAACTACCGGGGACTCTTCTTCATTTTGTGGTTGCTGTTGCTGTTGCTGTTGCACTTGTTGTTCTTCTTGTTCTTCTCGTTGTGGTTGTTGCTCTTGTTGATTCTCTTGTGATTCTTGTTCGTCTTCTTGTTGTTGTTGATGCTGATGTTGCTCATCATCATTCCTTTGTTGCTCTGATTGACAACTGTCAATCTTTTCAAATACAATTTTAATCTTTTGTTTATAATCATTTGAAGAAAGACAAAAAGCAACCAATGAACTTGGTTCATCTTCTCGAACAATAACATCAGAATCGGCAAATGTATGCTCATGACTTTCTAAAGCATATGATAATGGATCCCACAATGTAGCAGATCTATCAGCCCAGAAATTAGTCAATGATTTTAATAATGATTGCTTTTCAGGTATATCCAACTGTTTAGAATCTTGAATTTCTTTTGGTAATTCCTTTGGTAACTCTTTAACCACTTCTTCTTTTTCCACAGGTTTCTTTTTATCATCTTCTACACCAACAACATCTTCAATCTGATCATAAATCTCCACAATTGGTTTGCTATCAAAAACTGGTTGAGCTTTAATTTTTGATTTCCTCTTCATTTCTCTTTCTCTTTGTCTAGAAAATTCCAATGAAATTTGATCATAATACATCTTGTCAAAGAAATTGGCCAAATGGATAACTTTATTTTGAGAAGGAATAACATTACTAGTATTACTATTATTATTATTGTTGTTGTTGTTAGATTTCAAAGATCCTTCAGATCCACGATGAATTAATTTCTTTAGAGTACCATCATCTCCAACTTCTGCTGTTTTATTCCATTTACTTATTCTTTCAGAAATATTCGAATTTTGTTCATATAATGTACTTTGAGTATTTGACTTAGTTTCAGGACTCGATTCAGGTAACTTTTCTGTTATAGATACTTGTCTTGGTTTTTTAGGTATAAACTCAGGAGGAGGAGGTGGTGGAGGAGATGGAAGCTTAGACAATTCTTCTTCAGTTTTGCTCTCCCCTTCAGGATTCATCTCTCCTACTTCTCCTTGTTCACTTCCTTGACTACTATGTGTATCAATCATCAGCAATTCTGGAGTAACAGTAGTTTCCACATTAGTAGGCTCCTTATCTATTTTTGGAATATCCACCATTTCCACTTCTTTATCTGGATATTTATCCATTAAAAACTTACGCAATTGAAATTGTGTGATTCGAGTAACATCATTTTCACTTGGTAAATACATCTTTTCAAAATCATTAAATTCATTATCCCAATAAATACCCAATTTTTGTAAATCTCTCAATATAACATTTAAACTAAGGTAATTTGTTGGTGTAATAGTTTTATAGATAGATTCCAATCTACTATAGATATTTTCAGAATGTTCTTGAAGTTTAGTTTTCAATTCTTTAATCTTTTGCATACCTGCTTCAGCTTTATCAAATGTATCCAATTTAACTCTATTCAATCTTTTCAGAATGGAATCAAAGAATCCATCAGCTTTGGTCCGAATAGTCTTATAAGCCTCCACTTTAAGTTTAATATCAACACTTGTTATATAATCCAATTTCTTCTTGGGAACAACAATTTCATAATTATCAATAGTAGAATATTCAAGACGGATAACAAGATTGTTAAAACCAAAACATTTAACATAACTTTTAAAAAAATCATGTTCACATCCACCAACTATATTTTCACCATAAAAACTCAATTCAAAGAATTTTCCAATTGACAAATAATAAGTTTCATCACTCATGGCAATTATTGGTGTTGTATAATTACATTCTTTACATGAACTCCACATAACTCTTTGATTTTTCCCTTGAGTATTACCTTGTATATCATACTTTTCCATAATCAAATCAACCTTGGCATTTTGATGTACATAACTCTTGTAATGATCCAAATAAGTTTCCCCACATTCATTACATACTTTAGAACTCTCATGGAAAGCTTGATCCAAAAATAATCCAAAACATTTATCATTCTCTGTGTAGTAATCAATCACAACAATACCAGGACCAGTACAAGGTGTAGCATGTTTAATAGATACAGTAGAATGCAAAACATGGATATTTCTATGAAATATTGGATACAACTGATAAGAAGGGTATCTCATACAATTAGACCAAACACGTGCACGATTATGATATTCATTGATCAATAATTTCAAATGCCCTTCACTGGCACATTTAAGCATTCTCAACAATTCATCACCTTTACCTGGAAGATCATCAACTTTGTAGTTAATATTTAATTCAACTAGCCAAGAATCATCTATATCTTCAGATGATTCCAACTTTTGAATTTGATTATGTTTTTGGAAAAATTGATAGAATGAATAATATGAAGTAATCACATTCACCAATGGAGTTGGTAAGGAAAATTCCACCGCAGGAGATAAACTAAGTTTTCTCTCATTAAATAATTTGAAATATTCAACCACCTCTGTACTATCTAAACTTATCTCACAAGTATTGAGTACCTCTTCATTATCGTCATTATTATTAACTTCTTCCAACTTGTCACGAATTTCAACAATTTTTTCATTCTTATTGCCTTCGATATAATTCAACAGCAAGTTTTCAAAAAAACTCTTTTCAAATCTAGCATTCAAATACCCTGGCATTAATGTTTCAGCTGCATATTTGACACCATTCAATAACTCTTCATCACCACCACGTAATGAAATAGTGAAACCCAGCTGAATATCACAACCAGTGAAAAATACAAATGATTTAATTGCATTCTGGTATTTAAATCTCTTGACCGCAAACTCTTCACAAGTTCCCAATTTACCCTTTTTGAAAAATAAATCATTAACTGATTGGAAAATATCCGCTTTGGTGTATCGCGATATACGCTCAATAACCTGGGGTTTTACGTTGGACATAACTGTAACACCAGCTTCTTCCAATAATTTTTCCGCCAATCCACATATTGAATCTCCAATGACAATGATATCTGGTTCTAAAGAAATCAACCTAGATACCAAATTGGTGATGTAAACAGACTGTTGTGCATGAATGATTCGTAAACTGATAAATTGTTCCTTTTGTTTCAAATATTCAACCGGAAACATAAGCAACGCAATACGTGGGTTCCTAATACTAGATGACATTTTCTTTGAATCAATATTCTTAGTCATAAACAATCCATCAATCACTTCAGTTTGTCGAATTTTACCACCTAAAATTTTCTTAACCTTCACATATTGTCTAATATCCAATGTATCTGTCAATTTGATATCATCAATATGTTCCAACAGGTTGGACAAAACATTCATCCACAGATCTATATTATCTTCAATTTCACAATCTTTTAAAGATTGACGCAATATAAAATTCATAGTATCTTTATACCATTTATCTTTATCATTATTATTCTCATTCATGGTAATATCTCTCCAAGACATCAAGTTATGATGGTCCTCCAGTTCAAGTAAATTTTCATGAGAACCAAAATAATCATCTGGCTTGTAATGTTCCAAAGCAGTACTGGTGGAGATTCTTGGACCAAGTGGAGACATTTCTGAATATTGATTACCCGAAGAAGTACTCACAGCATCAGAGTTTGCCAATCCAGTAGTCAAATTTGAATGGTTGGAGGTTGGGTTTGCAATTGTATTGGAAGTACTTGGCCCAGGGGATGATGGTGAGGTTATTGGTGTCAATGAGGTTCCTGTTATATTAGCCCGATGACTGGGTGAATCCAAACTTGGCAACCTCAAATTATTATGAGTTAAAATCAGAACATTTCTTGTAGCTTTACCTTGTCTTCTAGATCTCATACGTTGAAGTGATGCATGGGCTCTTGCTCTAGATCTCAAACTATCAGCTGGAACTTGTTTAGAAGGACTATCTGTTAGAAATGCAACTGGATTATGATGGAAAATATCCACTGAACCAATATTACCCAATTGATGCGGGAAACCACTTTTCATAATTGGGAACTCACCCAAAGTTGGAACAACAACTCCGCTATGAGCATGAATTGGAGGTGGTTTATGAGTCAATGGAGTAGAACCATATCCATGCGAATCATTTAATGATGCATACAATGACATAGCATGCTCATCTTCTTCATCTTCAGCTACATTACCACGAAGATCTTGTACCTCATTTACGTCTTCATACTCGTCATCATAATCGTCTTCATCAAAAATATTCTGTTCTTGACGGTCTAAAGTATGATTATTGCCAAAGTTCTGCATGTCTCCAGGCTCTTGGGACGATTCTTTGCCATAGCCTAATGCATCTCGATTATTATTTCCAGACAACACACGTAATTTGAAGGATGGATTTCTTGTCATAAAGCTAGTGTATGCACTGCTTAAATTGTCCAAACTACGACTAGTAAGCATACTAGCATTATTCAAACCCGGTGATAAGTGATTCTTAATCCACGTTTTACTGGAACTTTGTGAATCTGTTCCTGTACCACTACTGGGAACAACATCTCCTGCACCAACACCAACACCCCCTCCTGCTGCGGCGACAGAAATATTCAGATGTTTCTGAGTGTTATTGTGTGTATGATGATGGTGATGATTATGATTATGATGATGGTGATGATGGTGGTGGTGATTGTGATTGTGGTGACGGTGTCCATGGTGAGCTACATAATATGACTGCAGATGTTGACTTTGTGGATGACTTGGTGACAATGAGCCTACATTTACAGAAGATCCATATGTAGTTCCAGGAGTTTGCAAAATGGACGAATTAACCAACGAGTGTCTCATGAGTGGAATCTCAATAGATTCTCCAGTACGTGTTGTAGGAATTGCCATTTTAGGTGCTTGTTTAGGATGAACTTTAATTGATTCATCTGGATATAGGAATTGGCTGTTGGCATTTACAGAACTAGCACTATTACCATTGTTGTAGTTATTGTTAACAATATTGTTATTCCGTGATGGCGAATTAGAATTGCTTGTAATAGAAGTATTTCCTTCAAGAAGACGACTATCACGCAACAGTGGTTTTCTGGTGATAGCATCAGAAGGGCGAAGATCTCGAGACGAGCTCATAGACATTGACCTAATTCTAGACAAAGGATGGTTTGGAACTAGTAAATCTTCGGCTTTAGTTTTTGATAAATCAACACTTTCAACCGATGTATCCTTCTCCATTTCTGATTCTGAACTTGAGGAATCATCACTGAGATAAATGATAACATCACTATAACATGGTTTACAAACCCTAAGTTTATCATTATAAGGTTCTTTGTTGGAGCTTGTTCTGTTGTTTCTTTCATCCTTATGTTGAGTGTATGAGATAAACAAAGTACATTCGGAACAGAATATTTGTCCACAGAATCGACAATGATGTTTTCTTCTGAATGGAGTGAAAGGCCTGAAGCAATTCAAACAATCAGATACAAATGCATCATTCATCCAATACTTTTTGGGGATACCTCCGTTTTTTAATGGATTTTCAGATGCCTTTTTGGGTTTCTTCTTTTTCCTCCTACCGCCAACAATTGAAGATGCTGATGAGGCTACAGCACCAATGTTCTGGTTGATAATTGTTCTGGCATTATCCAACAAAACAGACGACAAATGTGACGTTTTCTTTTTTGTTGCATTTAAATCTTTATTTTGGAGCGCATGAAAAGATGACACTGTTGGAGATTGTCCAAGATTTGTACTAAAAGAAGTGGCCACTTTCCTTTCAGCTTTAACAGGCGATGATTTGGCAATTGACTCACTATACCTAGAACTTAGATCGTACTGGACTTGCTTTGCAAGTTTTGACATAGATCCCAAACTTGCATCTGAAGGATTTTCTCTATAACCCACGGTTCCATGATTTTTCCCAGGATCATCTTCAATATCATTTCTTGTTGTATCCAGATCAGATGCCGAATCATCTGATAATTCAATATCGTTTGGTAAATTGTTAAATATTGATGATATTTTATTCAGTAGTGATCTATCATAATTTTTGGCATTTGTATTTGTTCCCTTTTGATTTATTCTACCATTGTAATTGCTTGTCCTATCACTTTCTAACGACTCAACATCTACAGATGCCAGTACATTGACATTAACAACAGAACTTGTTGTACTATTATTGACTGACTGTAGACGAGGGAGCTGCATAGTTGATATCCGAAGAGTTTTATTATCGGATGTAACTCTTGGTGGAGCCATGGTACGTTCGGATAACACTTGACGGATTGCACCAGAAGGAGGTTGCAATTGTCCAGAAATTGGTGGACATGGAGGTGCGGGATGTGCAACATGCTGACTTGGTTGACTTGATTGTTGTTGTTGTTGTTGCGACTGCGATTGTGATTGTGATTCTGATTGTGGTTGCTGTATTTGTTGACTGGGTACTTGCGGTAGTGTTGTGCCCTTTGGATGCAGAACAACTTGGGGTTGAGGTTGAGGTTGAGATTGAGATTGTGCTTGTACTTGAGGTTGAGGTTGAGGGGGCTGTAACTTTGGCTCTGTGGTCTCATTGGTGACAATTGACAGTCTCTCAATAGGTGACACATTACTGTCCTTTTTAACACTACCAGGTGTGATTTTTGGATATACTGATGGCGCCTTGTCTGGTTTGATATCCAATGGACTAGTTGTTCTTGAAAAGTCATCGTCCAATTTCTTTGGAACAGTTTCATTACGAAGTGGAACATCCGTGTTTATTGGTGTTTCATCGATGGCATCATTCTTAGGTGTAATTGCCGATGGATCGGTGTTAATGGTTCTATAATCATTATTCTTGTTACCAAATGGAGATGAATCAATAATATTTCCTTTAGGGGACGTTATCCCCTGAGAATAATTCAGCACAAGATTTGATGCATTTGCTGTTACTTTTCGTAGTGTTTTTGACAATAACCCTGAAATTGATTTAGTATTGCTGAGTTCTGGGTCGGGGATAGTTGGAAAGGATACATAATCTTCAACGTTACTCTTCTTTTGACTACTACTAGTACTACTATTACTACCGCCATCATTATTATCATCCTCATCACTATTATTCGCATGGGATGGGTATCTTTCAGGAGTCGGACGAAGTTGTCGTTTTTGATCGTCACTCATAATTTATTAATAATTGTTGATGGTCAACACGTCTTGAGTGTGTAGGTATAATCCCAAAAACTTCACAAAGATCAAATAACCCCGTATGATTCGAAATTCTAAACTCGTATGAATATTAGTTGCAAAGGGAATAGAAAAATAATTCCTCAATTATAAACTTGATAGTCTTTTCGAATTATGTATAAAGTGGAATGAAATAAAGAATATTCCTTGTAAAGAAAAGAAAATAGTAGATGACAAAGTGTAAGGTTAAGGAAGTTTTTAGTGGTTCTTGTATTTTTGTATTTACATTTTTTTTAGGCTCTCTCTCTGTGTTTGGGTTTCATTGTTTTACCGTTACAAACGTGTTAACTTAGTCGTGCACAAGGGTACAATCCTGTTAACTATGTGCTATATATATATCTCTATATATAAAAATCAATCAACGGAGAGAAGAACTACTACCAATTGAGTGATGTAATTTATAATATCACGATATTTGTTGGTAGTAGTATCAATGCCGATTGTAATTCATTAGATTTTAGGGATGTAAATTAAATGGATTGCTGGTGTAATCTTACCAACCAACCAGCCAGTGGTGAACCGCAGGACGTGTCGTCTGAGCAGGAAACAAACAAACAAACAAATCCGAAAATGTTGTCACGCGCACACGACCACTCCCATACATAAGAAAGTCGTGTCTCTTGGAACATTGTTTTTTTTTATTTTTTCTCTGCCAACAAATTTTCTCTTTCTTGTTTTCACTCAGTTGTCCTCTGCTTTCATTTTCCAATTCACAATTGATAAAAGAAAAGAGCGAAGAAAAAAAAAAAAGTCAACGGTCAATTGATTCATACTTTCTTGCTTCTAGTTTCAATACCATTGGTACTGTTTTCTTTATTTTCTACAAGCAGTACATTCCATTATAGGTCAAGACTCTTGTCTTAATAAATAATCATTTGACTATAAGTTACTACAACCAACATGTCATCATCATCAGGATTACAAAGACGTCGTGGTGCTAAACAATCCACACCAAAACCAAGAACATCAGAGTCCTTTGATGAAGACCGTTCCCCAGCTACAAATAATGTGGCCTCAGATCATAAAATAGGATACGATGATAAGGATATAAAAAGTCCAGCCTCTTTGAAACAACCTTTATTAACTTTGATGGAAGAAGTTTTGTTGATGGGATTGAAAGATAAAGAAGGATACTTGTCCTTTTGGAATGATAACATTTCTTACGCTTTACGTGGATGCATATTATTGGAATTGACTTTCCGTAACAAAATCACTTTGGTGAATGATCCAGCAAGACGTCGCTTTGAATTGAGCGATAGATTGGTTGAGGTTATAGATTCCGAACCAACTGGTGAAGTTTTATTAGATGAAGCTTTGAAAATTATGAAGAATGATGAAAGTAATTTGTCCGTTACCAACTGGATTGATTTATTGAGTGGTGAAACCTGGAATTTGATGAAGATTAACTACCAATTGAAACAAGTCAGAGAAAGATTAGCCAAAGGATTGGTGGATAAAGGTATTTTAAGAACTGAACGTAAGAATTTCTTCCTTTTCGACATGGCTACTCATCCTGTTGCTGATAAATTATCTAAAGAATACATTAAAAATAGAATCTTGAATTTGTTAGTACAGAGGAATGTTGATTTGGACAGTGTTGCAAACGACCAATTCCCAGCAGATACTTCATTTAAATATTTGAGATCAATTTCTTTGGTTTGTGGATCTTATGCTGCTAATGTTTTAGAAAATGTGTTATTATCATTGAATTACGACAAAAGAGATCAAGCATTTGCTAGAGCTGATGAATTATTGGCCGATTTCAGTGAATATCCATTCAATTTATCACACCAAAGTCCACTAGGCGTAGGCTTGAATTTGGGACAAGAAGTTAGTGATGAAATTGAAAAATCTTCTGCTACTGAATTGCAATTAGAATTAATTGCTGCTGTTTTGAGCGTATTTGCTAGAATGGATTCAATTCTTTAAATTACTTTAACACTTGAAAGAAAATCATCCCTAGTCACCATTTGACAGCAATAACAACACCAATAATTATAGTAATGATAATAATAATAGTAAAAAAAAAAAAGAACAAAAAGAGAGATAAACATTTGATATTTGCATTTTCAGAAAATTTGGACAAACTGTACCATTATGATAATCATGACAATATATGTTTGAACGGATAGTGTTGTGCTGTTATTTTCTTTAATTATATTTTATTTTATTTTATTTTACTTTAGTTTTTTTTTATTATTATTATTAAATATTGGTTTGTCAAGTTGAAGGGAATCTATTTTCATTTTCTTTGTTGTTCGATTTCTTTTGTATATTATTATTAGTTTTTATTATAATTATGAATAGATGGATCTAGTATACAGGTTTCTAATTTTTATAATTAAACTTATCATAACCACTTGAACTAGCAATGTGTGATGTTATTTTCTGACTTGTCAAGAACTTCTATTCCTCCAAGTTGATCAACGAAATGCTTCACCAATGATCTATCATTTGCTACATCACCAGCTGAATCCCACCACATACCTCCTCCAAGTTTATTCAGACGAACATAACTTCCTTTGATAGCAGCAGATTGATGATTATCATAAGTGACAAGTTGCTTTCTTTTTGAATCAAACTTTATAGCACCAACTTTTCTCGAATCAAAAAGCTCAACATCAAAACCATCATCAATATTCTTATAATCAATTATATCATTTTCAACACAACCAGGAGCTCTTTCTTTAGTAAACGGAATCCCAATTTCAGGTTTTGCAACCCCGTGGAAAACTCGTCCATACAATGGCATTCCCAAAATCAATTTTGAAGGGTGAACACCTTTTTGAATATATGATTGAACTATATCAGATGCATTCAAACAATTATCACCATTATCACCAAACAAATTAGAATGAAATCCTGTTTTAGAAGACCATCCTTCACCAGCAAAATCGTAACACATCAAATTCCAAAAACTCAAATATTTATCCATTTCTGACACATGTAAAATATCAATATTATCTTTACCACCGGGAGCAGCTATGGTTAATAAATATTTAGAATCTAAATGTTTTCTTATTGTTGCCAACAATTCAACAAATTTAGCAGCATCATGTGAGTTCTTTGGATATTCCCAATCTAAATCAATTCCATCAAATCCATACTTTTCAACAAATTCAATTGAACTAGTGACAAAATTGTTAAATTTCTTATCATCTTTAACAATAGATTCAAATAAATGACAAGTCCCCCAACCACCAATAGACATTATAAGTTTCAAATTTCTGTTGGTTTTCTTCATTTCATTAAATTGTTTGATATTACCGAGATTACATTCATTAGGTTTAGGCTGTGGCATTTGTAAATCACACCATTCATCACTAAATTTAACTTTACCTGTCTGTTCATCAATAAGAATAAAAGCGTAGAAAATATGGGTATAATAATCAATTGGGAGATCTTGAGGGAAATGTTTCTTTTGATACACAGACCAATTTGAGAAATAAACACAAGTTTTAAAGAATGGTTTGTTATTATGAAGTTGTAATCTTTGTTGAAATTTATCCATCATCTTATGACACATGGTTATCTGTAGAAATTAGCAACAAGGTGGGAAAATAGTTATCAAAATCTAGCAACAACACCCAATGGATATTTATATACCTCTCTGATGTGTCTGATTAATATGGTGTGCAAATTTCATTTCCTACGCCCCAAACTTGGCAGCAACGATAGCACGACATGACACGACACGACCCACCAAAGGCAAAAAAAAACAAAAAACAATCAAACATTAAATATAGAACCAAAAAAAAAAGTTGAACATTCCTTACTGCCAAATCCACAGATTCACATTTACGAATAGTGACCAATCCCCATTTCTGCGCCTCCTATTCATACCAAAATTCATATATACATATATACCATTTGACATAATTATGACCTTGGAATTGCCTTCTGATATTCTGCTGACTATTCCAGCAAATGCCAAGATCTACAAAGATGATTGTATGTACTCATTCGATACCCCAGAGAATAATGAGTTGGGATTGGACATTGATTTGAAATCATACAAGGCATATTCAAGAAATAAAGATTACAATTATACTAAAGAAAACTTTGAAAAAACAGGAAATTATTTATACTTAAACATTAAAAAAAAATTGAAACCTCAAGAGGAAAGAAATAAATTATTATATGATGATAATGGCGAAAAAACCCCTAAATTGCAAAAATTGGAAATCAAAAATGTATCCGATGATGATTATTATAATTCTACGATCACTGTATATGATGTTAGAGATGATAAAGTTTATCAAAGAAATGAAGTGAGTGAATCATTCAACAAGTTAATTGATGCTATTCTTGCGGCAAATTCCTCAGCCACAGAAGATGAGATTAAACAATGGGAACAAGAAATTATACCATGTCATCATTCAATAGATGTTGAACAATTTGATAATGATAATTTAGATTTAACTAAATGTAGTCAATGTGAATTGGCGGAAAATTTATGGATTTGTTTACATTGTGGAAGTTTAGGTTGTGGTAGACAACAATATGGTTCTGATTTGAAAGGAAATGGACATGCATTAGCACATTATGAAATTAGTCAACATCCAGTGGCTATTAAGTTAGGATCTTTATCTGCTGATTCAGAAAGTTGTGATGCTTATTGTTATCAATGTAATGATGAAGTTAAAGTCCCTAATTTGGCTGAAAAATTACACAAGTTTGGTATTGATTTGAACTCGGCTGTCAAAACTGAAAAATCATTAGTTGAACTTAATATTGATCAAAATTTAAATTGGGATTTCAAATTGGATGGTGCTAATGGAGAAAAATTACCACCTGTTTATGGTAAAGGATTGACTGGTTTCCAGAATTTGGGTAATTCTTGTTATATCAATTCAGTTCTTCAATCACTTTACAATTTGGATGGATATAAGAAATATCTCAAGGATGAAAAATTTCCACCACAAGTTGAAAATCCAGCTAATGATTTAATTAGTCAATTGATTAAAATTTATGATGGTTTATATAGTGGTAGATATTCCATTCCTGGATCATTAAAAGGTGATGATTATCAATTGGGTATTAAACCATCTGCATTCAAAACTTTAATTGGAGAAAATCATCCTGAATTTAAAACTCAGAGACAGCAAGATGCTTTTGAGTTTTTATTGTATTTCCTTGACAAAGTGGATAAAGAGTTGGGTCTTAAACTCAATGAAGATTTGAAGTTTTTGTTGACCAGTAAGGTATTGTGTGCTCATTGTTCACATGGTACTTTAACTAATGATTTGGTGGATAACATCTCTGTGCCAATTGAAGCCGAGGTTTTAAGTAAAGATGAAGATGGGAAGAAAATTTACAAAGAAGTTGAATTAATTGATAGTTTTAGAGAATACACTTCTGAAGAAGCTATTGAAGGTTATAAATGTGATAACTGCGATGAATCTCCAGGAATGGCATTTAAATCTTCAGGTTTCAAAACTTTCCCCAAATCCCTTGTTGTTAATGTTCAAAGAATTAAATTGGAAAATTGGGCACCAATAAAAGTTGATGTTCCTATTGAAATTCCTTATGAATTAGATTTATCTGAATTCACAGCACCAAAATTCAATGACGGTGAAGTTGAAGAAGCAAAGAAAAATGAATCAGACACTGGTGCTTCATTTGTTGCTAATGAAGAGGCATTAACTACATTATTAAGCATGGGATTTCCTGAACCTAGATGTCTTAAAGGATTGTTCAATACAGGAAACAATAATGCCGAGGATGCCATGAATTGGATATTTGCTCACATGGATGATGCAGATATTGATGAACCATTTGATCCAAATGTAAATTCTTCTTCTTCTTCTGCTTCATCAAATGAACCATCAGCTGAATTGATTGAAAATGTTTGTGCTATGGGATTTTCTCAACAATTGGCTAAAAAAGCATTATTATTAAACAATAACGATATTAGCGCGGCTGTTGAATGGTTATTTTCTAACCCCGATGACAATGGTGTCATCGAGGACAATGCAAAACCGGTTGTTAATATTAATGAAGAGAAGGCAAAATTGATTGAAAAATTGGAAAAATCAACTTGTAACAATGGCAAATATGAATTGGAGTCTGTTATTTGTCATAAAGGTACATCACCACATACAGGTCATTATGTTGTGTTTATCAAGAAGCTTATTGATGGAGAGTATAAATGGGTATTGTTTAATGATGAAAAAGTTGTTGTTTGCGATGAAGACAACTTGCAAGATATGAAGAACAGTGCTTATGTTTATATATTTAAAAAGATAGAGTAGTTGAGGAATAGAGTTTGGTTAAAAGTTGATGCAACGTGGTTGTCGTAGTATGAATGTATGTGTGTACACACTGTAAATTGCCGTGTGAGCATGGGACACGCTCTCTCTCTCTGTTTCTGTGTGATCACCAAATCAGAATTGTCATTTTAATTATGACTAAATTTTTTCCTCTCTCTCTCTCTTTGTGTGAGTCAGTCGATTCATCGCATCAGCGAATATTATTTCTTATATAAGCTGGGAAATTTTTCATTCTTTATTACTTTCTTTCTTGCAAGTGCTTTTTTTAACAGATCTATTAATTATTCATTATTTATTATTTATACTTCTTGTAAATACCTAATATTCCTTACAACTAATACAAAATGTTCATCACAAATGAAAATGTCGGTGATAGAAGCCGTATGGAAGACTGGAGAAGTATGTGTGTTTTGAGTCATAAAATCTGAAATTTAAAGTCTAAGACATGGACAAAGACAAAAATCACTGATGTTCTTTTGTTTTACTTTACGTTTCTTTTTCAGTTCTAATAGTAACCAAACTATTTGATACTAACGTTTAATTGTCATTTACAGTCCGTGGTTACGATCCATTAACACCACCAGATCTTTTACAACATGAATATCCATTGACTCCAGAATCCCAAAAAACAATTATTGAAGGTAGAAATGCCGCTTGTAATATTTTGGATGGTAAAGATGACAGATTAATTATTGTCATTGGTCCATGTTCTATTCATGATCCTAAAGCTGCTTTAGATTATTGTGAAAGATTATATAAAGCTTCTGAAAAACACAAGGGCGAATTATTAATTGTCATGAGAGCTTATTTAGAAAAACCAAGAACTACCATTGGTTGGAAAGGTTTGATTAATGATCCAGATATTGATGGAACTTTCCATATAAATAAAGGTTTAAGAGTTGCTAGAAAATTATTTGTTGATTTAACTTCAAAATTACCTATTGCAGGTGAAATGTTGGATACTATTTCTCCACAATTTTTATCTGATTTATTTTCTGTGGGTGCTATTGGTGCTAGAACTACCGAATCTCAATTACATAGAGAATTGGCTTCTGGTTTAAGCTTCCCAGTTGGTTTCAAAAATGGTACCGATGGTACTTTGGGTGTTTCAATTGATGCTTTAAGAGCTGCTTCTCATCCTCACCATTTCTTAAGCGTTACTAAACCTGGTGTTGTTGCCATTGTTGGTACTGATGGTAATAAAGATTGTTTCGTTATTTTAAGAGGTGGTAAAAAGGGAACAAATTATGATGCCAAGTCTGTTCAAGAAACTCAACAAGAATTAATTAAAGCTAAAGTTGTCACCGAAGAAAAACCAGGTCCAAGAATAATGGTTGATTGTTCTCATGGTAATTCCAATAAAGATCATAGAAATCAACCAAAAGTTGCCCAAACTGTTGCTGACCAAATTGCTGCTGGTGAAAAGGCTATTTGTGGTTTGATGATTGAAAGTAATATCAATGAAGGTAGACAAGATGTTCCACCACAAGAACAAGGAGGTAAAGATGCATTGAAATATGGTGTTTCTATTACCGATGCTTGTATTGGTTGGGAATCTACCGAAGAAGTGTTAGAAGTATTGGCTAACGCTGTAAAGGCAAGAAGAGCTTTATAGTTTCCTTAAAGGAAAATGAGATTCCTAAGAATCAATGATTATTAAACGAAAAATAAAAGTAAAAGTAAAAATTATAATAACAAGACTGTTTTAGATTAGTATGATGTACATATGTAGAAATATAACAATGTGCAATAGGGTTGTTTCTCAATTCCTATAAAGCAATGTTTCACCTTGAATCCGATCCAATAATTGTTCCTTTTCATTGCTGGCAATTTAAAGTATATTCCACCCAGAATTAGGAACACATTTTCCCGAAACAGGCAATCATGCGGCGTTTCCTAAAACAGTAAATTTCCCTCTTTCTCTCATTTTTTTTTCTTTGGTTTGTTTCTCTCTCCTAAGAATAAATTATCGATTATATGATCTTCAACTTTTACCTTTTTTTTATTAACTAACTAAATTCAACATTCAATATTCAACATTCAAAATTGATCTACCAATCTATTATTTGGGGGCAATTATAGGAAAGCAATCTCAAAATTTGTGTTCATTTAATGTTTTAGTTAATAGACCACTATTATTGTCATTAGCATCACTACCAGTTACAACGTACAATGAGATCATTTATCAAGTCACACAGGAAGAATGATTCAAGTATATCTAATGCACCCTCGGAAGCATTACTACTAAACCCTAGTAATAACAATACTACCACTACTACTACCATCCCAATTACTACTAACAACAATAATATAACCAGTCATGTTGTTAGTAATACTCGGCCTGGTTCCAACACCAACAGTTTTAATTCTGCATCTGATGATTATCAGCCACCTACATCGTATAGTAATCGGTCATCAACTACTCCCATACCATCACCAAAAATGCAACAACATCCACAATTTACTCCTCCGCAAACAGGCCAATCTAGTATTAGTTCTCCGAAAAAATTATTAACTCCTATTAAAAACTTGTTCACTTCATCATCGCATTCTAAATCATCTTTAACCACACCAACTTCTGGTGAAAGTTTGATTGTAATGGGTGGATCCCCAAAAAATAAATTCAGAAAACATGTTCGAAGTCGAAGTCATATTTCCATATCTAATGATTTAAGTAAATTACCCGAAGATAAACCTAAAAATAGTTTATTCGATAATAAGACGTATCAAAAACTTACTCCTTTTGAACATGAAGTCAAATCATCAAAATCAAAATCAACGACTTCTTTAATTTCATTATCTGAAAATACTTCAAAACCAGTTAGACGTAGTTCAATAACATTATTTATGGGTCATAAATCTACAAAGAGAGAAAAACCTCCTCATTTGAGATCAAGACATATAACTTCACTTCCGTTACCAAATGCATCAAATGATTTAAATGTGGAATTGGGTCCACCAATCGCACTTTCACATAGTCCATCATTTAATACCAGTAATCCATCAATAGCTGAAAGTGAAAGTAAATTCCACACAAAACAAGTTGCATTTGATTCAATGACGGAATCTAAAATAAAAGATCAAACAGAAACCCAAAAACTAGAAAAAGTTGCTAATTTTGCTGCAGAAAAAGAAGAAGAAGAAGAAGAAGAAGTTGATGATGACGATGATGAATATGATTCTTCTTCTTCTCAATTCTCATTTGTTCAGGATATGAAAGGAGGTAGAAATACATCTGTGAAATATTACAAGACAAAAGATTATAAAAGAAAATCATCACCAGAAGCTGGATTACTGAATACTTTTAATGAATATGATTTAGGATATGATGTTGATGAGTTTTCCGATTATGATTATGAAAACAATGGTGCCGATATCGGCGACGACGATGATGATGCAGCAGCTATTGCTGATGACGAATATTGTGGATATGAAGAAGAAGACGATGTACAGTATAATAAGTTTTATGACGATGATATCGAAGATGATCCACCAGCAATGAGTATACAGAGTGAGGAAGACAATGAAGCTGAGGAATATGATGATATGAACCCATCATTAGTTACTAATAATGAAGAGAATACTCCACATGGTCTTGGTGCACCATTATTTGCTGACAATTCATCACAATCTAGAAATCCATTCAATCGTTCATTCCATTTATCAATTATGGGACCCAAATGTGATACACCAAAGGATAGTCCTGCTAAATCTAATTTTGAAGAGGATATTTTGGAGAATTACCTTGATATTAGTGAACTGCCATCTATTACGAACTCACAGGAGAATCTTGCTGATTTTGAAGACCCAAGTGCTAATGGTAATTTTGAATTATTTGCTTTGAATAGTCCTATTATTAATGGTTTAACTATTGGTAATAACTTGCGTCATCGTGCTGGGCGTCATCGTGATTTTACTAATACAAATAGATTGATTATTCATCGTAAACCAATTGAATTTTATGATGATTCAGTAAACCATTCGGGATTTACATTGAATGAGAATGATGGTTTCACGAAATACATACATTCATTTCATGGTTCCTTTGAAGATGGAATTAATAAAACTATCCATGAGAAGGTTAAAGGGTTTGAAGAATTTTGGGACAATCGCAAAAATCTTAAACCAAACAGCAATAATTTGGGATTAGGTATCATTGATAGTGTCTCTGGTAGCAGTACTCAATTTGAACAACCAGGTTTAGATAAGCGAACAAGTAATTCCACAAGTAATTCATCACATAGTAAACTAACTACTAGTGATGTGGCAAGCAATACAACGACAGGTAGTTCAATTCCTGTTAAAGCACCAATAGTTTCCAAAGCAAATAATCCAATAAGACAATCAGTGAGTGATATGATGGCTGTATTGGGAAGTTTGGAAATGTCAAATACAACCGAACCACAAGATCCCGTATCAAAAGATACATCCAAAGCAAGAGATTCAGTTGTTAATATGATGGGAGTATTGGAAAACTTGGAGAGTAATCTTAAAGAAGAACCTAAACCAACTGAGAAATCAACAAATCAACTAAGAAATTCAATAATTGGTATGATGGATGTATTGGCTAATTTGGAAAATGTTGAAGAACCAAAGGTAGATTTGAAAACAGAGAAAGTAAAAGAAGACAAAACCAACTTGCGAAACTCTGTAATTGGAATGATGGATCTTTTAGCAAACTTGGAACAACAAACAGATGAAAAGCGAGATCAACAGCAGAATAGGAAATCAGTAGTTGATATGTTGTCCACTTTATCTGCATTACAAGGTAATAACGATAAAGTTGATAAGTTAGAAACACTTGAAGAACCGAAACGTAAAGCATCATTTAAAAGATATTCCTGGTTTAATAGTCAAGAAAATTTATCAACTCCAACTAAAGATAAACCTCCTACTGTTAAAGAATATGATCCTACTGATGATAATGATAAATATAATACTTCCTTGGATCAAGAATTATTAGATGAAATTAATCAAATACCAGATGATTTTGATTTTGATGAAGCACAACAACAACAACAACAACAACTGATTCCACTACTGCAATTTCCAAGTAGAAGTCAATCCCGTGAACGTAGTGGGTTTTATCGTTCAAATTCATATAATAGAAAACCTAAAAAAACAGTTGTTTCAAATCAACTATTATCAAATAAAATAGAAACATTGAGTAAAACAGTTACATTTTATAATAGTGGGACTTCATCACCTGCTTCTTCATTAGCTTCAAGAAGTAGAAGTTTAAGCAGAGGACCATCTACAAGATCAATGAATTCATTTGCTTCAGTTAATGAAGAAGAAGAGGAAGAAGAAGAAGAGAATGAGTTTGATGATGATTTAATTGATGATGAATTATTAAATGAAATTAATGATGATTTATCATATGATGGATATAAATCAAATGATTTAGGTACGATTAATGAAAGTTTTGATAATCAAACATATTCATATAGGAATTGAAATATAGGAATAATAACATATAATAATAATAAGAAAAAGTGATATATTGGATATAGTAATTACAATTAATTTATCTATTTTTCTATATATTATTTTCTTCACTTAATTTTCGTTGTTGGATAAATGTATGAAAATCATAATTTTCATTAGAAGCATAATCAAAATAATTTGAATCTAAAAGAGGCATACTTTGATGTCTTATAGCTTTAATTCTAGTTTCACTCTTTGGTTGTAATGATGATGAAGTATTACTAGGATGATTTATTCTATTTGATTGATAATTAACTGATGATGATGACGTTGTTGAAGATGTCATTGAATTACTTGATCTTTTAAATTTTAATTCTTTAGTAATTGCATTAGTTATTGGAATTTTTTTATGATGAATAATTGAATTTGAACGATTACCATTTAATGAATTTCTTGATTTAATAGTTGAATTGTTTTTAAATAACCAAGTATCATTTCTGTATTTTGAATAAATACTCAACAATTCATCATATGAACTACCTTTATCGTCATCTTCTTCATCATCTTCTTGTTCATCATCATCATCATCGACTAAGACAACTTCGACATCTTTTCCATTGATTGTTTCTGTAGTTGATTTATAAGATCTAGTTGATCCACTTCTATCAATCATACAAACAACTTCATATTTATCTTTTGTTAAATCAATAATAACACTTTCAGTTTCTTCATCATCTTTAACGTATGGTGATACTTTTCTTGATGTTGGGTTGGATGGTTTTCTTCCTTTTTCACCTTTTGGATTCACTTTTAATAGTCTTTCTACGGATTTTGAAATTATTCTTGGTGTAACAAAAGGAGATCCAAATTCTTCTTCACCTTTTGAGTTGGATTCTTTGAAATCAACTTCATAATTAACAATTTTTGGTGGTTCAGCAACTTTAATATTCAATAATTCTTCTTCTTCCTCTTCTTCCACTTTATTATTTTCTTTTTGTTCTTCAAGTTTGGTATTCTTATGTGGTGATAATGGCTTAATTGATTCTTCTGAAGATGATTTACTTACCGTGGTGTTAAGTTCCATAGAAGTTGATTTTTCTGGAGTTGGTGATTTAACTCTGACTTGTTCTTTACCAAATGTAGATATTTCACTTAATAAATCAACAGATTTATTTCTTGAATGACCAGTGAAACTCTTCGTAAGTTTACTAATATCAAAATCAATATTAAACATTGATTTACGTCTTGTATGTTTTGATGGTGAATGTCTTCCAGGTAATAAAATATTACATTGTAATTCTGGTTGAGAAATAGGTGGTGGGAAATCTTTTGATGGTTGATACATTGAGTTTAATTTAGTTGTAAATTCAACATCTGATTCACTTCCTCCAATTAAATCATATTGTGTTTTCAAATGTTTTAAAGCTTCTTTTCCAGGTACTCCAATTTTCAAATGATTGATTTCTGATTCTTCATCACAATCAGAAACTGAAGTTTCTGTTCGAATTTCTGAAAATGTTGTACCATTATATGATGATGGGGTTTTTTCAGAATATTCATCAATGACTCTCTTATCCGATAAATCGGGAATTTGTATATGTCCATCATTTGAATAGAAACTGTATCTTGATTTTCTATTAACTTCATTAATAACTCTAGATTTAGCTTCTTTACTATTAGTTATATTAGTATCATTATTAGGGAATTGGAATGATATACCTGGACCATCATTATCTGGAACAACAAATTTTATCTCATCCACTGTGGATTTAGTTCCTTGTCTACTAATATTTAAAGGTTTAATTTCTTCACTTTTTTCTTCTTCCTCATCTTCATTTTCCTCTTCTTGTTCTACTTCATCATCAGAACCATCACTAGTATCTAACCAAGAACTTTCATCATCTTCAAGTTTCTTTGGCTTGATGGTTTCATTTGTTTCATCATTGTCGTGTTTAGAATACGTGATATCAATTGATTTTTGAATAGAATCCCAACTACTTGAAGTACCCAGAGACTCCATAGATGATGTACTTGACGTAGATACTTGTCTATCAACAGAAATACTAGGAGGTTGTACAAATAATTTCTTCTCTTGTGGAATTTTTCCAATTTCTTGTTTTTGCATTATCCTTACTGGTTCAGGTTTCTTATTCGATTGATTAGTAGTAGTAGCAGCAGCAACTCCAGAGGGAAGGATTCTCAATTGTGATTTTTGTTGTTGTTGTTGTTGTGGTGGTGGTGGTTGCTGTTGTGGTGGATTTCTTCGTGGATTTTGTAAATTCATATAACGGACCTTTTCAGTTGGTGGAGACATTGCTTGCACTCTAGCCAAATGCATAAAATCACCTACTGAACTAAATGAACTGACACTTGATGTTAGAGATTCATCACTGAAACTTCTTTTATGAATTTTTAATTCGCCATTATGAATATTAGGTTTGGACAACAATTTAAGATTACTTTCTCGATTGGATTTTGGGATTGGATGTGGTTGCTCTGCATCAGTTGATATACTTCTAATTGTTGGAATATCTGGTAATGACTTATTATATTTATGTTTTTTGACTTCAATTTTAGGAGGGGTGACTGTTTTCCCGTTAGGTGTTATCTTTATAATAGTATTTGTCTTTGTCAATGATTGGGGAATATTAGGAAGTTGTTTATCGGAGTTAGTATTCTCTTTCTTCTCTGAAATTTTAATTGGAACGACGAGTGGTTCAGAACGCATGACCACGGGTTTAATAGGAACAGGAACTTCTAATTTAGTTGGTTGTACTTCTTCCTTCTTTTCATTATCTTCTTTTTGTACTGACATTAGTTTACTTAATACACTTGATCTTCTAGATTCATTGATTGATACTTCTTCAATAATACTTAATTCATCAGTATTTCTTGCAAATTTATTCATTTTATTATTACTAGATGATAATGGAAGAGGAACAGATCTTTTTGATAATGCAATCTGTTTGTTTAATTCATCTTGATATTTGGAAGAAATAGAGAAAAGTTGATCTTCAATTTCTCCTTCGGATTCCAGTGATGAATCAACTTTTTCATAACCATGACCAGTATAAACCAATTTACTTTGTTTAAATTTTGAATGTTTAACAGAATTATCCGAAGCTATAGTTCTAACTGGTGATCCTGCTCTACTATTTTGAGGGGTCGATTTTGCTGATGAAACAGCAGAATTTTCTCTAGATGTATTAACAGAACTTAATTTCGGTGGTAATTTCAATGTAAATGGAACTGGGATAATATACTTATTTGGACTTCCTGGAGAATTGGGATTATTAGAAATAACATGTAATTTTTTAGCCATTGGAGATCTGGCAGCCTGTTTTAATTGTTCTCTAGTCAATTCATTCGATGAAGAAACCACAGATCTAATATCATCATCAACTTTTGGTAAAATTGGTAAGCTATATCTATTCTTAATTGGGGATGGTGATCTTGACGTCTTCCCTGATTCTGGTAGTTGAACCAGTTGTCTCTGTGGAAGACTCATATCGTCTTTTGATCTCCTTTGAGGCGTAACTATTGACATTTGAAAATCAGTTGTTGGAGTTGAACAACAATACAAGGAGGTGAAAATAAAGCAAAAAAAAAAAAAATAGAAAAAACAAAAATTAAATCAACAAGGAATATATCAATTTCAAATATAAATGGAATGAGTTTATGACAAAAACAGGGTAACAAATCATAAATTAAAAGAAAGCTATTCGTTTTTTTTTAATTAAGCCGTCCCCCGATACCACACTGAGGAGGACAAAAAAAAAAAATTCACTAACTATGTGATGCGCTACCACATAGATGGTGATTGTTTACAATTATGACCAATTAGGAAATCCTATGATGTGAATCAAAAATTTGACCTCCAAATGAAATTCGATTGTTGTTTATAAATAGAACGCAAGCTACTGCTCGTATTCCCAAACAGGAAGGGTAGCATTGGAAGTTGTTGTTTGTGTTGTTGATTGTTGGTATGGACTGTGACAATCGATGGCTGGTTATCATTTTGCTGTCCCATATTCCAGCATAGTGGTGTGGATATTGTTTTACAGAAAGGAAAAGGACCGGCAATGAACTATTCGATACAAATGAAGTTTATTCGTAGTGATGGTAATCACCAGCAAATGAATTGTAACCTAGAAAGATAACCATGTGAACGATACACCTTGGCTTAGTTTATCAACGTGCATGGGTATTGTTAATTAATATTCCAATATTGGAATTTCTTTGTTTTAATTTTAGTTGGCTGTAAGATTAATTAATACAATGCATGGTCATGTTATTTTCACATTTGTACCATTCATCCATGAGGGTTGGATTGGGTACTTCGTAAAACATTCACTAAAAACCAACAATTTCCAATGAGGGCATATTGTTTTTCTGTGTATTTTGTGAGTGAAACTAAGAATACGATCTCTTTTTTAGTACAAAGATTGTTCTTTTTTTTTAGCAACCAATTTCCTAACCAAGAAAATATTTACAACCAAGATCACCAATTTAGACAACCCTTGTTTGTAGACAATGATTACTCCAAGTTTGAGAGAGTTGAAACTAACAGCTGTCCCACTGAATGATAATATAGGGACATCAAGTTCAAGACCTTCTTCAACTCCACCTGTAGCATCTACAATGGATACAACTCATAAGTTTTCAAATCCAATCAGTTTAATATCAAAAAAAGGATCATTCAAAAATACATCCAATTCATCTTTGCCAACTATGACAGAAACGAAAACCCAAAAAGTTGAAACTAAACATCACATTCCAGTTTCTAACCTGACAACAGCAGATAATGGATCTAGAAAACCTGGATTATCATATTTACCAAGTCAATGTGAGAAAATTTCATCTCTCACTGGTGGTACATTGACTATTTTATTAGTTGGTGAGAGAGGTACTGGGAAAACCTCCTTTATAAACTCATTATTCGGCAGTAATTTAATTAATGAAAATTCAGAGGATAAAGATATAGGTGACAATAAATCCATTAGTGTTCATAGATTTGAATTAGTTGAAGATAATATCAAACTTGATTTAAGAGTTATCGAAACCATTGATTATGGAAATAGTTTCAACAGTAATGCAAGTTGGATAACATTAAGTAAATATGTTGATGATCAATTCAAACTATATCTTTATCAATCTCAACAGCCTAAAAGAGCCACAATGGTTGATTCCAGAATTCATTGTTGTATTTATTTTTTGAATCTGGCCACAAAACTGATTTCTAATTTGGACATCCAGTCAATGAAAAGTTTATCAACAAAGACTAATTTACTACCAGTGATTGCAAAAGCAGATATGTTGACCGATGTTGAATTGAATGGGTTTAAGAAATTGCTCAACAGAACAATGAAGGAATATCATATAAGAATTTGTGAAAATTTACCAAGTCTTGTTTTGTTACAAAGGCTTGAATTAATGGTTCCGTTTGTTATTGTTTCTTCTTTGGAAAAACATGAGAATAAAAATGGGAAACTTGTACGAGCACGGAAATATCCTTGGGGAATGGTAGAAATCGAGAATCCATTACATTGTGATTTCATTTATCTTCGAAAATTGCTATTAATTGAAAACACCTTAGAGTTTGTTGCTGCTACAGAAGTTTACTATGAACAATATCGTTGTACTTATTTGACTAGTCATTTGCTTAAAAACAGTCAATACGAAGCTGGGAGAAATGTCTTGAATGGTTTGGAACAACTTATGATGCAACAACAGGATCAAATAGTGGAATTGATTAGCAATACTGAAACTTCGGATGATCCGATAATTGGAGTTATGGAACAACAGGTTAACTACAGACTTTCAAAGTATAGAAAGGAGCAAGAGTCTAGATTGAGATCATGGAAAGTTCATTTAGTGGATGAGCAAGAAAAGTTGCAAAAAGAGCTTCATATGTTGGCTGATCAAAGAAATCTGTTGCAGAAAGCAATCGATGAATTTTATAATATCTCCGAAGTGGAAGAGCTACAAGATTCTTCAGAAACATATAAAAATGGTACAGATGAAATTCAAACATCTATTACTCCTTCAGTGATATCTGAAGAGGATAAAGAATTTTCACCACCTCTTGAATGATTATGTTATTTTTGTATTTTGCTAATGAATAACGACAAAATTTCCCTAAAATTTCTTTTTTTTAAAAAAGTTAATCTATAATTTCTGTTTAAACCATTATCATGATTATAAGTACAAGAATATATATCCTTAATTCGAACAGTTTTCTCTTCATTTTAGTGGTGTCAAATTGCCAATCTGGTTGTTCAATAACCCTAAAAAGAATCTACACAAGTCGTGTACAATGCACAACTTTTCTTCAATGCGTTTGAGAATTTTCATCTGACTTAAAAGAACAGAAAATTTTTTTTTAAAAAAATTCTTCACCATTCGTATCACTTTCCTCTTGATTCTTTAGGAAATTCAAGTCCAACAAAATTGAAAGAAACGTATGTTTACACATTATTATGTTTTTACTTCTTATTGATATTGAAATGATGGCTTAATTTTATTTACAGGATGAATTTTTTGTTATTTATATGTTTTTCTGGCATCTCTAATGTTAGGGCTTTTCAGCTCGATGAATACAACCATTGACTATTATCTGATTTTTAATATTATTAGTTCCATCATTTGATATCATTGATTTTGATACTATAGAGGATCCATTATACTAACTGTTATTATCTTACAGTCATTGTTAAATATAATTATCTTAATAAATATATAATACTTTGAGTTAAAAATGATAAATTGTAGAATAATAAATGATAAATTGTAGAATAATAAATGAGAATTGAGCAGATGAGAGTCCTTTCAGTCAATGTTTTACACTGTAGTCGAACCTGCAGTGGAATCAACTTGCTGATAAATGATGTCTGATCCATCAAAGTTTGAACTGTAGGTATGAAACTGAATATTAAACATCATCTCTTTTGATTAACCAAACGGTCTAACAAAAATTATCCTACTTTAAGCTTAACAAGTTGACTAATATGGACATCTCTTGTCAGTATCTTCATGGAGTATCGATGGCTATGAAGAGAATGTCTGCTCTTTTAGACTTCTCCGATTCTCAGAATTAGCCACAGACTCTCATTGATTTTTTTTTTCCTTTCTTTTGTTTTGAGCAAACCCAGCCAAACTAATTTACACCAACACCACTCCATTTTCTAAAAGAACGAGCTATCCTCTCGGAATATGTCAATCGACCTAAGTTCAGATGAGAGTGACGATTATTTCAAAGATGAATTATTAGAACCATCTGGTAAATTCACTCCTGATTTCGGATCACCCACAGTTCGTCAAGTTAGATTGATTTTGGATCATACAGCATTTGTTCGTGGAATAGGAAACATCAAAAGATGGTTTAATGAAGAATATATCACAAGAAATACAACCAGAACAGATGAGATCATCAAATTAAACATTTATGTACCATCTTATACTTTACACGAATTTGATTTTGTTAAAAAGGGGACATCCATCACCGCTACTAATGCTCGTGAAGCAATTAGATTTATTGATAATTATTTGGAGAATGAAGTAGAGTCAAATTCTAAAAAAATCATCTATGATCTTTCATTAGAATCACCACAGGATAAAACACCATCATGGAATAAATGTTTGAAATATAAAGTTCATTCCCCAAAAATCAAAGAGTTTCCTAACTACAAAACCAAATTTGATTCTTCATTGATTGGACAAGCACCTGTTTCCGGACACCCTAGTGATGAAAATGAATTGGACTTTATTGAAAGTTTTGACAATACTTTATCTTTGCAACAGAACAAAAAATTGAATGATATTCAATATGAAAATTCAAATTCTTATCAGAATGCCGCTGCAAACTCGGATAATCTTGCCGAAATGCCAGTACGTTTGAGATACTTGATTAGAACATGTGTTTACAAAAGATTCATTGAAAATACCAAGCCAAAAGCTACTAATGAACTTGAAGAATGGAAATTGGTGACAGAAGACTCTATTGCTAAAACCTGGGCCAAATCATTTGGAATCGATTGTGTGAATGTTAACGAAGCTGAATTATTAATTTTCCAAAATTATGATGTCAATCTGTTCAGATTATACAATCCATATGCCAATGATAGAGATAACTTTGATCCAAGTACTAATATCTTGCAGAATACTATTGACACAACTTTGTATTCATATTCAACTGCACATCAAGAGCCACCTAAAGTGGAATTCAAAAAAAGAGGAAGAAAAGAAAGACGTAGAAGAGATGATGGTAGAAGTGTTCCATTATCAACTGAAGCTGTTGTCCATAGTGCCAAGAATGATACTGGAAGTGGAGTTATCAAAAAGGAAAAGTTTGGAGCGATAAATTATGCTCCAAGAGGACAAGGACAATTATGGCGACCAGGCTAATAGACATGAATTTGTGATGCCATGAAGGTGTTGCAGTTTAGTTTTACTTTTCTTTTCCTTTTTTTTTTTGACATATATTTTACAGTTATAGCAGGAGTTGCTAGATACAGAAGAACCAAGGTTTACTAGCAAGAAGGGTTTTATTCTTACAACTATTACTTGTAATTTTTTTTTTTTTTTATTCACTTGTTCAGACAGTGGATGTATCAGACATGCATGCTTAATATTTTGAAAGTTAATTTATCTGACAAGTATACAATTGAATTATAACTGTTTATGAATTGAGTTACTATCATCCATTACTTACCTTGGGAGTATTACTGGTACAGATTTGTTATAGTATTGGTTTATTTGACCTTTAATGCACGACTTATTTCTAACCACGTTCACACGACAATTTATCTCTATTTACACGACCCCCTGACTAAGTTTTCGTTCGTTTTGGGCGAGAGGAAAAAAAAAAAAATAAACACAGCAGAAAACATTGACCATTGGAATTCATTATTTAATTTGTCACAAGGAAATTAACTACATTGCAATCAATCTAATTTATTGGCTATTTTTTTCATTCATTTTTCATTTTTTGTTATCATTTGAATTTTGGATCCAGATAATATTGCCATTACTTATAATTCATTTCATTCCTGTCATCATCATCACCAATAAAGCTATCCTTTATAGAGCTAATTTGTTTTTTTTTAATTCCCACAATATTTCCTGGTGAGTTTTTTTTTTTCAAAACACGTCTTAAACAAAAATGAATCGTCCCCCAACCAGAGAGGAAATTCAGAAGATCATACAGCGTTGGCAAGAGTTGAGACAACAGTATGGTGAGCAAGTATACAATGTCCCTGAATTTGCTCAATTGAACAAGGTGTTGAACTCAATCAAGATGCAACAACAAAGATTTCAACAACAACAACAACAACAACAGCAGCAGCAGCAACAACAACAACAGCAACAACGACAAGGTATGAACTCACAGTCTTCAATGCCGCAACAGATGCAAACACAGACTCCTCAACAACAACAATCACCTGCGCCTCAGCAGTTTACCAACATGAACCAAAATGGTTTCAACAATCAACCTTACCAGTCTCAAATGCATTCTCCTGCTATTGGCGGTTCATTATCTAATAATGGTACACCACCATTACCACAGAATACAAACATGATGGCCAATTCAAATAAAAACATGAAGTTGAATAGCAACCAATTTAATAATCAAATGGGTATGAGTCCGATGCAACAACAACTGCAATATCTGTCCCAGTCCCCTAATCCAAGTAATATGTTCAACCAAATGTCCCAACAACAGATGCAACCGCCACAACATCAACAATCAAGCACGACTCCAAACCCTGAATCTGCATTTACAAATCAACAATTTCAATTGTTGAAGTCACAACTTCAGGCATTCAAGTATCTTGTGAAAGCACCAGGGCAAGGTGGTCCAGGTCAAATCCCCCAGAATTTAATTGCATATGTTTCTAACCCTTCATCAGCCATGGCAAACGATATGTATTTACCAGCTGTTAATAGACCACAGAGTAATGGTATGATGCAAATGCCTATTAACCAACAAATGGGACAACAACTACCACCGAATATGCAACAACAGCAACAACCACCACTACCACCACCACCACAACAGCAACAGCAATTTCCAGGTCAACAACCGAATGACATGAGTAATAACTCAGTTGGTGGTACTCCTGAAATGGGAGAGAAGAAGAAAGGCAAACGTGGCCCAAGACCAAAACAACCAAAGAAACCAACCAAGAAACAATTACGCGAGGAAGAACAAAGATTGGCATTGGAAAGACAAAGACAGGAACTTGAACAAAATAGACTTAAGAATGATATTTCCCAAGCATTCCCTGGAGGTCCATTCCCTGTGCAATCACAATTTACACCACAACCACAACAACAGCAACAACAACAGCAACCTCCTCAAGTTCCTGGACAACCTCCATTACCACAACAAAGACAAATGTCAATGGGCCCTCAATCTGTGCCGGGACCTATCCCTCCACCACAACCACCTAGGTCTGTTACTCCAAAACAAATGTACCCAGATCCTTCACCTCCAGTTAATCTTCGTTCTGTTATTCCAGATAAAACAACTAACAAGAAAGTTATCATCCCAGTGAATAAGCCAAACATTCAAGTTGATACCTTTGAAATTTTCGATATTTCCAGCGATGAAGTTAAGGATATTCCATTTAGTACATTATACACTCCTCAAAGTAGATTCCAAATCCCTTCATTCTTACCAGATGGTATCAATATGGAAGATATTTTCTACAACAGAGAAGGGTATATATTGGTCAGAATTGAACAGGAGAAGTATAAGTTGAAACAAAAGATCGAGTCTTTGGGTGATGACAATGATGAAGAAAAAACAAAATTGGAATCCCAATTGAACCAATTAGAGTTGATTCCATACCAGAAGGATTTGCGTGGGAAATTGCTTACACAAGCTTGGTTTAGCAAATCTTTACTTCCAAACTCACATCCAAACTTTTTGGCACGTTTTAGTTCTTTATCATTAGACGGTGTTACTATCAGTACCGATCTTTACAGACAACAATTGGAATCTTTATTGAAGGAACAAAACCGTAAACATAACAAGACTATTGAAGAAATCATCAGATTTAGTGACAAGAATAGTGTCAAGTTTGGAAAGAAAACTGACAGACTATCAAGATTCATGACAAAGATCAACAACTTCCATAATCAAACTGCCAAAGAAGAACAAAAGAAATTGGAAAGAATGGCCAAACAACGTTTGCAAGCTTTGAAACTGAATGATGAAGAAGCTTATTTGAAATTATTGGACCACACTAAGGATACCAGAATTACACACTTATTGAGTCAAACCAACCAGTTCTTGGATTCATTGGCATTAGCTGTTCAAAGTCAACAAAGGGAAGCACATGATAGTATGGTGAGTACCGGGCGTATCATCGAAGCTGCACCAGCTCCTCCTGAGCCTATTGACGATGAAAAGAGAGAGAAGATTGATTATTATAATGTTGCTCATAGAATTAAGGAAGAAGTTACCAAGCAACCTTCAATTTTGGTAGGTGGTACTTTGAAAGAATATCAATTGAAAGGTTTGCAATGGATGGTGTCGTTATTCAATAACCATTTAAATGGTATTTTAGCAGATGAGATGGGTTTGGGTAAAACCATTCAAACTATTTCTTTGATTACTTATCTTGTTGAAGTGAAAAAGATTCCCGGTCCCTTTTTGGTCATTGTTCCTTTATCCACCATCACCAACTGGAACTTGGAATTTGAGAAATGGGCTCCTTCTGTTAAGAAGATCACATATAAAGGTAACCCAGCTCAACGTAAGGTAATGCAACACGAAATCCGTACCGGAAATTTTCAGATTTTGTTGACTACTTTTGAATATGTTATCAAGGACAAGAATTTACTTGGTAGAATCAAATGGGTTCATATGATTATTGATGAAGGTCATAGAATGAAGAATACCCAATCCAAGTTGTCTGAAACTTTGACTCAAAATTACCACAGTGATTATCGTTTGATTTTGACAGGTACTCCATTGCAAAACAACTTGCCAGAATTGTGGGCATTATTGAATTTTGTTTTGCCAAAAATTTTTAATTCGGTTAAATCGTTTGATGAATGGTTTAATACCCCTTTTGCAAACACTGGTGGTCAAGATAAGATTGAATTGACAGAAGAAGAAACATTGTTGGTTATTAGAAGATTGCATAAGGTTCTTCGTCCATTCCTTTTAAGAAGATTAAAGAAGGATGTCGAAAAGGACTTGCCAGACAAGGTTGAAAAAGTTGTCAAATGTAAGATGTCAGCATTGCAATCGAAGTTATATCAACAAATGTTGCGTTACAATAAGTTGTACACTGGTGATCCAGAAAATGGTGCCGAACCACTTACCATCAAGAATGCAAACAATCAAATTATGCAATTGAAGAAAATTTGTAACCATCCATTTGTTTATGAAGAAGTGGAACATTTCATCAACCCAAGTATTGAAACCGATGACCAAATTTGGAGAGTTGCAGGTAAATTCGAATTATTGGACAAAGTTTTACCTAAGTTCAAGGCTACTGGACATAAAGTGTTAATGTTTTTCCAAATGACACAAATCATGAATATTATGGAAGATTTCTTGAGATTCCGTGGATTAAAGTACATGAGATTGGATGGTGGAACTAAAGCTGATGATAGAACTGAGTTGTTGAAACTTTTCAATGCTCCTGATTCAGATTACTTTTGTTTCCTTTTGTCTACAAGAGCTGGTGGTTTGGGTTTGAATTTACAAACAGCTGATACTGTTATTATTTTTGATACCGATTGGAATCCGCATCAAGATTTGCAAGCTCAAGATAGAGCCCATCGTATTGGTCAAAAGAATGAAGTTAGAATTTTGAGATTAATCACTGAAAATTCTGTTGAAGAAATGATTTTGGAAAGAGCACATGCCAAGTTGGAAATTGATGGTAAGGTTATTCAAGCAGGTAAATTCGATAATAAATCCACCGCGGAAGAACAAGAAGCCATGTTGAGAGCTTTAATTGAGAAAGAAGATCAACGTAGACAAAAGGGTAACGAGGAAGAAGAGGAGGATTTGGATGATGATGAATTAAATCAAATCATTGCGAGAAATGAAAAAGAATTGGATGTTTTCAGACGTCTTGATGAAGAAAGATACGTTACCACTAGAGATGCATCTTATCCTGCTAGATTGTTTACTGAACAAGAGTTGCCTGAAATTTATAAGAAGGATCCAGAAGAACTTTTCAAGAAGGATGAAGTTGTCTTGGAAGATTATGGACGTGGTGCAAGAGAAAGAAAGACTTTGCATTATGATGATAATTTGACTGAAGAACAATGGTTAAGAAAGATTGACGGTATGATTTCTGATGATGATGAAGGTGGTGGTGATGAAGAAGTCACCGATTCAGAAGTTGAAGTTAAACCAAAAAAGAAAGGCAGAAGAGGTCGTAAACCAAAAGTTCAACCGGTTGAAGATGAGGAAAGTCAAACTGAATCAGAAGTGCCATCAACAAAACGTTCATTTATTGATGATTCAGAAGATTTTGCACCACCAAAGAGACAAAAGTCAGTTACGCCAAGTGTTACTTCAACAAGAGGTAGAGGAAGAGGCAGAGGACGTGGTCGTGGTAGAGGTCGTGGAAGAGGTTCTTTGTTGTCACGTTATGCACCATCTATTGATCCATTGACAGCTGAAGAAAGATCGACATTGCAAAATAACATTGAGAGTATATTGGGATTGATTATCAATTACAAGAATGAACACGACAGAAAATTGAGTGAATTGTTCTTAGTTAAACCACCAAAGAAATTATACCCTGATTATTACGTATTGATCAAACATCCTATTGCTCTTGATGTTATCAAAAAGAGAACTGGATCTAATACTTACAGTAAGATCAGAGAATTTTTAGAAGATGTTCATTTAATGTTCAGCAATGCTAGAATTTATAACGAAGAAGGATCTATTGTTTATCAAGATGCCGCATTTTTGGAAAGAGTATCAATGGATAAATTCAAAGAATTGTATTCCACTCTTTCAGAGGAAGAAGTTAACAAAATTTTAGACTTTACTGATTTTGATGATATGTTTAGTTTGAAACCATTAGTTCCATCTACTGCAATTAAACAACCAATTGAAGCCAAATTAGAGAAAATCGATAGAGGTGAAACTGTTGATAGTCCATTGATTACTGTATCAACTACAGCTGGAACAGAAGAATCTACACCAGCAAACTTTGATTAGTGATTGAAACAAAGAGATAAACACACACACAAACATATGTATTATTTGTATATTATTTAATAATAAGTTTAATAAACAATTTAGTTATTTGTATTATTCTTTTTTTTTTCAGTATATAATTATCAATTCTAAGTTTCACTGTACTGAGGTAATGACTCGTCGATTTCTCTATTATTAATTGCATCATTGATTACATTATTTATAATTTCAACAAATTGAAACAATCCACCATCATTAAATTTGATTTCACCTTTATAATATTGATTTTTAGGAAATCCATCACTTGCAATACTTGGTTGCAGAGCACTATAAAACATAAATTCCCAATAATTAGGACCAAACCAAGGTGATTTAATTTTATGAGATAATTGTAAAATTGGAGATAAATTTAAATCAATTACAAATGATTGAATATCACCTTGAGTTGCCGTTATAAATATAAGTCTTTTACTTGTCAAATAAATATATCCATCTGTTGCTGATATATTTACATTTAAAGATTCTCCATCATTCAGTTTAATTAATAATGATTGTCTTGAAGTGGGTGATTTATATTTTAATGTTTCTAATCCATCACTACTTATTTCAAATGGTAATAGATGTGGTTGATCTGTGATTATCTTTGAGTAATCTGGCTTTAAAACTGCTCCATTAATCGACATTGTTGTTGTAGATAGTTGGAAGAGAAGAATAAAAAACTGAAACTCGTGATAAGAAAGCATTTATATCATTTTTATTTATTGCCTTTCAATAAAATGCTATTGGTTAGTACACGAACCCAACACTGATTACGTAACGCACATCTCTCATATAAAGATTATGGGCAAAAAAAACTTTTCTACTGATTTCAGATTACCTTGATTCGAGTTGATTTGATTTGATTTAATAAACTAACTCCCCCCAAATAACCATGGCGACTAACTTTCTATTCAAACCCAGTCGTTCATTTATTCCTGAATTAAAACATGCATTTGAAGAGAAAGTTAGATTTGGTTATGGTAGAACACATTTAAGAAATACTTTAGCATGTCAACAAATTATTGACAAATTAAATTTAAAATCAAATTTTAAACCTGGTCAATTTGATATAGTTGATGCTAATCCTGGATATGGATTATTTTCATCTATGTTAAATTATGAATTACAACCAAGAAATCATATATTAATTGAAAATAAAGAACGATGTTGTATTGCTTGGAAAAAAATTATAGATCATTTGGATTCACTTGGATATAACCATAATTTAAAACTATATGAAAAAGATCCTTATGAATGGCAAACATATACTGATTTGATTCAAAAAGATAATCTTATAAATCCAGTGAAAAAATCATTTGATAAATTAAATGATGAATTGTTAATTATAGCAAATTGGTCAGGTGATAAAGATGAATCAACAATTGCTCAATGGATAGGTTGTTGTGGAGATAGAAATTGGTTAATGAAATATGGGAAAGTTAAAATGATTATATTTATGCCACTTCCAACAGCTAGGAAATTTGTTGCACTTGCAGGATATAAAAAAAGAAAAAGAACAGGATTAAAAGTTGATATGTTTACTGAATCTAAATTGATTGCATTTTCTGATGTTAATATACCATGTGGAAATGAATTTGATCCAAGAGTTTTAGTAAGAGATCAACCTATTCCTATTGAAAAACAATCTTCTATTAGAAATGATGAATTTGCAGTTGTGGAATTTTCACCTGGTAAACTTACTTCTGAAATGATTTCAAATGTTGATCATTTATTACTGCCTATTTTCCTTGGTCATAAAACACTCAGAGAATCAATTCCAATATTTGCTCCTGGTGCTGAATATATGTATAAATTTCTTCCTGATTCAACTTTAAATAAAACTCCATATGAATTGGAACCTAAAGATATTCTTTTGCTTTCTGAAGCTTATGAAAAATGGCCATTCAAACCAACAGTTGAAGAATTGTATGATATTGATCTTACATCTCCAGCATAAAATCTCCATATTTAAAAGGATATATTAATGATTAAGAATTTTTTAACGTAGACTTGTATATTCTCAAAGATTATGATTATTATTATAATAATAATATAAAAAGACTCTGTACATAGATTTTTCATTCATCGCATTTTTGTTTCAATCTGAATGGTGTTACAACTGTAAATTTGGTAAATGACCAGGATGACCAGCAGGACTATGATGTAAGTTTTCGTATTTTCTTGGAAGATTAACAGGTACTGTTACACATCTTCTTTCAGGATTTCTAACACCTGGTGTAGTAATTGAACCTTGATGTAATGGATCACCAATTACTGGTGTAGTAAGTGGAACAGGTGTAGCATATTGTTCCTGAAGACTTTGAATAGGAACAGAGTCCCTCTTCTGGGGTAATATAGTCTTCAGTTGTTGTTGCTTTTCAAGAGGACTTGAATTTATGATTTGTTTTGGAGATTGTTGAGAATTATGAATATGTGTTGATGGAGGTTGTGATATTTCAGGTTGAATGAGTTCTTCTGTTTTTGGATCACCAATTTTACTATTTCTTTCTGAATATACTGAAGATGGACAAGAATAAGGTAATAAAACTTGTCTGCTAATGATTGTCTTGTGATCATTAAAAAATAACAACATTATTGCTAGGAAAGAAATAAATTCAATGATTAACAAACAATAAGAAATATTATTTGAAAAATCTCTTAATTGTGATTTTGATATTAAAATCATCAATATAAATGCAATATTAACTGTATTACTAACATATAACAGTGCCAAATTGGAATAATGCCATATTAAAGATTTAGGAACACAATGGAAAACCACATATAAAGAATATAAAACAAATGAATTTACTAATATTCCAAATTTCCCAATGGTTACTGGAGCAATTACATATTTAACTTTTTTAACAATATTAACAATATCAAGACCTCTTTCAGTATATAATCTAGTCAAGAAAATTACAAGAACTTCTTGAACCATTTTAATATGAGAATTCAAATGAAATACGGTAAATGAATGAGGAAACCTTTCTGTAATAATATTTTGAACTATTGTTTTATGACCTAATTTAAGTTTATTCTGTTCTTTATCACCATTGAAAAAACCTTCAATTAAAATGGTCAGAATTGAATTATCATTACAAATAAAAATTGGTTTTGCAATAATTGTTGTATCATTAATATGAGTCAAATAAGTAGCTTCATTTCTAACATAAATACCACGAAGAATATTTTCTAAATTTTGTGAAAGTAATGAATTATCAATTGGTTTATAATTTGATAATAAAGAAACTACATCAACTTCACCAAAATATAATTTAAAATTTAAGGTATAATTATTAATAATATTAATAAAAATTAACCATAAAAGAAAATTTTTTAGATGATAAGCTATTGATATAGTTTGATTCAGCGGTTGATGGATAGAACTTTGAACCCAGCCTGGGGCAGTTGAATGGAATAATGATGTTGGAAAGTCTTTCGAGAGGATTCTCATGAATATAGTTGATGTGAATATAAATTCAATAGCAGAAAGAAAGGAATTTTGTAATGGTGAAAAAAAAAAAATGTTGATGTTTATGATGAAATATTTACTGCACTCATTGGCTGCAAAAAATGGAACACATGTAAGATAATTTTTATTTTGTTATATTGACCTATAAATACAGACTAAAACTACAGGGGAATATTTGATAAATTGGAAAACAATGTGACTAATTTATCACTATTGAAGACACTTTCTGAAGGTAATCCAAAATATGAAGCATTTGGTAATGCCGACATTAAAGCAACAATAGATGGTCCAACAATCTGTTCCTCTTCATTCACTTTAGTTTCTTCTTCTTCTTCAATCATATTCTTTGAATCTTGAATACTTTTAACTGCAGATTTAGATTCTTCCTCATTGAAATTTGATAATTTACGTCTTTTCAATCTGGCTAATTCTTCATCATCAATATCAAGAGCATCACCACGACCCAATTCATCTTTTTTAATAATATTAACATTGTCCAATTTATATCTATCAGTAAACAAATCAGCAGGATCATCATTTGGAAATAATTGTTCACATTTCTTAGCAAAACTATGAGTTATATCCAATGAAAGGAAATTAGAAGCAAACGAAATGTATTTCTGAAATAATAACTTTAATGATTTCTGTTTATTTCTAACTTCTCTTTCTTTTTTCTTTCTTGTTAATGGATCAATATCTGTCAATTGTAATTCTTCTTGTAATGAACTTATCTCTTTGGAAAAATTAGCATCTGATGATTGAATCAACGTTCTCATTGTATCAACATCATTAATTAAAATCAAATAATCTAAATAATCCAATAGGAATTTTCCATTTGTTTGGAAATTTTTCTTACCCAAATCAAATATCTTTAATGCTGTTGCTTTCTTATCTGAATAATGTTCAATAAGTGCATTCTCCACAAATAATTGATATCCAATTTTTTCAAATTTTCTTGCCTGTTTGAATACATTTCTTGCTTCTTTGATCCCTTCTACTCGTTTACAAGCAGTCATTAATTTTATGTATGAAAGAGTGATTGCATCAGCTAATCTCTTTTGTTCTTTCTCCAATGAAATCATTTGCTTGGAATCTGCAAGTGAAATTCTATAAACTTGTGCAGTTATTTTTGACCCACCACCATTCATATCTACATTTTTCCCATTATTATTATTATTATCATCATCCACATTATCATCATCGTCTTCTTCATCACAATCCTGGGTTTTTGGTTTTGTTTTCTCGTGAAGTTCATTGAGTTGAGATGCAATCACATTGTATTCTTTGGTTAACGAATTAATAAGTTTATTAAAGACGTCTTTTGCATTATCAAATGAATTATCTCTTTCATACATCTCAGCTAATTGGAAAGAAAGAAGCATACTTTTAGGATTCAATAATAATCCACCATCTCTTAATGTAGAAATACTCTCTTGTAAGTTTCCTTCCTCGTTCTGAAACAATAAATACTTGACGTATTGAAACCAAATTTCTGGAACAAAAGGTAGAGCGTACGTTGCTTGTTTATAAACATACTGTATACGTTTATCATTGAGAGATTCATCTTTTAATTCTAGTTTATTTTGTTTTTCTAATTCTAACCATCTGAGCCAATACTGCAACTGTCTTTCGACATCTTCGTCATCCTTATTGTTTGTAGGAATTAAACTTCTCTTTAATCTCTTTTCTGTAATTCTATTGAATTCAGTAATCCAAGATCTAGCAAGCATAAATTCGGCAGATTTTTCCGACACAAACTTTGAAGCAGTAGCAGGATTCAATTCATTTTCCCATTTGGTGTATTGTGACCAACTAGTTTCAATATTTTCTGTTGGGATTATGAGGAATTTTTTGTATGCTTTTCTAATTAAATCCACTTTTTGTTGTTGTTCCCAATTGGCACTTGGACTCCAACTTTTCAAAAACCCTATATAATCTTGCCATAAAGTGTCACTTAAAATATCCAACCCGACTTTATTGATAGCAAATTCAAATGCTTGAACAACTGTAGCACGTGCTTTTTCTCCTCCAGTAACAAAATCAGTAACACTTCTAACGTAATCCACATAAAGTCTGTACAACTCAACATTGTCTGTTAAATCTAAACATTCTTGAAACAAAGTTTCAACTTTTTCCTTTTCACCTCTATTCAATTCATATTTGATGTATTTGCACCATGTAGCACCCTAAAAATTTAATAATAATGTTAGTATGATTTTAATTCTCTACTGTTATTACATTTTGAAAAGTTGATTAAACCACATCTTTTTGTTGAGGTTTCTTCATTAAAATGATATATAAACAAAAGAAGAAAGTATATACAAAGAAAGAATTAAAAAAAAAAAAATTGATAAATGGTCCAGCCATTTACCAAATGACAAGAACGTGAATTGCAAACAGGCATTAAACAACTTTTCTCATGTACTCGACAATATTCTATTAAACACATACGTCAAATCTAAAGATCTTTAAATATTTATCAAGTGTATTTCTCACTTGTTCTTGATTATCCTTGATGATTAATTGATCTATTAGTTTTTGCCATTTTGAATAATCTAATGGATTCAGTTCCAATTCTTCTTCTAGTTGACCTAGTTTATCCAAGGAAAGTTTCTTAGACTTTGGTTGTGATATAAACACGGATGACATATCTAATTGAATTTGTTAATTATATTTGTTTGAAATGAGCGACTACACTCTATTGGAATAAATGAACACGTTCGGTTGCTGTTCTTGAATAAATGATAATTATGATCTGTGATGTGGTTGACAAAGTAGATGAGGTTGTCTTCAGCGTGGCGGGAATGAAAGAAAGAAGAAAAATTAAAACTCGCTGCCTTTTCTGGCTGCCTCTTTTTTTTGTAGGTTGTCCGTCGTTTTTCGTTGATGGAATTTTTTTTTTCTTTTCATTTAATTCTTACAACAAAATTGAAATCCACACGACTCTATTTTCTTTAGAATTCATTTGATAATACTACCCCCTTCCAAACCAAAGCAATCATGATTCAATTACATGTATGGGGTAAAGACAATGACGTGTCTGTCATATCACCAGCATCTATTGCAGCAACCTGGTTGTTAAATTTGACGTTGACTTCACAAGGTGTACCATTTGAGGTTGTCACTTCCAATAACACAAATCTATCTAGTATCAATGAGTTGCCAGTGTTGATAGTTAGCGAAACTGAAAAGTACAGTGGGTACAATGAAATAGTTAGTTATGTTGAAGAGAATTTCAAATCAGAGGAATATCTTGGATCCAAATCAATGGATTCACGACAAAAATTACTTAACAGAACTTTACAAAACATGTTGACTTCTAAAATTCAATATATCAATCAATATAATCTTTATTCGAATACTAAAAACTATGAAAAATTTACAAGAAAGCTTTTTGCATCATATTTTCCATTTCCAATGATGTATAATCAACCATCAAAATATCACAATCAAGCACAAGAACAAATTAAATTATTGGGTTTATCTAAAAATCAAGTCAGTTTCTTTAATTTCATTAGTGGTAGTAATGAAGATCTGGAAGTGGCTCAAACGGAAATATTTAATGATGAAATTAGTGACGACGATGAAGAAGACGATGAAGTTGCTATTAGTTCCTTGCATGAAAAGCAATTACTAAAGAAATCAAAAACCAAACAAGTTTTGAAAGAATCAAAGAATTCCATGAGATGTTTGATATTAATCAATCATTATATCAATGAGGTGGTTAAAGTATACGAGAAAAATGGTGGTGATAAAGATGACAACAAACTTGGGTTTATTTTTGGTAATTCTCCCAGTTCTAGCGAACTTTTATTCTACGCTTATATTCAATGTTTAACAAGTGATAAGTTACCAGATCGTTTCATTTATAATTATCTATTATTAAAGCAACCAGAAGTTTTAAAGTTTATTAATGAAACAACTGAAAATTATTCTAGTGATGTGAAGTTCAGAGATCCTACTGGAATAGAAGTTCCAAGTTTATTTAATGAAATTGGATATTTGATAGGTTCAATCAAATATTGAAAATGTGAGCCGCGCTGCTGACTAATAAAACGTGACCCATTGAATCTTTTTTTTTGTTTGCCTGTAAACAAAAATTTTTGTCCACTTGTTGAAATAAAAGATGATGAAGAAAAGAAAAAAAAAATTTTTCCAATATAAATTTCACTTTCTTTTCTTTTCTTTTCTTTTGTTCTTTTTAATCAACCAAGTGTGTCTTTGTCTGTAAATAGAATTGTGCAAACAATACAAGTTTATTCTATTTAATTCTTCTTATTCTTATTCTTATTCTTATTTCTGTAGATTAATCTTATTGGCAATCTCAGCATAGTTTCATTTATTGACAATTAATATTAAAACCATGTTATAAATGATGGAATTTTCTTGCCATAAATCAAATAGTATATTTTGCTACTAGTTTATACTGATTGAATATCTTAGTGTGTCTTTATGTCCAGTAGACATCAATAGAGTTTATTATTCAATCAGGGAACTTACATCTTATTTTAATCAATTCGTACTAATCGTTGAATTATACCGGTGGTGACCCTTGACCCTCGATCCTTGTACCTTTATTTCACCGAATGTGTGATTTAGTTCCGACGGATAATCGGTTCGCTGCTTCTTTTATTTTACTGCGCGAATTTTTTGTTGTTTTTTTTTTTTCTTTCTTTCTTTGCTTGTAAACTTTGATTTCGGAAAACTGACTCCTTGAAAAAGTCATCATCAATATCAACAACAAAAACAAAAACAACAACCACTTTTTCATTTTTTGTTGATATTTACCACTAATGAAGGTATCATCTATTGCTATTGTAGCTGCTTTAATGCTGCTAACTAATGCAGCTGTTGTCCCAGAGGATCTTTTACCACTAGAAACTCCTGCCCCAACTCCAACATCCTCAGTTTCCGAACCAATTCGTTTATTTAAACGTGTTAGAGATGTTATTATCAACAAAGATTATGCTAAAAATCAAGCAGCAAAAACTCAATCCTCTACAACTGAGACTCCACCACCAAAGTGGATTAGAACCTATGATGGTAAAACAGAAATTGTCACCCCAACTGTCATCCAAGGTGTCACATTTAGTGCTCAACCTCCAACAACCACAAATGGGTTAGAATGGTGGGTCAGTTTGAAAGACGATGGTAGTCCAAAAACAATTAAACCACAAAATAAAAATGGTCAAATCAAGAATGGTCGTCCAGACTATAGTACCTGGTTCCAAACTGCAACTACCATTACTTATAATAAAGAACAATTGAAAGCTCATAACATGGCTGATGATGAAATTTTTGAAGAAGTTAAATATATTCAAGAAGCAGATTTAGAAACTCATTTGTTAAGTCCTTTGATTAGATGTACTCCAGATAGATATAAAAAGAAAGGTATCGGTAGAGATAAATCTACTGCTCCTTTCTGTACTCCTAAAGATAATTCAAGATTAACTATGGGTAAAGTTTACTTTATTACTTGGTATTCAAGATTTTTTGATGAAGATGTTAAGAATGTTAGAATTCATTTGAATTATATTTCAGAAAAATGGACCCAAAAAGGATTGAAGAAAAGAGATGATAATTCTACTGAAGAATTTGTTGAAGATGATGATACCACTGAAGATATAGTGGAAGCATCGGAAATTAAAAGAAGATCTTCTGTACTTGAACAAGGTGGTAAAATCTCTTCAAATTTCTTTAAATCTGACCCTATTGACGTTGATGTAGGTTGGTTTGCATTGGATATTTCTCCAGATTGGTTTGATAAAGAATATTGGAGAAAAGTTCTTGTTACTGTCGTTCCAGAAGGATATGAAGATAGAGAAGATTATGATGTTTTCCAAAATTCTATTGTTATTGAAATTTGGAAAGGTGTCAAAGTTGGTAAGGGCCACTTGGAAGATTTGAAGAGATTGGAAGAAAAGTACGCTAATAGACATATTTATGACATTGAAGTTGAAGAAGGTATCAATTTTGATGAGTACATGATGATGATTGCTTTACCTACTTGTGTTGTCCTTGCTGCCTTGGGTATGTGGTTATTTGTTAGAATCAACAAGATTGACTTGAGTAAAGTCAAGAAGAGAAAATTTGCCCGTGACAAGACAAGTCATAGAAGAATTCCATTCATCAGTAAGAAAAATAAAGATAATGCTTATACTGAATTGCCACAGTTCAGCACTGAACTTGACAATGTTAAGAATGATTGATTTTGTGTAAATACTACAAAAGTATACTTTTTTTAAAAAATGTATTATCTTTTAATTGTTTATAAACCTTATATAGCTTTATCGAATAAATAATTTGTAATTCTTATAAATTAATTGATATCTGCGATTCATACAAATAATTAACTAATTACAATAAAATATACACATCTGAGTCTAATTTTACACCTATAATACAACAAAATGTACTAAACTCTGTCTGCCTAACCCACTCATACTAATTAAAAAGCAGACGACATGGATGCGACGATTGGAATTCAGGTTGGATGGTCACTGAGTCTATACCAAATCTATGCAACACTTCTCTAACCTGTCCAACGGCTGCCAAAAACAACTTCTTGTCAAGTTGTGCTGGGAACTCAATTTCCGACTCATCTACTGCTGACTCCAGAGACGATACTGCGCCGTTGTTCTTCTTCTTCTTGTTGTCATTGGACTCTCCAGCCTGCACCCCACCATTCTTTCCCAATGGCGGTAAGTTGATCTCACAGTTAGGATTCAACTCAATGTGCAATGTCGCAATAAGAATATCCTCGTTAAGGTTCCACACATGGAAGTCGTGAATGCTTTTGATCAACGGGATCTTGGTGATCTGCTCGGCAATGATATTGGAATCGATGTTCGGTGGTGCACTTTGCAACAAGATCCTCAGCGCCTTACGCACTAATGGCAACGCAGAGTTGAGGATAATTAATGTGATCACCAAAGAGGTCACTGGATCAGCATAGAACCTCCATGTGTAGTCCGTCTTCCAGATGATCAACGCAGTGATGATAACACCAACATTACCCAAGGCGTCTCCCAACACGTGCAAGAACACACCCTCCATGTTCATCGACTTCTTCTTGATCTTCTGCATTGTGCTCTCACCACTGCCATGACCTGGGTGGTTGCCTGTTTGTGTGTTGTTGCCGTTGCTCTCGTGTGTGTGTCCACCTGCTTGTTGTTGTTGTTCTTCTTCTTCTTCTTGCACAGTACCGGCAATCGATGCTCTGTGGTATCTCTCGACAACATTATCTGGCAAGTAATCAAACACTTCTGACGGAGTAGTACGAATGGCTTTACTCATCAACGGGGTCTGTTCGTCAGCATGTCCATCACCACCGACAGCCTGTTCCTCGTCAACTCCACCACTCATGTGAGAATGAGAGTGTGATTTAGAATCGGACGACGACCCGTGTGAGTGGGAATGCCCGTGGCCATGTTCGTGGAATAATACCAACCCAACTCCATTACTGATCAACCCGGCAATACCAACAACCAAAATCAACTGTGGGTTGGTGATTTCCTGTGGCTCAAAAAATCTCTGGATGGCATCCATGATAATAGTGAAACACAAAGCTAACAAGAAAACTGCGTTGATCAAAGCTCCCAAGATCTCCGCTCTTTGCCAACCGTATGTGTATTTCCCATCCGCTGGTTTGGTGTTCTTAACTCTCACCGCCCACAACGCAATAATCAACGAAATGATATCGTTTAACATGTGGAACGAGTCTGCGATAAGTGCCAATGAATGCACACTGTAACCGATGATTGCTTCCAATAGGAAGAACACAGTGTCGAGGACAAGCAACGACACAATTCTAATCTCTTTCCCTTTCATTACGTAGACTGTTGTTTGGGGAATGCTTTGGTTAGAATGTTATGTTCTGTTATGTTGTGTTATGTTATGTTGTGTCTGGGGATGTCGTTTGAAACAAACAAATCTATGATTCAAAGAAGGGATAGAAAAAAAAATGTCAACTGAAAAAAATAAAAAAAATTAAGAAAAGAAAAATTGGAAATTAAGATTTTTCTCTATTTTTAATAAAAAAGTGTGGGACCAGCAATGAATAGGAACCGATGCCGAAACACTAAATAATTGGAGATGGGAATGGGACAAGTGGATGAGTAGTCAACGATGTTGTATTTTCCCTGATATTATGAAAAAACTCAAACCAAAGAAAAGAAGAAAAAAAAAATTTGTATGGGAAACATAATAAATCAATCGATTGTGGGAATAATAATAATTATAATAATAATCATCACAAGAATTGGAGGAGATGGAGATGGAGATGGAGATGTAATGAAAAAATTTTCTTAGTATGGCCACCGTTACGGTTTGTATCGAAGCCGGTTATGCATATAGGACAAATAGAAGTAGAGTAAGAAGCAGCCCTCTTTGAACCAATTGTTTGACATTGATTCATAAAAAGACAATGCGTAACCACCATAGTACGTCCTAGATTTTTGTGTGCTCTTAGTTTAGTTTCACCAACTACGAGATTTGGGTTATAGCTCACTCGGTCGCTTTCTCGCTGCTGCTATAGATCATTAGTGGCTTGTGCTGGATCTGTCAGGTCTAATTTCTACTCAACTCGGTTCTCTATGAGCATATATTCTCTGTTCTATTATTAGGAAACGCGCTCTAACATTATGTGTAACGCCGTCTCAGGATCTGGTCGACTGTGAGTAGGTCTGCATCAATGAGATTTAACAGATATATGAGGTAGCTCTATTCCAGGGTTGTCGCACTAGGTTGATGATATCTAAATCCGGATTTAGGGTTTTATGGTTTTATGGTTTTATGGTTTATATTCTGGTTCGCATTTTACACTCAAAAATGCTCGAAAATGGTATGAATATGGTATGAAAATGGACCAAACAAGGTTGTCATCTGTCGACATGGCGACATGCCCACCACCTTATCCTTCGTCCATAAGTTTAAGTTTATAACACTAGAAAGTTGTAGAACCCGAGCAGAGGTACACCCTCAATCAACACACGGTGACATACCAATTATCAGAAACAGTCCCTGACTTTACTAATGCCATTCAGATGCACTATGAGCCCGAAGTAGCCCATTCCATCATCGGTGTTGGTTGACCATGCAGCAAACAATAGGCTTTATAGCCAGGACGTGCACACATGCACAGAAGTAGTGTCCCATGACCAAACGTGTGACTGGTCAACAAAAAAAAAAAAAAAAAGAAAGAACGACAGTGAGAGAGACAAAGGAAGAAGCAAAAAAAAAATAAAGGCAAACGAATACAAAAGGTGTAATAACAGATAACCAAGAATTACTAGAATCCTATATATACAGTTAGTGTATTTTTTTGTTTTTAATAAGTTCATTTGTGTTAGTTATAAGTTATGATGATGTTGGCACAGGAACCGCAGTATCAACAACCGCAACAGCAACATCCAGTAGTCCCACCGTCAACGATGCAACCACAACTGATACCACAGAATTCAAGGAAGTCAAAACCCAAGAAGAAGAACTCGCAGTCTCGATATAACAACGACGATGTCCGTACACTTCCAAGTGGGGCACCGGTTGATTTTGGACACGGCAGTAGTAATAGTTACAAGAGAGACAGGGACAGGGAGAGAAACAGGGATAAAGACAGAGAGAGAAACAGGGATAAGGATAGACTAACTGCAGCACCAAGTTTGCCAGACGGCTCGAAGCCAAATTTCCAGCCATTCAAGTCTAACAAGTCCTCCTCGTCTGGATCATCGTCTGCGTCTCTGAACTCATCCAAGCCGTCCAGAAAGTCAAACAATAGCAACAACAGCAATAACAACAACAGCAACAAGAACAGTGATTATTCGTTGCCAGATGGCAGAAAGCCAAACTTCTACAATGACAAGTCGTACTCGAATTTCAAGACTCACTACAACAACCCAAACACCAAGGCTATCAAGGAGAAGAGAGTTGACGATAACAGTTATGCTGGGTCTTCATTTCATTCGTCACCTGATGCGTTCAACTTGCCTAAACCTTCATTCAAGTCAAGCAACGGATCACCTCGACAACCAGTTGTGTTGAGAGAGCCCCGTGTTCAGCCTCAACCAGGTTTTTTTGATTAATTTTTTTTTTTTTTTTTAGTTGTTTGTATCAGGATTTGGGAACTATTTTTATTTTTTAACAGGGAACTATAAACGGGATGTTTTTTTTCTTATCAGGAGTGTTTTACTTTATTATTATTTTGATGTCTTTATTCAGTGTTTATTGATCTATGAAGGAGAGCATTTTGTTGATTTTAATGTTCATTAGATGTTTTCAATTCTACTGCAAGGTTTTTTTTTTTTTTTTAGGAATTTTTCTTTTTTTTTGTAAGAGTATGACGAAGGATTAGGAGGTGTTGTTATATAAATGGTGTGTATTAGTTGATTTAATGTATAATTACACTGGTTTTGGTTTACAGAAAGAGCAAGGGTATCTGTGTGTATTTGAATGGGAATTCTCTATTTTAAGATGTAGGAAAAGCCGATGATCGTAATGCCGATTATACACCAAGTCATCGAGGAGTTGACATTACCGCCGAATGAAATACTACTACCAAACATACTCAATGCAACGACAGTAAGGAACCCACTGGTGACAGCCATTGTGATACCAAAAATGTAGTTAAGTTTGTCCATGTCATATTTGTCGGAGTTAAAAAGTAAGAATAGGTAACCAAATAAAGCACCAATTGGGTTTGAAAGTCCACCCAATAGGGAAGTTATAGAAATTGCCACAATTTTTGGATTACTAACACTATTTTCCATTGAATAAAACAACGGAAGACAAATTGAAAATCCTTCAACAAAATTATGAACGATTAAGCTCAAGAATATAGATATTCCTAAATCTGGATTTGTTTCTGATGTAACATATGTAATAAAACCTTCTGGCAATTTGTGCAAAGTAATAGCTAACGCTGTTTGAATACCAATAACCAATAATCTAGAATGAGCAGTGTTGACATGATGATGGTGGGAATGGTTGTAGTGGCTATGATGAGAAGATCTCGACATTGATCTATTCAAATTGGTATGAGTATGTTGATGGGGTTCAATTGCCTCTTCTTCATCTCTCGCATGGGAATAGTGTTCGTCATGGTGGTTATGTTCGTGTGTGTGAGCATGAACATGTTCATGTTGTTCATTATCGTCATGGTTGTGACTGTGATCATGGTCGTGATTTTGATTTTCATGAGGGTGATGTTCAGGATCACGGTAAATTCTATTAAATTGTTCTTGTGGCAAAGTTGGTATTTCACAATAATGTAATTCCGTAGGTTCTTCATCTAAATTAAGATAAGCACATAATTCGGCTGATGTGTAACCTCTGCATTCACCAGCTGGTCCATCTTCACTATTATCTCCATCTAATAATTTCAGAATAATTGATTTTCTATGGTGAATTGTCTTACCATCAATTAATGGAGTTTGTTCGGTATCATTTCCAGAGTCCAGTGATCCAACATGGTTTTCCCCATGGCCATGCTCATCATGATCATTATGAGCACAATGAACTACACTTTGACTAGTTAATACATGTAAGATTAAGTTGAAACTCAAGCAAATAACAATACCTGAAATATAACTGAAAATCAAATCAAATTTTAACCAAGTTTCACTTCTATCTTGGGAATAACCAAACAAATACTTTTGGGATTCTGGTAATAATCTAAATAAACTTGTAAATATAATCGAACCGGATGATAACGCTAGTGTTGCATTCAAAAATCTATAATTCTCTTTAATTTTTAGTGGGTACTTAGAAGTAATGAACTTTGGAAATACACCATAGTAAACGTCATCTATAGTAATTATGCAACTTCCCAAAATGCATAAGAACGATGACAAAATTGTTAATACCCAACCCTGGGATAAATCATACGGGAAGACCATCACTTGGGCAAACAATATTTAATTGAAAGAAAAGAAAAACAGAAAAAAAAAACAATAAAAATGAAAATAAAATCAAAAAGATGTTGATCTGATCTGTCGGTAAGTGGAATTCAATTTGCCTTTTATTCAATCAATGTTTTTAGATTTTTAGGCTTTGGCTTTTTTTGATCTTTGATTGTTTTCGTTGACCTTCATGAGGTGAGGTGATGGGAACCGAATAATTTTTCTTTTCTTTGTACCCTGGCAGTTACCGCAGTAGCAACCGACATGTAACATTGCGACAGTCAAAAAGTGACTCTAAGACAAATCACGTGGAAACAAGCAACGTGCTATTTTTGCACCCATAACAATGGATAATCTACAACAGAAACTTCACAAAAAGGGGGTCTGTACCGTAACCATCGACTTGCCAAATGAAACACGGTTTCTACCTCTTCAAAGGGTCAAATAAAGATTACATGACATAATCGGCATTACGATCATCGGCTTTTCCTACATCTTAAAATAGAGAATTCCCATTCAAATACACACAGATACCCTTGCTCTTTCTGTAAACCAAAACCAGTGTAATTATACATTAAATCAACTAATACACACCATTTATATAACAACACCTCCTAATCCTTCGTCATACTCTTACAAAAAAAAAAAAAAATTCCTAAAAAAAAAAAAAAACCTTGCAGTAGAATTGAAAACATCTAATGAACATTAAAATCAACAAAATGCTCTCCTTCATAGATCAATAAACACTGAATAAAGACATCAAAATAATAATAAAGTAAAACACTCCTGATAAGAAAAAAAACATCCCGTTTATAGTTCCCTGTTAAAAAATAAAAATAGTTCCCAAATCCTGATACAAACAACTAAAAAAAAAAAAAAAAATTAATCAAAAAAACCTGGTTGAGGCTGAACACGGGGCTCTCTCAACACAACTGGTTGTCGAGGTGATCCGTTGCTTGACTTGAATGAAGGTTTAGGCAAGTTGAACGCATCAGGTGACGAATGAAATGAAGACCCAGCATAACTGTTATCGTCAACTCTCTTCTCCTTGATAGCCTTGGTGTTTGGGTTGTTGTAGTGAGTCTTGAAATTCGAGTACGACTTGTCATTGTAGAAGTTTGGCTTTCTGCCATCTGGCAACGAATAATCACTGTTCTTGTTGCTGTTGTTGTTATTGCTGTTGTTGCTATTGTTTGACTTTCTGGACGGCTTGGATGAGTTCAGAGACGCAGACGATGATCCAGACGAGGAGGACTTGTTAGACTTGAATGGCTGGAAATTTGGCTTCGAGCCGTCTGGCAAACTTGGTGCTGCAGTTAGTCTATTTTTATCCCTGTTTCTCTCTCTGTCTTTATCCCTGTTTCTCTCCCTGTCCCTGTCTCTCTTGTAACTATTACTACTGCCGTGTCCAAAATCAACCGGTGCCCCACTTGGAAGTGTACGGACATCGTCGTTGTTATATCGAGACTGCGAGTTCTTCTTCTTGGGTTTTGACTTCCTTGAATTCTGTGGTATCAGTTGTGGTTGCATCGTTGACGGTGGGACTACTGGATGTTGCTGTTGCGGTTGTTGATACTGCGGTTCCTGTGCCAACATCATCATAACTTATAACTAACACAAATGAACTTATTAAAAACAAAAAAATACACTAACTGTATATATAGGATTCTAGTAATTCTTGGTTATCTGTTATTACACCTTTTGTATTCGTTTGCCTTTATTTTTTTTTTGCTTCTTCCTTTGTCTCTCTCACTGTCGTTCTTTCTTTTTTTTTTTTTTTTTGTTGACCAGTCACACGTTTGGTCATGGGACACTACTTCTGTGCATGTGTGCACGTCCTGGCTATAAAGCCTATTGTTTGCTGCATGGTCAACCAACACCGATGATGGAATGGGCTACTTCGGGCTCATAGTGCATCTGAATGGCATTAGTAAAGTCAGGGACTGTTTCTGATAATTGGTATGTCACCGTGTGTTGATTGAGGGTGTACCTCTGCTCGGGTTCTACAACTTTCTAGTGTTATAAACTTAAACTTATGGACGAAGGATAAGGTGGTGGGCATGTCGCCATGTCGACAGATGACAACCTTGTTTGGTCCATTTTCATACCATATTCATACCATTTTCGAGCATTTTTGAGTGTAAAATGCGAACCAGAATATAAACCATAAAACCATAAAACCATAAAACCCTAAATCCGGATTTAGATATCATCAACCTAGTGCGACAACCCTGGAATAGAGCTACCTCATATATCTGTTAAATCTCATTGATGCAGACCTACTCACAGTCGACCAGATCCTGAGACGGCGTTACACATAATGTTAGAGCGCGTTTCCTAATAATAGAACAGAGAATATATGCTCATAGAGAACCGAGTTGAGTAGAAATTAGACCTGACAGATCCAGCACAAGCCACTAATGATCTATAGCAGCAGCGAGAAAGCGACCGAGTGAGCTATAACCCAAATCTCGTAGTTGGTGAAACTAAACTAAGAGCACACAAAAATCTAGGACGTACTATGGTGGTTACGCATTGTCTTTTTATGAATCAATGTCAAACAATTGGTTCAAAGAGGGCTGCTTCTTACTCTACTTCTATTTGTCCTATATGCATAACCGGCTTCGATACAAACCGTAACGGTGGCCATACTAAGAAAATTTTTTCATTACATCTCCATCTCCATCTCCATCTCCTCCAATTCTTGTGATGATTATTATTATAATTATTATTATTCCCACAATCGATTGATTTATTATGTTTCCCATACAATTTTTTTTTTCTTCTTCTCTTTGGTTTGAGTTTTTTCATAATATCAGGGAAAATACAACATCGTTGACTACTCATCCACTTGTCCCATTCCCATCTCCAATTATTTAGTGTTTCGGCATCGGTTCCTATTCATTGCTGGTCCCACACTTTTTTATTAAAAATAGAGAAAAATCTTAATTTCCAATTTTTCTTTTCTTAATTTTTTTTATTTTTTTCAGTTGACATTTTTTTTTCTATCCCTTCTTTGAATCATAGATTTGTTTGTTTCAAACGACATCCCCAGACACAACATAACATAACACAACATAACAGAACATAACATTCTAACCAAAGCATTCCCCAAACAACAGTCTACGTAATGAAAGGGAAAGAGATTAGAATTGTGTCGTTGCTTGTCCTCGACACTGTGTTCTTCCTATTGGAAGCAATCATCGGTTACAGTGTGCATTCATTGGCACTTATCGCAGACTCGTTCCACATGTTAAACGATATCATTTCGTTGATTATTGCGTTGTGGGCGGTGAGAGTTAAGAACACCAAACCAGCGGATGGGAAATACACATACGGTTGGCAAAGAGCGGAGATCTTGGGAGCTTTGATCAACGCAGTTTTCTTGTTAGCTTTGTGTTTCACTATTATCATGGATGCCATCCAGAGATTTTTTGAGCCACAGGAAATCACCAACCCACAGTTGATTTTGGTTGTTGGTATTGCCGGGTTGATCAGTAATGGAGTTGGGTTGGTATTATTCCACGAACATGGCCACGGGCATTCCCACTCACACGGGTCGTCGTCCGATTCTAAATCACACTCTCATTCTCACATGAGTGGTGGAGTTGACGAGGAACAGGCTGTCGGTGGTGATGGACATGCTGACGAACAGACCCCGTTGATGAGTAAAGCCATTCGTACTACTCCGTCAGAAGTGTTTGATTACTTGCCAGATAATGTTGTCGAGAGATACCACAGAGCATCGATTGCCGGTACTGTGCAAGAAGAAGAAGAAGAACAACAACAACAAGCAGGTGGACACACACACGAGAGCAACGGCAACAACACACAAACAGGCAACCACCCAGGTCATGGCAGTGGTGAGAGCACAATGCAGAAGATCAAGAAGAAGTCGATGAACATGGAGGGTGTGTTCTTGCACGTGTTGGGAGACGCCTTGGGTAATGTTGGTGTTATCATCACTGCGTTGATCATCTGGAAGACGGACTACACATGGAGGTTCTATGCTGATCCAGTGACCTCTTTGGTGATCACATTAATTATCCTCAACTCTGCCTTGCCATTAGTGCGTAAGGCGCTGAGGATCTTGTTGCAAAGTGCACCACCGAACATCGATTCCAATATCATTGCCGAGCAGATCACCAAGATCCCGTTGATCAAAAGCATTCACGACTTCCATGTGTGGAACCTTAACGAGGATATTCTTATTGCGACATTGCACATTGAGTTGAATCCTAACTGTGAGATCAACTTACCGCCATTGGGAAAGAATGGTGGGGTGCAGGCTGGAGAGTCCAATGACAACAAGAAGAAGAAGAACAACGGCGCAGTATCGTCTCTGGAGTCAGCAGTAGATGAGTCGGAAATTGAGTTCCCAGCACAACTTGACAAGAAGTTGTTTTTGGCAGCCGTTGGACAGGTTAGAGAAGTGTTGCATAGATTTGGTATAGACTCAGTGACCATCCAACCTGAATTCCAATCGTCGCATCCATGTCGTCTGCTTTTTAATTAGTATGAGTGGGTTAGGCAGACAGAGTTTAGTACATTTTGTTGTATTATAGGTGTAAAATTAGACTCGGATGTGTAAATTTTATTGTAATTAGTTAATTTTTTTTGACTTCCTGTGGTTGTAGTGATATGATATGCGCTAATTAAATTTACAAATTGATATGTTGTCTATACTATTCAATCATAGTTGGTATTTCTTTTAGAATACGATATTCATAATTTTTTTTCTTCAACAGGCAATTCAGCAACGAAGATGGTAAATAACAAAGGTTACTTATGATGTAACGTATTTGGAAAATATTAGCGTTAGTTCAATCAGTTGTTAGAGTAGAAGGAGCTACGTCCCAAGCGTTACACGGAGAGCAGATTTTCTTAACAAAACGAATACATCTTTCAGTTAAATTCAACACTAATTATAATATATATATTAAATTATAAAACAAATGCTAGAATCAGTAAAAGTAAAGTTAGTACGGCTAATCTACCGTATAATAGGAATTACAACAAATACGCAGTTCCTCAATATTTATATTCATTTATGAAACAACGGGTAGATTAACATAGGACGACCATATAAATGCATTCCACATGAAGAACAATTAGTACAACTGCTTGCCATCAATATAGAATAATAATATTAAAAGGAAAAGGGGAAAACTACCCTGATATTTATACTCCAAAATTGCCATTCAATTTTCCAGGAAATAGCAATCCATAACATTGCGTGGAGTACTTGAAGTATGAAGTTACAACAGTAAATGTAAAGGAATAGCATTTTAACACCCTCCAGGGAAGCTAATTGGTTCAAGAGAGAGATGCATTCAGTATAAATTATGAAAAAAAAAAAGAAGTAAAATTAAATAAAAAGCTGCAGTTGGTAGTTCTACACGAGTGATACTTGTGAACATTCAAGTTTGGAAAATATACATGTGTTAGGTAGACAGCAACAATAATAAGGGTATTAATGCTTTGTATTGGCAATATAAATATGACAATTATAGGACAATATTGTTTGTTAATAAAGTGGTTTCAATTAAGCTGAAAATGGTATATACATGTGCAACATTGCCAATATCGATTCGTTCTTTGGTAAAACTAGTGAAATATAAGGCATGGTCAGAATTTGAACATAAATCTCTTATATCATAGCAAATAACTCATAAATATATAACATTCTTAGATCTTTTCTTCTCCCGTATGGTAGAATGATTGGGATTCTTAAATTAGAATAACCACATCTCAAACAATTTAACAATAATCATAACCATGATTAATTTGTGCCGGTAAATGAGCAATGACTTGACCCACAAAAATGACAACAATACAACAAAGTTTGTGTTTATATCTGATATAAATGAACACTTCAGAGGTATACTGCGACTTCTTTATGTGAAATATACTCTTGATTGCCATATCAATAGAATGGTAGAATAACCATATAGTTTCCGTATCCAATGAAGCTCAAACTACAAGAGCTAATATTGTTAACGCGTGCGTCATCAACAAAGTTAAATTTTAGTCACTTTCGCAAAATAACCCTTCGAATGAATAATATCTTATAGTATGATGTCAGAAACACATAAACCAAAGGTGGCAAAACATTTAATCTGGTTAATCCGGATAAGGCTCAAGGATTGTTAATTACCTAGGAAAGGAATATCATTTGTCACTGGCAGTCCCCCATTTTCGGTACTTGAATTCTGTTTAACGAATAAGCATCTAAATTTGTTTTTTAAAGAAATAACCATAAAACATATTTGCTATAAATATTCATTCATTTCAGTTATAATTTTTTTATTTAAAATGTATAATTCTATCATCACTGATACTTTTTACTTTCCCGCGCTACCTTGGAGATTATATAAATTGATTATTCAAATGCCTATACCAAAGAGAATCCCATTCTTTGACGATCCGTACTCTTTACCACTTTTGTTATTGTCAATTGATTTTATATATACTATTGGTGGAGGATCAAGTGTTTCTTTTTTACTTAGAGAAAAACTCAAACAAAGAAACGATAGAGGTTTAAACAACTATGTCTATGATTACTTTTATCGTGAAAAGAATGTCATTTCAGAAAACAAAGATTCCAACAAAGATTAAACATTAGTTGCCCATACTTTACGTAAATGATTCGAAAATGATGGTTTGACAAAAGTGAAAAGATAATGGGAATAGAACGTTGAGTGTATTATCAACTTGACTATGAGATGGTATTTTGCCATCAGATTTTGTGTAATTAAATCTTTTGCAATAATAATTTGCAATAAGATTTTTACCAATTTATATACATATATATCACGATTTGTCACGAGAAGTAATTTTCATTGTTATCAACAAAGAATATACTCTATATCATTCTATTTATAAATGCCTCAAATTTAATTAACTTGAAACCTTAGACGAAACACCAATTTTCTCCTTTTTGTATAACGGGAAAATCATCAATTTTTTGATTATAACCAACCTCTTTAACTTCAATGAATTTACCAATGGCGAAAAGCACAGACCAATTTCTTAACTAGTTGGTTTTGATTAAATACTTTCGAAGTAGTAAACGTTATATTTATAAGCAAGAACATAAAAAATTTTCCATACTCTAAACTTATAAGCGGGTAATTTTGTTCCATTTGGAGTAATGAAGTAATCTCCAATGAAAATTCTTTCATTAATATTTTCATTTGAATTATTATTTATAAATTGATTGATATAAGAACAACTCGCAGAATTATTTGAGTGAATTTTGACAAACCACCGACGGGATGGAGAATTTGAACTTGTTATATATCCACTCATTGGGGCAGATACCGGTAGTGAGGTGAATTCAGTGTCATCTATTAAATCAAGTTCAACTGGCTGGTGTTTCAATTTTAGTGTTGCTGGAGTACCTGGGATTGAAGATCTTCTTCCTCTTGTGATTTTTGAAGGAGATGAAGGAGGAGAAGTTACTGAATTTTTATTATTATGTGATTGATATGGAGGAGGAGTTAGAGACATCAAAAAGGATTTGTATTAAAAACAAAGAAATGAATAATAATAATAAAAAAAAAGTCAAATCAATAATGAATATCTTCTTCTTTTCTTAAATGATAGTTATATTTATCAAGACAAAAAAAGGAAAAGAAAAATCTATCTGATTATATAACTAAGAAGAAGACTTTGTTGCTCTTGTTGAATTGTTAGAATTTGATTACAAATTGATAATTCACTCTGAAAAGTAATATCTTTGTTTTTATAGTTTTTATAGTTTTCATTGTTTTTTTATATCTCTATAGTTCTCTTGGATTTGATTTGCTATCTTAATCCATTTAAATCTGATAAGAGCTATCGTCGTAGTAGTGATTATCTATATATATTGCAAAGTTTAGAGTCATTCGATTAAGACAAATAGAAATTTAACGGGGAAAAAATTATCGATCTCGTAACTGGAAGCTATTAAATTGAACATTTAGAATACATCTATTCAAATAAATCAAAATCTAATTGTTTAAATCAACAAAAGGATAGAAAAGGTTAATATTGCCAGATTTCCAACTCCATGTGTGGCATGTATTCAAATAAAAATCAAACTAACAATAAGATTATTGCACTCAAGAAAACTAACTCCCTCTCCACCACAACGCAGATTTAACGCCCGAACAAGCTAAAGATGGGAGTGGAGAAGGATTCACCACAAAACTAAAGCACCTACATTATGAAAAATCGACAGATATATAATGTCAACACAACATCTGGAGATTTCGACTAAAAGATCAAAAGAAGATATACTTTTAAGCAGTAAGAAAAACTAATCACCTCCCAACCAAAACCAAAAAATAGTACTGTACATACACTCTATAACTTACTTCGTCATTTTTGGTTACTACTAATATAAGTTATTAGCTTCTTCAATGCGTGACTTAGTAAGAGTATACAGTTTTTTTTTTTTTTTTTGGGGGGGTGGGGGGGGGGCGACTATTTGTTCCAAATTGTACAATTCACAAGTTAGAAAGACCTGAATGAGATTATAACCAACAGGAAAGTCCTTTTGGTCTCTCTGATAACCCCTGCAAGCAGAGTAAGTCGGGGGTACTATAATTGATGAGTTAATTATGTTAAATTCCATAAAAAATTGTAGCTGGTAGTCGTGCTCAGAGTCCTGTTTCAATTGTAACTCGAAAATTATTCCAGCTGGTAACTTTTGTTAACTCATAACTCAAGATGTTACTGGTTGAACACGTTGTCGATATTCTTGACTAGTAAGAATCGTGTAAATATTTTTAAGATGATTTTGTCTGTTTTATTGGTATTTGTAAACCTCGCTTATTTTCACCTATCGTCTAGTGAAACTGATCAGGTTCTACTCTCCTGTCTTTTACTCCTTGCTTCTCTTTCTCCTTGCATAATAAAATCCGCGATTTAAAGCATGAAAGAAATCACTACATGAATTGTGGATAGTTGCATTACATAGATTTACAAATACACACATGTATCATAATGGTGGCAAGAAGATAACATGATTGTGAGATAATCTGCATGTAAATGAAACAAGTTAAAATTGATATAGAATATTTTTTTAAAACAATTGAAGACACGTGACATTATTTAGTACATATGATTGTCTAATTACAATTTCAGATTTTAGGGTAAATCAGGAACAGTAACTCAGGGAAAAACCGGTCGAGACCTTAATAATAGAGTAAGAATTGGCTATGCAGCAGCTTTCAGTGGATAATCCATTTCTGAACAAAGGGTAAAAAGAAACCTGTCAATCTTTGTAAATCCACCCAACAAGTATAGTCCTACATTTTGTTTTATTGTTTGTTGGAAGTTCTTAGTTGTGTTCTATTTCTCTGGTAAATCTCACCTCAGGACCTTGAACCTTCAACCCTGTAATAAAAAGATATTCAGGCACAAGACTTACTAAACTACAGGATGTACATTTTTCATTACGGATAAATAGCACAGATGAAGGCGGGTAGTAATACATTAGAATATTCCCAACAAATGAAATACAAAAATATACATAAAAAAAAAATTAACTTGAAATTTGTTAATGGAAAGCAGGAATTTAACATTCCTTAGGTATTAATATGTAAGTATAGGACTTGACATCATTTCACAATCACTACTCATAATGATGCATCAAAAAATCAAAAGAGATGACCATCAGTATGGAATTTTATTATTAATTAAATTTCAGGTTGGGCGATATTCATTAAACGCCTCTAATATCATCGTTTCCTATAAATATATTGCATTAATTTTGCTCTATCTTTTAATCTTGATGAGTTTATATGAAATTTGACTGCGAAATTCAAACATGATTTTATTTTTCTGTTTGTTTATAAGTGGTGATGATGACTTTAGGAAATTCATTCATGAAACATCAAATAAGATGTATAGTAAATCAGGAGCTCATGTAAACTAAAACTAAAACTAAAAAAAAAAAATTAGATGTAGAATTACGGTCTAGAATTACAAATTAGTTTGAAAGCATGTTAGTATGAAAAAAGATTTACTAAGATTCAATTAAATTTTAATTGAATTCAATTATGCTTTAGTATAATTTAATACTATATTTAGATTTGTGAACTTGTATCATGAAGGAATTTTGAAAATGCTTTGTTATAAAACATGGCAAATTCAAGCTGGTTTTCTTTTAAAATAAGGATTGTCTCTAATACAAACAAGCACATTGTTTTAAATATTTTTGATAGTCAGGGGGAATGAAATGAAAAAGTACAAGATTTACAAAACAAAAAAAAAAGGATTTACAATTACAAAAGGTTCGATTTTGTTTAGAAATATAAAGATTATATTTAATAAAATAAAATAAAATAGTTAAGACAATACTATGACGTATGAAATGAAATGAATAGACGTAATGAATATATGATAAATGATAATAATAACTACATGACAACACAACCATCATCTTCACCGACAACTGAGCGACGACTAATTGAATTGAAAGAACCATTAGTTTGAGTTCTAACTAAATTCTTACTAACAAATTTCTTTTCTTTTTTACTTCTCTTGAATTTATTCCAGTTTTTAAATGACGACATATTTGATTTCGTAGATTCTAAACTCTTTAAATCATCAAAATCATTATTTGAAGGAAGTTCAGGCTCTTGAATTGGAGAGTTGTCAATTTCTGATAAACCAAATGAATTAAGATAATCATAGGAATCATCAGGAATATTACCATCATCATAAGATTGAGTAATTGTAGCTTCTTCTGCTTCTGGATCAGCTTCTTCAACTTCAACTTCTTCAGCAATACCTTCACTGAAATTAAAATTAATTGGTTTAGTCATATTTGCGATAATCAGTTGTTCATCAGGAGGGATCTCGGATGATATTTCTGAATTATTATCACCCATTGTTAATGATAAAAGTGAAGAATCTTCAGTACATTCAGATGGTTGTGAAAATATTGACATTGTACTTGATTTACGTGGTGGACTATAAGAGTTTGAAATTGTTGAAGTTGAACCATTTGTTAAAGTAGGATGAATTTGATTGTCATGTAGGTTATTTGAAATAGTTTGATGAATGGATTTACCATTGGATAAATGATCATGAATTTGAGCAATATTAATAATACCAGAATCATGAGAATAATAAACCAATGCTGTTAATAACTTGGAAAGAAACTTACTGAATATTTGTCTTTTATCACCATTAAATCTCATTGAGAAGAATGCAATTGTTTTAATTAATGAATTTCCCAAAATGGCGTAATTTCGACAATTTATGGAATATAATCTTGAATTGATTTTAGCTAATTGTACAATGAAATCTTGAGGAACGGATTTACCATATTCTAAATGATATATCATAATAGTAATTAGATTTATAAATGAGTCAACTTGATAATCATTTTTAATTAATTCAACATTTTGGTTAGACAATAGTATGGAATATCTATCTAATAAGCCAATGTTATAATTTGAAATTCTAACGACATTTCGAGATGTCAATTCACTGTTGAAAATATTTAATCCCAATTCAATTTGGAATCTTTCCATATTAATCTTATTATAAGTAAACATAGGAATGGAATTTTTGGTGCAAATATTACTATCACTAAAATTTTCACATAAATCTAAGGATAACCAAACAGATTTAATGTTGGCAATTTCGTATTGGGAAAACATAAGATTTGGTTTATGATCTGAAGTTACCATTATGACAGGAAAAAAAAAAAGATAATAATTAAATGACTATGACGGAGTAAGGAAATGAAGGGTCTATTATATATAGTAATGAAAACAAATAATAATTAAGGTGAAAAGGTTAACCAGTAATGTTAAGAATAAAAATGAATGAATAATACCAGTACTGAAAACGCTATATGGGTTAAAGGAAAATAATATTTGATAAATAATTTTGTCCTTAACCTAATCTAGTAACCAGTGGAAATGTTAAAATATAAAGAACGAAAGAAAGTAGCAAACGTTTGAAATGACGGTGGAGTTAAGGTAGTTATAGGGTAATAGATATCGTAAATAGGATTTTACTTTGTTGAAGAACGTAGTTGATGATTATGAACAACAGGAAAATAGAATCAAATTAAATATATATAAAAACAAAAAGAAAAAGTTTTTCAAAAAAAGTTTTTTGTTGAAGAGATTTCAATAATGTTTTATAATTTATAATTTATATATAAAACTTCAAAAGAAAAGGGAAGCCTTTACAGCTTCGCTTCTGTGTTCATGTGGTTTTGTGATATGGGATAATTGCATTAAAAAAGTTTTCTTACTCAACCTTCTCTTCTTCTTCTTCATCATCACCATCATCTTCTTCTTTTGTATAATTGTGGTGCTTATGTATGTAACCGTAATGAATATGGACAATTCATTTTGTTGTATTTTGTATTGCTTTTTGGTTGAGTAATTGATGAACAATGCATGAATGAATGAATGTATGTATGCCGACAAGTAGGATGTATTATGTATGATGCATTGTAGATCATTGTTTGTTGTATGGTAAATCCCCTATTGGTTTCGTGTTGCATTCATAATTGATGCAAATTTGCTTAATCCGCGTTTTCGGTATTGTGATGATTGATTAAAGCACGACCATAGATAAAAGACCAACTGTAATCAATCCATGTGTACCCACCATCAAGCTGGCTTTATCTGTTTGCTAGAGAATTTAGATGTGGTATGAAAATAAGCAAAATGATCTACTTGTATTGAAGTCAAAAAAAAAACACAACAATTTATCCATGGGAGAATTTTAAAGAAACTGTTATTAAGTTCAAACAATCTCTTAAAGTTCATTGGTTGAAGTGGCGATAATTAAATGATTAATGCCAATTGCAAGAAAATTACAAAGATAAAAGCCAAGTTTATTACTAAAACACCGGATATTACATATGTCAATAATTGCCTTGTCCTTTATTATTATACTTTCTGCCTGCTCCCCTTTTTTTCCCTAATGTGTTACAGTTGTGACTAAGTTAAAGTCTAAATCCAAGGTGAGTTATTACTTGATTGAGTTAACTAATTTGTTGGGATGATGATGAAGATGAGGAGGAAGATGTTTAAGGTCATTCATCTACCCAACCTAAAGATTTGTTTCAGCAATAAAAAAGAGTAAGAGTATTAACCCTTTCTGTTCCTCCATGAATATTTGTGAACATTTCTACACTCACAAATGTTGTTTACTCTTTCTCCTCTCCTCCCCCCGGATGGTATGTTTGGTTTGGAGAATACCTCACATTAACTCCTAACCTACTTTCATTCATTAACAGAGTACTGCAGGTAGCCACTATCTATGAAGTTATTTTTTTAACACAATTCCGTTTGTGGTGGTTTGTTGATTTGATTGATTAACTGCGAATTGGACTAAACTAAAGAATTTATTATTTTTTTTTTTATTTTTTAGTTTGTGCTTAAACATTCCCTTTCAATGAAGAAAAGTTCTGGGTTTATATGACTTAGTCATCCTAACACAAGAAAACACAAGGTACATGTTTGCTAGCATTTGTCACTGACAAGTTTAATATGGTGAGTCTCTCTGTGTGTGTGTCTTTTTTATTATTATTCTTTCTTTGATAATCCTGTTATTATGATAGAATTAACTCTGCTCTAAAAAATAAAATAGTAGATGGGAGATACAAATTCCCAATGAAATTTCAGTTTAGGACAATGGGAACTAAAAAGAGGAAGAGAGATCTTCATGCAATTAGAAAGAAATAATAAAATCATCTAAACAGATACAACATTATTAATAACGAATAAAAGTTTATATCTTTATGTATATATCAGGCTTCGAAAATTATCTATGGCGAGTGGATTTGCCTACCCTTTCAAAGATGTAGTATTCACCTTAAATTGATTTTTGGAAATAATTTAAGGCACCGTTGTTTAGTAATGTTAATGAACAATATCATCGGTAACATCATCAGCATCATCGTAGAATTCATTGTTCAAGGAACAATATGAATAAAAAGAAAAAAAAAATTAACCCAAAAGAATACAAAAGAAAAAGACAAAGAACAATAATAGAGATACACAAACTCGTCCTATTTTATTCCTGCTTTCCTCTCCTTTCCTTTCGTCTTTAGTTACAGTCAACAAGAAAGGTTCCAAGGAACATGTCATTGGTTACATAAGACACAATTATAATTCCTCAGAGCTCTTGGTTGATTTTTCTTTGTCACAAAAAATTTATCACAAGTTCAAATTAAAAAATCAAAACATTGCAAAAAAAAAAACTAAAATTCAGAGTACACAATCCTTAATGGAATGAGTTTTTAGTCAAATATGTGCTATTCTAGAGTATGAAGAATTCTTAAATTGGGTTAAGTGATAAACCCTTATGTGACCTTCTAGAATAATAAGCCATGCTCATCTATATCTTTGTGAATCATCAACTCTACGCAATTTCAATTGATTTTTTTTTTACTAAACACTTGAAGTTAGTTCATGGATAAATAACTTTTAGACGATGATGTGTATAAACTAACAAGAAATAAATAAAAAACATAACTAATTTTTTGGTAGGAGAAAGGGTTCTGTTTCATTTATTCACTTAATGGTAAACCAACATCCTATCGGAATAATGGAACTGCATGATGATTTAACCCGAGGAGGGATTAATTATAAAATCAATGTTAAATATCATCTTGATAATCATTCACTTGCAAACTTTATCCAAATAATAATAATAATAACTACAATAATAACAATTGCATCGTGTGTATATCTCTGTAACCATGGATGGTGTGTGAGAGAGTTTGTGCATGTGTTGTATGTTTCATTGTATTCTTTTAATTTTAAAGATTAGGGTTCATCGGGAATGAAATTCCTTAAATTGTCTCTGATAATTCCACCATCGTAAATATCTGTCGTCGATATCAATCAATAATTACAAGGCGGTTATACACTTCTGCTCTCCTGGAAAAGTTTGATTTCTATCTGTTATTGAAAGAATTGAAATGATTCATCAGTACGCCTTGAAATCAAAACCTCTACATGTTACAAACGTTTCAGTTGTGCTTTCTTCGTCACTAGTTCTTTCCCCTCTTATCCTACATTTGCTGAGTCGCCTAATACCTCGCCTTCAATTTGAAACGTCATTACTTCCAACCAATCACAAATTACATTTGTCCTCAAAAATCGAAATTACGGAAAAATTTTTTTTCTTTTTTTTTTTCATTTCTGAGTTTTCGCAGTTGCGGAAAAATATCTCCGGCGGGTCCCATCGCATACCCATAGTCCAAAAATAAAAGGATACAGTATAGGCACACAGGGTGGAAGTACAGTAGTGGTCCATAAGAACTACCCTTGACTATTTACTATCACTAATAGAATTACTGAATGTATGCACCGTTGGTTAATCCATAGAACTTTTTAGTTCATTTAAACAAAAATATCATGCCATTTTTATGCTGAGTTGATTAGTGGAAGTAAGACTAAGAAGTATACATAACCAATATTAATACTCCTCATACTTGTTCTATCATATACACAAAAGAACTTAGGTGGGTTTTCTTGGATTCTTTGTGTGTATGGTTATGGGTTATGGACAATAATTTATTTGTATCTCTTTATTGAGATAATAATTTAAGTATGCAGCTTTTATTAATTACTATCATAAACATTGTGTTCTTTATTTACTTTGGAATTATGGAATTTTAGCCTTGTTCAAATTACTGAATAAAATTTGATATGAGAAATCACAAAATATACCCGCTAATATGGAATGTTATACTAATTGTGATTACGACGATTTCAAATAACTCGAATCTTTTATTCGAGTTAGAAATTATTCAAAGATTTATAGGAAATATGATGGATGAGAATCACGTGAAGTTGTGGAGTAACAAACTAACAAAACAATTATTACCTATTCTAGTTTAAAACATTTCCTTCTATTATTATAACCAAGATATTCTATTTTAACCGTTTATGGAAACAATTGTTCTCAACAACAAAAGAAAAGTTGCAAAAAGAAAGACAATGTTTAAAAAAAAATACATTAAAATTTCATCAAGAAAGGAAACTATTGTTAATATTCAACGTACTACTATACAAATAAAGAAACGAAATAAGATATATAAACACGAAATAATAAAGTATAAACGAAAACCGTGACGAAAGTTAAATAAAAAATAGAAAGATATAACAATCAAGAATTAAATCCATAACCAATAAACCATCCAATTAGAAGAAGCAAAAAAAACAATAAATTTAAAACCACCATGTAAAAGTAGATAAATATAATTAGAATGTGAAGTAAAAGCAGCGAAAGACAGTCAACAATAAGCAACAAGTTATACTAAAGCATATCGTGGAAGTGGGGGGGGAAATTTCTATTCAAAAATAACATAACAAAAAGAAGAAAGCATCGATGTCCTAGAAATTATCATCATCAAACAATAATCCAATAAACAATCATTAAAAAAATAGAGGTACCATAAAAAATTATTAATGTATTCTGAATAAAAAACAGCCCATAAAACTCATTTCCTATTCCTTTCCATCTCTCTCTCTAGCTATAATCATTCCTTCTTATTTTTTTTTTTGGAATAATTATTTCCAAATGTTATAAGGAACCTTCTTAACATTATATTTGTTACCCTTTCTAGTATGTCTAGTTAATGGAGGAACAAATTTAACATCACTCTTGTTAGTATTTTTCAACATTGAAAATCCCGAAGTACTTGTTTCACTAGTATAAACTGAATTTAAATCATGATTGGATCCATATTTATATCCATAAACTTGTGATGAATTACCTCCACGACTACCACTTATTGATGGTGTAGTACCTTTTCTTGAACTAACATTTGAAATTGAACATCCACTTGATTCAACTTTATGAATAACTGGAGGAATATGAGAAACTGAACAATTTCTACTATTACCACCGGCAAATAATGGAGCTGGTAGCTTTTGTTGTTGTTGTTGTTGATAGAATTCACGTGCAGTCATTTCACGACCATTTGAGTTTGACATATTACCAACACCAACAAATGAATCTTGAGTTGAACCAACAGTAACTGAGTTCTTTCTTGATTGAGTTGGTGAGGATTTAGTAGATGATGATGAAGAAGAAGATTTTGAAGAAGAAAAAATAGATGATATTCTACCTAATAATCCACTCTTTTTCTTTGGTTGCTCATCGTGATATTTATAATGTGAAGTTCTTAAATTATCCTTCAATGGAACAGGTGGTGGAGATTGAGAAAATGAATTAAGCAAATCATAAGAAGAATCTTCTGGGGAATTATTATCAATTGCATAACCTGAATATTTATTTCTTAAACCAGCAAAACTTGAAACTGAATTAGCTTTATTATTCAAATAAATTGAATTTCTTGAAGGTCTTAATGAGTCATTAGATGATTTCTTATTCAATGATGGACTAACTGGAACAGACATCAGTCCTGGCATAACAACATTTTCTGGATGATTATAACCTTGGGTTTCAATTTCCTTCTTCAATACAAATGAAGATCTCATGAATCCTAATGAAGCTCTACCAGTGGAAGAAACAGAATTCATAGACATCGATGATTTAGCACCCAATGAATAAATAGAATTATTCTTTCTATGACCAATAGTTGATTTTTGTTGTGGCATTGCAAACTGGAAATCATCAGTAGCAACTGAAGTAGCTCTTGAATGAACTTCATTACGTAAATGAGATGGATGAGAAGAATTCTTCAATCCCAAAGAATCAGTTTCTCCATTACTTGAAACAAATGAAGATTTATAGTCAGAATTATGTAATGACAATGATGAAGTTCTTGAATTTGAATCACCATCAGTTGATGAAGCAGAAGAAGATTGATTACTTGATTTAGTTGACAATTTATCATTACTAATTTCACCATCAGATTCATATTTACTTGAAACATCATCATCTTCCACAATTGGAGCTAAACCTTTCAAACCAAATGACTGATAATCAAAAGTGCCACCAGTGATACCACCTCTAGATAATGATCTTTCAGGGACAGTTTGTTTCTTAGATTCCTCCTTTTGTTCTTTTATTGGTGGAGATTGAGATTTAATTTTATTAATAAATAAATCTTCTTCTTCTTGTTCATCAAATTCATATGAATCAGGAGATGGAATTCTATGTTGTTCTTGTTGTGGTGGTTTATTCAAATCACCATTTCTTCTTCTCAATTGTCTTGGATCAAATGAAGGTGCTTCATATAAATTATCAGAATTACTTTCCTCTTCATCGTCTTCAACGGCTGTATCAATTGGATCTTGGAATTTCTTCAATTTAGCCAATAATGAACTAGTTGAATAACCATTACTTTCAGAAAATGAACCTCTTCTACTATGACTTGGAGTAACAAATTCTTCATTATCGGTTTCTTCTTGTTGTTGTTGTTGTTGTTGAGCAATTCTTGGAGACATAACAGCAGAAGGAACCATTCTTGGAGATTCAAAAGCTCTATCAGTAAAACTTGAAGCACTAGATTGTACTCTTGGACTTGATGGAGTAGTAGTGATTGGAGAAGCATAACCACTAGTATTACCATTTCTTCTTCTTCTTGGATCAAATGAAGGTTTTGGAGAACCTTTGAAGTAATCTTCCTCATTATCTAAAATACTTCTTAATGAAGAAGACATATTTGATTGTGGTGAAGTCAATTGTAAAGTAGCAGACATATGACTAGAAGTTTTTTGAAATGTATTTGTGGTTGGAATGGCAACTTTAACTGGAGATGCAGCAACATCAACTGATCTTCTAAAACCTTTATATTTATCATTTGATTTCAAATCAATTTCAATTGAATTAAATTTATCCAATACTTGATTTGGTTTAGAATTATCATATCCAATAACAGGAGGTTCAACTGGTTGTTCATGTGGTGGTGATGGTAATGGAGATGATTTAATTTCAAAGTTCTCCTTTGGTGGTGGAGTAGGAAGTGTATCAACAGATTGTCTTCTACTAGTAGTTGATCTTTCTCTTGAAAGATTTAAAGGTGGAACATAATAATCATCCAGAAGTGAACTTGTTTCAGAAACAATTTCTTCTTCATTTTGTAAAATTGAATTAGCAAAATAAACATAAACCTTAACCCAGGTTAATTCCAATACACTTGTTGAATAACTTCTTAAAAATTGTTTCAATGTTAAAATTAAGGAATTTCCCATTGGTTCTAAATATTTAGTTGACATTTGTGAAAAACGTTGGTTTTCTTGTACAAATGAATAAATGAATTCTTCAATAATTTCAACATTTTCAATATTGGAAACAACAAAATTAAAACAATCACCAAATGTTTTAGCATGATGAGTAATTACTGATTCGTCATGATTGAAAATTTCACCTAAATTTGGATTCTTTTCAATTAAATTTAAATATAATTCATTATAAAAATTATTCTTATTGGAAATTCTATTCCAAGAAGATTGAATTTGATCAATTTCAAATGGACTTAATGATAATTCAGACATGGTTTTTAAAAAAAAATATAATAGATCTAAAAATTGCTATTTCTCTTTTTTTCAGTGACTTAGTTATAGTAATAATAATAAACAAAACTTGGAATCTCTTAATCAATAAGCTGAATCCGATGTGAAAGGGTATATTAACTGGTTGTTGATTATTACTTTTTTTATTTGTTGTAGTTTTATGTGGGTTTTAATTTATGGGTATAAGGAAACTATAAGAAAAAAAAAATTTTTTGAAATTAAAAATCTTGCAAAGAAAGAAAAAGAAAAAAAAATTCAATAGACGAAGGAAAAAGGAGGATAATTGCATTCATTTATATATTTGTTTATTATTACCTTTTAACATTAAAGTATAATCTAATTAGGAAATTGGAAATTTTTGATCATACTTTCCTTTTAACGTAATAAGTCTCTTCTTGGTAATTCGCAGCAAAAATGAAGAAACAGAAAACGTTTAGTCCAGAATGTTGGTCGGTGCACGACCGCATTATCTAAAGTGCAAAATTTCCTAATTGGGAAATCAGATTAAAAACTAAAATCTTGCAGGGGCATAACTACTTTTAGCTATTAAGCAATTTGACATGGTTAAATACAAGCCTTTATCTTGTTCAAAGAAGTGGAATACTTTATATAGAGAGAGGGGATGAAAACTTATTACTTGTTTTAGTTCATCTACTGTTGGTAGTCTGTTTTTGTCGTGTCATGTTTTGTATGTCACGTGCACCTGTTAGATGAAATGAATTTTTTTTTTGATTGCAAATAATCTCAAATACAGGTCGTGCACCACCCAGGAATTAAGAACTAAATAATTTCCGGATTGGGAAATCAATTGTTAATCACTTTACGACAATCAATTTCCTATTGTTTGATCACAACTTTGCTATGGGGCTTATTTTAAGTACTAATACATGATATTTCCAGAATTGGGTTAAAGAAAAAAAAAGTATATAATACCTATCATAACCCCTTCTAAATGGGGTAACATTGGTCTTCTGAATTCAATGAAGTATCGAAAGGGTAGTATTCAAGGTTGAGGAGGAGATGGAAGGGGTATAGAGGAAATTAAAGATGGCAAAATGTTTAGATGATGGAGATTTTTAGTTTTAAATTTCAATGAAGGATTTTTAGAACAATTTAGAAGTCAAATAGTTCATGTACATCTTATTTAAAATGACTAAATACCTACCTAATATGTAAATTGATAAATTTCATTTCTTTCGTTAATTATGTAATCGCGATAATATACAACTTCCATTTGATCAATTTATCGTTTCAAGATATAGATCGTTTCTATTTATATATTTCATCGATGGATATTGTACAACTTGAAAAGAACACCTCCTCATCCATCATCTTCATGTCCCCCCTTGTTCATTATTTTTCTTGATTAGACTTTCCCCTTTTTTTTTTGTTCCATTTGACTTTGTTTACTTGTATTTGTTAATTAATTGCATTCTTATTTTGTATAACTTCAACTGGTTACCGGTTTGCATTAATTTACGTCATTACTCAAGCACTCATTCAAAGGTGGACGATCTTGGTTTCATTTTCTTTTTTTTTTTTGTGTGAATTTTGCATCAAAACTTTCCTAATTTCAATCACAAAAAATACGAGAGATATGGTTTTACACCAAGAATCTTAGATTGTTGCTTTAGCAAATTCTTATAAAATTTAAAGATATATTAATGGTAGTTCGTATTTTCAATATAGATGATAAATTCTCATTTATGTTTTTCACTATGTAAAGGAAATTTATCATATTGAAATAATTCTCGTAATTTAATAAAAAACAATGAAATATCCTTTTCTTCAAAAATCAGTTCATCTTGATTTAATTTAGATTCAAAAAATCTTTCTAAATGTCCTAATATTATATTTCTAATAGGTTTATCTCTATTTTTAAAATTAACAGTAAGTATCAAAATTTCTAAAGATTTATCTAAATATTCAACAACTTTTTGACCAGGTTTTGGTTTATTTCCAACTAATTTAATCCATAATTGACGATTGGTTTTATTTAAATTTGTAGTTTTAATAAACATTTCTGCAATTTCTTTCCATTCTAATAATTCTCCGGTTTTTAATTTTTCACTTATCAATAATTGATAATTATTTTCTAAATCTTCACCTATTAGATAATCACTTATAATATATGGCCATCTTTTAAAAGGAACTCCAATTTGGATAAAATATTCTTGAATTTGAATTAATTTAAAAACCCTTTTTTTATCATGATTTCCTCTAATTATAAAATCATCTTTTAATGGTGATATAGTAGGTAATAATGCAAATGAACATGAATTTTCAATTGCTTTTTCAGCTTGTTTTTCATAAAATATTAATTCTTTGAAAAAAATATTCAATTCTTTATTGATTCGTTTTTCTTCAATTATATTAGCATCAATTTCCAGTTTTATTTCTTCATCTATTTTCTCTAATTTATCATCATCCTTGTTATTCAAATTATTATTTGTTGTTTTTGATAATTGATGGATTTCCTTCTTTTTCTTTTTAGTATGTTTATTCTTTGGTTTCAATTTTGATTCATTCTTAGGTTCTTCTTCTTTACCTGGTTCAAAATCATCTAAAGTTTTAATTAAAATTGTTCTAAATTCAGGGTACTGAATATATTTAGTAACAATTTCTTTAATTTTCGCAATATCATCAGATGTAATATTTAATTCGTGTGCCATTTCATCTCTAGACATTTCTCCAGTCATAATTGAATTGGTTTGATTTATAACATGAGCCATATTCATCCTTCAAAATTACGAAACTTCAATCTGAAATAAAAAAACTTCATCAATAAAATAATATAAAAAACCAAATATAAAAAAAAATCTTTTTTAAAAAAAAATTTTCAATCTACAGATCAATTCATAAACAAAACAGAATTCCGAAAGATGATGGAATTTCATAACGTTGCATTGACGACAATAATTGATCTGTGCCTTTTTCATCATGCATTCGTAAACAATTTTCAATTATCTGTTTTATCAATCACAACATGTTTAACTCTTCCTTTTTTTTAAACTATAAAAACATAGAACAATATGATACAATTATCAGGTTTATGATCTTCACGTCCTGGAAAAGAGTATAATTTACACATGTGCTCACATATGATGGTTATCTTTAGATTTTGCTACTGACAGAAACTATTTTTCACACACACACACGACCAACAATGCTACCAACTGTACTAATAACTTGAACCAGGCACAAAAACAAAAATAATCAATCAATTCAATACTCGTGGATTCATTCATTATATTATGATATCTATAAAAATAAATACATATGCGTCAACTTAAAAATAGATTTCCGTGAAACTTTTAGCTGTGAATCTTTTAGCACAATCAGGTTCAGGACATTTTGCAGGAGCATAAATGTTTGGATTTTTAATTGAAATCAATTTCGATTCTTTCGTTTTTCTTTTTGGTCTATTACCAATATTTTTAACACATCTTCCACAGAATAAATGTCCACATTTGGAAATAAATGCTCTTTTAGACAAGTCAATATCAACTTTCGTGAAAGGATAAATACAAAACCATGGCGCAGTACATTCATATTCTTGACAATAATGCTGGAATTTTGAATCATATCTAACATCTCCTTGGAAATCTTCGGGGACCCCTTCACCTAATTCAATATTACATAATTCACATACCAAATGATCATCCTTGTTAATTGTACTAGTATGATTTGGTTTTTCACTGGATATTCTCTTTTTTCTATCTTCAACTACTTTTTTATTGAAACCAGCTTCACGAGCAATTCTACTATCTAGCATTTGATTAGTGTCTTCTTCAATTCTTGCCATAATATGTCGTTCGATATCACGTTCAGCATCAGAATCTCCATCAAGGGTACTTACTAGAAATTGAAAGGGATGCTCTTCAAGTACTCGCAATATACTAGCTTCATATCGAGAACGAGTACCCGGAGAATATGGACCTCGTCTACCAACTCCAGAATGTTCAAAATTTGGCATCATGTTAAAATTACTCCCCACAACTCTGACTGTAGTACCTCGTTGTGGAGGTTGCACGGGTCTGGATCTAGTTCTTTGTTGATGAAAATTTCTCATTCTTGTAAGTTGCTCAATTTGCTGTGCAACCGACGATAGAGCTTGTTCAATTCTTCGTCGCTCCCTACCAAGTTCCAAACGACGACTATCTGTACTTTGAAGTTCTCTTGATAATTCACGAAGTCGTGGAGTAATTTCTTCTACTGTTCGCACCTCATCACCAGGAAAAAAGAATCTTGGAGTTCTCGAACGATAATGTGCTACTCGTTGTCGTTGTGGTTGTCTAGCCTCTCTATTTCTTCGACGTCTTTCAGTCAATTCACATTGTAACAATTGTTGTTCTGTAAAAACTCGAGCATTATAAGATCCTAAAGCATTCTCACGTTGTCGAAGATTCTCACTTTCTCTTTGTAATTCTCTTTGTCTAATATGACATTGACGTAGTCTCTCATCAATAGATTGTAGATTATTAGTAAAATGATGTTGGCCATTTCTATTAATCATAGCCAATTCACGAGCCACAAGATCATCATTTGTAATTTCGATATCTCCAATAGGTGTATATAGTCTATTAGTTCTTGGTGTTGTATGAGATGATGGAACGACTTCAAATGATATTCCACTATCATTATTTATATGACCATATCTAGTAAGCCTTTCTGATTCTGGTACACGTCTTTCGCTGGTAATTTCAATATCTTCAAAACTTTCATCAGCTTCATTGTTATGTGTGTGGTTATTTCTTGACTCTGAATGTGATATTGGAGTTGGACTTATTGTATTCACATTAATGATTTCAATTTCATCATCATCATCATCATTGTTGTTCTCATCATCGTCATCCACCACAACTACGTCAGTAGTAGGTACAGGATCATCAGGAACAAATAAAGCATCCAGAAAATCCGAAATTAACAGTGCGTTTTCCACAATATTAGTTTCATTGTTATTATCTGTATCTGATAATTCAATAACTTCATTATTAGTAATATTGGTTTCAGATGGGTCTGGTTGTTGTTGTTGTTGCTGTTGTTGTTCTGCTGAAATCGTATTGATATTATCATTCTCTATGGATACATTATCAAGTCTTCTCCTCTTAGGTAGGGATTCTCCCGATGCTTGTCGATCTGAATTCATAATTGGTAAAATAATAATAGTGTCAAAATGAATATGTTCTGTATTTATATATGTGGCGATAAACTACTTATTGTCACGATTCAAATAATAGTGAAAACAAAACAAAAAAAAAAAACAAATAAAAGGGTGGCTAAGTAGTCAAGTAAGTGTCAGGCGAATGTTCTTATGTATAAAATAGTCTTATTTGTCTTGGATGTATAAAAATAGGGAGACTCAGTAATACTAATACTTGTAAGTTGGATGTAAACAACCAATATCCTTCTACTTCTAATTGACAATTCCTTCTTTGGTTAATCTGTTAGTATCACAGTGTGTTTCTTTTCTTTTTTTTTTTCTTTCTTTCTTTTACTGAAACGAGAATGTGATTTGGGCAGTTTCACACGATAAGGAAGCACGTGATTATTGGTCATGCCTTATATTTACAGATGAAAACAGCATAGATTTTGATATAAAACCAAAAATATCATAAATAAATATACATTCAAATAATAGATACAAAAGAATAAAACTAAAATAACTTCCGATTATCCATGCTAAAAGAAAACACCCCCCTAATATTCTAAATGTTTAATTAAATTTCTCTCATCTACTTTCATCAATCTTCATACGTTTAGTTTCAGCAGCCAAATGTTCTTCTTCTTCATCATCTTTTAGTTTTTGTTCCAATTTTGTTTGCTCTTGTTCCTTCGGCCGTTCACCTTCTTCTCCATTTACCCAAGTTTCTACTTGATCTAATTTTTCTGTGAAAATTTGTGTTAACCTACTAATCATAACCAAGGATTCTTTAGCAAATTTGAAAATAACATCATCTTGTGAACTTGCAGTTCCTGCTGCAGATTGTTGATTCTGTTGTTGTAAAGATTGAGGCAAATGTAAGATTATATCACGAATAGCGTTCTTCAATTCCAAATCTTGATTATTAGCATTTGCTGTGGCACTGTGTGTTGTTTGTGAACTATTATTTGAAGAGACTGGAGTTAATGAATTATTACTAGTATCACCTAATGAAGACGGACGGAAATTTGAAATTAAATGAATGATTTTTTTAACAGTACCAACAATTTCAGTTTTGGCCTTTTGAGTAGTATCAACTTCATTTGATTTTTGAGCATTCAATTTTTCTCTTTCTTCTTTAACGGCAATTTCTGTTTCATTAATTTTTTGACGCAAGAAATCCACTTTTGAGCTAATATTAGCATTAGCTAGTTTAAGGATATTTATACAAAACTGTAATCTTTTTTTGGTATCGATAGATGAATAAGTTGTTGACTGACTAGAATTACTGAATCGTCTCTTTTTCTGCAGATTTGATTGAATTTTATAATCTCCAGCTAATGAATTGGTTGGGGTGATATCATTTGAAGATGAAACAACAGAAGCTTGTCTTGTTTGATATCTGGTGTTTAATTTAGCTTCTATATTATTGACAACAGGAATAGCAGCCGATTCAACTATACCAGCAGCATAGTTAAATGATGGATAGTTTCTCTTTGAGTTTTCATAATATTTGACAGCATTTAAAACAATTGGATGTTTAGCAACCATTGAAACAGTAGAAACAAATGGATGTCTTTGTTGGGCACCAGGAATGTGATCTAGTTGCTGAACAGCCCCCATTTGATTTGTTACCGTTGTTGTTGTTGTTGCTGTGATTCCATTGGGAGACTGTGGAATAGAATGTGAATGAATAGAAAGTGGGGATTGTGGGTCTGTTACTATTGTATCAGTGTCAGAAGGAGGGGTCGCGTTCTTTGTCAACAGGGTTAAGGCTTGAGCTGCAGTAACCAAATCCTGTTCATTTTGTTGTGATGCTTGATTAAGAGGAGGAGGAGGAGGCAGATCAGGATGAATGAGATGTGAGACGTCTGTTGGTTTTATAGGATTACCATCTCTTTTTGAGTAAGGAGGAGGAGGAAGTTGTTGGTCTTGTTGTTGATGGTTTGACATTGTAGTTGCCATAACTTGTGCACTCAAAAATAAAATATATATAAAAAAAATTCAAATTCTTAGAACTTAAAAAAAAAAAATTTCCCTGTGAAAATAATTTTAGTGTGGGTTAAATTTTCCTCTGGGGGGACGAAGTTAATAGTGGGAGATTATTAACAAGATAAGTTGTAGTAATATATGAAATATTGAATGTAGTAGAAATCTACTTCTTGAAGATACAAATGTAAAGGAAAAAAAAAAAGAAGGATCAATTATTTAGTAGAACTATAATTTATATATATAAAAAAAACATCAACAAATTAATGATTGTATATCTGTATCTCTTATATATTTATATTTATATTGTTACTGTAGTGTGAAATTAAGAAAAGACTGTGATAATTCATTTTTATTTTTTTTTGGTTTTTATTACTGGAGGCGTGTACTTTTCCCAGTTTTAATATTTTTTTCATCTGAAAATGTATTTATTGGTGTGCGGGTGCAATGCACACACACACTGTAAGTTAGCCTTTTATGCTGGATAGGTGGTTACACACACTTGCACTTATATTTACACTGACACACACACAGACAAAAGAAAAGAAAAGAGAAAAAATTATGGAAATCCCAGTGCATGTGATTTTTATATCACTGGTCTATAGGTTGATGATTTCTTTTGGTTGACTATGCCGTGTGGACGTATAGATTAGCTCACATTTTGATGCGTGACATAAACCAAACATGTGTTGGTTTAAACGATTAATGTTGTTGGGTGCGATATTACTAAGAACCCCTCCATCCAAACAGGCAAAGCTACACGTGACTATCTTAAAATATCAACCACTGCCAAACTACCTGATAATTATAATCATGATAAGAAAAATAGAAGTATCTATACTTTAGTTGGTTAGTTAAACTTATAATATATTATGATATCATACAGATGAAATTCACTCAACAAAAAAAAAAAAATGTTTAAAATCAAATTCAATCGTCAGTTTCATTTCGCAACTATTTTATTGTTGCGTTAATTGTATACAAACGTTTGTTTGTTTAGCAACCACTGAATTATCCCTATTTTTTTTCTTTTTTATTTATTTCAATATTCAAACACACATCTACCCTTTGATTACATTTACGAATCATTTAGAAACAAATCATAAGCTTTTATTTCAATCGTAGATCAATTTTCTCGCAAAATACCCACGAGATTTAAAGAATGTGATCGAACCATTTATATGAATTGCCGAAGTTGACTTAAAACCATTGGTATAATTATTTTATTATACCATATGATTAAATGAACTGAAATTAGATATTACATACGTTTGTTTGAATTCTTAATCTAGTTCATATCTACATCTAACAATTAATACAAAGATCCTTTAATCTCTCTCTCTCTCTCTCCCCCTTATTCTTTATTTGATTCAACCCTTACACTTTTTTATTGTAATCATCGTCCTCCCCCTCCTCCACCACTTAGTCAATGCTTTCTTTAGTATTCCCCTCCAAATAAAGGCTGAATCATACTTAGAGTGGGGTGAGTTGGGTGTGATGGCTGTGGAGAACAATTAAATTGACATTATTCTCCGATCATTTTTTACTCTTTTTTATTATGTTTTTTTCTTTTTAATCGAATATCCTCTTCTTTGTATAATTCTAGTTGGATCTGGAATTATGAATCTTGCTTTTGTCTTTGTATTATGTGTATCATGTACAATGAATAGTTTGGTTATTAAAGTTGAAAGAAAAACAGAAATCAAAAATTGCATGTGAAAAAATTATCAAGATCTCGCTTTGTTTGTAGATGCACGTGAAGAACACTATACCCGTACAGATATAAATGCTACTTATTTCTAATTACAATTGTCCTATTTATTTATTGTTTTTTTTTTCTCTTTTTAATTCGACATAATCTAATATACACAGATGAAAAGAATAATTATTCTTTTCCTATTGTTTCTATAAACATGTTCATTAACTATTGTTTTGAACATATTCGGCTGCTTTAGCCTTGACTCTAGCAATCATGCTTTCATCTTCTTTGTCTTCTTCAAAATTCAACCATTTATTAAAGAAGAATTTGGCTTGTTTTCTAGTAATTTTTTTAGTTAACACTCTTTCAAACAATTCTTCAACTTTACCTTTACTACTTTCATCTTCTTCTTTATCTTGTTTGATTTCTTGATCAATGTAAATATTCCACAAATCAATTCTCTTTGGTGCATCAGCAATTAAACCTTCAAATAATGATCTACCTTGTTCTGGATCTCCCTTTTGGAATTCCAATTGGGCAAATTTCTTGACTAATTCAATATGATCTCTCTTTGGTAATATACTCAAGGCTTTGCTTAAAACTTCATGGACTTCATCATTCAATTTTTGATCCAACAAGAAAGATCCATACATAACCCATGTACTAATGTTCTTACCAAATTTCTTTGTCATTACTTTAAATAATTCAATGGCTTGATCGAATTTCTCAGAAATGATATAAATATTAACCAATTTTTGATGAATAACAAATGCATCCATATATTGAACAGCCTTCTTGAAAACGTCCTCCAATGTTTCATCTGTACCAAATGTATTTTCTAAATTCAACATGGCAATCCAGATGTTTAATTTCTCTTGTTCTTCACGATAGTTAATAGTTTTCAAAGCTCTTTGACCAATTTCACGGGCTTTTTCAATTTCACTCAATTGTAATTGGAATGACATGTAGTTCATCCATAAAATAGAAGAGTTTGGATTTCCAATCAATAATCTTTCAAAATCACTAACAGATTGTGGGGCTCTGGTATTCAAATCACCAGTCTTATCTTCAACTGTAACTTGTGATTTCTTCTTTTTGTTGGCTTTCTTCTTAGATTTACCACCAAAGTCGGCTTCGTCATCATCATCGTCTGATGAATCATCATCATTTTCAGCTTGATCTAAAATAGATGCAGTCCAATCAAACCCATTGGTTGATAAACCAGTAGACAAAGACTTGTTATCAGATTCTTCTTCGTCGTCATCTTCTGCATCAGATTCATCTTCGTTGTCAGATTCTTCTTGGTCAACATCCATAATATCATCTTCTTCGTCTTCAGAATCTTCTTTATCTTCTGCATCTTCCATTTCAATGTCTTGCTCTTCTTCTTGGTCGTCGTCGTCATCGGATTCTTCTTGGTCAACACCATGGTTGTCGCCATCTTCGGCAAAATAAGATGCTTTCATACCCAATGACAATTGCTTCTTTTCTGAATCAATCTTCAAGATCTTGACTTTAACTCTATCACCATCTCCAAATAACATTTTAACATTTTCAACATCGTTTTCTGAAATTTCTGAATGATGACATAACCCACTGACATTAACAGTACCATCCAATTTAACAAACACACCGAAATCAGTGGTCGAAGTAACAGTACCTTCGAAAATATCGCCAACAGATAAATCATCAAAACTTTTCATTAATTTCAATTCACCATTAACTTCACTTTCTTTCAAAGTCATCAAAACTCTACCTTCTTCTTTACAATTAACAATTTTACCAATAACCATTTGGTTTGGTTTGAAGAATTTCTTCCAGTCTTTCAAATAGGAATCAGATAAATCAGAAACTCTAACCAAAGCATGAATTGATCTACCCAAGGAAACGTAAACACCATTATTAGCAATATTCTTAATAAAACCTTTGATAACATGACCACGTTCCAAATCAGAAACAGAGTTAATAACTTTATCTGCAGCCTCTGCGTCATCTCTTAAAGAAACAGAAATACGTTTGTTATCTTCATCAATATCCAATACTCTAGCGGAAACATAATCGTTTTGTTCATAAACATGATCTAATTTATCAGAATAATTTTCCAAAGCATCAGTAATAAATGATGAAGCAATAACATCAGGACCCAATTCCACTAAAACATGGTTTGGTTTGATCTTAAGAACTCTAGCAGGATATGTTTCTCCCTTGACAACATCGTCAAATTTTTCAACAAATTTGTCTCTAGTTGTTAATGATAATGTCTTGTGTTCCAAATCAACTTGTTTAACAGTGACTTTGATAGCGCTTCCAATTGGTAATTTATTGTCAATGTCTTGGAAAATAGATCCATCATTAGTCAAATCAAGGAAGGAAACTCTACCTTTAAGAGATGGAGAAATAGAAACCCAAACTAAACCTTTAGCAATATTATTGACGAAACCTAATAATTTATCTCCAACTTTAACATCCTCGAGTTTCAATTCACTCAAGGGCTTGTTATTAACTTTATGATCGTTCAATGATAATTCCAAAATAGTGGTTCTATTAGATTTACGATGAGTGATTGGCAAAAAGGTGTGATTTTTGGCATCATGAGTACCAATAACTTTAACATCAAGCAAGTCACCTTTATTGAAATTAGCAGCTAGTGGCTGTTGTTCATTCTTGATATCCTTGATGGAATTGAAACATTGAGTGATGTCAACTCTACCTTGAAGATTATCAGCTAATTGGACATTCAATTGAGTACCCTTGATGGCTTTGATTAAAGCTTTGGTAGAAACACCTGGAGTGTAATCAGCTACAATCTTCTTTGACTTATCGACTGGATTGACCAACTCTTCATCTTCATTACCGTTGGCACCACCTGATCCCAAAGTTAACAAGAATCTTTCATTTTCTTGATCAATACTAATGACACGACAAGTAACAGATTGGTATTTGTAAAATTTCTTGGTCAAATCTTCCTTGCCATTCTTGGTAACATATTTAGCCAAAACCAAACCGGTTAATCTACCAGTAAAAGTGACAAATAAACCCAAGTTGGTGACAGATTTGATATAACCTTTTACAACTTTATTGATTTGAATATCATTGAAATCAGTTGGGAAACTTTTACCTTTAGCAGCTTCAATTAAAGATGGTTTAGCAGTTGCAATAACGGTTCTTGCTTTCAAGTCTTTGTCTAAAATTAATACTTCTAACTTTTCGCCGACCTTCAATTTCTTGGCAAGAGATCTGTTTTGTTCGTAATTACCATCAGATAGTTGACCGTCAGCAACAACACCTCTCAAGTTTGATTCTTCCAATTCAACTAAAATGGAATCCTTAGTCTTTTCGACGATGACAGCGTTAACAACTGATTTACCGGATTCTAATTTACTAATTTCATTCTTTTGTGCATTAGAAAGTTCACTTGATTGTTTCAAAGTAACAATTAGTCTTTCTTCATCTTTGTTGATGTCCAAAACTCTGACTTTAACAATTTGTCCTAATTTCAAATAGTTACTAGCATTATCAACAAAAGTTTCAGAAATTTCAGTTTTTGGCAAGAAAGCTCTCAAATTGCCAAAGAATTTAACAATACAACCATTAGGAACAAACTTTTCAACAATGGCATTGGTTTTGAATCCAATTTCAGCTTGATCAAAACGAGACAAAATTTCATCATCTTCCAAATTTACCAAAGACTTTCTCAAAGTGATATATATACGTTTACCCTTGATGTCCAATAATCTACCCTTGACTTTGGAACCAACTCTAAATTTTCTTTCTGGATAAACAAGCTTGATGTCAGACATTTGGTTGCTTGGAACAAATCCTTTAAAGTCATCAAAAACTTTAACATTGATACCGGCACCACCTTCCAAAACTTTCAAAATTTCAACATTGGAGAGTAATGTGCCAATAGGAATATCTTGTGCTTTCAAATATTTGGCTTCGATAATCTTAGATTCAAATGTCAAAATGAGCAAGTTGTCGACTGCATTGAAACCAACAACTCTTGATTTGTGTGTTGATCCAACAGTATAATCTAGTAATGTTTTATCATCATCAATTTTAGAATTGTGCACTTGACCAATCATAGTTGATGAACCAAATTCAACATACAAGTAATTGGTATCATTACCAATAACTTTTACTTTATCAAATACATGACCCACTGGGAATGCTTCTAGAGCCTTTTCTTCAGCAGAATGGTTACCCAATTGTAAGACATGTGGTAATATCGACAAGATCAATTTTTTGGTTCCATTCTTTGATAGAACAGCCAAAACTCTAGCCTTAACATTGGTACCAATGGCGTATTTATGTTTTAAATCTTTAATATCAAAGTTGTGAATTTGAGATAATGCGATTGTACCATCAACCAAACCATAGACTTTGGTAATTAACCCGTTATCAGTAATTTCATTAATCAATGCATCAACGACAACACCAGCTTGAATAGAGTCGATTGATGAAATTGTAGTAACAGCACCTTTTTTAATAGATACACTACTGGTTGGTTTCAAATTGATTGTTCTTCCAGAAACTTTGGATGAAATGGCACACAAGATAACTAAGCCTGGCTTGATTGAATCAACTTCCAAATTAGCATTGCTCAATTCTTTGTTGCTTATAAATCCAGAGTATTCTGATTTACCAGTATCCAAAATAATACCATGATCTTCAACTGATTTAACAGAACATTGTAAAATATTATTGATAATCAAATCATCAGTTTCCAAGCTTTCATTAACAAATTCTGGTTCAACAGTCAATTGTATTCTCTTTTTAGTTTTGATGTCTTCATTAGAACTGGATACTTTCGCTTTTAACCAAGATCCGATTTTGAAAATTGAACTTAATTCTGGGAATTCCTTTTCAGTCTTGAACTTGACTGTAGCGACAGTTTCTCCATCATCATCTTCTTCTTTTTCTTCTTCCTCGTCTTCTTCTTCAGATGATTCATGGTCAAATTCTTCAAGTAGTTTGGTGATTTGGGCACTAATAGAAGTAATTGGAATATATCCCACCAAGTTATCACCCAATGCTAAAGTAATATCAAGTTTATTAATGGCTTTGATCTGTCCCAATATCAAAGTTCCATGACCAATATTCTTAAAATTGAAATTTTCAATAGAAACAGATTTTTTATCATCGGCATCATCAACATCTTGATCACCTTTAGTAGATTTTTTCTTAGAAGATTGTTTTCTTTGTTTCTTTTTTGGTTGTTCTGATTTACTTGAACCAGATCTTTTATTTGTTTCAGCTTGTTCAAATAATACATCCTTGATGGCTTCATTGGAAATCTCTTTGACTTCCAAAGCACTTAATGGCTTCGAACCACCTCTTGGAAATGCAAATTCTTTATTACTTAGTACTGATTTGGATGAATCAGACATAGTCTATAGTGATAATGATTTATGTGGTGATGAAATACCAATCGGTGTTGTAAAAACAAAATAGTGATGGTTGTAAAAAAAAAACAAAAATGATTATACTGTGGGAAGAGAAAATTTTGTTCCCTCTAATTGCGATGAGACAACCAAGTTTTTTTTTTTTTTTTTTTTTTTTTTTTTTGAGAAGGAAAAAAAATACGGAACTGCATATAATTGATCCAGTATTTTTTTTATTTATCGGAGATTCTTCTTTTAGCTTTTTTTGGCTGCAACATTTTCGATTTTTCATTTTGTTTGATTTCTTTTGACAACCGTAATCAAATTTTCCATTTTTTTTATTTCAACTGTAAACCTAAACAAACAAATTAAAAAGATACAACAAAGGTAAAACAAATAAAAACAAACTATATATTATATAAACTAACCCTTAACAAAACAAAAAATCAATCAATCAACATTTTTGAAACCTAACTAGAAGCTTCTTGTTATTAATGAGCAATTTCTCCTTCTCGCCCTCTCATTTTGCCTAGTTAAAAAATTCTTCTGTCATTAACAGTACCAGTTTGTTTGCGTTGCAACATAACTTTATCTGCTTCTCGTAATCCGTATTTTTTAATCAACTTGGAATAAAACAATCCACAGGCATTACACAATGTTCGACTTCCTTCTGGACCACGTCTCCATTCTGGTGTTTCTTGTGAACAGCAATGCTGACAAGTAATCTCAGGTTTCAATGTCATCTGTGGGTTCAATTCACCAGTAGACGAAAATCGCTTCATACTGACATTATGCTCTCCAGAAGCAATTTCATGATGATCAATTCCATTGCCATTGCTATTGCTATTGCTATTGCTATTGCTATTGCTATTGTTATTGCTATTGCCATTCTTATTTGTATGAGTACCATTGCCATTGGTGGTACTGGTAGTTGAACCATTTTGACTGATATGCACATCCATAGGGACAAGTTCCCCACCTGCAATCAATGACCCATTAATGTTTCCATTTTTTGATTGTCTTTTGCGAATATGTTTCTTCTTCTCAATGTGTTGCTTTTTAATCCCATTTTCATAAACAAATAACCCGCTTCTCTTTAATCCATTTGTTTTAGTATGTTCATTATGAACTTTAATAGTTTCAAAAATCTGAGCAATTCTCTTAATATTACTCAACGCCTCATCCAAATCTTCAACAGGTAATGCCGACATGAAGTTCTCCGTTAAATTACTAACTTCATTGTTGACACCAATATCATTCAATTCAGAAGCACCATTAGGACCACAACGCTTCAATTCATTACACTTGATTTCAAATCTCATCAAGAATTGAATTAAATCGTTAACAAATTTATACTCTCCTATGGTATTGCCAATTTTCCCATTATTCAATTGGTTGGCAAATTCGTGTCCATAAGAATATGCTTTATTCCTATCCATATAAGTCAGGGAATTTCGATTAGTTAATGGTTGTTTCAATACATCTGGATTAGGATACGTATATTGGTTAGGATAACTTTCATGACGGCCATGTAATGATGGCCCATAAGAATATTCCATACTTATATTATTGGTTGAATTGGTATTATTAACGCCATTTTGTGTATAATTTGGATTGTTATATTGCATTAAGGTTTTATAATCATTATTGGTGTATTGAAATCTGTGATTTGATAGTTGATGGTTTTGAAGATTCTGTTGTGATTGAGATTGTGATTGTTGCAGCGGTGGAACCTGCGCTATTTCAGGGTTTCGGATGGTTTCATTCAATTGTTGAAATGAAGGTAATCTAGGTAAACTACTGCTTTGAATATGATGATTTGAACCATTCATTGATAAATCGAGAATTATTACAATTACAAAAATTTAAAATTAAAAGTATAAAAGTCTGATAAAATGACTTATATCACCAATTTTTAAAATATATATATAGATAATAGATAATGGTTAATAGTTAGTAAGAAAAAGAATCCAATTTTTTTTTTTTTGTAAGAAAAAGAAAAACCCAGATTAAATAAAAATCTCCCTCATTATATACATTTCATGTAATATAAACTTGACATTTAGATACATTATAGTGTACTTGATTAAACCCAAATAATATAGAATCTTTTTATTACCAGAACTCAACTGTAATATTTTTTTAAAAACAAAAAAAAAGAATCGGCATATCAGAATAATAATTATAATATTAATCAAAATGAATGAATGAAGAAGTTGCATTTTATTTTGCCACATCAATATGCAAAAAATATCATAATTTGTTTTGGTTCCAGTATTAACAAATCTATATCTACTATCTTTAATTCTTGTTATGCTGAAAAGAAACAAAATACAAAATCTCTTAAGGAAACTAGAGTTACCTGAATTTGACTAAACTTGCATGGGTCAACATATCATTTTCTATTCGATATACACACATGTATTCATTCAAATGCAATGTTCATACATTATAAATTATGAAAAATCAATGATCAAAACCCCTCTCTCGTGCTTTTCTTCTGCATCTTCTTCTGATTCTGTCATTACATTCTTGCCACAATCCCTGAATAATATCAATAAATGATCAGTTACCAGATACTGAAAACCAACATAACTCAAATAAAAAAATAACAGAGAAGGAAACCCAATCCACAATCTATTTTCTTTTTCTTCGATTTTTCCTAGATGTCAGTGATGATGTCGGTTGTTGAATAACGATAGTTCCGTCCTTGACTTCTTGAGATTCATTTTTGAACTTTTCTTGACTATCCAAGAAAAACATCAAATCGGTAACTTGTTCATTTAAACCCTTATTTTCATCTGTTAGTGCATCAATAGTTTTCTTATGATCTTCAGTAACTTTACTCAAATGTTCAATTTTCTTAGATAATGCATCATTAAGCGAGGTAGCAATATTTAATTCACGCATGACTTTATTCAATTTCTCGTCTTTTGCCTGAATCTTTTCTTTTAAAGACGGGATTAGATTAACAGTAAAATCGGTTAATTTGGAAGTTAAATCTTCAACTTTGATTTCTAATTCAGTTAATGCTTCTTGATTGCTATTGCTGTTACTTGTAGTTCTAACAATACTAGATCCACGTCGAGATTTTGGTGCTCTTTGTTCATTCATCAAAGATTCATAATACTCTCTTTGACTTGCCAATTGACTAATTAACAATTGCGAATACTCAAAACCCACTTCATCAATTTTATCATAATTTCCATTGGTGTTACTTCTGGAACTACTATTACCATCTTTCTCTTCTTTATCGGGCAATTCAACCAATTTTCCATCACTTTCATTAGTAACCAACCGATGAACGTATTTGTCGCCCGCATAATCCCACACTCTACTAGTGTTGATCTCCATGGCAAAGCAATGTCCTGTATTAATAAAATGTTTTAATGAATGTTGTGCTGGCGCATACCTACCGCATCCGACATTGCCACATATTAAACAAATCCATAAATTGTCAGTCTGGTCACATTCCATACAAACTTCCCCAGTTTCATCTCCTGATTGCTGAAGCAACATCGTGGGAGGTCGAGATGGCGGTGTTGAAGAAGATTCTCTTCTATTTAAATGTTGAAATAGGTTGGTGGATCGACGTACTCTTTCATTGGCAATATTATGTGAGTATCTGCACACCGGACATGTGTCATCTTTCCATTTCGTAAGACACTGACAATGGAATGTATGTTGACAGGGAATAGTTAGTAATCCAGTAACTGTCGCATCCATTCTTTCTAAACAAACGGGACAAGTAGGTAGTTCAATCAAATTTACATTTTCGATTGTTGAATTGGATGAAATATCTGTTGCCACAGCCGACGATGACGTAAAGGGATCTTGTAACAAAAACGGGATCATTGATTCTGATGCTGCTGTTTCATTATTTGTAGGATTCTTCAATTGTACAGATTTCACATACACTACGTGACAAGTTTCTGGTTCCATTGAATTGAACGGCTTTCCGTTATAATGGTACTGGAATTCTGCTGCTTTCACAATATCTCTAAATTTGATCAATACTAAAAACCTATTTGGTTTATCGCTTTTCAATATTCTTATATGGGAAATATTAGACATGTAGTTTTCACCTATGAATCCAAGAAGATCTGTTGCTGTAAAATATGTCGGTACTGCAATTATCGCCACCATAGTATCATCTCCTGGATTTGATTGGATGTCTGGAGACACCACCTCATCGGAATCATCATCTTCAAATTCCCTGAATAATCGTATTACTCCATTACCGATCAGTTTTGCCTTGATTGGTTCTAGTGACGGTAACCCCATAATTGAGTTGTTAATTTCTGTGATTTCAATAGGCGTAGTATCCCTTGCTGAGTTTTGTAGATCAATTATAATGTGATAGGAGTCTGTACCTATCATACTAAATTAAATTGGTTGCAAGAATGAATGAATTTTTCAAATAATATTCAAATGGCAAAATAAGATGACAGTGCTCTCTCTCTTTTTTCGTGTGTGCTTTGACAGGGGCTATTTTTTTATTGAATTTTTGCTCTTTATAGATTTTTTTTTGAGTTCCCTCTAGGCCGAGAAATGCCGACATTTATCAACTTAATCAATACGGTATACCTCATGCTATCGAACTCTTTTTAATTACAAAATAATAAGGATATACGAACCGTAAAGAGGAAGAATAAAAAAAAAAAGAAAAACGTTATTACCTATATGAATAAAAAAAAAGACACAAATAAACTAAAATGACCCTACAATGGAGCATTCTTAAACAAATATGAAATACTCTCACCGTTATGTAATCTTCTAATAGCTTCAGCTAACACAGCTGAAACATCAATGGTGTCTAATTTAGGACAAAGCTTCAATTTTTCTTCAAATGGAACAGTGTTAGTACAAACAACTTTTTTCAATTTAGAATTGTTAATATTCTTGATAGCATTTCCTGATAAAATACCATGAGTAACAATAGCAATAACTTCTTTTGCATTGTTATCCAATAAAACTTCAGCAGCTTTAGCTAAAGTACCACAAGTATCAGCCATATCGTCAACGATAACACAGATTTTGTCAGTTACATCCCCAACCAAAACCATTCGAGAAACTTCATTAGCTCTAGCTCTTTCTTTATGAATCAAGGCAAAATTTAAATCAAGTCTATCAGCCAATCCAGCAGCTCTCTTGGCACCACCGGCATCTGGTGATATAATCATGGCATGTTCATATGGAATACTTTCTTTAATATATCTGACAACACTTGGCTCAGCATACAAGTTATCTACTGGGATATCAAAGAAACCTTGGATTTGAGAAGCATGTAAATCCATGGTAATAACATGATCACAACCAGCAGTGGTCAACATATCAGCCATCAATTTAGCAGTAATTGGAGCTCTAGATTTATCTTTTCTATCTTGTCTAGCGTATGGGAAATTTGGTAAGATAACAGTGATTCTTCTCGCACTTGCAGTTTTACAAGCATTTATCATAATCATTAATTCTATAACACGATCATTAACCAGACCAGAACCAATTTGACAAATAATAAAAATATCTTCATCACGAACTGATTCACCAATAGAATATTGGACTTCACCAGTGGAGTCTCTTTTTAATTCACTAGGAGTAATACGCAAACCTAATCTCTTAGCAACAAGTTCAGCTAATCCTCTGTGAACATCACTTGCTAATAATTTAATTGAATTTGTAGACATGTGGGCTATTGTAAGTATGTGGGGGTAGGAAAAAAAACGAGATGAGAACTAGAACACTGTTGAATATGAAGTGGGGAGGTGTCAAAAATCTGATTGTATATGACCTGAATCTACTTGATAATCCTTTTAAGGAGAGTAATTCTAGATTTGAACTAAACTTGGAAGAATCCTTTTTGATTTGGTAAACTTACATTCTTCTAACAAAAGAGAAGAAGGAAAATTAAAACCCATCTCAATTTTTTTTTTCTTATTATTTTACTTTTTTCTTTGTCCAGTGAAAATACAGACAATGTGTGTGAGAGTCAAAAAAAAAAAAAACTAAAAAACTAAAATAATACTAAAACTAAATTGGCTATGGCAACGGTGTGCTGTATGCAGGAAAATTACATTGCTGCTTGCAATTTGACAAGTTCAAGCAACACACTCTAGTTGTAAACTAGTCATTGATGGTTAATGTGATCTAGAAAGTTGTTAATAATCACTAACTTGTAGCTGGAGGAAGATCTCATATAAGTTTTCTCTTTTTTAAATGAAGTTTGCAACTATTTAAAACTAAAAATTTTAAAAGGTGTGCCTAACTCCGGGAAACTATATTGGATAATCCTAACACAGCCACGTACTTTATATGATGGATTATAGGGTTATATTTCCAAGAGCATGTCAATTTCAACGTTATTGGTTTGTCCTATTCACTGGTTACGAATATTAAAAGGTTGTCTTAAAATCGCGCTTTAGAAATCTTAATAACCACCACCACAAAACCAAGGCTTATAAATCTTATAATGCGATAGGGATTACTGTTTTCTGTTAAAAAACTAACGAAGAAGACGTGGGACTATCACGAGAAACTGACTATCATCTACAGAATTAATATTTATTAAAATCAGCAATTTGTGGTATCAAAACGTGAGATTTATTTCCACGAAATGCCTTTCTAACAAAACATTCTATCAGGCAACGAAACAAAATTTGCAATACTTCAAAAATAAAAAAAAAAAAATAAATCAAAATGTCTATTGTTTTTACTATTCTATATACAACAATTCACCACTCATGTTATTTACATCATACGCTTTCAAGTCTAGTGAATTCTTTCTTCAAATTCTTGAACAACTTCTTACTCTTACCAATCTTCAGACGTTGGAAAACTTTCTTATACAATTGAGAAATCTTAGGAAACCAACGTTCTTCTCCAAGTAGCATAACACCAAGGTTCAAGATGGAGAAAATAATAATGTACCAGTAGAACCAACCATGTAAGTTTGTCAATTGCATCAAATCACCCATATTGGAATCTCCATCAATGAAGAATAATGAAGCGGATAACAAACAAGCAACGATCAAATTGATAATAAATGGATGATTCTTAAACATTGATTCACGATATGGAGGTCCTTGTGATAATACCACAGCAATTAAAATATACTGGAAATTCGAGAATAAGAACAAAACAGTATTATCAGAAGATTTAACAGCATCATCTGCACCAGGAATTGGTTTAATATACCAAGGTTCTTCTCTTACCCATGACCATAATATAACTTGGAAAATCAAAATGACAATAATTTGACATACCAAAGGAATAAGGATTTTAGGTGATACCAAATTTGCAGTCGGTCTTTTAACGACAAGTTTTGCGTATGGTTTAGACCAAGACATGAAAATGGCTAATGGCAAGATCAAAAATAAGTCAATGTATAAAAACTGGAAATCACCTAAATTAGTGCCCGTTTTATAAAGAATGGTAACAGTTACAAATTGAATAGCTGAATACAACGACATGTACTTGAAACATGAAAAACTTGTAACCAAACTGGATCTACCTTCTTTGATAACATCTAAAACACAAGAAATTTCAAAAACACGTGAAGTGAAAGGAGCGGCAACAGAAGCTTCAGCCTCAGAAAGTGAAATACCAACATCAGCAGCCTTCAATGCACCACAATCATTAGCACCATCACCACAGAAACCCACAGTGTAGTCAATCTTTTGCAATTGTTCAACCAATTCGTGTTTCTCATCAGGAGACATTCTAGCAAAAATATCACAATTCATAAGAATATTATGAATAATATTGGTGTTTTTAATTTCTGTCAACAAAAATCTGAATATATCACCAGTAATAGCCAACTTATAGTTGTTATCTTGTCTGATATTAATTGGCCTAATAGTAACAGGATCTAGTCTATTTTCAGGATCATTAACTTCCTGCCAAGCAATATACCTTTCATCGTCTTTAATATCCAACACAGGGATGTAAATATGCTCAATACTTGGAGAAATCAACTCACATTCACGTGAGACACTGATTGCTGTCAAAATATTATCACCAGTGCACATAATAGTACGAATTTCTGCTTTTCTTAAGGTCTTTAATGTGCTCTTGGTCGACTTCTTTAATTTGTTTTCAAAGATTATAAAACCACCAAAGGTCAAATCAGATTCAGCTTCGTCTCTTTCAATGGAGATATTGGATATTTGCTTATATGCACATGCAATAACTCTGTAACCCGAATGTGTATACTTTTGCAACAATTCTTCAAAATTGGTTGGTAATGTCTCTTGTTGACAAATGTCAAACATGATTTCTGGAGCACCTTTAGTGAAAACAAAATTTTTGTGGTTTTGGGAGGTAATCACAGACATTCTTCTTAATGGAGCCAAAAATTCAAATTCTTTGAGAATTTCATAACTTTCATTGTGCTTATAGACGATTGGATGTGATGTACTAGCATCTTCCTTATAATCCCATTTAGTAAATTCAAACATCTTTACATCAAGTGGATCGCCCAAAAGTTCATTGTCAATATTTCTCAATGAATGACAAGATGCCATACATCCAAGAAGGAATTTCCCATTATTTGTATCATGATCACTTTTACGAACAGTTCTGAGGTCTTTTATATTTTCAATTAAATCTTCAAAAACAATTTCTTTTCTGCCTTGAGCATTATTAGCCAAATGAAGACCTAATACATCCAATCCATCTTCAGTTAAAGTTCCTGTTTTATCAAAACAAAGCACATCCAACTTTCCTCCAATGTTAACTCTCGTTGGTGCGATGCAGAATATTTGCAATTTTTTCAATCTTGCAATAGCAAAAGTTGTACCAATAGTCAAAGTAGCTGGCAAAGCTGGTGGAACGACAATAGTGATAATATCCAAAGCTCTCAAAATCATAACTTTCTTTTCAATGCCAAGTTTGATGAAATTATAAGTAGAATAAGTAAACCCAATAGCAGCAATGATTGTCATGAACCCAATATACTTGAACGAATCCTCATAAAACTTGAACCCAGTTGGTTTGGGGAAAAGCATAGAACGAACCAACGAACCCTTTGTTGTATTGAAACCAGTCTTAACAGCCATGGCTGATACAGGCTCATCATTTGCAGATTTCATTTTGAGTAACTTAGTACCATTAAATAAGAATGATTTAGATAAAACTGGGTCAATGAAATTTTCTGGTAATAATTTGACAGTTTCTTTACTTGCATGGACTTTACTAACTGGAACACTTTCACCAGTTAACATAGACTCATTAACAACACATTCACCATTGACCAATAATGCGTCACATGGAAGAACACTTAAAGATGGATCAACTTCAAATACATCACCAGGTACCAATTCATTGGAATCAATTTGTTTCCAAAACCCATTTCTCCAAACTCTAACCTCACAAGAAAATTTAGATATTTCTTGTAATCTCTTCATTGTAGACTTTGTTTCAATTAAGGAATTGATGATCGAAACCAATGAAATAATAAAAATACATCCAGCATAATAGTAATAATCATCAGCTAACCATAAGAAGATGGAAAATACTTGGAAAATGTAGAATGGGTGTAAGACTTCATCAGCCAATAGCTGGGCAACAGACTTTTCATTGATTTCAATCTTGTTTTCTCCAAAAATTTCTAATCTTTGTTCTTGAAGGCCTTGTGGAATACCATCTTTGATAGATTTAACGTTCAACCAACGGGCATCATACCAATTTGAATTCGTCTTAAAGATATCTTCCAATGGATTATAGAAAAATTTAATATATCTGTAAACAAAAGAATGAATATATGGAACAATTGGATCTTTGTCCGAATCACGCCCATCTTCATCGATGCTAACAAGAAAACTGGATAATCTCTCTTGAAATCTTTGTTTTTGGATGTCAATGATCTGTAACTCACCAAACTCATTTTCAATGACACACCAATCAGCAGTACCCAAGGCACATCTTGTCCCCATCAAATTAACTCTATAACGAGGAAACCATCTCAAAATTAAATATCCAAGACCGAATGTAAAAATACAAGTGGCATAGTACAACAACTTCTTCCACCATTCATTCTTATACCCAGCAATACCCAAAACCAAATCCTCTTCGGCAAGGTAATATCTTTGGTAATCCAATTTTGCTGGGAATTCTTTTAAAAACTCAACATTGATTTGCTCTGAGGCAACACTATCGGTTGCAGAAGAAGCCGACTTACTACTAGATTCAGAATCACGTCTGTTACGACGTTCAAATTCCATTGAGCCATAGTCTGGTGCTTCTGGTGATTGAAATCTCGAGTTTGCACCTTCTTGATCATAAAATCCAACAGACAATGGCTCTTCATCGTCTTGAATTGTCAATTCATTCTGGTATTCATCATCAAGATACTTATCAATAGAATAATCCCAATTTGTATTATAATCAACGGGATCTTCAGGATTTTCCAAAGTAGAACCACCTTGAGCCATTTCAATTTCATCTGGAGTGAAAAAGTTAAAATTTGCTTGAGAGTCGACAGAATGTTTTGAAACATTAGACTTGACTCTGTGTAAACGAACATCATTATCATCTTCTTCAGTTCCTAACAATGGAGATGTCTCCCTTGAAATATGAGAAACTCTTCTATTCCCAAAACTATGTGGATAATGCAATGACGAAATAGATGAAGGTATGACCTCTGATGCTGCACCAGAATACATTTCATAGTTGTTATCATCTAATAATACTGAAGAACTAGTTGAAGTGACTGAGTTGTGTCTTGATCTGGATCTTCTTCTATCAACAGAAGAAGACCTACGACTAGGTCTTTGGCTCTTAACCATTCTGTTAAGTAAATATCACAGTTATCTAGACGGAAACAATATGTTTTTGTTTGACACTGAAGACCAATTGTATTAATATATATATAAAAAGAAAGAAGAAGAAAAGAAATAGCAATTACACCAATAAAAAAAAAATTGAAAATTTTATTACTCTCATTCTCACAGATAACGCCTTAGTCGTAAATGGCTAGAGATTATAGGAGCAAATACAAAACATATGGATAGATGATTGAAAATTGTAAAATATCAACAAACATGATTTTCATACATATAATTTAAGATAATCCAGATGTAAGGTTTTTACATTACTTAGCATTAGCAATGGATTAACTGTGGTCCAGATTACACTTTGTGGTCGTGTATGTGAAGACAAAAACCTGTATAATTAAGCAACCAGGAAAAAGCAGGAAAAAAAAAAAAGAAAAAATAATGAAAACAAGACCTAATGAATTATCACTAACTATTCATCACCAAACAGTAGTATCATTACCATTATCAATACAAGAAAAGATGGCTCTTAAACTAAAGTTGAAGATGTCTTCGTCCAGTGCATCTGGATCACCACAACCTAATGCTAACTCACATTCCAATTCACATGTTCAATCACCTCTCCCAAACCAAAACCAACCCCAGTCCCCAGAAACGCAACCTAAACTTCCTAAATTAAAAATCAAGGCACCTTCAAAGACACCGTCTACATCAGAGAGTACTCCTAAAATAAGTATAAAACGACCGGCCTCAAACCCAATTGAGAATGGCGAAAAACCAAAGAAATTAAAATTAAGTTTATCGAAAGCAAAAGAAAATGGTGGGAAGGCGAAGGGATTGCCCCGAGTGAGGGTTAAACCAACCAGAGTACCAGGTGAGGGTTATGATTCCGAAGCTCCTGATCTAGAAGATGATCCATTGATTGAACAAGGTATTATAATAAGATTTTTGAATGATGTCAATCTAGATTTTGTTCACAATGCTGTGGATTCTGGGGACTTGACTGGTTTGAATGTTAAATGGGTCACCAAAGAAAAAGCTGTTGTTAAAGTGAACGATACACTTTATTCAGCTAGACTTATAGATTTACCAACCATAACTGAAATTTTCAAAACTATCGATAGGAAAAATGTGTTTAAAACATTTGATGTTTGTCAAATATTATTGGTGTTACATCCAGTAGAACCAGCAAAACTAAGTATTGATAAAGATTTTGAAGTACCAGAAGAATTCCTTTTCAATCATCCATTTTACAAGTATGTGAAGGGAAATGAAATTAAAAGGAAACATTATGTACATAAAGATGGTTTGTTGCAACCTTTCCAAGAAGTTTATCGTAGATTCCGTCCTACAAGGGCTGATCACAGAGTAATTCTAGATATTGAATCTCGAGTTGATGAGTTGATAAAACTAGATAACGAAGCTGATGAGAGTCATTTTGAATTGTTGGATAGTCGTACAGCTCAGCAGACACGTTTTGGAAGCCATAGCGCGAATGCGTCAGTTGCAAGCACACCGACGGCTACAAGAATGGATGAACCAGAATTGACCCCAGTTCTGAGTGGACAAGCACAATACACAGGGGGAGAATATGAAGATGATGAGGATGACGAAGAAGATGAGTCTGATGGCATAGAAGATGATTTGGAACTTCATTTGGAACAAGAATTGGAAAAGGCACTCGATTCTGAATTATCAGATAGTGAAGTCACTATTCCAACTCTGATGGCAGGAATTTTACAGAATGATGTTGAAGGAGAAGAAGTAGAAATTACTGTTGATGAAAACGGAAACCGAATTATCAGTGAAGAGAAAGGTGATGAGGAAGAACGTGAACAACAAGACGAAGAGGATGAGGAAGAAGAGGAAGAAGAAGAGGATGAGGAGGAAGAAGAAGAAGAGGAAGAAGAAGAAGAGGAAGAAGATGATGAAGAAGAAGTTTCAGGAAAGCAACATGCTAAATTATTGGAGGAAGAAATTGCTGAACTTGAGAAGGCAGTATCACATCATAAAAAGAATTTAGCAACAGCATCAAGTAAGATGTTGAGAATGAAATTCCAGAATACGTACTCATCATTGAAGGCATCGTTAGATCTGAAGAAACGTGATTTGGCTAAATTATTAGAAGAACAAGAGCAAGTCAACAAACTTCCGAGCGTTGAAGATGTTCCTGCAAGAAATGAAGATGAAAATCAAGAAGCTGAGGCACAAGAAGATGACGATGAACAAGTAGATGATGATGACGATGATAGAGAAGACGATGATGGTGATAATATTGATGACATAGATGATCTTTTCTAGAGTTCATACATAGTGAATATATTAAATATACAAGATGTTTCACTGTGATTTATTCGTATTAAATTGTCTGATATTTTGAGAGTGCCTACACTACCACACATATGGAGAGGATTATAACTGCAATATCTTAATCAGGAACAATTGCATTTAAACATAAAGAATCACTACCTATTCAAAATTAAAAGATTTTAGTACTTTGATCTGTAATATATACCTTGGTATAAATCTGTGCCAATTTTTCAAAAAATTAATGGCGCTATTTCAGAAACTGCCACTGCAAATATAATTATTGATCCATTTACGTTTCTTTTGTCTTTGTTTATATGCTTATTTCTTTTAGGCTTTGGCTGTGTTTGAATCATCTTTTTTTCTAATAATTGACTGTTATGACACAATTGTATGATAAATAAAGATTCGACAAGACATTAACGTACATAATATGTTCCAATTTCCATAAATTTTCGATTCTATGGTGTTACTTTCTGTCTTCAAAAGAAGAGAAAATCAACCAGTCACCAATGTAAATTTTTGGTAGTTAATTATATCATTGTTACAGTATTAAAGGTACCAAGTAATGACAATTATCAAGGATAAAATTAGTCACATCAAGCCAATACCTTAGATTAGTAAATTCATCTATACACAAGATCAATAGATACAGTTACTTCTTTTTTATATACTTTGAGTTTGTATTTCTTGATTTTGCAGATACTTGCATACTTTTCTGTTTTCTTTTTATTAAATCAGTTAATAAAAATAGGGCCTTCAATTGATTATAAATATACATCTGATTTCTAGCATGGTTTCCAAAAGTTTATGTTTTAGTTTTTTCCTATTTTCAAGAACAATTTACAATTAATAATGACTTCGTCAACGATTTCAAAACAAAATTCAGTGGAAAGTGATCCAAATTCAATCAGTAGAGTTCAAACAATTGGTGAATCAGGAGAATACGTCATATTGGGTGATAAAAAATTTTATAAACATGAATTAGCTTCTGTACTCAGTCTTGTTGATCAAAGTAAAATATCAAATAATGAATTTGGTGATAGTGTTCCGCTTGGATTAGGTGCTTTCGCTATATCTACTTTAGTATTATCATTGTATTTCTTACAAGTTAAAGGAATTAAAACTTCAAATGTTGTAATGGGATTATCAGTATTTCTGGGAGGTGTTGTTCAATTTTTATCAGGAGTTTGGTGTTTCTTTGCTGGTGATACCTTTGTTTTCACTGTTCTTATTTCATTTGCTACCTTTTGGTTTTCATTTGCAGCAATTAATATTCCAAGTTTTGGTATATTGGCAGCATATGCTGATGAACCAGAACAATTGGCCAATGCTATGGGATTTTATTTAGTTGGATGGGCTATTTTATCATTTATTTTTACTTTGGCTACATTAAAATCAACTGTTTTCTTTTGTGGTTTGTTTATAGATTTAGACTTGTTATTTTCGATTTTGGCAGCTGCTCAATTTAAAGGGCTGGAAATTTTAACTAAAATTGGAGGTGGTGTTGGTGTCGTTGCTGTGTTTATTGCCCTTTATAATGCTTATGCATTGATGGCTACAAAAGAAAATTCATACTTCAGAGTCAACGTTTTGCCATTTTCAATGTTCAAAAGGAAGTAAATTCATGAATCACATATTGAAGAAACTGCAAATTGATAGTTACTGTGTTTTCTCAGGACATTTTTTTTTTCATCACTTTATTACAGGGGAATCCAATATCTGCTTGATTTTTAATTTCTATTTCATTTTTAATCCAGTGTTTAGATATATATATATAAGTTTATAAATAACCATTGCTAATAGTACAGATTAATGCCATTACAATTCAGTCATGCACATATAAATTTATTCTTCTATGGTAGATTGACATAATAAACACATTATTGCAATAAGTTTGTGCAATGCAGTACTACAATTCCTCATCACCAAACTTCTTTCTATATAACCCAAGGGCTTTGATAGGAAACAAGAATCTATATGAAGGGTACTCAATAGCACAACTATGATTGAAAACACCTTCAATATCTTCATATTTCCATTCACCAGTAGGTAATTGTCGTTTCATCAAGAATTGAATACCTCTCTTGATTGGCTCCTTATCTGGGTAATTTGCCAAAATCAATCCGATCAAAGCCCAAGCAGATTGAACCACAAGGGACTGTTCAGCATTAACATACGAATGAGTCTCACAACCTTTCATACATTCAGACCAACCACCATCTGGCAACTGCTTAGAAATAAGGAAATCACACCCTCTTTGAACAGCAGAAGATGATTCATAATCAAGCCCAACAGTACTTAAAGCTTCTAAGGCAAACATAGAAGCATATGTATAACATATACCCCAGCACCCATACCATGAACCATCAATTTTATCTTGGGTATCAATAATGTATTGGATGGCAATAGAAATTGTTTTTTGAATCAATTCTGGCTTATAATCTGGATAGTACTTAGCAAAATAGGTAAGACCCAAAACAGACGAATCAGTACACTCAACATAAGGATACTCCACCATAATGTTATTGAACACTTCAGCAGGATTCAAGTTTTCTAAAAACAAGGTTGCCTTGATGCCTTCGTATGTTGAAAATGAACCATATTCCCAATCTCCAACATTTTGGATCTGCAATAAAACTTCAACGGCATCGTACAAGTTTTCATCCTTGATGACGTCTCTAACATCAGCAAAGCTTTCATGATTTCTAACCATAATAATAGCTTTCATGGCTTCCGCAGTACAGTCGCTAACAGTATACCCTTGTTCTTTGGTACTGAATGGCCATGCTCCTTTACGTCTGTCTCTATAACTTCCTGGCACACAATCTTCAGTAAATTGTGATCTAACCAAAAATAAATAACTTTTTCTGATCATATCATGATATTTTGGATTGTCTACTAAACCACTCATAAAGAAATATTGAACCATAAATGCCGCATCCCAGACTTGAACACCATTTGTACCCATAACAGTCATCCCTTGTGGACCATGAAACAACACATCATTCATTCTTGCTTGAAGTTTCTTGAAATTCTCGGAATCTGGACCTTCATGATAGCATACAGCAACCATATTGAATGCAAAACTAACTGGTGCAATACACAAATATTCTGTGTTGACCAATTCCTTTTCAATTTGATCATAAACGACACTATTAACCCAGTTCAAAATCCATTTTGGTCTTATACGTTCCCATTTATGTAAAATTGCATTAGAAAAATCAAGTAATTTTGAATGAGGATAGTACAAATCAACCCCAGAAACATCATTTCTATGTTTGGAGAAATCAATCGATTCATAAGGTAATTGACTTGGTGTGTAAATTTCGTTTCTTATTTCTATTAAAAGTGGATCAAGTTCACATTGAACTCCATTGGAAGAAACATAACCCAATGGTAAATAAATAGCTCTTGTATGAACCCACCATTTACCTGGATGAATTGGTAAACTATATGGTAAAGTCCATAATTCAGGTAATGCAGGGTTGACACCTTCCCATTCGTATAAGTTCAAAAGAGACAACCAAGACTTACCCCAATGTGGATTCTTAAGCGCACCTCCTAAATGGTGCAATGTTTTTCTTGCTTTAACTAAAACTGGGTGGTCCTTTTTCATTCCTAACAATCGAAGACATACATAGTTCATAGTGGTACCAAAACATGTTGACTTATCAATGGAATGTAATCCCCAACCGCCATCAACAGGATGAGCAGTATTTACAATATAACGAATCATTTCATGTCTATATGGTTCTGGGATTTCTGTTTTTGAAAAATAATTTGCAACGATATAACCAATTGTCATAAACATTGGTCCCTTGTATTGACATGGAAAAATACCATTATCTAATTGCAACAAACTTAAAAAATCAGCACCTTTCGAAGCAGCTTGCCCTGGAGTCTTAATATCTGAAGGTTCAGGTGCAGGGAAGTCAGGGGAATTCAATAACCATTGAACGAAAGTTGATTGTGGTTCTTTTTCACATTCGTCATGTGATAAATAATGCCATGTTTCTCTTCCAAGGGGATCAGTTCTCAATCTCCACCTCGAGGAATCAGTTTTCGGAAGTCCTATTTCTTCAGAATAGTACATATCAAGACAATCAAACCAGGGATAATGATTAAAATGAATTTCACAACAGAAAGAAGAAAAAAAAGCTGAAGAGCCAAAGGTGATGTTGCTTAAATGTGATTGAAATAATTTTTCGTATTCTTCAAGAAATTTAACGAAAGTTGTGCAAAATCTGGAGGTGTTACGCGAACGTGATCTTTAGACCTAAACGAATTTCATCGGTACAGTGTCCGATTAACACACACACATATGCTCCAACAAACAGACAGACAAAAAAAAAATACTCATCAGGTGTGGGTAGTGCACTTTTGCAATAATTTGTGTCGCGTCCTTGTCTGGTCATGTGACATACTGCATACTATTACAAGTTCTTTAAGTTTCTATGGTCGTGTCTGTCTCATCTCACCAGCAGAAAAAAAAAACAGAAAATTAAAAAAAAAAATTGTTAAGATGGGAGTTTTTTTTTTTTGAAAATTTGTACACTCACACCTACCTATATACACACACTTTTAGTATAGATCCAACGACTATACACCAACAGTTCAATCACACTACGGCTGTTACTTTATTACCAATCAATTTATTTTGACGGGCAATAATAGAAATATTTATTTACTTTTAGATAGACCATAAGAAAAAAAACAACAGAAGAAGGACGTACTGTTACGAAGTAAGAGAAACTATGGCAAAGAGAAAGTTAGAAGAACAAATCGTTGAAGATGAAGAATTCAAATCATTTTCTGATAGGGAAGACGAAAATGATGATATAGAAATGGAAGATAGTAATGGACATTCTCAAAATGGTCGAGCTACAAGTGAGACTAATAATGGAGAAGATGAAGAAGACGATAGTACCACTTCACAACCTCCAACCAACAAGAAACAAAAGAAACATCAACCACCAAATAAACAACTTACAGCACAGGAAATCCAAGTTGCAAGAGAAACAGCAGAGTTGTTCAAGTCTAATATTTTTAAACTTCAAATTGATGAATTAATGAAAGAAGTTAAAATCAAGAAAAATCATGAAGAAAAATTGGAAAGAGTTTTACGTCGTTTACATGATTTGATTAAACAAGTTCCTACCATTGAAAACTTGACTTTACAAAAAGCAGAGCAACAATTCAACCCTAAAAAATTAGTCATACCATTTCCAGATCCTAAACCAACCAAAGTCAACTATACTTTTTCTTATTTACCACCAGAAGATATTTCCTTAGTTGGTTCATATGGTTTGAAAACTACAATTAATCCTCAAAAGGGTCTGAGTATAGATATTGCTTTGACTATGCCAAAACAAATCTTTCAACCAAAGGATTATTTGAACTACCGTGCATTATATAAACGTGCCTTTTATTTGGCATACTTGGCTGAACATTTGATTCACTCATCTAAAAAGAACAATTTGCCAATTAAGATTTCATACCATTACCTAAATGATGATGTCTTGAACCCAGTCTTGAAACTTGAAAGTATTCAAACTGAAAACCCAGATGATTTGAATTTTGTCAAAACAAAATTCTCCATTAACGTAATTGCTGCATTCCCATTTGGTATTTTTGACACAAAGAAATTACTTCCAGATAAGAATTGTATACGAGTCCAAGCTGAAAGTGAGACTTTACCACCAACTCCATTATACAATTCCAGTCTTCTCAGTCTGACTGCTTATGATTACTACTTGAAGTATTTGTACACAACCAAGAAGTCGGCCGAAGCTTTCCAAGATGCATGTATCTTGGGTAGACTCTGGCTACAACAAAGAGGATTCGGTTCCTCAATTAACAAAGGAGGTTTTGGCCACTTTGAATTTTCAATGTTGATGAGTGCTTTATTGAATGGTGGTGGTTTGAATGGAAATAAAATATTGTTGCATGGGTTCTCCTCCTACCAATTGTTCAAAGGTACTATCAAGTATTTAGCATCCATGGATTTAAACAGTGGTTACTTATCATTTTCTTCATTAATCGGAGAAACCATTGCTTCCAAGTTTAAGGAAGGTGGATTCAATGTACCAACAATTTTTGATAAGAACACTAAATTGAATATATTGTGGAAAATGACTAGAAGTTCATACAGACAGTTACAATTACAAGCACAACAAACATTAGATTTGTTGAATGATGTTGTTAAGGACAGATTTGATGCAATTTTGTTACAGAAATCACATTTTGATCAAATGAAGTATGACATTGTTATCAGTTTAACTGCACCAGAAGACACATTTGATTCATTTGGGCCATTGGAAAAGATATCTTATATCAGCTTCGATAACTATTTTAAGAATCGTTTGTATGCCATATTAAGCAAAGCATTAGGTGATAGAGCAACGTTAATTTCTATTAGAAATGAAAGTCCTGCTGTCAATTACCCAATACATAAAAGAAAGCCATCCAATCCAAGTACTGGATTTATCGTTGGATTACAATTGAATGCAGATGAATCAGATAAATTGGTGACAAAAGGTCCAAATAATGAAGATAAAGAAGAAGGTTTAAAATTTAGATCATTCTGGGGAAATAAAGCTTCATTGAGAAGATTCAAAGATGGTTCTATCCAACACTGTGTTGTTTGGAATATCAAAGATCAGGAACCAATTGTTCTAACTATTATAAAATATGCATTAGATACTCATTTACATTCAGATATGTCACAACATTTAGTAACTGAAGTGGCTACTTTTGATAGAAAATTGCCTGTCCCATTGTTGCCAGCTGCTTCTAACCAAGTCGTCACTTCTTTGACAAGCTTCACTATGCTCAGAAATGCTTTTGAAAATATGAGTAAGACATTGATCAATTTGGAGTTGCCATTAAATGTCAAGACTGTTTTGCCAGCCTCCTCATCTTTGAGATACACTTCTGTTTTGCAACCTGTTCCATTTGCCGCTTCTAATCCAGATTTCTGGAATGATTGTGTTGTCCAATTTGAAAGTTCTGCAAGATGGCCAGATGAAATTAGTGCATTAGAAAAAACAAAATCTGCATTTTTATTGAAAATTAAGGAAGAGTTGAATGAAACTGAATACACTTCATTTGTCACCAAAGACGAATCAATTCCATTTAATGAAGATGTTACTTTGTTGAATATATTGACGCCAGAAGGTTATGGGTTCAGACTTAGAGTGTCAACTGAACGTGATGAACTTTTGTACTTGAGAGCAGTGGAAAATGCAGACAAACAAAAGGCATATGTGCAAAATGTTTATGTCAAATTTAATGAAAAGTATATGGGAGTTGTCAAACACACAAGAACTATCACTCAATTGGCTCAACATTTCCAATTCTATTCACCAACAGTACGATTCTTCAAACAATGGTTGGATTCACAATTGTTATTGCAACATTTCAGTGAAGAATTGATTGAGTTGATTGCATTGAAACCATTTGTTGATCCTGCTCCATATTCTATTCCTCATTCTGTTGAAAATGGGTTCTTGCAAATTTTGAATTTCATTGCAAACTGGAACTGGAAGGAAGATCCGTTGATTCTTGATTTGGTTAAGAGCACTGCAGAGGAAGATGTTAGATTGAGTGATAAATTAACCATACAACTTCATAGAATTATTGAACAAAACTTTGAAAAAATCAGAGAAACTGATCCAACTGGTATAAAAACTCAATTATTTATTGGTACTAAAGATGACCCATCTGGTATTTTATGGTCAAATGACTTAACATTACCAATCGCTACAAGATTAACTGCATTGTCACGTGCCGCCATCAATTTGGTTAAAAAGGAAGGTGTAACAGAAACCAATTTAGATTTGATTTTCACACCTGCATTACAAGATTATGATTTCACATTGGAAGTCAAAGCCAATAACATTACAGCATCCTCTGGTGTTTTGCCTCCTAATACATTTAAAAATTTGATTCAACCATTGACTTCATTCCCTGATGATATCACTACAAGATATGATTTGATCCAAGGTTATGTTGATGAATTGAATAGAAAATTTGGTAATGCTATCATTTTCTCAAGTAAGAAATTTACCGGATTATGTAAAGATAACAAGAATGTTGTTGGTGGTATTTTTGTTCCAGCTAATTTGGCAAAGAAAAAATTTAGAGTCAATTTGGGCATCAATGTTAAGCCACTTGATGAAAATGATGAAGTGGTTATCAATAAGGACTCTATTTATGACGAAATTCAACTTTTAGGAGGTGATTTGATCAAATCCATGAACATTAAAAAGTAAACACATCTTTAGGTAAAACTACAGGATCATTGGAAAACAAACAACATTTGTGTACTTTTTCTTTTTTTATAGAACTAAATTATTTAATAATTTGTAATAATATATTTAACAATAATTGTATATACATAGCAACATTTTGGTTAACATGTAAGACCTACTTAAGTATTTCTCTTTTGAGCACATCCATAATGCACAACATTGTTGTCCTTACTGATAGTAAACACACTATAACCTAATCTTTTGTTACAAATACTACAGGGTTGTTTACCTGAACTTATTTTATATCCTTCATCTTGAAGTTTCATGACTTGATACTGTAAATTTGTGGATCCAACTTTGTATAATTGTGAAATCAAATGACTATCATTGACTTTTTCTTTTGATTTATTAAGTTCCATGGAGAAAAACTCTTTAAGTTTATGCATTGGAAATGATTTTGGTAATACCGCAAGAATTTTTAAAATTGGTATTTTGGTACCATGAAGAATTAACAATTTGATGATTAAATCTATATTTTCATCATAGTTTACCAACATATCTTCAAACAATTTATAAAATAAACTTGAACCTAATGATTCTCCATTTGATCGATTATAAATCTCCAAACAATAGTTCATTGCTGCATCCAAATCATTTAATTGGTTAAACAAAACATCAACGGATTTGTCATGTTCTCCAAGTTTCTTATATATGTATATCGTTAATCGAAGATAATTATCCTCAGTAGTGGGGATTTCTTTGAGGACGGGCCATGGTTCAAATGTTTCACTTGTTCTTAATATATCCTGTAATTTACTATAATACTCATTTGCATGATTACTTCCTGATTTCATTTGTTGCAAGTATAAGATACACAACTTTGTTTCAAATTCCAGATATGATTTCGATTTTTTAAGTGTGTCAGCAATGTCACTGCTAAACAACAACCACTCTAAATAAGTGACACCCAAATCAGGGTCCTTCTTGGACAAAAACAGTAATACTTTGCCATTGTCATAACTTTCACATTCGTACGAATCGTTCATGAAAATGAGTCGTGCGCTTTGACTATCTTGATCAATTACCCAATCAGCATATTTCATAACCAAATTCAAATGACTGTCCGTTAATTTCAGCAAATATTGGATCGTCAAACTGGAACCTCTTAAGTAATCATCTAGATTATTGTCCTCTTTATTCAGATGTTTTGGAACATCATTCTCGTGAGCTAACTTGTGTAACATTTCCAAAGCATCTTGATGTAAGCCACGACCATAGTAAAAATCAAGCAACTCTTTAATAAAGTTTGGCTGACGGAAATTTCGTTGCTGAATATGATTGTGAATATTGCTTAACAAGCATTCATTGACCACTTTTGAATCGCAATAGTTATTTGGTAATCTAAGCAATGGACCTAGCAACATCGGCTTACAATAGAAATAGCATAGAAACAAAGATGTATCTATAATAGTTGCCACCTTTTCCAACTCGTTTTCAAATTCATCTGGGTACACATCAGTAGGTGTGATTTGTATTCCTTTCCATGGTAATACTGTTTTGTTTATAAATGATGATAGTATTCTTCTTTGCTCTGTGAGATAAATAATCAAATTAGTGACCGCTTTCATAAATTTCCTAAAATTTTGGGATTTAACGTGTGTAATTCTATTATGTGGAGGTGATTGTCTAGTAGCCACAGCCCCTCTTCTTGAACCGGAATCAGTATCATATTCCGATTCCGAAAAATTATTCATTTCAAGTTCCTCAATAGTGGTACGTTTAACAACATTTGGCGATATTGACCTAATACTTTTCTGCTCCTCAGCCTCGGAGTCTTGGTGATTGATTCTGAGCTCTCCATTAAGATAATCAGGAAATAAACGTAGCACCTCCCGGAATGAGACTAGCCAGTCTGACGATATCTCAACCAACGCTTCATGATATTTAGAATATGACTCAAATAATAGCACGGCTTTTAATGTGTATAATTCTCGTAACTTCATAATCTTGTCTTTCTCATCAACAAAAAATGAATTTGTTGGATTGATATTAGATACAAGTAGGATTGATTTCTCAATTCCTACAAATTTCAAATCATTTCGTGGATCCTTTACATTTCCTAATGAACCCTTTCCAGAGATGCTCAAAAATTGTTCGACTTGTATCCGGAATGGCAATACAGCAAATTCAAATATATCATTTCCATGAGCTATAGTAATCACAGAATCATCATTACTGAATGACAGGAAATTAGAACTAATATGATGATGAAATTTTTGAATGACATCCCCAGTTTTGATATCCAATATCTCCAATTTCTTGGAATAAACTACTAGTAGATAAATCGGGTATAGAAATAATATAGTTGTTGGTATACTAGATAATTTAACTGGTGACGGGGAGATAATAGATGAATCTAACTTATTCACTTGAATTATTTGTGTATCTTTTACCAATAGTATATCATCATCACTTATTGGCACTGTCCACATCAGTGGTCCCGAGGAAGATAATCCGAAATAACTGAATGAAGTACTACGATTGAATACATCAATCTCATCGCCACCGGCTAGTGAGGAAATACTAAATTCGGAATAATTAAACACCAAATAATCATTCACAAGACCGACTAGCACTGAATTATCGGAATATGTATCAATTGTCCTGATTTTGTCCTTCAAAGTAGTTTCATTGAGAACATTAAATTGGAAAACATTTCTCGATTTGTTGGTTATTTGATAAACAGATAACTTCTTTCTATTTCCCACAATTAACAATTTCTTATCATCATGCATCAAAAATTGGCTCACTGCATTCTTGCAATCTCCAACATTGTAAATCTGATTGATATGAGTGCCCACAATTTCAAATACACTAAGGGCAAATGGGGTGGTTACAAGAATGATTGTTTTTGACACAGATATAGGTAAGGATTGGATTTTTAGAATACTTGAACTATCCTTAGTTATATTTTTAAAAATATTTGCCAATTTGTAATTATGATTATTGTGATGATCATGGAATAATTTCTTCAAATCTTGATACGAAGATTGAGTACGAATAGACACTGCACTTGAATCTTGAGTTATTTTGGAATTAGCCAGTGGGATTTGTACTGTATCAGACAATGATTGCTTTTCAGTGGAATGATATATTAACAAGTCGCCATTATTTAAACCAATAAATAATGGCTGGAGATGCTGTTGCAGACTATTAAGTGTCTCTTCCTCTTTATGTCTATAGATTGCTGAAATCTTATTGTTTCCAATTTCATGGTTGGGTATTCGTATCCTGCCATGAGGTTCTATAATATCTATGTTCATGATGTAGGATTAATAATGATCGTTAATTGATAGTTATCTAGAAGATTATTATTGTTGAGAAAGAATCACTTGTCAAAAACTGTAACCGAATATGTAACCATTCGAAGATTTAGTCCACTCAATTTACGCATATACATTTTTTTTTGTTTGGTTTGTTCTTTGTAATCGCTCGGCTATATAAATTAAACTATATACAGTCACGTGACGCGTATATATATTTATATCCTGTCTACTAACTAATGAAATTAACAATACCAGAACAATATTTGACCAATGTGTCCATTTTTTCACACATTTCAGTATTCAATTGATGATATTCTTCTAAAGCATCATGTACTTCAGTTTCATTCTCATATTGATGTATTACATCACCATGAGCTCTGAAAAACATAGTGTACAAAGTTTCCAAGATTTCAAAATTCATATTCAGTTTCAAAGCAAAATTTAAAGCTTTGATAAAGTTAGCCATTTCAGTTAATGGAGGGAATGAATTAATTGATCTGATTTCTAAATCCAATACAGCTGGTGATAAACCAAGCAAATATGCTAAAAATTCATTGAAATCATCTTGTTCACCAGCTTCTCTTAACAATCTTGTAAATTCACTTTCAAAGGAGTACTTCTTAGATGAATCCAATTTACGTAATTTACTTTCTTCATCTTCAGTGTCTTGTTTTTGTTCAACAACTTTTCCTTCAGCAACAGAAGCACTGTCACCAACTGCTAACCCACTTAATTGTAAGAAAAATGGAGTCTTTTCTGATTTCTTTGGTGCGACTTTTGGTTTACTTCTTTGTTTGATAAGATCTAAATGTAACAAAGTGTTGAATTTGGTTCTTGGTCCATTGGATAAAGTAACCAAACTTTCATCAATTTGTGCAACACTATCATAAATTTCAGCAAGAGAAAAGTCTTCATCTTTATCATCATCCAATGCACCTTCAAGAATAGATGAACCACCATCACCAGATACATTAGGTAATAAAATAGTTGAAAATTCATCTTCTTCAACATGTCTAGTTGAAACTGGTCTGAATTGAGCTCTATTGGTCCACAAGGAAATACCATTACCCGAGACGTGTGTAGTAGCCAATACATCTCCCAAAGGTGAAAATTTAACAGAAGTTGCAACAATAGGTAAAACAACACCATCGATACATCCACCTGTTGGTAAATCCCAAGTTCTTAAAGTAGAATCCAAGGCAACGGAAACAATCCATCTACCATCTGGGAAGAAATCCAAACCGGAAATTCTATTGGTATGACCATACAACATTCTAACGACTTTTTGAGTTGTTACGTCAATAACGACTATAGATAAATCGTCTAATGCACAAGCAATAAGATCAGACAGTTTATGGTAAACCATAGAAGTAATTGGAGCATCCAATTGTAATTTTCCCAAGTATCTTGATTTTCCAAAATCGTAAAAACCAACAATACCATCCAAACCACAACTGACCATTTTTCTATTCATTCCATCCATAGCTAAACCAGTGACAGCATTTTTATGCAACATATACTTCTTACGTAATAAACCACTTTGTAAATTGTATGATCCAATACCACCTAATGAAGAACCAACTAAACCAAAATTACCACATTGTGAAATACATACAGATTTAACCATACCTTCATCAACGGTTTTCAATACATGTCTACCAACTCTTTTATTTCTAGAATCCCAAGTTCTAGCAAATGGTTCGTCTTTATGGGCAGTAATAACATTTTCCCATTCTCCTTCTCTAGCAGTGGATGAAGTAATACTAATAATTTCTGGAAATTTTTCTCTCATGGAATTAACTTGACCAGCTTGTCTTTTGCCATCTTTTGATTTTTGTAATCTTTGAGACATTTCTTGAGCTTGAGCATCTTTTCTTAATGAGAAACTCCAGAATGTTTTATCTCTAGAAGCACTCAACATGAAATGAGTTTTATCTTCTTGTGGGAATTCAATAGCAACTGGAGGTGCAGAATGACCACCTCTTGATCTAAGATGACGTGGAGGTGGAACAATTGATGAATTGGAAGTTGTTAAATTTGGATCAAATACAAATTCTTTCAAATGATTATCACCACCATTAGTTAAAACAATAGGTTGACCATTCAAGAATTTAGCATTAGCCACACCACCATGTGATTCTTTATGAGCATTTCTTAAAACATGAACTCTTGATTTCTTGTTCAAATCATAAAAGTATAAATCACCATTGTTTAAACTTGCAACTAAATGAGGAGCTCCATCTGTTCTAAATGAAATAGAAGTAACTCTTGAAGATGATTCTGTACCTGAGGTAGTAATTTTTTCACCCAAAATTTTACCTTTCTTCAAATTGTACAAGAAAACATTTCCGGAAGATGTACCTACTGCAACTACATCCAAAACAGGAGCTGATTCAATTGCAGAAATGTCTTCTCCTTCAAATTGTTGTTCTGGAGATTTGTATAACAATTTTGCTGATCTAACATTAATGATAAACAAAGAATTAGTGGTAGCAACAACAATCTTGTTCAAGTATGTTGCTGGATGAATCAATCCAATGATTTCCCCTTCAATAGCAGAATTAATAACTCTGATAGTGGTGTATAGTTCAGTGGCATATTTCAGACCTCCAGTTTTCTTGAAGACAAAAATATCCCCTTCGGTACAAGTAGCAATAAAGTATTCACCAAAAACTAATAATTGATTAATAGTTCCATTAGTTTCACAATTCAAAGTATGTTCAAGTCTACCACGTTTATAAATTCCAATTTGATTACCATATCCAGCATAAACATAATGATGATGAGCTGTCAAACAAGTAATTTTTGATGGGGTTTGAGTTTGGGAAACAAATAATAAATGTAAAGTAGCTAAATCATAAATTTGAAAAGATCTTCCAACTGAAGTAACAGCATAAAAAGTACTACCTAAAGTTCCAATTGCAAATGGTGTTGAATCAGTAACATTACCCAAGACTCTAAAAGGACTGAAGATTTTTGAAGGTCTTGGTGGTTTAGTAACAGTATTTTGAACGGTTTTCCTTCTTTTTCCAACTTCTTCAACCATAGTAATATGTGCTTGTTGAATCAGTTATATAAGATAGTAACTTATATTATGTGTATGAATTTTCTTTTCCATGATTTTTCTTTTTTTTTTTCAGTTTTGTATGCGCGATGAGATTTCACCGAAGTATTGAATTTATTTTTTTTTTCATTTCAATCTTGCTTCTATCCGACATATCATAGCTGATCTACATAATCATCTACGATGACTTTACCAGAGAAAAGACCAGTTGAAGACTCAGCTGAAGTTGAGACCAAGAAACAAAACACAGCAAGTTATGTTAAGGGTGTTGCTGCTATTAAACCAGAATATTTAGCCCCAGTCAGTGAATCAGCAACTGCTATTGAATACAATGATGATGAAGCTGAAGGTGGTGGTAGAGATGCAGAAGAAACAGATCAACGTGGTAATGGAAGAGGAAATAGAAAGAAGAATAAAGGTCAAAATCATAAACGTAAATTGAAACAAAAGAAAGATACTATTAAATTATGTGCTTCTTTAATTGATCCAGAAGATGAATCAGTTGTTTGTTCAGCTGGTGGTGCAGAAAACTGCAAATTTCATCATGATGTTGTATCTTATTTGGAATCAAAACCAGAAGATATTGAAGGAGTTTGTCCTGTTTTTGAAGCCATTGGTTATTGTCCAAGTGGTATCAAATGTAGATGGTTGAAATCACATTATAATAAAGAAACATCAAAATTAATCAAAGATCTAGAAAAATTTGAAGTTGCTAAAAAGACCAATTGTGAAGTTAATGTTATTGATAAGAATAATAAATTTGACATGCAAAAGAAGAAATATGACTATACTATTTCTGCTCCGGTTATTAAGTATTTGGATTCTCTGGTTAAAAATGAAAAGAATGAAAATCAAGAAGAACGTAAAGATAATGAAGCTGATTATGTTGAAGCGCCATTCAAAATTGCAGAAAAGAAGAAACTTCATTTACGTAATGCTAAAATCGTTTCACCATTGACAACTGTGGGTAATTTACCATATCGTCGATTAATGAAAACATTAGGTGCTGATGTTACATACTCAGAAATGGCACTTTCAGTTCCATTAATTCAAGGTCATAATCCAGAATGGGCATTGCCAAAGGCCCATATTAGTGAATATCCAGGTTTTGGTGTTCAAATAGCAAGCAGTAGACATTGGCCAGCTGCTAAGGCTGCTGAAGCAATTTATAGAAACACCAATCATGTTTCCGAATTGAACTTGAATTGTGGTTGTCCTATTGATTTGTTATATAAACAAGGTCAAGGTTCTGCATTGATGGATCAACCAAGTAAATTATTACGTATTTTACATGGTATGAGTGCTTCTTCTGGTGATATTCCTGTTACTGTTAAAATTAGAACCGGTGTCAGAGAAGGTAAAAACACGGCCAAAACTTTAGTTAGAAGGGTCTTGCAAGAAGGTAATACAGCTGCTATTACATTACATGGACGTTCTAGACAACAACGTTATTCCAGAGAAGCCGACTGGGATTATATAGCTGAAGTTGGTAGTGTTGTCAAAGAATGGAATGAAAATCAAAAGGAAGATAAAGATGCTACTGATATTCAACCTGTTTATTTTGTTGGTAATGGTGATGTTTATTCTCATGAAGATTGGTATAATCATGTCAATACTGATGGAATTGATTCTGTTATGGTTGCTAGAGGTGCATTGATCAAACCATGGATTTTTGAAGAAGTCGAAGCTCAACAATATTTGGATAAATCTTCAAGTGAAAGATTGGATATGTTGGGTAAATTTGCCAAATATGCTGTTGAACATTGGGGTTCTGATGAATATGGTGTTGGTATGGCTAGAAGATATATGTGTGAATTCTTGGGTTTTACACATAGATATATCCCAGTTGGTATTATGGAAAGATTACCTCCAAAATTGAATGAAAGACCACCTAAATGGGTTGGTAGAAATGAAATGGAAACAATGCTTGCATCTACTGACTACAAAGACTGGATCAAGATTACTGAAATGTTCTTGGGTAAAGCATCTGAAGATTTTCAATTCATTCCTAAACACAAGAGTAACGCCTATGAAACTAACTAAATAGAATAATTTGTATGTATGTAATAAAACAAGATATAAAAGAAATTAATCTATGTAACTTTGTATAGATTTATAGAAAGATATTTGCAACAATATTATTTATTCCATTCCATTTACTTTACTATACTTTACTTTACTTTCTTTCCTTTAATTCGGAAACACCTTCATATTCAGTAGATAAAGTTGCTGCTTGGCCTTTCAAAATTTCCAAATCTTCATCCTTTTGGGCCAAGACTTTCTTCAATTTGGCAACTTCATTGGAATCTTTTGGAGCTGGAGCAGATTTTAAATCATCAACTTTATCCTTGGTAGCAATCAATTCAGCAACCAAACTGTAAGTTCTGGTTAAAATAAAAGTTAAAAACAAAGTAAATCCACAAAGGTACATGTTTCTTTGAGCATAAAATCTTCTTGCTTGAATTTCAGAACGGTCGTTGACAACAGCTGGACCACCACCTGGGGAAACTCCAGTAGAAGCATGCAATTCTGAAGTAACTGCATAGACTCTGTTGACAGAATCAATAAATAACACCAAAACAAAACCTAGAACACATTTAATTGCAATTTGGAATTGTTCATTTCTGAATGGGGCTGAGACAGCTGATAAAACTGTTCTTCTTATTTTTCTTGGGTATGGTAATGAAAGAACCCCAAAGAAAACCATTTCTACGGCTAATAAGATGAATACTAAGTTGTAATATAAAGCCATTGTTGATAGATATATCCCAATTGAGTCAAATAGAATAGGTGGTAGATACGTTTGATTAAGATGGCAAACTGTTGAAACAAAAAAACTAAGAGAAAGAATAGCAACCGTAAAAAAAAAAAAGTTGTAATCTGTTTCTTTTATATTGTTTCATCTTGTTCGTGTGCGCCCTGGGTAGAATTTTTTTTTTTCAGCTTCACGTCTGCCGACCCTCCTTGGCTGGAACGAAAATTTCATCATGATTGCTATGGAATGAATTAGACCAACATCACAAAAACCCTTCTTGTTATATAAAAAAACGATGCAATTATATATTAAGATGAATTATTAAATGAAAAAAAACTGAATTATCTCTATAAATATACCCTCCTAAGATTATAATCCCAATGAAACTTTTAAGGTAAATGTGGTTAAAAATGGTAAAGAAATCCACAACACGGCATACTGACAAATCAAACAAATGGCCAAACAATCCATTTGTAAATGCTCTTCAGCAGCAGGGTCGGTATAAAATGCAGTAAAATAAACTAATGATGTGGCATTGGGTAATCCAAACTCTAAAACACTGACAAATCTAACCAAAAAGTCATCACCATACCATCCTCCACGGTAGAAACCAGTGGTTAAACCAACACCAAAAATAGGAAGAATAACTAATCTTGCAATGGTTATCAACAATGCCGTCTTCCAAAAACCAGGTGGCATCTTATCAACTTGCAATCTAGCTAAAGTTGTTCCTAATAAAAGCAAACCAATTGGAACTGAAGCAGCACCAACATAACTTGTGAAGTCTAGAATAAATGATAATGGTGGTAATTCATCTGGTGCATTTGGCATATAAAAACTGGTTTTAATAAATAATGCCTTTAATGGTGGAGCCATGGCAATAGCTATAGATATAATCAACGCAAGTGAGTTTGGAGTGGTGATATTTTTCATTAATTGCTTCAAGTAAGCTTTCACTTTAGATGTTTCCTCTTCTCCCTTTGGTTCAACTGCAAGTTCAGATGTAGCAGTTCTTGTTCTTTTAACTTCATTACTTCTCAAGGCATCAAATTCAGAATACTCGTTAATGACATCTCTCACTGTTTGGGATTGTTGTCTTCGAAGATCACTTGCTCTTGACACAACCAGATGTAAACTGTATGGAGCGCTATTTTCTGATGAATATGATGTTCTAGGTCTCAATTCCGAGCCTTCTGGGTTGATTGGGCTACGTGATTGTTGGCGTCCCTCTTTAGCTCTTGCTCTTAAAAATGCTTCATGTTGATGATCCTCTTGTGAATCCAATGATCTATCGGAAGCAACAGCCCTGCTACTCATTGATGAATCTTCATCCTCTTCGATGTCATCAACATCATCATCATCATCATCATCATCATCATCATCAAGTTCGTTGTCAATATCGGAGTTACTATGGTTTTGTTCACACACACGTTGGTCAATAGTATCATGAGGGGAAGCTTTCTTTTCTGAAGAAGCAGCACTTGCATTTGATACATCTGGATGTCTCTCACTACCCTCGGAATCCGTGCAAATTTTCTCTTCTTCATCTGTTTTATCTAGAAGCTCGTCCCTAAAATCATATTCAATAAGACGGAATAATCCCAATGAAAATTGGTACATAACCATCACCATTAAATAGATACACACATAGGCAACACCCTTTTCCCCTTGTGCGGAAGTAAGAATAACACCTCCCTTGGCAAAGGTTTGTAAATATGCAATTGGTAAATCACTGATATTTGGGAAGATCCCTACTGAAATCAAACCTCCCATCCATCTTTTAGGTGCTTTGGTAGTAATATAAATCAAGTATGCAATAAGCCCACCTACCAAAAATAATAATGTCCCGGTGAAAAAAATGATCCCAATGAATTTAATATCTGAGGATTTTAAATATGAAACAATATTAGTAAACACCAAACATGGCATAATTGCACTAACAACAGTATCAGATAAATCTCTACATGTTGCAACACTAAGAATATTTCGCTTGGCTAGAAGGAATCCTAATGCGATGATAAAATAAATCTTGAAAATTGGTTTAACTGCAGAGTAAATCACTAGCCCCAACAGTAGTTTCCCATCTGACATGATAATAGTTATGATAGTAAATGTATAAGTTAATGTAGTAAAATTGAAATAAAGTAAAGATTAAGGGATGATGTTGATAAAAAACTGTATCTTTTTTTTTTCCTTTGAGTCAAGCTTCCCTATTTTTATAAAATTGGTGAAATATCTTCTTGATATTTGCAATGTGTATGTAATGAGGCAGGTGGTGCTTGCTTTTTGAGTTTTTTTTTTTTTCTTTTCTTTTCTTTTCTCTGCCTACTCTTCTCACTCATTTTTGGGTTTTCCATTACATTGTTCCGCTCGTTCGGGATGATGGAATACTTCCTGCTGACGGGAACATGTACCCATTGCACATTACCCAGTAAAAGCCACCAAGAAAAAACCTCAATCAAAACCACCTGACCTTAAACGATGATTAACCGTAAGAATCAACATGATCTCGTTATATTGGCCTACTAAGACAGTTGTCTTCCTAAAGATAGAAGTGATCTGTAAGTAAAGAAATTGATCCCCCAAATATGATTCATATCCCCCATCATTGTCTCTTTCTCCACCCTCCCCCAATTTATTGTTCTTGCTTTATTTTTAGACAATAGACAATCTAGAAATGAATTTTGATAGTATTCACGTGACCTGAAGAAGTTCCGCTTATTTCCAGGCTCCGGAACTCAAGTGGGATAAACCGAGGATTGATATGAAAAACAATTGAGAGCAAAAAAAAAATAACAACTGCGCGTACGCGACAAATCCCGTATGCTTGCAAAAGACCTTATCTTAACGGAAGAAGATCATTGGATTCATTCCAAAAGAGAATTAAGCTTCGTGTTTGTTGTTATTGGAATATCTAACCAATGCAATATGCATCAAGTGAACTATTTGATTTCAAAGTCGTGGTGAAATCTTTTTGGTGTTTATTTATACTGGGTTTTATTATTCATTTTATTTTCTTTCTGATAAGGTCAAATTTTCACTTGATACATTCATTACAATTTATTATTTTGATTTACCATTTTTTTTATTGGAATATTGTTGATCGTGATATATGTCAATCTTCACCTTATTCTATTGAATTTGCCTTGTTTGGGAAGGACAAACAACACAAGTTCTTAATGAAAGTACTACTCAATAAAAAATGTCTACATTTCATTATGAAATAAGTAGACGAGATGGAAAAACATCTTACTCACACAACAAAAGACTGGTTAATTCGTATCTACGAGTATTATAAAGTATCCCCATAAATAATAAAGCATTATATGTATTAAACAAAAAGAAAGCTAAACTAAACTAAAATTAAATAGAACAAAAATAATTAACCAATATAACCACAATTACCGAACACTTCACGTGAAACTACACAAGTTAGAACTTATGTATGTTATTGTCACCTTCTCTGCATCATATATCTCTGCATCGTCTATCTCTTCTAATATATCATCTATATCGTCTAGAAGTAGCAACTGTGTGCTTATGTTATTCTTTGAATCTGAAAATATGGAACCTGCACTCGATGATAAACTTGAACTATTATCTGTAGAAGCAAGACTTAATGGTGACGATGGTTCAGAACGTTCAAAACGTCTATTTGGAATTTCTTGTTTCGTAATTATTTGCAGTGGTGTTGTTGTGGATGGTATTCTTTGCTTCAGTGATTGTGAAGACTTCAGTATTTCTTGTTTGTGGTGATGACGATGGTGGTGAGTATCTTTGGAAGAGGATGATGTTGTAGATTTCTTATCCTTTGATCTCCAACGGTCAAATAATCTTGCTGGTGATCTCTTTGGTACACCATCATCATCTTGTATAGATGGTTCTAAAGCAATTGCTGGAGGTGGAGCAAATGTACTCATGGATCCTGATTGCATATCTGAAGAAAGGGATTCGGATTCTAACAAACTGTTAAAAGTTTGGGAATAAATCAAATAATCTTGAAACTCTAGTAAATTAACTTGGGACATATACTTTCTACCTTTTTTTCCTTTTTCTTCCTTGGGATACTTAATATATCAAACCAATTGCAGAAAAGAAGAAAAGAAGAAGAAAATAAAAATTATAAAAAAAAAACTGAAAGTAAAATAAACGAGTTATATTACTTTTATGGATTGACAATGAATGACACCCCTCTTTTTTCTCTATACTTTCTTTGACTATTAAAATGAAGTATGGAACAATGGAACTTGCTAATTAATGCTTGTAGTGTAGGGATATCAATTAAAAAAAAACAATATACTGCAAAAACCCTGAGGAAAGTAAAGCCCAAATGCAAGAAATAAACTCTGACAAATAAAAAAAAAGATTACTCTATTAAGTAAAGTAAGTTTATATATACACAGGGAATTAGAAAGAAAGATAAAAAAAAAACCAAAATGATGGGAGAATGCATTATAAATATATAATTTATTACGGTATAAGGAAAGTCTTCTTTTTCTTTTTTATTTGCATTGTCTTGTACTGGTATCAATGTCGTAAGTTCATATTGCTGCTGGTTAAAATGGAATGTATAACACAAAAACCCGTTGGAATAAATAAAAATTAAAGAACGAAACCTAATCGTGCGTTTTTTTGTTTTTTCATGTACGTCATATAAAAACCCAACAATGCCCATTCCCGTTACTATTATTGTAATATGTATAAAAATAAAAGGAAGAATGTTGGAAATAAATGTTAAATGTGAAAATGTCACTTTTTTTAACCATTATTTTTATTTTTAGCGTGGGAAATCTTTTTTTTGTGTTACATTCACATTTGCAACTTTAGCTTGCGGTTAGTGGTGGTGTTGATAGTACTGCTACTGCTGCTACTGACAATAATCGATCTTTCTTTAACACTGCGAAAAAAAAAAAAAAATATTAGCAATTGGTACGCGACACGTGAATTGCCTAATTAGGAAAAGTTATTGAATTATTAGACCCACATTAACTCCTTCTCCTCATAAGACGTACCCTCTCTTGATCTAGTTTGACAGTCTTTCCTTAGACCTCCTTAATCATTTAACCATCTCGATCATCCCTTTATTGCTACTCCTTCTTCTTCTTTTGATCTTAGTGAATCTAACTCAAGGTACGACAAATTCTAGATTTACAAATGTTACATAGTTCTTTCCCTCCTTGATTTCATTGTCTGATTTTCTCATACTTCTTTTACTTCTTCCACCTTATTGAGTTGTTGCTTTGTTCTGTTACACAAATTATTACGTTATTCCATCCCCATGATTCCATTAACAATACATTTTTTCTTACCCCCTCCCCCTATTTAATTAATCAAACGACATTCAATTAAAATATGCTCAATGGTTAATCATACTCGTTTCATTACAATTACTAATAAGTCATTCATATCCTGATAAGCATAGCATTATCTTCAACTTCTTCTTTTATTTTGTTTTATTTTATTTTCCCACCCCCTGAAATCATTTTGTAACTTTCGGTTCCAGTTGATCTTTCAATTACAACGAAAAGTAACATGAAAGAAAAGAAAAAAAAAATCAGGCAATGAAACAAGTACCGTTATTAACAAAAGAAAAACTGAGTTGTCAATATCAAGATGCTGATAACATTGCCGTGCCTATAATTCATATAGTTACGGTTCAAAGTGCCAATCATTAATTGAAGATCAATACTCTTGTTTTTTTTTTGGTTTTTGATATCAATAGGTCTGTGTTTGTAACAGATTATAATGCGCAACATTTTCATCTTAATGGTCATCCCAATTTCACCTCATTTTTTATAATAATTATCGCCATTACATAATAAACAACAACTTATGAAATTTGTCATGTTGCCCATTGCAACCAGAAGGAAGATAACCAGTAATATACAGACTGTATACATAGCCATGATGAAATACCCCAAGTTCCATTTATCTGTACCATTTCTTTTTCTTTGCTGGTTTCTATAAATAATAAATCAATGTCTCACAACTTAAGTGAACTAAAAAAAAAATCTACTATTGCTTATAAACCGTACATATACTAAATTACAATACCCCCCTACATAGAAGATTGCAGAACAAAATCCCTTGAATTTTTTTTTTTTTGTTTTCTTACTTCTACTAAACGGTACACATATCTTTCTCCAATTGATCCTTCACCCTTTAATTCTTAGCTTTCTTCTTTGGAGGTCTTTCGTCTTTGTCACTCATATCTTCATCTCCACTTGACGATGCAGCATCACTATCAAACTCTTCAGCAACGTCGGAATCAGATCCAGATTGGAAATCACCATCATCTTCGGAATCTTCATCAGCACTTCCCATATCAACATCGGCATCATCGTCATCATCATTGGCTTCTTGTTCAAGTGCCTTAGCCAATCTAGCTTTAGCCAATTTTTCTTCATTCTTGACTTTGATTCCCTTTTCTTTACAAAAGTTTTCAATGGTTTCTTGTTCTTCTCTATCAATACTACCAAAAATATGCAGTTGGTTTGAACCAATTACATTAACTTCTAAATCAAACGTTCTTGATGCTGAAACACCACCACCAGTTCTCGACATCACAATACTGCTGATTTCACTATATGGGATATAAAGGGTTGGTTTGGTGACAAATAAGAAACATCTGTCCAATGGGTACAAATGACCTTCTGAAGCTTTAACAGAACATGAAATACCTGCTTGTAAGTACCTCGATTGGAATGATCCAGGAGTAATCAATTTACGTTCAGTTAATCCTCTTAAACAATGGGCCATAACAACAGGAGTTGGGGCATCATAGGTTTTCTTCAATCTATCCTTATACTTCTTTTCGAAATCTTCCTCACTTACATTCAATTCCAACTCAGTTTCTTCATCTCTGACAAATTGCAAAACCAAAAATGGGTATCTTGTTTGACCTTGTCTTAAAGGTGGATCAATTTGTAAAATCAACAAATGATGGTCATCATCCGGTTTAGGCAAACTGAAAATTCTTTCAATTTGTTCATATTGTATTTTATAATCATATGTTTTACCTCTTAATCTCAATGAAGTAGGATACATATCGATATCATAACGACCTCTTGGAGTCAAGAATAATACATCACTGAAGGAAACAATAGCTTCACCAGCAACTTGACCAATATCAGCTTTATCTTTCAATTGTTCATAAAATTGTTGAGCAGCACTAGTTTCATTGACAACTTCTTCTTCAACAATTTCTCCATTATTTTCACTCTTTACAACTGTTTCATTTTCAATAGTTCCAGGAACATAGAATCTCATTTCCACAATTTCATCTCCATATCTATTAGCATCTAAATTTAATTCAATAGAAACTTCATTTTTACCTGTTAAATTAGAATTATTAATATTTTCATATGGAATTTCAAAAGATGGTTTGTTATTAACATTGAAAACCAATTCATTTCTGGCCAAATCAGTTTTACCCCAATTCCAACCTCTTAATGCATGTTCTTTATGTTCCATATTGATTTGAAAGTTACGTGTCAACTCTTGTTTTAATTTAGTAAAATCATCCTGATGAAATCCATCCAAGCTAACAACACCTTTATTCTTAGTTTGTACTCTTAATTCATAACCTCTAGAACCTCTTGACCAAGATGCTACTAAAATTTCTTCTCTTGGTAAAAGAAATGGTTGTTGTTGTTGACTTGATGAACCATTCAGACTGGCATTAGCCTTCCAACCAAGACCAGATTCTGCAATACGCATACGTCCTCCACTTCTGGATTGATTTAAATAAATTCTTTCAAAATCTGTATTTACCATTGTGTTGATGAATGATTGATGTTCAAAATTAAGCAACACTAGAATAGTCCTTTAGTTCAAAATTGAAAAAAAAAAAAGAATTTGATTGAAGTGGATGAAGAAGAAGAAGAAAAAAAAAACGAATGAATGTGGGAGGAAACGTGAGAAACACACGCGTTTTTGTTACGACATCAAATACGACATTGCGACATTCATAGAAACTACAGGTACAGTATATGATATATATACACATATTATGAAAGGTTTGGTTTATGTAAACTGAGTTTCTCTTTGACTTTATCCAAAACAAATCCTCTAAATTTTGACTCACTTGATTTTCTTTGTATAGTTTGTAAGACCCTACAAGGCTTCATTTTTTCAACATAAACCAACAAGGTCACAGTAAACAAACTACTGCAAAAGACATCAGTATCACAAAACATTTCAAATCCATATTTTGCTTTCATCTTCATGGAAATATAATCTTGGAAATTATTTCTTTTCTTTTCCATAATCAATCGATGACATTTTCCCATACTAATATCAATAATTTTCTTGTGACTAAATAAATCAACAAACAAGTCCTTTAATGTTCTCAATTCGCAATCTTCAATAATCATATTCCCAGTAAATGGCAATTTTGCAAAACATAAATCAAAGCCCAATACAAATTGCTCAGCAAATGTTTCTGAATCACAACCCAATGTCCAAGTTTGTATTATCAATCGTTCAACTCTCTTACACAAGGCAATAGTTGATGATTCCAATAGATAATACCACTTGATGATATTATGTGACAATACACCTTGATTTCTGCTAGCTTTGAAAATACCTCTATGTAAGGCTGGAATGGTAGGACCAATTATTTGATCTAAATGTTTAACAACTCGAGTTTCTGGGTCAGGGACATCTGTCAATTGTCTAGTGAATGGAATCAATGATGACTGATATGATGGGGGAACTGTCTCGTAGATATCTGGTGAATCTGACATATTAGTAGCTATTGGTTGTACTGATGGTTAACTGTAATGTTTAATTGTTTTGTAGTCCATATTTTATTAATTTTTGATAATAATTTTGCACAGAAATTTATACAAAAATTCAATTTCGCAGCATTCCAAATTTTGTATGTTGGTGGAAAAAGGGGAAATTACAACTTCTACTTCAATACGATAAACCTATCCATGAAAAATAATTGTTCTATCTACAGAGCTTATACCTCGAAGGAAAGAATAACATGTTAGAGTAATCAGGTTCTTACTGGAAATGAGTCAAGTGATTCTTCAATGACTATGCAAGGAGTAAATAAAGGTTTTACGGATAATGATGTCACCAAACTGGCGTTGGATCACGTTATTCCGGTACCGGATGGCGGTGAGTTGTCAACAATAGCACCAGAAAATAATAATAAAATAAACGTTTTAAGTGCGGTGATTCTTCTTGTCTGGTGTGATTTGTACACAAATTAATTGAGAGCAAAGGCTGTTGCTTCCACACACACACACACACACACACCACTCGGAAAAAACAGAATATTGAAAAAAAAAGAGTCACCAAACAGGAAATACACGCAATCGAAAATTTTTCAAACATTTATATAATTCGATTCTTTAGGATCTTGTATTTGTTTTTCATTTTTTTTTTCTTTCTTTCTATTATATTTTGTCATTTCAAGACAATTCTACACAATTATATAAGTCATAATGTCAGTAAAGAAAGCCGGTGTTTTAGGTGCCACAGGATCTGTTGGTCAAAGATTTATCTTATTATTATCCAAACATCCAGAATTTGAAATCCATGCTTTGGGTGCTTCTTCCAGATCTGCTGGTAAAAAATATAAGGATGCTGCAAACTGGAAACAAACTGAAGTTTTACCAACTAAAGAACAAGACATTGTTGTTCAAGAATGTAAACCAGAAGGTAATTTCTTGGAATGTGATGTTGTTTTCTCTGGTTTGGATGCTGATGTTGCTGGTGATATTGAAAAATCATTTGTTGATGCTGGTTTAGCCGTTGTTTCCAATGCTAAAAACTACAGAAGAGAAAAAGATGTCCCATTAGTTGTCCCAATTGTTAACCCAGAACATATTGATGTTGTTGAAAACAAGATCAAACAAGCTCAAGCTAAGGGTGAAAAGAAACCAGGTTTCATTATTTGTATTTCAAACTGTTCAACTGCTGGTTTAGTTGCCCCTTTGAAACCATTGGTTGATAAATTCGGTCCAATTGATGCTTTGACCGCTACTACTTTACAAGCCATCTCTGGTGCTGGTTTCTCTCCAGGTGTTTCTGGTATGGATATCTTGGATAACATTGTTCCATACATTAGTGGTGAAGAAGAAAAATTAGAATGGGAAACCAAGAAAATTTTGGGTGGTACCAACAAAGAAGGCACTGAATTTACTCCAATCTCAGATGATGACTTGAAAGTTAGTGCTCAATGTAACAGAGTCCCAGTTATTGATGGTCACACTGAATGTATCTCCTTCAGATTTGCCAATAGACCAGCTCCATCAGTTGAAGATGTCAAACAATGTTTGAGAGATTATGAATGTGAAGCCAGCAAGTTGGGATGTAGTTCTGCTCCAAAACAAACCATTCACGTTTTAGATCAAGCTGATAGACCACAACCAAGATTAGATAGAGAAAGAGATAATGGTTACGGTGTTTCCGTTGGTAGAGTTAGAGAAGATCCATTGTTGGACTTCAAGATGGTTGTTTTGTCCCATAACACCATCATTGGTGCTGCTGGTTCTGGTATTTTGATTGCCGAAATCTTAAAAGCTAAGAACATTATTTAAGAGGAAAAAAAAGTAACTCTTTGGCATACTTTTTTATTTCTTCCATTGTGAACGAGTCACGTGCTTTCTCTTCTTGTTTTATAGAATTTTTCTTCCCTTTTTTCTTTTGCTGTTGATTAAATATTTCATCAGCCATTTCATTTATTATATATAATTTTTTTTAAAAAAATAAAATAGTAACATTCGATATTAGATATTTTGAATATCAGTAATTTATTGAAATGCCAGAAGGATTCTCATGGATTTCGCAATGTGAGATTCTAGACGTGCATAATGTGGAGGAACATATTTTCGAATTATACTCCGAGAGGCAACTAGAGAATAAACTTGGCTATCATGATAGAAGTTCAAATAAAATCGAAATTATATTACCAAATAGTCAATATGGATTTGAAATATCCCAATCATTAAGTGGTTTATCTGATCAAAAGAGTAATTCTTCATCTACTGGATTTGTCTGTTGGGATGCATCAATACATGTTGCAGATTGGTTACTTGCATCGCGGGATTGTCCCATCAAATTATCTAAAGATTTAACTGTACTAGAACTAGGTTCTGGAGTTGGTGGTATTATAGCATCTGCTATTCAAGACAAAGTAGGAAGATATATTGCTACCGATCAAAAACATATCTTGAAATTACTAGAGGAAAATATCCTTAATAATACAAGTAAGCAAAATTATCATGTGATTGAATTTGATTGGGAGAATATTGAGTATGGTTTACAAAATTTGGATGATTTAGGTGTATCTAATGAAGCAATTGATTTAATCGTTGCTTGTGATACCATCTATAATGAGTATTTGATACCACATTTCATCAATGCTTTGAAAAGTACCATGTCGCAACATTCGGTTGCGATTGTTTGTCTCCAATTGCGAGACTCTATTACTTTTGAAGAATTTGTCAATACTGTTGTTGATGATGATGAACTTCGAGCGTATAATATTCCAAGCGACTTATTAAATGATGAATTGACTGGTGGTTTTGTAGTTTATGCATTCAGTAAAAAAGTAGTCGGCTGAAAGAAAATTGTATATCTAAATATCACGACCCTGTAAAATTTCTAACCTTCTGTAGGTCGTGAAAAAAGTTTGTAGCTTTAAGATTTGCAAGCATCAACAAAACCGAAAGAAAAAAAAAAAATAAAATTAAAAAAAACAGCCAGTGTAAATACCAACAAGAACAACTTTAACGAGAGACTTCAATATTTTAATTAACAGAACTGCATAGTTTGCATTTTTTTTATAAGATTCCTACTCATCTATTTTCAGATTATATTTCTTTTAATCACGTTCATTTTTAGTTTGACTAAGTACAGATCTTTCAACAGATAATCTGCTGCATTTATTTCATATTTCATCCATCTTACCATATTAAAAAAACAAAGGTCAGATGTCTGCATTTGGGAGTGCTACGGTAACCAAGGGGAATCAATCCATTAACAGTAATACATTCATGAACAATAATGATCTGTTTGGTGATCCACGAAGGAATAAAAAGAAACCATTCAAGATGAATGGTTCAACGAATAGTTTTGCCAATTCCAATGCATCTACAGAAGATAGAACCAAACAATCACGAAATAAAAATCTACTGAAACGATTCAATCACAAGAGGGAGAAAAGTGAAACGCCATCGGGAAGTATACGACCAACTATGTCTTCTAATAAAATCCAAGTATTTGACGATCAAGATGTTCAAATAACCGGTCCATTGTTTTTGAATCCTGAATCGTTGGGATTTAGTAATAGAAAGATACAAGATTCTGCTCGACCAGTACCGAAATATTTTTTGACGCAGCCTAAATTATTGCATACACCAGAGTTTACACCTAATCAATGGGATAAAGAGAATCAAGAGAAGATGACAATAATGGAAGTGCAAAATCAAGGTAAAGACTATCAAGGGTTATATGAAGATATGCAGAAATTGAGAGAAATTGAAAGAAGTAAAATGGAAGAATTGGGATTAGTTGATGCAGAAAATTCTGCCAAAGATTTAACTGAAGCAATTTCATTTCAAGGTTCATGTCTAGACATGTGTCCCGTGTTTGAAAGAGTTCGAAGACAATTAGAAAATAATGTTAAAGCATTGGAAAAGGATCCAATGACAAACAAAATATCGAGAGAAAGAGCAGTTAAAGCATTTTCAAGACCTGCAGCTGGTCAACCACCACCATTACCATCCGATGTTAGACCTCCATTTGTATTAAAGCAAACTTTAGATTATTTAGTAGACAACATCTTACTGCAACTTCCAGAAGCCCATTCATTCATTTGGGATAGAACTAGATCAATTCGACAAGATTTCACTTATCAGAATAGTTTTGGACCGGAAGCAATCGATTGTCACGAAAGAATTGTTAGAATTCACTTGCTATCATTGCATATTATGGCTGGTGGAGAAGTTGAATATTCTCAGCAACAGGAATTGGAACAATTCAATAAAGCGTTGCAGACATTAATGGAAATATACCAAGATGTACGTACAAATGGTGGAAGAGCTCCAAACGAAGCCGAATTTAGAGCATATCATTTATTGAGTCATATTAGAGATCCTGATTTAGAAAGACAAATACAGAATTTACCAAACGATGTCTATCAAGATTCAAAAGTACAATTAGCATTAAAATTTAGAAATATCATGACTCAGAATAATGTTGTTGAAAGAGGCGTAACCAATCTTGTGGGAGCATTGAATTTGTATATTGAATTTTTCCGACTTGTCTATAGTGACGAGACTCCATTGTTGATGGCATGTTTATTAGAGACCCATTTTAATGAGGTCAGGTTTTATGCATTGAAAGCGATGTCAAGAAGTTACCATACAAAGACAAGACCTTATTCTTTGACAAGATTACAGGAAGTGTTGGGATATGATTCACCAGAAAAGTTGATCAAGTTTCTTAATTATTATGAAATCGATACAGTGAATGTAAATGGGGAAATCTGCGTGGATTTGTTCAATAAAGATAAATTGGAGAAGAAATACAAATTGAATTCATTTCTTGACAAAGCAAAATATTCACCACCTTATTCCAGCCAGTTGGATAGAAAATACAACGGGCAAGATTTGAAATCGTTTGTTAATAGTGGACGTCCTAATAATATGACCAAATTTGATAATCAACCAATAGTTATAAAACCCAAATCAATTTCAGTTGCTTTTCAACCGCCAAAGCTCCCAGCAACGAACCAATTCCAGTCAAGTTTCACTTCAACTTCAACTTCAACTTCAACTTCAACTTCAACTGGAAATGCAACTATCAAACCTGGATTATTTAAACCACTTCAACAAACAGACAGTGGGATCAAAACACAAACATTTCAATTTGCACCACCTCCTTCTGTGACACAAGCAAGTAACAATATTACATTTCAAGAAAAGCCAAAAAGTGAACTTGCCACTGAACCTGTCGCTAAACCATCATTCCAATTTACTCCTAATGCACCAATATCAAACAATCAATTCAATGTAGCTCCTTCACAACCAAAGGCTACTGCCCCAGCAGATGAGAAACCAAAACCAAAGTTAAATTTTGGATTTTCAAAGTCGGTTGCATTTGAACAGCCTTCGGATCCAAAAATTTCCGTGTCTCTTAATCCTCCAGTATCCAAGGAAGCATTAAAACCTATTTTGAAACTAGATCAAAAGATGACACCTACTCCAACTCCACCTCCACCTCCAGATACCTTGCAAGCATCGACAGTTAGAGTCCCAGCACCGCTACCACCACCAGCGAAGAAGAAGCTTACTGAGTTGTCAAAATTTCCTCAAGCGCTTGATCAAATTTATCAGACTATATTTCAACGCACTGTCAGTTCGGAGTTACAAGTTGTTTTGAGTAGAATCTTTAATGATTTCCATGCTGCCAATGAAAGAAAAAGAATTATCAACTTATTAGGAGAAGAATTATATGATGCATTCTTCTCTGATATTGTGTATGAGTTAACATATGAAGCTAAAGCGTATCAGTTTTATGTTTTGAATTTAAAGAAAAGATGTTTAAGATCAATTATCAGAAACGGTAAAAAGGCAATGAAAAAATTCAAAGAGAAAAATATGAAAATGGAAGAGTTAAGATCTATAAGTTTAAACAAAAAAATGAAGAGAAGAAGTTCGGTATCAAGTATTGATAGTAACACGTCGATTATGCTGGTCAAGAGAAGAAAACACAATGAAAGTTTCAATGATATTAGTTTGATTAACGAAAAACAACATGAAGTACATGAATTATGGGCTCCAATTGATTTAAAGAAATTTGTTGATGAATGTTCCCAAGATTTACATTTGAAAATTAGTGAAGAAAACTTGGATTTAAATTTTGTTTTGGTTGTTGAAAATTGGAGGTCACTGTATTCCAAATGGTTAAATTCAAAGTTAAATTTAAAAGCAAACATGAGATTACTGGTCTATGAAAATTTTATCCAAAATGATAAGATTGATTTAAATATAACTAGCTTACCGGGGAATAATGATTTGACTAAAGATTTTTTTAACAAGTCATCGTTTGTGTTATTTGAATGTGGATTAACATTACCAACAAACATGTCTATCGAAGACAAATTGAAGAAAGATGAAAGAGTATTGAATAAGATTATTTCATTGGTTGATAAGTACAGTTATTATAAAGCCCTGATTATTATTACCTTCTGGGATGTTTCTGAATCAGGAATATCAAGTCAAGATGTCGCAAAGCATTTAAACTTGAGCAAGTATACTTCGATCTCCAATTTACAAAACTTGGTGTTGTGTGATATGACAGTTAAAAATGGCAATATCAACAGTATTCTATCACAAGCATTAACCAAGGTCGCACATGATTTTACTGGTAATTTAACTTCAAGAGGTATTAAAAATGAAGTCAAGCAGGACAGATTGAGAAGAGCACTGCTGAAAGAAATCTCATCAACAAATACTCCACAGAATGAAAAAATTGACAAACTAGAATCCAAATTGATGGAGAAAGCAAAGAATTTGAGGAAATATGAGTATTTGAATAATCATTTAAATAACAATAATTCCAAAGGTTTCCACCATCCAAGGAATGTATCTATGAATACTAATATGAATAAGTCGTCCATGATAAATTTCCTTGCAAATAAGACTCTTTACACCAACCCCAATAATAGCTCATTTTTAAATTCATCAATCATGACAAATACTAATGATAGTGTGCTTAAGGGGTTTGGGACAGGAGTTATTGAAGAAAGTACACCATCTGCATCACCTAAAAGTAAAAAGAGAAAAGCTGAAGGTAGCTCAAGTAGTTTAAGTCAATTACAAGAGTTGACAGCCAGTATTAAGAAGAGGTATAAGAAATAGACAGGAGACATTAAACAATAATACATATAAAAGAATTATAGTTTAATTTTTTAGTTTTCAGTTCACCCACTTGGTAGTTGCATGAAGTTTTCTTTTTTTTTTTTCTTTTTCTTTGTATTGTTACCAAGATAACGGCAAATAAAAATGTCACTCACTCACTCGCTACAACCGGAAATTCGGTTATTACTTGAACATGCCGTGAGGTATGGATTTAGTTTATATATATATATTTATAGTAATTATCTAATGATAAGTGTATGTGTATTCTCAAGAAGACCAAATTGATAACATTAATCAATTTCTGCAGGTAGATGGCTCACGTGCATTCAATTAATGAAGGAAATTTCTTTTCTTTACAATCGATTTTGGTTTATGCTGTTCATTTTTTTTTCTTTTTTTTTTTTTTCTTTTTTTTCCCTCTTTCAACAAAACCAAACAAATAACAACGAAAAAAAAATTAAAGCAAGAATTTCGGTTATTTCATCTTGTTTCTCTCTTTTTTTTTATTTTGAATTTAAATATTAGAACTGCCACTATCTTTATTACCAATTAATAGAGTAAATTGTTGGGAACATAAATATATTCATAGAATTACTTTAAGATGGATCTTTTAAAAGACGCAGCTAAGAACTTGAACCTTTATGAAGTCAAGGCATATGTCCGTAAAGCACAAAATGGTATGTATTTTTGATTGATTCAACTATTGATGAGAAGAAACCTATTATTAATTGATACTAACATTTGAAATTAGTTGCTATGAATTTGACTGAAATGGAATCAAAAGTTCGTGAAGCCACTAATAATGAACCATGGGGAGCATCTAGTACATTGATGTCACAAATTGCTGCGGGTACTTATAATTATCGAGAACGTGAAGAAATTATTGCATTTATATTTCGTCGATTCACTGAAAAAGCAGCCAATGAATGGAGACAAATTTATAAATCTTTACAATTGTTGGAATATTTGATTAAAAATGGTTCAGAAAGAGTCATTGATGACGTCAGAGCCAATGTTTCATTGATTCAAATGTTGAAATCTTTCCATTATATTGATTCTAAAGGAAGAGATCAAGGTATTAATGTTAGAAATAAAAGTAAGAATTTGATTGCATTTTTGAATGATGATAATCAAATCAGAACTGAAAGAAAGAAAGCTAGACAAAATGCAAAGAAATTTGGTGGTGTGGCATCCTCTGCAATGGGAGGAAGTAGTGCGCCAAGTTTTGGTAGTAGTTCTTCTTATGGTGGCAGTTATAGTGCTGATGACGATGATTTCCAAAACAATAGAGTTTATGGTGATGGTGGTGTTTATGGTGAGCGTTTTGCCGATACTGCTGAAGAATACAATGTTAGATCCTCAAGTAGAGCTTCTCCAGCTTCTGCTTCTACTCCCGGTTCAGGTGCTACTGGTGCAACTTCTAAATCCAAATCTAAACCAAGCACCGCTACCACCACCACTACATCATCTGCTACCACTAAGAATGATTTGATTAGTGATTTATTAGATTTTGATGACAATGCAGGTGCTTCCAAAAACACCGTTTCCAATGTAGCTGAGGAAGATGATGATGACGAATTTGATGACTTTGTTGGTGCCCCTGCTAGTAGTGGACAACAACATCAACAACCACAACAACAAAATTCATTTTTCCAAGCTCAACCAGTTGCAAACACACAATTCCAACAACAACAGCAACAACAACCATCATTATTCCAAGCACAACCAGTTACCAATACTCAAACTCCACAAATACAAAAGACCCAAAAGGACGATCCTTTCAAGGACCTTCTTTCTGGATTCAAAGCTCCGGCTACAAAACCTGCAAATAATACAAATTCAACTCCTACTAGCACCACAAATGCTACAAATGGAGATTTTGATTTCTTATAGGTGTCTCTTTTATATACGAATTTTCTCCAATTCTTGATGTTTCAGTTTTTTTTTTTCTTTATTTTTATACATTTCAATAAATCTAATTTGTACAAGAAGGTTTTGTAAGATTTAGTTTAGGATACCATGTAATATTCTCTGGTTGAAATATTTTAGTTTTTACAACACGAGTTTTGCAACTTGCAAATGACTCACATAAAGATAGGTTGATAATACCACGACACACCACACAAGAACACCAATTCCTCTTAAATCTAATGACGTATACTCATAATTAACAATCTTCATAATACAAACCTGTGGATAGTATACTTCAAAGTGTTCAAAGGAAACAGAAACGTTCCTAAATAGTCGTGTACCCAAGCTCAGCGATGGCAACAATTACTCCCAATGAGAGGAGAAAGGGGATCGAAAAAAAATTCTGTCCAATCCTTCCCCCACGAACAACCATAGAAAAAAAAAAAGAGAGAACGAAAAATACTTCGTTTTGCTTCTACTCTTTTTTTTTTTTTTTTTTTTTTTTTTTGGAAATTCCATTAACCAATTGACTTTCAATAATGTTTAGAAACACTTTAACCAAATCTTTAAACTTAAATTCAGCTAGATTATTTTCTACTACTCCAAGAGCTTGGGGTACCAAAGTTTTTTTCAACACTTCTATTAATGGAGAAAAACAACCATCAATTAAGTTTGAATTATATGATGATGTTACTCCAATTACTGCTGAGAATTTCCGTGTTTTAGCTACTGGTGAAAAAGGTGTTGGTTATGCTGGTTCTATTTTCCACCGTATCATTCCTCAATTCATGTTACAAGGTGGTGATTTTGAAACTGGTCAAGGTTATGGTGGTTATTCTCCAACTCATAACAATGATAAATTCGATGATGAAAATTTCATCAAAAGACACGATAGACCAGGTTTATTATCCATGGCCAATGCTGGTCCAAATACTAATGGATCTCAATTTTTCATTACTACTGTCCCATGCCCTTGGTTGGATGGTAAACACGTTGTCTTTGGTGAAGTCATTGATGGTTATGATGTTGTTAAGAAAATCGAAGGTCTTGGTTCTCCAAGTGGTAAACCAGCTGCTAAAATCGTTATCGAAGAAAGTGGTGAAGTCAAAGAATAATTGACTTACATGTAAATAAAATCCTGGATTATTAAATAAATATATATATATTCGCTATATTTTTTTTTTTACAAAAAAGAAAACTACATGCATGTAATTATGGATAGTTAGAATGAACTCTCCGTTTATTTGTTTCGTTCTTTTCTTATTTGTTTCTTTATCTTGGTTAGTGTATACAAGTGATTAATCAAAAAAGAAATCTATTGTTTGAAAATTGGATCTTCGTTAACTTTGATCAAATCTTTTGGTTGTTTCTTTTTCAATTCAGCCAATTTATCATAATCACCAGCCAAGATTCTAGAAACAACCAAATCATCTCTATCTTGAATTTCTCTCTTAGATTTACCTTCATTACTCAAGAATTCTTTAGCCTTAGCAGTATCACCATGGAAATAATCTTCCATAGCTCTCAATCTCAATTCTTTTTCAGCCCAATCTGGACCTTCCAATTCTCTTAATTTAGTTTGTTGGGTATATTTAACATAGAAAACATAAGCAAAAATTGGTAAAACAATGTAAAAATATGGAATTTCCCAACCTTCAGCTTTTGAAGTTTCTCTAATAATTTTCCATTTTAATTCTCCAGTGTTGGCATCTTTATATGGAATTTTATCAATAATTTTACCGGAATCTTTAGAAACAAATCCAAAATGACTTAAATCTTGAGAATTATCTTTAAATAATTGTAATTGTTCTTTTGGAATACCTGGTAATATCCAATTCCATTCAGAATAGTTTCTTTTATAATACAAGTTTTGTAAATCAGCAATAGTCTTAAATTCAGAATCAGTTGGTACTCTAGCAGTTCCATCAGGGTTACTGTAGATCTTGGCAACATTAGGTAAAGTATCTAATTTCTGACGGATTTCTTGTTCCAATGAGTAACTGAACTTTTGAGGTTTATATTTCAACAAAGTGAAAAGTGGTGATTTGAATGTAAACTTCATGATTAATGCGGTGAGTTTCAGGAATAATTAATACGTAAAGAAGGAATTATAAACAATAGTAGAAAATGAATAGTATTTGTCTGTGTGTATGTTTTTATCTTCCAATGAATATCTCTTCCTTATACTTGTAATCGACTTCTAGGATTTTCTCTAGGATGTTTATTTTCAATCAAATTTTATTGGTTCAATTCTGAGCGAGACACACAATACAAAACGAGAGAGAGAGAAAAAAAATCTTTGCTTTGAAAAAGTTTTCAGTTTTTACAGTTTATTCCTAATTGGGAAAGTTTACATGTTAGAGCAAAGAAAAAGAGCGAAATATCTGTCTATGTATTAACTCTTAGTGGTTCCAAAACTACCAAACCCCATAAGTTTGTTAATATCATCATTTGCTGAAGACGAATCATGTTCCAACTTTTGTTTCTTTCTTTGCTTTTGGACATTCTTTCTATTATTTCGTTTCTGTTTCTTCTTCTCTTCAAATTGTCTTCTTTTTTCAACTCGTTCTTGGAATGATAATCCCGATTGATCATTTTCAAGGCTATTCTTTTCACGTATGCTTTTAGCAACCAACCTTTCCATTGTAGACACCACTTCTTGTAAACTTGCTCTTCGTATACCACCTTCTAATAATTCTTGATTCTGTGCGGTATCGCCTTTACTGGAATTCACCTGATTTAGTTTACTAATATGTTGTGGAGAATTCAAATGATCAATCAATAATAAATTATCTCGAAATGATACATCACATATAGGACAAAAGAATCCAAATCTTTTATTCTTCCCATATGTAGTTGTAGTTGTTGATAATTCTGGAGTTATAAGGTTATATTTCTTAACTGCTTTTATCAGTTGGTCTAATAGTTTGTTTCTTTGTTTAATATATTCCAAAGATGATGAATCATCTTCAATTTGATGTGCTGGGATTGTCTCTGATACAGTAGGCTTCTTTTTCAATTTAGCTTCTTCGGCATATGCTTCAAGATTCCATTTCTTTCTACCATATTGATCAGTAGTGATCTTTTCGTTGTTTGACATGTTGTGCTGATAATGTTTGTGTATTCTGATACTTGGAGAATTCTTTTTTTTTATTATTTGATTTTTGTTTATTCATTTCTAACGCGTCAATCTCCACAACTGCATCTCACCAAACGATCAACATCAAATCATGACTAAAACGACTAAGAATGGACCCAAAAGTGATATATTATCAATGATGAAGAAGGATGGTAAAGTAACAAAACCAAGTGTTAGTAGCAAGCCAAAATCATCTACCCCAGAAACCCATATCGAAGAAAAAGTCAACAATTCTGATCCTTCATCATGGCAAGTTATTGGTAGTCATTTAATCAAAAAGCTTCCGTCATCACTCTCAATATCCATAGATAAGATTAAAATTGCGGCATTTGACCTCGATGGGACGTTAATCAAAACGAAATCAGGAGGTAAATTTGCTCGTGGACCAGATGATTGGCAATGGTGGAATGATAATGTTGTTGAAAAATTAGTTGAATTTCATAAAGATGGTTATGTTATTGTTATATTTAGTAACCAAGGTGGTGTATTGGCAGTTCCTAAATCAAGCAAATCGTATATAAATTTTACAACAAAATTGAACCAAGTCACTAAAGAATTGCAATCACATGGGATTGAACTGAATTTGTTCATTTATGCATCTCCAAAGAGACCATCTGGTAAGAAGAGTCAAACATTGCCAAATTTAAGTAGCGATCTGTTACATGCTAGTATGAGAAAACCACAGTCAGGGATGTGGGATAGTTTCTTACAGGATCTCAAAGACAAAGATGTCTTACAAGAGGTTGATTATGATAATAGTTTTTTTATTGGTGATGCAGCAGGACGAAAGAAGGATTTTCTGGATAGTGATTTAGAATTTTCTAAAAACATAAACCTAAAGTTTCAAACCCCCGATGAATTATTTACAAATTGATAGAACTATATATGTACAAAATCTAGAGATCTTCCATCATAATCTCTTCAAATTCTTCATCCATTGGATCAAATTTATCAATCAAAGTCTTAGCTCTACCAACAGAATCGAAATAACCATCAACATTTTGAATAGCACGTTGTTCTTCTTCATTCTTGTATTTTGGTAATTCATTCAACATATCAAAATGTAAAATCAAACATTTTTGAACATCCGCAACATCGTTTTCAAATTTAATTGCTTCAGCAGTAGTTTGTGGATAATTCTTAATAATAAAATTAGTTTCAAATGTACCTTGTCTTGTATTCAGATAATTGTTAATTTCTTGTTTAACAAGAGCAGTAATTAAACCTTGTGGATATGGTCTTTTTTGTTCTTCCAAATCATGTAACAAATAATGGTATCTTAAACCTTCATCTTGTTTTTGTTGTTCAATTAATTCACTTGGATCAATGATCTTAACATGAGTACCTTCGTCTTTAGACTTTAACAAATTAACAATCTTGTCCAATTGTTCATTATCATTAATATAAGGAATAACATAGAATTTGTATTTAGAACTTAAATCACCACTAATTAATTTGTTTCTTCTCTTGACACCAGTTGCCTCTTCATATTGTTGGAATTCACGTTCGGAAAAGTCCTTCTTGACGGTTTTTTTGTCAACTCTGTTAGCAACATAATAAATAAAACCCCAAGATAAGACAATCATATAGAATAAGTATCTTAAAACAGGTTCCTTCTTTCTTTGTTTATGAATGATAACATAGTTTCTCTTGATAATATTAACCGGGCTTTGATTAAGGAATGAGGAATATTTCGGAATCCTGGAAGAAGTTATAAGTCTTCTGGAAAACAATTGAGGTTGTAATCTAGTTAAAGATCTAGTAAACATGAAAGATAACAAGTGTTGTTTGGGTTAGAGTAGGTGGTTTGTATTCAATAAACCTGATGATCTATTTATTATCTCAGAAAGAGAGGTAATTGGAAAATCAGGTCTTTTTTCCTTGGTTTAACATCCAAAGTCTATCGCACCAAATTTGATTGGGAAAAAACAAAAAACAAAAAAAAAAAAAAAATCAAAGAGAATGAAAAATTGAGAAAGGAAAATTTTTTAAGTACTAGAGCCTACAGTTGAAAGAGATTATTTGAAACAGGGACCATACATCATCAACCATGTCATCTTTAGTACAATTATCTAGATTCTGTGCTCATTTGAAGAACAGTTTGAATGTCACCATGAGTAAAACCTCACTTCCATATAACAGAACAAATTTACAAGCAGCCATGGCATTATATCAACAAGGTTTTATAAGTTCGGTTCAAAGAGGTTCAACAGAAGGTCCAGATTTAGTGCCTACAGAAGCAACTCCAGATAATATAACCTCTAGAAGACTATGGGTAGATTTAAAATACAGAAACAATCAATCTGTCATAAGTGAATTAAATTTGATTTCAAAACCAAGTAGAAAAATCAATTTGACATCAGAAGAAATCAAAGCATTTGCATCTGGTTTAAGAGTAAGAAACCTTCCTCCTTTACAACCAGCTGAATGTGTTTTTATTGAAAATGATAGAGAGGTTGTCGAAGTTCAAGATGCCGCTAAAAGAGGTTTGTCCGGTCAAGCTTTATTTAGAGTTAGATAAATATTCAATATCTTTTGGACATGAATTACTATTATTATTATTCATCATTTTGATATTATTGTACATAGTCTCAAACTACTTAATATATTCCCTATATATATTTTGCGGTCTGTATTAACGAAATAATCACAAGGCGACTTTCTGTGTAGATCCACTGCCATTCCAATTTGTCATATCGACTTGCCAACCTTTCCATACCATCAATTTTTCTCTGAAATCATCAGTGGCATTGAATTTGGTGAAACTTTGTTGCGATATTGATGCATAATCGTTTCTTGTAAATACAGGTTTGGCTGGTTTAATAGTATCCTTATAAGTAGCTGTAGGACTTGTGATATTTGCACCACCAGAAGAAACAGAAGATGTTAAAGCTTTCAAATTCTTGTTTTCTAATTCTAAGGAATTTATCTTGTCATTTAAATCCATCTTTGAAAGTTTCAAATCGGTGTTTTCGTCACGTAACTTTTTGATGGTTGACTTTTGTTGCTCTATGGTTTGCTTCAACTCTTCAATTTGTTTTTCAAGATCAATAGTTGATTGAGATGTGGAAGGTGATGTCTCTCTCCCTTGATTCTAAAGCAGGCTCCTTTGGTGCCTCTTTGGTCTTCGTAGTTTCTTCCTCCTTAGTTTCTTCCTCCTTAGTTCTTCCTCCTTAATTTCTTCTTCCTTAGTTTCTTCCTCCTTAATTTCTTCTTCCTTTTCTTCTTCCTTTCTTCTTCCTTTTCTTCTTCCTTTTCTTCTTCCTTTTCTTCTTCCTTTTCTTCTTCCTTTTCTTCTTCCTTTTCTTCTTCCTTTTCTTCTTCCTTTTCTTCTTCCTTTTCTTCTTCCTTTTCTTCTTCCTTTTCTTCTTCCTTTTCTTCTTCCTTTTCTTCTTCCTTTTCTTCTTCCTTTTCTTCTTTCTTTTCTTCTTTCTTCAGCTCATCTTCAACCTTTGATTCATCAATTGATGGTTCTTCAGGAGCAGGTGTATTTTCAGCAGTACTTTCTTCAGCACTTTCAGATTTCTTACTCTTCTTAGACTTCTTCTTTTTCTTCTTTTTCAATTCTTCGAATTTCTTTCTTGCTGCTTCTAATCTTTCTTCTTTAGATAATTCAGTATCTGAAGTATCTTCAGTTAATTGTTCTTGCTCCTTATCTGACATGATTGTAGTTTAGTGTGTGGCCACTTGTACTATAGGTGGTCAACTTTATTGTCGTACCTTTTTTTTTTGCTCTCGCTCTCTTTTTCCTCCCTCTGGATTTTTTTTCTTACAGTTGTATTTTCCTACAACATGTGAACTTGATAACACCTAGTCTTGTCTTAGAATGAAAAACAAGTACAACCACACCAACCAATCAATTAACTCTGGAGCATTGAGATATAAGATAGTCAGGTATCACTGAAATTTAAATCACATCTAAGTTCTTACCAATTATACCGTTACCGTAACTGCAACGGCCAAGCATGAGCCAAGATCAAATAACTTAAACTAAATCTCCAGCAGAGTTGAACGGATAATTTTACTGTATCCGGTTAGTTTAAATTTTATTCAACTCTAAGATGAACAGCCTCTTATTTGTCTTCTTCTCTTTTGTATCTCAACTGAGATACCCAACAATTAAATCAACGGTCTCTGAACTATCACCAACAGCCGTGTTCTTGTCCTCCCCTTCCCCCTTCCCCTCCCCCTCATGTTTAGAGACAATGGTCATTGGTATTTATAATTCTTGATCTTTTGGAGGTGGATTCCCGAGTTGAAAACGAGCGGTTACATCTATTTCCATATCCAACATGGGGGGAACCTTTATCAGATTATCTTGTTGCGTTATCTATGACAATGGTGGATGCTTGATTAGCTAATGATAATCATTCTATGTGGGAGTACATTTCTTCATAGTTCGTTATAGAAATTCTAAGCAAACTGTTATAAATAAGAAGCGCTTCATATTTCTAGAATAGTCAAAGATTCCGCTCCTCGAAATAGAAAGAGACGCAATTTTTAGGGTTTTGTGCGTGTATGTGATTTTTCAGTTATCTCCACCTCACCCACAAACTAAATTGATAATGCAAATTCCATAAAAAGAAGTTGCTATTGTATTGATATGAACAGTATCATGAGGTCATTGATTTGTTTAATATATAAAGCTATGAATCATCTACCCGAAATCAAAATCCTTCTGAGTTTCACAACCATTAGAACAAACAATAATAATATCCTACAATGAGTGACAATTCCGAGGTTGTTGAAATCAATCATTATGAGATGGTACCCGGTACTGTTCAATTAATTGATATAACAGGAACATTAGATGTTCAAAAAAATGGAGATGATTCAAATATTATTTTACAACCACAACCTTCTTCTAATCCAAATGATCCACTTCGTTTTAGTACGCGTAAAAGAAGACTTCAGTTTTTGTTATTATTCGTATGGTGTGTTTTACAAAGTGCCACGTCTAATTTCACAGGACCTTTGTATGACGCATTTGTTGAAGATTTACACGTTACTTATGACCAAATTAATGATACTGCTGCGTTATGTTTTACTGGGTTAGGTGTGGGTGTAGCTATTGTGCAACCTTGTGCTGCTAAATTTGGACAGCGTGTGGTTTATTTATCTTGTACATTAATTGCAATCATTGCTTGTATTGTTGGAGGAACTGCAAAAGGATTAACCCTGTTGTATATATTTAATTTATTATGTGGATTTGGTGCTGCTCCTGTTGATTCTCTTGCTGAAGTTACTGCTACAAACTTGCATTTTCAACATGAAAGAAGTATGGCTGTTGCTATGATCATCATGGCTTTGTATGTTGGTTGTTATGGAGGTCCAATTATTGCTGGGTATATTACAGAGAACCTTGGGTGGAGATGGTGTTATCATATTCAAATCATCTTATACTGTGCTTTGTTTGTTGTGATGTTTTTCCTGTTTGAAGAAACTACCTTCAAGAGAGATACTGAGAAGGAAGACGAGTTTGAAGAAAAGATACTTCATCAAGTACAATCAATGCAATCCAAAGAGTTTGATCCATCTGCAACCATACAAGAGAAACTATATGAAAAGGATTGTGTAGAGGAAATTTCTACATCTTCCGCTACAAAGAAAACCTATTGGCAAAGAATGAAATTAATTCAAACTGAACAAGCAGATACTAGATCCTGGTTGCATATTTTCATTAGACCAATATTTTTGATCTATTTCCCAGCAGTAATTTGGGCAAGTGTATGTTATGGTGCACAAATGATGTGGTTGAGTTTAATGGCAAATACCCAAACATTATTCTATGCCAGTGAACCATACAACATGTCTGCAGACAAGGTTGGATTAACCAATTTATCACCTTTGATAGGTGTTATTTTCGGTATGCTTTATGGTGGTCAATTTGTTGATTGGTTTTCTATTCAAAAAGCAAAACGCAATAGTGGTATTCTGGAACCGGAGCATAAATTATGGACCATGGCTATTCCATTAGTTACTAATGCAGCTGGTTTGATCGCTTATGGATTTGGTCCTTATTATAAAGCCCACTGGGCTATCTCTGTTATCGTAGGTCAAGGATTACTTGGATTTTCCATGGCTGCAACTGGTTCTTTATGTTTGTCTTATGGTGCTTTTGATTGTTATCATAAATTAGCAGGTGAAAGTGTTGTCTTGATTTTATTTATTAGAAACATGATTGGTATGATCTTTTGTTTTGTTTGTCAGCCTTGGATTAATAGCGGAATTATCTCAACTACAGTAACAATGTGTGCTTTATCAGTTGTCATTAATGGAGCTGTCATTGTATTCTTGGCTTATGGTAAGACTTTCCGTAGATGGACAGCAGATCCATATTCAAGATATAGCGATCCAAACTATGGTCGTATTTAGGCGTAGTTTGATCAAATATGAAAATACATACAATATAATACTGTCAAAAGTCGTGTATTTAGAACGTAGTTTGATACTGTCGATCCAGCCCCGTTCTCCCGGTATGCGCGCGCAAAAAAAAAACGAACGGAAGTAAGATCCCGGTGAAAATTGTCAATTACACTTAGGGATGTATGTACCCGCCAGGAGGTACACCTATTCAAATGACTCAAATAATTAGTTGCATATAAGAATAATTTTTCACCAACATGAGTTCTTCCATTTTTTATTTTTGCTTATCCATTAATTGATCAATTAATAAATGCCGACTTCATCAACATCGTCTATTACCACTACAACAATTCCACCAGTAGCACAAGGATCAAGTAATAATAATCAAAATGAAGTCCTTGAGTTATCATGGATGAATACAAATAATGACAATCATGGAAAATCTAGACTAGATGAAATAGCCGTATTAGAACGTGAACTTCCTCAGAGCCCAGAAGTTGAAAATGTATTGACCACGGGGGAAGATTACTTCTTAAGACGACGTCTGACAATACCAGGAGCATCACCACAATCACCTGGGGATGTAAATGATGAAAGCAAAGCATTAATGTATGGAGCAGAGAAAAATCATGATAAATTTCCTGATGGTGGACTTGAAGCAAACATTGTATTATTAGGTTCATTTATTGGATTAATAGCTGATTTCGGGATTGCTAATGCATTAGGTGCCATTGAATCATATATTGCATTACATCAATTAGCAGGAGTTCCAAAATCTACTCTAGGTTGGATTTTCTCATTACACTTGGGGTTTATGTATTTCTTTGGGGTATTTTTTGGTGAATTGTTTGATAAATTTGGAGCAAGACCTCCAATGATTGCAGGTACATTTTTCATTACCGTAGGATTATTTTGTACTGCTGAATCAACAAAGATTTATCAATTTATTTTATCCTTTTCCTTTGTAACTGCTTTAGGAACACTGTTGGGAATGAGTGCTTTGATTGGATCATTGAGTCATTGGTTTTTGAAAAAACGTGGTACTGCTTGTTCCATTGGTACAATTGGTGGGTTAGTTGGATCCGCATGGTTCACCATGATGTTGAATAAATTGTATGGTTCAATTGGGTATAAAAATGCCATAAGAGTACTTGCTTCTATTTGTTTTCTTCTTATGTCTATAGCTACTGTGCTTGTACGAGATAGACGATCTGTACTTCTGACCCCAACAGATGATTCAGAAGAGAAAATCACCATCTGGCAAAAGATACCAAAGTTTTTCAAAGGTTGTTTGGATTTTTCTGTTGTTAAAGATATGAAATTTGTCTCCTTGTGTTTGGCTGTATTTCTTAGTGAAGTTATTTCAATGACTACATTGACTTATTTGGGGTCCTATGCCATCTATTTTGGTTTATCAGATACTACTTCATTTATTATGCTTACCTTGGTTAACGTCTGTGGTATCCCATCGAGATTATTGTCGGGGTTGGTTGCAGATAAATACGGCCGTTTCAACGTTATGTGTGTTTGGTCCTTGGCAACAACGATAATCATTTTTGCATTATGGTATCCATCAAGTTTATCTAGTTATCGAACAACTGTCAATTTATTGTATGCTTTTAGTGTATTATTTGGTATCTCGACATCATCTGTTATTTCCTTAATTCCGGCATGTACTGGTCAAATATGTTCTTCCGATAGATTTGGTAAAGTATATGGTACTATGTATTTCTTTTTGGGGTTTTTAACCATTCTAGGAATGTACTTGGCTACATTGGTCATAGCAGATGGGAAAAGTAGAAATTTTGGGAATTTTGTGTTATTTGAAGGATCATTATCTGCACTTAATGTGCTCATTTGGATTTGGGCAAGATATTCAGCTGTGGGGTTAAGATGGTGTAAATTCTAGACACAACAAGACAAAAAAAAAACAAATAGGGTTCCATTGTTGTATATAGAGATATACATGTAGTTTAATTTCGCTTAATATCAAATTCTTGGAAATGGTTCCCTTTTTGCATTGATCAATTGTTGCTATGTATGTAACCACTGCATATAATAAACGTTGCCTAGAAATTGCAAAACAAAAAGCTGTCAAAAAAAAGTTAAACAAATAATACACACATGTATGCTAATTTAAAGGTAGTAAGATAATTCATATGAGTCAACTATGGAATATCTACACCGTAATGATTGGGCAGTGCATCACTCGTTGATTCAACTATTGTTGATATTCGGTAAGTGCACACCTATCACGTGGGATCTTCCCATTCACCACATGAGCTGACGGCATCAAAAAAAAAAAAAAAAAAGAAAGTCAAAGAGATGGGTAAAATGCACCTTGGTGGTTATCGCGATTTCAGCAACACAAAGCGCGGCAACAGGCACAAGAAATAATATCGCAGCCATCAAGTGTCCCAGAAAAAATAAAAAAAAATAGAAGATCAACATCAAAAGGATTCATTGGTTCATCAGATATGATTCCACTGAACCTCTATTAAATTAAATGAGAATACTAAACGGGCCCGTTAGAGGCTTTGATTGATATTAATGAACGGCATTAATATATCATTGGTCTTCCTGGTTACGTATTACGCATAACCACTATAGCTAATTTATATGTACATGGTGAATAGGCTTATTAATGAGGAGAAATTTTATTAAAGGTCAAATCATTCAACCATAACCAAAAAGGTTATGTAATAACTGTAAGAACAATGAGAAATAGAACCTGATTGTTTAAATCTAATCAACCCTATTGTCCAATTTGAGAATGTAATATCGTTGCTAGGACAAATGACCCTCATAGAAAAAGAAAAACAACTACTAGTCGAGTTATATCTGCAACAAGTCAAACCAAGACAGTCATTCAACTCTGTAGAAATGATATATCTACTCGTGTGTATATATCTCGGGAATATCATGGTTTGAAGAAATGATATAAGTTGCAATATAAACTAAAGGGTTGATAGCTAAAAACCAAAATCCACAAAAGAAAAAAAAAAAGTTTGATGTCAAATTGGAACCTTGTTGGTTATTACAGATTTGTACTGAGCAAATTTTGTGATAAATTTAATTATTCCTAAACCCAAATGCCTAAAAATCAACTAACACAAAAAAAAATTTCTTCAACATCTTCATCTTGTTGTTCCTGTTACTCCGTCGTTCGACATTATCATCACCTTCTGTCAATATTTGGAATTATAAATATACTTGACATTTTCTGGTTTTTCTTGGTTTTAGCTTGTCATATTTTTTTTTAAACTCTACAAACTTAATTTTTAATTATTTCCTTGGACAATTATTACTCCACCACAATCCAATAATAATGATTAATAGTGAACAAATAGCTCAAGTGTTTGAATACTTGAACAAAAGAGACGAATGTCCTACTGATAACGAATATGATGGTCGAATGGGTGCAAGAATATCATCCATTTTTGTCATTATGGTAACAAGTGCAATTGGTACATTATTACCATTATTATCCTCGAGATATTCCTTTATCAGATTACCACCAATAGTGTTTTTTATTTGTAAATTCTTTGGTTCTGGTGTTATTGTTGCAACTGCGTTTATCCATTTATTAGAACCAGCATCAGATGCTCTTAGTGATGATTGTTTAACTGGTCCAATCACTGAATACCCTTGGGCTTTTGGTATTTGTTTAATGACTTTATTCCTTTTATTCTTTTTTGAATTGGTTGCTTATCAAATGATTGACAGAAAAATTTCCAAAGAATCAAACTTGGAAAATGGTAATGGTGCTCACACTCATTCACACTTTGGTGATGAATCAATGTATACTAAGAAAGTCAAAGATGAAAAATTGAAAAAACTTGAAGATGATGAAGATGATGAAGCAGATGAAATCAGATCTCAAGACAGCCACGCTGAAAACAAATTAAATCCATACCCTTCACATTTTGCCCATGCTGCTGAACATCAAGACCCCAGTGTTATGGGAACCCCCGTTAATGATCAATCCAAGGAACAATACTATGGACAATTGTTGAATGTGTTTGTTTTGGAATTTGGTGTCATGTTCCATTCTGTCTTTATTGGTCTTTCATTGGCTGTTTCTGGTGAAGAATTCAAGAGTTTATATATTGTTCTTGTTTTCCATCAAATGTTTGAAGGTTTGGGTTTGGGTACAAGAATTGCCACAACTGATTGGTCCAGACATAGATTCACTCCATGGATTTTAGCAATTGCTTATACTTTATGTACTCCAATTGCTATTGCTATTGGTTTAGGTGTTAGAGAATCATATCCTCCAGGTTCAAGAAGATCCTTGATTACTAATGGTGTTTTTGATTCTATTTCTGCTGGTATTTTGGTATACACTGGTATTGTCGAATTAATGGCTCATGAATTCTTATATTCTGGTGAATTTAAAGGTCCTAATGGTTTCAAGAGAATGTTATGGGCTTATTTCGTTATGTGCTGGGGTGCAGGTCTTATGGCACTTTTGGGTAAATGGGCTTAATTTTCCTTTTATTTATTTATTTCTATGTTACACTTTGTTGTTGTATATTTTAATTAGTATTTGTAGTTAATAGATTTATTCATTCAAATGATTGTTAGTAGAGTAGACGGTGATTGAACTACTTAGTGGAAGTAGTTGATGCAAATTTCTCGGAAACTACCTTGTCTGCTTGAAAGAAGATCATTAGAGGGCGACACTGACAATGGCACGTTCTTTAAGAATATTTAATACATATAAATACAAACTTATTGATACATTACTTAGAAATTAGTATCGACCAAAGCTTTTGGCAATTTCCAATTTTCAGCTTCAGCATAATCTAAAACAATAATACCGACACCTTTCTTAAAAGTATCTTGGATATTACCATCAATCATTGCTTGAGAGACAGGTTGAGGCCAACATTGTTGATCATAAAAATTAGAACCAGAAGTAAAGTTAAGGAATAATTTATCATCTTTACCAGAAGTATATTCTTGTGATCTTTTTGCAAAAGTCTTGACATAATCGATTTTCTTGGGCAAATCAGCAGCAGAATTGACTTCACAGAAATCTTGTACCGCAAATTGACCACGATCTTCATCAGTTGTATTATAACTCCAGAATGATGCAGAAATACCAAATTCTTTCTTCAAGTTTTCATCTTGAACACCAAATCTTCTAAATAAAATAGCTTTACCTCTAGCATCACCAACTCTTGGAATGTCAGTGTGCAAATACCATTTGTCTTTATTTGGATTGACATATCTTTCCCATATCAATTTACCAAATTCATCATTTTTATTATCCCAATCATCACTACCTTCTTGTTTAATAGAAACAATAACAGTTTCAGAACTGTTGTGTTGTAAAAATTGATAAACTTCATTCAAAGTATCTGTCAATTTCAATGGGAATGGAATTTTAACAGGGAATTTACCATGAATAACTTGTAAATCTTTAACATCATTACCAAGGAACAATTTACCAACTCTAACATCGAGAAATCTAACACCATGTTCTAATTGTTCAGTAACTGTTGCACCTTGACATTGAACTGATGGTAAAGCAACATGACAAGCTGCAGAATTGTGAGTTCCCGGAATTGACAATTGGGAAATCTTTTTGTTATCGTCAATATCTTTTAACCAAGTTTTGTAATCAACCATTGTAAACAGTAAAGAAAGAAGAAACTATAAAGAAATGATTATTATTATTAAATTTTAAATAAATTCAATTGAAATGAGGGGGGATAAGTTTCAGTATTTATTTGTAAAATTATTCTTATAAAAAATGAAATAGGAGACATGAAATTTGCTTTCTTTTAGATAGGTACTGGATATAATCACCAGCTTACATTTGTCCTGAAACGGCTAGGTTAATAGAATACATAAGCTATTGTTTGAACTGCAATGTACTGCCCCTTGAAGCTGTAAATACATTTGCTGTTTCAATACAAAATTTCTACTTTCCTGTACATGAAAATCAAATTTGGAAGTACGCGCGGCGGTCATAGGTATATCCTAATTGGGATTACTAATGATGATGAAGATGATAGCAATGTTCGGGATTTTATAATCATTCGAACTAAATAAAAATAATCGATGAGCTAAGCTGTTTCTCTGGTTATGTGATTCATCTAAACAGTTTGAGGATTATTTCACATCCCTGGTTAGTTATAAACATACTATATACTACTGTAACTCTATCAGCATATCATAATTCGTTATTCTTGCATCGCCCTATTGACCCAATCCCCGTGATTCGCAATTCGATTCAACTCAAAAAAAAAAAAAAAGAAAAATCGTTTGATCACAAAGAAAAAGAAAAAGTTTTTGCCTGGGATACTCAATCTTCTTACGTTACACATTGAAAAGAGATATATAAATACCATCCCATCGAACCACGTCTTTGTTTTCCCTTCTTCTCCTTCTTTTTCAATATAACATAATAATACCACGTGTCATTTGATTTATATTTAACAATGATTAGCAAGATTGTCTTCAACACTGCTTCCAAATCCTTTATCAGAACATCTATTACCCCAGGTGTTTTATCTACGACTATTAGATATTATTCAGCACCACCATCCAAATTTGCATTTAAAGTGGGTCCACCAAGACTTCCAAAAGAAGAACAAGAAGAATTTGAAAAATTACAACTGATTGCAAATTCACAAATTGCTATTGAAGAATATAATGATCAAATTAAAGAGAATAATAATGGATCTACAGAACAGGAATTAAAACCACCTGTTGTTAATTCAGATATTGGTACTTTTTCAAGTTTGAAAATCATTCCTGAATTTGAAGGTAATGTTAATCCTAAAACAGGTGAAAGAGGTGGTCCTAAACAAGATCCGTTGAAACATACTAAAGATGAATGGAGTTTTAATGGAAGAGTTATTGATTTCTAATAGGTGTCTTTTTGTTTGTTTGTTAATTATTATTATTATTCTTTAAATATATGTATTCATTTACTAATGGTTCAAAGTAATTCATTACTTCCGAACGATAACACCAACCATGTTTTCAACGTCGCGTAAAAAAAAGAAGAATCGTTGTTGCAATGGGAATTCTATTTTTTGTTCTGTTCCTTTTGCTTTTGCTTTTTCTGCCAAAAACTTTTTTTTTTTCCTTTGTTTTATCCGAGATCTGGAAACTTAAGATGAGGATGAATAGATCAACCAATAACTATGGATTTTGATCCCTTATCTTTATATACACCATCTCCCGTTGAGGTGACAGAAGAGATAGTTGATATTCCAAGTCATTCTATCCTGGAAACACCCATATCTTCCGAGGAAGAACAACAACAAACTGAGGTTTATGATGATGATGATGATGATGACGATTCTCATTCACAACCAATACATACTTTAGATTTACCAATTTTAAACCTTAAACCATCCTATGAAGTCTTGATTACAATATTAAAACTTTTAGCTCCTAATGAAGTATTGAATTTTGGGAGTGATATTGAATCAGATATATCCCATCCAGAGACAATTTTCCAAGAAAAGGAAATCTCCGAAATCAGTGAATCAACATTATCTTGGTTTAAATTATACTGTCCAAGATTTGATAATTTACAAAAACTTGCAAATATTCCTAACTTATCAAATTCTTTAAAACTCAATTACACATCTGAATATAACTCATATATGACTAATATAATAATAAGTCCTTTATCATGGGTATCTGATCCTATACAAATTGAAGAAATTCATAAATTGGCATCTTTACGAATAAGTGAAAATTGTGGACGTACAGCTCAACCAGAAATAATTCGAAAAATAAAACTTGATAATTTAAAAAATGGATTTTTAAAATTACGTGAACCTTCATTAACTAATGATAATCTTGGTTTAAAAACTTGGGGATCTTCATTAATTTTAAGTCAAAGATTATTAAATCATCCAAGAGAAGAATATATGTATGGTAAAATACTTGAATTAGGTTCTGGAACTGGATTAGTAGGTATGATTAGTTCTTTATTAGGGTATCAATCATATTTAACTGATTTACCGGAAATAGTACCTAATCTAAAATCAAATGTTGAATTAAATGGATTAAATCTGATTGTACATGAATTAGATTGGACTAATCCAGAAAATTTTTTGGAAACTTTTGGAAATGATGTTAAATTTCAAACAATAATGTTAAGTGATCCAATATATTCTTCAAAACATCCATATTGGGTTGTCAATATGATTAATAAGTTCTTGGATATGGATGATTCAAATTCTAGAGTGCTTATACAAATTCCTTTACGTCCTAAATTTGAAGAAGAAAGACAATTACTTTGGGATTTATTAAACAAAAATGGGTATAGTGTATTACAACATGAAGTAGAACATGGATTTGATGATTTTGGTGAAATGAATTTCTGTTTCAAAATGTTTAATAAGAAAATATAAAATAGAAATATAGAATCTATAAATAATCTTTCAATTTCTTTAATCTTTCAACTGCATCTTCTAAAATCTTATCATCTTTACAAACAGCAAATCTGATACAATTTTCCAATCCATTACCTTTCCTCTTTGATTCAATCAAAAATTCAGTAGGTGGGATACCAACAACTCCGATTTCTTTAATTAACCAATATGCTAATTTAAAATCCAAAGTACCTCTATCACTAATTGGACCAGGGAATTGGTAATCATCTGGGATTTTAATTTTCAGTAAATTAACTAAAAGGAAATAACCACCTTCTGCAATAGTATAAGGTAATCCTAAATCATCAAAAACTTTAGTGAAGATTTTATACTTATGTTTATAATCTTGTCTTGTAGCTTCAAAATAATCCAATTTGTCGGCTTCTTCAAACCCTTGAGCAACAGCTTGTTGTAAAGGAGCTGGACTTGAGAAACAAATTCTTGTGTGAGCAGCAGTGACAAATTTAATTAAATTAGCAGGACCTTGGATATACCCAACTCTCCAACCAGTAGCAGCAAATGATTTACCAGCAGATCCAACAGTTAATGTTCTTTCAGCTAATTCTGGTAATTTTTCCAATGCAGCTGGTCTTGGAAATTTATCAGTGAAATATAAATTTTCATAAACTTCATCACTAACTAAAATTAAATTATGTTCAATGGCGATTTTACCAATTCTTTCCAATTCTTCTTCTGTGAAGACTTTACCAATTGGATTATGAGGAGTATTAATAACAATAAGTTTAGTTTTATCAGTAATTGAATTTTCCAAACCTTCCCAATCAATTTCCCAATCTTTACCACTAACAACTTGATTATCAAATTTCTTTGGATATTTAATTTCAACATATTTAATTTTAGCACCAGTCATTTCAACATTTGGAATATATTGATCAAAAAATGGTTCAAATACAATAACTTCATCACCAGGTGTTAAAAATCCAAAAAATATAGCAAACATACCTTCATTTGCACCGGTTGTAATTTGTACTTGATCAATTCCAACTTCTCTTCCATAACTTCTTGAATAATGTTCAGCTACTTGTTTTAATAAATTTGGATTTCCTCTAGCTGAAGCATATTGATTAAATTGTGGTTTTGATAATGCTTGATTAACTGCATTAATAGCAAAATCAGGAGGATTATATGAAAAAAATCCTTGTCCTAAATTAACAATTGGTTTACCTAATTCTTCTTGTGCTTGAGCTGCAGTTTCATTAATCAATGACCAAATATCTTTTTGACCTGGTTTTTGATAAAAATATGGGTTATGTAAACTTGTTGGATCTCTAGATTTAACACTCATTGCTCTAAATGTTCTTGGTTTGAATAAACTACTGGAAATTCTTGTTATCATAAACAACAACAAAAATAATGGAGTATACCGGTAGAGGAAGAATTGATATCAAAAATGAAATATCACGATGACTAATTATTAGAGTCTGTTGAAGAAATCGAGATTTCCAAATTGTGGCTTTCGCTACCCGCGATAATTTAACTGGATCGAATAAAAGCGGGAGTAGAAAATTTTTCGTTTTTTTCTCTCTCTTATCAATTCTTGTCAAAGTCACGTGAAATTACCGATATCACGACAGTTGATGCAAAAAAAAAAAAAAAAAAAAAATACAAAATGCTTTTATTATTATTAATCACAGTATATTACACACTAATCTGTTTATTATTAGACCCAGTCCATTCTTCGATTATTTTTGGTTTACAATCTTGATTAACCAATTCAACAATTCTTTTCAATTCAGTATCATTACCAAATTCACAACCTTCTTCAACTACCCAAGAAGCATCAGTTGATTTTTTCCAAATAACTTCACAAGCATATCCAGTAACCAATAATCCTGGAGGTCTAGAACCACAACTTTCTACTGCTTCAGCAACTTTACCTAATGTAGTTCTTATTACTCTTTGATCTGGACATGATGCACGTTCAATAATAGCACATGGTAAATTCAAATCCCAATTTTTTTGTTCTGCCAACATTGGAATTAATTCCACAACTCTATGTAAAGCCATGAGAAATACTGTTGTTCTAGATGGAACAAATTCTGGTAAATTTGGAATAGCACCTCTTCTTCCAGTACCAGTACAAATCAACACTTGATCAGCAACATCTCTATGAGTCATAGGAATATTTGATAATACAGGAGCTGCTAAAGCAGAAGTAATTCCAGGTAATACAATTGGTTTATATCCATGTTCTTCAAAATAATTAAATTCTTCACCACCACGACCGAATATATAAGGATCACCTTGTTTTAATCTAACTACTTTTTGACCTTTATTTAAAGCTTCCAAACCAAGGGATAATAATTCTTGTTGAGCTTTTTCTGCATTTCCAGGAAATTTTCTTGCAATGAATAATTTAGTACCATGAGTTGTTGGGATTAAATCTAAAACTTGTTGTGGGACTAATTTATCCGCAAGGACTAAATCAGCTGAATGAATAGCCTGTAATGCTCCTAATGTTAATAAAGATACAGAACCAGGACCACTTCCAACTAATGTAAGTTCTCCCTTTTTAATTGTTTGTTTCTTTAATGCTGGTTCCTCATCATCACCTTGCTGCTGCTGTTGTTGTTGTTGTTTGTGTAATTTGTATGCATTTGATAAATCATTAATTGAAATCAAGTTTAATTTATTTAGTGGATAATATTCAACAATTTGTGATAACCATCTTGTTCTTTGAAGTTTGAGATCTTCTTTAGTTTGATTGAATTCTGGAACAAATGAATTGAATTTATGACTATTTACAGCATCATCTTCATGTTCTCCACTTTCAATCTCTAGTTTATCTTCTTCTTGAATAGTTTTTCTTAATTCTCCAATAGTTTGACATATTTCATTCATATTATTTGGTAAATGATTAATGATTTCTCTTTTAATTCTCAGTGCTAATTTACATCCTTTACCATTTGTAGTAACACCAAATTGGAAATCTCCAGATGTATAAGTTGACAACATAGTAAATGTACATAATTCTGGAGAATCAGTTGTATTAATGGGTATTCTAAGTTTTTTACAATTAGTGTAAATATCTTGTTTTACTGATTCATTAGTTAAAGAAACAAAAACTCTATCAACAACACCATCTACTTCTGGTCTTCCCAATGTTGTAATATATTCTTGAATTTTGTCAGCAAAATTAGGATCCACTAGAACTGTTAATTTTTCATCCGCTTCATATTGTTTTAATGCTGGAAGGAATGATGGTTTTGTATCTGTTATAAGTATTGGTTTGGCACCTGAATCAATAATAGATGGAATTCTAATATTTGTAACGTTGGAATATCCAAATAATAAATGGATTTCTCCAGTTGATATTATAGACGTTATTAAATTTGTCATTCTATGGTTGGTTAATAATAATATTGAATAAATACCAAAAAATAATAAAAAATGTTCTCCTCCCAAAAAAAGGTGAAAAATTTAATGGATTTTATATTAACATTTATGGGGTTTTTAAAACTTTTTCAGATCGGGGTCTGAATAAAAAATAAAATGCAAAAACTCACGTGAACGAGCGTTATCTGGAGTAATTAAAAAAATAATGCGTCATACAATCTACACAACTCATCATTGGATCTCATTAAATCACATGCAAAGTTACACGTGATGAATACACGTGCGATGCCATCGGATGTTTGTGATGAAGAAAAAAAAAATTAAAACTTCATCGTATGATGGATTTCATGTCAATCCCTTGATTATTGATTCCCTTTTTTTTTTTTTGGCTTTTTTTTTTATTTTTTGGTTTAGTATTATCGTTAAACAACTACAATCATCATAATGGCTAAGAGAACATTGGGATTGGCTAAAGCTGCTAAAGCTAAAAAGCAAAAGAGAGAAGAAAAATCCGAAAGTCCAGAAAAGGATTCTGGTAATGAAGAAGAACAATTAACTGTTGAATTACCAGAAGGTGCAACTGATGAAATTTCTCAATTGATTGGATTACATCAAACATATTTACAATCTGAAAGAGATAATGAATTACTTGTCAATGGTATTATTCATGAATGTGATAGATTATTACGTAGTAATGAAGATGGAAAAGAAGAATTACCAGCTATTTTCCATAGTATTTATGCTACTGCATTAGCTGAATTGAGTAAATTCGTTGAAGAAGAAGAAGAAGAAGAAAAAAAAGAAAAGGAAGAACAAGAATCAGATAAGAAAATTAAAGAATTTTTTGATGCTGCTTTGGAAAGAATTGAAATTGGGTTAGAAAAACATCCAAATGATGTTAATTTATTAATTGCAAAAAGTAAAATTTTAATTGATCAAATTGTTTTACAATATATTTCTCCATTAAGTGTTGATTCAAAAAAGAAAGAAATTGAAGTTGAAGTTGAAAAATTATTGGATACTGCTTTGGAAATTTATGAATTGGCAGAAGTTAAAGCTAATGAATCTAAAAATTATGAAGTTTTCAATGATTTAGAAACTTTGGATATCTTACAAGCTTTGGATGATTTGTTGGATATTGTTGATAACTTTGGTAAGAACAATTTGGAAGAAGAAGAAGAAGATGAAGATGAAGAGACCGAAAAGGACAATGGTGATGATGAAGACGAAGTTGAAATTGAATTGACTGAAGATCACCCATTATATGTCATTAAAACTTCTGACAAATACAATCAATGGTGGAGAGATCATACCCATACTTATTTAGACAACTTAAAGAAATTGGATAGTAAAGATGTTTTACCAGAAGTTTTAAGAGAAGTTAATCATAGATTAGGTCAATCTTATTTACAAGAATCTGAAATTCCAACTACTGTTTTTACTACTTTGAAATATGACGATGAATATGATGGTGCCAAAGAATTAGAAGGTTTGACTGTTGAAGAAGCCCAAAAGATTTCTCAAGATTTGATTTCAAAAGCTTTAAAATATTTGAAAGGTGCTAAAGATGAAGAAGATCCAGAAACTTGGGTTGATATTGCTGAAGCCATGATTACTTTAGGTAACTTGCATGACATTGACAGTAAAGAACAAGAAGATTTATACAAAGAAGCTGAAGAGATTTTGAAAAAGGCAAACAATGCAACTAATGGTAAATTCAAGGATATTTTAGAAAACCTCTTGGAAAACTAGTTGCAAATACAACATATAGATAGAAAGACGGGATCTTTAATGATAAAAACGATACAAAAAAGAATAAAAACTAAATTATATTAATCTCTCTATAAAGATAATATACATATGACTAAGAACTAAAACCAAAAATTAAATCAACAAAATTTATGCTGTAAAACAACAGACAAAACAAAAAAAATGGACAAGGGATATACCATGACGAATAAAATAAAAAACCAAACATTAAATCATTAACAAACGAAAAGGAATTAGAAACTAACAAATTCATACTCTATTAATAATAGTACGTTCACTTTGTAATTTCATGGCATTCTTTTCATGAGCATTATCTTTACAATATTGTAAATTAGTACATAAATGATCTTCCAATAATCTATGTTTGGCACAGAATTTGCCTTGACAATGAGTACAAGTACCCACCATTCTTAAAGGGGCAGAATTACAAGTTTTGAAAGAACACTTGTTTTTCTTTTTTGTTTTCTTTACTGGTGAAGTGGTTGTAGTAGAAGCAGTGGTATTGAGTGATTCCATTGAAGGTTGAGGCGTTATTGGAGGAGTATCGGTTGAATCAGCCATCAAAATAACAGTATTGGTATTGTCTTGATCTGAAGATAATCCAAAAGATTGTAAATCAGTATAATAAGGTTGTAATTTCTTACCATTAAAGATTAATTTAAAATCAGTGGGCACATTAACATTTGGAGGCAAACCAACTTTAACGGAGTTTTTCAAATCTTCAACAGTTGAGTTATCTGGGATGGTAACAGTGAAAGAAGTTTCCGTAGATAATCTGATGGTGACTTTCATATTAAACGTGGGGGGCTGAGTGGTTGTAGTGATAGAAGTAGAATAGATAGTATTTGCAAATATCAAATGTAACAAAAAAAAAAAGAAAACAAGAAGTTAGAAGTAATAGGGAAAAAGAAAGATTGTTACAAATGATGTCGACGATATTGGATATTTAGGATATGGGTTGTAATTTATACAACTACAGAAAAAAAAAAAAAAGAAAAGACTCACCACCACCACATCCATAATCACCGCCGCCAATTAAGCAGACAAACAAACAAAAAAAATAAATTGTGACGGGAGGAATTTCATGACTGAGCAGATAAGAGTCACTCAATACACTATCACATTATCGCACGTACGTACCCTACGCCCACACTTATTGTTGTCTTGAACTGACACAAACCACCACACAACTAGACTCACCATTTTAGTATTTTCCCATGGTGTTATCTTCTTTCCATGTGTGTCAATCATTTGCTATATATAAAAAAGTCATTCCACTATTCCCAATATTTCCCGCTCCTAATACTCATCTCTTTCTTCCTCTTCATTGCTCAACTTCCTCGCTTTGATTTTTGTTTTGCATTTTGCATTTTGCATTTTACTGCCAAACGGGGTACGGGAAAGGAAATACAATAAAAAAGAAATTTGCCTACGGTGTGTTTCTTTTTCATTTTCCCCTTCTGATTTCTCGGTGGCAAAAAAAAAAAAAAGAAAGAAAGGATTACACTCAATTACATAAGCAATTACGAGAAAATTGTAATGTCGGAAAATTTACCGATTTCTGACATTACAAATTTGCGACACACATATTTGGTAGTGTCTCCTTACAAATTGTATTATTTTCGACACTTGTAACTTATGACATCATACATTAATACATAAACTAAAGCAATAAAATAGAATAAATACCGAAGTATATAAAACTCTAACACCAAAAATTAAATAACTCCTAAAACAAAAGAATAAACCATGGAAACAAACAAACAAAAAAAAAGAATAACCCTTACAATGACATAAATTATATGATATGAAATAATGATATGCTAATAAAATGAAAAATTTATCAAACATGTATCAAACACGTAATAAATATTGCTTACCTTCATATTCAACTTGATGTTTCTTTTCATGATTTAAAACTTCTTGACTATTACTAAACATGATTTTACCATTAGATGAAGGTGAAGCATTACCTGAATTAGAACTAACACTTTCTATTTTATATTTTGGTTCTATTGGTTTAATTGAACGTGAAGGAGTACCATCTAGAATATTATTTGATTTTAATTCTGTATTTGCTGGAACTGGAGTAGATAAACTTAATCCTAATAAAAATAAAACACTAATTAATCTCATTATGAATGATTATTGAATAATATTGAGCAATGTATGGAAATGAATGAATGAATGGCTCACTTGATAAAGTTTTCCTAAATCAAAAAAATAAAAATTTAAATTATGATTTTTCAAGGTTCGATTACAACGTTTAAATATAACAGAATGTTGAAACAAATATTCAACGAAGTATTTTATTTTTTTATTATTGTTTCCCTTTAAAGTAAATCTTTCTAATTAAAAAAAAAAAATTCCCTCCCTTTTAAACTTTTTGTACATTGTAAATCTCCTTTCTAATTCGTATAAAGCCTTGTTGTTTCATACACCATGACAGAGAGAATTTAAATTACTGTTTATAGTAAATCTCACTAAAGTGCTCATTTTTTATTTTATTTTTCGCTGTTGTTGCTGTTGTTGCTGTTGTTTGCTTATCTGCAATGCGTAATGGGTGTGCGCATAAAATTCAGTTTATCATTAATGAAAGGGGGGTGACGAGACAAGACGAGACGAGACGGGTCGAAGGTTAATTATTCATAACGTGCAAGGCGGCGTATTAACCTTTTTAGTTTCTCCTTCGTCCCATTATTTTGCAACTAAGGCGCAGTCTGGTATGACGCGAGAAGCCACCGTAAAAATATTTTATATTACTTAATCCTTCGATTACCAAGTCTAGACTCGCCGACTAAATTGACTATATTAACCATCAATTACATTACGGTTTTTTCTTTTGTCGAATCACTAATTATACTAATTATATTAATTATACACACATATATAATAAAAGCTATATACAAATTCATTTCATCATTACATTACATCATGTAATCTCTTTTTCTTTTTCTTTTTTTTTTTTTTCTTCAATCACTTCATTTGGCTTCCCCTGTTTATTCATCGTGTCGCGTTTTGTTGATTCTTCATGATGGCTTTGTTTTTATCCCCTTGTTGTTTTTCTTAAACGCACGCTTGCATCACTTGGTTTTGAAGAGATCGTGTCAACCTGTTCGTCCCTTTCATCTTTCTCTTCATCACTTGAGCTTTTTGTTAAATTAATATCACTGGCTTGTTCCAAATCAGCAGCTGCAAAAATTTGAATATCCGACAAATTATTCATAGTTAAATCTAACGAAGTAAAACTGTTTTGACGTTGTAATTTTTGTGTTGACAACTCATGATCACTCTCCGCGTGATTGTATTGACGATAAAACCTGTCGTAATCATTGAAAAGACCTGGTCCAAGTTTATTACAGAATAAAGTTACTCTCTTTCGCAATTCATCCCTGGTTTCCTTTAATTCTTTAATTTGTATTTGATCATTATCGTGACTAATCAAAGAAATAAATAATGGCTTTAATGATTTGTAATAGTCCACACCAATTTCACCAACTCTTAATGAAGCATAGGTAGTTAAAACAGCCCAAAAGTAACAATACATAAAGATGAAAATCACAGAAATATTTGGTACAAATCCCAGTTTCACGATTAATATCGTACCAATCACAGAATAGAATATGTACAAAGCAGGGGCCAAAACCATGGCAACCAAAATCTTCCATGTACTCAACACATCCTTTGCTTTGATCTTAACACTTGATGCAGCTAATGCTTCTTTGGCCTTTTTAGCTGAGATTCTTCTTCCCGTAATGAACACTGGGCTAAACAAAATAAGTCCAGGCAAACTCAATCCCATATACAATGAAAACTGGAAAAACCTACTGATAAACATCTTGAAAGTGTTCAACTTGTCTGATTGATCTAATGATTCCACTTGATGATCATGGATACTCAATCTCATTAATCGGCGATTGTAATCATTCACAGCATCTCTCAACTCTTTAACATCTGGTTCTTCCTTGTATTGTTCATATCCTCTAATTAATCTTCTATTCATCTCAATCACCATTGGAGTTGGAATTTCGTCTCTATTAGCAGAAGTGTATAATCTTCTTGCTGCTTGTAACACCATCAAAGTATCATAATCATTACAAGTAACTGTTACTTCCTTCAACCCTAATGTGATCACTTTTAATAATTTATCAACAGTCCCTCTTGGGTCTGTCATATACTGTTCACCTAAAGACTTGTCAACAACAATCGATTTTCCAAATTCCATAACCACTCTAGATCTAAACTTGTGTGGATGGAAATAATTTAATCCAACAGGAACTATAGTAATTGGCTGAAGCCCATCATCTCTTTCTCCATTCTGTTGCTCTTCCATTTGTTGGGAAATAGCACCAAGAGCCATAATAGCCACACCTGGTTTTAATGGTAACAAATCAGGACGATCATGAGACCCACCTTCTGGGAAAATCCCTAAAACATGACCATTATTCAAATGATCAAACACATTCTGGAAAACAACATGATTGTCAATGTGAGGAGCAATCTTAAACAGGGTACCATTTTTCAAAACACCATCAATTTTATCTTGAATATCCTTCTTTTTAGAAGTAAAAGGTTTCTTTAAAGTCAAATGAGTATCATCTTCAATACTTGAAATTTGACAATTACCAAGAGAATTGGGTAATCCAATCAACCCTTTGATTTGGCATTCTTCAGTGAATTTTGTATTTTTCCCAATTAATAAACAATCATCATTAGGATCACTAAAAATCTCTCCTTGGCCCATTTTCAATAAATCCTGGGCACGTTCAACAGGAATAGCACTACATAATTTAGCAGCTTGACCAATAATTGCTCTATTGTACGATTTCTTAGCAATTAAAAAGGCGATTCTTCTACCAGTACATTCTTTAACTTTAGTCATAACAACTAACCCATCAACAAATTGATTATGGTGTGGAGCAATCACAAAAATAACTGGACCTTTCTTTGGAATCTCAAATCCTCCTCTAGTCTTTATATCTCTAAAAAATGTATTAATAATACAATTGAAGAAAAATAACACGGAATCATATGCAAATATATGAAAGATAACACTAAGGTAATACCAAATAGTTTTTTGAATCGGTTGACGGTGGTGAGAATTGGGTGAATCTGACTTCATTTTCTTCGATTCGGATGTTTCTCCAATTGAAGTAGATTTCATAGTATCATCAATCATCGTTTATTATTCAATTGATTTCAATTGGGATAAAAATCTTCCTTTTGATTTGATTCTATTTTCTATTTTAAATTTCTGTTGGGTTTGTAAATTGGGGTAAGAATAATTTATTCTACAAAGGTGGAGGGGGGAGGTGGGGAGTAATTGTAATAAATTTAGGCAGCAACAAAATTAAGAATAATTTTATTCTGTTCTAATAATGACAGAAAATCACCAGACAACAATATTTGGCCTACTAATTTTTTTTTTTAGTTCCCCGGAAATCGCGTAAATCACGTGGTACGTCGTATATCATTGTATGGGGACTGAGATATTGTAAATGGCAATAAGATACCGATGACAAGGGATAACATAAAGAAGGTTGAACTTACTGGAGATGATACATACTTTCTGAATTTATTGTAGATGGTGGTTTTTCTCAAATGCTTCTTTGTATAGTACGGTTCTACACAACCATGTTCTGGCCAATAAAAGTGTCGAGTAAAAGAAGAAAATGATTAGTAGTCCTGGTAATGATTACTAATACTACAATTGACTTGGCTCTAACGTCACTGTTACATCCGTTTAGACTAGAAATTGTAGAAAGTCTTGGTTAGCTATAAAACTAAATCAAGTTTAATCTGTCAAATTAAGTGTGGTGGGATTTTTTGATATTTAAAAAAAGATGGCATTTTTCCGACCCGCAGCTACATCACTTCCGTGCTGCTTACTAACAACAAAAAAAGAAAAATATTTAAATCCGAATTAAATCCGAACAATAATAGAATATGTTCAAGCCCTCTAATTCATGCAACAAATTATTCAGGAACACTAATGGTTAATAATCATATTCCTTTGACCGCGTATCCCCGAAGATATAACAAGAAAATAAAGATGAAATAGATTAAAATTACTAATACATTGATTTCTTATTCCTATGATCCAAGAATCCACAGTATTGTCCCCCACTTCGGATAAAACGAAAACCAATAAAGTTAGAAAAGAAAAAAAAAAAATATATTGTACTGTAACAATATAAAAGCATCCACAGTTCCACTCTGGAATTTTTCAATCAAGTGTTTCCACAATCAATCCAGATATCACTTGTATTATCAATCATATTATATAATGACTACTTCAAAATCAAATTTATTTAAACCAATCAAAGTTGGTAACGTTACTATCAAACATAGAATTGCTCATTTACCAACAACCAGAAGTCGTGCTACATCCGAACATGTTCCAACAGATTTAATGAAAACTTATTATACAGATCGTGCTAAAAATGGAGCATTAATTATTTCTGAAGCCACTTTAATTTCATTAAATCAAGGTCTTTATCCAAATGTTCCAGGAATTTTCACTAAACAACAATCTCAAGCATGGAAAGAAATTGTTGATTCTGTTCATTCTGTTGGTGGTAAAATTGCCATTCAATTATGGGCATTAGGTAGAGTTGGTAATGCTAAACTTTTAAAATCTCATGGATTACCATTAACTGGAGTTAGTCCAATTTATGAACATGAAAAAGCAGAAAAAGATGCTATTGATGCAGGGAATCCTATTCAAGAATTAACACAAGAACAAATTAAAGATATCATCTATAATCAATATACTAATGCTGCTAAATTAGCCGAAGAAGCTGGATTTGATTTCATTGAATTACATGGTGCTAATGGTTATTTAATTGAACAATTCATCCATCCAGCAACTAATCAAAGAACTGATAAATACGGAGGTAGTATTGAAAATAGATCAAGATTCTTATTTGAATTAATTGATCATTTATCTACTGTTATTGATCCATCTAAATTGGCAATTAGATTATCTCCATTGAATGATTTCCAAGTTCCAGAAATTAACCCAACTGCAGAAGAAGATTTCACTTATGTTCTTGAAGGTTTACAACAAAGAGCAGATGAAGGAAGAGGGTTAGCATTCATTGATGTTGTTGATGAACGTTATAATCCAGATGGTACAATCAGACCAAGAACAGTTGAATTTGTTGATAAAGTCTGGAAAGGAGTATTGTTAAGAGGTGGTAGTTTTACTTATGATAAAAAAGGTGATTGGTCAACTATTCAAAAAGTTGCTGATGCTGATGATAGAACTTTAATTGGTTTTGGTAGACATTTTATTGCTAATCCTGATTTACCAGAAAGAATTAAAAGTGGATATGAATTAAATGAATATGATAGATCTACTTTTTATGCTGGTTATAACTATGGATATAATACTTATCCTTTCCATGGACAAGTTCTTAAAGTTGACCCAGAAGAAAAACTCGCTGGTGTTGCTTTGGCTTAGTTGGCTGTGGTTAATTTAATAGATTTCGTCAATATTATTACTATTATGTTTTATTTAGTTTTTATCTCAATACAATTGTTATTATCATTTGTTAAATTGGTTCCAGTACTAAAAATAGAAAACCCCAAAACGCTACTTTGATCTGCAATACACCGTTGACAAACTTGTTGCAACTTGCAACACTTTTTCCAGAACACAACACAAGTATCAGATTATGATTTTGCCAATCTTCTGAATACACGCCAATGAAAAAAAAAAAAATAATAAAGATCTGCGCTACCATGTTGACGTACAAGAAAAAAAGAGTTCATTACATATTTCTTACAAATGAGACTTTCTTGCTGTCAAAGTAAAGAAACAACTGACTTGATTTACATTAACAAACAACTTCATTTGATTGTAGTTTTTTAAAAAAGGATAAGACGACGGATAGGTTCGAAATAGAAAATATTTTTAAATAGACGTGTAGTCGGTCTAACTAAACCAAAGAAGAAGAAAAAAAACAGTGACCTGATTTTTTACAAGGAAAGTTTAAAGAACGTGACAAAGAAGAAAAAAAAATCATGTACCCGTTGTATCCTCGCATTGTCTAGATTCTTCCTAGCACCAGGTACACTACTCTCTCTCTCCTCTCCATTGTGTATTCACATAGTAAGTTAGTAAGTATTAAATCGTTACACCTTTTTTTCTTCGTTTCCTTTCATTTCCCTTGTGGATATAATTTTATTTTCTTTTTGTTTTTTTCTGTTTTACTATTTTTTTTCCCCTTTCATTTTCTTATTACAAATTATTTATATTTACTTTTTATTGTTGTTTAGAAACCGTGTTGTTGTTTCTATTAGCAAGTAAATAGTTCATGTTTCAGACAATCCCATTCAGTAGAATGAACATATTCAAGAAACCGATATCAGCCGTGGCTAATGGTATAACATCGATCACGTCAAACGAAGTCGCGGATACAAATGGCGGGGGCCACCACCACCAGCATCATCATCATCAACATGACCATCACCACCACCATGAAGAAAAAGAAGAAGAAGAAGAAGAAGTTACTTCACCGAGGAAATCACAAATTGTTGTTAAAGTATCACCTCAAAAGCAAAGAGATAATTTTAATGAATTAAATGAGATTGAATCACAACGAATAATTTGAAGGATTAAATAATCCTGATACTTCTATATGGGCACTCACATCCGGAATATCCCGTGCTAACCGAAGTAGAAATAGATACACTAATGTTACGCCATGGGATAGAACACGAGTAAAATTACCTGTTATTGATGATTCTTTATATTCAGATTATATTAATGCTTCACATATTCATTTAAGAACTTCAAGAAATAAAGTATGCAATAGATATATCGCCTGTCAGGGACCTTTGGAATCAACTATAAATCATTTTTGGGCAATGGCTTTTAATGAACTGGAACATCAAGGAAATGATGTCGTAGTAATTGTTATGGTTACCCCCTTGGTTGAGAATGGTATGATTAAATGTGACAAGTATTGGCCAGAATTGGATGAAACTTGGGAATTTGGTCAAGAAAATAAACAGGATGGTATAAATTTAGAAGAATTATCAATCAAGAATGTTAGAGAAGATGCAAATGAACTGGATGATTATGTTGTTACTGAATTGGAACTAACTGCTAATGGGAAAACCAAAAAGGTGTATCATTTTTACTATTTCAAATGGGCAGATGCTAAAACTCCACCATCGATTCAACCTTTAAGTGATTTATCAAGTAGGATTGATGAAATTAGAGAAAATTTAACTGATTCTGAAAATCACCTTGTACCTATTGTTCATTGCTCTGCTGGTGTTGGTAGATCAGGTACTTTTATCGTGTATGATCATTTGTTTAGAGATGTCGATGTGTTCAGAACATTGGCGCGTGCCGATGGTATTTCAGATAAAGACTTGGTTTATCAAGCCGTTTGTCAATTAAGAAGTCAAAGAATGATGATGGTTCAAACAGTTTATCAGTATAAATTTCTTTATGATGTTGCTAGAACGTTTTACAAATAATTTTAATTTCCTAATTAACTTAATACTTTTTCTATTCTATTATTATTATTACTATTGTTATTCCTGAACTTTATGGGGTTTGTTGTTTTTCTTTTAATATTTTCAATTTAATATCTAATTTACTTTTTATTTAAAAGGCATATTGTTTATTGTTTTTGTTTGAGTTTGTTAATTTTAATTCTGTTGCTTCCTTTAGGCTTTTTCTATTATACACATATATTAAAAAGAAGGGAAATGTTTTGCATAGAAAGAAAGGTTACATAAAGATACAGATATTTAAATATACACCGGTTTATGAAATGATTTATCCTCATTAACTATAAATTTGCCATCTATCCTTGTTTTTTTTTTTTCATTAAAGCCTATATTACTATTCTTTTCTTTGTATAGTAATATTAATACTAATACTAATACTAATGTCTACATCAATTTCAAAGACAATGTCAGATCAATCAACAATTATCATCTTGTCAGATAAAGAATCATCCTCATCATCATCATCACCATCTTCAGGATCAGAATCAAGAACATGTTTTGGTGCATTCTTTCTGAGTATTGGGTTTTTGTTTACAATCACGATTATTTTATTTGGAGTTATGGGATGGTATTTTTATTCCCATAATAAATCTACAACAAATCCTCCTACTCTAGAAGGTGATGATACTATTGAAACAGAACGAGTATTAGAGGATGAAAGAACTCCTCTTTCTCCTGATGGTACTGATGATTCCAATCCTAAACCAAATCAAGAATCATTCTAAACCAAAAAAAAAAATGACAAAGGATTCAACATATATATATAGGTTTGAGGTTGTTAATTGTGTTGCAACTTTTCCCGTTTCTTCAAATATTCACATAATAAGAGCAAATAAATCACTAATATATGTTATTCATTAATATATGTTATTCAATAATGAATGTATATTTGACTGTAATACTCTGTATATATATATGTATAGATCTCGTTTTATGCCATGTGGGTATCAATCATTAATCTTCACCAGCCGGGACTTCATCTTTTAATATTTTATTCAATTTCAATCTAATTTCAGTTCTTTCATCACCTCTTAATACATCTTTCACAAAATTAACATCACAATCCAATTGAACCATTTGTAAAGCACCACGTAAAACACCACATAATATTTGAGAATACCATAATTCTTTACCAATTTTATTATCTGCAGTTATAGGTAATTCAACAAATTCAGTTAATGGATTAGGTTCAGGTATAATTAAACTACAAGATTTATTATCAGATGACCAATTTTCAACTATTGGTTGAATATTTAAAAATATTTTAAATCCTAATTTACTTATAACTTCTGCTGTTTCTTTAAATGTTTGACATCTTCGAATACCTGTTTTGGCTAAGAATTCTTCAATTAATCTTAATCCTATATTATATCCCATTTTATCTAATTGATTATTTACTTCATGATAATTATTTTGAAAATCACGACATAGTTGGGCTACTACTGATCCATAAGTTAATGTAAATAATTCTGAATTCTAAAGACAACAAAAAATTTTTGTTAGTTTCAAAAATGAATAATTATCAAACTGTAAGTTAGTCTAGTAATACATACTATTTTTTCAACATTATTCTTCCAAATATCATCTCCTGATGCTTTCTTTGACATGGTGTAAATTGGTTTGATATATACAAATTTGGTTGATTAAAGGTGTTTGAGTTTTATCGCTCAATTTTTTTTATTTTTTTTTTTTTTTTTGGTGGATCGAATCGCTTTACACATGAATTTTAAAGATTGTGAAAATTAAATTGTAATTCATTAAATATTAAAAAAACAAATAGCTATTAAACAAAGAAAATATTAAATACTATAAAATATTGTGTAGTTCATATCATACTTTTATCACTAATAAAACAACTCAAACTCATAACTCTTTGGAAATCTAAATATCTTTCTTATTTTCATTAATAATTTTTTCTTCTTCTTCAATATCAATTTCTTCTTTAGATTTCTTTGTACTTCTTGATTTTTTAGCTAAGAATTCCTTGTATTTAGTCAAAGTAATATGGTTTTGTAATTCTTTATATTCATTAACAAACTTGTATTGGGTATTGCTGAAAATATCCCAGAATGTAAAGAAAGGTTGGGAGAAATTACTTTTGATTCCCCACATTTGATGGTGAATATCATGATAAACGGAGTTATTTGGGAAAAGAATTTGGAACAAATCAAAGGGTAATCTGTATCCACAATGATCATCAACAGTTTTCATGGTTGCAAAAGTGTACAAAACAATACATTCACGATGAGTTAAACCAGTAGCGATGGAAGCAATACCAGTACCAAGAGTATCTAAAAGGAAACCTTCAACTGGATCATTATATAAAGCACCATAAGCATATGGAACATACAATCTGTGGTGTCTTGAATGGAATCTTCTGTATAAAGCTTTGTTAACATGCATGATACGATGTAACCAGAATTGCCAAGTATCAATGATAGTAATAGCAATGGCCAATTTCAAGGCAGACAAACCATACATGTATCCGTAATAAATAGCCCAATCAGGAACAAAACTTGGCAAATAGTTATGCTTCAAATTCCACATGGCATATAATTCACCACCAGTTTGAGGGGTTGGATCAAAATAGTAAACAATGAAACCAACAATACTTTGAATGATATGTTGAAAAATAACATCTCTGAAAACTTCATAATGGGTAACTTTATTTCTACTTTGTTCTTCTTCACTTGGATGAATTCTATATTTTTCAGCCAATTCAAAAACATCTATTATATGGAAAAACATTGAATATGTCCAATATGCAACAACTGGTGCAATTAATGCAAGGATACCATCTGGGATGCCTTCAATTAAATCAGCTTGTTTTGAAAGGGTAACATTATCAAAAAACTTTGGTTGAGCAAGAACCATGGAGAAGTTAGCTGGCGCTTTAAATGTACTCATGGTTGATTGTGGTAATGTATTCTAATAACAAAAAGGAAAGACTAGAAAGGGGTGAAAAAAAAAAAGAATTATCTAAACCACTGGATGGATATAAATGTAAACAGAAGGGAAGAAAACACTAATAATAAAAAAAAAATTGAGTTAAACTAGATTGCTTAAATATTCGTGATAGTTACTTGTATCTAAGAATTATGCAGTAAAAGAATGAAGTTGGGTATTAATTATAGTTTGCTTTTATGAATATTACTCAGTCCTGAATAATCAGTAGATTCTTATTGGAGGTATTTAACCGTGAAAACCAAAAAGTGTGTGGGATGATGGTGATATCGCCTGTTTATTTTTTTTTTTTTCTTACGTGTGTGTGTGTTTGAATTTTTTGAATTTTGTTTGCTTGAGCATTGAAGCATAAACAAAACAGGCATAAGATGAAGAATACTAATTGAGCAGAGATGCACGATAATTTTTTTTTTTTTTCTTTTTTCTTTTTCTATGGGCACAACAGTGACTGAAAAATTTGTGAGAACAAAAAGAAATTCAAGGTGTATTATTTTGCTACTCGGGGATTCGGGGTTATCTGAGATTGGTTAATTCTACAAATACTCAACAGAATTGAAAAGAGTAGGTATTCGTAGCATCCGTGATATCCTAATCTATTGTAACGTACATCAAATGATTAAGACATTTTCCCTGAACTCTTGGTTGAACCTTTTTCTCTCTGTCATACACGTCTTTTTTTTTTTAGAATAGGGGTAAATCCACTAAACAAGCTGCAGTAAGCACACACAGAGTGAGAAAGACAGCCTCTTTTTTATTTTTTTATTTTTTTTTTTTTGTCCTCTGTGTCGTGGCCGGATTTAAAGACTCCGCCGCAAGTTTGTCGCAAAAGTTAAAGAATGCTAAACGAGATATATCGTATTACTACCAAAACTTTAGATTAAATCAGTCGATACTTACTTCTTTGTCCATAAATTTCACTTGCCTCATGTTGTAGAACCTCATGTTATTACTGCAATAGAACAATCAACTGATTTTGTATTCTTGTGACTGTTCAAACCTGAAATTTTTATAGAGACTAGAGGGGACCATTCGATTATTTTTCTCTGTGATTTTTTGTTCGAGTCATGGTTTTGCAACCGTAATCACGAGGGGGAGTAAACTTTAAATTCAATGCACAAGAGTGGGCTCGTGATTGTTTGCCAGATATCAGTAGAATGAGAGATATCAGAATATCTTATCAGTTTGAATATTCTTTATCACGATTACAAGAATTTTTGAGTTTTTTTTTTTTTATTTAGATTTTGCTAAAAATCGAAACAAAATTACTGTACCATTAAATTTAAACTATTATTAAAATTTACATTTTCTTAAAAATAAACTATTCATTGTATTTACTCACGACTTTTCTTGTAAGATTTCATCCACATTTGCAACTGCAGTACCTTCCAAGTAAGTATCATCAAGATTGGATTTAGGTCCAGTGTAGAACCTGTAACCCCATACAAAATAGTAAACCAATGCCAATATCCAGACACCAACATTGATAACCACAGTATAGTTCATGGTATCTTTGTCAATATGCAAACTATCTGGGAACATACACAAGACAATAACGTAACCTGACCAACCAACACTAACAATATTAATCAAAGTACTGATATACTTTCCAAAATAAAATGGACCAGGAATAAATCTCTTTCTACCATAAGGTAAAAGCACAAGTAAAACTGGAAGACCCCATGACAATTGGTTACTAGCAATGGCCAAACTGAAAAGTGCACCTGAACCAGCAGAACCGTTGATTAATACCAATAAACCCAAAACAATTCCCATGGCACCGGCAAACATAGTAGCTCTAATTGGAACTTGGATCTTTGGATTAACATACTTGACAAAGTTGTAAACAACTGGTAAACCATCATCTCTAGCAAATGACCAAACTTGTCTGGATAAAGCAATCATAATTGAGACAGACATCAAGTATTGACCAACAGCAATAAGTGACATGAAAGCAACCGCCCATTGTTTACCTAATGCATCGTAAATAATTTGTGCCATAGCAGATCCAGTTTCTGATTCAAGAATTCTACCAACATCACCATCTTTAATACATGCACAGCAGACGATACAAAGTATCCACCCTAATAACCAACAAGCAGTAATTGAACCTGTTATACCAAATGGAATAGCTCTTTGTGCATTTTTGGCTTCTTCACTACAATGAATAGTGGAGTCGAATGATCCAATTGTCCAAATAGCCGGCATCCAAGATAAGGCAAATGACCAAACAGTACCATAATCTCTGGAGTTTTCAAAATTAGTGAAGATGAAACTAGCTGAATTAAAATCATGGGCTTTTCCTGCAGGTACAGCTATGATAAATAATAATACCAAGAAAACATTGACAATAATGGAAATGGTTTGCAAAAGGGCAGCTTGTTTGGTAGCCAAACAACAAATAAAAGCATTTGTGACAACACAACCAACAAAGATACCATAACATTTTGCATTTGTAATTTCAAATCCACCATCTTGTTGGATATACACGGCCGATAAAACCTGCACGGCAAACCCATAACTGATACTACACAAACCACCAATCAATCCTAATGAGTTAGAACAACCAATCATGAAACTCAAAGGAACTCTGAATGCATCTGGACAATAATAGTTTGTATAATAATACAAACCACCTGAAGTTGGAATGGCACTACCGAGAAAAGCCATACTTATACCAATACAAAGAATAAAAATAGATGACAAGAACCAGCCCCAAACCAAACCAGCTGGTCCTGATTCCAAACCCACAGACAACACAGAAGCAACACTGGGTAATAAACCCATGATTGAAAAAGCAATACCAAAAACCTGCAACGTACTGTAATGACGTCTTAACTCTTGTTTATAACCAATCTGAGCTAATAATTCCACATCACCAGCATTATGTTGTGGATCGATCGATCTAATCTCCGATCTATGTGATAAAACACTTTGAAGATGTTCCTCTGTCCTTGATCTAATAGCATTCATTTTAAATTGTTTGTTGATTTATTATTAATGCTTCAAAAAAAAAAGTAAAACTGTATTCTAATTCACTCCACAATTTGTTTCAGTATTTATACGTTTTTCAGAATCCTCCTCAATATCAATAATCGCAGCCATTATATCAATTTGAGCCTTATTATTCGTTTTATGTTTTGTACGCTATATGCATGAGCTGCAAAATTAACAGATAAGATTAGGTAAATTAGATCCATCCACCAATACATATTGTCTGTCACTGGCATGCAAGTTCTCTATTGTTATCAAACTGATTGATTGTGCCTTAGCGGATATTCACTTATATGGATGCATATGATTGGATGATATACTATCCTTCTCTAAGATTGATCTTTGTTTTTTTTTTTTTACTCACGCGGTCGTGTTCTGGAATACCGTTTGTCGATGGTATTTGAACGAAGCTTCCGCTAAATGATAATGCAAATGCCGTATGATTTTGCCAAAGGCTACGTAGTTTATAATCCGTTATCATCCATAGGGGAACCAGTTCCTAATTGTGGAATTTGCTTTTGCACATGTAGAAAGTAAGTATAATTGACGGGAAGAGACAGTATTCCTTCAGCATGATACTAGGTAAAACGAAAGAAAAATAAATTAAAAAATAATTTGTGAAAATCGGTTGTATTCTCTCATTGTATACCCATGTCTCCACAAAGTTCAGATCCCCCCCTCTCATCTCTCTACATTTGGTGTATTGTTAGAGTAAGAACAATAAGGAGAATCCCTCCCATTGAATAATTTGGTTCCGTTACTTGAATAATATGTCCCTTTATAATCACTTAGCTGTCAGATCTTGCAACCAAAAACACGATAAATTTCTTGGCATGCAAAATAACTCAACAACAATTTGTATACTCAATTCGTATGCAATTACGTTACTATCAGAAAAGACTCCAGCTAGAATACATAGTGTAGAGACCCCTCACAAATCAAAGTCAGATCATTGCTACAGAACAAGGTAAACTAATTCAAGCGGGGCTCCTTGTATTGATTAGCTACTTCGTGAATCGTCCAATTGTCTTCTTTTATTTTTTTTTTGTTCTTTATTGCATATCCCAAACGTTTTTATCGGCGAACCTTGGATTTTCCGAAAAAATAAGCCCCATTCTAGCTTAATTACACAAAACAGAAGAGGTCGATGTCGCACTCCAAAAAAAGTTTGAACCTAAGTCTCAGAAAAATAGTTTCTCACTATTAACACTATAGTAATTGCGTAATTTTCTAACACAATTCTTAACAGCTTTATACTGGCTAACAAATTGCAATATACATTAAATTAGAGGGTATACACCCTTTAAAATTCCTAAAAATAGAATATATATGAAATAAAAGTAGTTTGGGCATAATAGCCTTTAATTTGATGACTATTTAGAGTGATTAATGATGAATATACCAAATAAATTGTTTTTACTTGGAATTGGCTGCAAAATTCAACTAAATTTAACCAAAAAATCATAGGAAAAGATGAAACCATTTAAAATAGGCCTATACCATTAAAATTACAGTTTATTTAGTTTATTTAGTCTATATATAGTATAATATGATGATTGATACTAACTGCAAGTAATATAGAAGCAATTAATGGTGTATGCGTAGTATAAACTTCAAATGGCTTACTTTATAGGCATTTATTCGCTCCTATAGACACCAAATAGTAAATATAACGGCTTTATAGTAATTATAGAGGTATAATTATCATAATATATAGCTTATATAGCAATATAAACGCTGTGGGTGTGGTAAATTAGTCTTAAAAGTAAGTATTATATAGGTGGTTAAACCAGTCTTAGTAATTTTCTCACTTTAAGTTTTTTTTTTGCTAAGACTTTAGATTTTTTTTCAACACTTAACTATAATCAATAAACTTACAAGTTTGAAGGTTATTTCTGCAGTCAATAAGGTAAATTAAAGCTCTATAACCACTTCATAGGTTACAGGATTGAATATATATCAAACTATATACTATACTTGTGATTTATTGCTGTTAAAAAGCTTGGAAAATAAACAATGTTCATCTTAGCAGCTTTTCAAGACAAAATGCTAATAAACAACACAACTTCATGTAATTACAATCAGTCAAATGCGTTTTCTGGATCTATCAGCTGATTTACCCTTTACCTATTGCTTCTGACATGAAAATAGCCATTAAAATGATAAATGTTCATACAACTTAGCCTAAAAACAAATCAAAATAGTTGGATCACCAAGACTTCAACATAACAGCATACAATACGCCCAAATAGCATAAAACTTAGCCCACCATTACCAATAATGCTTGTTCTTTCAACCAACAGGACCTGGGAAATACCTGAACCAACTAAACTTAATGGTTTTTGTCCATTAAACGGACAAATCATCCACCAAACCAACCAAAAAAGCTAACAAACAGCTTAACAACCACAAATAACATCAAATACTTAACCATTTACCCCTGGAAAGCTGGAATAATGGTTCAAAATGAATGTAAACATATATAATTAGCAAAAGAACCTCATCTAAATATGAATATGTTGATAAATAATCAATTTATGACGGGATTGGTAAAAAATGAGCAACAAAGACCCTAAAATCAGAGTAAAAACACAATAGATTGAGCCATTGATTGAATGGATAGCATTAAATGGATGTAATCATTGTTAAAACGTGGTTAAAAAACTGAAAACAAGCAAAAATCATGCAATAAAGTTAGTAATTGGTTCTAAATTAATTAAAAACAATAAAATAAACATACCTGAGGTAAACTAAACCACTATATAGTGTTAAAAAGAGATTAAACCATTGAAATGGTGTATAATTTGTAGTTTTTTGTTGATGGTTGAAGAAAAAGAAGTGGTGTAAACATTTGTTTTTTTTTGTTTGTTGTGGTTTCGTTAAAATGAGCGAGAAAATTTTTAGATTTGTCGTCATTTTATTTTTTTGTTCAAAGTTCAAGGTTCAGAATGTCGCAACTTTTTTTTTTCGAAATGAACTTTTTTATCAACGCACACGACCCAAATTTTTCGGAAATTCCAAACTTCGCTTTTTATCGCGAGTGAGAGAAAAAACAAAAATCGCCGTCTGAATTAATGAAATCAACTGGAAAGTGGGCTTAAAATCTATATAATACACGGTTCAAATAGAAAGAAAATGTGATGTAGGAATTGTGGAGTTGAATTTAGCGGTATAACCAAATTGATCAACTCTTCATCCACCCATCTATCCATCGCCCCGCAAAACAATACATTGCATGAGTTTGGAAATGTTTAAACTAAAATCATAATACGCATTGAGTAATAATCCCTTGCTGAATGATACTCAGTACTTTCCAGGTATTGACGATGCATTCATATTTGCCTTCGTGTTTTTCTTTAAATCTACCACGACGACTGAGTCGCACTAAAAATTAAAGGTCTAGCCGGCCGCAAGCAAACAAACAAGCCAAAAGAAAATCGATATTCGGCAGGGGTTGGAGAAGGGGAGGGAAAAAAAATGTCAAGCTATCCTTTTAAAATAAAATCTAACTAAATCAACCGCTTAGGAATTATAATGCAACTGTCAAGATAATGGCAACATCAAACCAAAAACCAACAGCACACCTACCGATCTTATACAATCCATTTCTAAATTGTCTATTTAACAACCCACAATATTTCAAATCCCCTTTCAAGAGCATCATAGATGAATTAAAATCGAATCATACTCACTATACGATTCTTGTCCCTCCAGCAAACGTACTCCACGAATATTATGATCCGACAACAGAGAATTCGAATTCAAAGACATTGTTAAGGGAACTATGTTATAACAATGAAGATTTCATCAAGTCGCATATTATATCTACCGCAGCAGCGGTATCATCTACAATTACTCCAATATCAAAAGAACAACTGGTAATTTACAATACTCTAAATAATAAACAAGTTCTAATTAAAAATAGAATGATTTATACTGGTAAGGGGTTCAGAAGAAGTTTGAAATTGAAAATAGCCTCAATTCTGTATTTCAGTTCGTTTTGTGATTATTTTCCTAAAGGCAGCAAATTTATGGTTATATATATAGAAAACACTTTGTTTGGAGGTATACCACCAAGAAAGCAACTTCCACCATTACCAATAACACAAGAATCAAATATAACCAAAACGAATTCTCTAGATACAATAACTTTTGAGAAATTATTGAGAAGTTTCCCATTGCTTTCTAAAGCAGTAAGTGACAAGTTTTATCGATTATTCCACCACAATAATTATCAGTTTAGAGGGTTACGATATAATCATAGAAAGAAATTAGCAAATATAAAGCTCGAGTTTCTGAAGATTTTAGAAGAAGCATTCAAAATTATACTGGATAGTGTTAATGTCGAAAACCCAAACAGTGAACAGACTTATAATTTAATTAATCATATCATTGGCATGTACCCTGGAATAGATCTTAACAAATTGGTTCATGAATATGTGGAATTAAACTTGTATGATGTTTTATGGGCTCAATTGATTTTTCAATTTAATTGTCCTAATGATGATAAAGAAGAGTATGACCCTGAGGCCATGAAGATATTAACAAGTGAGATGTATGAAAAATTGTCATGTTTATCTTTAAATCAGTTGGACTTGCCGGTGGACAAACCTTGGCAAATGAATGAATTACATGAAAGAGTTTCCTTAGCAGTACAGGAATTTGAGAAATTGGCTGATTCGTCCATTACTAATCTGAATGGGAAAACTGGTGTCATTAATAACACTTTACAAATACTAGCTCAGGGAAAGCATTATTTAAACAAGAAATTCAAAAACAATAATAGTTTGGTTATTAGTGCAGATACTTTAATTGGATTGTTAATTATGGTTGTTGTTCATTCCAAAATTGATAATTTAGAGGCTCATATATACTACATTAAGCATTTCAATTCTACAGACCACAGTAATGATGGGCAATTCAATTATACAATGAGTAACTTGGAAGCTGTTTTGTTTCATTTTTCACAAAAGGAATATGGCTATGTTGACTTGATTGAAAATTCAAAGAAAAACTATGACTTGTGGAATGCCATTAAAAATCAGGATCTTGAATCTGTTCAATCTATTGTCGATTCTGTAACTAAGGAATACCCAGATACAGAATTACCAGAGAACCACTTCCTCAAAAGTAAGAATATAAATGGTGAAAGTTGTCTTCTGTTTGCAATCAAGGCTAAGAATCTTGAAGTGTACAACTTGTTGATCAACCTGAACGCCAGTTGGATATCCATTGACGATATTTTATTTGAAAAAAATGTCACGTCAAACCAAAATTTATTAATGTGTGCCCTTATTGAAGAAAGTAATTACGAAATCATGGATGATTTAGTTGACATAATCTTAGATAATGCTACTCCTGAAGAGCAATATATGTATTTCAATCAAACTGATTTATCAGGAAGAAGTGTTGGCCATTATTTATTTCATAACTATAAGCTTATTGCAAAAATTGGTCATCTAATAGATTGGGAATTGAAGGATAATAATTTCCATACTCCATTATTCAGTCTTTGTCGTTGTTATGATCACGCGGAATACATTGACATAATAGCTGCGGGATTTGATTGTGTTTATCAAAAATATGGTGAAGATGGAATTGATTTTGATAGACATGTTGATAAGTCAGGTAATACATTGTTACATGTTTTACTGAAAGGTATTCCAGAAACAAGAATTTTATCAAACAAACATAACTTGATCAATGTTAATCAATTAAATCTGCGTTGTTTATCTCCGCTAATGTTATATGTCAAATACAACAGATTGGAAAATTTGAAATATTTACTTGAAGATTCAAGGTTGGATTTTTTGGCAGAGGATTTTAAAAACCATTATAATGTATTTGATTATTTAAGTTTTCTGGCATTAAAATCGATTCGAACTGAAAAGTTTCAACAAATGGAAAAGATGATTTTTGAATTTTGTTTACAAAATTATTTCCCTAAACAGAATGATGAAAATGTGGTTGCATTGAATGGAAAATACGATGTTAACAGGAAGGATTGGTTGATATTTTTCAAGAATGGAGATGGGTTCTGCAATTATAAATCAATACATGGGATTCGACAGATTTTATATTTGACAAAATTGAAACATCCATTATCTAGTTTCCCTGAAGAAGATTCGCTATGGAAAAATTTTAGCATCGGAGCTTCTACCACACCGATGTTTTCTAAATTTCGTATAAACAATTTGATTGAGAGCTTTAATAAGTTGTTTCAAAGTTTGGTATACCTGCAAAGTATTGATAGAGGCAAATTTTACAAATCGTTTCTCAGTGAATACTCGAAAGAAGTGCTGATTTTGGAACAAAAGCAGAAAATTTCAGAAAGTATTGAATTGGAGAAACAACAACTAGGAGATGTAACATTTAAGTTGAATCAAATTCAAGAGATTGAATTTTTTTTAGAATATTCGCTGAATGATCTTAAAAAGTATACTACATTGTTCAACAAATTAGCGAAATTGGTGTGCATCGGAGACATTAAACAAGTGGATAACAATAATGTATTAGATATCTTGATTATCAGACTCGATGATAGTACAATTTTCAGTGACGCCTATATTCCACCAGAAGTCAATGACCAAAGGGGTAATTTTGGAGAGTTGAGAGATTATATATATTGGATACAAATGTTTGGTGATGAAGTGTCCAAAAATATTAACAAACTTGTCTTGGATATTAAGTCATGGAAAGAAATATATTATGCCATATGTCATATAAATCTGGAATTGAGACAAATAGAACCGCAACACCAATCCAGCGACTCACCTGCCAATGGACACTTGAATGGGGGTGAATCATATACGTCACGTAGTAATAGCTCATTGTCAATACCCCAAATACCAGAAGAAGAACTCGAGGAGGATCAAGGGTTTTTATCGAATTTTGTTGGTACAAGCAAAAAAACTAAATACAAGAAGCTTATAGTAGATAAATCAGAAGCTGTCAAGAATATAATGAAACTCAACACAGAAATTAAATGGGCTCATGAAATAATTGCATCAGAAATATCCAATTTCTTAAAGTTTAGAACGGAGTTTTTACGGTTCGGTATTAAAAGATATATCAATGAAGAAGTCAAGAATTTAAAACAGCGTAATGTTGAATTGTCAAAAGTTTTATATAACATTAAGCATAGGAAGTAGGAAGAAATCAATAAATTATAAAGCATAATGGGATAATATGTATAGAGCTTGTGATTGTTGTGGTGATTTTTTATTTTTTCGCAGTAATCTCGTAGAAGGTTCTGGATTCTTTTTTGTTTCTTTTTAATCTCTAGCCCACGATTTCTTCGACCCCCAACAATGTTGTACGAGAAGAGGCGACACCGCGGCCACTTGTCATAGACACCCAAATCGAATAAAACCAAAAAAAAAATAAAATAAAATAAAATAGACATTAAAACCGAGCACGTACAGAGAAAAAAAAAGCTAACCAAAAAGAAAAATTTCAATCATACTTTTCAATTAGATAAATTAGGCCACCTGTTTTAAGTCTTTTATCAAAAACCTTTTGTTAGTTTTTCTAATCATGCCATCCACCATTTCAAACAAGGACGTTGCATTGTCCATTATCAACTTCTTAAAAGAAGCAGTTTCCAAAAAACAAGTTGCTGAAGATTATGCTGAATCAATGGATGTTGCCATTGATTGTATTGCTGATGCATTTGAAGTTGATAAAGATGATGATTCTAAAATTGTTAAAGATGTTTTCAATGGTAAATCTTTATCTGAATTACTTCAATCACTTGAAATTTCCAATTCTGCTTCATCTGATGTTTCTACTTCTTCTGAATCTTCAAATGAAGTAAAAGAGGTTGATGCTGAAACTAAAGCTAAAGCTGATGAATTGAAAGTTCAAGGTAACAGAGCAATGGCTTTGAAAGACTACCCAGAAGCTATTGCTAAATATACTGAAGCTATTGGTTTAGATCCAACTAATGTTGTTTATCTTTCAAACAGAGCTGCTGCTCATTCTTCATACCAAAAACATGATAAAGCAGTTGAAGATGCCGAAAAAGCTATTAAATTAAACCCAAATTTTTCAAAGGCTTATTCAAGATTAGGTTTGGCTAAATATGCTTTGGGTGATGCTAAAGGATCAATGGAAGCTTACAAGAAAGGTTTGGAAGTTGAAGGTGATAACAAATCAGATGCTATGAGAAAAGGTTATGAAACAGCTAAAAAGAGAGTTGAAGAAGACTTGGAAAGTTCCATCTCTACTACTGATAGATCAGCTGGTTCAGATTCCACTAGTGCTAATACTGGTGCTGGTGCCGGTGCTGGTGGTTTACCAGATTTGAGTAGCTTCATGGGAGGTGCTGGTGGTATGCCAAACTTATCTGAAATGATGAACAATCCACAAGTTATGCAAGCTGCTCAAGAAATGATGTCTAATCCACAAGCTATGCAAGATTTGTTCAACAATCCTGCTGTTAGACAAATGGCCCAACAATTTGGAATGGGTGGTGATAATATGCCAGATTTGTCAAACATAATGAATAACCCAATGTTTAACCAATTCATGGGTGGTAGAGGCAACCAAGGTGGTAACAGTGGTTCATCTGAATAGAGAGTTTTAAGATATATATATTAATTTAATTTAATTTTATTTGTTGATATCTTGTTGTAGAGAAGTCGATCTTACAATCTAATGGTAATACGTTATGAAATTTATGATTGATTTCTTAATCAAGCAATTATAATAAAAGAAACTTTGTCTTTCGCTGAGAAGTGTATTACCGTCGGAGTTATTATTGTGGGTGATTCATTGTTACTGTAGGTTGTCATTATCATACTTACACTAAGGTAGTAATGTTTAACGCAGAATAATATCTCTTCTTATCACAGTGACGTCAATTTTTCCTCAATAAGACAATTACTAATATCCCTCCATACTACTGTTTATTCCTGGTATGCCACACTCATGGTATGTGTTTTTTTTTTTTTTTTTTTTTTTTTTGACTGTCTCTCTATAATCCAAATTGTGTATTACAGTTTTTTAGATGACAGACAATCTGTCCCCTCTCTCTCTCTATTTTTTTACTCCTACCCTTTAAATAGATGCGAACTGATGGCATCCCCACAGAAAATATTTCAACTCCAGAGAATCACTCCTTTTTCTTCTAATCTTCCCCCACTGCAACCACCAATTCAGATACACACAGATTATGTTTTGCATTCGAAAGCATATAGCTCGGCCAAGATACTTAATATTCAGACGCTTTGTACAACAATCAACAAAAGAGAGTTTACTTACTCCATCTTTTAATGTAGATGATATTCGAGATTTACCTTATAAAGATAGTGTTGATTTATCATGGAAATATTTAGAGCCTTATAAAGCTAAAGTAGATAAGAGTAGAACACCAGTTTTATTTCTTCATGGATTATTTGGATCAATTCTGAGTTTTAACAAAACTGGACGATCATTAAGTGAAGAAACCCATAGTCCTGTTTATGGAGTTGATTTAAGAAATCATGGTAATTCTCCTCATGCTTTACCATTTACTTATTCAATTATGGCTTATGATATTTTTAAATTTATTACTGAAAGAAATTGGAAAAATTGTATCCTTATTGGACATTCCATGGGTGCAAAAGTTGCTGCTATTGTCAGTTTATTGTATCCGGATCTAGTTTCAAAATTGGTTTTAATTGATAATACACCTCATTCTAAACCTTTGGATATTCAGTTTTACAAAGATTTAATAGGGATGTGTGAAGTTGAAGCCAATGCGAGTGAGTTTAAAGATGAGGATGGTCATGGAATTAAAGATTTTGCAGCTGTAGGTAAATTCCTAGCTAAATATGAACCGGATGAAAAGGCTAGACTGTTATTAGTTAGTAATCTTTTAAGATCCAAGAAGGATTTGAAAGGTGGTCTGCATTATGATATAAAGAAAGAAATGTTTAAACTTCCCGTGATGAATTTTTACAAGTATGATGTGTTGGATACAGTTGCTGGATGGCCAAGTTTATCAAATATCAAAAAATTTAAAAAACCAGTGATGGTGATATCTGCCAAAAAGAGTGGTTTTGTATTGCCTGAATATCATGAAGAGTTTTTGAAATATTTTGATGATGTTACATTTAAAGAGATGGATTGTGGACATTGGATTCAAGCAGAAAAAAGAGAAGAATTAGTTGAGACGCTAACTGGATTCATTGGGAAACCAATAAGAACACATACAAGAAAGAAACCAAGATTTCATTAGATTTATAGGTTTAAAGATAAATGTCGATTATATTTGCCCCTGTTTAATATATAAATACACACATACAACTGAAATCTCTTGAAATGCACTCTCATTCGATGATTCAAAAACAAAACAAAACAAAACGAAAAAAAAAAAAAAAAAGTTTTACAAATTGCTTTTGTAGCGCAATGAAGTATAAATAGCACCAAAAGGGACGAGGAAGAAAAAAAAAATAGTAGTTGTGGTGGTAGAAGTACTAGTAACAGAAGCATTTACCATTCCAAACAAAAGTTCATCTATCATCAAAATCTGCATTATCGGTACATTTATTCAATTAACCAATAATAGAGTGATAATCAAAAGTTAAATTAGAATCAGAAGTACAACCCCATCAATCATGTCAGAATATTCAGGATCAAATTCAGAGGATTTATCATTACCCAAAGCAACGGTACAGAAAATAATCAACGAAATATTACCCAAAGATATTGGTATTTCAAAAGAAGCAAGAGAAGCCATAACAGAATGTAGTATTGAATTTATAATGATGCTATCTACACAACTGAATGATATTGCGGAGAAAGAGGCCAAGAAAACCATTGCTTCTGATCATGTTGTAAAAGCATTGGAAGAATTGGATTTTAAAAACTATCTTGATATAATTAATAAAATATTGGATGAACATAAAGAACTATTAAAAGGTAAAGAAAAGAGAAATAACAAGTTCCAAAACTCTGGGTTGACTGAAGAAGAGTTATTGAAACAACAAGAAGAATTGTTTAAGAAATCAAGAGACCGTTTACAAAGTCAATCTGGATCACCTAATAATTAAGTTCATAACACTAGAATCACTGTATCGATTCCAAAATTCAACCCACTGTATTTTTATAGAAATTCATGTATTTAATACTTTGACTAATAAAAAGTATTTCAATAGCAACAGGTTACCACATTCCAAAAAAAAAAAACAATAATTTGTAGATTATTGACCATTTCATCTCTATATGTTATAAAAAAAATGTAACAATATATGTACTTTATTCACTTCATGCTTAAATGTCATCATTTTACAACTGTGCAATCACCATCATCATCATCCCAAGATCAACTCATATATGATAATGAAAAGATTCACCACAATCAAAGGTATTCTCATTAATGTTCTAACAGCACTTATTAAATTGATTAATTTTGTTTTTATTGATCCTTCACCATTTTCCATTCCAGTGTTAAATTGATTAAATTGAGCTTGAATATTTCCATTATTTTGTTGTGATGTTGTTGATCCCCATCCAATTCTATTTAAAAATCGATCTTCACTTAGCACAGCAATCCCATTAATTGTTAATACTATAACATAAAATAATTTACCCAACCCAAACATTGTTCCTATAGTGTTGTAAAAGCTGTTGGTTGTAGACTTTGAAGTAGTCTTAATGTGTTGTTGTTTCTCTCTTTTTCTCTCTCGTTCTCTCATGCAAAAATAAAAATTTTCTAAATCCTTTGCTGAAACCTTTTGCTGTGTTGGGCGCGAATTGTTTTCTTTCCAGTACGGGGTTCACATCACAGCATAGCCATCGATTGGACAAAATGGTTCTTGACCAAATAGCAATTGTGGCATAATATCGAATGGTGCTAAAGAAGTTGAAGTGGTCACCAACAGACAGGAGTGTTTAACGAACATCAAATGGGTTATATTTCAGGTTAGATCAATATTCAAGAGTTATTGAACGAAGTAGAGTAACATTTACATGCTATAATGGAGTTCTATTGCATTTACGAGAGTACTGTACTATTAGAACCGTTCTACTCTTATTTTCATGTTGCAACAGGTTCATCTTATTTGGGAGAAATACGATCGTGGATTTGCTCTTTCACGTCATATAGTGAGATGAATTTATTATCTTTTGATAATTATTATTTTTTTTTCTTGTCCTTTATAGTGATATGTCTATTGTTTAAATCATCGACTGTCATATGAAGTATCTCTTAGCGGCTATGTGTAACCTTGATTGATAATCTATTATTAACCAATAATATCTTCAATCACTTATATGATTGCAAAGATGGTCCTGATAAAAAGATAACTAAAACTTCCCCGGTAATAGAAAAAAAAAAACTCTAATTTCTGCACTGCTAAATTATACAAAGGTCACCTATACAGTCTAACGGTTGAGTTCATTATCACAAGCAATTGACATGGTTCATTGTTGTAGATTATTGCTGTAATAAGGGCTAAAATAACCCGCTAGTAGTAATTGATATCTATCTGTTACATATCTCTCGAGTTACTTGAGATAGGTTATTCAATTATGAGCAACCACTAAATTGATTCGTTATTCCAATCGTTATCAAAATCCTACCCTATCTAGTGTTCAAAATAATTCATCTCAACACTCCTGCATCGAGTTTCCTTTTTCATCTAGCCCCGTTTCTAAACAATAGAAGTTGGAAGATACAATTATACCGCAATTATAAAAATCAACATAGAATCCGTTAATTATTAAAATTTAGAATAAAAAAAAAATGTGGTTTTGTGGCATGTTCTTATCTGAAAAAATTAATTTTTGCAAACAAAGCCTGTCCGGCTCTCTGGAGAGATATGAAAAAAAAAACGCATCCATAGTTAACAATTAATTTGGATTTGTATAAAAAGGGATCCACAACCATGCTTTAACTATAATGTTATTTATTTCTTGTAAAACAACAAGAATCATCAACAGCCCACGATGAATTCAATCAAATCCAGAACAGAGGAGCACCTCCATAAATTGACTACCATTAGATCCCCCTTGAGAGAAATTGATCCACAGCACAATGCCGGTGATGCGGATTTATTAGCTCAAATTGGTTATAAACAAGAGTTAAGACGTCATTACAGTACGTTACAGGTTTTCGGTATTGCTTTTTCAATCATGGGTTTATTACCAAGTATTGCGTCAACTTTATCAGTCGGTTTAGAAAGTGGTCCAGCTGGATTGGTTTGGGGCTGGTTCTTGTCATCTATTTTTATTCTTTGTATTGGTATAAGTATGGCTTTTCTCGGTAGTGCCATTCCAACTTCAGGTGGTTTGTATTATTATACAAACTATTATTGTCCAGATGCATTCAGAGTTCCTTTGAGTTTCATGATTGGTTGTTCTAACTCATTAGGATTGATTGGTGGTTTGTGTAGTATCAGTTATGGGTTTGCTGTGCAGGTTTTATCTGCCGTGTATATCCAACAAGATGGTGGATTTGAAATTACCAATGCAAAATGTTATGGTATCTTTGTTGGTTGTGTTGTCACAAATGCCATTATTTGTTGTTTGGCTACCAAACAAGCTGCACTTTTACAAACAGTCTCCATTATTGTTAATGTCTTTTTAGTTTTGTTGTTCCTTATTGCTGTTCCAGCCGGTAAAGCCCATGATTTTAATTCCGCTAGTTTTATCTTTACCAATTTTGAAAACTCCAGAGATTATGGTACTGTTTGGTCATTTGCCTTATCTTGGATGCCGGCCATTTGGACAATTGGTGCTTTTGATTCTACAATTCATTGTAGTGAAGAAGCCAAAAACGCACAAAGAGCTATTCCATTTGGTATTATTGGATCCATTACTGCATGTTGGCTGTTGGGTTGGTTTATCGTTATTGTTTGTGCTGCATGTATCAAAGATGGAGATGTTGGTAGAGTACTTGAATCAGAAACTGGTTCTGCTATGGCGCAAATCATTCTTGATGCATTAGGTAAGAAATGGGCTGTCGCTTTCATGTCACTTATTGCATTTGGTCAATACTTGATGTCCGTCTCAATTATGATCGCTTTATCTAGACAAGTTTGGTCATTTGCTAGAGATGATGGTTTACCAGTTGTTTACAACTTTGTCAAGTATGTTAATCCAAGAATTCAAGTTCCAATTAGAGCTACCATGTTTGCCGCTGCCTTAGGTATTGTGTTGGGTTTGTTGGTATTGATTAATGGATCTGCGGGATCAGGTGCACTTTTCAGTTTGGCAGTTGCAAGTAATACTTTATCTTGGGGTCTTCCAGTGTTATTAGTTCTTTTACCATACGGAAGAAAGAGATTTATTCCTGGTCCATTTTATTTTGGAAAGTATATCAGTACTTTGATTAATATTGTTAGTGTTGGTTGGACTGGATATGTTATTGTCTTGTGTATGTTCCCAGATAGTTTACATGTTGACAAAGATACCATGAACTATACCGTGGTCATCAATGTTGGAGTTTGGTTGTTATCTTTAACATACTATTTTGTGTGGGGATATAGATCTTACTCTGGACCTAAATCCAATCTTGATGCAGAATACTTGGAAGCTACTTCAATTCCAAATGTTGATGAAGTCTTGGGTGAAAAGCGAGACCTGGAATAATTTGTTTTTCGTTTTTGTTAGCGCTGATTTTTATACATTTATATATATATTACAACATGTATAGAAAATAATTATAAGTATTCGTACAAAGCATATATACTGCGGTTAATTTAAGAGGATTTGCAACTCATAGAAACTTTTTGAGCAACTAGATTATCTAAGCGATGTTAATTTCCCAAAACGGAAGAAACAGATATCTGTATCGTCATATCAATCTGCAACACAATTTTTTTTTTTTTTTTTTTTGATAAGCAACTGTATTCTGGGTTCAGAAACAATACGCGGTAATGGCTTCAGTAGTAATATTAATTTCTAGCTGATAGCATAGAACTTCCAGTTGATATCACTCTATTGATAAATGTTGATCCGGATGGTTTCACCGGATATTTTATGCTTTCTCTTCCAAATAAACTACGTACCCAACAGATGTTGGCCTAGTTCGAAGTCGAAAGGCGGGGAACTTCATCATACATCAGTGTTTACGTATTTTAAACTCTGGTATGATACCTTTAAGCTCACATTCATATTGATGTTTCCCAAGAGTCCAGAAAGTGAAGAACAGTAGACGTATTATTTATTTACAATCCACTAGCCTTGCGCTAATGCGAGAGATAGTTCCCTGTCGATTGTTTGTTTGCTTTTGTGGGGGAAAATCGAATGAGGCTTTCACATGATTATTCGGAAAAACCGTGAACAAAATCAAAAAGAAAAATAATAAAAGCGGAAAGATTTTCTCAATTATAAACTTAACCCAAACTCAACTAACTCTTATTATCCGCGCAGGATTCCTCTAAATTTCTAATTTGAACTATGCATGGAGTTACCAAATTCTGATGGTTAAGTTTTATTATTTGTGCTTACGTAATTAATATGTGATGAAGCTCGGCTAGAGCTCACGATAACCATCTCCTTCGATTACAACTTTCCAAAGCATCTCCACAAAAAATAAACAAAAGTAAGTAAGTTTCAAGTAGAGGATGAATCCCCAAAATAAATTAAAGGGGGAAAATGATAAGAACAGAACTTAAATATTCCTTATGGATGAACAATAGAACCACATGTTGAATTTCATAACCTATGATTCATTAGACTGGATACACAAATTAAAAGAAGAAGAAAAAAAAATTCAGTTGCTAGATATCTCATTGTTTGTTGAACAAGGTAAGAAAAAGAATATAAAATAGACATATCCCTCTTTAGCTTTCATAACTCTCATGGGTTTGAACATCATCGTTTCCAGAACTCCATATTCAAAGAGAATGAATCCTATTTTATCCAGAGCAGAGGATCATATGCATCATTTGTCTGAAATCAGATCTGCAACCAGGGATATAGATCCACAACACAATGCTGGTGATGTTGATTTGTTAGCTCAGATTGGTTATAAACAAGAACTAAGACGTCATTATAGTACAATACAAGTATTTGGTATTGCTTTTTCAATCATGGGTTTATTGCCAAGTATTGCATCAACATTACCTACTGGTTTGGAATGTGGACCTGCAGGCTTAGTCTGGGGTTGGTTCTTAGCTTCTATTTTTATTCTTTGCCTTGGTTTCAGTATGTCTTTCCTTGGTAGTGCTATTCCAACCTCTGGTGGGTTATATTACTACACCAACTACTATTGTCCAAATGCTATTAGAGTTCCATTAAGTTTTTTAATTGGTTGTTCTAATTCCTTAGGGTTGATTGGTGCTTTGTGCAGTATAAGTTATGGATTTGCGGTTCAAGTTTTATCAGTTGTTTACATTCAACAAGATGGTGGATTTGAAATTACCAATGCAAAATGTTATGGTATCTTTGTTGCTTGTGTTGTTACCTGTTGTATAATTTGTTGTCTAGCTACAAAGCATGCAGCTTTGTTGCAAACAATGTCCATTATTGTTAATATCTTCTTGATTTTGTTATTTGTCATTGCTGTACCAGCCGGTAAAGCCCATGACTTCAATTCCCGTGGCTTTATTTTTGGAAAATTTGAAAATTTTAGAGATTATGGTACTGTTTGGTCATTTGCATTGAGTTGGCAACCTGCAATTTGGACTATTGGTGCATTTGACTCTACTATTCACTGTAGTGAGGAGGCCAAAAACGCACAAAGAGCTATTCCTGTTGGTATCATTGGGTCGATTTCAACATGTTGGCTTATTGGATGGATTCTTTGTATCGTCTGTTGTGCATGTATTAAGGATGGTGATGTTGAGAGAGTCCTAAATTCTGAAACAGGTTCTGCCATGGCTCAGATAATCTATGATGCGTTGGGGAAGAGATGGGCTGTTGCTTTCATGTCACTTATTGCCTTTGGTCAATACTTAATGGCGATTTCCCTACTGATTGCTTTATCTAGACAAGTTTGGTCATTTGCTAGAGATGATGGTTTACCTGTTGTATACAAGTGGGTGAAATACATTGACCCAAAGATTAAAGTTCCTGTTCGTGCTACTATCTTTGTTGGTGTGTTTGCTGTCATTTTGGGATTATTGGTACTTATTCATGGAGCTGCTGGTTCTAATGCCCTTTTCAGTTTGGCCATCGGTTGTAATGCTATCTCTTGGGGTATGCCTATTCTTCTTGTTCTTTTACCTTACGGTCGTAAGAAGTTCATCCCTGGTCCCTTCCATTTTGGTAAGTATCTTTCGACATTTATTAACCTTGTTAGTGCTGGTTGGGCTGGGTATGTGATTACATTATGTATGTTCCCAGATTCATTACATGTTGATGAAGAGACTATGAATTATACTGTTGTGATCAATGTCGGGGTTTGGCTATTATCTTTGGTGTACTTCTTTACCTGGGGATATAAGTTTTACAGTGGACCCAAGTCCAATATTGATTCTGAGTATTTGGAATCGGTTTCAGTATCAGCATCAAGCCAAAAAATGGATGAAGTCTTAGCTGGTAAGAGCGATAAGGTTTGAAGTTATGATATGTACGTTTGTGATTGTTTTATTTATTTATTCTTTTATCTTTGCAATATATATATTCTAGAGTTTTCAATATTAGAAGTCTTTGCTCTTCCACACCTGTCTTAATTTTACAATCCACAAAGTAGGAAATTCTGTGATGCTTTGTGTGAATCGCGTGCCAAAAATTTTTTTCCAAAAATCAACAAAACAAAAACAACCTAGATCAAAACAAGGGACATTCTCATCAACAAAAATAACAACAACCAAAAACAACAATCATCTTTATCCCGACAGAGTGTACCTCTTATTTCCTTCTTTTCCCATAAAACAAAAAAAAAAAAAGAACAACACTATAATACAACAAGAACCTTTTCTACAATGGATAAAGACGTTATTGTGAAAGGGAGACGAAAAGATTCAATAGAACAATTCATTGGAAGTCCTCAATTATTATTAGAACATGGTTTATCACAACTTCGATATATGATATTAGTTGAAGGGTTATCTATTCCAGAAGGATATGATCAATGTCCTTATCGTACATATGTATGGTGTATTTTATCTCGAGTACCACCATTTTCAACAGAGAATTATCTACAATTGTTAGCAAAATCACAAGAAATGTTACCTGAATCACTTTCCACAAAAATTAAAAATGACACATTTCGTACTTTAATGAATGATAAAAAATTCCATCTGAAAGTTGATGAAGAATCTTTAATTCGAATACTTTCGTGTATTGGAATAACTACAAAAGTTGGATATGTTCAAGGGTTAAATGTTTTATTAGCTCCTATTGCTTACGTATGTTATAAAAGTGAACCACAAGCATTTGCAATTCTTCGAAATTTAATAACAACTCATATCCCCCTATATATTACTCCAAATATGGAAGGTGTACACACTGGTTTACATTTAGTTGATACTGTTTTGAAAATCATTGACCCTATATTAAGTGATTATCTTGATTCTAAATTTTTGAAAGCAGAAATTTATGCATTACCTTCTATATTGACATTATGTGCTTGTACTCCACCATTAAAGTCTGTTCTTAAATTATGGGATTTTTTATTTGCATATGGTCCTCATATGAATGTCTTATTTGTTGTTGCTCAATTGATAATCAATAGATCTACAATCTTAGAAAGTGATCAACCAATGAAGATTTTACGTACTTGGCCAAATTTAGAAGAAAGTGAAATTATCAAATTAAGCTTGAGTTTTATTCCTGAATTACCTAAAACTTTATATGATTTAATTGCAAGACATGGCTATGATAAACGAGTCCCTGGTGAATTAGCTAGATTCCTTGCCACTAATAAGATGTGATCATCACATATAGAGAATCAAAACTATATCTTCCTTGCAGTAAATATTATACAACGATACCCCCTCTTCTTATTTCTTACCTTTTCATTCTTGTGTTATTGACTTTATCTACATAATACAATACAATACAATAAAATTTTAATACTCTAAAGCAATTCCAAAAGATAATCATCGTAATCAAAGAAAGTTGCCAAAACTGTACGATCATTGTAGGTTCTTCCAGACAACTCCATCATCGCAGTTAAAGCAGTTTTTTCATCTTTGTACTCAATAAATACACTGCCCATACCTGGTGATCTATTCAACTTCAAAATTCCTGGAGTACGGCCACGAATTGGTCTTGGAATGACAACTTGTTCGACAACACCATATTTTGATGCTTCTCTGTAAATATCATTCTTTGTGAACTTATAGGTCTCAACATCCAGTAATTCTCTTTCGGTAACTGCATTTAAAAGTCTTATTACCTTCAGCGGAGCATGAGCTGTAGCACCTTCGTTTTTAACCAATTTCTTAATATTATGAAAATCTGATGGTATTGTCTGCACATTCTCTCTGTGAGGTAAAACACATGAATGGAACGCACGTTCAATAAATGGCAATTCCTTCAATTTATTTATCACATCATCTGGAGTGTTCTTAAATTCAACAAAAGCCAACCCACTGAGATCTCTTGAAGCTCTTTCTCGAAGACATTGAAAAGCTTTCATTGGGCCAATGTGTCTACTTAATTCTTCTTGTATTTGTTCAGGACTTTGAGACTTGTTTACAAATAAAGAAATCTTTCTTGGGCTGTCTTTGACTACACTTTCAACAGTATCGGCATTTGACTCTGAAGGTATGTCTTGAACAATGTACTCATTTGGTCGTGAAATTATCAATTTGAATTTATCATGTAGTCCCTTTGCCGGTGCTTTATCTTCCTTATGGGAATTGAAAAATACACCATAATCATTTAGTGAATAGATTATGGTGGCACATTCTGCTGTTTTAAACAAAATAGACATGAAATTAATATCTCTGATCTTCTTCTGCAGAATAACATAATTATCAGAACCATCATCAAAATCAACTGTTTTCAAATAATTGTTGCAAAAGTTGGCAAGCTTCAAGTAACTGATTTCATTAAAATCATTCTTGAAGATTAAGGTTCTTGCAGCTACTGAATCAATTGGATCGATCTTTGAAACTTCAGTTAATAATTCATCAGAATTGTTTATTCTATCTTTAAGTTCCCCTTCTAGCTTGGTAAGGTCTACGGGACGTGGATAACCAGGCAATGGGAACAAACCTGATAACTTAGCACGAGCAGCTGATAAAGTTTCAAATCCAGGAGGAGTTCTGTTCCACTTTGAATCAAGAATTTTGACTTCTTCAATGGTCTCAACATTGTCATATAATTTTAATACTTCCTCCAAATGTTTTATATCTTCTACGATTTCCTGCATCAGCATTTCTTCTGGATGATGAGTAGAAAGAACTTTATGCAACTTTGATTCGGCTTCAAAATTTGGACCTTGTTTTGACATATAATTTGGTTGCAGCGGCACATTTGCTCGTCTTTGTGGAGTATTGTAACTTGATCCACCGACTGGTGTTGCATCATAACCATTTTCATAACCTCTAGATCTATCTAACGACGATTGGTTTGGATTAAATCTTTGTTGTTTAGAAAAATGAGAATCTCCACCATCGTTTGGTCGTTTCATTCCTCTTCCTGGAGCTCCTCCACCTCTACCTCCTCTACCTCCTCTGCCACTAGAAAAACCTCCTCTTCCGCCTCTGCTTGAAGGACCACCACCTCTTCCTCCACGGCCACCTGGACCACTTCCTCCCCTTCCACGTGAACCAGGACCAGAACCGCCTCTTCCACTGCTTCTAAAACCATTACTGTTGCTGTTGGGATCATATGGAGCATTGGAACCACCTCTTGCAACACCTGGATCATAATGATCAGATCTGCTACTTTCTCTTGGGTCTCCTCTAGGGGCTACTCTTTCTCTTCCTCTATCTCTATAGTCTTGTGGACTGTTATATCCACCTTGTGGTGGTCCTCTCATACTTTCACCACCACGACCCCCACGAGATTCATAAGAGTTTGATGGGCCCCTGGATTGGCGGTTGTCATTTCTTCTGTCGTAACTTGATGGACCACTTCGACTTTGGTATTGCTGAGATGATGGTGTCCTGTTAGTATCATCATGTCTGCTGGAATAGCTACTGGAGTACCTATGTGGATCTGATGACATACTTGATGAATCTAACAATGTATCGCCAATAGAACAAGGAAAATAAAATGAATTGATTTGAGAATACTAGGTTTTGATAGGTCTCTAGCTGTTACAACTTGGTTGACCGTCATCTTTATTTTGTCTTCTTTTTTTTTTCAGTTGTTTTGTTTGAGCATTCTCGTTCATCCAACACTGTCGTGTCCTTGAAAAAAAAGATCTCACCAATATGCCAGAACTATAGAGATGAATTGAATGATATACAACTTCTAAGAATGAAATATTTATAACTATTAAAAATAAAATTACATACTGTGCTATACTATGACTCTTTAATGATGACCACGAGTAGTGGTTTCAGAGTTTTTTTTTTTTTGTTTGGTTCAATTTAATGTTGATGTTGAGTATTTTATAATTCATCGTGTTCTATTTCTTCACTGTCTTCTTCATTACCATCGGTACTTTCCCCCTCTTCTTCTTCAATAGGTTCAGATTCTGAACTTTCTTCGATGGTTTCTGTAGTAGATGAGCTTTCAATTGGAACTTCGTTGACAACTTCTTCGTCGTCTTCTTCAAAAATTTCAACTTCTTCTTCTTCTTCTTCTTCCTTAGCTTCTTCCTTCGCAGCTTTTTGAGCTTCTCTTAACTTCTTTCTAAACTCTTGTTGCTTCTTTCTTTCCAATAATTTCTTGTACTGACTTTCAAACATTTCTATTCTTTCTAAATGTACAGTTTCAATGGAAATAATATCACCAAGCATGTCAGAAACACCTTCTGCTAATTTTTCGTGATAGGAATATAAATCGCTTCTGGTCAATTTGGCAAATTCTTTGGCATCATACTCTAAAATTTTACCCATAGCAGTAATCACGTCCTTATACTGTTTCAAGTTTTTGTCAAAAGACAACATTTTGTCATCACCTCTACCGATTAATTTTTGCTTGATTCTTTCGTTTTCTTTTTCGAAATCTAAGCCAGCTTCTGCATATTTGGTACGCATTTCTGAAATTTTAGTACCAAATTGCAACATACTGGTTTGAATAGACATAATCAATTTAGAACTATCTTCATATAATTTTCTCATACCTTCTTGAGTCAAATCAGCCGAAGCTACTTCAGTAATTCTCTTCAACTCTAATTCCTTGGCATCAACTTCGCTTATCTTTGATTGCAATACTTCAATACCTGCATCATCACTTTCAAAATCAAGCCATTCAATTAATTCACTGATATATTCGTTGATAACATCGATATCCTTACTGGTAATTTCCTTTAACAATGTTGATTCGTTTTCTTCAACAAAATCACGCAACTTATAACAGCTGGCTTCTAACTTATTTCTAATTTCATCAATAGCGACTTTAAGCTCATCTTCAGCATTCAAATATGCCAATTTGTCAAACAAGGTCTTTTTTGCAATTCTTCCAATTGGCTTAATATGTGGGTATGTGGCCTTTGGAATTGGAACAAATACCGTCTTTGGTGATTTAGACTTCTTGGAAGCTTTTGAACTTGATTCGGTTGAGTTTGTTTTCTTTTTATCCTCATTTGTTTCTTTATTGTCATCAGAACCTTCGCCGGCTTCAACTTCTTCGGATTCTTCATCAATAATAACTTCTTCTTCAGATTCTTCTTTATCTTTATTCAATAATTTCTTGAAGAATGATTTTTCTTCGGATCCTTCACTGCATGCCAATTCAATACCTAAAAGTTCAAACATTTTGTTATCATCCAATCCAAATTTAGCAATGACTTCTTTATCTTGTTTTGATTTACATGATAATTTTTTGGCTCTTGTGGAAATATCATCAAAAGTGAATGATTTGAATAATTGACCATCTTCGTATAAGGAAATAGTCAAACCATCATTTTCCAATTTTCCCAAGTTTACTTTAGTGGTGTTTCCGACAGAAGAATGTTTTGCGAATACAACAATTTGTTCTTCATTATCATTAACACCAATTTCAAAATTGTGATGGTTCTTCTCAATTAAAGCAATGTCCTTGCTGTTAACTGAGTTGGTTTTCCACTTCAATCCTCTTAATGTGGTACCCAAAGCAGCACTTTCGTCAGTATTAACCGACTTGGAAATCTTGTTTTCGCCAACTAAAGAAGAAATGTGTTTTTGAACAAATGGAACTCTTGTAGATCCACCATTTAAGACAACTGATTCGATATCATCAACTGTTAAACCGGCTTCCTTCAAGGCTTTCAAAATTGGCTTACTGATGTGGTCCATCAAATCTGCATTTACATCTTCAAATTCTTGTCGTGTTACCTGAACCTTAAAATCTTTATCGTTATAGATGGATTCCAAGGTAGTTTTGAATTCATTATTGACAGATAAAATAATCTTGGCTTTTTCTGCAATATCTTTCAATCTTGCACCAATTTTATCAGTAACTTCAGATTCTTCCAAACCAAAATGATTCAAGAATTTTTCTAAAACTAAAGAATAAATAGAATTTGTTAATGTTCTACCACCAAAGTTTTCATCAGCTCCAATACTTTCTATTTCCAAAATCAGTTGACCAACACTTCTTGGAGTGAAAGAAAATAATGTAGCAGTGGTATATCCTGCACCAGCATCATAAATCAAATAATAATGCTTATTATTATCATAATCGTTTTTGTCAAGTTTCTTGTTGCTGATATAGTTCAAGGCAACAGATGTACCTTCTTCAACTAAACCTAAAACGTTGGAGAAATTGGCTAATTTCAAGGCATCTAAATAAGCGTGTCTTGTAGCTTGAGATGCAAATGGTGGGATGTTAATGGCAACATCTTCAACTAAAACAGCCGCACGAGGATTTTCTTCCAAGTGACTCAATGCACGGTTTTTGATATTATTCAATTGCATTGCCAAAATTTCTTCGACAGTAAATTCCAAGGTAGAATTGTCAAATCCTAAATCAAACTTGATACCATTTCGACTTTCATCAGGGATTAATTTGACATAATGTTCATTTAAGAATTGGACAACAGAAGGATCATCGATACTTTTACCCAACAATTGTTTCAAATCTAAGATACAAGTACTTGGAAATCTAGTAGTTAATGAACTCATCTGAGAACCATAGATTCTTGTCAAGTCATTCTTGCTTTGTTTTCTAAGACATATACCCGATAAATCTTTTCTTTTCCCTTCATCAGTCAAAACAATCTCGAATGGGACTCCAGGTGCCAATAAAACTGCCTTGGTAAGTTGTTGCCCATAATCAATACCTAAAATTGCTGCGGACACCGTAGCTATAACAAAAGATACAAATAGGAGGAACTTCATACTTGTTTCTGAACTATAGGTAATAAAATGATGACTCAAGTTTAGATATGTATGTCTAGTGATCTAATTGACTAGTTTTGTTGTTGATGTGTACTGAGACACGTTTAAAGAAAAGAACAACTCAATTGAAAAATAATTGAACCGCTCCATGGAACTTGATCGAACGAAAAAAAAAAATTGTACGGAAGGCAAATATGCAGGTCAGTGAAAAAAAAATGTCTGTATTGCCTAATTAGGTAAAAAAATTTAAAGTTGCAAAATGGAAAATAAAAAAAGGAACAATAATTTGAAAGCAACAAAAAAAAGATAAACCCTGGTAATCAAAAACCTTGTAAACTAAATGCAAACAATACATGAGATTGGGGGGTTCAATGTGAGGGCTTATAGAAGTTTTACGAGGTAACGATTGTATTTTAAGAGAAAAACCTATTTTGCGTGAGAAATTGAATTTTAAAATGTATTCATAGTATCGGCATATCATACCATCGATCTTATATACACTATCAACTTTTGCTACTACAAAGGAAGAAAAAAAAACTGAACATATAAAATTTTCAATACGCAGGTTATGTAAGGGAATTATTGTTATGATTACACTATAATAGATGTTTGTTATTCTGTACCTTTTGATGTGTCGATATAAATTTCAACCATTATCTTTATCAAACTGAAAAAGAAAACGAAAGTGGAAAAAAACCTTCAACTTCATTCTTCCTTATTTTCTCTTGATTAAATAAAAACGATAAATATCAATTCGTATTAATAGTACCAATACCTGAATATTCAACGTTTTTATAAGCAATTTCAAGTATGTCTGATAACAAATCCAAGAAAGCTTCTAAAGAGGCAATTAATACCAATGGTGATTCTCCAAAACCTGATGATGACAGTGAACATACAACTATGTCCAAAACTAATGGTAATGGGAATAGTAATAATGGAAACAATTTATTACCTCATGGAAAGAAAAACGGATCATCTGGTGAATTGTCAAATTCTTCGAAGAAAAATGCAAAAACTGAAGAAAATTCATCTTCAACCACCACCACGACAAATACAATTACAAATACATCAGCTAAAAAGGCCCTTACTGACTTGGCAAAAAAGAATATGGATAAAAAGAGACCAAATGAATCATCTGCTTCATCAATTAGTAAATCTGATGTTTCTAAAAAATCAGATGAATCGGCTAACTTGAAGTCAAAAGTGGTAAAGAGACCAAAATATCATGTTAAGAAGAATGACAAATTGAAACTGCAAGAGGATTTTAAATCTGGATCAGCTGGAATCAAAGATAAGGAGGATTCTGGTAGAAGTGTTCCTGTCGAAGGAACTTCAAAGTCTCATGTTTCTCCCGGTTTTAATGAACGATCTCCCATTAATGGTGGGAAAGAAACGCCATCTGAACTGGGAACACCAACCAATGAAAATAAAGAAGATGGAAATGCTACACCTATAGACCAGAACAATGACACTAAAGGTGAACTTGCTGATGGGCTTAGTATTCAAGGTACCGAAACATCCAACACCTCATCGTCGTTCCAACCTGCACCAACTCTTGTTGAGAATCCTAAACCAGTGAAGAAGACATGGTCTAGTTTTTGGAAATCTTGGTCAACATGTTTGACTTCGAAACTCGGTGGTGATGTTCCTTCTCAACTTGGTGATACTGATCAGAACTCGAGTGAAAATTCAGTTAGCAAATCACTTGATATACCAGATATTCCAACACAATACCGTCCTAAAGAGATCAACGGGTTTGGTATGTTTTCCAAATCACAGAGTTTACCAATAGAAACAAAAAAGAACTATCAGAAGTTATTGTCAACCTCACTTGAATTGATTTTGGAATTTTGTAGATATTTGGAAATTCTAAATGAACGATCTGGAAAACAAGATATTCAAGATGCATTTCTGATTCAATTTGGAAGATTTCATTCTGGGTTACCGTTTACTGAAACGGAAGGTAACGAAGCATTAAATGAAGAGGAATTGGTACAGCTAAGCAATTTATTCAATGATATCTATCATAATAACAATACCATTTGGATTGCCAACAAATTTGAGTATACTTCGTTCAGTAGAAAATTTAGAAAAGCTATTGCAGAGACATTGGAATCAGATTATCAAATTAAAATAAGTCGTAAGAAAACTTTATTTCCACGACAAGTTATATGTGCTAGCTTAATTCAATGGAGAAGAAACATTCCTTTCTCGTGAGACGGTTCTATTCAAAAAAAAAAGATCGATATTCTTGTTTTGTTTTCAATTCTTCATGTCTTCTTCTTTTCTTGTTTTCATATCACTTTTACTTTATAAAGAAAAAATCCATAAAAACCAAAAAAAATACGACTCTTCAATAAAATTTTTTATAAAAAAAAAGTTATTGTTTTATAGTTCTTTAATATAAAGAAGTATTCTTGTGTTTTGTACTTGATGCAAGTGAAATAATCGAAGTGGTAAATCAAATTATATCACGATTCTATTGATGTCTCGGAGATGAAACAAAGCCTATCGGGATCTCCGATGGAACAGAATCTGAGACAATACTTTACCTCACTCATCTTAACTACCACCTGGGGGCACAATAACCTTATCTTGAAAATAATAATTAGCCAACCATAAGTTTCTACATCTGACCATAATTCCCTTTGAAAGATATATTTACAAGAAATGTGGAACAAACTATGCTGGTTGAACACATCCCACATCTCATTAGTTCAAGTCAACCGTGTTCTTTCTAGGCCACAAAGTAAAATGCTAAGGCAAAAGAACAAAAAAAAATTGTAGAAAATGCCTTGACATCATCGAATGTCTTATTCTAGCTTCTCAACCAAAAAAAAAAAAAATTGAGCTCTCAGGTATCTCATCGTTTCATCTCTTCTTCTTCTTCTTCTTGAGGTATTGAGTCGGCTTTAAAACCTAACCTCCACAACTTATAATTTAATATAAATTATCATTGCATCATGTCTGAAGTTGAAAAAATGTACATTTCGTACAACAACATCCATCAATTATGTCAAGAAATTGCTCCAAAAATCAAAGACTTTAAACCAGATTTAATCATTGCTATTGGTGGTGGTGGTTTTATTCCTGCTAGAATGTTAAGAACTTTCTTAAAAGAACCAGGTCAACCAAATGTTAGAATCATGGCTATTATCTTGTCCCTTTATGAAGAAGTCGAAAATGCTGATGGTATTGAAAAACCAGGTACTCAAGTTGTTCGTACTCAATGGATTGATTATCACCAATCTAAAATTGACTTGGTTGGTAAAAACGTTTTAATTATTGATGAAGTTGATGACACTAGAACTACTTTGCACTATGCTGTAAGTGAATTGAAAAAAGATGTTGCTGAACAAGCTAAAGCAAAAGGTGCTGATCCAAAAGACACCAAATTTGGTATTTTCGTTTTACACGATAAACAAAAGCAAAAGAAAGCTGATTTACCTGATGAAATCATGAAGACTGGTAACTATTTTGCTGCTCGTACTGTTCCAGACTCCTGGATTGCTTACCCATGGGAATCTACCGATATTGTCTACCACCAAAAGATGGCTGAAAAACAAGGTAATGATGTTTTCCTTCCTTCAACCACTCAAGAATAGATGTTCACAGTTACGTATATCAAGAAACCAAAATAACCTTCTTACAAAAAAAAAAAAAAAAAAGAATGAAAACTATTTATTGTATAAGCATAATAATAGACACAAATATACACATAGTAGATACAAACATTTCCATCTCATCAATCAATTTCTATGACGTCTGGACTTCTTGAATGATTCTTTAGTGAAGGATAATTTGTGCTCTTATCTTTACGCTTCTTGCTTTGTCTCAAAGACTGGCCAGACCCAGAAAATGCTTCCTGTTTCTTCTTAAACTCGTCATTAGCTCCTTCTTCCAGTTCTTCTGGTGTAGGCAACACCACAGGGAATCCAAAAAATAATTGGTTCTCTGGTAAATTCAATGGAACAGGAGGTGCATTAGGGTCTAAATCATCAATATTATATGATTTGTTGGTTTCCTCATCTTTTTTTGTCTCCACAGTCTTCCCGGACAATTTTTGACCACTACCTGTAAACTTCTCCACTTTACCTGAATCAGCAACTAATTTAGCATAATTAATAGATTTAGCCATTGTTGCTGCACCTGCGCCTCTACTGACTTTTGAAGGGTCTATTGGTGTTGTCTCTGGCTTAATTGCTTTTGGTTTATATTCCGGTTCAACATATCCTACCGGAGGAGCAAAGTCTGTTTCTAAGTCTGTCTCAACCACACAAATACCTTGTGAAGTGTTATCTGGTTTAACTTCCAAAACTTTGATACCATATATAGTGTCATTATAATTAACTTCAATTATATCATTTACTGTTAATGTGGAGAATTTTCTCAACACATTTTCCAAAACGGCTTTTGGATCACTTATATCCAAGAAATCAACACTTTGTGGTTCAATCTTAACAAACTTCCCCAAGCTCAAATCACAATTAGTTATTTTAATTAAAGATCCAGGTGATAATTGTAATGTACTCATCATCCATTGGGGTAAATAGGTTCTTCCTTCTTCAGCAATGAATTCTAAAACACCAGAATGGGTCAATTTATCATTTTGTTCATTCTTTAATTCAAATAACATAGGGTATCTTATATGTAACATGGTCAATTTGTTTAATGCTGATGGTGGTAAGAATATTTTGCCTCCATAATTGGCATCATCCTTTCTTATTAATTCTGGCATCATTGAAACCGGATAACATCGAAAATACTCTTCAAATTTATTATTCATTGGCGGTGGGGATCCGAACCCAAATGATGAACCAAAACTAGAAAACATTGTTAATTTGAATGTAAACGGTATGTAATTGTAAACAATGTATAGAAACAGGTATAGTTATGTTGATTAGTACTTTAGCTATTCTTTTTTTTCTTCTCTTTTCTTTTCTTTTTTGCCGTTGGGATTTTAAAGGTACCGCGCGTTATACAAGAACGAAGAAAATATACAGAAATCTAATGCCTACTCTATCACTCCTATAATATTGAATAATACACAAATAAAAGAAAATGAATTAAGGGGATAAAAAGAAAAATTCTATACAAAATTAAACATGAATCTATATATTGTAAAAAAAAATGCCATGATTTTCTGTTTAAAGTGAACTATTGAGTCCATTTTGCGACTATATGGAATGACCATGAAAATTATCTAGTGTTTTGGGTAACCTTAACCAACTCTTCGATCATCTCCTTCCTACTATCATCAAGACCTCCAAAGAGGAGTTCATTCTTATTTTGTTGTTGTTGAATGGCCAAAAAGTTTTGAACAAAGAAGTCAAATGCGTTGAGCTTATCAATTGGTGTTTCTTTCATTGCTTCCAATTCCGCTTCATCGATTTCAAAATCGTCATCAAGTTCGGCAAATTCGTCATCATTGTCTTCATCAGCACCATCTGTGGTATCCTTTTGTTGCATTTTTTGACTTGTTTCATTAGCAATAATGGAATTCTTGGCCTTGATAGCGTTTGGCAAGGTAGCAATATTGCCCAACAACAAGTCGACCGTTTCACCAACTAAATCTTCTGGAATGAGACCAACAGCATTGTTATTGTTAATGATAGACATACTTGCAAGTATTTGTAATTTACAACCGTAAACACTTTGGAAGTCAGAGCTATGTTTAACCCACAATTTATAAAATTCGATCAAAAAGCCTTTTGATAAAATAAACTGAATGGTTGATACTGGGTCAATATACAAACAGGCAAATAAAATCTTTAAAATAGACAAGTGATGTAACATGTGCCCATCAAATGCATCTTGGCTTTCCAATCTAGAAAAGATGTCAAAGATTTCTGGTAGAAAGTTTGGTAAAAAGTTGACAAATCTTTGATTCAAGGCTAGAATAGTCAATTCCAAATCTTCAAAAGCCAGGTGGGCGAACACTGGATCAGTATCATCATCCTTCAAAATGTTAAAACAGACTTGAATCAAGGATTGAACATGTGGATCGGCCATTGTAACATTTGGATGAGTAAAACCTTTGTTTATAATACTTTCAAAAAATGGTTGGAATGAATCAAAATACTCAAAAGCGTAAGTTTCAAATGAGTCAATAGCAACTTGGAAAATATCCCAGATGGTAGGTGACACTTCTGATCTGACAAACAAAAGGGATTCCAAAATTTCGATAACTTCAGTCAAGAACACAACCATAGCATTCTCAAAAATAAACACAATCAACTCTTTCAAAACTGACTCTAATTGGAGAGCGACATTTGGAGCATTTGACATGGAAATAACCAAAGTAGTCAAAGTGTTCAAGAGACCTGAAGCTTGTATTTCTTTATCTTCATCGGCTCCACCATTGGATTCTAAAATTTCTGAAGCAATCTTGAGGAATTGTTCAGATAACTTCTTACCCAACTCAACTGCATAAGGTTCCAAATTACTGGCAAATCTTTCAACAAATGTATCCATAACGTTTGTCAAAATATCACTTTCATATTGTTTGGATTTCTCCAACAAGATACCCATCAATTGTGGAGCTTGGTCAGCAACATGTTGGGCAACTAAGTCTTCATTAACTAAAGTAGACAATGCATCAGCAGCAGTCAATTGAATTGGGAATTGGCTATCATCTGAAAAGCATGCAACCACACCTTGGAAAATTGCTTGTAATACTTGTGTATCAGTATATTTGTGATCGTGAAACATGGCAATGGTATCACAGGCTCTGGCAGTTAACCATGGAGTCTTTGATGATTGTTCTTGTAACAATTCAGGGTAAACAAATGTGTGAAGCAAACTATCGACTTGACCAGCAACCGGAGAAAATTTAGAATCCAATTTGTATGAGATGGTCGACAATATTCTTAACCCACCCTCAGCTTTCATGGCACTTTCAATATTACCTCTGTTATTAATTCTGTCTGTGAAAACCTCATTGATGAATTGGCATATCAAATTGATGGTATCCTTGAATTTCTTGTTGGACAAACGGTAGATAAAATTAATAGTAGCCACATCGGAAGTGCTTTGTTCACGGTTGACATCAAAGAAACGTCTAATGTATTCATCGGAATCATCTTCGTACAATTCTACTGTTTCTGGAGTAGCTACCAAAGTTGGCAAAACAACGTGTCTCAAAATAGCATCGAGTTTTTCATTAATCAAAGACCAGGCAGGAGTTTCAATGACTTGTTCCAAAAATGAAATCATGTAGAATAAAGAAACCTCACTGAGCCAGACTGATTTAGTTGACCAACCTTCGATGATCTTCCAGTATGCATTTAAAATTTCTGGAACAAAATTAGTTATGAAAACTTGGGCAAATTGATTAGATTCTTTGGATCTAGTTAAATAGCCCCCTCCGTGTCTGTTTAATAATCTGTTCATGTTTGCGAAACACCATTTGATTGTCTTGATTCTTGGGTTGTTGTTTCTGGTTTCAATATTGTCTTCTTCTAAAATTTCCTTTGGTAGTGGCTTGTTAATAATCAGAATGTGGATTTGACACCATTGACCCAAATGGTTTGCATCTTGTAAATAACTTGGCAATGAAGAATAGGTTGTAAACTTGAAAATCTTGATAATCAAATAAAGCATTTCATCAGGAGTGGTACCATCACTGGCAATCAATTTGTTGGCCAAGCTTTCCAATTGAGGAAATAATTTCTGGGTAACTTCCTCTAAAACTGGGTTGACGAAATTATTCAGTTCAAAGCCATCCCATCTATAATTTTTGGTGTACTGATAAAGACACAATAATCCAGTGTATACATGGTCTGCATTACCTTCATCAGATAACAAATTGTGAATAACCTCTACCAAACCATCCCATTTGTCATAACTTAAAATTGTATTCAAAGCAGTTGATAATTGCAATCTGATTTGATGGTTTTTGTAAGTTTCAAACAATGTTGTAATTAATTTTTCTTTGATTGCAGATTTTTCACCATCTAATAAATAGAACGCAGTTTGTTGTTTATTTTCTGGGACAACCCAGTAGTTGACCACTCTGTTTTTGAAAAAAATGGCTGCTGCAACTTTGATTCCAACAGAAGTTGTTGAATCAGATTCCACCAAAATGTCTAATAGGTATGAAGTAAATCCTTGTTGTTGTTCATAAACTTTCAATTGCTCTTCACAGTGTTTTCTGGTTTGTTGATTAGGATCCAATGTCCCACTAAGCGCATTCAATAATGATTGTCTATCCATTCTAACAGTAAATAATAAAGAACCAAGTAGTTAAATGAAAAAAAAAATGAAAAAATTATTGCTTTGGGATGTATATATGTATGGGTACGTGTGTGATTGCTTAGTGTTGCAAAGGTAATCTATTATAAATTTTTATGTATGTGGATCGTGTTTATGAATATGATTGTACTGGCTGTAAATAAACCTGCCTGTTGGATATAGTACTCACTAACAAAAATATATACTCAATAGTGGTAATTAACAATATTATTCACTAATAAAATTTTATTACTGGTATTTTCTTTCTCGCTTAGTGTTTTATGAACTTGTCCCTATCCTTTTCTTTAGAAGGGGAAAAAAAAATTTTTCTTCCTTTTACTCTTCGATTAATAAAATTTTTGTGCCATCGTACACGAACTCATACATTATATTAGAGTAAAAAAAAAAAGAAAGCAGAAAAAAAAACAAATTGTACGCAAATACACGACTAGCTCACTTCGCAACAGTTTTTTTAGTATCTATTTTTTTTTCTCTTACTCATCTAAATACACACACATAGGTTATATCACATCTCTCCACTAATAATAGTCACATACTCACACACACACTCAGATACAATACAAATGGGTAAAACAAAAGAGATTAAAGGGTTTAATATATTACCATTAAGACTTCCAAATACCAAGTCTACACACTACATATATTTCAAAAAACACGAAGTTAAGAATAGTGATGCCAACAACCGATCTTTATTTATCTGCAACCTACCAATATCAACCGAATTAGCAACTATAAAAAAGTTTTTCCAAACTGTGGCGATTGGATCTACTATTGAATTGTTTATAAACTCATATTTGACTGATTATCCAGAAGACATTTGGATCAATTTGACAAAATTAACATCGGATTTGGATTTATCCAACATTGCTGATGATCCTGCTAGTAAATTGCCAAAGAATTGTGGTGTTGTCACATTTGTTGATAAATCGTCATTTCAGTTAGCATTCAATGCTTTGAAAAAGTTGTCTTCAAATGGTTCTGAAACAGAATGGCCAATAAGACAGTTTTCATCAAATTATTATCTAAATAAGTTTCAACAACAGATATTGGACCCTAGTGCGTTATCTGAAAAGGTTTCCCAAGCTTTAATAGATTTTGATAAAGCAGAACAAAAATCCATAGAAGAATTACAAGAACAAAAGACTTTAGTTGATGAAGACGGATTTACATTGGTGGTTGGGCCACAAAGAAAGACTAAAGCTGGTATATTGGGCAAGCAAAAGTTGGCCGCTACTGTTGAGTCTGAAAAGGCTAAGTCCAAGATGAAGAGCAAAGAGAAACAAGATTTCTATAGATTCCAAATTAGACAACGTAAGAAAGAAGAAATGAATGACTTGTTGAACAAATTCAAGATGGATCAAGAGAAGGTTAGAGTGATGAGAGAAAAGAAGAGATTTAGACCATATTAAATAGGTTGAGAAAATCACTGTAGACACATAATAATTAATGTAATACTTTAAAGAATTAATACCAGTAGAACGGATCTCCAACAATTTAAGACGAGATAATACATGTCAATATTTTTCAAATCAGGAGATCTGCTCATCGTCATCGACATCGACAGTCATTCTTGACCCTGTAGACCTTATGCCCATTCCGCGGAAAACTGAAAAATAACGCTACGTCGTGAACCCGGTAAAACTGCGGAGAAACTGTTCACTCGGGTTAGAGCAACCACCAAGGAAAAAAAACTCCGGTCTATTCTAGTGCGGGTACTTGTTCCCTCGATATTCTCGCCACACCACTTTTCACCCACAAAATTCGTAGAATCAACATTGACTATATAAATCTAGAATGTTTTCCTTTTGTTTGTTCTACCTTTAGATATATACACTAAAATTGACATTACACGTCTTGAATATCTCAAAAAAAAAAACGAAACAAGATTCAAATCACTTCCATTTAAAGGAATATTCTCATTAACTATTCATTAAAAATTATTCATGTTCTCCTCGATCAAACGAAGTTCAAGTCGAGTTGCTAAACAATGGATTAGGTATAACTCCAGGTCTACGATTCCTATTCAATATAAAACTCCATGGTTAACTTATGCATTATTGGGGGTCGGTTTTCTGGGTACCGGGTTTATTCTCGGAAATGCGTTAACAAGTAACGAAGCTTCTGCATTAGAGCCAACTGACAGATCAACTTCCCCACTTTCATCCTTACTGTCCCCGGTATATGCCAACGACGATGAATTCAAAAAAGGTGTGGCCAAAATTGTTGACATAGTTGGTAAAGAAAATGTTTCCTTCGATATCGATGTATTGAAATCCCAAAATGATTCTTTTTATACCACTCATCATCCTCCAAATCCAGAAGTACAAAGACCAAGTGCTGTTGTTTTCCCTACCTCAACTGAAGAGGTCTCTCAAATCCTTAAAGTCGCTCATGAATATAGAATCCCAATTGTTGCTAATTCCGGTTTAACTTCCTTGGAAGGTCATAACATGCATACTCGTGGTCCCAATAGTATTTCTGTTTCATTCCAAAATATGAACCAGATTATTGCATTCCATCCAGAAGATTTGGATATAGTCGTCCAACCAGGTGTTGGTTGGCAAGAATTGGATGATTTCTTATTGGGTGATGAACAAGGTAAAGATTTGAAATTTGGACCAGATCCAGGTATCGGTGCAAACATTGGTGGTATGGTTGGTACAAGTGCATCTGGTACCAATGCCTTCAAATATGGAACCATGAAAGAAAATGTCGTTAATTTGACTGTTGTTTTGGCTGACGGTACAGTTATCAAAACTAGACAAAGACCTAGAAAGTCGAGTGCTGGTTATGATTTGACTAGATTGTTCATTGGGAATGAAGGTACATTGGGTCTTGTTACTGAAATTACTTTGAAATTGCATGTTCGTCCTAAATTTGAATATATCACTGTTGCCGCATTCCCAAGTATCAAAGATGCCACTTCTGCTGCTGCATCTGTTATTTCCAAAGGTGTTCAACCTAATGCCATGGAACTTGTCAATGATACCATGATGGCATTTGTCAATGAAACTTCAGACCCAGACAAAAAGAGTTTGGAAACTGCTACATTATTTTTCAAATTGGGTGGACCAACCGAGGAATCTGCTGAAGAGCAAGCCAAATTGGTTGAAGAAATCGCCAAGAATCATAAAGTTATTAAATTACAGAAGAGTACTAATGCAGAAGAAAATGAAGAACTTTGGGCCGCAAGAAGAAATGGTCTTTGGTCCACTTTCCAATTTGGTACAAAAGTTTTAGCTGACAAGAATGATGTACAACTTTGGACTACTGATGTTGCTGTTCCAGTTTCAAAATTATCTCCGGTTATCACTGAAATTAATGATTATTTAATTGAAGAGGGTTTAAAGAATAAATTTTCGGTCTTGGGTCACATTGGTGATGGTAATTGTCATTTCTTGATCATCTACAATTCTCCAGACTACGAAAAGATTCATCATGTTGTTGATCACTTGGTGAGCAGAGCAATTGAATATGAAGGTACATGTACTGGTGAACATGGTGTGGGTGTTGGTAAAAGAAGATATTTGCCAATGGAATTGGGTGAAACCACCGTTGATACCATGAGACAAATTAAACTTGCCTTGGATCCTAGACGTATTTTGAATCCAGATAAGATCTTCAAGATCGATCCAAACGAAAATTTGGATGAACAATTAGATAAAGGGTCAGTGAGAGAAGTACCACATTGTATGACCAATCATTGAGGCATATAGCATTATATATTTAAAAAAACTAAATAAACTTAAAGAAATACACAAGAAAGTATTCTTTATTTCATACTTTATTCATCTGTGGAACCTATACCCTATGTAGTAAACCAGTTTTTGTTAATAATGGATTATAAGTTAATCCTCTCCAACAGAAAAATGTATAACTAAGCATCTGGATATAATTTAACTCTAACTGATCTGACTTCAGTATATTCCTTGAAAGACTCTTCACCCATTTCTCTGCCAATACCAGAAGATTTAAAACCACCAAATGGAACCATTGGGTGCAATTCACTATAAGTGTTGACCCAAACAGACCCAGACTTGATATTGTTAGCAACGTGGAGACCAGTGTTAATATTTGTAGTATGAACACCGGCAGCTAAACCGTATTCAGAATCATTAGCCAACGCAATTGCTTCGTCAATTGTATCAAATTTAATAACAGACGCAACAGGACCAAAAATTTCTTCTTTGAAGATAGTCATGTCTTTCTTGACGTCAGCAAAAATGGTTGGTTTGATAAAGTAACCCTTGTCACCAATTCTTTCTCCACCAGTAACTAAAGTAGCACCTTGTTCCTTACCCAGTTCAACAAATTCTAAAATTTTGGAAAATTGGATTTCGTTAACTTGAGAACCCATAAAAGTTTCTTCTTCAAATGGATCACCAACCTTAATGGCTTCAGCAGCCTTCTTGAATCTAGCAACAACTTCATCATAAACACCAGATTGAACTAAGACACGAGCTCCAGCAGCACAAGTTTCACCAGAATTGCTAAAAACACCACTGACCAAGTTATGAACAGTCTTATCCAAGTCGGCATCGTTGAAAACAATGTTTGGGGATTTACCACCCAATTCCAAAGTAACCTTCTTCAAGTTAGAATCAGCAGCCAATTTCATAATAACCTTACCAGTAGCAGTAGAACCAGTGAAAGCAACCTTGTCAATATTTGGGTGACTGGCAATAGCAGCACCAGTAGTGGCACCAAAACCTGGAACAATGTTGACAACACCCTTTGGCATACCTGCTTCAACTAATAATTGAGCAAGGTATAATACGGCTAATGGGGTGTGTTCAGCTGGTTTTAAGACAGTTGTTCCACCAGTAGCAATAACTGGACCCAATTTCCATGATGCCATAAGTGTGGATGCATTCCAAGGAATAATTTGTCCAGAAATTAATGGAACTCTTTGAGTATAGGTGAGGTAGTTACTGCCAGTATTGATTTGACTTCCATTAATTTTATCAGCCCATCCACCACAAGATCTAAAATAAGCAGCAGTGAATCCAATATCGCCTCTAGCATTTTGCAATGATTTACCATTGTCCCAAGTTTCAATTTGGGCCAATGTTTCCAAATTCTCTTCAACTAAATCAGCCAACTTGAATAAAATCTTTGCTCTTTGTTCTGGTGCACCTGAAGCCCATCCATTATCATAAGCTGTTTTTGCGGCATCAACTGCAATGTCAACATCTTCAGCTAAGGATTCATAGACATCGGTGATTTTTTCTCCAGTGGAAGGGGAGTACACTTCGAATGTTTTATTGGATTTTGGCTGAACAAATTCATTATTGATAAACAAACCCAATGGTTGGTTGTAAGTAAGACCCTTTGGGGTGGTGAGTTTTGCAACTAATGGTAATGCTTTGTTAAACATGTTGTACAATTAAAATCTGTGTGAATGATTAATAATAGTAGAATGGTTTTGACAAGAATCGAAAGTTGAAATATCAATGAACATTATCACCTATTTATACTATTCTGTGTTTTATGATTCTAAATTATTCTTATATCTCCCTATGTTGTTTACTTCGGTGAAGACATACTAGGAAGACTAGTTCTTGATTATTCGCTACCCCGGTTAACTTTTCCTGTCAAAATAGACAACCTTATTTTATACTGTTTTAATTTCTTTAATTCCTTTTCCGGTTATTACTAATCCAAATTTTGTATAACACTGAAAAACAATTACTTCATAGACTACTAATAATAAATATCATTCTTCTAGACTTTTAAATCATTTAAACTTTTCGACTTTTGTTTTGGATTTTTCATTAGAAGCTAATATTTCTTTCCCCGCTCGTTGAACTTACTTTTTAACATGTTGGAAGGATCAGATATATGATTTTTCCATCAGAATAATCAAAAGTAAAAAAACTGTTTGAAAGTACAGAAATTTCTTTCTACCCTTTCCTCATAACTCAATCTTTTAGTTTTAACGAATAAGTGATGGTTCCCTCGAATTCTGTCGTAACATCGTAATATGTACAAACTATTATCATTTTTTATTTTTTGCGAATTTTAAGCGTGCTCTTGACAGGGTGCAAAAATTTGATTAGACAAAGTTTTAGCTAACATGGCGTTTCTTTGCTGCTCACATGGGTACCCGTAGTTGGGTAGTGATCCCTTAGAGCTATCGCTTGTGGGTACCTTTTTTTGTTCAAGAAATATATTAGTAATCACCCCTGTCATAATACGAGCTAAATGACTATGACTTTACTTTTGGTTCAAGAGAAATATAAAGTTTTGTAATAACATCAAAACTTTAAATAACATGAAGACTATTTACTTGGCAGAACTACTCAATTGGTATTTTTCCGTACAACGTATTCTCTGGTTTAAGTTGATTAAGAGAATTTAGCAATGCGTTAAACAGGTGGAATAATGGAACATGATATTTTTTAACAACTATAATTAGTATTGTGATCACTGCTTGTTCTACCTTGTTGATATCTTATTGGTTGGATTGCCACAATACTAGTAACACCAGAAATTCGGGATTAAAGAAAAAATAAGATATTCAGTTTTCATTTTAAGGTTCTACCGCATTGACTTCACTCATTAGTACAGCCCAATTGTTTTGATGCAATTCCCGAGTTATTCGGCCGAATTTAATAAAGAAGAAAGAAAAAGAAATCAAAACTCAAAACTTGTAAAAATTTAATGATGACCTACTTGATTTTACAATAGTAATTGAAGTTGTTTCTATTGTCAAGTTATTCTTTTAGGAAATCAATTCATTGTTACGCTGTGCCCATTCCTTAAAATAATGACAGAATTAATCAATTCGGATCCGGGATATCTTTGCAATTCAGTTGCCGAGAAAATTTTCCAGTATAATTACTTAATCAGAGTATGTTAAAGTATGCATCTGCGATGTCATTTTATCCAATGGATACATGAATTGAAAAACTTGAAACTAATTCGTGGCTTCAATATTATAGATGTTAATATGTGTATATGAAGCATATCTGTGGAGAAAGAGGTCCGAAAAATTGGATTTTTGTCCATTCATTCGGGAATTTCTGAATTTGATACTCAAAAATTGTAACCAATAATAAATAGAAATTATGTTATGTTGAGATCTGTGTTTGCAACATTCTTCGATATAATTAACAGTTAAAACTAGTATAGATGATTTTTTGTACAATTTGGAGTTGATTCTTGACCAAAAAAAAGCATATTACTTAAATTTATCTGTCATTTTAAACCCTGAATGTGTCAACTTTAGTGAGTTTTTATAGCTTTTCCATTTACACTCCAACTCTGGTTTCAATCCATTGGAACCCTGATAAGTAGAAAATTTATGACATGGATCGTAAGATAGTTAACTTCAATTTGGTATTTGAACGACCTGTTACTATTCAATTGGGATTTTATATAAGCGATGCGAGAACTGAGATTTTTGCTTTTTCCAGTTATTTTTTTTCTTTTTCTTAGATAAGTATCACTCCTTGATCCCACACATCACAAGCACAACATTTTTTGAATGTCTCAACAGCCATGGTTCAGAGGGCCAGTTTGTGGGACCGATAATTGTCGATCAAGATTGTTCAGAAGTCAGGATGGTCTTACTATTTGTCAATTTGGTCATGTGTTGGAAGGTGCAGTTGAAATCAACGATGAGCCCGATGTTGGAGGTATGGTTCAAACAAGAAGAATCAATACAGTTGCTGTGGATGAAAGAGGGCTTATGTCAAGTGTGGCTCGATCTACTAGTCAAGCTGCAAAGAAGACACAAGAAAGATTAAGTGGGGATGATGCATTAACCATGTACCATAAATGTTTACAACTTCTTCTTAAGCATGAGTTGAAAAGATTTATTGAATTGTTTTTTAGTGATGGGATAAAACAAGACTTGATTTTAATAGTGAAAAGAAATTGGGTCAGACTTCTATCAAATAATGAGAAACATATGGTTGATACGTTGGATTTAATTTGCCTTGTTTATATATCTGCATTGGAGTTACAGGCCTATCCCATATATATCCCTGATTTATTAGAGAACATTAAATCAAATAATATCCCTTACATCAGAACTTTGCACTTAATTCCAAAAGAAATGTTGGACCAACTACCTACATTATACCATAATAGATTGCAACCAGTTTCTTTACCAGAGAATGGACAGATCTTCAAGAGATTACAAAATACTGGAAGTTGCATAACCAAGGGATGTCTTTCAATACAATTGAGTTTTTACTTTCCATTCTTGTTCAAACTTTTATCAGAGCATTTCTTACTACCCAATGCAATAGATTTATATATGAAATGTTTCAACATTTTAAAATCTAAACCTTGTTTTGAAGTGGATTTTTCTCAAAAGAAGTTTAACTTATTGGTACTGAATTTTCCTGAGATTTATATCTCTTCAGTGGTGATGGCGGTCATTAGAGAAAATTTTCGTAAAGTAGACAAAATCGAACTTTCACAATGGTTAAAAGAACTAGATGATTTTGACTTAAACAATGAATATAATTCAAAGGATAGTCGGTTATTAGATTGGTCTGATGAGAAGGTAGACAAGTACTGTGATTGGATTTATGATCATATCATTCCAAAGAAATCAAAACTAGATGAGCATAATAATAACGAAACATTGACGACTATGGAGAAACGTTTATTTCAAATATTCAATATTGAAAATGATAACAACATGGGGGATAAGGACGAAAGTGACGAAACACCAATGTACCAAGCTTTAAGGAAGATCATGGACAAGCAAAACGCCAACCCTAGTGTTGCCAGCCTTCAAGATCTAGATTCTAAGCTAGATAGCAAGTTTGCAGGTTTATTAGGATTGTAGAAATTTAATAAATTTTTCATTTTGGTGGGACGTGCTTTAAATTTATCTGTGGGGGACATGATCCCGCTCACTATTTTTTTTTGATTCTTTGGGCCTATTCCGCATCGACTCGGATCCTTTTGGGTAATTTGGTTAATTAACTTTTGGAAAATAAGCGCTCATGTTGTGGGAAAAAAAACCGCTTACAAATTAAGAAATCAAAACTATCAACGGTTTTAACTTACCTGAAGAAGAATATTCTTTCCCTAAAAGCCACGATAGCTAAGTTGGGGAGAAAAAAAAAGTCACCACCAATTGAATTATTATTTTTTCATATCATCAATTGCATAGGTTTAACGTAATTCTAAAGCGCAATGTCTGGTTCAACACACGGAATTCAAATTGCCATTGATAGAGGTGGTACCTTCTGTGATGTTATTGCTAAAATCCCAGGACAAGAAGACTATGTATTCAAATTATTATCTGTTGATCCTCAAAATTATAAGGATGCACCTACTGAGGGAATTAGAAGAGTGTTAGAAAAGGCAACGGGGGAAAAGATTCCCAAAGGTCAAAAATTAAAATTGGATCAGATTCAGAGTATTAGAATGGGTACCACAGTTGCAACAAATGCATTGCTTGAAAGAAAGGGTGCACATGTTTTGCTTGTGACCACTAAAGGGTTTAAAGATGTTTTGGTTATTGGAAATCAAACTAGACCACACATATTTGATTTGACAGCTAAAAAGTTGGGACATTTATATGATCAAGTATTGGAGGTGGACGAAAGAGTAACAATTGCGGGATTCTCTGAAGGTGGTGGTGATAAGTTAAAGATTGATGTTAATTCAGACCCTGAGTTGAAAGAAAGTTTGACTGGAGATATCGTTAGGGTTATTAAGGAGCCTAACTATGAAAAAGTTGGCGAAGATTTACTCAAGATATATCATGAAGGAAAAATCAAGACAATTGCTTTGTCATTACTTCATTCTTACTGTTATCCAATTCACGAGGCTAAAATTGCATCTATTGCAAGGTCAATTGGTTTTGATGTTTCTGTCTCTCATCAACTTCAACCAATGTTAGGTTTCGTTAATAGAACTTCGTCAACTGTAGCGGATGCTTACCTTAGCCCAGTAATCAATGAATATGTTTCTAATTTTGGTGAAGGTTTTGAAGGTGGGTTAGATGCATTTGGCAACAAATTGTTGTTTATGCAGTCAAACGGTGGTTTGTGTCCGTGGTATAAATTCACGGGACTTAAAGCGATTTTGTCAGGACCTGCCGGGGGTATTGTCGGATATGGTGAAACCTGTTTTGATGATGTCTCCAAGAAAGCTACAATTGGTTTTGATGCTGGTGGCACATCCACCGATGTGTCAAGATATGCAGGTAATTTTGATCTCATTTACGAAACTGTTGTTAGCGAAGTTAGTTTGCAAACACCTCAGTTGGATATTTCCACTGTAGCTGCTGGAGGTGGATCTATGTTATTTTGGAAGAATGGTATGTTTGTCACGGGCCCCGAATCTGCGGGTTCTGATCCCGGTCCAGCATGTTACAGAAAAGGTGGTCCACTTACTGTCACTGATGCTAATTTATTCTTAGGTAGGCTATTACCAGACTTTTTTCCAAAAATTTTTGGTCCTAACCAAGATCAGCCATTAGACTATGAGTTAACTGCTCAAAAGTTTAAACAATTAACTGAAGAGATTAACAAAGATAAAGCTTCTGAAGGTATCGCATTGACTCCTGAGGAAGTCGCTAGTGGGTTTTTAAAAGTTGCCGTAGAATCAATGGCTAGACCAATTAGAAATTTAACTGAGGCAAAAGGTTTTGAAACTTCTCAACATAATTTAGCAAGTTTTGGGGGTTCTGGTGGCCAATTTGCGGTTTCCTTGGCCAAAAATTTAGGGATTTCAAATGTTGCAATCCATAAATATTCCTCATTATTATCTGCATATGGAATTCAATTAGCTGATATTGTGATTGAGAAACAATTACCAACATCCTTTACATACTCCAAGGATAATTTTGTATCAATTGATGGAATAATCAAACAGTTGGTCGACCAAGCATTTGCAGATTACAAAGATCAAAATTTGACAAACTTTGAAACTGAATTAGAAATTTTGTTAAACATGAGATATGTTGGCTCCGACACGCATTTGCTTATTCCGGTCACACGAGGAGAGTATGATGCCGATACGAAGTTCATTGCTAGGCATAAGTCTGAATTTGGGTTTAATTTGGACAGAAATGTTATTGTGGACGATGTACAAGTCCTTTTACATGTTCAATCAGACGATAAAGAGGTGGGGAATCCATTTGAAGAACTTTCGAAACTTCAAACTAGAGAACTTGTGGAGCCATCTAACATTCAGAAAAATATTTACTTTGAATCATTTGGATGGTTATTGTCGAATGTTTACTTGTTGCCTGATATGCAGAAGGGTAAAATAATTGAAGGACCTGCTATTATTATTGATGATACTCAAACTATATTAGTCGAGCCTCGTTCAAAGGCAGCAATCTTGTCAAATCATATTTTAATTGATGTCGAACAAGAAGAAAAGCCACAACTTTCAAAAGAAACCATTGACCCGATCCAGTTATCTGTATTTGGTCACAGGTTCATGTCCGTTGCAGAACAAATGGGTAGAACATTGCAACAAACAGCTATTTCTACAAACATTAAAGAAAGATTGGATTTTTCATGTGCTATTTTTGATAAGAATGGTTCTTTGGTTGCTAATGCGCCACATATACCAATTCACTTGGGTTCTATGTCTTATGCAGTGAAAGCACAGATTGATTTGTGGGAAGGAAAATTGCAACCAGGTGATGTATTGGTTTCAAATCATCCTATTGCTGGTGGATCCCATTTACCAGATATAACTGTTATTACACCTGTATTGGATGAGAATAATAATCCAATTTTTTGGACAGCATCGAGGGGACATCATGCAGACATTGGATCCATTGCTGCTGGATCGATGCCACCTAATTCAAAGACAATATATGATGAAGGAGCTGCGATTGTCACGCATAAATTGTGCTCCAAAGGTGTTTTTGACGAGCAAGGCATTACAAAACTTTTACTCGAAGAGCCAGCTAAATATCCTGGTGGGTCTGGAACTAGAGCGTTAAGTGATAATTTGTCTGATCTTAAAGCCCAAGTTGCTGCCAATTATAAAGGTATCAATTTATTGAAACGATTAGTCGACGAGTTTACATTTGATGTCATTGATCTTTATATGGAAGGTATTCAAGCGACTGCAGAAATAGCTGTCAGAAATTTATTAAAATTAGCATTTAAGAAATTTGGTGGAGCCTCTATGAAAGATGTTGAATATCTTGATGATGGTACTGCTATCGCTCTTACTGTGACGATTGATTCAGAATCTGGATCTGCAGTGTTTGATTTTAGTGAATCGGGAGATGAAATTTATGGTAATTTGAATGCACCAAGCGCAATTTTGTACTCTGCTGTGTTGTATGTGTTGAGATGTTTAATTAGTACTGATATCCCATTGAACAGTGGATGTTTGAGACCTATAATATTCAAGACTAGAGAAGGGTCGATTGTGTCTCCTTCTCCTGATGCAGCTGTTGTTGGTGGTAATGTTGAAACAACACAAAGAATAGTTGATGTGATGTTGAAAACCTTTCAAGCGGCAGCTGGTTCACAGGGTACTTGTAATAATTTCACTTTTGGTACAAATGACAAACAAAATGGTGTATCATTTGGTTACTATGAAACTATCTGTGGTGGTTCTGGGGCTGGTCCAACTTGGGATGGTCAGTCTGCAGTTCAATGTCACACGACTAATACTAGAATGACTGATACAGAATTATTTGAAAAGAGATATCCAGTTTTAGTGAAGGAATATTCTGTTAGAGAAGGATCTGGTGGTGATGGTCTTCACAAAGGAGGTGATGGAGTTATCAGAGACATTGAGTTCTTGTACCCATTGGAAGTCTCCTGTTTGATGGAAAGAAGATCGTTACCACCATATGGTTTAGGTGGAGGGGAAGACGGTTCTCGTGGAGTCAATTATTGGTACAAGAAACTGGATAATGGTGAATATCATAAGAAATCATTAGGAGGTAAATGTACTGTTAGAGTTGGAAAGGGAGATAGAATTGTGATTATGACCCCAGGTGGTGGTGGATTTGGCGTTATTGATCATGAAGTAAATTATCCAATTAAGAGTTTGCATCCAAGTGTTTTAACTGGATCTGTTGGTCTTAGAACAATTACTCAAGAAACGAACTAATAAGTGTGCGTATGGTCAGTCTTTATATTTGTACTATATTATTCATGATATTACAATGAAATGTATTGCAGTAAATAAGAATATATATTTATGTACTTAATGGATGCAGTATATATACATTCGGATAGAACACATAGACATTATATTTAAAAACAATGGCCATGTAGGAAGTGTGGGCTATGATTCTAACTACAATTATGATTTATACGGATTTCAAACAATCTTTTTATCGATATACACATTTTGATTCTTGGGGAATGACATTAGTTTATAATCATGAACTAAAGAAAGTACTGTGTACCTCTGAATGGAAATGGGCTATGAAACTCACTATCAAAGTAGACTTTCCTGGTGATGCAAAACTTATTGGAATAATACGAATCTGAAATCGAAAACTAAAGCAAAAAGAAAGCAAAAGGTAAGCTACCAAAAAAAAGATGAGGGTTCTGTGGATATTGCAACAAAATTAGAAACTTTAAACAACATCAAAATTTAAAATGAATGCAAATTATTTAATCTGATAACTCTTCACCACGGAAATAATTGGCACTTTGAAGTGCTTGTCGAGGCGTGTGACGAAGAGGAAATGATTTTGGAACCTTCAAGGGAATTTTTACTAGAATGTACATCAAATGATTGAAGTCAATAGAAGGGTTTCTTTTGACGATTTTCAACACTTGATGGTTGAGCCATGGGTATGAGTTCCAAGTGGAATATCTTAAAATTTCAAACACCGCTGATCCAGAATAAAACAGAAGATATGGTAATGACGTAAACAACGATATCTGTGCCAGTAATTCTTGCACACTTTCAGGTTTTGGTGAGTCGTGAACACGAGACATATTTCTTTTAAGCTCTCTTTTCAAATGAGCTAATCGCTTTGACGATTCACAAGGAGTATTTTGTCCATGAGAATGTTGACGCAAAAACCATACCTTGAAATGCTTGAGTGATTTGAAATGCAATTCGTCACGTCCAAGAAGTGTAACTATCGGAACTGATTTGTCCATTGTGGACTTATACAATTCAGTTGTAAGAAGTGTTGAGTTGAATGGAGATGAATGAAGTTCTGGTCCTATTTGGTCAAGAATTTGAGGAGCCAGCATCGTAAAATCAATACGTGGAAAATTATAATGTGAATTGTTCGACTTGAATGCTGCCAAAAACATGAAATACCGAGTCTGAAATTTATTGTAAAGGTATTCAAATAACGAATTATTAACTTCTGGGATCAAAATACGATTTCTTTGACTGCGACCTTGGCTATTCATTGTCAACATAAATATGCTTTGCTTGGATCTTTGCGCATGATTATGAGAAACCACGGCCCCATACATGAGATACAGCAACAACAAAATACCCGCCGTGATGCTTCGTCCAAAATTCTGGGATGATAATGAAATAACATCATATAAAAATTTTACCACTGTAGTACAACTAACCACAATGATTGCAACACAGAAGACAAGAGTGGATATCCCTATTTTCAAAATGAAACCAAAAGCTTCAATTAATGTCCATTCGTGAGCAGTGGATACAAAGTAAGATAATCTTTCAGACGCATAATCAAGAAAGGCTTGTTGGTTCATCAAAAGTTCCGTCTTTGGAGGAACTTGTAACAATTCTGGAAATATCTCCGACATGAGAACGCCTAAAAGTGATATAAACATTACTACTTTAAAGCCAAAGTACAACTCTTGCACGTAGTTCGGGTATTCTGTAAGCATTGTATATATAGCTACTGTAGTCACGGATACATGTAACAAAACCAAACAATTAATAATCAGATTTCATAAAAGGTTTAAGAAAAAGAATTTGGAATCAGAAAAACGTTGAAAGGGACTGGAATAAGATGTGTACACAAAAAAAAAATTAAAGTAGTGCATTGTGACGAAATCGATGTTACAAATGGTAGCGGTTCCCCTGGTCCAGCTTAATTTTGTATGTTCAAAGATCCGAAAGAAAAAATGGAAAACAAAATCTTATTTGGTAAACTACAACCAGAAAACCAATTCTGATTATTAAGCATTAAACTAAACTATGGGTGAATCTTACGTTAGCAAGTCTTTAATAAATGAAATACATGAAGAATACATTCATAAAAATTTTCCAAGTACCCAGAATGCGGCCATTAGGTCCGATGAATTTGAAATACTTCTGACGATTAGATACGACCCAAACCTTACACCAGTTTCCCCATTGACATACAAAGATGTAACGATACAGAATTTCTTTCTTTTGCCTGAGCACACTGCTCGAATAAATTTTACCGTTGATTTCTTTCATTTACTATATGGGACTTCTCCAGATTTTGAAATCACTGAACTGTTTCTATTTGAACAACTAGTAAAGGCAATCGAACTGGAAGGCAAGTCTGTGTTGTATTCATATAAGCTTCGCTTGTTACTCAAATTAGACGGTTCAGCAAAAATCGAGGTTCATCAAGTACCAGATATAGGTAATTTATTAGGTGGAATTTTTCCAGATATTGAAACAATCCCAGAAGAGCTTGAATTCCTCAACCACCATCCCGATTCCGAAGAGGCTGTTGTTTGGGATTTGTATATTGATAAGAAACCGACATTGGTATCACCGTTCACTTCCTTCAAAACTACGAAAAGAGACGCTTATACTGAATCTAGAGGCATCTTACCAGGTTTGAAACCTGGGAAGGAAGAAGTCATACTTTATAATACTCAAAACAACGTCATGGAAGGTAGTATCACCAACATTGCAATTAAAAGAGAATCAGATGGGAAATGGGTAACTCCTTTGTTAAGTTCGGGGTGTCTTTGTGGGGTAACAAGACATTTTTTATTGCGAAAAAAGTTCATTGAAGAAGATACCATAAATATAGAGAAATTACAACCTGGAACTGAACTCTTGTTAATGAATGGAATTGTTGGTGTTGTCAAAGGAATTATTGTTAAATAGCTCTGTGCTTAAGTCTCTATATTACAATACAAACAAGATCTATTCTATTAATTTCTTAATTTCAGCGTCAGTATATCCCATTATGTACATGATGTCCAACAAACTCTTTGTATTCAAACAGGCTGGAGCCAACTTTTGGACCTTTGGTTTAGCATTCCATGCGATACCAAAACCACCAGTGGCCATCATTTTCAAATCATTTGCTCCATCACCGACTGCCACGGCATCCTTTGGATCAATATTGTGTTTTTCTGCAATTTCCAACAACAATTCTGCTTTCTTTTCTCCATTAACTATTGGTCCAATAGTGGTACCATTCAAATGATTAGAATCGTCAACTCCCAAAGTATTGGCAAAGGCATAATCTAAACCTAATTTCCCTTTCAAGAATTCTGCTAATGGGATGAATCCACCGGAACAAACACCTAATACTATTCCCAACTTTTTCAATGCCTTGCACAATTCTGGGACACCGTTGGTGACTTGGATCTTTTCTTTCAATTCTTCCCAAATGGAAGTTGCATCAATTCCTTTTAATAATAACACACGTTCAGCTAATGATTGATTGAAATCCAACTCACCATTCATTGCTCTGGTAGTGATTTCGGCAACTTTATCTTCGATATCAGCATAACTGGCAATCAACTCAATAACTTCTTGATAAATCAACGTAGAGTCCATATCAAAAATAAATAATTTCTTGTTTTTCCTAGTAGACTGCTCTTGAATAATAAGATCAAAAGGCTTCGAAATAGCATAATCTTTGACAATTTGTTTTGCAGTTTCGAAATCATTAATGGAGATAGTGTAGTCATATGCACGTGGAGATAACTGTTTGGTTGAAGAAATTTGTGAAAAATTCTCAATCAGAAATTGTTCAATGTTTTTGAGGGTCTCTTGATCAAACTGAGAATCATCATGTGAGATCGCTGTAAGAATGTAGGACATGGTAGTAATGTTGTTAAATGACTTGTTCCCAAAGTAACTGAAACCAAACAAAACTGAAGAAAAAAAAAAAGAATAGGAAAATTTTTCGATCGACTTTGATAAAATTTTACAATTATTTGGTTTTGTGTTATCCAAGAAGATTAGTCAATAACACATACAGCAAGATATTAACTTTGACTCTGCGCAATCAACAGTTAGCTGTATATTTCATGTGTTACGATCAACCTAGCTAATATCGGGTACAAATTTAGAGTTCTATAGTAGCTGGACCTACATTGTATCTTCAAATAATCATCAAGAATTCAATATCATTACTTTGAAAATTCCAGTGGATCTCCTTTAGAGACACAGGAATGAAATCACAAATAATTATACTAACTTTGCAACCAGAACAAGCTTATTTATCACAACGCGAATGGAGAAATCATATATTTCCCTGGAATCCTTATACCATACCGGTCCCACGCTACAAATGAATAGGTTGGACTTCACCAAGTGTACTAACACACGACTTATTTTTTAGTGCTACTGGTTGTACTACTGTCTTGAAACCTGCTGAATCTACTCCATTGTCTGCCTTGTACCTTTCCCAATTGTTGGTTGAAGCCGGTATGCCAAAGGGTGTTGTCAACATTGTTCCAGGTTTCGGTGCCACTACTGGTGCTGCTATTGCCAGCCACCCAAAGATTGACAAGGTTGCTTTCACTGGTTCTACTGCTACTGGTAAGGTTATTATGAAATTGGCTGCTGAATCCAACTTGAAGAAGGTTACTTTGGAATTGGGTGGTAAATCCCCAAACATTGTTTTCAACGATGCCGACTTGGATAAGACTATTGATAACTTGGTTGTTTCTATCTTCTACAACTCTGGTGAAGTCTGTTGTGCTGGTTCCCGTCTCTTGGTTCAATCTGGTGTTTACGACGAAGTTGTTGCTAGATTCAAGAAGGCTGCCGAATCCCTTAAAGTTGGTGATCCATTTGAAGAAGACACTTTCATGGGTTCCCAAGCTAACGCTAACCAATTGGATAAGATCTTGAAATACATTGAAGTTGGTAAGGAACAAGGTGCCACTGTTGTTACTGGTGGTGCTAAGGCTAGTGACAAGGGTTACTTTATCAAACCAACCATTTTTGCTGATGTTAACAAGGATATGAGTATTGTCAAGGAAGAAATCTTTGGTCCTGTTGTCACCTTGATCAAGTTCGACACTGTTGAAGAAGCTATTGCTTTGGCTAACGACTCTGATTACGGTTTGGCTGCTGGTATTCACTCCACTGACGTCAACAAGTGTATTGATGTTTCTAACAGACTCAAGGCTGGTACTGTTTGGGTCAACACTTACAACGACTTCCATCCAATGGTTCCATTCGGTGGTTTCAGTGCTTCCGGTATTGGTAGAGAAATGGGTGAAGAAGTCTTGAAGGAATACACCCAAGTCAGAGCTGTCAGAATGAAACTTAACCCACTTCCATAAAGTTGATACTGGTATATCTACATAGTGTTTTTTATGTTTTAAGATAACGAGAAGAATTAAAAAAAATAATAAATTATTACCTATTCGATATGTTTTTAAAATGTTGTGAATTGATTGTAGGATGGATGAATCAATAGATGCGGCACAGTCATGGTACGGATTGAAACGATGGTTAAGTGGTATGTTAGTAATATAAAGAGTATGGGCCGCCCTAGGGGAGGTGCATTCAGATGGCTCTGTGGTGTGTAATCGAAGTGAGGTGGTTGAATGTATATTATGCAAAATCAACAAATCACCAACAGTGAAGTCACCATCATTTGAAACCTATCAGTTAGATCTGTCAAATAATTGGTTATAACAAGACATAACAGCTATACGGTGCAATATCTGTGAGCTCCCTCTATCTAATTTCCACGATAATTGATCCCAAACTATGAGACTATAAGTTGTGAGCTATATCTCAAGCACACTAATGGCACATTTTCTTAACCCATAAATTACATTTAGACAAATCTATTTCTAGTTCTATAAAAAAAAATATACATGTTCTCATATATCTTACTCTTCTAATCTCAAATCATACTCACTTAAACCAATTTTTGAATCTAATTTTTTAAAATTTTTCATATATGTTTCTCTCTTTTTTTCGGCAATTTCATTCATTTTTGGCCAGTAGACTTCATGGATATACTCGAAATCCAACATACCATTAAATTCTTTATCCAACTGCTCCTTTGGAACGAAGTTTTCGAATGGTTGATCGTATATGGTTTTCAGTCTTGTATATGGATCGATAAATGGACCAACAACTTTGAAAAAAGTATATCCTATCCAAGGAATATTGGTAAACAAACCCCTACCAAGTCTCTCTGGGTAATGACTCTGTAATATATGCAAACATTGCTTAGAGATTGACAAGGATGGGAATTTTGAAGATAAATTTAATTCAGCTGGAGCTGCTTTGAAATCAATTAACAAAGCTAAACTATCTTGTCCTGGAGGCATGTATTGAATAACCCTTTCAAGCATGAAAACCAAATGTTGAACTTGTCTGAGACTAGCAGAGGTATTCTGATAACCATTGCGCAAGTAGAGACATGGTCTGTTATCAAGGTCATATCCAACAATCAAGTTTTTCCCAGTCTCATTCTCAGCTGCAACCAAGTCAGCAGTAAGAAGTTTAGTTGGATCTGTATGGCCAGGAACATTGATGACACCAAAAGTTCTTCTCCATACTATTGTATCTTCAATTCTTTCTATGGCGGCATCTAATTTCCACTTTGTAGCTCTCAAGAATCTCAAGAAACATTCCTTAGTTAACCACGCTAATTCTTCTTCCAAAATGGGATGTGTTGGCGCGTTTGGTTGGTCGTTCACAGGTATATCTTTGGTGATATATTCTTCAAAGTGTGCCAATATGCTATCATACTTTTCTTGTTGTTCTTCATCGAGATCAAAAACTTGACGCTTGATTGGGTTAACCGGTTGCTCAAAAGGCACATGACACTTGATTAAGCTACTTTTTTTGGAAGTGGAACTTGCAGTTGTTGTTTTAGATGACACCGAGATAGAATCGGCCTGTAACATCTGTGATGAAGATTCGGATCTATCGTCGTCGTCGCTTCTCTTGAAAAATCTCTTCATGCTATAGTCTTATTGCAAGTGGGGGAGTTTTAAGTCAAGAAGTAGATTATAATAATTGAAAAATAAAAAAAAGAAAAACTGAAACAAAGAACAACAACAACAGCAAAAAAAAAAAAAAATTGAAATGAGAATCTTCTACCACCAATTTAGCGGAAGGGGAAAAATTACAATTATCCGAAAGACACCACGAAACAGAAAAGAAAAAAAAAGGAAACGTTAAATATTACTTAAGACCAGAGTAAATAGTATTCAAGGTAACAACTATAAATACTAAGAAAACTTTTGTTCATCCTTTTTTTGCAATCATGCCAGTTCAAGTTTTAAACAAGTCCCAAAACTTAGAAGCACCGTTCACACAAGATTTTATATCAGATTTAGTGGAGCAACATGCTAATCTTACATCTAAAAACTTAATCACCAAAGTTGCTGAAAGCTTGAAAGAGAAATCTTCAAAACATAAATTTATAGTACAAGCAACAGCATTGCACAGTGATGACACATCCTTTGATTTGAAAATCCAATCCGATTTTGTTGCTTTGTGGGATCCGAAGAAGGATGGTTGCTTCACTTTAAAGGTATCGCAAGAGGGTGGAGTTGAAGCAAGTACACTTATTACCATTTATTGGATATCTATTTAATCTAACATACTCGATAAAATTTCCAACTTTCCATTCAATTTTTTCAAATCTGACGTTGATATGTTTAACAGTTTATTTAGTTGTTCAAGAATAGCCCTAGTATCTTCATCTTGGTCTGGATCAAATTCGTAGGTACTATTTGATTGTAAATATATATCATCTGGTTTCTTGTCATATTCAATGAGATTTAATTCTTCATGTATGTCATCAATATCACTATCCAATTTGAGCTGATGTCTTTTCAGAGTTTGTTTGAATTTTTGAAGATATTGCAAGTCCAGTTGGTGAGATAACAACATCTGATTATAATGATCTTCCAACTCTTGTAATTGCTTAAGCTCTGCCAGTAGATAAGTCTCCAAAGCTGTTTTTTTTCTAGACACAGAATCATAACTTAATACATCCTTAATTTCGTTTGCTTTTATTCTTACTTTAGTATTATACATGGAGTTTGGTGGAGGAAGATTGGTCTGATCTAGACGCGCTTTGAAGGATTCTGGGTTAGATTGATTAATCCAAGCGGTTGTGAGTGTACGACTAGCTTTGCTTACATCTGATTCCTCTTCAAGTGTTTTCAACAAAGCAATATTAAGCAATGAATCCATTGATTGGGAATTATGAACATCTAAGGGTTGCCACAACTTTTCAATTATTTTAGTTGATATTCTTTGTTTACTAATGATATTTTGTAGATTCAAGGGTATGAGTGCTTCATTATCAAATGGAAGCTTTCTCTTTTTAAGAGATGGTTCATCATTCGTTATGTCTATATGTGAATTTTCTAAAGGGATATCTGAGATTTCAGTTGGCGAACTTCCAGCCATTATTTTTTATGGGATATAAGTAGCTGTTGTTTTGATTTTATGTTCTTTTTTTCTTTAACAGAAAGATTTATTTTACTTTATAATTTTTCGTCCACGCGACGAAAGATGCTCAATGCGCCGTACCAAGAATAGTAAAGTATTAGCAACTGTCTAAACAATGGTATCGTCAGTCATGACGTATATTTTTCTTAGAATTCATTCAAATTGACCAAGTTGTAGAGGCATTATTGACAAGTGCATTCAACCACCTCACTTCGATTACACACCACAGAGCCATCTGAATGCACCTCCCCTAGGGCGGCCCATACTCTTTATATTACTAACATACCACTTAACCATCGTTTCAATCCGTACCATGACTGTGCCGCATCTATTGATTCATCCATCCTACAATCAATTCACAACATTTTAAAAACATATCGAATAGGTAATAATTTATTATTTTTTTTAATTCTTCTCGTTATCTTAAAACATAAAAAACACTATGTAGATATACCAGTATCAACTTTATGGAAGTGGGTTAAGTTTCATTCTGACAGCTCTGACTTGGGTGTATTCCTTCAAGACTTCTTCACCCATTTCTCTACCAATACCGGAAGCACTGAAACCACCGAATGGAACCATTGGATGGAAGTCGTTGTAAGTGTTGACCCAAACAGTACCAGCCTTGAGTCTGTTAGAAACATCAATACACTTGTTGACGTCAGTGGAGTGAATACCAGCAGCCAAACCGTAATCAGAGTCGTTAGCCAAAGCAATAGCTTCTTCAACAGTGTCGAACTTGATCAAGGTGACAACAGGACCAAAGATTTCTTCCTTGACAATACTCATATCCTTGTTAACATCAGCAAAAATGGTTGGTTTGATAAAGTAACCCTTGTCACTAGCCTTAGCACCACCAGTAACAACAGTGGCACCTTGTTCCTTACCAACTTCAATGTATTTCAAGATCTTATCCAATTGGTTAGCGTTAGCTTGGGAACCCATGAAAGTGTCTTCTTCAAATGGATCACCAACTTTAAGGGATTCGGCAGCCTTCTTGAATCTAGCAACAACTTCGTCGTAAACACCAGATTGAACCAAGAGACGGGAACCAGCACAACAGACTTCACCAGAGTTGTAGAAGATAGAAACAACCAAGTTATCAATAGTCTTATCCAAGTCGGCATCGTTGAAAACAATGTTTGGGGATTTACCACCCAATTCCAAAGTAACCTTCTTCAAGTTGGATTCAGCAGCCAATTTCATAATAACCTTACCAGTAGCAGTAGAACCAGTGAAAGCAACCTTGTCAATCTTTGGGTGGCTGGCAATAGCAGCACCAGTAGTGGCACCGAAACCTGGAACAATGTTGACAACACCCTTTGGCATACCGGCTTCAACCAACAATTGGGAAAGGTACAAGGCAGACAATGGAGTAGATTCAGCAGGTTTCAAGACAGTAGTACAACCAGTAGCACTAAAAAATAAGTCGTGTGTTAGTACAAAAAATCCTTGAGAAAAATCTTGCGCGCACCTGAAAAAAATTATGATGCGCGTCTGAAAAAAAAATCCGTTTTCTAACCAAACTATTGGTTTTCATGAATTTGAGCTACCTGACCTTATAAAACAATCAGTTTTAACTCAATTCAACGGAGACTTGATTAGATACATACAGAACTGGTCCAAGCTTCCAAGAGGCCATTAACATTGGAAAATTCCAAGGTATGCTGTATGTCACGTGCGCTCCCCACGTGATTTCTGTCATGTGATTCTAATCATGTGTTATAAGTCAGGTGATTTTTGGTCATCTTATATTGATCACATGGTTATTTGTCACATGATTTTCACGTGGTAATCACGTTTTTGTTAGTAAAATTATTCTTAAAAAGTATAAAATGGAGTAGTTTTATACATACATTTGACCACAGACCATTGGGACTCTTTGAGTGTAATTGAAATGAGAACTTCCGGTGTTGATTTGGCTTCCAGTGATTTTATCAGCCCAACCACCACATGATCTAAAGTAAGCAGCAGTTAAGGCGATATCGCCTCTAGCATTTTGCAATGATTTACCATTGTCCCAAGTTTCAATTTGAGCTAAAGTTTCTGCATTCTCTTCGACTAAATCAGCCAAGTTGAACAAAACTCTTGCTCTTTCTTCTGGTGGACCAAGAGCCCATCCATTGTCATAAGCTGCTTTGGCAGCGTCAACTGCGGTATTAACATCTTCAGCTAAACCTTCATAAACATCAGTGATTTTTTCTTCAGTAGATGGAGAAATAACTTCAAAGGTTTTGTTGGCTTGTGGAAGAACGTATTCGTTATTGATGAACAAACCCAATGGTTGGTTGTAAGTGATACCTCTTGGGGTAGTAAGTTGAGTAACTAATGGCAAAGCTTTCTTAAACATTTTGCTTCTTCAATTGTTGTTGGTAATGAAAAGTAGCAAGTTTAACACAGAAAAAAAGAAAAGAAAAGAAAAACAAGGGATAACAAAAAAAACAATTGAATTTTTTGGGAAATGATCTACATTTTTATACTTTGAGCTGAACAAACATTGGCACTTCCAGTCGTGATGGAATTGAATCAACTGCGGGGGTGTTGGTGGAAATTATTCCCAACATCGTATACACGACTGAAGAAATATTAACATCTCGAGTGGGGGAACATGCAAGGTTCTTTCCACTAGAACTCTAACTCCGAGAGTTCCACGTATGTGTGTTAGTGTAACTGTTCTAGTGCAAAACATTTTTTCTGTTTCTTTCTTGGTGTATAACTTTGTGACCATTACAAATCGGTGATTAAAGGACAAAAAATTAATGATCACCCGCTGGAAATAATTAATAATCAATCATTAGGCATTAGGAAATAAGATGCCTTTCAATGATTGTTATTGTCATCTTCTTAAATCCTTTCTTTTATGTGTTGGAGAGCAAGATTTCAATGTATGAGTTAAGATTTGTAAGATTATATATTCGGTCTTTAACATACTGATAAAATTTATTTTTAAAGGGAAAGAGAGAGAGAGAGAGAGAGAGAGAGAGAGAGAAAAAAAATAATAATAGGATATGAAAAAGGGGTAATAGGACTCCAATCGTATAACCATTTTTTTTTTTTAAATACTCCCTAGCTTACCCCATTTGTTTTCGTCAACGAAATCATTTTTTATTTTTATGAACAGTCGTGAAGTAGCGATTAATGTGCCGAGGTTTAGATGCCTGCATTAATAATGAAACTAATAAAAGGACAACTAAAGTAAAGAATAATGACGTTTTGCGCTATCTCGGTCTTAGCTGACCATTTTCCCAACGGTTCTGCAGCCAATGTACCCAACCTGTTCTCAACTCCGAAGTATGGCGAAGGGTTAGGACAACCAATCTTAACTTGTGTATCGTTTTCTGGTACGTAACACCGACATTTTGTGGGTTTGAGAAATAGATTTACCTCATACACCGTATTTTTCACGAATTAAAATTTTGACACCGTAATGGATTATGAAATTGTAAAGTGAAAAAGGCATCGCAAAACATTACCAAACAAAACTAAACAAAATGCCAATAGTAACAATCTTTCTTGGCACTAACTACATTTCAAAGAATAGACTGTGTAGATTGTATTGACGTTTGAGCTTCTCTTGTTTTGGGAAACTATTTTGTTTTTTGTATTCTTGTATTAGGGTTTACAGGTACAGAACAAGAATGTACAGTATGCTAATGACAAGAAATATTTTTCTTCATTTTAGTATTAGTCCTTTTGCGATGAGCGTCTGTATAGAGAATAACCAGAATTGAAGATTTTTGTTGAGCTGTTTCAATTGCAAGGACCTGTTCTACGTATTGACAATTACTGTGTCAAAAATCAAAAAAAAATCTTTGTTTTGAGATACTTTTCAGCCTTGGCTGTGAGTTTTGCGTATGTTTGTACAAATGCGTGCTCTCTGACTCTGTTTAGAGATGAGTAAAGCTGTACACACGAATTACTAAAGACAAAAGGAGAAACTGTGCCACGTTTATATGAAGAAGAGAAGCCATTCATTCAGATCTTTCTAAAAGGAGGAGGAGAGCGCATATAATTGTGAAATACTTTCAAAGTCCGTAGGTTCGGCACTTGATAAATAAAGTTTCTGTAGACTATTTAACAAAAAACTTGTATTTCTTTTTATTTTACCTATAGTATCTATCAAGTGCATGGTCTAGTTTTATTCATTCGTAAAACTTTTTTTATTGTACTTTTCTAGGATTTTGAATCCTATGATTCGAACGCGTCATAAAGTAAAAAAAAAAACAACGAAAGAAAAAATAACTTCAGCTATGCCATGCATAGTCTCCGCATTAAAATTGAAAAACAAATGCTTGGTCTTTTTGAAACCCATTTCCTAAATTGGACGTCACGTTCTGTTATGTAAGCATTTTTATGATTGAATTTCTCCAATAATTCGAACTCAAATACTCCCAAAATTTGTTTAAATAGGAAGCCAGATGTAATTACTATAATGTAGAATATATATCATTTGATTATTATTAGTTTTGTTGATTTCAAGGGCTGTGCTTTTTTTTGGTCAAGAATTGATTCAAATTTTTGTACAAAAAGATGTAACTCCACATAAATCACAAATCAATGATTAAATAGTACAGAAATGACGTGTTTTACTAAACTATCTATTACACTATTTATACTTACACAGTTAAAGACTCCATATTTTTAGTTAAGTCATCTTTCTCTATGATATTTCCCAATTTATCGTACTGGACTTCTTCTTCTTCTTCTTCTTCATCGTCATCGTCATCCTCTTCTTCTGATTCAATTATATTGCCCAATGAATCATACTTTACTTCTTTCTCTTCAATTTCATTACCTAGAGCGTCATATTTCTTTTTCGATATAACGTTTCCCAAGTTATCATATTCAACTTCTTCTTCTTCTTCTTCCTCCTCGCTATCTGCATCTGAATCTAGAACACCCTCGTCCTCATCATCATCGCCTGCTCTGTTTACATTCCCCATCATCCAAATATCTCCACTTTGAGCCTTATCTTTTCTTTCTTTCGCTTCTTGTTCAATTTTTTCCAACCATTCTTCTTGGGCTTTAGTTATACTTTCTGAATCGGTACATTTTTGATATAGTTCAATCAACTCTTCATTTATTTTTAAAAATGTTAACCCCCATGAAAAATTCAGTAATAATAATTCTGCCCAATCTAAATGACCCACAATTGCAAAACATGCAGCTAATGCTTCAACACAATTTAATCTCCATGGACGTCCATAATTAACAGGATTAGCAGCAACTAAATAAGGTAATAATCGTTCATTTTTACCTCCAATTTTATTAAATGGAATTTCATCTAATCTTGCCCATGAACATTCAACAACTGCTGCACCATTAGTTTCAACAATTTCTTTATCATTTGGACAAACTATTGATTTACCATTTGGTGAAACTACAACACCTTGGAATTTTTGTCCAACTCGAAGATTTTTAATTAATCCTAATCTTTCAAGTTTTTTACCACTACATCTTTTAGGATCACAATGATCAAAATCCCACATTGCTAATTTTGTAGGAAATGCATTATTTGAATTGGAACTTGATGATGATGCACCGGTTTCTTGTCTACCTTTACGAATATGATGTTGTTTTGATTTATGTCCATTTGATGTACGTGATTTAGATGATCTTTCTTCACTAGATTTGTTCTTTCCTTTTGCCATTGTTGTTGTGTGGTGATGGTTATGGATGATGAGATGATGTTTGAAGAATGAGAAAAATTTTTAATTTCTCATTTTTGTTTGTCTATTCATTTTCACAGTTATCCCACGATCTACAATTATCATTTTCTTTTTTTTTTTTTAAATAAAAAACAATACAAATTTCATTAAAATACTAATATACAATAAAAAGAATAAAGGGAAAAGGAAAACAAACTATAAACTAGAATATTTTTCTTTATTTAAGAAGAAGAAAAAAAAAAATTGGAACTGAAATCATTAATACAAAAAAATAAAACTCTCGTGTTTTGAAAAATTATTAAATAAAGAAAGATCCAATCTTTTCATGCTTTTAGAAATCTTCATCAAAAGTGAAAGCACCGGTTTCTCTGTCTTCAGCTTTAGACATAACACCAGCTTTTTGGTAATCAGAAACTCTCTTTTCGAAAAAGTTGGTTTTATCAGCCAAGGAAATATTTTTCCATGAAATCGAATGGGTTAGTAACATTGTAAACTTTCTTGTTATCCAAGGCAAATAAATAATCTATCAGCAACATATTCAACATATTTGACACATCAAGTTCACAGTTCATACTCCAATAAAAGAAACTGGAAGAGCATCAGTGAAATATTTCTTTTTTCAACATCAACAGCTTTCAACAATAATCTTTTCAACAATTTTCTGGAGATGGGTCTGTGTTGCAAGTGGGAGGACAACCAAACAAGCTAAAATCAGGTATGTAAACCCTTCCATCTCTTACAGATCAAATTCATGGAGAAAAGTCAAACCCTGGCATCAAAACCTCTCTTTTTCAAACAAGAAGATAGGAGCAAATGAACCACTGAAAGAAAATACCTTCAATAGCAGCAAAAAGCAACCAATCTTTCAGCATATAAAGCATCTTTATCTTGAATCCATTTGATGGCCCATTCAGCTTTCTTGGTAATACATGGAATGTTTTCAATGGCATTAAACAAGAAATCAGCTTCTTGTGGGTCTTTAACATAAGTTTCAATTAATAAAGAATACATTTCAGAATGAATGTTTTCCATCATGATTTGGAAACCATAGAATGATTTAGCTTCTGGCAGTTGGACTTCGGCAGAAAAGTTTTCAATCAAGTTTTCACCAACAATACCATCAGAAGCAGCGAAAAAGGCTAAAACTCTAGAAACAAAATATCTTTCATTGTCATTTAATTTGTTGTTCCAATCATCCAAATCTTTACTTAAATCAACTTCTTCACAAGTCCAGAAGGAGGCTTCGGCTTTTTTATAGAAATTCCAGATTTCATGATATTTAATTGGAAACATAACATAACGACGTTTGTTTTCTTGTAATAATGGTTCTTCAGCTTCCAATTGTTTCAATTTGTGTCTGTGAACTTTATGTTTAGCCAAAAATTCTTGATGTTTCTTCATATTTTCAGTAGATTCTTCAGTTTCTCCTTCTTTAGAAACAACAGATTGTTTAACTTGTTCAATAGTTTGAGCTTCATCTTTAGCTTTAGCATCAGCTGCTAATTTATCAGTTAAGGATTTTCCTTTCATGGTGGAGACATCTAAGTTGGAAATTTTACCGGTTAAACCTCTAGTTGGTGTTTCTTGAGCAGACATTGTTAATATTAGTTGAATTGATAGTGTAATAAGTGTTGAATCTTAAACGACAAAAAAAAAGAAAAAAAGATCTGAAAAAAAAAGTCTCGATGATGTGGGAAATGTCAAGTGATATTTATACTAAATTGGAGCAGGAGTTTTTTCTATTCAAATCACATCGTCAATAGGCAAAAAAAGCCATTCCCGAGATTATTTTTTTTCTTTTGCTATTTAGTTTTTAGGAATGATGATGCTTTGTGTATTATACATTAAATTACTATGTCGTTATATGTATTTTGTGACTGTAAAGGAATTTTTTTTTTCTTTTCTCTTCATTGCTCAATTGTTCTCTTTTTTTTTTGCAGTGGTGACACGACACGTATGACGGAAAAATAAAAAATTTCATTGGAAAATACTTATACACGCGTAACGTGTAATCCTTGATTTGTTTTGATCTCATCCTGTTAAGGTAATGAAGAGATAGAATGAATTACTAATCAGCGTAATCGGTTATAGCAACTCAATTGAATGATTTAGAGTAGAATTATTCTACAGGATGATCTAATTCCAATAATACTATCATGCTTTCTGCATATCGTAAACCCATAGCCGTCAATGGTCCACAATATTCTCCTCATGTCTTTCCAATTCATCCCTTTAAAAGAAAAGAAAAGAAAAGAAAAGAAAAAGAAAAAACTACCACATAATCTGACATGATTTAGCCAGCAACATCGGGTGTCGTGCGTCCCTTTCCAAGACGCGTTTGTGTGAGTGAAATTTTCATGGACACGTCTGTTACTAAAAAAAAAAAATTCAATTACGTGATTTCAAGTCGCGTGTTTTTTTTTTGGGTTTGTGACCTGTATTATATTTTATGAATTTTCAAGACAATAAACTCTAATGTTTTTGTTTTCATTCTTCGAGATTAAGGTAATTCCGATAAGGAAATTGTGATAAATGTTCAAAATCAAGAAAATGAATTACAACTCAAAACAAACTAATACCCATAGCTATAAACTACAACCGACTTACGGGATTGAGTAGGATTGGCTAAATGCTCTATATTTAGTCGCGCAGATATCTGCTGATGATGAAACTTAAATGAAGATGTGATTACTAATCATTTGGATTATGATGAATTGATAGTAATATATATAATATATATTTGGGTTTCTTACTTGTATAGTCATATCTATAAACATGGATGAAAGAAAAAAAAAAAATAAATCATACTGGGTGAGAAATGGAAATAAAAGTGAAATAGAATTGAATTAATAGCTATCTCCACACAATAGTAATTTGAATACATAAAAAGATAGCTTATCAAACAGCATAATAAATCAAACCATGAGATTTCTGGTTGCACCATAAGTTGGATTATCATCAACAAGACTTAAAGGAGATGTTACTCTTGGAGGTGAATTCCCAATTGCTCCACCAAAGTCAATTGGATCATTCAAACTTGGAACATCATCCTCAAAACTAGTGAAATTAAGAACTGGAGAGCTAATTTCATTAAAATCCAAATCCAAATTTTCATACAATTTACCAATATCACCATGACCACCATATGTCTTACTACAATTCATTTGCAAATCATTGATTTCCTTTGACATAATCTCTGGCCATTCAAACCAATTCAAATCCATGGAGAAATTCTCAGCAAATGCTCTTTCGGCATCTTTACTAGACAAATATTGGTAATGTGGTAATGATGGTAAACCAAATAACATGGAGTGCATGTTGGTTTTATCACTAATCAAACGTTTTGGACGACCATACAACTTAAATGCATCAATAATCGGGATATAATTACGAATCATAGTTTCAACTGCAGTGACCCCCGGATGAGAGATTGGCATGATGTACATGGAGTTGGTCAAAACAAAGTCATCAGCATGTCTCTTGAAGAAACTGGAGTTAATTCTCTTGTGACCCTTTTGATTGTGATTTGGATTAACAGGAGATCCATTCAATGAACCATTTCTGGCAAGACCATTACTGGATGGTGGAGATGATGGTTGATTGAAAAATGAACTTGTAGAATTTGTTGAACCTGAACGTGAACGATTAACTGGTGTTCCTGGTGTATCTTTAGTAAGCGAAGAAAGGGAATGATTAGAACCAGAACGTGAAATACCATGATTTTTAGCAATCAATTTTCTTGGATTAAGCAATTGGTGATGATGCAATTCATTATCCATACTATGAGGGAATAAATGTTCATAATTCTTACTAATATGGATTTCACCAGCAGCACGCATAATGGAGTTGACATCAATCATGTTTGATTGTTCAGGATACACATTGAAAATAGCAGCCAAGTCAGAAATATAAGCAATGAGGTATTTCTTCAGAACTTTTTTATCTGAAGGGTAAATCTCAATTCTTCCAATATGACCCTTGTCACTAGGTAAAACAACCATGTAAACTTTGATCCATTTGGTAGAAACCTCTGGTAATCTAATATTACACCATTCATACTGTGGGAATCTCTTTTTGTTACCCAACAAAACACGGATATCCAGTAATCTTGATCCCTTGGAGGACAAAATAACAGCAGTAAACGCTTCATTCAACTTTTCATATTCATATTTGGAAAGAATTATAGCACTCATCCATTTATTGAACAACCCTTTATCGTGAAATCTGAGCATCACGGCAGCATCTTCACGTAAATCTTGATATATTTTAATTTCAAGATCAGAAACCACTTCCACATGAGAATCAATAACATTGATATACTTTGGCTTGAATTCATTTCCTTCCTCAAATACATACTCATCAGACAGTGGTCTCCAGATGGCCAATTCACTACCAGTTAACTTGGCTTCCACTTCAAACCAGACCCTTTCAGAGTTGATAATTCCTGGAACCTGTAAAGCACCCACACAATAAGTTCTTAATTTTTGAGCGTTTATCAAAGTTACAACGGGACGGAATTCTGGAGGCAATGAATCGGTCTGTTGTTTATTTTGCAACAACAAATCTCTGCCAGAAACCGAACTTGTCGAAAAAGTAGATTCACTATCATCATTAGAAAAAATACGGCTCTGACGCACAAATGAGGAGGGGGTTGCTTTAACACGATCAGACAATGTGCGCTTATGCAAGCTGGTGTCTGAAACAGAAGCTTCTGCTACTTGATGTTGATTTTTGCGCAACTTAGGGGGAGTTGCAAAACTAGGGGATAAACCACCATTAACTTCATAAAATGAAGATGCTTCAGAAGTTTGATTAATTGAGGAGTTTGTATTAATTTTTGGCAACAAGGAAGTAGATTTAGAATCAGTGCTGCTTGTGCTGCCACTTTTTTCACTATCAGCCAAAAACCCAAAAGGTGATTGTATAGCAATATCCTTTTCTGGAACTGGAGGTGGAGAAGGGGTACTTGAATACCTATCTTGATCTTGTAAAGTTGTAGGAGGCTGAGCCAATGGGAGAAGTAACTCGATGATGGATTGGCAGGGCTGGAGGTGAATATGTAGAATAAAATGGGTTTTCTGTAGAAACACTTAAATGCTCAGTTGAAGATCGGGTGTTATCTGGATGTGGAGCAGAAATATGGCCGTGGTATTCATCATGTGGTGCCACATAGTGATTAGTATTAATGGATGTCGGTTGGTTGCCAATTTTTTCTTTATTACTGGATGTAAATTTTGAACTAATGCGATTCTTCTCGCTCGAAGATGTGGCGGTCGACGGAGAACTGGAAGGAGAAGAGCCACCGCCAAATAATTTCTTTGGTGAAGTAATATGGAAAGGCATTGTTAATATGAAGTAATAACAGATATGATGTTTGACAACAATTGAAATGTGAAAATAAAAAGTAATAACTAGATTTAAACAACAACCTCAGGAAAAAATAAAGGAAAAAAAAAAACCAAAAAAAGAAAAATAAAAGTTGAAGATATCCACGGGAGAAACTTATGAATATAAATGAAATTTGTTTAAGGGAATGATGACAAAACAAAACAAAATAAAACAAAATAAAATAAAATAATGCAAAGTATTAAGAAGCAAATGTCGGTAGATAAATAAGAATAGAAATAGAAATAGAACCAGGAATATGAATAAGAATAACCTTGACTAAGAAAAAAAAATTATCTTAATTATGATTTATAATGAATTTCTATTCTGTTTAAAAAGCAAAGATAATAAAATTTCTTAGCTTTCCTCTTCTTCTTCTTCTTTTGTTCCCTGTAGGTAATAATTGTTTTGTGCAAATTAATGGGAGAATCGGCTTGAAATTTTTTTTTTCTTTCTTTCCTTCGTTCGCTCGTTCGTTCTATTTCGTACCCACAAACACACACACAGAATAGAACAGTATCAAATCTCGATATATATCTGTCTAATTAATGGAACGTACTAGTATGGAATTTCAATTGTATTATTAACAACAGCGACAGATATGTAGATGTTATGGGAATACGATAAAGTTTATTCTGAGAATGATGTGGCTAAAAGATGACAATGATGTAATAATTATCTAATTTTCTGTCTTAGTAAAAAAAAAAGGAATCCGAGATGGCACTTAATTTTTTTTATTTTTTTTTTTAGTAAATCACTCACAGATAGATAGAGTATACACACACACACAAAATCTAAATTAAGCAGTCAGGATCCTAAAGTAAACAATAATTTGATCCAAATAAAACAAATATAATTGGAAACCAAATTCAAATAAACAAGAAACTCGTCACTACAGAAATGGAAAAAAAAATCGTCGTTTGACATGCAAAAAAATTGTAGCAGAGATGTAACATTCTATTTATATAGTGTATAAAGTTTTTTTTTTTTTTTTTGCTATCGGTATATCGCCTTGTTCTGTAACAGGGGGCAATAATTTTTTTTCTAAAAAAAAAATCTGAATTGCTGTAGAATTTCATCATTGTGTTTGAGATCATTCTTATTTAACAGGAGAATTCATGTAACCTGTGGTATACGGCAGTGACACCCAGACTACAAAAACAAAGAATTAACAGCAAAATTTCAAGTCATTTTGGCAATTTCATAAGTTGTTGTAATAATTGCAAAGAAAAAAAAAAAAGAAAGCCTTCCTGAAATATGTACTTATCTACCCGTAGTCAAGATGACCTTCTTTTTGTAAAAGATGTTCCTTGAAATGAAATAATATTCTAGTTATGACTTATAATAATAATAATATTCCCCCCCGAACAAGGCCCCGTTAATAGTTTTCTATTGTATTTCACAGCCGATATTTAAGAAGAGCCATTGGTGCGTTCGTTTGTTGTAAACCGAAAATCCGAATACGTGTTTAGCATATTAACCGATAGAAGATGACGAAAACAACGATGACTAGTCGAGTTTCTTTTTTTTTTCTTTATTTGCCCGGTATGATTTCAAGTTTGATGGAGAGGGGATGCAACAGGTATTATTTCTCGTACCCATTACGTTCGTTCCAGGAGTCTACATGAGCTAGATGGGAAACCTATTTAGCCTAATTTGATACATACACTTTCTTAGTAATTAAAGAACAAATGTAACAAAAGTTGGGAAATATTTGATACAACTATGAGAATTATTTACTTTTCAGCTAGCTAATCTTTCTTGTGTTGCTACACCGCCACTACTTCGCCTACTAGAACAATTCTAGTTTTGCTCTACAAAACAAGCCTTTCGTCTACTCCTACTGTATGCAACAGGGTTCATATATTCGTTTACAAATAAAAAACCTTACCAAAACATCTGGAATCGAATACCATCACTCTAATGAAATAAAACACAACATTCTAGATTTAGTTGAAGTAGCATGTAAAAGACCACTCTATGAATAATGCCATATGTAGGCTCTAAATACTTAGTTATTAAAAACAAAACAACACTTATCTTAAACTTACGATTTTTTTTTTATCAATGATCTGTCTTTTGAATCGAACACAAGTGTTGATGTTTCTTTTTCGTTAAATATGCAAGGCAATAAGGCTTTGTTCATTTGTTCATTAGTTCATTTGTTCATTTGCTCCATGTTTCTTTCTTTTTCTTTTGCTCCGGAACTCTTATCAAATCCCCACCCTTGCCTATTTGTGAATATGCCTAGTTATTAAACATGACATCATCGTTATGATGAGACGAAAGCCTTTTACTTGTACGGGAAAAGTTTGTATAAGAAAAAAAAAACTGTAATCTTACAAGAAATGTTTTTTTTTTTTTCACCCTCAAAACCATTAAGGAGGTGCTTTTCTATTTTGGTCATCTCCTCCATCTTCTCCGACCCCCCACTACAATGGTTCCAATAAATGGTGGAGATATAATTCTATATTAGTTACGGAATATTAAGTCATTCAAAATATCATGGTATCTGTAATTAAGAAAATAATCTAAGGAATGCAAAAAAATAGAACAATCTAAAATCTCTTTTGCACCAGATCTCACTTACGAAATAATAAATAGGAAAAAAAAAAATAAAAATAAAATTGAAACACTACACTACTTAACACTTAGAAACACATTTGTGCTTATTAACACGTGCAAAAAAAATTATAACACCAGGTATATTATGGCGTACTATCCATATGATGGAGAGATGAAGTACTTTCTAGATGATATCAAACCGCCTCCTCCAAACAACATCGAACCTACTTTCACTCTATTAACTAATGAATTGTTCGATAAATTGGATGCTGTACGACGCGAGAATCTTAATGAATTTAGAACAATCACTGAGAAGAAATCATTTATTATCAAAAAATTCATTGATGTTTTCAGAACTCATATTGGGCAAGATATATATCCTTCAGTGAAATTAATATTTCCTGAGAAAGTAGGAAGATTGTATTTCATTAAAGAAATTGCATTAGCTAGGCTTTTGATCAGAATGTACAAGATTCCTAAAGATTCAGATGATTATAAATTACTCCACAATTGGAATCAACAATATCAAAGATCAAAAAGATTCGTGGTTGATGAAAAGAAAATCCGTGATTTGCCATTACAAGCATCGAGGATTATTGGTAAGAGAAGACCTTATGTAGAAAAACCTAAGGAGTTTACTGTACAGCAAATCAACTCCATATTGGATCAATTAACAATGGCAAAAATGTCACAGGATCAGATGGAGATATTGAAACCTGTTTTAGATGAATTGGGTATATCAGAAGTCAGATGGTTGATTCATATCGTGTTAAAGAAAACAATACTACTGAATATGGAGAGGGTTTTCTTTAATGATTGGCATCCGGATGGGTATAGAGTATTCACTATTTGTAATGACTTACAAAAAGCATTTCAATTCTCAACTAATCCTGAAGAAAGATTAGATTCCAGTCAATTGAATATTCATCCATTATTCAAGTTCAAACCTCAATTAGCTGAAAAACTAACTTCTAGTTATAATAATTTAGTTAAGAAATTGCAAAACAAACATGAAATGGATCCTCCATATGAAGCGAAATTTAAAGAGATGGATTTACAAGATAAGTTCTACATTGAAGAGAAAATGGATGGTGATCGAATGTTACTTCATAAAGATGGTGATTCATTCAAATTTTTCTCAAGAAAATTAAAAGATTATTCATTCTTGTACGGTGAGAGTTTTCAACTTGGTTCGTTGACTAAATATTTACGACATGCATTTGCTGGAAATGTCAAATCAGTGATATTAGATGGGGAAATGGTGGCTTATGATTATGAACGAAATGCCATTCTTCCATTTGGAACACTTAAAAGTCTGGCAATACAAGAAAGTGTTAGACAATTCACTACTATTGATCAATATCAACAACAGACGTCATATCCTTATTACCTTGTATTTGATATACTTTATCTAAATGGGAAAGATTTAACAAATTATCCATTGTTTTTCCGTAAGAACATCTTGAATAGAATAATTCGTCCAGTCCCTCATAGATTTGAAGTTCACGATGCAAGATTAGGTTCTTCACCACAAGATATAGAGCGAGCTATCAGAGAAGTTGTCAGTAGCAGAAGTGAAGGGTTGGTTTTGAAAAACGTACAACTGAAATATGCCATTGATGGATTTCGAAACCCTGACTGGATTAAAGTCAAACCAGAATATTTGGAAAAATTTGGAGAGAATTTAGATCTTGTTGTTATTGGTAAAATTCCTGCTATTAAAAACTCATATATGTGTGGATTAAAAAGTTCAGTTGATGGTGTATATTATAGTTTTTGTGTTTGTGCCAATGGAATTGAAATTGATGAATTTGATAAAATTGAAAGAATAACTCATGGGAAATGGATCAAAACAGATGATGAAATGCCTCCAGAACTGTTGATTAAATTTGGCACCAAATTGCCGACTTATTGGATCCATCCTAAGGATTCATTGGTGTTAGAGATCCGTGCCCGTTCAATTGATGCCCGTAAAGAGAAAACATATGCCGTGGGAACTACATTACACTGCAATCATTGTCGTAAAATAAGAGACGATAAACCAATTGACGAATGTATTACATTGGAGAACTACTTGGAAATGAAAGCTAACTACCTGAATGATTTATCTCATGCACAAAATGCATTGGGAAAGAAACGTGGATTATCAGACTCGTTCAACGAAGGTCCTTCTTTGAAGAAAACAAAAGTCGAGTTTGATTTATTTGAAGGGTTTGAATTTTTAATAATGAGTGATAAGAAGGAAGCTAACGGAGATTCAACTAGTATTGATGAGTTGAAAATCATGGTTAAGAAATATGGAGGCAAGGTTGTCAATTCAATTGATGTTAGAACTAATATGCAAATCATAGTCATTACTGAAAAGGATTTACCAGTGTGTAACAAGTATTTACTCAGAGGTCTTGACTTGATCAAACCATGCTGGATCATGGAATGTATTGCACGGAGGAAGATTCTTCAATTGGAGCCGTATTTTATTTATGCAACTGGAAATTGGGAGAAATTTCAACATATGGCAGATCGATATGGGGATTCATACATCATCCACCAACCATTAAACATAGTGGTTCCTAATTTATCAAATGAAGAACTCAAGAGACTTCGTAATAGTTATGATTGGGGGGATTCTAAACCATTGGTATATTTATTCGAAGATCTTTCATTTCACATATTGGGAAATTCAGTAGCTGCAGAATCATTAAAGGATAGAATTGAAAGATTTAATGGAGAGGTGATTGATAACTATATAAAATGCTATTATATTGTTATTCCCCAATCAACACCAAGAGAAAATGCTCTTAAAGAGATTGATATAATGGCAAAGCAAATTGCTGAAGCTTTGACCATTGATGAAAGTGGTAAAACCTCACGTATTCCATATTTCGTTACTGAGTCATTCGTTACCAAGTCAATTGAATTGAATTGTGTCGTTGATCCAGAAGATTACAAGTATGTATAGATTATATAGAATAAACTAGTATAGCTAGACACCAATGATTGAAAGCTTTTCAGTTTACTGCACAACATGGACATTTTGTAATATCCGACCACAAAATTCAATGTCGCATTGATGATATCGGAAAAACAAATAATAATCAGACCTCCCTTGTTTTGCCATATAGTTTTTTTTTTTCTTTTTTCCCAACATTGTTGAACAAAACACTTTCTATCCATTTGCAGCACCAATTTGCTTTATAATAGGTATCAATGATGACTAGAATAATTGATCTTCCTTCGAGTATATTATATCAAATCTTCCGATACGTACCAAATGATATACTAATTGAACTTATTGATATCCCAACTGTGAGTGATCAAGCGTCCAATGCATTATACACCAAAGTGAATATCGGAGCTAGATCTAGAGTTCAGAGCACCCCTGAACTTAAAGGAACAGATAAGATCCCAGTCGTTGATTGTGTGAATGATATAATAAAATTACAAGTGAAGTATCCTATGGCGAGACCTAAACAATGGGTATTTGAAGAAAGTATTGATGTCTTTGAAGAGATTAATAATCATTCTACGTTGTTTGATGACGCCAAAGATGTGGAAATACAATTTTCTGAAACTTGGAATGATCCTCAGTTTAGTTCAAAATTCTGCGAGGACTATAATGCTAATCCTATATTAATTACTTCCCTTGTGGATTTTGACTTGAATGTTTTAAATAAGATTACTGGTGAAAGGATAGGGAGATATCTAACATCTTTACGTGCTGCTAAATTTAACATCAATAATGATTTTGATAAATTATCATGGTTTTCTAAGTTGACTTCACTTACAATTGACACCGAGTTTTCCCCTACACAGCTTTACCAACTTCCAAGGCAATTGACTAGATTAAAAGTTAGTTTAGAGTTCCATAAGGATGATTACATTGAAGAGCGTATAAATAATGATTCATTGATAGAACTTGATTTTCCAAAAGGATTGCGTGAATTAGATGTTGAATTTGCAGAAGAACATCTTAATTCAAGTTTTTTCAATTTGGATATTTCCCATCTAACGCAACTCAAAAAGTTAACAATATCTACGATTTTACCCAGCGGCACGAACAATTCCTATTGTCTGTGGGAACTTCCCAAAAGTTTGAATTGGCTAAGCTACATTACTTATCATTCAATGAATACACCACTAAAGATTATGTGTCCAGAATTAGCTTTTTTGAGAGTAGTAAAAGCAGAGGATTCAAAACGAATGGAATACATAGTGAATGATTTACCTGAGACGTTACAAGAACTACATACTTCAGCTGAAGGTATTGTATATTCACCACCTTCATATGGAGACCCACCGTCCTATAACGCTTCTCCTCATAATGAAGAACCACCCAGTTATTTTTCACCTCCTTCTTATGAGGCTCCTGAGAAACTTGAAAATTTACCTACATTAGACAGTCCAGAAGAGTTGAAGGAGAAACTGAACTTTCCAGAAAGCTTACAAAGACTTGTTATCGATGGATATTTGAGTGAATTTGGTGATAATAAAACTCCTATTAAACTTCCATCAACATTAACAAATTTAACACTAACTGAAGTATCCAATGTAGATTTAGACACATTACAAAACCTCACACAACTAACCAATTTAGTGGTACGAGGATTCAAAGGTGGGGACGAATTTTCATACAACCTTCCGTCAAGCTTGAAGTCATTGGAGATTATTGATCACAGAATAAAAATATTCCATATTATTGCTCCTAATCTCGAAAGTTTAGTAATTCGAGGTAACTTATCCGGAGTGGTAGATGAATCCAGATTTACTTTTCCAGCAAGCATCAAGAAATTATCACTACAAGGTTGCAGAATAGATAAATTGTCAATCGATTTTCCCGATTCATTAGAATGGTTAGATATTTCAATGAATAATCTAAAAAGTATTGAGAGTTTACCATCTGGTTTGAAATATCTTGATTTGTTCATGAATCATTTTGGATCTACAAATGACGTACCTACTTTCCCAAAACAAATCGAGACTCTAAATTTGAGTCGTAATCAAGTTCATGATCAATGGATTTGTAAACTGGATTTACCAAGCTTAACCAAGTTGAAGAATCTTTACATGGCAGAAGATAAATTTTGTACATTGAACATTGAAGGATTACCATTATCATTAGTTGCTTTGGATGTACATGGAGGTGGAGTTTCTTCATTCATTGGGGATTTTAAAGACCTTGTAAATCTTGAAGAGTTGGATTTGTCCGACAATGAACTATCCAAACATATCAAACTGTTAGGTGGTAATTATTCAAAGATATTTGGCAAGAATGTTATTTATTCCAGTTTGTAGTACGTGTAGTGAACTTGAAAAAAAAAAGTATATAAAATTAGATTTCATGCTGGATCACACATCTGACAGTTGTTGCTATCAGTAAAACAATTGGTAAATCTCGTGCATCACCGTCATATACAAGTTGCACCTGTCTACAGGAGTAATAATTCAGTTACTGCAATTACAAGACCGGCATCCCGACTTCTTTGGCAGCAAGTTAGCAACCAAACTCTTCGCGCAAGACCGAAACCAAAAGATAACGACATAACTTTGCGTATTTCAAAACTTCTGGAACAACTATAAAAAGAATCCACAAAATCAGAATAAATTTTCATGTAAGAGAAAAGAAAATACAACAACGAAGGAACAACAAAAAAAAAAAAGAAAAAGAAACAAAATCAAAGTGAGATTTTTGTTCATCATTATCATCAAAAATTGCCAAGAGGACATAAACCATAGTATAAAATTTTTTACCCCAGTTTTTAAAATGAACCCTGCAACTTCAATACATAACTTTCTTGATAAACGTCATAGTATAACATTTACATTAGCATGGTCTACCTTTTTCATTTGTTTATCAGCACTACAATTTGGTTATCATCTTGCAGAATTAAATGCCCCTGGAGAAATTCTATCATGTAATTTTAAAAAACCTGGTCCATTACCAAGTTATGATGATACTATTTGGTCTCATTTAAATTTTCGTCAATGTATTAAAATGCCAGACTATGGAGTTGCTTTAGTTACTACAATGTTTACTATTGGAGGACTTTTAGCATCAATAGTCTTGGGATTTACTTCTGTATGTTCTATTTATGGTAGAAAACAATTATGTACAGTTGCTGCATTATTTTACTTTCTTGGTTCATCGTTAATGAGTTTTAGTCAAACAAATTGGCAAATCAATTTAGGTAGATTGTTAAGTGGTGTTGGTGCAGGAAGTTCATTAATCATGTCACCCATTTTAATTAATGAATTAGCGCCTCATAATCATAGAGGATTATTGGGATCGTTGATGCAATTTGCAGTTTCCTTGGGAATTTTACTTGCACAGGTAGTTTCGTATTTTTACTCCGATGATCAACAATGGAGAATTATATTTATTGTTGCTGGATGTTTAGGGTTAATTCAATTCTTGGGATTATTTACTGTTCCCGAATCACCAAAATGGTTGATTATGAAATATAGTGATGTACAGCAAGCTACTTTGATTCTAGAAAGTTTAAGAACAGACCACACTACAGTCGAGTTTGAAATTCAACATTGGAAACATCTTTTAACAAACAATTTAGTACAGCAAGATGAGGAACAAACTGAAACTAGTCTGTTATTGTCTCACGAATCACAATCTTCGTTTGATCCACCACTGATATCTACCTGGAAATTTCTCAGTGACTTGAAGTATCGTAATCAATTAATTGCTGTTGTGTTGATCATGACAGGTCAACAATGGTCAGGAGTCAACACAATAACCTACTATGGTGTCCAAGTTCTTAATGGGATATTCAACAACCCTGATGGAAATATGGTTTTGTTCCTAAGTTGTTTGATTTCTACTGTAAACGTACTTGTGTCTGTCGGTGTTGCACCATTGATTGATAAGTGGGGTAGAAAACCATTGTTGATGTCCAGTGTGGTAATCTGTGGAGTTAGTGCTCTTTCATTGGCTATTGGTATTCCAACTAAAAATGATGCTGTTGTCGTTACGGCATTTTTCTCCTTTATAATAGGGTTTGGTATTGGACTTGGTCCTATTCCATTCCTAATGATTAGTGAATTCACAGGTCATGACGTAGTGACAATTGCTCAATCTTTTGGTACCGTTATGAATTGGTGTTCAAACATGTCGGTAGCTATGTTTTTTCCAATATTGACAAAGTTATTAGGGGGTGGATTGGTATTTTCGGTATTTGCGATTAATTGTTTACTTTATGGCATTGGGTTTTATTATAATATTCCCGAGACTAAAGGATTTAATCACTCAAACGACGTGTGGGAAAATTTCAAATAAATAGACTCGTAGCTTCTAAATACTTTAGTGAAACTAGACGTTAATAGCCAGCTGTTATGCATGTAATTTCATTTCATCTTGTAATTTTGGTCTCGTTTTGTGGACAGACCAGAATTCTAATCGTTTCTGTACGACACACACGGTTTTCTGGTGAGCCTAAGCCTCATTCCCCGAGACAAAATTCATTTCATCAGCTGAATTTTGGTTTTTTTTCCGAAGTACATATAAACTACCAAATGTCCTCTTTTGGGGACTGGTTTTTTCTTTTCTTTCTGGATGTTTTTTTTTTTACAACCAGTTTATTTACATACACATAAACATAAGAATTAGAACAATATGGTTGATTACAAAACTTGGTTAAGTGAAATTGACGACAACAAAAAGATTTCTCAATTGTCAATTCCGGGAACTCACAATTCTGCAGCTTGCCATACTGCATTACCATCTGTGCAATGTCAAGGTGCTAGTGTCACCGAACAATTAGAACATGGTGTTAGATTTCTCGATATTAGAGTTGGTAAATTGTTCCTTGGTAATGATGTTAAAGATTTACAAGTTATTCATGGTAAATTCCCTGTTAAAATTCCATTCCCATTGAAATTGACCGATACTTTGAATGAAGTTTACAAATTTTTACAACACAACAGTTCTGAAACTGTTATTGTTTCTATTAAACAAGAAGGTAGTGATGATTGGGATAATGCCAATGATGAATTTGGTAAATTGATCTGGGATAAATATGTCAATCCAAATAAAGACAAATGGTATTTGAACACCGATATCCCAAGAGTTGGTGATGCTAGAGGTAAAGCTATTTTGTTCAGAAGATTTGGAGTTCAAGATGAAAACTTGAAAAATCAATTTGGTTTCTCTGCATCATTCTGGACTTATAATACTACTGATGATGATCGTGGTCAATTTGTCGTTCAAGATTTCTGTGAAGTCAATTCTGCCGCTGATTTGCCTAAGAAAATCGATTATGTCAAGAACTTGGCTAAAAGAGCTCAAGATTACACTTCTAACAATGATGATAAATTGTTCCTTAACTTCACTTCTGGTGCCAATTTCTTTGATAAACAATGCTGGCCAGAACCTATTTCCAAAGCTATGATTGAAGGTAATATTGAAAGTACCTTCCAAAGAGGTGTTGGTGTTATTGTTTTAGATTATGCTGAAGCTGAAAATTGGAAATTGCCAAAAGCTTTGGTTGATACTAATTTTTAGATATACCTATATAAATTTCTCCCTTTTGTATTATACGTGTAATAATTTGTATTTCTGTTTCTGTTTTTTAGTATAAACCGTCTAGAAGATCTCTCAAATTTGTATGTTGTTTTCTAGAGTTGAATAAAGAGGTTTAACTTTTCATTACTCTAAGCGATATCGGGGTATAAGATGTCTCCGGTCCACTAGCAACGTTAACCAACAAAAAGCAAAAAAAAAATCAACAAGCAACAGAGAGAGAGAGAGAGAGAGAGGAAAAAAACACCCACACTATACAATATCCGCCCCAGATTCGAAATTAAAAAGTTGATACATTAACCCATAGAACTTGTATTATATGCTTGCACCGAGACTAATAAGAAGTTGTCTTCTAATAAGACCAAGAATTGCAAGTATCAGCTTACAATTGGCTCGATATCAGTCCAAGAAAACAGATTTTCCTGATTTCTCACAGATCAATGATCCCAAATTGAGAGAAATCATTGAAAGTACCAATTTCGGAACCGAAGCAAAACTAAAGAAAGAGAAAGAAGAAGCCCTTAAGAAAAAGAAGATTGAAGAAGAAAAAAAGAAATTGGAACAGGAAAGAGAAGTTCAAAGAAAACGTCAAGAAAAAGAAGAAGAAGAAGAAAGTAAGAAACAAAAGGAAGAAGAGATCCTGAATCATAGAGATGAAAAAGTAGCTAAAGCGAATGAGAACTTGGAACTGGAAATATATACAACAGAATCAGGGAAATTAAAAGGAGTAGATAAAGATACCCATGAAGCCACAGTGGAAACTGACGATGAAGAGTATAAATTGAGAATGGAGAATAAAATTATAGCTACGAGTAAAGCAGATGTTGATGACAGTGAGATTCCAAATTTGGCCAAAGAAATCAATGAAACTATCCAAAAAGAAATTGGTGGATTACCTTCTCAGAAGGCTAAACAACAAAGTGAATTAGCTAAAAGATTAACCAAATATTTGGATTCAGCTCATGATACAATTCTTACTGCTACACGTGCATTAAATGATGTTACTGGATATTCTGCCATTGAAAAATTGAAAAAATCAATTGAACAACAAGAAGATGATTTAAAGCAAGCAAAAGAAAATGTTAAAAAATGCAAGATTGCATATGGTGAAGCCATCCAAAGAAGATCACATTCTCAAAGAGAAGTCAATGAATTATTAACTAGAAAACACAACTGGACTCTGAATGACTTGGAACGATTTACTGAATTATACAGGAATGATCATGAGAACGAAAGATTAGAAGAAGATGCAGAAAAAAAGTTAGATGAAGCTGAAAGTAAAGTTGATAGTGTTCAGTTAAAATTAACTCAACTGATATTAACAAGATATCATGAAGAACAAATATGGTCAGATAAAATAAGAAGGTCATCTACTTGGGGTACATGGGTATTGATGGGTCTAAATGTTTTACTTTTCATAGTAGCAACGTTTATTGTCGAACCTTGGAAAAGAAAGAAGTTGGTTCATGCATTTGAAGACAAAGTGAAACAAGTTTTGGTTGGTATTTCTCAAGAGAATGAAGCTATTTTGGAACCAATAATTGAAAAATTAGAACCTACTGATGGACAAGTTGTAATACCAGAAGAAACAAAGGAATTAAACGTGTCTAAAGATCCATTAGTCCAACCCCATGATTCAGTGTTAAAACCATTTGATTTCAAGTTCTTTAGCAAGACATGGAATGGTATAAAGGAGATGTTTTGGGCAAACTACAATGCGTTAGTTTCCCCTGATATTCAAAAGCTAGAATTTGATAAGTATGAATTTGAGTTATTTACCATTTCACTAAGTGTAATTGCATTCAGTATAGGTAGTGTAATTACATACTTCATTAAATAGACTTTTTTTTTTCCAGTATTTATTGCAAAAGAATTAGAAAACTTAATCACTTGACAGAATCATGTTCGCCTGTACACGACGATTTGGCTTTTGCTAACCTGGACGCAATTTTTCTTTTTTTCCCACACCAAAAGTCCAGAAGAAGAGAAAACAACGAGAGTTAGAAAGAAAAAAAAAAATTGTGTTGCCACTTAAATTTTCATTTCAGCAACAACCTACTGATATCACCATCATAGAATACTAATACAACTTTACCATGGAAGATCCCGTTCTTTTAGACAACGTAAACAATGTATTGTCAAAAATAAATAACACAACTACTAATAGTGCCAATGAAGCTGATGTTTATCTCAAGTTAAAAAAATTAGAAAAAGAATTGGATTTATTGTTACTACAAGAAGAATACATCAAAGATGAACAACGTCATTTAAAACGTGAATTGGTAAGGGCACAAGAAGAAGTTAAAAGAATAAAGTCTGTTCCATTAGTTATTGGGCAATTTTTAGAACCAATCGATGAAAATACAGGTATTGTTTCATCAACTACCGGATCAAACTATGTTGTTAGAATTTTGTCAACTTTAGATCGTGAATTATTGAAACCATCATCTTCAGTGGCATTACATCGTCATTCTAATGCATTGGTTGATATATTACCACCAGAAGCCGATTCATCTATTTCTATTGTTGGTGAAGACCAGAAACCAGATGTTACATATGCTGATATTGGTGGTCTAGATATGCAAAAACAAGAAATTAGAGAAGCCGTTGAATTGCCATTAACTCAAGGTGATTTGTACTCTCAAATTGGTATTGAACCACCAAGGGGTGTTTTATTATATGGTCCTCCAGGTACTGGTAAGACCATGTTGGTTAAAGCTGTTGCCAACTCATCCACCGCTTCTTTTATCAGAATCAATGGGTCAGAATTTGTTCAAAAATACTTGGGTGAAGGTCCAAGAATGGTGAGAGATGTTTTCAGATTAGCAAGAGAAAATTCGCCAGCCATTATATTTATTGATGAAATTGATGCTATTGCCACTAAGAGATTTGATGCCCAAACTGGTGCAGATCGTGAAGTTCAAAGAATCTTGTTGGAATTATTGAATCAAATGGATGGTTTTGATCAGACTTCGAATGTTAAGGTGATTATGGCAACTAATAGAGCAGATACTTTGGATCCTGCTTTATTAAGACCGGGAAGATTGGATAGAAAGATTGAATTTCCATCTTTGAAAGACAGAAGAGAAAGAAGATTAATTTTCTCCACCATTGCATCCAAAATGTCATTGGCTCCAGAAGTTGATTTGGACTCTTTGATTATTAGAAATGATCCATTATCTGGTGCTGTTATTGCTGCCATTATGCAAGAAGCTGGTTTAAGAGCAGTTAGAAAGAACAGATATATGATATTGCAAAGTGATTTGGAAGAAGCATACACTTCACAAGTCAAAACTGGTACCGAACACGATAAATTTGATTTCTATAAATAATGTAATAAGTACTTTTCTTTTGTATATTATTATTTTTCTTTCATGCACGATTATAGTCTTAAACGTATATATACTCTTGTAGTATTCTATAACAATTCATATACACCTAAACCTGGTTTAAAATTTGAAAAATCAATATGATCCATATCCAAATGGAAAGTATAATTCCAAACTGGTTTAAATTGAGAAGCATTGAAATAATCAAAAGATGCAATTGGTGTGATGAGATAAACTGGCTTGCTGGTGTCATTCAAAATGGAGTTTATCAATTTTTGAACATTCTCAAAATCAGTTCCCATACAATCTATTATATTAATTGATTTATTAACATCAATCATGGTATCAATTGCAATAGTTTCAGTTGAGTCGTTTCCTAAAATCCAACTTGGAGGTGAATAAGTTCTCCACCAAATTTGTACCGAATCTTTATTTTGTAGTCTTAAATAATCCAAAGCTGGAACAACACCACCTTGATGGAATACTCCCATTAATAAACTCATAGAAATATTGAATAAATACCAAAGATACAACATCCAAGGTTTGATCCATTTTAAAGTGAAATCAAAACAACAACATGCTAATGGGACAATTGGGATTAGAAATCTTAGTTCTTGATGAGGAATAATGGAAAGGAATATTAATCCACTTATTACTGATAAAAATGGAGTTGTTCTGGAATAATATTTAGATATGAAAAATATCAATCCTGGACCTAAAATTTGTGGAAGATTAATCAAGATATGTGTATAATAAGGATGAATACCATGTTGTGCCAAATTATCATAACTTGAATTATATAATAAATTATTCAAAGGAGTGATTATATAATTGGAAAAATTTAATGGATCAGTAGAAATGGCATCTAACTTTCCATACATTATACTGTCAAATACAACAAATGATACAGTTGTTAAAGAAAATCCCAAAACTAAAAAGAAAAAACTCTTGATATGTGAAATAACATATCTAACAAGGAACCAACTAGGAAATATCAAAAAAGCTGGAAATGTAACTCTGTTAAATAATCCAATTGATATAAGGATTCCAATATAGAATAAACATGAACTTTTATCCATATTTTTCACTTCTTCATCTTTTGATTCTTGAACATATCTCAAATCATCAATAAGTGTAATTGTAACTATTAATAATAATGTTTCCACACTATTTGAAAATAAATGAGTTTGATAAACTAAAGTTACATATGAAGTCAGGGTTAAAAAAATTGCTTTAATTCTTTCAGGTTTACTAGGTAACATCCAATATAAACAAGTATCAGTAATGATCCAACTTAAAATTGTCAATTGTAATCTTGCCAAATACCAAATTTGTAAAGGAGTAACATTAATATTAAAGAATTTAATGAAATAAAGTAATGGTCCATATAATAAATATAATGGTCCTAAACTTCTTGCAGGATTATCTTGAAATTCCCAAGGTATATTTGTTGAATAATTCAAGATTCGATTCGTAAGAACTTCAAAACTTTGAAAATGTTCATCTGGATGAATATACGAATCAGATAATGCAAATATAAATCTAAACACAATTGTGAAAAGATAAAATGTTCTCCAATCAAAATTGAGTTTAATCATGGTTTTTTTGGTTCTAGACCCTATGATAATGATGGTGATAGAGATGATCTGTAACGAGATACGCGTGTTAAAATGAAGAAGAAAAAAAAAGAAAAATATAGTCAAAAATAAAATTGTTTGGTTAACAAGTCACGTGAGAGATAAAGTTGCAAAAAAAAGGACAACAGGAAGAGGACTACATGCTTGAGGTTACTGTTATTCCCTATGGTACAATACAGTATGTCAATGTATTGCCATCCGACAACGATTTATATTGTCCAACTCATTTAATCATGTTTTGCTGCAATTTTCATACAAAATGAAGACAAACAGCGCGTCGAGAGATTCCATCTATTTATCAGAGTTGTAACTGAGTAGTGATATTTCGTGATAATGTCCTCATAAAACGTAGTGATCGAAACATATGAATCAATGATGGAAGTTCAATATCCAAGGTTAAATTCCCTGTAATTTTATTTCGTTTAGAATTCATGTTGTCGCAAAATCGTATGCCCAAATTTTTTTTTTTTCCTTAAACATGGGAAACAATGCATCACTAAAATTCTTTTTTATTTTTTTTACTGCCGGAGTATTTTCCAACACCGATGTGACATGTAATTTTTGAAAATAGAAGTTTGCTATTAACAACAAGTGTGTGCTCAAGTAGTGTAGAAGAATAATCAATCCTACTAGGAACATACATCAAGTGTGATTTCTATTCAACAATGGCATTACTCCACAAGGGTGTACTTTTGTTGCAATTCAGAAATTGCACCTTGAAAATAAAAATTTTGTTTATTTTTGGTGCCAATTCTATTTTTCCTTTAATGGCTCCGAGAGGTACGGAGTTTTTAAGAGTGAATAGCAAAATACGGTGATTTGATTGGTCAGTTTCCTTTTTTTCCGTTGCATTTAAGTAACACAAACACCTTACATTAGTTTTTCCTCTGTGTAACGAATTTTTTTTTTTTGTTTTATTTCTGTTCGTTCTCCTCCTCTTCTTCTGCTTCTTCCACTCTCATCAAAGTCCAGTAGGAAAAAAAAAAATGAGAGACACCTCTCCGAATCAATTAACCTTCTTTCATTTTTTTTTCTTTCTTTTCTTTTCTTTTAGTTCCTTTATAGACTACAAGAGATATTTAATCTTTATCATCATACACAATGTTTAGACAAGTCACCAAATCTGTTCCAGTTACCAGAACTACCCAAAAACTCTTTGCCAGATCTTACATTGCTGGTCAATTTACCGGTAAGAAAGGCCCAGATGGTAAATACACTGTTACTTTAATTGAAGGTGATGGTATTGGTCCAGAAATCTCCCAAGCTGTTAAAGATATCTATTCTGCTGCTAATATTCCAATTAACTGGGAACCAGTTGATGTCACTCCATTGTTGATTGACGGTAAGACTACCTTGCCTCAACCAGCTGTCGACTCTGTTAACAAGAACTTGGTTGCCTTGAAGGGTCCATTAGCCACCCCAGTTGGTAAAGGTCACACTTCTATGAACTTGACTTTGAGAAGAACTTTCAACTTGTTTGCCAATGTTCGTCCATGTAAATCTATTGCTGGTTACGAAACCCCATACAAGAATGTCGACACTGTCTTGATCAGAGAAAACACCGAAGGTGAATATTCTGGTATTGAACACACCATTGTTCCAGGTGTTGTTCAATCTATTAAATTGATTACCAAACCAGCTTCTCAAAAAGTTATTAGATACGCTTTTGAATATGCTAAATCTATCAACAAGCCACACGTTCTTGTTGTCCACAAAGCTTCTATCATGAAATTGTCCGATGGTTTGTTTGTCAACACCGCCAAAGAAATTGCTGAAGAATACCCAGATGTTTCCTTAGATTTCGAATTGTTAGATAACACTTCCTTAAAATTGACTGCTGACCCATCCCAATATAAAGATGTTGTTATGGTTATGCCAAACTTGTATGGTGATATCATGTCTGATTTGTCTTCAGGTTTGATTGGTGGTTTGGGTTTGACCCCATCCGGTAACATGGGTAACACCGTTTCCATTTTCGAAGCCGTCCACGGTTCTGCTCCAGATATTGCTGGTAAAGGTTTGGCCAACCCAACTGCTTTGTTGTTGTCTTCTTGTATGATGTTGAGACACATGTCTTTGAATGCTGATGCCGACAGAATTGAAAACGCCGTTTTGAAGACCATTGCTTCTGGTCCAGAAAACAGAACTGGTGATTTGAAGGGTACTGCTTCTACTAAACACTTTACTGAACAAGTTATCAAGAACTTGTAAGTTCAAGAGGTTGTTTTGCTAAAATAAAATAAACAAAATAAGCACATCTCTACTTTTTCATACAAACATTATTTATAAACATATTCCATTTTTTTCATTTATTCATTAACGTATAAATAAGAAAATTACATTTATTTACAAAAAAAAATATAAAGAAAGAAATAATAAACGTACATATTCTGGATTCATCAAATATTTATTTATTTTTCAACTATTTGCTTAATTCTTCAAGAATGATATTAGTACCTTCGACTATAGCGACATGTTCGACTTTATGTACTCTATCTTCATAATCATCCAATGATTCACCTTTGATTAAGTCAAGTTCTTTAACCAAAATTGGAGAACCTCTGTCGACTTCAGCAATGACTCTATGTATCATGACACCTCCTTTAGTTATTTCTCCATCTTGACCAGCTTTCCAACAACGATCAATGGCATGAGTACCATCAAATGCACCAGGTAATGCTGGGTGTAAATTAATAATTGTAATTCCAGCTTTCTCTAATGGTTGTAATACAGTTGGAGATAAAATCAACATCCATCCAGCACAAACAATTAAATCAGGTTTAACATAAGATTCATCAGTACCTTCAATAGAACCATTTATTAATAATTTAGACAAATCAAGATTAAATTGTTCTCTACGTTGTTTACGTTCATCAAGTTGATCTTTAGTAGTTCCTTTATAATAATTCTTTAAGATATGAGTTTTGGTTGGGATTCCTGCTTCTTCAGCTCTTTTCAAACCAAAAGCTGACTCCGAGGATGATATGACTTGGGTGATTTTCCCTTTTAATTGTCCTGCTTTTTCTGCATCTATAAGTGCTTGCAAATTTGTACCTGAACCAGATATTAAAACAGTAATATTTAAAGTCATCGTGATATATTATGTAATTTCAATTGAATAATAAAAATGGATCTTACAATAGTTGCAATTTAATTTCTCTCTGTCTGTCTCTCTCTCTCATTTCTCAATTTTGTCTTCATTTATTTTTCCTGGTCTCTCACCTCTCTCCTTTCTTTAATGTGTGCAATCTTTATCAAATAATTTTGACTCTGCTAAACATAACCACTATTTGATTACATAAGCTGAAAGAAAATTTTTTTCTTTCTGTATAATTTGAAGAGAACAATTGAATATTTTTATTATCAGGATATTTCATTCATTCATCCATTCATTCTTTTTCTTTTTTTTTGGTTGGTCGTTCTTGATTTGTTGGTTGCAGATGAGGAGAAACATCAACAATGTAATTAACAAATGATGCGTAAATTACTAAATGAACAGAGAGCAAACCACGTTATAAAAATAGCCTCTCTTGTTCTAAACTTGATCAATTCTTCAATTGACTTGTTAAATGCAATACATCTCTTTACTGTTGTCAAATTGAAGAATTTGACAACACACACGTGATTCTGTGCAGGGTAAATGATTTAATGCGGCGGCACACCCAAACATCAATAGATCACAAGGAAAAAAAAAACAGAAAAGAGAACCATCAACAGCGATGGCTGGTACACAAAAAGAGACAGCAAAAAAAAAAATTGTTAGTGCATTTCTCCTTAAGGAATGACTTTCAACAACGAGCCATTTCAGTGCGTAGCTCTGTCACTCACCAAAACCAAAGGACAGAAAAAAAATTTTCTCTTGTAGAAAAAATTTTCTCTCTCTTCTTCCCCTTTTTGAATTCTTCTTCTTCTTATTACTTCTTGTATTCAAACCTTAAAACAATAATAACAAGATGGGTATGTTTCATAAGGATTAATTAAGACCAATTATTGGATTCAATGGTGAATTGAAATGCTATATGGATGGGATAATGGATTGATTGGAAGAAAAAGGGGGGAAGGATTACAAGGGCTAATGAAATTGCATCTCGCTATGGGATGAAAAAAAAAATTTTTCATTCGATTTTTCCCTCTCTCCTCCCTCTCCTCCCTCACACTGTTTTAAATTTGTTGATTTGGATAGATTGGTTTAACCAACCAATACTATATATTATTTCAATTATCGTTAATCCTATTGGTTGACAATGATTGAAACGATAATTTCGGTTATACTAACAGCTTAATTCATGTAGTTGCTTTCACAATTGAACAAATCCGTGGTTTGATGGACAAGGTTACCAATGTCCGTAACATGTCTGTCATTGCTCACGTCGATCATGGTAAATCCACTTTGTCCGATTCCTTGGTTCAAAAAGCTGGTATTATTTCTGCTGCCAAAGCTGGTGATGCTAGATTTATGGATACCAGAAAGGATGAACAAGAAAGAGGTATTACTATTAAATCTACCGCTATTTCTTTATATGCTGGTATGACTGACGATGATGTCAAAGATATCAAACAAAAGACTGATGGTAACTCTTTCTTGATTAACTTGATTGATTCCCCAGGTCACGTTGATTTCTCTTCTGAAGTCACTGCTGCTTTGAGAGTCACTGATGGTGCTTTGGTTGTCGTTGATACCGTTGAAGGTGTCTGTGTCCAAACTGAAACTGTCTTGAGACAAGCTTTGGGTGAAAGAATTAAACCAGTTGTTGTTATTAACAAAGTTGATAGAGCTTTGTTGGAATTGCAAACCACCAAAGAAGATTTGTACCAAACCTTCGCTAGAACTGTTGAATCTGTTAACGTTATTATCTCCACTTACTGTGACCCAGTTTTAGGTGATGTCCAAGTTTACCCACAAAAAGGAACTGTGGCCTTCGCTTCTGGTTTGCACGGTTGGGCTTTCACTGTTAGACAATTTGCCAACAAATACTCCAAGAAATTTGGTGTTGACAGAGAAAAGATGATGGACAGATTGTGGGGTGACTCTTACTTCAACCCAAAGACCAAGAAATGGACTAACAAAGACAAAGATGCTGATGGTAAACCATTGGAAAGAGCTTTCAACATGTTCATCTTGGACCCAATCTTTAGATTGTTCTCTGCCATCATGAACTTCAAGAAGGATGAAATTCCAGTCTTGTTGGAAAAATTGGACATCCAATTGAAGGGTGACGAAAAAGACTTGGAAGGTAAAGCTTTGTTGAAGGTTGTCATGAGAAAATTCTTGCCAGCTGCCGATGCTTTATTGGAAATGATTGTCTTGCACTTGCCATCTCCAGTTACCGCTCAAGCTTACAGAGCTGAAACTTTGTACGAAGGTCCATCTGACGATCCATTCTGTACTGCTATCAGAAACTGTGACCCAACTGCTGACTTGATGTTGTACGTCTCCAAGATGGTTCCAACCTCCGATAAAGGTAGATTCTACGCTTTCGGTAGAGTTTTCGCTGGTACCGTTAAATCTGGTCAAAAGGTCAGAATCCAAGGTCCAAACTACCAAGTTGGTAAGAAAGAAGATTTGTTCTTGAAATCTATTCAAAGAACTGTCTTGATGATGGGTAGAAGTGTTGAACAAATTGATGACTGTCCAGCTGGTAACATTATCGGTTTGGTTGGTATCGATCAATTCTTGTTGAAATCTGGTACTATTACCACCAACGAAGCTGCTCACAACATGAAGGTTATGAAATTCTCTGTTTCCCCAGTTGTCCAAGTTGCTGTTGAAGTTAAAAACGCCAACGATTTACCAAAATTGGTTGAAGGTTTGAAGAGATTGTCCAAATCCGATCCATGTGTCTTGACTTACATGTCTGAATCCGGTGAACATATTGTTGCTGGTACCGGTGAATTGCACTTGGAAATTTGTTTACAAGATTTGGAAAACGATCACGCCGGTGTTCCATTGAGAATCTCCCCACCAGTTGTTTCTTACAGAGAAACTGTTGAAGCTGAATCTTCCATGGTTGCTTTGTCTAAATCTCCAAACAAGCATAACAGAATTTACGTTAAAGCTCAACCAATTGATGAAGAAGTTTCTTTGGACATTGAAGGTGGTGTTATTAACCCAAGAGATGATTTCAAAGCCAGAGCCAGAATCCTTGCTGACAAACACGGTTGGGATGTTGCTGATGCCAGAAAGATTTGGTGTTTCGGTCCAGATGGTAACGGTCCTAACTTAGTTGTTGACCAAACCAAGGCTGTTCAATACTTGAACGAAATCAAAGATTCTGTTGTTGCTGCTTTCCAATGGGCTACTAAAGAAGGTCCAATCTTTGGTGAAAACGTCAGATCAGTCAGAGTTAACATTTTGGATGTTACTTTGCACGCTGATGCTATCCACAGAGGTGGTGGTCAAATTATCCCAACCATGAGAAGAGTTACTTACGCTTCTATGTTGTTGGCTGAACCAGCTATTCAAGAACCAGTTTTCTTGGTTGAAATTCAATGTCCAGAAAACGCCATTGGTGGTATTTACTCTGTTTTGAACAAGAAGAGAGGTCAAGTTATCTCTGAAGAACAAAGACCAGGTACCCCATTGTTCACTGTTAAAGCTTACTTGCCAGTTAACGAATCTTTCGGTTTCACTGGTGAATTGAGACAAGCTACTGGTGGTCAAGCTTTCCCACAATTGATTTTCGATCATTGGCAAGTTATGTCTGGTGATGTTACTGATGCCACTTCTAAACCAGGTGCTATTGTCAAAGAAAAGAGAGTTAGAGCTGGTTTGAAACCTGAAGTTCCAGAATACACTGAATATTACGATAAATTGTAAGTTTTCCTTATATATTTGTTTTATTTGTTTATATTTTTATAATATTTTTGGAATCTCTTTTTTTTTATAATATCTTTTTGTTATAATACACATCATCTATCTAAAAAAAAAATTAAGTCATCTTGTAGTTGGATCAAAGTTTGGTGATGTCAAGAATATATATATCCGATGGATAATTCTATTGCTTAGGAAAAAAAAAACACCATACCATCGGGAGTTTTCCCTTTGTGTGAATCAAAGTGTATATTATTTTCGATGAGGTTATTATTGTACACAAATCAGTACATATAAAAAAAAAAGAGAGACTTTGAGAAAGAAGAAATACGATATTTGTGATATGTGATATGTGATGACAATGATGATGATGAATAAGGGAATCAAACCACTCTATTGATTTCTTATTGGTAAAAGTAATAAAATACATACATACAAGTACTAATTTTGGCGAGATTGAAGATTATTGTTTTTTAAAGTTTTAATTGTAATTGTAATTTAACGGATATGGTTCCATACGGTACGGTACGGTATAAATGAACAATTGAATTTAATTCGATACCGAATAAAGGAAATATATATTCGAGGATAACCGGGGGTGATGGTCTAGACATTCTACAGGCAACTAAAATATGTATAAAAAAAAAAAAAACGAAATTTCGAAACATAGACGCGTTTCCTTAGTACCGGCATTAAAAAAAAAAGACAAAGGATATTTAACAGTTTGCCGTTTTGATATAACGTGAGTATTTTTCAATGAGGATTCTTAATTGCAAACAAAAACAAAAAAATAGCTATAATTTTGAAAAATAAAGAGGTTGATCTTTTTTTGTTAGGTATTGGATTCTCGTGACATTTGAGTATTTGATAGATCATAATATACAAGAATAATTTGAATATCTATTCCCTATGGAAAAGGAACGAGATTTACTTCTTCTTCGGTATGCTATTGCGATGTTTTTCTTCTTTCATTATTTGAGTTTTGTGAGACAGGCCCAAAAAAAAAAAAATTTTTGTTTTTTAGTCATGCACATAATTTATTGTTAATATCCGACTGGTTATGTCATTTAAAGTAACCGGCTAGAGAAATGGTTGTAATTGTATGTTTGTCATTTAGACTAAACTGGTTAATTATTATTATCAATTAACCTACCCATTTGGGTTAAAACTAACAATGTAGACATCTAACTCATCGGCAGATCATAATTGTTTACAAACCATTCGTTGTTTGTCCATCGGATAAGTAAAGCAAACCAAATAGTTCTTGCCTGGGTAATGATGAATTAAGATTTAAGTTCGTAACCAAAGGAAAATCAAATGTATTCTTTTCTTGATGGAATGTGATGGTTGACAACAGAATGGTGTTGTATGTGTTTGGATTGCAGATCAACCAACCAATCAATCAATTAATTATCAACACTGGTTGATCTACAATTCCGGGCTGCAAAATTTTCTAAAGGGATGTGATTGCCGGTCAATGCAGAAAGATAATCAACAGTTGTGATATGTGTGTGTGTGTGTGAGATATTTTTTTTTTACTTTGTGCTTGAGATTAAAGTGTACATGAGAAGTTTGCTATAATAGATATTATTTCATTTATTTCCGGTCGAGGAAATTGATGAAATCCGATTACTAAGAAAAAGAAATGGTTAAGATGTAACAATGTGGAACGTGGAGAAAGGAGTAGAATGAATAATGAATATAAGATTCTGTACTTGAGAAACCTTTCATCTATACGACCTAAAGAACAACAACAACAACAAAAAACCCCTATAAAATATATTTCTTGTACTGCTGTGTGTATGTATATATCAAATATTGCAAAAAGGAACGACCGTATATAAATATCAAAAGTCTTGTGATGATAAGGGGATAGTCATAGTACAGTTAAATCAAAAAAAAAAATATGGAGTTTCATCGTTTATGATGATGTAAATATGTTTAGCCCTGCTCTTAATGATATACACCTTACATAACAAAAATTAAGGACTAATAGTAATAATAATCTAAATTAAAATTTAAGAATAAAAATAAAATAAAATTAAAAAAAAAAAAAATGATCGTGAATGATGAGAATCCGGTTTGATCGGAATACTCATGATGTTTAATATCATCATCACAATCATACTCATCATAATCATTTATGTAATCATCACCAAACAAGTGAGGGAATGGGGAGGTCGTGTAAGCGTGACATAATTTTAGTTAGTTATGCGAAACAGTTTAAAAGGGTTGCCCTATGTGTATGGGTGTGTAGAGTTGCGTGAATTCTTTTTCCTTTCCTTTCCTTTCTTTTGCTTTGTTTTCCAGAGAGGTGTAAGTCCATATTCCAACTTATGTGATAAAACTCGCCCTTTCAAACAGCACCACATCATCTCTCTGTTTTATGCATGCCCGGTCATTTTCGTTAATTAGTTAGTTGTTTGCTAAATTGTATTTTACATAAAAGAGAATAAATGTCAAAGGGTTATTTTTTATTTTGTGAATTCAATGAATATGATGTAGACAGTAATAATTACAGGTGAGTAATTTTAATGCATTTATTACTAATTCCGACCGAAATTTAATTTAGTTATTTTTTTTTTTTTTTGTGTACCGTTTTCTGTGATTTTCTATTCTTTCTTTGAAACCCATATAAATCAAAAAAAAAGAGATATATAAGCAACATCGTTCCCACTTGATTCTACTTCATCATACTTTTCTTTTTTTTTTGATTCTTTATTTTCATCTACATATCATTACATTCATATTTTAATAGCAATTAAGTTTGTTGTTTTTCTACCATTCAATACTTCATCTTACTCCTTTACTCTTTATACTAAAGAAAAATAAAAATATTCATATCAATACCCATTTCCTATTAAATTCTACAATTAATCCCTATTTTTTCTTATTTTGCACTCATAATGATTCAAGACATTTTTTCAACTTACCCTTATTTTATGGTTAATCTAATCATATCGTTAATACTTATATTAAATCATATAATACGCAGAAACTACCAATTGGGATTGTTGATAATATGGAATCTAATCATCATTTCCTATACTCCCGTCCATTCCATAAGTTTAGACCATTTACCTGTATATGATTCCCAAATTCTATTAACTTTTTTAACATCAATAATAGTATCATACACCTGTTTGAAACAGGAAAATAAAAAGTCAATTTTTGATAAATTTACTTATCCTTTGACTTTTATAATTGTATTTATCTTATTATTGGCATTTTTACCTCAAGAAATGTTGCTAAGTTCAACTGCCACCATTAAAGATCAAATTAAGTTTGATCACGTGTTTATCGCATTAACAGTAACTTATTTGATTGATGCCTTTAGCAAATTTGCTTTTCTTTCCGATTTCCCAACTGTCTTGGTACAAGGAATTTGGACTTATAATGCCATTGTCTTGGTCATTTCAATGTGGTTTATGATTTACAGTAAAGATACTTTGGTCAATATTTTGACCATTATGGAAAATGGTGCTGATCGTCAAGATGCATCTTTTGTCACTTCAGTTATTATTTCTAATTTAAATCAATTGGAACAAGATTATAAAATTTGCTCCCAAGGTGCTACTTTATTTCAAGAATGTTTACAAGAAAGAAATATGGATAATTTACAAACTACTTATCAAATTGCCAAAATTATGGCAATTAACTGTTGGAGTATTTTGAATTTGTTCTTGTTTGTTTTAATTCCTTCAATAATTGCTGTTGTCTATAGAAGAAGACAAATGTTTGAAGAACACAAAGAAGAAGATTTGGAAGAAAAGGTGGAATCTGGTGTATAATTATTGGTTATAAAATTGATTCTACTAGATCTGCTAAATTTAAAATACCAACCCAATATATAGTTAATGAACAACCTTAATTTAATGACGTACAATAATAATAATATCATTCATCATACTTCGCGATAGTAATTCTTTTTCTCTCGTTCTCTCTCGTATAGTGACAAATCATCGCAATTTCCCCAAGCTTGTATATATTTTTTTTCCTTCGTTTATGAAGTATTTCTTTTTGCAGCCACTATAGAATTATAGTAAATGCCAGGTCAATCTAAAAATCAAGTCAAGACATACGATTGATGACATTTATACTTGTTATGTCTACTCTCTATTATGGTATTTTTCATTGTCACAAGTTTGGTTTCAATTGTCAGACTCCGTTGTAGTAAACACATTATGGTATAGAAGTGTATTACACTCTAGAGGTCAACAAATCTCCTGTTTTCAAACCCCATTGATTGAATAAACAAAACAAGGCTTCCCCCATGGAGTTGAGTATTCGACCTTCCACGATCATCATCATCAATCTCAATTCCCTGTTTACCACCACGATTACATCAAACAATAATCTTGCACTTATCTTGAACCAAACTCAGATAAAATCTAAATTGAATCTTACATATAGACGATACTAATCTAATAATCACATAGATGATTGGTTCATCTCATTTATTACATTAATCATGATTCCTTTTGCACACTTTGAAAAACTTGCGTAAACGCTTTCCTATTTGGGAAGACCAATAAATTTTTTTTTTTCCTCTTCTACTTATCAGGGATTTATTTTCCCAATTAGGCTCAGATAAGCACCGCGTTTTTGATTTCCGCAAATAATCAGATTAACCCATAAAACAAACAAACAAAAAAAAATTATGATAGTCCAATAAATGAAACCCCGATTTCATTAAATCTCTATAGCGGGTTAGAAGTTTATAAATAGGAGTTGAAAAGTCTCTTTGAATTCTTGAATTTTTTTAATTTTTTTTTTTATTTAATTCTTTATTCATTCTATAACTATTCTTTATCCACTAATTATCATTTGCTAATATGGAAAGATTATCCCAATTATCAATGCATGCAACAGCATCAGTTGCTCCACCACCACGTCCAGCTCATCCTTTAGATCCTTTGACTCCTGCTGAAATTAGATCAGTTTCTTCAATTGTTAAATCTAAATATATTGGAAAAGCTATTAATTTCAATACTGTTACTTTAAGAGAACCAATTAAAAAAGCTTATTATGAATGGAAAGAAAAAAAGGGTCCATTACCACCACGTTTAGCTTATTATGTTATTGTTGTTGATGGAGATTCTGGAGTTCATGAAGGTATTGTTGATATTGGTGCTCAACAATTAATTGAAATGAAACATACTGAAGGTGTTCAACCAATTTTAACTCCAAGTGATTTACAAGTTACTGAAGATATTATTAGAAAAGATCCTGAAGTTCAAAGACAATGTGAATTAAGTGGAGTTCCAAAAAATTCTATGCATCAAATTTATTGTGATGCTTGGACCATTGGTTATGATGAAAGATGGGGTGCTTCAAGAAGATTACAACAAGCTTTAATGTATTGGAGATCAGATGAAGATGATTCTCATTATTCTCATCCTTTGGATTTTTGTCCAATTGTTGATATGAATGCTGGTAAAGTTATTTTCATTGATATTCCATCAAGAAGAAGACCACTTTCTAAACATAAGCATTCTAATTATCATCCAAAACATATTGCTGAAAAATTTGGTACTGCTGAAAATCCTTCTGGTTTTAGACAAGATGATCATCCAATTAATATTACTCAACCAAATGGAGTTTCTTTCAGTATGGATAATAATGTTATGACTTGGTCAAATATGACTTTCCATATTGGTTTCAATTATCGTGAAGGTATTGTTTTAAGTGATTTCACTTATAATGATCATGGTAATGTTAGACCACTTTTCCATAGAATTTCTCTTTGTGAAATGGTGGTTCCATATGGTTCTCCAGATTTCCCTCATCAAAGAAAACATGCTCTTGATATTGGTGAATATGGTGCTGGTAATATGACTAATCCATTATCCCTTTCTTGTGATTGTAAAGGTGTTATCCATTATTTGGATGGTCATGTTGTTGATAAATCAGGTGATGCTGCTACTATTAAAAATGCCATTTGTATTCATGAAGAAGATGATGGTATTTTATTTAAACATTCTGATTTTAGAGATGATTTCCAAACTGCTGTTACTACTAGAGGTAAAAGATTAATTATTTCTCAAATTTTCACTGCTGCCAATTATGAATATTGTGTTTATTGGATTCTTAGACAAGATGGTACTATTAAATTAGAAGTTAGATTAACTGGTATTTTAAATACTTTTATTTGTGCTGATGATGAAGATATTGGACCATGGGGTACTGTTGTTTATCCAAATGTTAATGCTCATAATCATCAACATTTATTCTCATTAAGAGTTAATCCAAGAATTGATGGTGATAATAATTCAGCTGCTACTAGTGATGCAAAACCATCTCCATTCCCAACTGGTTCTTCACAAAATATGTATGGTAATGCATTTTATTGTGAAAAGAAAACTTTTAAAACAGTTAAAGATTCAATAACTAATTTTGAAAGTTCAACTGCTAGAACTTGGGATATGTTTAATCCATCTTCTATTCATAAGTATTCTGGTAAACCAGCTACTTATAAATTAGTTTCAACATTTTGTTCTCCATTATTAGCTCAAGAAGGTTCATTAGTTAGAAAAAGAGCACCATGGGCAGCAAGTCATACTCAAGTTATTCCATATGTTGATGAAAATTATGGTTATGGTAGATTATATCCTTCTGGTGATCATGTTGCTCAATGGAGTGGTGATGGTTCAAGAGGTATGAGAAAATGGATCGGTGATGGTTCTGATAATGTTGAAAATAAAGATATTTTATTCTTTCATACTTTTGGTATTACTCATTTCCCAGCTCCTGAAGATTTCCCAGTTATGCCAACTGAAATTTTTGAATTAATGTTAAGACCAAGAAATATTTTCAATGAAAATCCTGTATTGGATGTTAAACCTTCTTATGCTAGAACTACTAAAGAAGTTAAAGCTGGTGTTGCTGCTTCTCATTTACTCGAAGATAAAACTTCAAGATTAGCTTTCAATGGTCAAGGTGGTTCTTGTTGCAAGAAATAATAACTCTTTTTGATTTTGATTTGTTTTGTTTATATACATATAATTCTTTATAAATATTCCGTGAATATAATATTGTTTAACTAGAAAAAGTCATGATGAAGAATTAGACACTTTTAATATCATAGTCCACTTTTATATTACATTTTTTTCTAAAAAGTGTATATATAATACATCAATTAGATTACACAGTAGGTGAGATTCTCACTGAAAAACTGAGGATTAGAAGAAATAGATAACTTTAATTCTTCAGATAATCTATTTCCAGAAATATTCAACTCTTGAAGATTTACAAAATTCTTAAAATCCTCCACAATAGAAGAAATTGTTCCTCCATGTATATCCAAAGCAACCAATGATACTGGTAAGTATTCAATATTCAATGTAGATAACTTGATCTCCACCAAAAAGAGGTCTTTTAATTCCATTAAATTGGATAAATTCAGTTTGGAAATCCAATCATCATGAATAGGATTTGAATTTAAATTTAGTAATTTCAAGTTCACTGGGAAAGTGATTATTTCATCTGTAGATCCAAATTTATTATTAGATAAATCAAGATGTGTCAAACCAGAAGGTATATTCTTAAGATTCTTGAGCTTGTTCAGTGAAAGATCTAACCATTCCAAAGATTCAGGAAGAGCAATTGCAAGTTCTTCAATTTTGTTATCCTCGAGTGTCAACTTTTTGAGACTTGATGGGATGACTAGTTTTGATTCATCAACAACAATTCCTTCTAAATCTCCACCAATAATCAAAGTTTCAAGATTTGGAGCATCTATGATAAGCTTTTTAACCTTTGAATTTCTAATTGTCAAAGATTTCAAAGATGGAGGAAGTTTATAGTCAAATACTTCGATTCTACCAGGTGATGATGCCATTACAAGGTCAACAAGGTTTTCAAGATCTTGTAAAGAATCAAAATCAATATTAGATATCTCACAAAGTTTCAAGCTTGTAATAGTTGGTGGAATTTGAATTATTCTACTTCTCTTCGAAAATTTACCCAATGGATCGTAAATTGACAGTTTTTTCAAACCACTAGGATATTTATCAGTCAAATCTGGTTTATGTCTCTTATTTCCGTTGTCATCACGAGAATGTCTAGGTAAAGTCACCACCCCTTCACATGAAGTTTTAAGTTCTTGCAAAGTATCTGGTAATTTTTTAATATGATGATCAATTAAATCTCCATCAGCCTGATCTGCTATTAAAGAAATCAATTGTGGACATGAAGTTTTAAGGAATCCACTTATAGTATGATAACTAACATAATCTAACCATCTTATACTTTTTGGTAATATCCATTGTAAACCAACTTGTTCGGAGCCAAAATTTGATTCTGGACGAATTGATAACTTTCTAAGCATAGTCAAGTGTGAAATATCAACATGGAAACAACAATCGTATGCACATTCTGGTGAAAATTCCATTGATAACTCAGTTAACCCATTTGGAAAGTCAAATTTAGTTATCATGTCCGGATGGTTCTTCTCTTTACGATAATCTCTCTTTTTAATTTCTAAACCAATGAATAATTTCTTCAAATGTCTTGGAAGTCGATAAAGTTGAGTTGGTGATACTTCAGCAGAAACTCTAAGACTAGTCAAATTTGGAAACGATGATAATTTGGGCCAAGTATTATGTCCACCACAATAAACTGATTCCATACAATTCAATAACCTTGAATCAATAATGTCCCTTAAACGTCTGACTTGAAATCCAGTTACGGAAGTAACTTGAATTGAACTTTGTGTATACTTCATACAAAACAATCCAATTTTTTCTTGAAGCAGTATTTCCACTTGGGAATTTTCAAGAATCTGTGGGAATTCATTACCTTGTTCTAAAGCATCGAATTTATTTGCAAAAATCCATTTCTTTGGTTTTAAATTAGGATACTTTTTCTGTAATTTCACTATATGAGAAATATGTTGAACAATAGGTAATTTGTTCGTACCTTGAAGTTCTATTTTACTGGTGATTTTTGATCTTTTACCAACCAAAACTGTGGAATATAAAGCATTGGCAACCAGGCTTGAAATAGCTGGAATATCAATAAGTTCGACTAATAAATCATTTGGCACGTAATTGAATATCCTTTGAAGAACATCTTGTGGAAGGTCTTGTAATTGAGTCATTTTCAGGGTTAATTGTGAATAATAATTGATTAAAATGAAAAATTTTTATTAAGAAGAATAATTTATATTGAAATGAAAAAAAAAAGAGAAAATTCAACACCGCGGTCTGGCTGCAAGAATTGGATACTTTAGTAAAAAAAGAACGTATGACGCATAGCTTGAAATGCTACCCAACTTTTTTTGCGTGTGCGCGTACAATTTTTTTTTTAAGACTTTTCACTTAAGCAATACAAAGGAATTGAAATACTACCCAATTTCAGGCGTCTTATATTATTCATCGATTTCTGCACCACAAAAACACGTCACATGACCGGGCATACAATACTCAAATACTCTAGCATGTATATGTATCAGTCTTTAGGTACAACCATTTTCTGTGACTATATAAAGTTTCCTATACTTCTCTAATAGATAGAAACGACCTTTGATTCAACTGCTTTATCTCTTTTGGTTAACAATTCTCTGATAAGAAAACCAACAGTATTTTCATCCTCAAAATATCCAATATGTGCCGCAAGTGCTGAAACCAATGAGATATCAAACATCCCCATAGGTAGACTATAATCCAATCTTCCTTTCAAATTCAACGATGTCAACTGTTTCAATTGAGTTCCTGTTAAGTCTCTCTTTTTGAAAATTGGTGATCCTTCATTTTCACCATCTTCATCAGCAGCACTTTTTTTCTTTACATGTTTTGAAGTTTCCCACAACTTTGTAGAAATCATATTTGTAAACTTAGAAACCATCTCAAATCGACCATTGAGTCCAACTTTACTTTCAAATGGAACATAAGCTGCTTTGAAATCACCAAATTTAGGATTAACTAAAGGTTCAATTCTATATGCTATTGGATCACATGGATGATATAGGTTATACACATTATTGCATCTAGGAGATACAAATTCATTGGCAGGTTGAGTAGTTGAGTGGACAAGTGGATGTCCAACTATATTCTTACGTTCAATGAGCTTGAAAATACCAACGGGTGACCCAACAAGAAATAACTTGTCAACTTCAAAAGATAATTGTTGGTCAAATCCAATTTCACCTTCTTCAATAGTTGAACTTTGTCCTGATAAAATATCGAAAGAAATAGCTGATCCTAACGAATGACCCAAGATGTGAACTTTACCTTTGAAATGAGGATTTCTTTCTTTGTACAAATTATATACTCGATTCAATTCAGATGTTACTGCAGTTAACATTTGTACTAAATATTCCTTTTCGTAGTATAACAAGATATCACAACCAACATCACCTAGTATTTCCCTAACATACGTGATACCATCAACATTAAGTTGTGATAATGTTGGGAGTCTATTATCAGATCCATCCGTTCTAGGTCTTGTTGGATTAAATGAAACCATGTGTCTCCAAGAGATAGGCAACACCTGAATTTTTGTGTTTGATTTATTATTGCTAGTATTACCCGCTAATTTCTGATAATTCGGATTATTATTAAATACCTTTTTGATTGTTTTCCTTAATAAATTAACACTATGAGAGAATGTATAGGTATCACTCTTATTCCCCATGATTTGTCCAATCCCATGAACACAGAATACCAAATGTTCGATCTCTCTATTGGCTTCTTCCCGAGATGTATCTAAATCAAAATCATGTTCCATATTATCACCAATCTCATTAGTATCAAGACTCTCGTCTGTTTTATTCTTGTCCTTTGTATTTTCCTTTTGTTGTTCTTCAATCTTTTTCATATCGGTCTCATTTCCTGCTTCATCTTTTGATTTATTGTTCTCATAACCTCTATAGATTCTAATGATACCAAGATATGAATTCGATCCAAATTTCCTAACAATATCTAGTTGAAATTTTCCCCGGTATGAATGAGGAATAATAAATGCATCTCTTTCATTAAAATACAATACAAATCGTCCATCTTTCAATTCATATAAATCATTCTGCTGTTTGACATCAACTTTATCATTCTGTTTTGCAATCTCTACTTCCAATTCTTCACTTGTTACTTTATCTGTTGGTGCAGGTTTATCAAACAAATAAGGTTTAATTTCATTATATCCTTGATCAATTTCAAGTGCTACATTAGTTGGTAATGGACTTCCATCTTGAGTAAACCATAATCCTCTTCTTATTTCATATCTAGGTCCATCCCAATAGATAGGATAAATTTCCATACTTGATAAATCTGCTTCAAATAATTTATCTTCATTAATTTCTAATTTGGAATTGTAATTGGAATTAGGGGAATCTTGATATGTCTTTTCAAGATTTAATGAATCATAATCTGAAAATGGAATAAATTTTTGAGGTTCTTTTGTTTTCACATAATTATAATAAGATGGTCTAGAATTAGGTATATCTACTGCATAGAACCATTTGATTATTGGAATAGGTTGCTTAGAACTAATACTCGATGACATTGTAGTTGAGTTATCCAATTCCTACTGAAAGTTGTTTAATGATTGTGTAGAAACTGAAATCTTATCTCGTTCCTTGATGCTCGTGATTTTTTTTTTTTCCTTCTCTCACCTGGATTTACTGATCTCGTTAATACGATTGTAGGTTCATAGTGACAATATATTCAATATTAAACGAATTTCATAAAAGCACCTGTTGTTGTTGTATACCAATTGCAAGCGAAACGACCAATTTCTGGTTTAATTGCAGCAAAACGACAGAAGTATCACAAAATCACATTCATTTAATATCTATAATGACGAACTATAAAAAAAACACACAGACATACACGTATAAACAACATAAGATAGCACAAGTTTTTTTCATATATAACTCATGTCAATCCAGGGAATGGGACTGTTAACTCCCCAGATGGATATTTAAGTATAGCAGCATTGGAAAAATCGCTATAGTAATGGGTATTAGGAATCTTTCTTCCAAGTCTTATATAAATTGGTATATTACCATTTCTATCTTTTATACCATTAGCTAATGCCTCTTGAATCTCTTTCTTCAAGTCTGCTGAACTATCAAAAAGTTCTTTTAAATTCACAGATTCAATCTTGTCCCCAACATATTGCTCAATATCATTAATCAAAATCGAAATCGAGCTATACTTTTCATATAATTTAGCTGTAAACTTGGTTAACTTGGCATTAAAAGGAAAATTCAGCCATTCTAATACACCCGTTTGAATATTGTATGCTGTTACCATTGGTGGGATAATATTACCTTTTGGATCATCTCTTCTCAATGATTCTGCAGTTTCAGCAATGGCGGCTAATCCCCATCTTGCTGCACCAGAAAGGAAAAGTCCTAACAAAATACCTTGGAATAACAATGCAGTTCTTCCTCTAGTTGCACAACCTGGAATTAAAAGCATCGCCAAAATATAATGATGCACTCTTAAGGTTAAATTTGGTAATTGGGCCAAGAAAACCAAACCCAAAATAAACATTGAATAGATAAACAAATATTTTCTAAAACGACCAGAGAGCCAAAGCTTGTAAGCTTGAATGAATGCACATGTTGTAATCGTAAGGATAATTGATCCAACTGCAAGCATTGCCCCTGATTGCTCTTTTAAATCAGAAATGGTTAATCTGTCAACTGGTAATCTATCAAAAGTCATATTATTCAATACACCCAACCAAAACATAGGATACCACAAGAATACTCTACTCAAGTATGAAATTTTCACATTGGTGTCACCTATATTCGACGGTTCAGATAATGTTCTTTTCGCAGATACGTGCCATAACACATATAAAATGCAGCACGATGGTAAGAATCTTTCCAATGCAACAGACAACAAATGGGCAAAATCAGTGATTCTATTTGGATCAACATCCACTGGAGGATCTGTAGCTAAGCAAATCGTCCAGAACCCACAAATACTAATTGTCCAGTAAGCAACGGCACCACTTCCAAGGTAAACTACGGGAATACCGAGGATAATGTTCAAAATCAATATCAATAATCTTGGATCGTAGCAATTATTAAATGATTCCTGATCTGGAAGTTTTAGATTTTTGAAAAAAAAGGAAAATTTGAAAAAGGATAAGAATTCTATCGATTTACCAACACCATAATGACCCTTTGAGGATTTAAAATAAGTCTGGTCCTTGCTATTATATGAAATTCTAGCACACCCACCCCAAAATGGAGAAATAACACCAGCATGGACACCAGCTCCACATGGGTAACTATCAGCACGATATGGGTTAGTGATTTGGTTTTCCTCCAACTTATTCTCAACATCGGTACCACCACCGACAAAATAACCTCGATACTTGATTTTTTGATTACCTATTGGTATTAAAGAATATGTCCAACTTGATCGGTCACACAATGCTGGGCATCTGATAAATATATCATTTTGTAGCTGTTCATTGTTATTAGATTTGGTTACTTCAGGACACAAATCCCCATTCAACCCACATGCACCATTCTTTCCTTTCCAAAATTCTTGCAGTTGGCCACATGATAAAGTGTAGATGTGCGTGTTAGGATCCGTCGATAAATAAGGAGGAACAGTCAAATATGGAACTAATATACTATAACATAATCCAAACCAGAAAAATAAATAAGTTACCAATAATGCCCGTCTATAAATTAAAGGTACCCTTGTTTTGAACTTATCAGGAATAGCCTCGAAAAACTCCAAACAAGAGATCCTAGGAGCAGGATCATCTTTAGGATCTAATGGACCATACCATAATAAATAGAAAAATCTTTTGAATCGTGTTTTAAATGAGTTATCTCTTTGGAAATAAAAATCATTATCTTCGTCAATTATTCGTATATCGTCACTACTGGCGGTGGTAGTTCTGCTACGATCTCCTGTTGTGTCATCATGTTCACTATTAGATAAAAGGGTATCACTCATACTGCTGTTATTTGGAGTAATATTATCACTAGCTGAAGTAATTGTTTTCTTGATATCTAATGATTGAAGTTCGATTGTATCCAGATCAGATTTGGAATTGACTTGGTTATCATTAGACGGTGGGTGTGATTTCATACGAAAGAGGAGAATGTGTTCTTGTAATTTTTTTTTCTTTTTCTTAACTGTGAAAGGGTTAGGAGGAGGTGTTGGTGTATTCTCTTTCCGTTTGTCTGATATTACCAACCTATACTATGTGTAACTAGTTATTGTCTATCTAAATACAATTCTAACCATAGATTTAATTTTTTTTTTTTCTGTACATTTTTTTTTCCTGTATTGTATTCTTTCGTTTCAGTCGTGCCTCGTTAGTTTTCCCTCTCGATTAGAGTAGGAGATATCTCATATTTGCTTAATCTTACACCGTTTGCCATGGACTAAAATTTGATTTTTAAGTCATGAATTGCAAGTTATCGATATCTGAAATACATGCTTTCTATCCATGAAATCAAACGTGACATATTGAATATACCACTATGAAATTGGTGATCCGACTTGTGTGTACTAACCACACAGCCGATATCTTCGATTGTGTGAAATCTCCATGTTTCCCCCTCCCCCTTTTTCCTCTTCCCTCTCGTAATTGGATCTTTATTCTATTTCAAAATCGTCAAAATATAAAACTATTATATTCTTTATTTTTTTATATTATTATACAATTAATCAAATTTATAAATGGATAAAACTAATATACAAACTGTAACGTTATAAAGCTGAACAAAAAAAATGTGCAAAAACAAAACTAATTAAAAACAAAATCATGAAAAAGATAAAACCGAACTAAAAAAAAATTATAAATCTATTCTTGCTTCTATCACAGTAAAATTCCCTGAAACTCCTCATAAATAATCTCCTAACCAGAACACATGGTACATGATTCTGGATTATCAATAGCACAAGCAATTACTTTGGCACTGTAGATATCGTTTTCAATTTCTTCAATGGTTCTGTTATCAACTGGTTCTTCTTCTTTGGTTTCAGCTGGGGTTTCAGCTGGTTTGTTATCAGTGATCTTCAAATCAGCAATTGAATTTTCCAATGATGTTGGTTCAGTAGATGGTGATTTTGATCTTGGGGCATCACTTGTATTTTCTTCACCAACTCTTCCTTTGTTGACATACTTCTTGATGTGTAATTTGTCCAAGTTGGCAACAGTTTGACCAGCACTTTCAGCAACCAATTTGTCAATAGTAAATTGAATAGCGGCAGAAGCAGCTTGAGTTCTCAAGTAGTACATACCAGTCTTCAAACCCTTCTTCCAACCATAGAAATGCATACTTGTCAATTTACCCATAGTTGGATCTTTAATGTGAATATTCAAAGATTGAGATTGATCAATGAAAGCAGCTCTATCAGCAGCCATATCAATGATATGTTTTTGTGAAATTTCCCAAACAGTCTTGTACAAAGCCTTGATTTCATCTGGGATGTTTGGCAAACCTTGGATCGAACCATTGTTGGAAATAATGTTACTCTTCATAGCATCATTCCAAATACCCAAATCAACCAAATCCTTCAACAAGTATGGATTGACAATTTGGAATTCACCAGCCAAAACTCTTCTAGAGTAAATGTTGGAAGTGTAAGGTTCGAAACATTCATTGTTACCCAAGATTTGTGAAGTAGAAGCAGTTGGCATTGGAGCAACCAACAAGGAGTTTCTCAAACCATGTTTGGCCATCTTTTGTTTCAAAGTATCCCAATCCCATAATTCAGTTGGTTTTCTGTTCCACAAGTCAAATTGTAATAAACCTTGAGAAGCTGGAGAACCTGGGTAACTTTCATAGACACCTTCTTCAGCAGCTAATTCAATAGAAGATTCAACAGCAGCATGGTAAATGGTTTCAAAGATTTGAATGTTTAATTCTCTAGCTTCTTGAGAATCAAATGGCAATCTCAAAGACATAAAAGCATCAGCTAAACCTTGAACACCCAAAGCAATTGGTCTGTGTCTCATATTAGATCTTTCAGCTTCTGGAACTGGGTAGTAGTTACGATCGATAACTCTGTTCAAGTTACGAGTGACAACTTTAGTAACTTCATGCAATTTTTCAAAGTTATACCAAGTATTGCTTTCATCGTGTTCAACAAAAGATGGCAATGCAATGGAAGCCAAGTTACAAACAGCAACTTCATCTGGAGCAGAATATTCAACAATTTCACAACACAAGTTGGAAGATTTGATGACACCCAAATTCTTTTGGTTAGTCTTGGTGTTACAAGCATCTTTATACAACATAAATGGAGTACCAGTTTCGGTTTGGGCACTCAAGATAGCGTACCATAATTTTTGGGCTTTGATGGTTTGTCTACCACGGTTCTCCTTTTCGTATCTGGTATATAATTCTTCAAATTCATCACCGTAGACATCTGACAAACCTGGAGCTTCATTTGGAGAGAACAAAGTCCAGTCACCGTTTTGTTCAACTCTCTTCATGAACAAATCTGGGATCCACAAAGCTGGGAACAAGTCTCTGGCTCTGATTTCTTCTTTACCGTGGTTCTTTCTAATATCGATAAAGTCAAAGATATCACTGTGCCATGGTTCCAAGTATAAAGCAAAAGCACCTGGTCTCTTGTTACCACCTTGATCAACATAACGAGCAGTGTTGTTGAAAACTCTGACCATAGGAATAATACCGTTGGAAGTACCATTAGTACCAGCAATGTAAGCACCAGTGGAACGAATGTTGTGGATGTGCAAACCAATACCACCAGCACTCTTGGAAATTAAAGCACATGATTTCAAAGTATCGTAAATACCTTCAATGGAATCATCCTTCATAGCAAGCAAGAAACATGAAGACATTTGTGGTCTTGGGGTACCGGCATTGAACAAACATGGGGAACCGTGTGTGAAATATCTTTGTGACATCAAATTATAAGTTTCAATAACTCTTGGAATATCTTTACCGTGAATACCAATAGCAACTCTCATAATTAAATGTTGTGGTCTTTCAGCAACTTTACCGTTGATACGTAACAAATATGATCTTTCCATGGTTTTGAAACCAAAGTAGTTGTAATTGAAATCTCTGTCGTAAACAATAGCTGAGTTCAATTCATCTTCATGTTCCATGATAATATCATAAGTTTCTTTAGAAATCATAGGAGAATGTAAACCAGTTTTTGGGTTGACATATTCGTATAAAGCTTGAGAAACTTTGGAGTATTGTTTGGTAGTTTGTTTATGTAAATTGGAGACAGCGATTCTGGCTGCTAAAACAGCGTAATCTGGATGCACGGTAGTCATAGTAGCAGCAATTTCAGCAGCTAAGTTATCTAATTCAATAGTAGTAACACCTTGGTAAACACCAGAAATGACTTTTTGGGTAATGGCGACCGGTTCGACGTGATTTGGATCTAAACCGTAACATAATCTTTGCACTCTGGCAGTAATTTTATCAAAACGGACTGGCTCTTTACGGCCATCTCTTTTAAAGACATACATGTTATGGAAGGGGTGTAAATTAAAGGTAAAAGGAAAGTCAAAGAGACAAGAAGAAGAAGAAGAAAAGAAAAAGATTTAAAATATGATGAAGAAAGAAAAGTGGGATTTAGTTCTAATTTATAGACCGCGACGCGACACGTTAATTATTGATTTCGACAATACGTGAGAAGAAGATGAAAAAGAAAAAAATTTTTCTGTGTCGCGCGCGTGCGTTGTTTACGTTTCATGTAACAAAAACCCATCTGCTTATTAATGATAGACGTGTAGCAATCAATTATTTAAGTTTCCCTGATTTGGACGAGATCAAAACAAAATGAATCAGTTTAATAATAGAAATCCGGTCTTCGATTTGAGTTTCCTTTCTTAGCCAATGCTTACATTTTCTCTCTCGCCTTGCTCTGTCATCCCCTATTATTATACATGCCCATTTGCGTCATCGGATATCTGCTTAAGTATTATTTTCTTTTTTTTTTGTTTTGTTTTCTCTCTGTGTATATTCAGACGTGTTACGTGTAGCGTGTAACGTGTTGCTCAAAAATAAACACGGTACAAAATGAATTAGGCAATTTCCAATCAATATATACATTCATCGTAAACTGCTTCTTGTTTAATCTCTCTCTCGTTCAGCAACTTCTTATCGTTGTTGATAATATCTCGTTTGTTGCTGTTTTTGAAGTAGCTAAATTAGGGGATTAAATAGAATTCAACAAAGTATTCTCATGATGTAGTTATTGACAACAATGGTGTGATGATAATCTTGTAATAAAGTAACATGATTATAAGTACATCACACTGGGTGATTTTTCTCAACGTGTATTCTACAATTCTCTTTACATGTAAGTGCAAAATTTCATTGGAGATCTTTTTTTAGTCAGATTTGGCACCCAAATTATTGTGAAATAAGATCAAACCACGAGATATCATACTTCTATCAGCAACTTTAAATCAACACCCAAAGGTCCCTGATCACTTATCTGTACATGAAAATAACCAATGCTTGCTATTGGTAAGAAAACCTCTTATTCCCTAACTTCTAATCTTGCTAGAACGACAATTAACTCCGATTACGTAATACATCCGGTTTGTCTTTTACGATATTTTTCCGCGGTGTGTTTCAATTTGTCCCGCACTGGGTTTACTTTCCGGCACCCGTTAAATGAAAGGAAAAAAAAAAAACCAATAAAAAGACATATGAAATAAATTTTTCAGGATTCAATAGTAGTTTTCTCCTTTGAATCTCTTACTTTTTCTTTTCAATTCAAAGAGATCATAATGTTTTCAAAGACACTTAAGTATCTTATTCTTGCGTTTCTTATATCGACTCATAAGACTTTACCATTTGCTTATGTTATTCGTTTTTATTATCAAGCTTATCGTGGATTTTTTGGCTATAGATCACATTATCTTAAAACCAAAAAGAATTCATTTGGATATGATTCTCCAAAAGATTTATTCACTTGGGTTACTTTAGATTCTTATGTTACTCCATTAGAAATTGACATGTATTTACATAAACTGAATTCCACTTATTTCTTAGATTTGGATATTGCAAGAACTAAATTATTAACTAGATTATTCCAAACTTATTGGTGGTGGAGTTATGATAATGGACATGAAAATTCAAAGAAAAAACATTCTTTATCAAATATTCCTTACGTTCCAGTTGCTATTGTTCAATGTCAATTTAAACGTGAATTGAAACCATTCCAAAAGTTTAAAATTAGTTCTAGAATCTTGGCTTGGGATAGAAAATGGTTATTTGTCATGTCTAAATTTGTCACTGATGATAACAAAGTTTGTGCAATTGCAATTACAAAGTATGTTTTCAAGGTTGGAAGATTGACCATTGCTCCTGAAGAATACCTTAAATTCTGTAACTTTTTGGACGAAGAAAACCAAGCAATCAACGATAAAAATTACAAGTTAGTTACATCCTTAGTTGATGTTGAAGATATCGAAAAGATTGCCGAAGCTGCTACATAGAATGTGTTGGTTATAGATACACGATAGATATAATTAAAACTATATATATATATATAAATATTATTATTCTTTTACATTTTCACTACTATAACACATAATAATATACACTTTTCAATGATTGATACAACTATGCTAATCCAAAACCTTCATGACCTTCCGTGATGGCCATTAATAAAGATCCTCTTAATGTTTCATAACTCTCATAACTTGGCAAGTCAATTTGGTTAAAACAGGTATGTGATGATGGCAATCTATCCGAAGCACCATAATCACGATGAATACTGAATTTACAAGTTCCACTTGCTCCACTCAACTCTTTGAAACCATTCAATGGGACTTTAGAAGTACCAGTAGCAAATTGAAGTAATCTAGCTCTTTCTTCATTATCAAAAGATTTAACCGCTCTCCAGAACCATTGTATTTGCAAGGACAGTGGAGAATAGTTATTGTAGGTGGTATTATTTTGCCAATCAACAACATCAATATCCGGCAATCCGGAAATCAATAATTCCAATTCTTTTTCATCAAAAATGGCAACCAAATCTTTTGGAATGATCTCATGGAATCCCATCAAAAAGTTTTCCATTTGTTCTTCAACAGAAGTTTGCAATCTGTATTCAACAACTTTCTTGACGTATTCATGTTTGTTCTCTTCAGTGACAGGGATGTTACGACCATTAGGAATCAAATCAATAATCTTGTGTTCACCATAGTCATCTGTCTCAACAGAAAAGTCTTCAGTTATAACATCGGTAATATCATTCTCCAACATCCACATCAAAGACTTAAAGTATTCCAAATCCAATGTTTCCATATCTTTCAACGATTGCTGCTTACCCAAGATTCTCTTATATACAGCTCGAGAAAAGTGACAATCTAAGAAACAGTTATCATGGATAGCTTTACCAATTATACGTCCAATGAATTTGAAGAACGATAAATGCTCTGGGTTAATGTATGAAGTTCTGTTTGGGTGGAAAGTTGTTTCATCAGAAACAACAGGGGTGAATAATGCATAGTCTGGATTAAACATTTGACGACTCAAGACTTGATACCATTCTCTAGTAACACCACCAGCATCAATACCTTGCTCACCTTTAAAATTAATCTCCAATTTAGCATTTCTAAATTCATCCTTAGGTTTAAAGAATAATGCTCTGTAGGAATCCAAGAATACCTGATCACGACGAACACTAACCAACAACTTACGGTTTTCCTTCTTGTCTTGATGTAATTTTCTATCAAAGTAATTCTTTTTATTATCAAATTCCAAAACACGAGGGTTTCTCACCAACATTCCAAATGGACCACTCATCAAGTTTGGATTACTTCTCACCATTTGGTTAAGAATCTTCTTATGTTCATCTGTGAATGAAAAGAATAATGATTCAATTGGCTCCTTGGTGAAATCAATCTTCTTAGCCTCATATTTCAAACAATCCCTAATTGGTAACTCCCTAACTTTACTGTGCTTACAGACAACCATCAAAGCTTCAATAAGTGGAAGTAAAGCATTAGCAATATTGTGCAAATGTGGTTTTTCTTCTAAAATTCTTAAACATTCACTCAATGCATCCCAAAGACTTCCCAAAGCAAGCTTCTTGTACAATCCAGTTAATTCTTCAATCTCATCATTTTGACTTTGTTCATTATTCTTCACCTTCGTTTCAAACATATAGTCTAAAGCAGTCAAGATACGCAATAGTTTTGCTTGATCAGAAGAATGTGCACTAAACTTGGAAAACGATTTACTTTCTGGGCCACCACCATCAATTAACTCTTTAGTGAGGCTGTTCAAATCTGCTATAAGCTTCTGGCCCAATTCGCTGGCTTTCTCAGATAATTCAAAAGAGAATATTCTTTGGGCATTCTTCAACACGGAAAAGTTTTGCATAGCACTAATGGTTCTTCTAAATGTCGTATTTGAACAATCATTACCAGTCAAGATTTTGATGATTTGTTTGTAATTTTCGTCTGGGATAACTGGAGGTGGAGGTGTAAATGGTTTGGAATAGTCTTGTTCTTCTTTATTGGTTTCTTCATCTTCATCATTGTTTTCATGGTGATCCTTTTGATGTTTCAATACATGCAAAGATCTACTTGCCACTTGTAACACTCTTGCCAAAATATCCAAAAGAGTTTGATCATCTGTAACCAACTTACTTTCCAAGATTCTCAAAATGTAATTAATTGGATACTTGTTCTCCTTGGAAACATTCTTCTTTTCTTTCTTGAAAATAAACATATTTTCATGTTCAGTCAACAAGAAGTACTTCAAATGGTTATTTCTTTCCAACAAATAGTCAACTGCTTCAACTATTTGTATTCCAACAGATATTTGTGTGGCACCGACAGGTAACTTGAACTGCTTTTTACCATCCTTGTTAGCACTAGCTCTATTGCAAATTTGAGTATACACCTTTTGAACTGGACGTTTCACTATAAAGCAATCATGTAAAATAGCAATCATCAAACTCATAATTTCAATTCTACTTTGCTTGTTGTTGCACATATATTGCAATGCATGATAGATATGTTCTCTTTGACCAATCGTCAAAGGAGAAAACAAAAGTCTGATTAACGCAGCAATACCTTGCTTATCGGATAATGGTGTGAAATAAATTCTTCCACTCGGCTTCTTTTGTGTTCTCGAGGTTGAAGTTCCACTGAGACCATGTCTTTGTCCTACGGATAATTCTTCATCAACTTCAAAAGGAGCATCTGCATCTGCATCTTCAAGATCAAACTCACCTTGAGATGCTTCCAATTCTGCATATCTTCTAGCCATAGATTCTTGTTGGAGAATTTCTTCACGAATATTATCTGGCAATGCATCCAAAAAGTCAGGATCAATTTCACGAGCATTATCATCAGTAGAGGTTGCATTGGCTCTTCTTTCACGAACATACAGAGCAAGAACCTCTTCTCTCATATCTTCAGGTAATGCCTCAATGTAATCTGGATCAATATCAGTACCACTGATATCAACATCACGATCACCTATTCTCACCATAACAGGTTCTCTTTCTGGAGCATTAGCGGCATTTTCTTCACGTTGTCTTGCTTCCTCAGCACGCTTTCTTTCTTCTTCTTCCAATTGCTTACGTTTTCTCTCTTCCCGTTCTTTCTTGATTTTTTCTTGTTCCTCTTGCTTCTTCTTATAAACGGAAACACTTTCGTCTTCAATTCTATTAACAATTGCTGGGATCAACTTATGGCACATATTATATTTATCCTTCGGATAGAACATTTTTAACGCATCTACCCAACGTTCTTTAGTAGATTTGATATGGAACTTGTGACTTTGCTCAGCATGTTTAGAGGAGCGGCCTAATTGCATCATATTTTCAAATAAACGACCAATGGTAGCACTATTAGTTTCTTCATTGCCATTAAATTCAATTGATCCTCGAAAGTTACCTTCACGGAATAAACCATCAAGCAATAAACTCAATGCTGGTGAAGTTCTTTCCAACTGAGTGAAGCCAGCTTGGTCAATAAGTCTTCGAGCACCAGAATTTGGAGTAACCATTCTGAATTCAAAATCCAGTCTGGATTCTGAGTCACTCAAGTCAACATCAGACTCATCTTCATCTTCAATGTTACCACCGTCAACAAAAAATCTCAGTCTAATACCACCATCTTCAACATTATCCATTGAATTAAATGGATCTCTTGGTGTCGGACGATCTTGTATATCATCACTGGACTCTTCACCATCATCTAATTGTTCAATCCAACCATCTAATTCATCTTCGTCATATTCACTTGCATCGCCATCTTCCTCATCATCCCATGCAGAAAGATCATCATCTTCATCTTCACTATGAGAACCCAAATCTAAATCGTCAATTATTTCAATATCCCCAAGATCAGAAACTTCTTCAATATCATCATCATCATCATCTTCTTCTTCTTCGTCTTGATCAACATCATCTTGGTCAACATCTTCTTCAGGGTCAATATCATCTAAATCTCTGTCGCCAGCATCAAGATCAACTTCCATCTCAATGTCTTCAACGTCCATGTCGGAATCTATGGCAGAGAGTTCTGATGAATCTTCCTCGTCACTGGTTCCAGATAAATCTTCTTCAGACATAATTCGTTCAACAGGATCTTCAGCATCATAAAACTCATCCTCATCTTCACTATTAATGTCATACATTCCCAAAGTCGAGTTACGAAACAAGTCTGGAGTTTCTTCATGATAATCAACACCTTCGGGCAAAATGTCGTCCTCGTCATTGTTATCGGTTTGGTTACCATCTTTCGAAAACAATTCTTGAAACTCAACCTTATTCTTACCCAAAAATGTGATTGGTTTCAATGCAGCTTTAACAACCTTATCAACCTGTGGGAAATTCAAATCCAATTCGGCAATCAAACTTGTCAAGAGGTTTGGAACCTGCTTTTCAATGTAAATCTTGGTTATAAAATATTGATCGTATTGAGTAGCTTGCTTGTTCAACAATGGACCAATAGCATCTCTGAATTTGGTTGAAATCAACAACCCACTTAGTTCAAACAAGTCTAGCAATTTACCATATCTAGCTAATCCCAGAACTTTCAACTGAGAAGTATCCTTCAATACCTTCATCAATAAATCAACGACAAACCTTCTGATAAGTTCCATATCGATATCTTCTTTCTTATCATGAGCTGGATCTTCAGTAGTTGCAGATATTGGAGAAGAGATCAAACTCAAAAGAGCCATTTTTGCAATTGAAGAAATAGCACAACGTCTTTCAAATTCTGCGCCAGAACTAAGCTCCAACAGACGAGTAGGAACCAATTGATGAATGAAAAAATTCAATGCCGTTGGTCGTGGTTTAATTTCATCTTGAGTCTTCTTGGAAAATGTTAAAAATTCCAATTTGGCTTGCTTATAGGAACCCAATAATTCAGTAATTGTCTGGAGAAGATAACATGCATAGGAAAATTTCTCGTTACCAAATAAGTTTATTGGTGCATCCTTGTTCTTACTCTTTGATTCGTCAGATGGAGGGTCTGATAACCAATCAGTTTTAACAACACCCATCAATTCGGACAAAAGTTGATTCATCAATGATAAAGATTGCCATGGCTTAGATGATTCCTGTGATTCTGTCATCTCAACATCTTGCGAGGATTCGTCCTTTTTCTTTACTCTAATTGGGATTTTATGCAAGTAAAAGTCACCTCCACTATATCCATCAAGAAGAATATTCTTGGAAAGAACATCGGTAAATACGCCACCGTCACGGAACACAAGGGATGAATTTTCCTTTAAACAGGTTTGAAGATCCCTCACATGTCTTACTGAACCATTAAACATGTTAGTAATATCCGAACCCATATAGTTCTCCAAAACTTCTTTAGTTTCAAAGCAGTAACGGAAAATCAAAACCACACTAGTCTTCAATGATTCAGCAATTACCTTTTCTTTGATATTTGTTCCAGTAAGTTTAAGTAGATCCTTGAGCACATCTGATGCAGAAATTCTTTCTGCGTACTTGATGTCTTTTGCATACAACACAAGAACACGGGCAACACCACTAGCTGATTTGATGTCACCTGAAACATGCAAATTAATAATTGCATCAAAAATCCTATCTTTTGTTTCATCATCCATAACAAACAAGACTGACTCATTGAAAAGTTGAATGGATTCATGTTTCGTGGTTTCTGGAATTGGTACAGTTTTATGAATAAGCGACTGCTCCAAAATGGACATCAATATAGGGAAAAATGTCTCATTCACGGTATCATTGGAGATGGTATCTGCATTAAGCAATGTAATTAACCTTTCATAAATCGAAGACTGGTTAATAGTATTCTTGTCAGCTTGGAGCAAAAGTGAGATCAAATGCAAATTTACAGCAAATGTTTCTTTATCAGTAACTGGCCAAGTTACTTCAGATAAATAACTGGTTATCTTACCGACAAACTCGTTAGTTGAAACGGTAGAAAATAAATCAGACACCGATACAATAACCTTAGGATATAATTTTGCCATTTGTAACCAAGTATCAACCAAATTTGCTGATTTTATTTCCTTCATAATATCTGCCGTAGATTTATACTTTGGAAATTCAATGGTAAAATCTATACCATCATCTTTAATTGAAGTCGCCATTGATCTCCATTGTTCATCAGATATTTCAAGTTCTTGACATTTGACAAATTTACCTGCAGCAATATCATTCAAATCATTTCCATGTTCGAAATAATGAGCAGCTTGATCTTCAGTCATCCCAAGGGAAATCAAATAGGCAAACTGTTCTGAAGGAGGACTGATATTTCTAGGATCAAATGGGATAAATTCAGCTCCACTACTTTCCTTCTTTGCTTGGAAAATATTTTTGGTAATATAAACAGCTTGTTCAACCAATGGAGTAGGAATATTACTTGGATGTTTAGCTAAGCCATGTGCCAACTTGGATCTAGAACCAACAATTTGTTCCAACAACGATAATGCTTCTCCTCTGACTTGGAACAACAATGCAGAAGTTAATGAATACTCAATACTCTTGCCATAACCTTGATAAAAATAAAACTTGGCATGTGACATGTTGGTAATGTTATCAGCATTCACCGTTTTAGCAAAAATCATCAATAATTGACTTAATGCATTCTTAACAATACTACTTTCTTGAGTACTGATGTACTTAAGTTCTGAAGTGGCAGCTACTTCCTTAGGATCCATTTCTAACAAGTGATCCCATAATGAGATGGCAGTTTTCTTTGCTGCTTCAAAAAATCCATTTTGGAAAAGTGAAATGGCAAATGGTGTGTAAACCTGATCTTTGCTTCTTTCCTTTTGACTTAATATATAAAGGACATTATAAGCGGTATCCAAAATAAAGCATTCTTTATAGTATTTATTGTCAAAATCCTTACTAATGGTAGTAGTAAACATTTCACCCAACAGCAAAAGAATTTCAACAGCATCCTGTCTGGACCCACCATCGGGATGATCCTGTCTCTTTGGAATACATGCTCTAACAACCGATGCAAGAATTAAAGGAATATATCCCTTAAAATAATAAGCGAAAGTACGCAATTGCAAAGTATTTTTAAATTTTGCTGTCGTGCCTGTAGTATCCGCCTTGATTTCCGTTGGATCAGCAACATTAACTTGCAAAGGTGGACTGTCATTAGGGAAATTATTTGTCGACTTGAGAACTTCATCAGGAGTAAGGGATTTGATTATAATTTCTTCCATTATTGATCTGTTTAACAACTTCACTAAATTAGTCAACAAATCTTTATCACTGAATAGCTGGATAATCTGTCCCAACCTTTCGTTAAACAACAATCCCAAGTTGATGTAGATTTCAGTCAATGAATACAACAAAACATTGATTGTATTTAGGTGTTTCAAGAGTTCTGTTGCTTCATCAATACCAATAACGTTGAAATATGACTCTTCCTGTTCAAAATCAATATATCCGAGCACAACTTCTGATGACAAAATTGTGTCCAATTCCTTTATTATGCACGGTAATCCATATTCTCTATTTTCATCATCAAAATACTTCAAAATACCCATCAAGGAGGAAATTCCATTCGACATTGCATAGTCATATGGTGCATTTTTCAATGTCAAAAATTTCACCCACGATTTAAACTTAATTTTCTGAATAGTATCAGCCCCCCATTGACCACTATCTTGTAATAATCCACCAAGGAAATAATAGACATTATCAAGCAAATATGTATAGTCTTCATCTTCCCAGCAAGTGATTGCTTTCTCACCATCAATCTTGACTGGGGAGTCATCCTCTTTGCTACCATAAAGAGAGCCATCTTTAGATGAGTAAAATTCAACTCCTGGTAACCTTTCATCAACGTATGCACTGGCATCTTCAATGAGTTTTTGGACCTCGCCAAGAATTAAAGGTTTCAAAGTCGGATAGTGTCTTCCCAATTCATCAAAGGAACATCCCAAATTTGTAGCCATATCTGTCTTTACCAATTCCTTAGCATTCTTCAAGTTATAAAATGATTTAAAGAAAGTCTGAATTATTTGTTTATCCTTTACCTTCTTCAATCCTTCATTGTTTAAACAAATAGCACCAAGTACTTCCGGCAAGGACATCAACAAGACACTGGACGGTAAAAACAAATTCTCATAGTTGTCCAAGATAGTATCGATTACTTTGGCTTCATTTAAAATTGCAAATGCTGTTGGCTCATTATGAATGATGAAAAATACCGAATCAACAGTGGCAGCTAAAATCAATGGTCCAAATACATGCGAATGAGTCAAAATCTTGTTGAAACTTTCAAGAAGTGGTGAATCAAATAAATTTCTTAATCTATCACCTTGGTCAGTTTGTATAAGATCAGAGACCAATTTCATCAAATTGCGAATGTAATTTGCTTGTCTAAGAGTGATGGAATAATACACAATGGCATCCTTAGGAGCGCCTCCATTGTAATCTGGGTTTTCCAATGCAAAGTCAACTTCATAGCCAATATTTTCAATCAACAAATTGAAACCGTTATTAGCAACAAAGTCATTAAGTGAATCTTGTGCAGCCGAAATATACATAGTGATTAAATGCACAGCTGCTGAACAACTCCATCTATACTTGGTGCGCAAGTTCAAAAATGGCATTAAATCATTGAGGATACCACCAGCGGTAAGCTTTGGAACTAAACCTTTGTTACTGATCAAGTTCCCAACCATATTGAAAAAATGAATGTGACCTTCTTCAAAATAATCTTCATCTTGGCCCTTCACCATCTTCCAAATATGCCTTATACATTGGTACAACATACCATGGCTGACATTACCACCCATAGTACGTACCATTTCTGCACCCCATATTTTCTTGAAAGATATACATTCTAATGCTCGGATTGCAGCAAAATAGACAGCCTTTGATACCAATTTAGCATTCTCTGGCAGGATAGTTTCAATCAAGAAACTAAAAATATAAGGTTCGGCTTCAAACAATTTTGTTGATGTGACTTGGGACGACAACATACAGCATGTAAAACCGACAGCAAGACATTTGATTTGAATTAATTTTTCTCTCAAATTCATTGCCTCAGGGGTATTGGTATTAAAAGATTTTGCAACCTCGGCATGAATTCCATAACTGAACCATGCATCTTTTGGTAATACTTCTTGTCCTTTATCCAAAAGCTGTTGCAAGGACAATCTTTTCACTGAATCTTCTGGTAAATGAAATAAATGCAAACCTTCAGTTACAGTGACTTGTTGTTGTGATTGTTTCTCCTTTTCCTTGTCCTTTTCTTTAGATTTGGATGCAATAGTTCCATTGTTAATGGTAGTTGGGATGGATTTATAATATTGGAAATTAATACTCTTCCATTTTGAAGGGTACTTTTTATCTGAATTTAATGTGTATACAAAGTTAAAGTGATCTCCAATGATGCTTGGTTTTTCATCAGGATTCTCTTGTGCATTTTTTTCTTCAGCACATTTTAAAGTACTATCAATAGGGACCAATGGAGGATATGACTTTGCAATTTCCAAAACCTTGTTCTTGATATTCTTTGGAGCTGAAAATCTTGACGAGCTTGTTTGAACATATTTTTCAGCAAGCACAACAGCAACTTCCAAAGCTCTTAATCTAATTTCTAATGACGGACTGTTTATCAAATCATAAATTCTTTCACTACTAGAATAAACCTGTTTATCTGAACAATGATCCAACAACGTGTAAGTGAATCGAAGACATGCAACAAGAAGTTCTTCATCCTGTTGGGAAATCAATTGCAACTTGACACATTCTTGATCCAACGCGTACTTTTTGATTTTTTGTTCAAAAATTTCGTCAAATCTATTTAATAGTGGGATCCAATGGAATAAATCACCTCGTGGACGTTGCCATTTTAAATTATGCAGTAAAAGTTCGGGCAACTTATCAATATCACAATTGGTTAATTGATCTATTAAGGATCTCAACGGCTCGGCCATCTCCATCCTCTGTTGATGATCTCTTTTACCAATAATAATCATAATGTGTCAAGAATAGTAATAATAATAATAATAATAAATTGATGAGTAAGTTCTGATTGCTATTGGGAAGCAAAAAAAAAAAAATATGTTAAATGAAAAGCGTCTTTAAAATACAAGTACTAAGTTTTCAAAAAGAACTTCAATATATTAAATTAGAAGGTAATAACAAGAAACCAATATCCAATTAAAATCAATCACACGCAAATGACTATTTCAAATAATTGATTTGATTTAGTAAGACCTCTGTGGTTGAATGATTCTCTTCAACTTTACGAATTGATGTAAGAAAAGAAAGGGAAAAAGGGATTTCCCAATTTTCTGGTTTTTTTTTTTCCTCTGTCGCTTTTTTGTCTCTCTCTCTCTTTTTTTTTTTTTGATAGAATCTCTCACTGTGACAAATGTTTTTTTTTTGTTTGTTTGAATGGTTTGTACACTAATTAACTAATCTATTGTATGTTTTCACATCTCTAAGAAAGATACTTTACTTGATAGATCAGACAATCCGAGTAGCAAGAACTTCAAAAATAGGTTAAAGATGAAACGAAGTCTAGGTGGAGAATCAGAGGAAAGACGTACCAAAGCAAAGGTACAACTGGGTGAACAATCAGACTCATCATCTCAAGACAAAATCAAAGCAGCCAAAGAAAGAATACGTAAACTACATCAACAACTGACACAACCGGAAAGAGAAGTTAAAAGTGGATTGGATATTGAGCTTCATCCATTGCTTAGAAATATAGGAACAACAGTACAATTGCCAAAAAATCACAACCCCGTGAAACAAACATCTCGAAAGAAATGGTTTGATCCCACAGCATTAAATCCTTATGTTGATCAAAGTGACATAACTAAGAAACACACCAGATTATTAAAGTTCAATAAACAAGGGAAATTTATTGCACAAGGTGAGAAATTAAGAGAGAAATTAAAAGTTGAAGCTGAGGAGAAACAGAAACATGAAGAATTGAAACAAAAAGGGTTACTACCAGATCATAATCTAGGCGAAGAGTTGTACAAGCCTGAACAATCACCATCGATCGAGTGGTGGGATAAACCATATTTGAAGGATAACAATTATTCCCGTATAGGTGATGAATCAAGGGTTGTTTTGGATAATGATGACCAACCTGTCACATTCTATATTCAACATCCTGCACTTGATACATCAAATGCCGAAAATGATAATGAAATGAAACCGATGTACTTGACTAAGAAAGAAAGGAAAAGAATAAGAAGAAATGATCGTCAAATCAGACACCAAGAGAAGCAGGATAGAATCAAATTAGGCTTAGATCCACCACCACCTCCAAAAGTCAAATTATCTAACTTAATGAATGTGTTAACTAATGAAGCCATCAAAGATCCTACTGCTGTGGAAAATAGAGTCAAACAAGAGATGCAAGAACGAATTAATAAACATATGGCTGAAAATGAATCAAGAAAGTTGACAAAAGAAGAAAGACACGAGAAATTATTGACAAAGCAAGAAAAGGATCTTAATAAAGGTGTTTTCACAACAGTTTATAAAATCAATAAGTTAACTAATCCTAAACACCTATTTAAACTTGACATCAGTGCAAAAGAGGAAAACTTGTATGGAATATGTTTAAAAAATCCAAGATTCAATATCGTTATCGTTGAAGGTGGTGAGAAATCCATTAATCAATACAAGAAACTAATGATGAATAGAATAAAATGGACACAAAGTCCACTGCAAGGTTCCACTGAAGATTTGTCGCAAAATAAGTGTGAACTTATATGGGAAGGGGCAATTCAAGAACTAAATTTCCAAAAATGGAGTATCATGCATTCTAGAAATGACGAAGAAGCGCTTAATGTATTAAAGAAGTTTCATCTTGAAAAATATTGGAGATTAGTAAATTCTTTATAGGCAAAGTTAATACACGTGAACTCGGTGAAGTAAATATATGTACAAAGTTGTCGTGTGGTTTTGAACAAAAGCGAAATCTGGGATTGAGTGCAGCATTTTGATTGGAACAAAAGAAAATAAAAAAAAAAAGAATAGAACGAAAAAATGTATCGAGTTTGATTCACACTTACTGTTTGGAAACACAACTAGCAATAGTTTTAATTACATATTCAACACATTATCAATTCATATACAATGGCTGGTGCATACACAATTTTAGGTAGACAAGTTCCTGCCCATGTTGTATGTATAACTCAATTGAATCAAAGTGTATAAATATTAAAATATACTAACAATAAAGACTACAGTTGGCTATTCTTACTTTAGGATCAGTTGCTGCTGGTGTCACTATTCCTAAATTCTTACCAAAAGATGAAACTAAAGTTGAAGCTCCAAAGCCAGTTGCTGCTGCTCCAATTGCTCAATCCAAAGAAGATGACTTTGATTTGGAAAAATTCATCAAGTATGTATCTAGACTATAACTTATAATCCATTAAGGACCTTATTACTAACAATTAACTATCTAGTGATTTGAGTAAAGAAGAAACAAAATAATGAATGACACTATGAATGAAAGAGATTATGTCAATCCGGTAGATATCCATAGAACATATATACAAAAAAGTAAAAATAAGTGGGAATATATACAAACGGAAAAATAAGTTTAACAATAATCATAAATATTGATAATTTCAGTACTCTGATTCTTACATAATCGATGGGTGCATAATCTAGCAACGATATATATAAAAAGAAAACAATCCAATGTGTACGATTTTCAAATGTACTGCTGGGATAACTGATCGTTCCGTCTGTCGTGTGATTCCTCACAGTTTTCCATGTATTCCTACTCCATACTCTTTAAATTGAGCAAAATGGTTGCCATCTGTGCCTAAACTTTACACTAACATTCACTCCGCATTTTCCATCAGCTGGAACTAGCAAGTCTAAACGAACTACATCAATTGAGTAATGAAATGGAATGATTTATACGATGAATGATTATACTAAGGATCAAATACGAAAATTGGTGGCCAGATGAATTTTTTTTTTTAAATAAAAGTGAAACTTCAAAAATAGAATTTAGTGCTATGATCACAGATCCTCTTTCTTAGGGGCAATAATTTACCGAGTGGCGTACTTAAAGCCGTGGAAAGTAATTAACTGAATAATTGTAAACAATCGGAAGTTAATTCAATTTCATACGATACCTAATGTGATATCTTCTGTGTGTGGGAAAGCAACATAGAAAATGAAATAATAAAAAAAGAAAGAAAATACGTCGGTCGACACGGGTATTCGGCTGCATCGCGTATAAGCCACTTTACGTTATTACAAATAAGCTCATAATATAATTGCAAAAATAGTTACATAGTGCTTGCAAAAAAAAAAATTCTAATATATTCTTCTCTATAAATTCTAACCTATTCTTTTATTTCTCATAATACAATAATAATAATAATAATTTGTCCTAACCCATTTTATTTCATTTATATGAAATTTCCTTTTTTTTTGATACTTAGTAAATATTGTCGTTGTGTGTGTTTGTAGTTCATTAACATCCAAAGTAAAATACTCTCTTAATGATCTTTCTTAATCAAATTAATAGCATATGGACACTGGTCGGTTTCAATATGGTTGTGCATCCAGTCATCAACATTCTTGAACTCAGTTTGACACATTCTACATTTTCCACTAACTTGATTTCTTTGTTCTTTTTTAGTACCATTTGGATATTGGAAATGTATAGCTTTCAAATGATTTTTAAAAGTATCACAACGTGAGAAAATACCAGTGTTATGACAACAATGATCCGGACCTTGTTGATGTTGTTGCTCGTCACCAGTTTGTATGTTTTTAAATGGACATTTGAATTGACCTTTATCAGAACCGATTTCTTTCCAATGACATTTAACATGTCTGAATAAATCGTTTGGTCTAGCAAATCCACGTTCACAATATTTACAGATATGAGGACGGTTGTTTGGTTTCAAGTGAGTAGACTTGTGTGTAGCCAAGTTTGAAAAATATAATTTACATTCTGGACATTGTCTCTTCTTTCTTGGTTTCCAGTTCTTCTTAGTTTGTGTTGGTGATGATGTGGCAGAAGTATGTTCTGTGGATGATTTAATGATTTGTTGTTGTTCTGAAGACAAGCTAAATGCTTGTTCTGATTTGACAGATAAATTAGAGCCACTTCTAGATCTGGTAGCATCCATACCTGGAGAATAGGGAGAAGCAACAGGACTCATTAAAGCGTTTGGAGTGGTGGTGTATGTAGAAACCGGAGATCTTTCACCGCTGGGTATTAACAATGTTGGGGAATTTGAAGTAGTAGATGGAGTTGGGGATGAAGATGGTGAAGCATATTGGCTGAAAAAACTTGCTCTGTTATATTCTTCAAAGTGAGGAAAAGCTGGAATATCTAAAGAGTGAATTGATGGTAACGTTATTGAAGAGTGTGGATGTAAATGTGGTTGTGGTACCATGGTGGGTGAAGGTGATTTTGAACTATTTTGGTTACAGTTATCTTGTTGTTTTTGACTCAATGAGTATTGGGACAATGTATTGTTTGAAGTGGTAGCCATTGATAACATGTCTTAAATATGGTGCAGTAAATAAATAAGGTATACAATAATGAAAAGTATGTGTGAGTTTTAAAAACAACTAGTAAAACAAAGTGTAGTAGAAGAATTAAATCGAGTTATATATAAGCTTCTCCATACAATAGGGAATATAAATATATATATATATGTAACAAAAAGAGATCAACAGAAGAAGGTCAATTTTTCTTTTTTTTTGGGTATTCAAGTGGGAAATTAATAGCTTATTATATAACTGATAAATAGGGGTAATATAATAAACTAAGAATGTCGTACCAACTCTCTTTTTTTTTTTTTTATTTTATTGCCCCAAAAACTAAAATACCATTAAACAATAGAACAGGCTCTTCCAACTCTCAACTCTCAATTCTCTTTTTTGTTCCCGTTGCTGCAACCACCCGCACCCGTTATCCACCACGAGTCAACCAACCAACCGCAGCCATTCCATTATCACCGCGCACCCCTCCAGGCCCAGACTTTAAAACTGGAAAACCAAAACCAAAAAAAAAAATGTCGTACTCAAAAGCCGCAAAAACACACACACTCTCTTTTCTAAAGAAAAAAAAAATTGCTCACTCACGCAAACAACCAAAAAAAAAAAAAGAAATTTCTCGCTCTCTTGCCGGCTCTTAGTAAACAAATATTAATCTCAGTATAGCCGAATCCCAAGGATAATCACTCATTTCAATTGATACTGTACAATATATATTATTTTTAGGCTAATCAGTTTGTAAAACTTTATTAAGAATCAAAAGAAACAAATGGAAATATACAAATCAATTAATCTTTTGATCATTCAAAGTTCAAAGAGTGTTTCTGTTCTTAAAGTTACATTCGCCTCCTCCACCGATCTCTAATTCCGGTGCTCTAGTTCCTTGGTACCAAGAAATCTTCTATGTATATTAATAAGGGTTGTATTATACTGAAGAAGTAGTGTCCGAACATCTATACGGCTACAGTTTGAGTCAGAATTGACATGCGAGATATTTACTCAAGTTCTCCCGTACGATAGGTGAAAAATTACACTATTCCTTAGACGTACATTCATTTGTAGATCACACGTTTCCAAGGATCTATTTTGATTTGTTTCAGTAAAACAAAAGAAGCCTCTCCCCAATAATATCCGGCGAGTACGACAATCTAAGAGAGGTGTTTTGTGACATCAAACTGGATTCTCATTGATGTCAGAGCAATAAATCCGAGAGAGAGACCTGAAAAAAAAAAAATAATAATTGAATAAATAATCATAAAAAATAGATGGGATTTAAAAATTTAAATCCTACTCACCTTACACCGTTGCATTTTTGTTTTAAGGACGCATCGGAAGTGGATTCTTGTTCTCATTACTAAAGTATACATATTCAAACCCGTACTATTAAAGACAATAAAACATGGAAGGAAAGTGTTACGACTACTTTTTCTTTTTTTTTAAGATCATTCCCACATTCTGAACACACCGGAGATTATCATTGTTTTCTACTTAACCACAGAGTTTAAGAGAAATGAGAAAAAAAATTTTTTTTTTCCTTTCCCATACTATCCGACAACACGGCAGTATAATATAACACAAAGTCTATCCGTTGTAATGATAATGAAGCGTATATGTGTAAATGCTCTCTATATAGCAATTGCCAGAACAATCTTAATGAATAATTAAGAGGTTCAACGTATCATTTTTCAGTTATTGTTTTCAATTCTTTTTTTTTTCTATGAGATCATCAGACACATTATTACTAGATCAGACTGGGAAACAAAAAAAAAATGTGGGTACTGCCCCGGAAAATTGGGGGGAAGGTTGAATTGATACAAACCTAAGCCAGGTTAGGAAACGGGAACGGGAACGAAAAAAGTCGTGACGTGTTGGGGAGCCTTTAGAGTTTCTCGACGAGAAAACCCCAGGTTTTAATAGCTCATATCATTTAAAATTGAATTGAAATGGGTCGTACAAACAATAGTGAATAAAGTAAAATAGAAAGATTAAATCTTAAAGTCAATAATTGCGACACATTCAATAAATAATAGGGGTAGAGAGAAAGGAATCAATGGAAGCAAATATCAAAACAAAAAAAGAGCAACAGGTAAACAAACGCGAGGCATTTTTTTTTTTATTTAATCTTTCTTCTTTTATGTATTATCATTTTCCTTTCCATTTCCCCTATTTGGATAATTGCTGTTTTACTATGATCACATCATCATCACGTTTTTCTTCTATGTCTTACCCTTCTTAGTTCGTTGCATAGTTATGAGCTTCGGTATCAGAAGATAAACAAATGGTTTGTAGAATCGCGTGGAATTGTATAGTAATTCGGAAATACATATATTCATGAGGTAATGGTCTTGGTATCGGTGAGTTACATTTATAAAAAGAAGAAGATGAAGATGATGATGAAGAAGAAGCAAATGTAATGGTTATGTTTCTTATGGGCTAGTATCAGTTGTGACCGTGCTGGCAAATGTTGGTTACACTCTAATTCTAGATTGTTGCAATGATTCCTATTGTCATTTAAATTTGGTGTATGAGTGGGGTTCTTTTATTTCACCATATTACAATACGGGCCGATCTTTCCTTATGTTCAATAACATCATGATACCTGGAGTAATTGCTTTCTCATTTCATTTCATTTTTTTTTTTTTTTGCAACTTTGTTTTGTGTCCGATTGTTGATATTTTTCCGCGACTTTTTTTTTGTCTACCGTTGTGTGTGTGTGTGGGTTAATTAATCCAAGGCTGGTACACGGTTCGGTTTTATGTCTCATGAGCCGTGCAAGATTATACCCGGAAAACAGATTGCTTTTGCCGCATGGGGTGTGATTGAGTGTTTTTTTTTTTTAGTTTCTCTACGCCTCTATACGCTTAGTAATCTTACCAAAGATCAATCAGTTCCGCTGGGCGGAATACTTTGTTCAAATAGCGGAGAAAAGTATTGGATTAACTCCATTATGCTGAGATCTTGGTTTTAAATAGGCAGTGCTAATTGTTTTGATCTTGGTTCAAAAAAAAATATGACAAAACGAATATAAAGGAGATGAGGACTTTACAGTGTAATGTAATCGGGAATAACGTCATTAGCTTTTGCTTTCCCCTAGTTATTTTTAAACAGAGGGTGATCGGGAATGGAGGCAAAGTGACAGAAAAAAAAACAAAAAATATTCTCGTACGAATAAATAAAAACCGTCGTGTTAATTCCGCCGAACTCTCGACGGCAAGATATTTTTATTTTTATCTTGGATCGTTGTATAATTTTTTTTTATTTAGCGGGGGCTTTAGTATTCAATTCCTTTAATCTCTGTGCTCATGACCTATGATATCATAGCTTTGATTATTAGCATTTCTTGGTCTCAATTAATAAGGGAAATGAATTCTTCGTAATGAACCGATAGGGGGCACGGAGTCGTCCAACAAAATTATGGGAAAAAAAAAAAAAAATTCATCGCGACAAATTTGCAATTTCACATCGTGTGTCTACTGCATGACTCGCCACCACTCCACACAATCCGATGAATTTGCATGAATAAAGAAATTGGAGAACTGTTTATAAAAATATCAGGTGAAACTTCTTCCGAGAGGAGAGTATATACTCATGTGATTTAAACTCGATAATAATACAGGAGAGTATACTGAATAACGACCTATATTTGGATTAAAAGAAGGAAACATTTTTTTGCTTCATGGGAAATACGAAATACTAGATCATCTTGACAACCGATGTCAGCAAAAGACACGCTTTTCCCATTAGCCTTTCAAATTGGCTGTACCGCATGAAAAGAAAATTCATTTTAGAGGAATCGATCGTAACCAACCAAAAAAAGGGTTATGAAATTTCGTACCAGTACCTAAAAAGAGTCTAGAACTGAACTTATATTTGATCTGGCAAATGCTTTATGTATTCCAGTAGTTTTTTTTTTTTTTGCACTATGTCAACTTCAAAATTAAGCACAATAAACCCTTTGTCAAAGTAGTAATCAAATTCAATGTGAGTGAATAAATCTACACCAACAAATCATAGCATAGCCCATTAGCTTAGACTGGTAACAAAATGAACCATTCCAAGAACAGCCAATTCTTTAGCCGTGTAAAACATTTACGTCACTTGACTGCTATGTTTTTTTTTTTGCCATTCATTGCTTTTTTTGTTGAGCTTCAAGATTTAATATTGCTGTTGCCAATATTTTTTTTCGCTGTAGAAGGTAATATTGGTCCTGTTCCGCCCAAAGACAAGTGAACAAAAAAAATAATGATATTGACGTGGGGGAAAAGTGAGAAAGTGTGTTTTGAATCAATAAAGTCTAACTCTACTAAACTCACAGAAGGTACATACAATTGAAACCTACAATAGATATGAAACTACTATTGACTATACGGAAACCATTGGTAACTCCACGAATATCGCAATGTTCAATTACTCGTATAACCATCTTTAGAAACTATTCATCAACACCTACCAAAAAAACTGATCCATTACCCAAACCTACAATTCGTTGGTTCTATGCGCTGGACGTTCCTATTTCCAAACCAGATTGGTATAATTATGAAAAATCAAAAGAACCAGAATCATTCATTCCATTTTCAGATTATGACTCGAAAAATTTGGAACATCATTTTATTAAAAATCGCCAAGATAAAATAGTTGAAGTTAATGAAGATAAATTATTTCAAGTTGATTTACAAAATTTTGAATTATCTCCTGTTTATTGGGAAGGTCCTGTTTATGAAGTTAGAAGAGGATTATGGTTTAATCCAGATGGTATTCCATTGAATGCAAAAGTTACTGAAGAAATTGAAAAAGAATATGAACGATTAAAACCATATTTGTTTGAAGGAGAAACCATCACCAATGATCAAAGCAACAAGTTAAAGAAAATCTCAAATAAAGGAAATAAAGAGAAGATCTCTCAGTTTAATAAATACAAGCAAAAGAATACTTCAACAGTCACGGAACAAATACAAACTGAGATTAAAGAACAAACAGAATCAGTTGATTTTGCAACTCAAAAAGATGTGGCTAGATTAAGTAATGGACAGATAGTGTTATTTTTCAATAAAACCAATGCTGTGCTTTTCCCAGGAGATTATGATTCAAATTTTCAAATAGATGTGATTAGATATTTTGGTCCAAAACCACTGTCACTTTTAGGTGTCACCCATATTCAAAGAGGTTATAGTGAAGAATTACAGGAATCATTTTTTGACAAATTACCTGAAAACCCACTACCTGGTATTTCTGATGCATTCAAATCTGAGATTGGTTCAATTATAGGTGGAATTGGTGGAAGTAAAGATTCACAAGAAGGAAATGATGCGAATCCTGAGCAAGTAAATCTCCAATTAGGAGATGATAATGAAGTTGATGATTTGAATATGCAAAAGATATTTGAATCTGATTATGATTTACAAACATCACGCTCAAAATCCAATAGAGAAATTGATCATTTAGTGTTGTGTATTCATGGTATTGGTCAAGTTTTGGGAAGTAAATATGAATCGATTAATTTTACTCATAACATTAATATCTTGAGAAACACCATGAAGAGGGTATATCAAGAGAATGACGAATACAAGAAATTAGCATATAATGAAGAGGACTCTAAAACGGACACCAGTAATAATAGGATCCAAGTTTTGCCAATTTCTTGGAGACACAGAGTTGGATTTAATCCACAAGAGAAGTTTGACAATGATAAACCATCTAGACTTCCTTCATTATCACAGGTCAATGTTGAAGGGATTAGTGCATTACGTGACGTAGTTGGTGACGTAGTATTGGACGTTCTTTTATTCTACCAACCAAGATACTTGAACCAGATAATTGCTGCTGTTACTTCAGAATTGAATCGTGTTTATCAGTTATACAAGGAAAGAAATCCAAATTTTAATGGGAAAGTTCATATAATGGGTCATTCATTAGGATCTGCTATTGCATTTGATATATTATCATCTCAACCAGAAATAATACCAAGTAATCCAGATTTAGAAAAGATGTTGACGTTTGATGTTGAGAATTTATTCCTTGTAGGTTCACCAGTGGGGATGTTTAAATTACTAGCAGAGAAAAACATCCAAGGTAGAAATTCACCTGATTTCACACCTTCTTCAGAGGATCAATTTGATTCACCTAAATGTACAAATTTGTATAATATTTTCCATCCATGTGATCCTGTTGCCTATAGACTTGAACCTTTGGTTGTTCCTCAATATGGTGATTATAAACCTGCAGATATCAAGTTCGCTGTTAAAGGGTTTAATACCCAAATAAAAGAGTTGGCTAGTTTGGGAGATGAATTATCAGAAAAAATCTCATCAGCTGCAAAATGGTTAACCAGTAGTAAGAAAACAGGAAAGGAAAAATCCGTTGAAGAGATTGCAAATAACGAAAATGCACTTGGTGATATAATTAAAGGTATACTCATGGATGCACATACACAGCATGAAGAAGAAGAAAAAGAAGCACATCATCAACATAATTCCAACACGTCCTCTAGTGGACAAAACAAGATAATTGTGGGTAAAAATCTTCAAAAGATGATTGCCTTGAATAAAGCAGGTAGAGTTGATTATAGTTTACCTGTTGGTGTATTAGATTTTTCATTGGTTTCTGCCGTGAGTGCTCATGTTTCATATTTTGAAGATCAAGATACTAGTGGCTTTATCATGAATGAACTTCTTAAAGGACCAAAAAACCCTGTTGACAAAATAATCCTAACACACAAGTAGATGTAACATTAATATATACAAATTATAAAAAAGTTTTCTATTCTATTAACAAGTCATCAATACTTTGTTCGGCATCATTTTTAATCAATTCCAACATACCTTCAGGTAAAATTGGTTCACCTTTATTATCAACAACATAACGAAATGGCATTTCAGTTGATTCATATTTATTATATTTAATTTCTGGATAATCCAAAAATTTAATATTTTCAAAATCTATTCCATCTTCAATAATCTTTTGAGTAGTTCTAATAGCAGTATCAGTAGTCATTTGTAAAGCACCTAATCTTCTACCACTAAACCCATATTTTTCTCTTAAAATACCAGTACGATCAATTCTTGGATGACTTCCTAAAATACCACCAAATACAAAATATTCAAATTTAGATTTATCACCAGGAGTCAAATCAATTTCAGCTGCTGGATCTAATAAACAAACTTTTGATGATTCAAGTCCATTTTCTTCAAGTTCAACACATTCTTTAGTTGTCCATTGTAATCCAAGATCAATAAGTCTTTTAGGAATATCTTTTTCTGTAGTACCGGATGGAAGTGATGTAAGAATAAGATTTTCTTTACCTATATCACGAATAATTTGGCTATATTCTAAAATAACCCATTCGGAAAATCCTTCTTCCATATGTTCTATAACGTATTTCATTTGTTGATTCAATTGATGGTGTTTTATGATCAGAATCGATGGAGATGTGAATTTTTTGAATTTTTTTTTTTTTTCAGGTCAGTTATGTTTGCGATTTGTGTTACATAGATGCAAAAAAAAAAAAAAAAAATTGGTTCAGCTTAGAAGTAATGGTAATTGAACTTTGAACAAAGAATGGTAATGATAACAATTATCATGAATTCAAATTAGGGTCATTGTTTTGATTTAGAGAATATGATCTGGCTGTTTGAGTGGTCTGATACTTGAATAGGAAATTCATTCCGAATCGGTCTAATTGAAGGAATCCATCTATTTCTTACAATCCAGAAAGCCATACTCTTACCTAATCACCAATCTTGATTCAATAGAGATAACTCATGTACATTTCATTTATCAAAGTATACAAAAAACCACATGCAAGACAGTATGAGAGTTTTTTTTTTCATTTTTTGTCTTGAACCTCATAATACCTAATGGAGGTAGAAATCTTTTTGTAAATACATCCAGATCAAACTACTGGAACTAACAATCAATGGACCACTTAAACCTTTACCTAATTTACAAGTACCGAAATATAACCATTCACTTAAAAAGTGCCAAGCAGCAATGACAAAAGTAAATTGAGTCAATTGATAAACTTGTGGGACATTTAAATGATAAGCACCATAAAATCTAACAATAGCAGTAATTAAAGTCCATGTACCAAAAGTTCTAGCTGATAATGGTGATACTTGATTAGGATCTTTTTCATAAACTCTTTTAGTAAGGGAAATATCTTGATATGTTTGAACAGAATTGAATGCTGAAACTACAGAGATGAATAATAACCAATATGGAAGTTTACCACCATTGGATGCTGGAAGAAATGATTGAAGATATGACAACATAATTTTAAAAATAAGATGAAGTTGTATTCTGGTTGGAAAGAAAAAGAAGAAAAACTAGTGTTGCAAGATTGGTGATTTTTTTTTTTCAGTTTCCTTTCGTCTCGTGGATCAATTAAAGTAAACCGCTCGGATAAAACTGGTCGTAAAAAAATATTCAGAGAGAGACAGAGAGAGAACAATCCGTACGATATGAAAAATATAAAAACTTAATGTATACAAAACTAAAAATGACAAATGTAAAAAATGAACAAGATAATAAAAATAAACAAAAAAAAAAAGCGTGAACGTGAACGTAAATCAACTATAAACTAATAAAGAAAACAGCAATCACCCATTTAGTTTCCAGCAGTTGGGTCTTGAGTCTTTGTAGGATCCTGTTCTTTCAAGACTTCCACAGCTGGACCCAACAATCTTTGGAACCCAGATTTGCCCAAAGTTGCAACAATAACGTTATCTAATGCCTCCACTGTAGCTTGTCTTGGTAAATCTTTTAATAATGCAACTTCACCAAAGTAATCACCCTTTGATAATTTCTTGATATTACCCAATTTCTCATTATAGACTTGACAATTACCACTTTCAATCAAATAGAAATTCTCCCCTTGTTCACCTTCAGTGACAATCTTATCACCTTTATGGTACATCTCTGTACTCAATGCATCAGCTAATTTGGAACGTGCATGATCAGAAAGTGACTTCAACACTTCAATGTCTTTCAAGAAATCTTCATACATCAATCTCTTGTTGAAAGTACCTTCCAAAAGGATACGACGGAAAGTCAAACGGTCCAAAGCCCAACAGACAACATCAGTAGCGGCAATAGCAGTAGCGGCTCTTGGCGAATTGTACATTAAAGCCAATTCACCAAAGGATGAACCTTCACTACTGGAGTTAACTTTGGCATCGTTGACATAGAAATCAACAGTACCAGTTTCAATAATGTAAAAGAAATCACCTTCATCTCCTTGTTTAATAATAACGGTATCCTTTGCGAATGATTTTTGTTGTAAAGCTGCAATAACAGTTTTTTTAGAATTAGCATCTAATTGCTTGAAAAGGAAATTGTTCTTCAAGTTTTCAGCTAATGTTTCTTCTTCAGTTGTAGACAAGTTATTAACAGGAGGTTTCCAACTTTCGGACTTTAACTTTGCTGGATTTAAAGCTTCAGCGGAAACAGAGGTTCTTCTATTGGCATTAAATGCAACTGGGATCTTCTGTGGTGGGAATTGCAGTGGTGGTTGGTTTGGAGATTTAATGGCTGCAGATGCTTGTGGTTTAGATGGATCATCTGGATCAACCTCTTTTAATGGAACAGTTGATGACTGTTTGTTCACATCAAAATTGGATTTAAAGATACCTCCAGCGGCATCAGAATTAGTATCGTTCTTAGTATGTGGGTCATCATCATGATTCGAGTGGGGATCATTTAAACCAAAGGGAGATTTGAAACTTGGTTGTCTATCATTTCTAACACTAACACCACTTGCGTTGATATTGATATTATCAATGGAAGGAAACAAATTGATTCCAGCAGCTTGGGCTCTGGATTGCTGAGACCATAATTCACTTCTTTGAGCTTGTAATTTAGTATTGAAATAATTAGCACAGAACTGTAAAATATCTTGTGGGTTTTTAGAGATTATTTCTCTTTGCAATTGGGACAATTCATCCGTTATGAATTGTTGTTGAGAATTGGACATTGGTGGTAATGATATCAATTCAATTTTTTGAATTTTATTGATAAGGTAAAGAAAGAAAAAGGTGTGGGCGACTTTCTCCGTCTCAATTTTTTTTTTCTCACATACTCAGTTCAAGCTCACCTTTTTTTTTGCTGTTGTTGTTGAGAATGAAGAAACTCCTCCTCCTCCTCCTCCTCCACCTCCTTTAGTCTGAAATTTTGGATGAGATTTTGACCACTCAGATAATGAAACTCACATTTAATTAGACCAAACATACAAAAAGAGGAACAAAGAAAAAAATAGCTCTACAGATGATAGTGCCATCAGTAGATATCTCTCCACAAAATTCAATACAGTGTTGATGACTACAACCCCATGTTATCTAATATTTCACAACATTGGGGGCGACAGAGAGAGAGAGAAATTACTTGTATTGTGTGTAAACCACCTGATCGAACGCAATCAATTAATTTTCTTTTCGTTTGGTGGAGAGAAATGTACACGACATCTTTAGACATTTGACGACATTATTTAAATGGTGATCTAAGTCACGTTCGTACGACATCTCACGTGCACTTTTCCATATTACGACATGGGGACAATTAAATTATTTTTTTTTTAATTTCCTGAAGGGGCGACATTTGTACTTGAAACTACGTGTCAACTTTTTTTTTTACTGCTTCTAGCAAATTCTTTAACTATGCACCTATATGCAGTATTTTGTGCGAGCTCGCTGAATGTTGACAGAGTGTGTTGGAAATTTTTCACTTTCATTTGATTTTATATAAACCTCGTTCTTTTTTTTTTGCCCTTCCTTTTCTTAAATTTGTTTTTTTTTTTTTTAATTCTTAATTTGGTGTTTGAGTTCCTTCAGTCTACAACTAAATTATCGTTAGATCAATTAGATTATAGAATTCGAATAATGAGATCATCACAATCTTCTTGGTTGCCACGTATTGGTTTGTTATACGTGGCGTTAGTCATGCTCATACCATTCTTGGTATCTCCAAAAAGTGCATTTGCCGTCGCTGCTGTCAGTGATGACGAATCATCTTCTCCAGATAACTACGGTACTGTCATTGGTATTGATTTAGGTACTACTTACTCATGTGTCGGTGTCATGAAGAATGGTAAAGTTGAAATCTTGGCCAATGATCAAGGTAACAGAATTACCCCATCTTATGTTGCCTTCAATGGTGATGAAAGATTGGTTGGTGATGCCGCTAAGAATCAAGCCGCTTCCAATGTTAACAACACTGTTTTTGATATTAAGAGATTAATTGGTTTGAAATACAATGATGACACTGTTCAAAAAGAAATCAAACACTTGCCATACAAGATTGAAAACAAGGGTAACAAGCCAGTTGTTAAAGTTGAATTTAATGGTGAAGAAAAAACCTTCTCTCCAGAAGAAATTTCTTCCATGGTTTTGGGTAAAATGAAGAGTATTGCCGAAGATTATCTTGGTAAGAAAGTCACCCATGCTGTTGTCACTGTTCCAGCTTATTTCAATGATGCCCAAAGACAAGCCACTAAAGATGCTGGTGTTATTGCCGGTTTGAATGTCTTGAGAATTGTCAATGAACCAACTGCCGCTGCTATTGCCTACGGTTTGGACAAAGGTGACACCGAAAAACAAATCATTGTCTACGATTTGGGTGGTGGTACTTTCGATGTTTCCTTGTTGTCTATTGAAGGTGGTGTTTTCGAAGTTTTGGCTACTGCTGGTGATACTCACTTGGGTGGTGAAGATTTTGATTTCAAGATTGTCAGATACTTGGCCAAACAATTCAAGAAGAAGCACAACATTGATATTACTTCCAACACCAAGGCTATTTCTAAATTGAAGAGAGAAGCTGAAAAGGCCAAGAGAACTTTGTCTTCTCAAATGAGTACTAGAGTTGAAATTGATTCATTTGTTGATGGTATTGATTTCTCTGAAACCCTTTCTAGAGCCAAGTTTGAAGAATTGAACATTGCTGCTTTCAGAAAGACTTTGAAACCTGTTGAACAAGTTTTGAAAGATGGTGGTGTTAAGAAATCCGAAATTGACGATATTGTCTTGGTTGGTGGTTCTACTAGAATTCCAAAGGTCCAAGAATTATTGGAAAACTTCTTTGATGGTAAGAAGGCTTCTAAAGGTATTAACCCAGATGAAGCTGTTGCTTACGGTGCCGCTGTTCAAGCTGGTGTCTTGAGTGGTGAAGAAGGTGTCGACGACATTGTCTTGTTGGATGTCAATCCATTGACTTTGGGTATTGAAACCTCTGGTGGTGTTATGACTACTTTGATCAAGAGAAACACTGCTATCCCAACCAAGAAATCCCAAATTTTCTCTACTGCTGCTGATAACCAACCAACTGTCTTGATTCAAGTTTACGAAGGTGAAAGAACCATGGCCAAGGACAACAACAGATTGGGTAAATTCGAATTAACTGGTATTCCACCAGCCCCAAGAGGTGTTCCACAAATTGAAGTTACTTTCTCCTTGGATGCCAATGGTATCTTGAAGGTTGAAGCTGCTGATAAAGGAACCGGTAAATCTGAATCCATCACTATCACCAACGAAAAGGGTAGATTATCCAAGGATGAAATTGATAGAATGGTTGAAGAAGCTGAAAAATACGCTCAACAAGATCAAGAATTGAAAGAAAAGATTGAAGCTAGAAACTCCTTGGAAAACTATGCTCATCTTTTGAGAGGTCAATTGAATGACAAATCAGAAACTGGTTTAGGTTCTAAATTGGATGATGATGACAAGGAAACCTTGGATGATGCTATTAAAGAAACTTTAGAATTTATTGAAGACAATTTCGATACTGCAACTGCTGAAGAATTTGAAGAACAAAAACAAAAATTGATCGATGTTGCTAACCCAATCACTGCTAAATTATACGGTAATGCCGGTGGCGAAGAAGGTGCTGGTGGCGCTAAATTCGGTGACGATGATTCAGATGATGAATTTGATCACGATGAATTGTAAGCGTGCCTGACCCGAAAAAAAAAAAAAAGAGAAGATATATATATATATAAAATATTAAAATAAATTTGTAATGTTATTAATTATTTAAATGGTATAGTTTAGATGTGTCTATAGATATGTAACATTTAAACAATACAAAATGGATAAATCTCAAGAGAACCAATTGTAGTAAATCCAAAGTAAGTCCTTGGTTAAAGTCCAATAGTTTGGGTTGTGAATTTGATGACGCAACAGAAATCCTTTTCACAACCAAAAAAAACAAGACAAGACAAAATCTTAGTGTAGCACGAAGAAGAAGACCCACGACAGGAGAAAAAAAAAAAGAAAAATACTAGAAACTACAGTATTGCACCAAAGTACTGTATCGAAACAATACAGAGAAACAAAAGAAAAGGAAAAGAAAAAAAAAAATTTTCTTCTTCTTCTTCTTCAGGTTCATCTTTTCCAAACCAAAAAAAAAAAGTTGAGAAAAATTTCAACGTTTCATTTCAAGGGACCAAGTTTTCTGAAGTCAAAAGGAACTATCTTAGTGAAAGAAAGACAGGTTTAAGAGAGAGAAAAAAATGTCAAATCGAAAACTACAAAAGTATGTTTCACAAAATTTTAACCATGGGGTGGGAGAGAGAGAGAGAGAGAGAGAGTATATTGTATTTATGGATTAATGGGAAATTGGGTCAAGTCATTGGTTACCCGAATTCGTGGGTTTTATTCCAAAGAATATAGATCATCCTCTCCAGAATGGTATAGTCAGTGATTAGAAATACTAACAAATTGAGTGGAGAGGGAGGTGAGGTGAAATCCTTCCTCCTCGTACTACTTTTTTTTTTGTAAAGAGAAATTGACATTATTTTCAAAAAGATACAAGAAGGTCTACAAGACTTTAACTATCATTATGAAAGATATGAAAGTGTACAAAACACTGAAGATGATTCAGATAATCAAAGAGAGAAGGAGAAATTGGCTAGTGATTTAAAAAAGGAAATCAAGAAGTTGCAAAAATTTCGAGAACAAATCAAGCACTGGCTACAAAATGATACTGTGAATACGCTAGGTCCAGTGGGAATATCATATAGTGGGAAATTGACTGAAAACAAGAGTTTAATTGAAGAAGCCATGGAAATTTACAAATCTGTGGAGAAACAAAGTAAATTGAAAACGTTTTCTAATCAATCTATCATGATGACTTTTATGGATAAGAACCATGGGGATGATGACGATGATGACGATGACAGTAGCGATGATTTCCTTAGTGGGAGTGAAGAAGAAGAAGAAGATTACAGTGATTTGCCTGAGGATGCCGTAGAGTCGATCCATTTCCTTAAAGATTCGATACTACAGCTTTCAGAGCAAACTGCGAAATTAGATCATGAATATGAGAAATTGGCAGCAAAGAAAATTAGAAAGAATAATTTGGCAACCATTGAAGCCAAGAAGGAAAAGATTCAACTGACGATAGCGAACAACAAGTTCCATCAAAAGAAAATCAAGAAGTTACTCAAGCAATTGAAAAATGGTATGGTTACTGAATTTAACTTGATATGGATGTTGAAAACAGATTTGGAAAAGTATATGAGTTCAAATGGAGACTATGCTTTCACCAAGGAAACTGAACTTTATGATGATATCTTCACTCAAATTGCAGCCGTTGATGAAGATTATTCTGAGATTCATGATGATAGTCAACTAATGGAAGAAGCACCAGAACAGCTACCACCACAGCAACAAAAACCATCAACTAATGGAAGTGCCCTAACTTCCTCTTCTTCTCAAACAACGCCGTCGCCCAGAATCGCTAAAGCGAATGGACACGTTAAAGAATCGTCAGGGGAACCAACTTCCAGATCCCATCAACTTTCGTCGGTTAGTACAGATACATCGCACCATTCATCAGTACAGCAAAACAGCCATAACCAACAACATGAACTGGATATACACCATAGTTCTGCTCAATTACTTCCAAAGAAGAGCCCCGAAATTACTTCACCAGGTTTTGTGAGGACTTTGAAGCCAGCTTCTACGCCGTCGAAACCTGTGGGTAGTCTCAAATGGTCTGCGGCTGCTGCGGCTGCCATTCCTGAAGTTCATGAAAGGGCTAAATCAGTAGAACCAGAATCAAATGGTTTGCATCAAGTCAAATCTAATTCAGTGGAAGCACAACTTGTTAAAGATGAGTCTAAGCAACAAAACCAAAAATCTCCATTTGTTACACCAGCCCCATTGCAAGTTGGAAACATCAATACTGAACAATTTAAGGATGTGATTAAGAACTCCAGCTTATCCAAGACTGAATCAGGGTTATTCCTGGATATGAATTTAGTTAGAGTTCCTCCTGGTATCCAAGATCTTGTTATTTCATTTGCGTCTAAAAGATATAATGATGAATTTAAAGTGTTGGTTGATTCTAATGATTTTAATCAATTCAACTTACCATTAAATAAACCATATTTGCCAGAAATTGTCCAACCAAATTATTATTCTCAATTCACCAATTTCAGCTTTAAACATCCTGGTCAATTAACCAAATTTCAAAGTTATTGGAATCAAGTTAGAGCAAGTTTTGGATTTGAAAAATTGGTTAATGAAATAAAGACATTAACTGCTCAAAATTTGCCTGAAAATGTTCCAACTATTACTGAATTGACTTTTGTACTTTTCTATGGATTCTATTATGGTGTTACACCAGCAGAAAATTTGATTGCTGAATCATACTTGTTTGAACTTGGTTGGAAACCATATAAAACTCAGTTAGAAGGAAATCATAATAACAATTTGATCAACTCTCCATTATCAGCCACTCCTAATGGTGTTGAGAGTAAAAACAAATCCAGTTATTATTACTATTGGTTTAAACGTGTAAAATTGATTTCTAGAGGTGAAGAAGTTGGACAAACATCAAATATTGAATTTGGAGATTATCAAGTATTTGATTTGACTTTTTGGGAAATTTTTGTTAAATATGGGTTTAAGTTTGATTACAGTTTGTGTCAATTAGAACCATCAAAATCATTATTCTAAAAACCTATTTAATTACGTATGTTTATGATATCGTAATTAGGCTGCATTCATATTGAAAGGGTTTTTTTTTATTTTTTATTTTTGTTGTCGTATTTTCTTTTGACAAGGTTAGAAGTCATCAGATCTTAAAATAGATTGTGATGACGATAAAATATATTCCGGTTGTGTTGTTTGTAATGTTGAAATGTTGTTATCAGTTTCAGAGAGAATTGATTTATCAGAAGATTCTATACTGGAACTTGAAGATAACATTAATGTAGATTCGTCATTTGCTTCCTCTTTAAATCTGAATGTTGTACCATCATTTGCAACCAAAGTTGGCATATGTTTATAACTTGCTGGATTTGGAATATCTGAAACCTCAACAAATGTGTCAATATCATCAAACACCAAATGAAACTCTTTCAATTTAGTCTGTTTGATTTTCTTATCCTCAACTATCTGTTTCAACGTATAATCTTGTTGATAGTCAATCATGAAGTAATTGGCTGTCCCCCCGCAAAATGTAAAAAATTAACCGCAAAGAAAAAGTTGTCTAACCAGAAAAAAAAAAAAAATAAAAAATCAACGGCAAGACAACAACAAAAAAAAAGAATCGAGCCTGAGAACTTTCTCCAACTTTATTCTCCTTAATCCACAGCATTCCAGTCTATAGTCCATGGAGTTCTATTCATCTTTAGATGCATCTCAACTAGATGCTGAGACCCCTACGTTATTTGAATTGATTTCAGCTCATCAGTTAGAAGGTTTATTATCCCCATCATTAAGATATATCTTAGTTCACTACGCGAGCAAATATCCTCGGTACTTGTTAAAAATCAATAATCGATTTGATGAATTGAATTTATTATTACGAAGTTTTATTGAATGGTATTTTTTAACTTATTGGCAAGGTTCATTTACCGAGAACTTTTATGGTATGAAAAGAGTCAGTCAGACTCCATTATCTCAAGGTGATTTTAATAGTAGTAAATTGACACAATTGGTGCCTTCTTTAATTGAAGAAAGACGAAAATTGTCTATTATACAAAAATTGGTATCATTATTTGAAATAACAGGACTGGCTTATATTTCTGAAAAATTGAATTATTGCTATGAAGTATGGTATACTAAATATGTGACTAATCAATTGAACACAGATGAATCATTGTCAAAGAAAGAAAACATAAAAATAAAGATTAAAAGAAAATTTGTTGAGTTATATCCATACATTCAAAGTGTTTATCGTACTGCGAATTTCATAACGACGTTGTTATATTTGGGTGGGTATTCCAAATCACCAACTTTATTAACATATTTATTCCGTATGAATTATTCTCGATTGAACCAATATGATTATTCAAAGAATGAACCAACTCCAGAACTTGATGACGACAACAAAAAGAAAGCTCATAGAAACCGTCCTCCATCACCACTTGAAATGGCATTGAAATTTTTAACTACTAATATCACGAGTCCTACATTAAAAACTATTAAATTTATATTGGGTACATTTTTCCCGGTAGCTATTTTTTCATTAAAGTTTCTTGAATGGTGGAATAATTCTGATTTTTCATCTAAACTTTCTAAAAATCAAGGAAATGTATTGGATTTCACTTTACCTCCTCCATCTACTTTAACATCAGCACTTCGATCATCAAGAATTGAAGAAAAGAAAAAGAAATCCCGAAGTTATAAATCTGGTAAAGTGTGTCCTTTATGTAAGAAAGAAATTACTAATCCAGCAATTATTGAAACTGGTTATGTGTTTGATTATACTTGTATCTATAATTATTTGGAAAAGTCTCATGTAATCGTGTCTAAGAAATCACAATTAAAAGATATTGATGATGAAGATGAAAAGATATATTCCGACGATGAAGACAATGAAGATGAAAAACAAAACAAAGATGTTGCTGCAAATGATAACGAAGAAGAAAAAGTGACAATTGATATTAATAAAGGTGGTAGATGTCCTATAACTGGGCGTAAATTATTGGGCTGTAAATGGAACCCGATTAAAGAAGAATGGGAAATCGAAGGAATTAGAAGACTTATATTCTGAGTAGTTGCATTTCAACATATATCACAATCACATAGTTTTGTTAATTCACATTATTTATACTTGCACATCTACCCTAAGTTGATGTTTACAGTAGTTAAAAAGTAGGCAGCTCTTTTCACACTGTTATTATTGCGACGCTACCACGTGGCTGCTCTCCACCATACAAATTGACTATTTCCATACATCAAATTAAACTTAGAATTTAATGCTAATCAATAAAACTTTATTAACAATCAATTTACTCTCTTAGTATTGTTCATGACATCGTAAATGAACATCCAATGCCACACTTTTTCAATCTGTTGATTCCCTCCTCGCTCCTCCCCAGCCCCCCCCCCCCCCACGCGGTTGAAGATCATTTTCATGTCTTGAAAAAAATAAAAAAAAAAAAATTCTTCCATGTGAGTCAACACACCCACCTTAGATGATCTTCATCAATCACTAATGTCTTCACATACAAGAACTCTTGAAGCGATTAAATTTGATAGAGAAAATATCAAATTAGATATTCTTAATCAATTACTTTTACCTTATTCAACCACATATATTTCAATATCAACAATTGAAGATGCATTTCAAGCTATTAAATTAATGCAAGTTAGAGGAGCTCCTGCTATTGCTATAGTTGGAGCATTTTCTATAGTTGTTGATATTTTCAATTATTTAAAATTGGAGAATAATACTAGTAAGAAAGTTAAAGAATTGATTGAATCTTTAGATTATTTAATTACTTCTAGACCAACTGCTGTTAATCTTGCTAATGCTTTAAATGATATTAAAGAAATATTAAAAAATTATAATGAATCAGATATTATTAATAAAGAAATTTATGAAAAAATTTATAATTATTCAATTAAATTATATGATGAAGATTTATCAAATAATAAAAAAATTGGAGAAAATGGTTTGAATTATATTATCAATACTTTGAAAAATCAAAAATTTAAAGGTCCATTTTCAATCATGACTATTTGTAATACTGGATCATTAGCTACTTCAGGTCATGGTACAGCATTAGGTATAATTAGATCAACTTATGAATCATTAAAAAAAGATAATTCAAATGAAGATTTTTATTTAGATCATATTTATCCATGTGAAACAAGACCTTATAATCAAGGTGCAAAATTAACTAGTTATGAATTAGATTATGAAAAAATTCCATTTACTTTAATTTGTGATAATATGGTATCTTCATTAATTAATACATTAGGTAATGATAAAAAAATTAAAAATGATCAACAAATTGCTCCTGTTAAATTCATTATTGTTGGTGCTGATAGAGTTGTTAAAAATGGTGATACTGCTAATAAAATTGGTACTTTTCAATTATCAACCATTGCTAATTATTTTAATACTAATAAATTTGATGAAAATAAACAAATTAAATTTATTGTTGCTGCTCCAAAAACTACTATTGATTTAAATACTGAAACTGGTGATGATATTATTATTGAAGAAAGACCAGCTAATGAATTGACTACTTTAGTTGGTCCACAATTGAATCAACAAGGTGAAGTTGGTGAGAAAGTAACGGTTGGTGTTGCTACTCCAGGAATCTCTGTTTGGAATCCTGCTTTTGATGTTACTCCTCATGAATTGATTGATAGTATTGTAACTGAAGATCCAAATGTATTTGTCAAAGATGCAAATGGAAATTTCACATTAACTAAATAGACTAAAGAGATTATTCATATATATTTATAACTATTCCTTTTTCAGCTTATTCACCATTGGATTCTTCCTCTTCTTTGACAACTACTTCTTCTACTGGTTCATTATTATCCTCAGTTTTGGTGCTATCAGAGGTTTCTTTTTCATTAGAAGTTTCGTCATCATTACTAACTTCATGTTTACTACCATTTTCAGGAACAGTTTTAACGTCTATGGGTTCATTGTCTTCCTTTACCACGGTATTCACATCTTGTTCGTTAGGAGATATATTTTCTTTCTCTTTTCCTTCAGACTCCTCTTCTTTCTTGTTAGATATATTATTTGACTCTTCAGAATTGTCCGATTCTTTCAACTCAGCTTCAACCGATTCATGAACCTTGTTCGTTTCTTCTTCATTGACTTGATTACTTGCTGTTTTTTCTTCATTTTCAGTCTCATTACGAGCATCCTTTGATGAATTCTCTTCTTCGATCTTCTTTTGTTTCTCCTCCTCTTCAAGTTTCTGTTGTCTTTCCTTTTCTTCCTCTTCTTCAAGTCTTCTTTGTTCTTCGAGTTTTCTCTGCTTTTCTTCTTCTAACTTCTTTTCTTCTTCTAGCTTCATTTGCTTCTCCTTTTCTTCTTCTAGCTTCATTTGCTTCTCCTTTTCTTCCTCTTCTTCCTTAAGCTTTCTCTGGTTTTCCTCCTCTTCCAACTTTCTCTGTTTTTCCTCCTCTTCCAACTTTCTCTGTTTTTCTTCCTCTTCTTTGATCTTCCTCTGCTTCTCTTGTTCTTCTTCTAATTTTCTCTGCTTCTCTTGTTCTTCTTGGATCTTCTTCTGTATCTCTCTTTCGGCTTCCTCTTTAGTCTTTCTGTCACTTTCAATCTTAGCTAAAATACTCTCAGCTTTTTCCAAAGACAAGTAAGTTTTCAAAATTCTTGATACTTTATTCAAATCTTGATCTTTAATAATTGTACTTATCTTAGTCTCTAAATCATTTTGATGTTGTTGAAACATTGTGAGTAATTCTTCTGGAATTCTGAATATGTCAAAAGCATGCAAAAATTCAAATAAAAACTCAACCAAGTTTAAACAAATACATAAATTCTTCAAACTGATATGTTTTAACCCTGCTGTATTAATAGCATTTGTACCCAAAACTGCTTGATAACACCTACTATTCAAAATCTTAAAATAGTTTGTGTAATTTGTAAGAATATCACGATTTGTAAATGTCTTCAGGATGAGGGTATAACTAAACACATTCTCAAACACTGTAAGAACCAAACTTGGGACAATGTATTCATTAGCATCAATAATAATTTTAGAACTCTTGATTTCATCATCAATCGGAGCTGGTGATTCTTTAATGGTACCATCGTCATAAAAATCAGAATATTTCAACCACCAAGCTTCGGCTCCAAGAAGCATATTCAAAGTGCTTTGGGCTGGAAGTACATTTTCAGCAACATTCCATCTTTCTTTAGCTACGCCTAACTCCATATCTCTAATTGAAGCTTCTTGCGCTTTTTGAATAAAGAAGTTTACATGACTGGTATACCATTCATTTAATGCATTTCCGTTACCACTATCAGGATATATCATTTCACATTCATTCAAGTATGCTGAAGTAATGGAATACAATCTAATGTAAGATGGAGCATCAATCGTCGCAGTTTCAATATATCTCACATTCATGACCTTCATCAATCTAATTTGTGTCAACTCGACACCTTTTCTTATAGCTCGACTAATATCCAATGACATGATGTCAATTTCTGCTGTTTCTGGAATACTGGTTAATGCAAGATCTAATAACAACTTCTGATGTACAGTCAATCTTCTTAAACATTCTGACAATTGAGCATAAGTTTTGGAAATCATTCTTTCAAAATCTGGTGCACTTAAAGTCTTAATGCTATTACTAAGAACATTTGCTGGGGTTGGGGAATCGGTTCTTGGAATAGGAGATGCTCTAGACGAACTATTGGACATATCTGTCAGTCTCAGTACTGGTAAGTTCAGTTTAATAATCTCTTTAATTTGAGTAATGAATTGACTCTGGTACGCATTATAAGCTTGTACTAAAGACCCTGCTTTAGCCAAGTCTTTGACAAACCCGCGTAATGAATCCTTTGTAGCGTCGGAGATATTGATATAAGTTGTATTTGTTGGATTTGAGGTATACTTCCTTGTGATATCTCTTTTGGTATATAATCTGTTGAGTGTTTCTCTTGTTGAAACACTATTATAGTGGCCTTTCAAGTCTTCAATCAATAAGTTGACAAAACTATCGATATATCCCTTGGCACATTCACGTTTAAGATTAAGTAGATCATTCTGTAAATGTACTAATGCAGGTAAATTTGACAAGTCGACTGTTTTTAGCTTTGGATAAATAGCTTTGATATCTTCATCTACAATCTCCTTTCGATTTACTCCATGTAATAAATTCTCGATTGCCACTATTTCTATTAAACATTTGGAATAATTCCCATGTGTAAACGATTTGTTTGCCAATTGGAAAAATGATGTAATGTATTGGATCTGTAACAATGATTGTTCGAAAGTTTCTATATTTTGTCTTTCAATCATTTTATTAATTATCTCGACCCCTTTTTGAGACTGGTTGGTTTCCAATTGGTTTATTTTATCCATAAGAAGTTGATAATTATCAACACACTGGGAGGACTTTTTTTGAATATTTTCAAGATCTCCAATGGTATTGAAAAATGAATCAGAGGACTTGGCAATTTCATCAACTAAATTAACTTCAACAATGTCCAAATAATTTGACAACTTTTCTTGTAGATCAGTGTTATTAATAACATTCAGACTATCGTCATTTTCATCTAGTGATATTTTGGATCCTTCCAAAACTTGTTTGAATATTCTTGGATCATCTAATCTGAAATTGGGATCTCGAAATACTTTGGGAACTTCATCAATCAGAGTAATTAATGTTTCTGTTATATCATCAAGAGATGAAGACACCGAAATACTTGATTTTCTATTATTGTTATTACCACTTTGAGATAATTTCTGTAATACATCTTCTGTTAATAAATTATAACTAGATTCAAACTTTTTATAATCATTTAATGAATTTTTGACATATTTTTCGTCTAAAGTTTTACTTGAAACCTTTTGTTTTAATTTAACCAATTGAATCTGAGGGATTTCTTTAGTAGTAGGAATATTAATATTATTAACAGTGGTTGAACCACCATTCAAAGTTACTGAGGTTTTTGGAGCTCGATGTTTTCTTGCACGAGAAATATCCGACCCGATCGTTAATGCATAAATTGAATTAGGACCCAAAGGAGAATAAATATCATCTCTTGAATCATCAGGGTTTATATTATTGAAATAAGTGCTTGACAGAATGAAACTTTCATTATCTATACTTGTTCTGGAAAAAGATACAGTGGACCCTGTTCTTCTATGCTGTACACGGAGATTATTATTGTGTGAAACTGATATGTTGTTGTTACCTGTAGATACTACTGAATTGGATGAAATTTCAGATGGTGCTGCCAAATCATCATTTAAATTTATACTACTAGAATCAATTGATTTCCTATAAGGTAGATTCAATGAATCATCTGTCATGGTTCGTGTGTAGATTGATGATTGTGTTGTGATATTATGATAATCTGTTTTGCTCAGATCACAACAATTTTTCTTTTCGTTCAACTGCGTCGCCCTTTTCGCTCTGTCTGGTCTTTTGGGTTGTTGTTTCTTGCTGTAAAAGAGAAAAGACAAAAGAGAAAAAATGTGCGTGTGTGTAGTGTAAGAAGTACCAAAAAAAACAAATACAAAAAACTAACAACATTGATTCCACTTTGATGGTTGTAAAAATTTACTCCATTCAAATTAGCAACAATTTTTTGGACAATTTTCACTTGTTGAAGAAATTAATTGTTGGATTATATGAATAACAATCGATAGTCTTTCATTGCAGTTTTGACCAAGATTATTATCACTTCTGGAATTGATTTCCGTGTTTGTCATCCATCATGTATACATGTACAGTAATTTTTACCTATTTCCACAATTTTCTATGGCCCCATGACGATTGCGACATTACCTTTATTTAAAGACATGAAGAATTTCCCACCACTTTTTTTTCTTCTTCCTCTCTCTCTCTCTCTCTTTCTTCATTATTTTCAAATTCCGAAAACTAATTACTAATACTATTTATCCACATCCAAAATGTCTACTGAAAACAAACAAGAATCCAAACCAAAGCCATGTTGCGTTTGTATTGATGAAAGAAAGAAAAGAGATGAATGTACTTTATTGAAAGGTATTGAAAGTGATGACTGTAAACCAATCATTGAACAATATAAAGCTTGTATGAACAGTTATGGTTTCACTCCAAACCCAGTTAACAACTAGAGAAGGTATTTCTAAAATTTATTACATTCCTGTATTATCTATTCAATTATTAGTCAACTTTTTCCACCTTGTACATAGACTTGTTAAAAAATGAAAAAGAACTTTGAATTTATGTTTTTATTATTGACTTTAGTATTACTATTTACACTTCATTGTAGGAGCCATAGTTTTTATGATTTCCATCTCGAGTAATCAAAGTATCTTCTCTATCAGTTTCACCATCAAAGGCATATTTCGAACCACACTCGATTTCATGTCTTGCTTGATCGATTTCACGTTGTTGAACACTTTCTGTATCTTCATCGAAATTCGGATATTCAAGTACCATTCGCTTATTCACATTGATCCATAATTGGTTTCGAATAAAATTATCAATAAGTATCAACTGCAAACAATTCATAATTATAGGAACAATAAACATAACAATAAATATCTCAAATTCATCAGGATACTCATTTAACCACACCAACAAAATATGTGAAGTAATCCACAACAATTGTTTCTCAAAACATTCAACTAATCCATACAAAAGGACCTTAGTAATCATCAACGAAGTAAAATACACACCAAGTTGTTTAAGAAATGCTCTAAATGAAGGTTTATTTGGATTTGGGCCATATTCTCCACTTTCAATTTGCGTTAAATGAAAGTATTCTTTACATATTCGATTCATGGCTTTGAAAACAAGATACAAGACATATACCCCAATAGTACAATCAAATACAATATTTAAAAAGTACCAATCACATGGATCTTGTGTATCATCACCATCATCATAGTTATCACCACCATTGCCATTGTCATTATTTCTAGTAGAAATACCATTGTTGAGATATTCTGGAGCTGTTTTCACCACAGATAAGATAACATTGAATATGTGTACACCAAATGCACCGATTAATTGTTTGGAAACATCAAAAGCCCATACTGGCCATGTACGTCGTACAGGATATTCATAGGATCTTTTAATTAATAAAGAAGAAAGACATAATAATCCAAGAAATGCCTGAGTAACTAATGAAAATGTTCCTATCAATTCACACTTCCCATCATTCTCATTGTCACTATTGTTGTTCTTGTTATTGTTTGGTGGTAATAAAGCAGTCAAGAATAGTAGTGGAATCGATAGTATATCTTTACAACCCATGGTTTATTAATGAGATAATGATAATGGTTAAAGAAAAGAAAAAAAACAGTGTGGCTGATAATATGAGGAGTAACTGAGATTAAGATTAGATTTTGGTTGCTACTTTTCTTTTTTTTCTTTCTTTCTTTCTTTCTGCTTTGGTTTTATTTTCTGGTTGAGTTGTGATGCGTGCCTAACTTTTTCTTTTTTTTTTGGCTGTTGCTGGTGGGGAGGAGAGAGGAGGGAAATTTCTCACCACAGCGCCATACACACCAAAACTTTTGGTGTCACATAGACTTCCCTCTCGCCACCAGCAACAGCCAAAAATAAAAAACTGCTCAGTCAGACAAAGGAAATCGTTACAAGTTTCACACCAGACTTGTGAATCTTCAAAACCTGTTAAATAACCACTAGAACAGCTCTAATCTCTACAATACATGTTAAAGTTATACTAATTTTTTTTGTTCTTTTATTTATTTGATTTGTATATATATTTGTATATATTATTATTATTATTATTATTATTACTCTTAATATTATAAGTATTAAACTCGTCATTTAAAACCAAAAATCACCCAAAAAAATGCTTTGCTAATCCCTTAGCTTGACCCATCAAATTTTTATGTTCATTATCATCTTGTTGTTGTTGAGCAGTATTAGAACCAATAGTTGGACTTGGACTATGAATACCATTCTTTCCAGCCACTTGACTTAATGTATTATAGCTTTGGCCACGATTATTAACACTACCGCCAATCATCATACCTTCATCTTCTGAATCTTCTGAATCATCATCAAATAAAAATCCGCCACGACGTGGTTCCAGCAGCTGTTGTTGTTGTGGTTGTTGTTGTTGTTCTTGAAGTTGCTGGTGTGACTGCAGCACTTGTGATTCTTGTTTTGATGGTGATCCACTGCCTCTAAATGCATTTTCAGATGTTGTGTGTGGTGGCAATGGAGATGATTTCTTCGTGGTGTTAGATAAGGAACGGCTCAATGTGTTATCTGGAGAAGGAGTGTATTCCCTTTGTGGAAGCATGCCAAAACTATTTGATTTATTCTCATTATTATCATCCACACCAAGACCTCCCAAAAACAGTTTTGACAATTCTCTGTCTGCGTTGGTTAATCCACCAGCACCAAAAAACAGTTGGGAAAGTGAATTTGAACTTGTAGGTTGCTTAGAAATTGAAGTGGATGAATATCGTGGATTGATACTGCTTATGTGATCATTCACCGGTTCCGCATCATGATTCTCTGGGAAATGTTGTGGAGTTGGTTCTTGGTGTGTCTCTGGTTTTGAGCTAGTTAAAGAAGCATTGAAAACCAGTTCTGCCAATGCTTGACTTGATCTTCTAGTACCAATCGATAATCCCGGAACTTCATCTTCACTTTCTGAATCATCTTCCGAATCACTCATTTGGAATGGAGACGGTTTTACAGATGCTTGTGAGGGTGGGGTATCACTTATGATAGGAAAAGTTGGGGAATAAGCAGTGATATTTTTCCCAGGGAGAACTGCTTGTGCTATTGGTGAAGAAGGCAGACTGTAGGAAATAGGTAAATTGTTGATTCTGCTAGACGTGTCAATAACTGGTACAGTTTCGTTATTTTCAATAAATTCGTAATCAAAGTTGGATCCCATGTCAAGATTCTCTGGAACATCAATAACATCGGGGCTTTCATAGGATCCGTATAATGCCTGGTGAGGATTGGATGTATACACCGTGTTGTAGTCATAATAATAGTCATAACCTCTACTGATTTCATTATTCACATTATGAGAAAGACTTGAAGTATATGGGTTTTCTTCGTCACTCGATTCATCAGAACCATAGTTGATTGAAGTTGAAGGTAACAATTGAATGGTCTTATAAGCCTTACTACTGGTGGTAGATAAAGCCTCGGAATCAACAGAAATTTCAGTTTGTTGACTCTCTGAACGTATTGGAACAATTGAATTTTCATTGCTAGTAACAGACGAATGTTGACCAGAAATCGTTGGCGCATTAGAGTTTGAACGAACTTTAATGAAAAACCCGCCATCATCTTCATCTTCGTCATCTTCATCATCTTCATCGTCGGTATCTTCGTCATCATCGTCAATTGATTCATCATCGCCTTCATAAATCTGACTTTGAGCAAGTTGGTTTCCTGAACTTTCGTCTTCGTCATAATAGTCATAATTATCATCATAATCTTCGTCTGAATCGTATTCATCATCTTCATTCTCATCATCGGAATATTCTTCAATAGCAATACATTGCATAACTTCATCATTGAAATGAATATGTCTTTCACTCTTTGACATTTGAGAACTGGAAGAAGGCTGACTTTCTTCTTCTTGTTCTTTTGAAATTTGTTCAGATGAAGGAACCACAACAGCTTGTTCGGCATCTTGTTTCAAAGTTGAAGTAGATGATGAATTTGAGTTTTTCAACAAATTTTGTAATCTGGCAACACTGCTATTGTTGGTGTTGGAGATATTCTTATACTGACTGTTCAATTTGTGCAGAAGTGCCTCTGGATCAAAATATTCATCAGCATGTTTCGATTGTTGTTCTCTTCTCATTTCTTCTTCCTGCTTCAACTTCTGTTCACGTTTCTTTTGATGAAGTTGTGTGGCCAATTGTAATTTCAATAGGTTCGAATGACTAATCATCAGTTGTTCTACTGTTCTTCTCTTCAATATAGGCTTTGGTGCGTCTGCTGGGGTGCATTTTTTAGCAATGGAAATATCACCCGCCACTGAACTTGTTGCAGTTGTTTCCACTGAATCAGATTCATGATTTTCGTTATTGATATGGTCATCATCCTTCAATATAGGACCATATAGCCATGTGACATCACTATCTTTAGACCAATTAACCACTTCAGGACTAATAGTCTTTAAATTTGATCTTCTTTGTGCCCAAGTTCTCCAAGAAGCATTTTCCAATCTGGCCGCATTGGCAACATCTTTTCTTTTTGAAATGACATATCGCCATGACTTCCAAATATCGGAAACGTCCCATTGATGTGATAAATAGTCCACATGGCGGGAAGGTTCAACTGTTAAATCAGTATCGTCGTGAGGAATTAATTCAGGAGATTGTAAATCCAATGCTGGACTCGGTGTAGGTGATGCAACAGGTGATGGTGAAGGTGACTCCGAAGTAGATTGGTTTGATTGTATATTATTTTCCAAATAGTTTACTTCTGCAGCGTTACTGTCGGCACCTTGTTCTAGATGCTGAGTGGTTGCATCTTCGGATAATGATGAACTTAAAGATGTAGAAGAACTTGAACTTGAAGATGAAATAGCTGAATTTGTTGGATTTAATGATGCATTTTCTTGTTGTTGTTGAGATAATTTTTCAGGAATAAATTCGTCTAATAAACCCATGGATCTTGTTCTCTTTAACTTGAATGTTGTGTTTTCAAAATGATCATCATCTTGAGCTTCAACATGCTGAGAAGTTGTAGCACCACCAGAAAACACTTCACCTGACAAAGACATTATGAATGGTATATCTTAAAAAAAAACTGTCTAACAAATAATAATAAAAAAAAAAAAAAAAAAAGATAAGTTGTAGTGAACAAATGTGTATTAACAGGTGGTATTTCAAAAATAAATGTTTAACAAGGAATGGGGGAGGAGGAGGAGAGAGAAAATATTATATGATAATTGGGGGAAAAATCAATGATATTGTAAATGATAATAATTATAATAATAATATAGTTGAATATATGATATTTGTAAGTGTGTATATATATAAGATGTGCTTGATAGTTATTCACTAGATGGTTGATACAGAAATGAATACTATGGTTGGTAAATAAATTTGGGTTTGAATGGACTTTTCTGTTTTGTTAAAAAAAAAAAAAAAAAAGAAAGACGAATGATTGTTGTAAATTTTGTTCAGCATTCAAACTATGAGAGACAAACAGACAAACAACAAAGTATGCGGAAAAAAAAGAAAAATTAGTTTCGGGAAACAAAACAAATTCTTGTTACAAATTACACGCACCCACTGACACTCACACACTCACTCACACTCACTCATTTGCAGACACACACACTCACACTTACATATGTATAGTCAGCCGACAGTCATGTGTTTTAAAAGAAAAAGAGGCAAAAACAAAACTATAAATAGTTAACCACATTAACTGCAATAGTAAGATAGTCATATAAATATTACAATATCCGAGAGAAAATACACATATGAAATGACTTGTACCACAACGTTGCAATACTAACAATTGTGTATTTTATTTTTTCTTTTTCTTTGGCCCATTTGCCTGATTTTGCCTCATAGTTGTTGTTTGCCAACTAACTCAATCTTGTGCATAATCCAATTACTCCGATGCATGGCCTGAATTTCAACAGTGTACCTTGTAAGATGTACTTGGTGGAGAGCATGTACATAACTAGAATAACTTACGATAATAATTATTAGTTAGGGCTTTATACTGTACTTGACTTGTCTGGGGAAATTTTTATTATATGGCTGGTAGTCAATTATTAAAAACAAAGGACGTGTAACCGAGTCAGAAAACCAACCACACTCACACCCACACAGCAACCAGTAATAAAAATTAAAATTGACACTCCCACGCAATCAATCAAATGGAGGAACAATAAAGAGAATTCAAAGTTACAATTCTCGGAAAAATAAGGAATACAATGATCACAAAAACTAAGGAACCAAAAAAAGAAAACAAAAAAAATAGAATATCCACCATCAAACTAATTTCATAGTATTGGTTATACACAAAAGAAACTAATATTTCATCCATTCACAATCTGATCTGAGTTATTTTATTTTGCCGACGTTGTTGTTCGATATTGTGTGGGGGAGCCTGCGTATATGTATTTTTTTTGTTCAGGGTTAGAAAAAGGTTTGAGAGTACGACAATAAGTTGCTTGTTTCTCTGATTTATCTTAAGATTATACTCTCAAACATCAACTGATGTTTCATTATGGATTGAAAAAACGTGGGGTATGAAAAATGAACGAAAAACAAAAAAAAAAAAAAAAATAGGGGATATGTGTTACACAATAGAACTCTAAATTCGAATCCTTCAACAAATTGAACAAAGAAGTGGCATCGGTGTAGATGAGCAAGGTAGAGGGTGGTTTGTAGAGGAAATAAATGTAAAATTGTTGTTGAAAGAATGTGTGTGTGTGTGTGTGTACACGAAAAGGAATGGATTATCCAAGGAAAACTTGTTTTTTTTTAAAGATTTTCATGAGCTGGCGATGACGTAAGTGTTTGTCATTAATTGATTATTACAATATTAGTCTTTTTTTTTACTACAATAAACTGTCAAATAACAATTGAAAATACACAACTGAATAAGATTCAAATAATTGTGACCCTTAGGTTGTTAAGTCAACTAATAATTCATTAAGATGACTATATGCTATTCTACACATCCATATTATTCTTCTTTTAACCGTTTTCACATAACTTAAACATAGTTCCCGCAAATCGGAAAAATTATCCTGTACTGACAAAAACAAAAGAAAGCAATCAAACGAGAATGCATGACTCGCTGGGCCGATTTTTTTTTTTTTCCTGGGGAAACCTTGTACGATCTGCTTGCTATTAAGCCCTTTCGAGTGGGAAAAAAATAAATGCAGCTTCTGTGGCTCGAACACAGTACCTCCAGATTACTAAAGAATCTTCAGTCTGACGCTCTCCCAGATGAGCTAAAGCTGCTAATTCGTGAAAGTTGGTAGCGTCCAGAATAGGCCGGTCAGGCCTATTAAAGTACGAAATATCCAATTTAAGACAAACTTAGAGACCGGAATAATGATAAGATTGGGTTATTTATTTTGTCTAGATTTGTATAAATTTTGCAGATAAAAAAATAGTGAAAATCCTTGTATTGTTGTGCAAGGGAAACACCCTACATGCTAGAAAGAAATTCTAAGAATCTGTAAATAAAAGTAAGAAAAAAAAAATCAAAACTCCATAAGACTTCATAAGACTCCAACAAAAGAATGAAGCTCCTATATCATTACTAAGATTTCGGAGAAACTAGCTAAATGCAATATATCAGACCTTTACAGGACTATAATTGGTAGGGTCTTTTTTTTTGTTGTTTATCCGTGGTAAGGGTTGTACACAAAACGTTGGCATCGCATGTAAAAAAAAATTTTTTTTTTTGACCCTCATCTTGTGCAATCTGACGCTACCTGACCTAATTAAAAATCTACACACACAAAAAAAATTTGATATCATCTCGATGAGTTACAGAAAATGAATATCCATATAATCAGGAAAGGAAAAAAAAGAAACCCTACCTGGGACTCGAACCCAGAATCCTTTGATTAGAAGTCAAAAGCGATAACCAATTTCGCCAGCAAGGCAATCTTACAACTGAACCAGAAGATCTGATTCGTTGGAAACACCATTTGATATTGTTGATTTTCATATGTATAATTACAGTAAATGACTTTACGTATACTAGAATTATTTTTAAATCTACATTCCTATACACCAGTTATCATTGTATTCTTGTGTAGTTGTATCTGACGCTTCGTACAAATTCCATGTAATTCCAGAACTGGACCCTTCATACAACATCCACCAAGTTTTACTGGTAGTTCCAGCGATTGACATACGATCCTTCTTGTATGAAACATACCCGGATAAGACTTCATTAATCATAGTGGTCTCTGTCAAAAATATGCCAACATCACCATGTCCAACTATTGGTATCATTACAAATACTGGATCTTCTCCTTTAACCACATCAACAATGTGATAGCCTAGATCCTCTAACTCTTCTGATACTTTCATATCTATTAGATTAGAAATATCATTAGCCTTAGTTAAGTTATAATCTTCCCAAGCTATATCAAACGAATCAGTTCTTTTATAAGTGACTAAGTTATTCAAGTTGTGGAAAACTTGTCTTACACAAGATACCGATAAACTTATAGAAGTTGCTCTTCCAAGTAAATAAACACTACTCAAAATAACAAACTGCTTATCTTTGATCCATTTTAAACTTGTTAATTTATTAGGCACGACATTTGAACAACCATGTTGCAAAAATATTTTTGCTCCTGAACCAATCTTCCATAATAAATAACTAGCACCAATTTTGACAGGTGAAAAATGAATATGTGATTCATTTTCAACATTTATTTGTTTAATTAAATCATTACTTATTTGATTTAATGAAGGACATTGAGTTTGTATAGTTAGTTGGAAATGTAATAATAAACACATCACCTGAGAAATTCCATAAAATTGAAAAACTTTCATACTAATAGATCCAAATATAATTAAAAAGAATATTATGCAATTGAGAACAAATGATTGAAAATGCCCTTATGACAGGGTAAATTTAATTCATTGAAAGTATGCAATTGAAGTTGAAACTTTGCTGTATATATAGAAGGGAGGAAAAAAAAAATTGTGAAAAGTTGGAACATTTAAATTTAATTTCGTCGAGGGACTGGCGTATAATGAGATCGGGTCGTGTGATAGCTACAAGATCTCAGTTGCTATGCTGAATATTCCAAACACATAAATGTATAATGCACCAGTTGACGAGTATTAATTTTCATGGGTACGACAAGGAGCAATTGATGAGCCACCGTGTAGGGTGTACACATGATGATAAATCGAATTACTTTGCGGTCTCTTTGGTTTTGGAAAATATTGCAACAGTAATTATTTACAAAATACAACCTGAATGGAAGTAATTCATATTTAAAATAATAAATACTGTTAGTAGACTTATTGGACAAAAGTGTGAAATTATTAAAGCCCAGAAAGTCAAGCTTAAAATCTATAGGAAAAAAATTTTGACTGAATTTATTGCAAAAAATTTTCAAAACTCAAACACTAAATCACAGTATATATGATTAAAATATTTCATGACCATAGACTCAAGCATTATAAATAGTGATATTATAGCGCATTTGGACTATTATTAAAATCAGTATAGTTGGTCATAAGCCCAGTTAATAATAATAAGCTATTGTTGCATAGTAATGGCTATTCTTCATCGATTTATTTCACCTTTACTTCTAATAGAAATCTCCTTCTTTAAAACAACCCCTCAATAACTGACAAACTTAGCCAACTCAACTGTTGGATTGGCTTCTTAAGTTGACAATGGCTGCCAAAAGAAAAAAGCAGCCATTTTGGCAGAATTGAACATATTGCACGATTTCTTAAAGTTTTTATTTTTTTTTTATTTTTTTTTTGTGCGTTGAAAAGAAATTCCTTAATTTGGTAAACAGAATGTGGGATCAGCAATATCAGAATAAATTGTTGAAGAATTTATCACATTCATTGATTTTATCAGCATAAAAAAACCTTCAATTATCCTTGAGTTGTTTTTTTTTAAACTGGAATCAAAATCTACTTGTTATTATTCGAACAATAGATATTTACATATTAGAAATTATATCATTAACATGTCAGATACAAGTTCACCAGATACTTCCACAGTTCAAGAGCAAAACAACACTACAGAATTAACACCTGCTAAACAAGGTAGAAAAAAGACTAAGTCATCAGTATTATCTGATGAACAAAAAAAAGTATGTATCTACATGAAACTATTACAATTTGTACTAAATGAAACAAAAAGTTTTTTTTTATATACTAACTTAATTCTATTAGGCACATCATATTGCATCAGAACAAAAACGAAGAGAAAATATACGTTCTGAATTTGATAAAATTGTTTCATTAACACCGAATTTATCAGAACTGGAAAATCGATCAGAATTAAATATATTAACTAAGAGTGCAGATTATATTGATCAATTAAGAGAAGAAAATGCAAAATTAGTAGAATTAGCACGTATGAAAGGTCTAAATATTCCTGAAGAATATATTTATACTGGTCCTAAAAATGATGGAAGTGATATTGCAAAATAATTCCCGGGGTATATATATATATATATATATATAGAAAAACACTGTTTGATTTATATGTTGTAATGTATTAATTTAGAAGCAAAATAAAAAATAAACAAAAAACTACTTAGATTCAGTTTTTAAGATTATTGCATATTTGTACTGTTTACCCTTGAAATTGTAAACCGTATTAACTGGTAAGTAATCAGATTTGATATTTATGAAATTTGATGGATTACAGATTAATTGACGGTAACTTTTAAATGATTCTATCAGCTTGACTAATTCTTGATTTGATGTGAATAATGTCACTACATTCAAGGAGCCTTTTCCAATTTTGCAAACATAAGACTCTTCAAATTCATCAAACAGTTGAGTTTGAGATTCAGAGTGACTTTCTTCATCACTATCACTATCATCATCATACATGTCAACAATATCTTCATAACTTAAACCACCCCATTCAACTCTTGCACCTCTAGGCAAACCAGATACTGTTACAATTACTAAATTATTCTTATTTATCAAATCTTCCCAACATGAACTAACTATTGGGACATATGAATCATCAGTTATGAAACAAACAATCAGAGCAAATTCTTTAACATTAACCAAATTTTTCACTCTCACTAAATGTTGTAATGCTAATGCAGAATCTTTAGCAACTGTCATATTTGACAATTCCATATTTGCTGGAATCAAATGTATTTGTCCTGATAATGTAGCAGTCTTGTATGAATCTTGAATACTGATTATACTTTGAGAATAAGGGCCAATGTTTTGTGGTCCCCAATATGATCTGGATCTAATATGAATACCTGATTTTGGTTGAATATTCTTAAGAACAATACATGATAATTGAATTGATTTGATATTGTTCTTGGTTTCAATACATATTCTAGAAGGCGGAAGATAAATATCTTGGAAATATTTACCATAAACTTTATTTATATCAACAAAGGATTTCATATCTGATAATAATAATGTGATATGTTGGATATCATTAAACGTAAGTTTGTACTGACTGAGTATATCATTGATTTGAGCAAAAATATCAATTGTCTGCTCTTCAAGGGTTGATTTAGATGATGTGACATTGGAAATGTATATAGTTGTTGGTGTAGATACTACATTAACATCAGGAGTAACCAATTTCTGATCAGTAATATCCAACCCCGTTAGGGAAACATCAGGTTCAGGGCAATTTTCTGCCATATCTTCAAAATCATCCTCCAACAATGGTAAACTTTCAAGAGACTCAAATTGGGATTCTTCCTTATCAACAATTTCCACTTTAATTTTCAAATAGAATACATCACTTGAATGTTCTACAACTTCTTGATTAACAATTTCTAATTTTTTAGACTTAAAAAATGGACAATCCAATACAATTGTTTCAAATTCACCACCTTCTCCACAAATATGGACTTCATACATTTGATTTAATTTCACTAAAGTAGGAAATAATTCTGATATACTTTTACCTAAATGTTGTGCAGTTAATCCAATTGCCGCAACTTTAATAATTCTAGCATCTAAATCCGCTTGACACATTTCTTGCATTAAATCGTATTGATTTCTTTGCCATAAATATGTCAATGATGTAAGATTCAATCTATCACATACATTTTCTACTCTTGTTCGTTGATAATGAGATAATATGGCTCCACAACTAACACCTTCTACATCAGGATGAGATTTTTGAATTGTTGATAAAAGTTGAAATAAATCTTCAATCTCATCATTTTTAGTAATCAGATATTCTAAATTTTGATTTGCTGATTTACCTTTGATAGGTTGTCGATATAAAGGAACATCTAAACATTGACTATAATATTCAATTACATCATGTCCAACTGTTTGGAACATAAATGAATCAATTTCATCCGATTCTTCAGGATATAAATTCCCTAATGCTACTAGTTCATGACCTTGTGATAAACAATGATAGATATTGAAAAATGAATCTTTCCCTCCTGATATCAATCCAATGAACTTCATAATGATTAGGTATTATTGAATACTAGGCACAAAAGTCGTGTAGATTGGTTATAGATTTTTGATAAAGTCTTTGCGATGCCCAAGTACAAAAAAATGCACTATCCTGTATATAGTACTTTTTTTTTTCAAAATTCAAATCGTTTTGTCATTTGGTACACGCACCTTTTTTTTTTTTTCTAATTTCAAGATTTTTTCTCATTCTGTGAGGTTGTAAGAATTTCTCACTTTATAAAGAAAGAAAAATTTTCTATAATTTTCAGTTTTACTTATTCTTCTTCTTTTCGTTAAGCAACAGATTCATCAGACACAATGCCACGTATGTTCATATTAACAATACTAACAACAAAGACACAATCATGAATATTACTATCATAACTTTCAAACGATTTCAGAACTTTCGAGTGCTTCCTGGTCGTTGAGGTTCGGGTCCTCCAATATTGATTCTTTTAGAAATTTAAATAAATTATTTATACAAATTTCAAAAGGAATGCAATTACAATGAACAAGATACTTTCTTTCTTGATTAGTAACTGAACTCCCGACACTTCAGTTACAAAAAAGAAGTCATTATTGATTCTATCGATAATGTATCTTTCTTAACGTTTTACTAGAGTGAAACTATGTTTGACTGAAATAAAACAAATTTAGAAGATACTGCTATTGATTATCATGGTGATCTACAGAAAAGTAAACCTTGTGTTCATTTGTAATATTGCTAACTTTTGATTATTTGTAAAATTTCTAATATCTTTATTTGAGTTGACCGTTTAGTTTTATTTCTGAAACTTTTGTTTAATATTTTCATTGAATAATTAAATTCTAACATTTTTTTTCTTTCTTACAGGTGCCCCAAGAACTTACTCCAAGACTTACTCTGTCCCAAAGAGACCATACGAATCCGCTCGTTTGGATGCTGAATTGAAATTGGCCGGTGAATACGGTTTGAAAAACAAGAAAGAAATCTACAGAATTGGTTTCCAATTGTCTAAAATCAGAAGAGCTGCTCGTGATTTGTTGACCAGAGATGAAAAAGACCCAAAGAGATTATTCGAAGGTAATGCTTTGATTAGAAGATTGGTCAGAATTGGTGTCTTGTCTGAAGACAAAATGAAATTGGATTATGTCTTGGCTTTGAAACCAGAAGATTTCTTGGAAAGAAGATTACAAACCCAAGTTTTCAAATTAGGTTTGGCTAGATCTATCCACCACGCTAGAGTCTTGATTACCCAAAGACACATTGCTGTTGGTAAACAAATTGTCAACATTCCATCTTTCACTGTCAGATTGGACTCTCAAAAACACATTGACTTTGCTCACAACTCCCCATACGGTGGTGGTAGAGCTGGTAGAGTTAAGAGAAAGAACCAAGGTAAAGGTGAATCCGGTGAAGATGCTGAAGAAGAAGAATAAATGCGTTAGCTCATGTTCAACTTCACACTTCTAAAAACTAAACAAAACAACTACTTGTAATTTATATACTTCTTACATATCAATTATAATAAATTGGTTTAATACTTTCCAATAACGAGACTAAACTTGTAGATACTTTGTTCTTATCTGATGTTTGATAATAGTATGTTGATACCAGGCACTTACAGAGATTATTTGAACTTTTCTTTTTCAATTTGCAGCAAAATTAAAATTAGGGTTATAGCCCTAACACAGCGTATGCAGTACTGTATACATTTTTTCGGTAACTTATACACGCATAACTGTAACTAATTTTCTCATTTTTTTTCTTTTCTTTGTTTGGCTCATTTTTTGTATGGGAAATGACAGTGCGAGTAGTTTGTGCGAAGCTCAGTTTAGTCTCACTGTGTGTAGTACCAAATTTCGCATTACTCTTTGGTTCGCACGCAGTTAAACAAAATTAAATTTTTTCAAATTTTCTGTTTTCACTTAGAATAACTTTTGTTTCAATCAACAATAGACATTAAAAATGGGTAAATCGTATGTGAGATACTATTGATGTTAATGAATGAATGATATGTGATAATTATAAGTTATTGGATAAGAACAATTTACAAGAGAGTTTAATCAATATTTAACGGTTTTGTCATAAATGCATCATGTTCATCAGATAGAGGAAGGAAAAAAAATTTTTCAACCAATATGGAGAAACACCAATGGATTTGAAAAATGTACAAGAATTAGAATAGCAGAGTGAAATAACCATAGTTATAATTTGTTATATTTATCACATTGAGTTTTCATTTTTTAATTTTACCTACGTGAATTGGAATTTGTAATACTAACATTTTACTTTTTTTTATTATAGTCGTGGTTACAGATCTGGTACTCGTTACGCTTTCCAACGTGACTTCAAAAAGCATGGAACTATTGCTTTATCTACCTACTTGAAGACTTACAGAGTTGGTGATATTGTTGATATCAAAGCCAATGGTTCTATCCAAAAGGGTATGCCACACAAATACTACCACGGTAAGACTGGTATTGTTTACAACGTTACCAAATCCTCCGTTGGTGTTATCATTAACAAAGTTGTCGGTAACAGATACATTGAAAAGAGAGTTAACTTGAGAGTTGAACACGTCAAACACTCTGCTTGTCGTCAAGAATTCTTGAACAGAGTTAAATCTAACGCTGCTGCTAAGAGAGAAGCTAAAGCTAAAGGTGAAACCGTTTACTTGAAGAGACAAGCTGCTAAACCAAGAGGTTCTAGAGTTGTTGGTACTGAAGGTAACGTTCCACAAACCTTGGCTCCAGTTCCATACGAAACTTTCATTTAATCTAATCTACACCCAAAACTTCAGTTACATCCCCTGTTTATTAGTGTTTATATTTTTACGTATAAATTAATTCACACACAATCAAAAAATTTGAAATAATCAAACGATTACTGTGATCTAATGATTACTGAATCGACGACGTAGAACTATGCTTCCTCTTTCATATCCATGATGGCTGTGTATAGTCAATACAGGCGGGATTAATTATTGTTCATTATGAGTTGTTCTTTTGCGTTTGAAACTTTGTTAAACAATAAGAACAACACCTAAAAAAAAAATCTAGAGCCAGAGAAAAAAAATTCCTACCGAGTTGCTCCATTTTTGCAAGACAGCATTCATCCAAGACACATATATCAATCATGGCATCGACCCAAGAAGAATCAACAGATAAGTCTTCTAATGTGTTTGGTAATGCATTGCAATCATGGATAGAAATAGATTTACCTTCATTACAAAAGAAATTGGATGAACAAGGTATTGAATTAAAAGAAGAACAGAAATCATCTTTATTAAGTAGAAAGAATTTAGCATCAAAGACCAAAGAATTCAAGAAACTAGAAGATTCTGAAAAGCTTACTCAATTCCAAAAGTTATTAAAATTGTATCAAAATGAAATTGATAATTTAACTAATAAGAACAAAACTGTCGAGAATTATTTCTTTGGAATATATCGTAATTTGGCAGAAGCTCCTGATCCAAGACCATTGCTTGAAATGTCATTGGATTCAGTTATAGAATCAAAGGAAACATTATCATTACGTAAAGAAGTTGATAAATTAACTGATGAATTGGCCAAGAAGGCAGATTATGATAATTTGAAACAAAGATTACTACAAAATGAACAAAAAGCAGCAGAATTATTAAGTTCTAAATTAAATGCAAAAGAAGATGAATTTAAATCGTTAATTGATGAAAAGGAATCAAATTGGATTCAAAAGGAAAAACAGTTACAGAATCAAATTAAAATCGCTCAAAAGCAAATTGAAGAATTAAGAACTTCAAATGAGGTTACAGAATTGAAATTGGATAATCAAAATAAACTAGCTGGAGATAATGGTGCTAATACTAGTGCTTCAGTGTTAGCTGAATTGGATATTGTTACTAGAGATGCTGAATCATCTAAAAAAAGAGTGTTTGAATTGGAAAAGAGAAATGAAGAATTAAGACGTGAATTATCAAAATCAAAAAATGATATTGAAATCAAATCTATCAAAGAAGAACATTCCAAGAGAGTATCAGAAATGGAGGGAGAAAATGCATTATTAGTTGCTAATTTGGATCAAACAAGAAAGAAGTTGAATGATTCAATCAAAGAACAAGCAACTAAAGTTGATTCATTGAATAGAGAAATTTCTGGTATGACTCAAGAAATTAAAAACTTGAAAACTCATTTAGAAAAAACTTCAGATTATGAAGAAATCAAAAATGAATTACAGTTGTTGAGACAAATTGAATTTGGTCATGAAGAAGACGAAGTTGACCAAGAAGGCGATTCTGACGACTCAAATAGCCAGGGTCATCAAAATAAGATTGATTCCATGCTCATAGAAAGAAACAAATCGTTAACTCAACAATTGGCTGAACATAGAGCTCAACATGATGATTTGAATAACAAAGTTGTCACTTTAGAACAACAATTGGAAGTGTCGTCACAGGAAATAACCAACCTCCGAACATTAAATGAAAAATTGGAAAATGATTTGGCTGATCTTCAAGATATGGGTGGAAAATTCAATGATAATGCTAGTTTAATATCAGGAATTAGTCGAATGACTAGACCAAATGTCAGAAATGGAAGTATTGTTTCTGGTCAACCAGGCAATACAGGATTAGGAATTATTTCTGAAGATTCGTCATCCATTTTACCTATAATTACCAAACAAAGAGACAGATTCAGAGAAAAGAATAATGAATTAGAAGAAGAACTTAGGAAACAGTATAATTTGGTTAATGATTTGAAAAGACAAACCAATTCATTGAAAAAAGACAACGAAGAGTTGTATGAAAGAACAAGATACTTGGCATCGTTCCAAACTCCAGGTACAAGAAACTTGACCACTACATCGAGTGGTAGAAAATTATTGAATCCAAGACCAAATGTTGATTTGGAAAGTAATCCATACCAAAAGAGTTATGAATCCAAGTTGCATCCTATTGAACAGTTTAGAATGAGAGAACAGGAAAGAATCAATTCAAGATTGTCACCAATAGAAAGATTATTCATTTCTTTGACGAGAGCAGTGCTAGCAACAAGAACAACAAGAATGTTATTTTTTGCATATTGTTTAGGGTTGCATGTTATAGTGATGTTTATCACCATTTATGCTATGAATTTACAAACTGCATTGATACCTGAAGTTGGATTGAATACCAGTACTGGAGGTGTTGCCTCGAATCAAGTTTCTGGAGGTGTAAACCAAGCAGCAGGACAAGTTATCAGTCCACCTAATTAGTTTATATAAGTATTAATGATTTTTAATTGATATTTTCATTGCAATTTTGATAAGCGTGACTGAGCATCACGTGCTAGACCCACAAATGCGGAACGAAATTAAGGAGCAATTATAATTTTCCATTGTAAGAGTGAGAGTGATCTATTATTGTTTATAGCCCTGATTACAGGAACACAACTCTTTTTTTTTTTGTTTTTTTGCCATTATAAATATACTTCTTAATCTTCTTTGCTGTTCCCTTCTTTTTTTTTTAATTTGGTATTTTAATGAATAGATTATTATTCAATTGTTTAGTATTCATAAGTGCATTCTTATTCTTTAGATTCGTAGTCAACATGTCCAATTCCAATTCCAATTCAAACAACAGACCACAAACCAATGATTTAAATTCTAAGAACCCCGACGAAATTTTTGTGGAAATGGGGGATAAACGAGTTCCTTGGTCAAAGATCAATAAACCTCATGCTGTTATTCATCCAGAAGATCATCAACCCAAAGTAGATGCTAATTCATTTCCTGATGTTGAACCAGAATTTAAACAACAAGAAAATATGAAAGAATTTGACCAAGCTGTTTTACAACCCGGTGTTAATAAACCTAAAATTGATGCAAATTCATTTCCTGATATTGAACCTGAGGCTAAAGAAAGAGAAGCAAAATTAGAAGCTGAAAGAGCTAAAAAGAAGAATGATTAAATGTGTAGGAAGTGAATTTCAATAACACGTGACCTAACCAAATGGTTATTCTTGATCTTGATACTGTCAATGTTAACAATTACGTAATATCACTGTTGTGTGGTAGTTCTCTTTGTTTCTGTCGCACGTCTTGGTAACTTAAACCAAAAAAAAAGAAAAAAAACACACACACACATCAACGTCTTTTAAAAAGAAAAGCAAAAAAAAAAAAATAATTGGATATCCAGATTGAACCAATCATTAACTCAACTTTATTACCTATTCCTCAAACATATTTTAGACATTTGAGTTATGTTTTTATCAAGAAGATTATGGCGACTTATAAGTCAACTATTTTTTTTCCTAATAGTTGCATCGGTATTATTATTTATAGCCAATAGCCGACAAATTATAGAAATTAACAAATATATTCCATTTGATATATTCGGTACAACAGCACCATCATTTTTCCAACCAGTTTCGGATCTGTTTATAGTTGATATTTCATTCCAGAATTGTTTTAAAATGAACTCAAATAATAATCAATGTGGATTACCATCTGCGCTGGAAGGTGTTTTGGGAGATAAAGCACAATGGGTTAGATTGAGTAAAGATATAACTCTTGGATCTTCTTGGGTTAAATCTCAATTTATGAGTTATAAAAAAATCAAACATGAATCATATGAAGAATATTTGAAATCTCAAAAGCAACAAGATCCAACAAGTACTTCTATAGTTGATGAGGTTATTATAGATATCGCAGTTGCAAATCCTTTGATTGATTCAAAGATAAAAGGCAATGAAAAATTGAAATTTCCTGAATATATTATAAAAAGTATGCATGAAGATGTGGTTTATGATGATTCTACACATGCTAATTTGGTGGAACAGAATAATGATAATAGAGTAGATGCGCATCCTGTTGATGCAGAAGTTGAACAGTTATTAGAACTGCCAAAAGAAGAACAGAAACCAAAGGAAGAGGAACAAAAAGAAGAAACACCGGAAGAACATAGAAAAGATGAAGAGAGAAAGAAAGAACAAGAAGATGAACAAAAAGATGCTTCTGAGGAAGATAAACAAGAGAAACAAAAAGAGGGTGAACTTTTAAAAGAAGCAGCAAATGAAGAAGAGAAAGAAAAGGAAAAAGAAGGTAAAAAATTAGAAGAGTCCTCGAAGGAGGATAAAGACAAGAATACCAAACGTGAAGTCGTCACTGATATTAAAGAATTAAAACGATTATTATATATTCCAACTAAAGAACAGGTTCAAGAAAGTGGATGGAGATATAAATCAAATGGTATTTGGTTGAGATACGGACCACATGATGAAAAAACTGCTGTGTCTGCAATTGATTTATTATTTGGAGACGAAGCAGTTGATCCAAGACCAAATTGGAGGTTGATTAAACGTCCTCTTAAAGATGTTTCCAATCCATCAGATTTACCAGTGTATTTAACATTCAGAAGAGGACCAAGAATTGATTATAAGAAGGAATATGGGAAGCCATTAAAGATGAATGATGAAGATAAATTCAAGATTTTACAAGTTGCCGATATGCACTTTTCCACTGGTTATGGGAAGTGTAGAGATCCAGAACCAGAAAGTTCAGCAAAAGGTTGTAAAGCGGATGCAAGAACTTTGGAATTTCTTGAGAAAGTATTAGATTTTGAGAAACCTGATATGGTTGTACTTACTGGGGATCAAATTTTTGGTGACGCTTCTCCTGATTCAGAATCCTCTGCATTTAAAGTATTGTATCCATTTGTGAAGAGAAAGATTCCATTTGCTATAACATTAGGAAATCATGATGACGAAGGTTCATTGAAGAGAAAGGAAATCATGGGTATTTATGTTGATGTTCCTTATTCCGTTGCAGCTGTTGGTCCTGATGATATTGATGGATATGGTAATTATGTGGTTACAGTAGAAGGTAAATCATCCAAAGGTACTGCATTGTCGTTATTCTTTGTTGATTCCCATTCTTATTCAAAGACACCAAAAGTCACTCCTGGATATGATTGGATTAAAGAAAACCAGTTGATTTACCTCAAAATGGAAGCTGATTCGATTAAAGATAGTGTGGAAAAATATAGAAAGAGCAAGAAAATTCCTTTATCCATGGCATTTTTCCATATTCCATTACCAGAGTTTAGAAACATGAACCAACCATACATTGGTGAATTCCGTGAGGGAATCACTGCACCACGTTATAATTCCGGAGCTAGAGATGTATTTGGAGAAATGGGTGTTCAAGCCATCAGTGTTGGTCATGATCATTGTAACGACTATTGTTTACAAGATACGCTTCGTGCAGAATCTCCTGAAGAAAATAAGATATGGTTATGTTATGGTGGTGGATCTGGTTTAGGAGGTTATGGTGGTTATAATGGATACATTAGACGAATGAGAGTTTATGAATACGATACCTCAAAGGGCGAAATCAAGACCTGGAAACGTACCGAAGCTGAACCAGATAAGAAAATAGATGAACAGATTTTGGTTACTGGTGGTAACGTTGTCAATTGGAAGTGATATAAATATTCATCTGGAGGATAGGACGACAGTTATAATATATGGTTTTTTTTTTTTTGATTTATTCAATTTCAATACTCTTTTCGACAATTAAGTTGTATGTATAAGTTTATATCGATAGACCATTTATTTTGATTCATGTATTGTTCTGAATAGTAAACAACAACAATATAGAGCGATTAATCCCTTTGTTGTTTCGTCGTCAAACAGAATTTGTGGTTGATTACTAACATTCAATCATGAAACCCTCTGTATCATGAGGGAAAAATTTTAGTTTGGTGCACTCGATTATAAATTATTGTAAATATCACCAACCTGATTTTTCTTGCTTAGAAAAAACCTCCACACACCACTTGTCGTTTTACAGACTATTCTAGCTAAAAGAACAATATTTCTACCATTAGTTTATCCACTCACTAGATCATCCTTGATAGTATAGTAGTCTTGTGTGTGTGTTTGCTTTTTGTTTGTTGTACTATTTCATATTCATATTGTTTACGTGTTCGGACAATAGGCGTTAACACTTTCCGCATTGCATAGAGTGAATATCATTTTTTCAACAACCCAATATCAATAACCATGGCAGATATAATAACTAAGAACACCAGTGAGTCCGTGGAAAATATCAATATTAGTAGTGCTCATCGAATAGATAGAAATGATGCAAAAGAATTAAAACATTGGTTAGCCAAAATCAATTGTCAGCAACATTATTCAAAATTTATTGAACAAGGTATAACTATGGATTTAGTACCTGAATTAGATACAAATTCTTTAAAAGAATTAGGAATTCATAAATTGGGTGATAGATTAAGATTAGAAATTGCTATTTCTAATTTAAAAGCAGAACATTTAAAACAGTTGATAAATATTGATGAATTGTATAATAAATTAAATTTAAAAATGTCAAATCTGAATATTACTGGTTCTTTAGTGAATTTGAGTAACAATAATAATAGTGCTTTAGATGTTTCTAATAGTAATGAAGGAACTTTAACTCAGCTGAGTCAGAATAATTCAAGTAATAATTTACCTATTGGGAATATCGGTAATAATAATAGTGGAAGTGTAGTTGGAAGTTTAGGTGGTGTAACTACTAAAGATGCAAATAAAACTATTACTTTCATTTTACAAGATGGTTCAATTAAACGAGTTAATGTCACTGGTTGTTTTAATGCACAAGCTATCAAAAGAAAAGTATTGAAAAAATTAGGATTTAAATCTACTGATGTACAATTTGATACTTATATTCATTCAAGTCCACATAATGCTGAGAATATATTGTATGGAAAAACAGAACCAACTGTTTCGTATTTATATGATGTTGAATTAATGACCATATGTTATTCACCAGAAAGATTAGAAAAGCATAGAATTATGTTGATTCCAAAGAATGAAAACCCTACTCCAGCAGCTATTGAAACGTCCAAAAAGATTATGAGTAAATACAAAAAACAAATAAATCCATCTAAAACTGAGGTACCTGAGGAGAATAATGAATTCCATACTAAAGATGTTAAAGCTCATAGATCTACTTTAAGAAATTTCTTTGGTCAAAGACCACCAAGTGAATTGATTTCTTCAAATTTAGCAGAATATTTCCCAGATACTAGACAAAAAGATTTAGAACAGACAGTTAGAAATTCTGTTAGACATAGTGTTAGATTATCAAGAAGATTTAATTTACCAACTGGTGCATTTTCTGCAAGTTCATTTTCTGTTAATAAAAGACAATCAATTCTTAGTAATTCAACTGGATTCCCATCTAATAGAACCATGTCAATATCGTCAGGAGAACAACAAATTGGAGGTACCAGCGGTGGTGGTGGTGGCGGTAACGGCAGAAGAATACAGAGAACCATTGGTGATGTTATGGTTAATAGTATTAATGCCATAGATGAAGCAGTGAATTCAAGTGATACCTTATCCGTATTTAGCAAACCATCAACATCGTTCAATACTCAAATACCGCAACCTTTGAACAATCATGATGCAAGATCCATTATATCATCCAAATCTTTAGCTGGTGGTACTGCCTTGCATAGAATTTCAATTGCTGCTAATTCTAATGATAATTCCGCACAAAATAGACTTTCCACTATAGAATTGTTAAACCCATCTGATTCAGAAGGTGAAGATGGAGATGAATACACAGATTTTGTTAATTCTGATTCTGGTGGATTAAGTTCAAGTTCTGGAGAAAATGGTCCCCCTGAAAATTGGTTGAAAGGTGCTAGAATTGGATCAGGTAGTTTTGGTACGGTTTATTTAGGTATGAATCCATTTACTGGGGAATTAATGGCTGTTAAACAAATTCCATTAGTTCCTGAAACTGATGCCAATAACAATAGTAATGAAAATCTTCAAAAGAATAGTATGCAAGAACAGCAACGAGAAATGATGTTGTTGAAAGAATTAAATCATGAAAATATCGTTAGATATTTTGGTTCTTCTACTGATGAGAATTATTTGAATATATTTTTGGAATATGTTCCTGGTGGCTCTGTTCAAACCATGTTGAATTCATATGGACCATTTGAAGAACCATTGATTCGAAATTTCATTAGACAAGTTTTGATTGGGTTGAGTTATTTGCATGGTGAAGATATCATCCACAGAGATATTAAAGGTGCCAATATATTGATTGATATCAAAGGTACAGTTAAGATTGGTGATTTTGGTATTAGTAAAAAAGTTAGCACCATAGATGAAGAAGATGAAGATTTTAAGAAAACAGGCAAGAGAGCATCATTACAAGGATCGGTTTTCTGGATGGCACCAGAAGTAGTGAAACAAACAACATATACCAAGAAAGCTGATATTTGGTCAGTGGGTTGTTTAATTGTTGAAATGTTTACTGGGAGACATCCATTCCCAGAATTGAGTCAAATGCAAGCATTATTCAAAATTGGTAATCATATTACTCCTACAATACCTGAATGGTGTACTATTGAAGCTAAAGAATTCTTAACTAAAACTTTTGAGATTAATTTTGAAATGAGACCAGACGCTATTGAATTGTTAGCCGAACAATTTTTAAACCCATTGATTATGTCCAAACAATAAGTCTCACAGTGAGAGCTTATTCAAGTTATGATTCGACGATTTGTAGGAAGAAATATCCTTTGTTCTATTATTGGATTCAGGGAGGTAAATTATTACAATCGTTATACAATACTCCGCTGTCAATAATATGCCCTTTGGTATGGACAACAAATTGTTCTGTAGTTATAATATGCTCGGAAGTTGTTCCAACGTCTTTTTCAAGTTTAAAACTCTTTAAATGAAATAAACCATGTAATTTATTCATTAGAATTGATTAGTTAGTGAGTTAATAGAAATGGAAGCATCGACAAATACTCATCTTTATATTTCTTAATCATTTATGCTATTATTTGCTTATTTTATGTCTTACATATTTAGAAGGTTTTCCTATATTGTACGAACATGCAAAAGGATATTGAATTAACTCATGACTTGCCTGTCTTCATAGTTGATACAATATCGATGACATTCTTCCATTAAACTTTCGATAATCACATCTGACAATTCTACAAATCTTGTTTCTAACACTAAAGTTTTATGTGACCTTGTTATCTAAGTGAAAAGAAAAGAAAAGAAAAACATTATTAAGGGTCCCATAACAAATGCAGATTAACTATTTGGTTAATTATAGTTGTGTGCGGGTCCGATCGGGGTTAAGCGCACGGATTATTCCGTCAATTGCCATCAGACAAACCAAACGTATCTGCCGCCATCTCCCGCCGCCTGTTCCAGTCCCCCGCCCTAGTCACCGCGTGGGGGCCAATTTTCGCATCGAAATTTTGTACAATTGTATGAATGTAAACACCATCACGCATTTTTTTTTGCTTCTCTCATTTAACAATTTCTCTCTGCAACAAATTAATTAAATTTTTTACAACACACAATCAACATAGAATAAGGTAGCAACAACAACAACAACAACAGGAAGAGTATTTCATTTACATTTGAATCCAGCATATCCTTGTTTTTTTTTGTTTTTGTTTTTGTTTTTGTCTTCTTAACCCTGTTATTGATCAATTATAGAGAGACCACGATGGATATTCCTTTGAAATCTCAGCCCAAAGTATCCACGGTGAATCTACTTGATGAATCCAAATTTCAAATTGGAAGTACACCACACAATCCCAATACAGAATCAAGTAATCAATCTCAACCAAGTCATTTAAATCCAAATTTCTTAAAAGTTAGACATAGTTCTAGAAGCCAGATACCTTTACATCATCATCAACAACAACAACAACAAATACAAGGATTCCCACCAAATTATTCATTTTCAAGACGATATTCAGAAACTGAAAAGAATAATTTTGATCCAGAAACTGGACATAGAATATATGAAGATGGGAAAATTAGACCTCATCAATCATATTCAACACAACAGCAACAGGAAGATCAGTTTAATCAATTAGAATCGTATAATATAAATGACTATAAAAATAACAATCAATTGCATGCTAGATCTCACGATAGTATCAATGTCGGATATCCAGATGAAACAGGATATGAAGAGTTTATTCCTGGGTTGGATTTTTCAACATTGGTAATGAAATGGAATAGTAATAGTAATTCAAACTTAGATTTAACAAGAACAAACACAAGTGATTATACTACACAATCAAATACGCCAAGAAGTAGAGAGGCTTCCTATCTTGATTTGAACCAATTACATTCAAAGGTTGCTCCACAACCTATAAAACCATCAAATAATCAACAACTGAAATTTTCCTATACGAAATTGCACGAGTTCATGAAATCCAAACAACAACTGCAATTGCAACTGCAGCAGCAACTGCAGCAATCACAGCTGCGTAGTAATATTTATGATATTAATGAAGATAATGATATAATACCGTTAACGAAAGATAATTTCAAAAGTGGAAGTCCAAGTTCTGGAAAACGTGAAACATCTGGAACATTGGATTCTGCTATGTTACGTAAAAAACAAAAATCCGCCATTGATCCAATTACTGGAGATGTTAATTATGAATTAATTATTAATAGTTTACCCCAAAATTTTAATGAATTGCCTTATTCTCAACGTAAGAAGTTGGTTAAATCCTTTTCTGAATCCATTGATTATTCTCAATTTTCGTTATTTGCCAAAAACTACCTTGGTTCGTCCGTTGGATCCAGAAATCCAAGAGGAAGTATTTCAATTTCTGGAGGTGGTGGTGGCAATGGTAATGGCAGTGGGTCTACCAACAGTAGTTTTTCAAGAAGGCATAGAACAGGAAGTGTCAATACCCTAGCAGGAAGACTTTTGGCCAGAACTTCAACTACAGATTTCAAAAAGCTTCAGGAAGCCAACAGACCGAAATATAATGTTGATGAGAAAAATGCCATTGTATTAAACCATAAATTAGGAGGGATCATTGGATATGGGGCATGGGGTACTATTCGAGACTGTACTGATTTATCAGATGGAACACTTCGAGCAATTAAAATTGTTAAATCGAATGTGGACACTAATCAAAATCCTAAAGTGTTACAATTATTCAAAAAGGAAATATCAATCTGGAGTGTACTTAAACATCCTAATATTTTGGGGTTAATTGATTATATTGAAACAGATGGAACAATATTTTGTCTTATGGATAGAATCAATGGTGGCAGTTTATTTGACACGGTTGATTCGTGGTCGTTGTTTAATGCAGGTTTGAATACTACTTCTGGACCAGTAGGGTTTCTGTTTCAGCAACAACGTGAACGATTGATTAAATGTGTTGATTATACCAGACAAATAGTCAATGCTTTGTTGTATATGCATGAAGAGCAAGGAATTGTTCATGGGGATCTTAAATTGGAGAATGTTCTTATATCTAACGAATTGAATGATAATACCAAGATTGTCTTGTGTGATTTTGGTATGAGTCGAGTATTCAGTACAAGAATCAGTCGGAAATCATCGAAGAGACAAATTCATAATGGACTTCATAATTCTGGTGGTGACAACAACAACAATCACAACAATGGTGATAATCGGTTGAGTTTAATAATTGATGCAGATACCGAAATGGCTAGAAGTAGATCATCAAATGTTGAATTACGTAAACCATTAATGAGTGAAGATTCACCAAATACCAGAAAACTATTATTTCATGATGATTCAAGAGTTGGATTAGACCATTTATTTAGAATCCATGGACCTTCGATGCAATCAGTTCAATTAACGCCAGTGACATCACATGGACAAGATCAAACAGATCAATCACCGCATCCAATAAGATTTAATTTTTCTAAATATCAACAACCGAATCATCAATGTGATGAACCGGTTGATTCAAACTTACCACATTCACATATTGGTTCATTGCCTTATGCATCACCAGAAATATTACAACCTTCACCACCACCATTAGGGCCAAGTGCAGATGTTTGGGCATTGGGTGTATTGTTATATGCTATGATTGTTGGTAAATTACCATTTCTGCATCATTATGAACCAAGATTACGAGCAATGATTGCTTCTGGTAAATTCAATAAATCAGATTTATCCAAGGCTTGTTTATTAGAATGGTTATTTGATGATGAAGAAGAATCCAAAGATAATGAAACGACTGCAGGAGGATTACCTAGTACATTATTACAATCATCATCATTAGTTGATATGAAAAGAGTTGAACAATTGAGTCAATTAAAGAAAGATTGGGAAATGATGGATGATAAAAGTCGTCAAGAATTTAAATTCTTGTATGATATTGTCATTGGATGTTTACAAGTTGATATAACTAAACGAATTGAACTTAGTCAAGTTTATAATTTATTATGTTCATATACAGCATAAACAAACAAATGAAAAATATATACATATACCTATTCATTTATAGTATTTGTTTCTGTTTAACTATCTATCTGTTTAGATTTCCAAATTTTTGTTAATCTAGAATTAAATTTATTCACATCACCTATATTCCCATCTAATTCAATAATCTCTCTAATATATAATTCCAATAATTCAACTGTTTCATTTTCCAATTTCATCTTTTCTTCCATTTTGAATCCACTTAATATCCAATTTGACATAGTTTCTTTATTTGCACCTTGAGGTTTTGGACCAATTCCAATACCTAATAAATAAACATCAATATTATCATTATTACTATTATTATTATTATTATTATCATTATTAAAAACATTTTTTAATCCTTTTAAACCATTATGTGATTCATTTTTTTTAAATTTACTAATTCTTATATTACCTAAATTTTTTTCAAAATCATCATAAATAATAAATATAATAGGTCCAGCATTTATTAATCTTTTATTATCAATTTTAAATTTATTCCAAGATTTAAAAGATTCATTCATATAAGAATTTGATTTTAAATAAGTTATTGAATCAGTTGAAGATATTGAATAAATTGATTTTTTAATTAATCCTGGAGTATATGGTATAAATGATAATATATGTTTTAACATTAAATGACCCACTGAATGTCGTGTTATTGGACCTGGATTACCTATTGAAAAAAATATTATATGTCGTGAATCCATTTTTGTAATATCTTGCTAAGGGTGGTGGATATAAGATGATGATAATGGTGGTGGATGTACGATGATGTTGATTGATGTAAATGGCTGTGGTGATTTATGTGATTTATGAAATTTTTGGTTTACACGCGGCCATTTGTGCTGTAGAAAATGTGTACATCAAACACTAAACAAGAAACAAGAAGAAAAAAAAAATTGATCGGAAACGACGACTGTGTTCTTTCTTGATATACTAATTGTTAGATAGATAGATAGATAGATTAACAAAGATAATTATGAGTGAAGAAGTAGAAATAGAGAATCAGGTTATACTGGATGAACCAATTGATATGGTTGACGAATATGTATCTGATGATAATAAAGAACAACAACACGAAAAAGAATTGGATCTTGAAAATCAAATTAAGGAACACGTAAACACCAATGATCAAACAGAACAACAACAACAACAAGAAGAAGAAGAGGACGACGAGGAAGATGATTTTGATGATTTTAATGAAGCTGAATTCCAAGCTGCTGAACATAACAAAGAAGAAGAAGAAGTAGAAGAAGAAGATGATGATGATTTTGGAGACTTTGATGATGTTGAATATACTCAACAATCTGAACAATATCAACAACCTGAACATCATGAACCAAGTTTACCAAGTTCAATATTTTCAAATCCTTTAGAATTTTCAAATAAATTAGATTTAAAATTAAATGAAATTTTCCCAACAACAACAACAACATCGAAAGAAACCACAACTGATAATATAAACACAACGATATTGAATGAACGATCAGATATTATATATAAACAAATTTCAAATATGCCTTATTTACAACCTACAAATTGGATAAAATCAAACATTCGACATAATTTATTAATCAAATTAGGAATACCCATAAATCTAGATGAACTAAATACAACAACAACAACATCAATAACAAATACAAATACAAATTCAACAGGGATAGTACCGATAAGTAATATAGAAAATACAACAAGAAGAAGATCAAGTATTTCAGTAAATGATATCAAATGGAATTTATTTAATATACCTAAATTTGAAGAATTAAATATTGATAATGATTTAAAATTATCAATGATTCAAAATACTAATGAAATTTTAACTAAAATTGAATTGGAAAATTTACAACATAATTCTGAACAATTTTTACGTGATTCTTCAAATAGTGAAATTATTGATGATAAATTAAATCAATTGATGAATAATTATCAAGAATTGATTAAATTAAGTTCAATTTGGATCAATCAAATTGATGAATTGAAAAATGATTTTGAAACTTATGAAAATGTTGTTCAAAGTTTTATTGGTTATAGTCAAAAGTTAAGAAGAGATGAAATATTTGAAAATTTGAAGAAATTAAAACATACAAAAAAGAAAAAGAAATTATGGAACTAAAGTAATAAATAGACAAATAAATAAATAACCTCTTTAAATAAATACAAATATCTAAACAAATAATAAAACAATCTATTGATTCATCATATTAAATAAAGAATGAATATCATCATCCATAGTCATTCCTGATTGTAAATTCAAATAATTAAATGAACTATCAATGAAATTAGTTTGAAATGCTGGTGTATTTGGATCAAGAATGTCATGTTCGGCTTTATGTGATTCCCCTGCAACAAGTTGATTAGAATTCCCATTATGAGTTGGTTGTTGTTGCTGCTGAAGTTGCTGCAGTTGCTGTTGCTGTTCTGTGGATGGTTGACTTTTCTGTTGTTTGTCTGATTTAAGCATCATGGTTGAATTCATTGAATTATAAACATTACTACCAATACCATCATCTTCAAAATGTGGTGTTGGGGATTGTGCTCTTGTTGGTGGAATACTGAATGTAGGAAATAATTGTGTTGGTTCGAAATTTTCAAAGAAATTCTGTTTATTTTGTAAATTTTCAGTAACCATGGATATATCTGGAAATGATTTTGTAGATGAAGCAGGAGATGTTTCAGTAGTTTGTTTATCACTACTATCACTAGCAACATTGTTATTCCCATTAGTACCTTTTGCAGCACGCTTCATTGGTAATTTATATTGTCTTATTAATTCTTCAATCTGTGGTGTTTGGTTATTATTTTGAGTTTGATTTAATTGACCTGATTGCTGTTGTTGTTGTTGTTGTGGGTGTGGGTGTGATGAAGCCAGTGAAAAATCTCTCTTAATTGGTGTTTGATCTGGATAACCATTGTAAACACCTCCACCTGGCGATATTCCAGAAGTTGCTGACGTTGGCGAAAACATTGTATGATCTTTACTCTTTGCGGTCTGTGGTAACGGTAAAGGTTGTTGTGACTGACGATTCTGTGGCAATGGTGATGCCTGTTGTTGTTGTTGTTGTCTATTTGGAATCGACATGGTAGCGGAACTGCTATGACTATCGTATTCACCAATAGATTGTTTCATCTTTTCTTTAGCTGCATTCTCCTTGTATTCAACAATCATATTACCATTTTCAATTAATCTTGTTCTCTTCAATTTATCGTTAGCATATTTATCAAACAATTTCAACAACACGCCTGCAACTGGCCAATATTTCAGAAGCTCTTTCAATACTGCTCTTGAAACATATAACGAATCAGCTGCAGTGGCAGCAATAACTGAATTATCCGAGTCCACATGATAAATCAACATAACCAATGCACTAAATGCAATGTAAACGTACATGACTGGAACATATTGAATCAAATTTCTATCCAATAATATTTTTGAAATTATAGAAATCATTCTTGCTGATTGGAAAGAAATACCCCAACTTGGATATTTATAATTGTTTGGGTTTGTTGATGATGATCTAGCCATTCTAATCAAATTTGATCTATGAATCAAATATAAACGATTATAATATTGTGCATTTAATAAGCAGGCATAAAAATTATGAGTCAGGGTATCTGCCAATGAAAATACCAATTTTGAGGGTAAGTTTGTAAACCAAATACCCATCAACATATCACAATGTTCAATAATGGAAAATGCATTTCTTCTCTTCATGGTTTCAGATTTTACGCTATATTGATGTTTGATAATAATACCAGTTATTTCTGCCAATTTAACTAAATGAATAAAATACAAGGCTTGGGTTTCATTAATAGGATATGGGTCAACTATTCCCAATTCTGGATCAGTTTCATCAAAATCTTCCACGGTTAACATTGGTACATCACAATCATTTAAATCAATAACAACTGGTCTTCCAAATGCTATAGCTACATTACGATCCTTTTCAAATAAACACCACCAAATTCTTCTCCATATTTTCTTTTCTGAAATAGTCAATTGATGTGATTTACTAACATCACGTTGAAAACCAAACCCTTGAGCTAATCCCACAGCAACTCTAGTCCAGTAAAAAGAATTCTTGGTGACATCCTCAGGACCATCCCAATAGGAACCAATTAAAATTACAGTCTGAATAATTGATACCGGATCACTTTCATAATTTGTTTCATATAACGCTTTTGCTCTTCGGAAAAATGTTATACTGGCTAAATCGTTGGTACCTTTGGAATCCAACAACAATGGATTTTTAGATGCCCTACATCCCAACAACAACACGGCATGAAGAACCATTAAACTTGGATTATCATTGGGATCATTAAATTTCTTCATAAATAACGATCGGTTAATAACTGGCATCAATGGATGAACATGCTCAAAATAAGCATTAATCAATTCTAGGGATAATTCTTTGCTTGGTAATAAGAATGCACCTCTCATTTTTAAAATTTCTAATTCAACAGAATCCAATTTAGTATCACTTGTATCAAATACATCGGTAGTTAATTCAACATGATTTTCACCTGCACGTTGAGGAACAACACCAATTGATGACAGACCCAAAAATGTTAATGCAGTTTTGGCTTTTGAATCAAGTAGTTCCTTTTTATGCATAGAAGGTCTGTTTTTATATGTCGATGTCAATGAAGGGGGTACACTAACTTGTGATATATTAATTATTGGTTCCGCCGTGGACGTAGTATTTGAATTTTCAGATGTATCATTATTTGATGACATTGTTGTCGCCATGTCTGAAGATTTGTTGTTCGATACAGGAGAGGTTGATTTCTCTAGTGAATTGCCATTTTCATTTATTGGTGTGTTTATTGTAGAATTAGATGAGGATTTCTTTTTTAAGGCAGTTGCCGAAAGTGGTTTATCCTTTGATTGATTTACTTTCTGTCGTTTTGCCTTTGATTCACCGGATTGATTGCCTCTTTTCTTTGCTTCTGGTAAAATACATTCACAACCAAAAGTAATGCAATTTGTACAAGGAATATGGATTTCTGCATCACAACGTACTTTTCTTGAACGACAAACGGTACAAGCACGTGAACCTCTAGGACGTTTATATTTTATAGTGAAAGCTTTTGGTTTATCCTTTGCATCTGATTTTGGTTTCTTATTTGAAGTTGTTGATGTTGTCTGTGTGGCTGTTGTTGTTGTCGTTGTTGTTGCAGTTTGAGTTTCAGGGTGTGAATTTTCAGTCTCCTTCTGTTGGTCTAGTTTAGCTACCCCGTCTTTTTGATCCGACATGGTTGCTTGATTGATTGATGATAATACGTGGAGTATATTGGATTGGATTGGATTGGTTGTAAGAATAAAAGAATAAATTAAAAATATGCAAATGTATGAATGGAGAATAAGGAGGGGAAATAGGAAAGAAAGAAAGAAAAAAAAATTTTTGTCCTGTTGTAAAATTTAATTTTAATATTTTTTTGGTTGTTTGTTGTAAAAATGAAAATAAAGTTTTGTTGTAAATTTTCTGTTTTGTATGTTGTTGTTGCTGTTGTAAAAACTCTCTCACACAAAAGTGATTATGGTGGGGGCGGAACAAAAGAAGAAGGAAAGAGGCGGCAGCCAAAATTCTTTGAGACAACCATTTCATCTCTATTTATATGTCAGAATGAATATTTTTACAACCAAAGTATTCTTTTGATTTAAATCTAAGGCCCCCCTCCTCCTTGCCTTCTTCCATTAATCCTACGATGATATCCACAACAATTAAACTGAAACAAACGGGTCAAAACAGGGAGACTAAAGAGAGAGAGAGAAAGAGCCAAAGAGGGGGGAAGAATACTTGGTCGGGAATAAATGATGATGCCAGAGGGATCTACGCGTGTACAAAACAAAGAAAAATGAATGAGCCATTAAATCCAGGTGACTGAATAAAGTGACGTAGAACAATCATCGTACATATCAATGGAGTTAGTCACCAAGATTTAGTTACAAAAATAGGAGGAAGAAAAAGAAGAAGAAGAAGGAGAATAAACGGCAACGAATTTGCTCTTTCTAACACACATACACACAATAATTGCTTACTCCGGGAAAAGGGGGGGAACAGGATTATCTTGTTGACTACAATGGGGTTACCGTCTTGGCTAAACGGATTGTAATTTTGATTATAAACCAATGAAAAAACAAAAAAAAATTTCAAGTTAACACATCAATGGGTTTTATTTTTGATTTAGTTGAATCTTCTCATTGTTAACCAATACTGTGTGTATATATATTTTTCCCCCACACTAACGGATAAATAACTAAAAATGAAAAAAAAACACTTAAGAACAATACTTGTCTCACTACGGGACAAACATCCCGATTTAGATTATGAGCCAGAGAGGTTGATTCCTTTCAATGGTGATAGTGGTGTTGATGATTAATTGACATTACGGTCTAGACTTCCATTATTATTATAAAGTTTAAGTTATCGTACACCCACTTTCCTATTTTGTAATATGCGTGCATATTTGAACAATTGTATTACCAAGTTAAAATCAAAGAAAACAATCTGCACATTTATACCCCATATGTTGTATCATCATTTGCCAGTTTTCCATCATTTTGGTTAGGATATTTGGTTATACAATTGGAACCGTTAGGCTCTATTCTAGTATTCCTTTATTCCAAGTCCATCTCCCCCTTCATTCCTATAAAAGGTAAAAAACGTTAAATAGATGTTTATTAACAGAGACGATGAAGTTTATTGTTCTGTGGCAATACAGAAAAATAAATAAAAATCTGTACAGTCGACAACAAAAAGTTCTCGTCTTTTTTTCCCGTCGCATAGGGTCGTGCCTCTTACAACCAAAATTATGTAAACAATTGCAAAGTTCGTGCTCAGGAGAAAAATATTTGGTCATCAAAAATATTCACGTGACATATATAAAACGTCTATGAACTTTGAACAACGCGTTAGCAAACAAAAACTTCCGTAGGCAACAGTTTATTAAAATCAGTGGTTAATAGATGATAAGCAAACTGCTAAAGTATATCTATGATTACTATTTTAATAGAATTGAGTGTATATTCGTAGCTCTTTATTTATATAAAGATTTTAAATGTATTAAATTCGGTGCGACCAGAATGGAGCTCCAAAAATTATTGTTTACCGATTTGAGGCTTGTGTGCAGGCAGAAAAAAAAGACGAGAACTTTTTGTTGGCGACTGTACATGCAAAACTATTTTTCAATACACAAAAACCATCAGTGAATCCAAGAAGAAGATGAAGAAGATCAAACTGATTTCCCAAGCATTTCATCCTCTGGGTACATTTGGGCCTTCTTCTTTTGACGATTAATTTTGTGTGTATGAGGAGTAGAAGAGTTATTACCAAGACGGACGGAATTAAGGAAATATACAAATGTATAAATTCTGGTCTTATTAAAGGAAGAGAAAGAGAGAAGGGGGAATGAGGTAAACTAAAGCATTAGCTAAATTGGAAAGAGGGGCAAGTTTGTTAATTTAGAATGCGTAAATGCACAAATCATTATTATTGCAGTTTGATAAAAGCCCCTATTGCTGCTTATATGGGGTATAACTATTTAATATGCAAGTCTTGAATTGAAACAATTGTTGTTTTATGTTCTGTAGTGGAGAGAAACAGATATGGGCTCTTTGTTCCAAGGAGTACAATGGTTCTTCCATATAATTGACAAAGATAATACTCTTGGATTGGTTAGATCTCTGATGATATGTGTTTGAACACTTTATTCTTACTTCTATCTGAAGAAATCTGAATAGTTATATATTATGTAAACAAATTCTGCCTCTACAAGTATTGTCAAAAATAAAAAACTTGCTGCCAAAATTGAATAATGTGGAGGTTGAAAGTGGGGCAAATGATAACCATTCTTCTTTTGTGCGTGCTCACACGATTTTTGCCTTATTGTGCTCAAATCCAATTTAGCCGAGGTTAAATGTGAGCGCTCTGTTTATTAAAATAAATTTGATAACTGACTGAATATTTAGTTTATTTTTTTGCAATTATTCTTCAGGATAATTTCCCCCAATTATTTTAAGATACTTTTATTCCAGTGGCAATCAAGTTAAACAAAATAAAATATCAACTACAGCATCAACAATGCCAATTATACCCGTTTTTTTTAAAATGATAACGGTATTTTATCAAGCTTATTTATAGTCAGATTCACGTGATATTACATAATAATATACCTTTTGAAGTGGTATCGGATATTACTCGTTTAAATATTGGGAAATTTCCGATTCTGTGTTAATTGATGGAAATACATCAATCAATAGGAAATGTACTGAAACATGATATAAATAAAGGGTCTATTCCTCTTCTTGTTCTATTTCTTCTGCAAAGGAATAATCGTTAGTTCTTGCAAAAAAAAAATATATATAACAACAGAAGAACGGAGTTTTTAAAATACCGTTTGTTAAAATACACCATATGTTTTGAAGAGAGATATTTGATGACTACAATTAATATGGTGGCGATTTCAATATTCTTTTTGTTTTGTTTTTGGACATTGAAATAGACACGTTTATTTATGACACAACTGTTGTATCTGTCGAATCAGTTTGGCTGCGTCTTCTTCTTCATTTTATTTAGTAATGGCTTATTAATTTTATTTAGTTTTTACATAATCATTGCATCTTTTGTGTGAGTGAATGAATGGATGCGAGAAGGAGGAGGGGGAAGTCGTGGACAAATGTCGAAAAAGTCATCACTGTGTACACGACAGTCATTTAAATATTGTGTACACTTTAAATTTTTTTATTGTGCACGTTTACACTACCCACTCAAATTGAAATAACATGAAATAAAAAAGTAAAAAAAATACATACCGACGATTATTATACAATTTTAAACATCGACACATAGCTTAGTATAATTTCTCATACTATTTGAAATAATATTTAAAAAAATTTATATGAAATTCATCTTTTAAGGTTCAAAATAAAATTTCAACGTTTTTTTATTCTAATCTTTATATAAAAGTATTAACTTCTATTTTATTTTAAGTATTTTTTTATTTTTATTTTTATTTTTATTTTTTTTTGGGGCAAGGTTTTATTTAATTATTGGAAATCCATTATAATATCAAATCCAATATCCAGGGAAATAATTACACTTACAATTTAAACAAATAAACTATTACCAAATCATTTTTCCCATTTATTTGCTTCTGATTTTGATTTTAATTCTGATTTTGATTTTTACATTTCCTGTATTTCCAACAATCTTTTATTATCAGAATCTGAAATCTAATTTATCGGAACTACCATTTAATTATATTTCCTGACTTCCTTCATTAAAACTTACGGCTATACTTTCAGTTAATTTCCACCATCACTTGCTCATCTTTATTTATTGCTATTTCCATTTCTGTGCATATAAATATTTACAATGTCTGATATCCCGAATCCTAGACCAAAAGGTAGACCAAGAATTTTACCCATTCCAAAAAGAACTAAAGTATCTCGTGCTTGTGATTTATGTAAACATCATAAAAGAAAATGTAATGGGGATCAACCTTGTTTCTATTGTAAAGATAAGTCATTAAATTGTACCTATTTAAAAGCAGATGGAAGATCTAAAAAATCTAAAACCCAGAAACAGCAACAGCAAGGTCAGATTGGACAAGGAAATAGTGCTGGTACTACACCTTCTACAACCACTAGTAGTTCTATAAGTGAACAAGGTGGAATTATTAATGGTAACGGTAATGGAAATGGAAATGGTATGGCGTTTCCCGGTGCTTTACCATTACCAGATACTTCTTTGAATTCAATTGGCCAACCAATCATGAATATTAATAGCATCAACAACAGTAACAATAACATGAATAGCATGACCAACAACAATACCATGAATAACAACAATATGAGTATCATGAATACTATGAATGCCATGAATCCTATGACTACCAACAACATTGACAACAACAACAACAACATCCACAACAACACTAACAACACTAACAATATCATGAATAATAAATCAGAATCAGAAGCTGAAATTGAACCAGAAATCCCATCATTACCAAATTCACCAAATTCAAGTCGTCGTCCTTCAGCTAAATCAAGTGTACCAAATAGTGTTAATTCTAATGGTATTGCTGATCCATCTCCTTATCCAAATCCAGATTGCGATGAAAATGATGAACTGGCACAAGTCTCTTTAAGCATGATTTGTAAAAGTTTACAAACTGCTTTATCAAATGATGATAATAGTAATATCATTTCATATTTTAGAAAGAAAAAAGCCGCTGAATCTAAACAAGAAGGATTATCTAATTTAAATGGTCAACATACTAGATTATTATGTTCACAAGGTGGTGATACTAGATTTTTTGGCGAAAGTAGTGCATTATCTTTGGTTAGTGAATGTCGAGCTTTATTTCTTGATATTTTAGGTGAATCTACTTTTACAAATGATCCTCAACAACAATTTATTCACGATGAACTGGTTGATTTTACCAAACATATTGTTCCTGTACAATTACCAAGAAAAGAAGAAGCAAAAGTTTTAATTGATTTATTTAAAACTAATATTAATGATACATTTTATGTTTTCAATATGAGATATTTAAATAATATGATGGATGAAATTTATTCAAATCCAATATTAGCATCAACTAAAAAATTATGTTTATTACATCTTGTGTTTGCTATTGGAGTTTTATTTGTTGAATATTCACCAGAAATGGAATTTGATTTACCTCCACTGATTAGATTTTTAGAAAGTGCTGAAGAATTAATGAGAAATAATATTTATGATGGGAAATTATGGATGGTTGAAGCAAATTTTTTAAAATATTTTTATTTTCAAGCTTGTTGTAATAGATCAAATTCTTGGATTTCTTTAGGTACATCCATAAGATTTGCTCAAGCTTTAGGTATGCATAGAAAAGTTATTAATGATAGAATTGAAAATAAAGAAGTTTCAATTCATAGAAGAAGATTATGGAGAAGTTTATATGTTTGTGATTGTGTTAGCAGCGTTAATTTGGGACGTCCATTGATGATTAACACTTATGATTATGATGATATAAATTTCCCATTAGATCAATTAATTCTTCCTGGAGATGATGAAGTTGAAAAAATTAGAATTATTGCTCAAAATGCTACATCTGATTCAGCAGTTATTAATCGACTGATTATTGATAATAATTTCAAATCACAAATTAATCTTAAAGATAGCAATTCATTAGCTTTACAATTAAAATTATGGTCCATTGAATTACCTCCTCAATTACAATTATCTAAAACTTTAGAAGAAGAAATCACTCTGGGTACTAATCCAAATAATTATTTATTGGTCTTTGTTCATATTGGCCAGCTTTATGGGATAATGGCTCTCACACGACCATTTTTGGTTTACGTTGCAATTCGAAAATTAAAACCTAAAACTAAAAGAGAAGTTGGAAATGAAAAAGAATTAATGCCATTTTGTAAAGCAGCAATTAAAGCAGCTTTCTTGTGTATTAAATTAATTAAAGCATTTTGTACAAATACTAATCGTAAAGAAGTATTTACAATTCAAAGTGCAACATTTTTTGCTGCTATTTTATTAGGTTTTACATTATTGGAACAATCAAAATCTAAAAAAGCTGATAAACATTATATGTCAGTTATAAAAGATTCCATTAATGATGCAATTACAATTCTTAAAACTTTCCCATTTAATGCTACTTGTAATAGATGGTCACAACATTTAATTTATATGTTGGAAGCTCTTAATATGGCAAGTCCAGTTACTGATACTTCTCCAACAAGTTCAATGAGTAGTGAAATTCAACATTTTAATGATGAGTTAGTCATGTGGAATAATCAATCAAATACTTTTGAACAATTACTCAATTTTCAACAATATTTCGTTCCTAATGATGTTGATATTTTGAATAACAATTATTTGGATGCTTTTAATTATACTAATTCTTATAAGTATAACATGTAACTTATTTCACACATATACTAAAGTTTTTTGGTTTATCTTTTTAATTTTTATTTTTATTTTTTATGTATTTTTGTATTATATAAATTGTTTCTATATACTTTGTTTTTCAAGTTATATTTCAATGTCATTTGTGATGAATGTCTTTTTTTTTTTAAAATATAGTATTTCTTCGATGTCTTTCATGATCTACGAAACCTGGATTGAATGCATCACTATCAACATCTTCTTCAAATTCATCTTCATCTTCTTCTTCTGATTCATCATCTTCATCATCACCAAAGTGAGCCAACATTTCTTTTTCATCTTTAGATAATCCAACTGATCTTTTAAACATTTTTGAGTCATATTCAGTTATACTGTTATCATCATAATCATAATCACTATCGGTGACATCATCATCTTCAGCTTCATTATAAGATTTATGAGCTTGTTTATAATTTAATATCGTCAATTTTTTACCCTTTTCAATTGCTCTTTCAATAGATGATCTATGCTTAATAAATAATAATCTTGGAAACATACATCTTTCACCTTTTTTAATAATTTCAGCCATTCTTTTCTCAGTTGGATCACTTAATATATACCAAAAATCAATTAATCTATTTCTAGGCCAAATAGTAATAGTACCTGAAAAATTTTGTAACCAAATATTTGACCAATCTTGTTGTAAAAAATGAGGTAATAAATCTAATGATTTAATAATCTGTAACCATTTTTTAATTTCTAATCGAAATAATTGTTCTAAAGCTGTTGCTATAAATCCTCCTCTAAATGATGCATATTTTTCACGTGATGTCTTACGTTTTGAAGTAGATACTGGTCTACCAACTGTACCCTTTGGAGCAAAATAAAATAATGAAATATGAGGATTAACTTGTGAAACAATTGTAAAATTAACATTATAATAAGTATTAAGTGCTTCAACTGGAATATCTGTACGTAATGAACCATCTCTCCATTTACTACCTAATGAAAATGGGATAACTTGACCATTTGCAGGATTTTTCATCATTAATACAACTGGATTAAGTATACCTGGAACAGCAGATGATGCTAATAAAGTAGACCAAATTATACAATGAGGTGAAGTTATATCATTACATAAAATAACTGGTGAATGAGGATCAGCTGGAATAGTAGAAATATTTAATTTTCTACCAGTTAATTTAAATGCTTCTTCAAATGTAGTTGAACCTTTGGTGAAAAAATTTGATTTCCTTGCCCAACTAACAGCATCAAATCTTGCTCCAGTTCTAATGAATCTAGGTAACCAAACATACCAAGGATCTTCACATGCAGTGATTTTTCTAGCTAATTGAGGTACTAATAATTTTTTAAGTTCTTCATTAGTACGAACACATAATAATGAAGCAATTAATCCACCTCCAGAAGTACCCGATATAATATTTGGTAATAAATCTTGATCCAATAATGCTTTTGCAATTCCAAAATGAGTATAAGCAAAACATGCTCCACCACTAAGACATAATGCAGATTTTCCAAAATTCTTCAGAACAATTCTGAAAAACTTCTTTTTAAGATCTAATGGAACAGTATTATCTTCAGTTACTTTTTCAATACATAAAACAACTTCTTTATAATATTCTTCAACTAATTTCTTAGTACCATAATATCTATGAGAATATAATTGACGATTTTCAATTCCAGCAAAATTTTTCTTTAAACAACCTTGTAAAACAACCATTAAATCAAGAATTTTCCCATTTTCATTTCTAAGTTTATTTAATCTTGTTATTGTTAATTTAACAGTTTTATAATCATAATAAGAAAATTTTGGGTTTTCAGACCATTTATCTAAATTTAAATATTTATCTAATTCTATTGCATTTTCAATCCATTCTTCATAAGTTGATGAATTTCTTAATTTATCACGTAATTTCTTACGTTTACCTGTCCAAGTAAAGAAATATTCCAGAAGTGCAACATAAACTCGTATTAAAAAATATAAAAATCCAAGTATACCAATCCAAATAAATACAAATATTAATATTGGCCATCGAAGTAATGTATAACTTGAACTATTTCTAAATTCATTCTGTAAAACTTTTAATGTTGATTTCTTTTTAGATTTTTTGGATTTATTAGATGAAGTAGATGGTTGAGTTTTATTGGATGATGATGATGATGGAGAATCACTTTGAATCGGAAACCAATCACTTTTAGAAGTAATTAAAACTGGTCTTTTATTATTAGTAGATAGTGAATTATTATCTTCATCATGTTGAGTTATATCAGTATCAATAGGTACAATAGTTTCATTTCCACCAATATTTAAAGCCTCTTCAGCTAATTCAGATTCTGTTTTTGTTTCTTCTTTATCATCATTGATGGAAGTATCAAAAATTTTCAGTTCATTAGTTGGGGTAGTAGTACTATTATCATAATCATAATCATCTTGCCATATTAAAGCTTTAGCAAATTCACTAATGTGATCTTCATTTATATAATCTTTATCTTCCTCAAATAATGGTATTCTCTTCTCACTCATTCTGTCAATACATAAATGTCTAATGGGAGTAATAGTAGTGGTAGTAGTAGTTATTGGTTGGTCGTATAAAAAGAGCAACTTCTGATGAAAATGATTTAATTTTTAAATCTTCTTTTTGGATTCTTCTTTGATTTTCTCTGATTAAAAATTTGCCGCGGGTTTATTTACTGAAATTCGTTTAACGTGGATTATATTTCAGATGATAAATTGTTCAAACTTGTTGATAATATAACAAAAACCTTGTGGTAAATTTAATATTGCTATTACTTGTCATCTTCATGTTTGTTTATAAATTCCATAGCTTATTCTGGCCATGTGAAATTCCTCTTGATAAAAAAAAAAGAAGGCATTACGTAATCAGTGACCAGTTTTATTTTACGATACTCACTTGGTAGCATCGACTTACTAAAACTTTTACCCAACAAAAATCAAAACAGATTGGTGACGACACTACCTTGGGCTACGCATGCAATTTTACACGTGATCACATTTTTTTTTTACAAATCAAGAACAATATGCTTAATGATACCAACAATATGCTCTAATCTTGACCAAAATTAGGAAAGAAAGATACCTGAGTAAAAGAGAAATGGAAAATCGAGGTCTATTCATATTGTATAGATTAATAATGTAAAAACAAGGATCATTACCGTAGGAAACAGTCCCAACTGATTCATCGTTAAAATCTATTCAAGAGTTACTAGTCACAGCAGCATTGCAAGATACCTTTATAATTAGATAAAACTGGACTGAGCCTGTGGTTGTTGTTGCTAACTAAATTCGGTCGTGTATCACGGTACAACATTGCACGTGCCATATTTAAGCTCAGAATCAAAAAAAAAAAAAAGAAAAATTCAGACTAACACATTTAATAAACCCACCTATAATTGACAACAAAAATGACTATTGATACAGTTATATTAGATATTGAAGGTACTGTGTGTCCAATTACATTTGTTAAGGATACTTTATTTCCATATTTTTTAACAAAATTACCATCAATTTTATCATCAATTGAATTCCCATTATCTACTTCATCCTCAACAAATGATGATCCAATAATTCAAATATTAAAACAATTACCTGAATCAATTACAATTTCAAATGAATCAGTATTTTCATATTTGAAAAATTTAGTTGATCAAGATATAAAAGATCCTATTTTAAAATCATTACAAGGGTATATATGGGAAAAAGGTTATGAAATTGGAGATTTAAAAGCACCAATTTATAAAGATTCAATTAAATTTATTGAAAATTTCAATAAAAAAATTTATATTTATTCATCAGGTAGTATAAAAGCACAAATTTTATTATTTGGTCATGCTGAAAAAGATCAAGAATCAATTAATTTGAATCCTTTCCTAAAGGGATATTTTGATATTACAACTGCTGGATTTAAAAATAAATCTGAATCTTATATTAAAATCTTGAATGAAATTAATAAATCCAATGATCCTTCTTCAGTGTTGTTTTTAAGTGATAATGTAAATGAAGTTAAAAGTGCAATTGAATCAGGTATGAATAGTTATATTGTTATAAGACCTGGTAATGCTCCTTTATCTGATGATGATAAATCAACTTATAAAACTATTCATTCATTAGATGAATTAACATTGTAAATTAACCATTCGTAATATAATACTAATAATAATCATGTTATTAAATATATATATGTGAAAGAAAGGGGGGAGGAAAAAAAAAAGAAAAATAGAAGTACTTAATTTACAATATAAGCAATAACTATAACTGGATCTTTTCTCTTATTCACTGCCTATTGTCTGTCTTACATATCTCTAAACAATATATCAGCAGCTACTTCTTCATTTTTATCACAAGCTAAATAAACTTGAATAACCAAATCACGTTCAAATCCAAGTTCACATAATCTATTAATTGCACTCTGATCTTGTTCTGATAATTGAATACGGACAGTACCTTCTTCCCCAGCTTCACCACCAGTAAATCCACTTTCATCACCTTCAATTTCAAATCCTAAATCTTCACCTCCGGCTCCTAAAAATGTTCTAATGAAAGCTTCTGGATCTTGTTGAATTAAACTTGCAATTTGTGGATTAGATGCAGCTAATTGTTCCAATAATGGTTGAATCAATTCTGGGTTAGATTGTAAAGCTGCTCTCAAAAGTTGCATTTGTTGGTCATCTCCTAAACCTGCACCTCCTGCTGATGCAGCATCACCACCAGCAGTAGCAGCATGAGCACCACCTTCTTGAGCAGCAGCAGCGGCAGCTGCAGCTTCAAACAAGTTTTCATGTTGTCCACCTTCATGTTCATCATCATCTTCTTCATCATGAGCAGAAGTTGTAGTTGATTCACCAACTGGGGCTTCGGATTGTGCAACTGGTGCAACTGGTGCAACTGGTTGTTCTGGACGTTGTAAAGATTCTGGGATACCAGTCAATAAATATTCAACTGCACGATGAGGATTATTAAAAGCAGCTCTTAATGCAGCTTCAACTTGCAGTCTTTCGTAACCCATTTCCATAATATTTTGAATAGTGGCTTCTCTTTCAGTTCCAACTGCAAATGTAGATTCATTAGATTCTTGTGGTTGCTGTGATTGAGCTTGAGCTGGTGTACCAGATGATGTTGATTCATTGGTTGTTGTACTTGTGGTGGTGGTGGTGGTGGTATTACTTGAAGCTTCTTGGGATGCAGCTGGTTGTGTTTTAGTAGAATCATTAGTTGATGCAGATTTTGATTCAGAACCAGTACTTTGAGTTTGTTCAGGTGCCGGAGTTGGGGTCGGAGTTTGCTTTGTTTTATTAATCATAAAAATTATAGATGCACCTTCTTTAAGTTTATACGATTCTAAAGTTTTATCATCTTGTAATACTTTCCCAGAATAAACTAGTTTGATTTGTGATGCATCGACACCCTTTTCATTGGCTAATTTCTCTTTAGCTGATAATACCTAATGAATGAAATATGATTGTTAGAATACAATTGTTCTTTAAAATAGTTTACGTGTAGATCTGGTATATTTTTTTTGTTTGTTTGTTTGAATACATACTGAATCGGATAATTCCACCTCAATTGAAACGGTTTGTTTCTTGAAATCCTTAAATATAACTTGCATTGTTTATTTTTTTAAATAAAATTAGAATTTTCAATGTGAAGAATAACGAGTAAACAACAACAATTATCTATCTGTATTCTTCTTGTTCTTCTTGCGTAAAATTGTTGATGTCCACACAAACCCTCGTGATAATTTTTTTTTTTTGGTTCTTCCTTTCGAGTAACAGAAAATTTTTTGTTAGTGGCAAAAAAAAATAAAAGATTTACTATAATGGGTGGTCGTGTGTAAATGGCTAGGAAATTTACGTGTGTGTGTGTGTGTGGTTGCTAAAATCTCCTCATTGGTGGGGTCGTGTGCGATAGCAAAAATTTATTCATTTGTATTATTAAGAGACAACCAAAGAATGAAGAAAAAAAAAGAAAGAAAGATTAAACAGTGTTGCCAATTTTGATTTGAAAATCTTACAACCAATAGAGAGCAAGACAAACGTATAGTTATTATGTCAAGAAGACAAAGACAAAGTGGAGTTAATGGTATAAGAGGGCCAAACTCAGCATTGACTGAGTTTTTACGTAATGAAGGTATCACTGACGCGTTTAGACAAAGAAGATTACGTGATTTAAATGGTGCAAATCAAGATGATCATGCACCAACAGAGGACAATACTACTACTGGAACTGAAACACCTGAACCTACAACAACTGATGATAATCTGGGTAATGTTACACCGGAAGTTAGAACGGAATCTGGTTTAATCCAAGGTGATGATGAAGAAATTAGACAAATGAAACGCGCGGCAAAGCGAAAGTTAAAAGCTGCAAGACGTGGAGGAAGAAGATTAAGAAGTCAAGGATCTCCAGATGGTAATAGTAGCAGTAGTGATAGTGATAGTGATGCCAATTTCAGTGATGATGATGATGATGATGAAGATGAAGACGATCTTAATAATGAAATTAAAAAATTTGGTGAAGATGATGAATGTGTTGATTGTGGGAAAACATTTGAACTTTCAGTTAGTTCAAGATTTATAAAAGAACAAGCGGGATATTTATGCCATGAATGTAATCAACTATTAAAAGCTAAAGAAAGGAAATTGCGAGCTAATCAATTGAATGCTCGTAAAAGAAGGAAAAAAGTGGCACAAGCATTGTTGAATAAATCGGAAATTAAAGTACCCAAATTACAAGATGTTTGTATCAAGAAAATTACTGAAAATATTGAAGAAGTTGATGTATTAGGTGATATTGGGCAAGTTAATATGAATAGGATATCTAAAATCTTATCCAAGAATCGATCATTAAACAACAAGACAATGACATTATTTCTTACCCCGGATTTGAAACGTTTAGAATTTTGGGATTGTTCCAATGTTGATTCAGATTCCCTTAATAAGATTGCATCATTTTGTCCAAATTTGGAATCGTTAACTTTATTTATGTGTGGACAATTACATAATGATAATTTGCAGTATTTTGCTACAAACTTAACTAAACTTCATGATTTAGCATTGAATGGTCCATTTTTAATTAGTGATGTAATGTGGCAAGATTATTTTGAAGAAGCAGGTTCAAGGTTGACTAAATTTGAAATTAGAAATACACATCGTTTTGGTAATGATTCATTGATTAGTTTATTAGAAAATACTGGTAAAAACTTAACATCCTTAAAATTATCAAGATTGGATGGACTAAATTCAAGTGAAATCTATGGATTAATTCCTCATTATATCCTGGACTCAAAATTAACCGACTTGGAAATTTCATATCCTCAAGATGAAGAATTAATATCTGATGATTTGATAATTACAATTCTTTCAATTACAGGAGATACACTAACTCTGTTGAATCTCGATGGGTGTTCATCATTAACAGAAAGGTTTCTACTTGAAGGAGTGGTTAAATTTTGTCCGAATTTAACTCATTTGTCAATTCAACATTTAGATCAAATTACAAATGAAGGATTTGCTAAAGCATTCAAAGAATATGGTCAAATTAATCAAGGCGGATTAATTGAAGTTTATTTAACTAAGTGTATTGGATTGGGGGACGAGGCAGTGTATGAATTATTTCAACATTCAAGTCATACATTAGTTGAGTTGAGTATAAATTCATTACATTTAATTACAAATGATTTTCTACATCAAGTATTTACTGAAGATCTGCATCAATTCAAAAAGAAATTACGTGAACTGGAAGAGAATAATTCACGAAAGTATTACAAACATATAGGTTTCCCATTATTGACATATTTTGATGTTGGGTTTGTTCGTGCTGTCGATAATGAAGTTCTTGAATTAATAGGTGAAAGTTGTCCACAATTGAAAGTAATTGAAGTTTATGGAGATAATAGATGTACATCAAGAGCTAGGTTCAGAAATGGATTAATGGTAATTGGTCGTCAAAGTGATGAAATATCTTAAATGATGTATATTAGAAACTAAATTAATTTTTTGGTGGATATTTAATAGGTAGAGATGCTTTTTCAACATTTCTAAATAAAGGTAATGGAGGTATAGTTAAATTTGAATTGGTTAAATCAATATCAGTTCCCATTATTTTATTTGTAATTTGAGGTATAGCATCAACAAATATTCCTGGATGTCCAATATGTTTTGATGATAAACTTAAAAACTCATCTTCATTTGTTGTTACTCTTTTCTTTGGTTTGCTTCCTGTTGTTATATTTATTGATGATGATGACGATGATGATGTAGGAGTTATATTGTTACCATTGTGATTAATATTAGCAATGATGTAATTATTTCTAGCTTGTCTCTTAATGGTAGTTTTATTATAAAAAATTGAATTACAAGTATCTAAATCCTTTCTGATTAAAGTATCATCAGAAATACCGTTATTTAATTGAAGATATTCTTTTATATTATCACCACATATTTTATAATTTAATTCAATAAATGCATCAATAATCAGTTTAGGTAATTGGGTCAGATATTTGATATAATTCATGATAAGTTTTAAATTTGATAAATTACCACCAATTGATGAAGATGATTCTAAATTGAAATAAAATCTCCAAAATTGAGTTGATTTTTTAAAGCAATTAAATGAATGAAATTTATTAAAAAAAGATCTAATGGTAGAAATATCATTTTGTTTTAATAATTGATTTAAATATGATACAACAATTAAACAAATTGATTCATCATTTATAAAATTTATAATCAGGGTGATTAATGATTTAGAAAGTTCAAGTTTATCATCATTTTCGTTGTTGTTGTCGTCGTTTGATGTTGATGTTGATGATTGGTCTTCTTCCTTTTTGGGCAATTTATCATGAGTATTGAAATATTGATTGATTACAAATTCATAATTTGATATTAATTTCTTTCTTGATATTAATTCTTCCCATAATTTAATCAATTCTTTAAATGTTTTAAGATATGGTAATTTATAATAAGTTTTCGAATTCCCACCAGAATATAATTTAATCCAATTAATTAAATATTCATTACTTTGATTAAATTCTTTCAATTCTTTCAAGAAATAAACATAATTAAATCTTGTTATAGTTTCATCCAATGGAATTAATTTTGAATTTATTCGAATATAAATATCTTTAATTTTATTCATTTTTTCATCATCATCATCATCATCTTGATTCAGTTCTTTAATGAAATTAATATATTTCAACCATAATTCACAATCAAAACAATTAGGAACCAATGATCTTTCAAATAAATTACAAATTAAATTAAACTCTTCTTTTGAATGATCTGATTGTTTATAAATATTAATTTCTTGATCAATATATTTAATCCATGATTCTTTTTCATTTTTAATCTCTTGTTGTGTTTTCAAATCAAATTTAGTATATTCAAATAATGATTCAAATTGCCAATTGGAATTAACTTTCTCTTGAGTTTTATTAAATATATTTGAAAGATAATTATCAACAATTTGATATTTTTCAATCATGGATACTTTATCATAATTATCAACATATCCAAATTCTTTATAATAATTAATCAATTCATCTTTAGGAATAATCAATTCAATATTGAATTTCTTGTTCAATTCAGTGAATTGATTATAATATTGAGAATAATGATATAATGGAACTTTCAATACTCTTATATATAATTCACATAATTCAATTGAATCATCTTTTAATTTAGTTTCGAATTCAATAATTAAATTCCAAAGTTCATGAGAATTAAAATCATATTCATTTTGAATTAATGCTTGTTTATATAATCCTCTAATTAATTCAACATTATCTTTATTTGTTTCAATCATTGTTTTTAAATAATTTGTCCATAATTTAATCGAATTTGGATAATTTTCAATTGACATTCTTAAAATGTTTTGATAGGATTCATTTCCATTTATAGACAATTCTAAATTTGACCAATCTTCCCAAATGGTTTCAAGATATGGATATCTTGATAATAATTTCTCATAATTTTGATAAATTATTTCTTTTAATTCTTTAGGAGTTTTAGTAGGATCTTCATATTGATTTATTTGATATTGAAATTGTTTGAATAATTGGTTCCATTTGTCAATATTGTTTAAATCTTGGGATATGTCATTTATTAATGATAGTATTGATGATGGTATAGCAGATGATGGTGATGATGTCACACGTAAAGTATCTTCAAGATCTTGTGGTAAATGCAACACGGACATTTGCTGGTGGTGATGGTGGTGATGGTGGTGGTGTTCTTCTTGATGATGGTTGATGATAATCTCATTGCAATTCTTTTTGTTTTTTTTTTGATGCGTGAAATAAAATTTTCATTCCATTTTCAAATTTTGAATTTTATTGTTAACCAACCCTTTATCCAAATTTACAATCAAACTATTATAATGACAACTGATGAATCAATAATAACATATGTTAATCCATATAAATTACCAGAATCAAACAATTCAGAATTAATTTCCCTACTTCAAAATGGTAATACATCGAATAATCAAACAACAACATTAAATTTCAATATTCCAGTATTTAAATCGATCGATGTTTCAAATTTAATTGATTTAAACAATAATAAAATTGAATCACAAATAAATGAACAAAAAAGATCTCAAAATGTTAATATCAATAATTTGGATAGCAATCAAGATGAGAACAAGTCATCTAACGAATCCAATGTTGTTGAATTGAATAATGAAGATTTAATAATTGATGAAAAATTAAATAAATTTATTCCAATTGAAGAATTTAAATTTAAGAATTTTCATAATCAATTAAGTTCGATAATAATTAAAGGAATACCAAATGATTTAAAATTACAAGTATTAGAAAAATTACTTAATTTATTAATATCAAATCGATCATTTAAATGGAGTTTAATTAATAATCTGAATAATAAAAATAACATCACCAATGATTTAAAATTAATTTTCATTAAATTTGATCAACTTGTTGATTTGAAATGGTTTTTAGAAACTTATTCTACAACAATTAATGATATTATACCAGGTTGTAATATAATTAAAAATGATTTAATTAAAGATAATCTTGAATCATTGAAAATTGAACCTGAAGAAATTAAAGAATCATTAAAATCAACAATTAATTTAATAATTAATAATTCAAAAAATAAAGAAATTAAAAAAGTTACAGGACTAGAAGATTTAGATCAAGTTTTAGATTCTTATAGTAATTATAAAGTTGATAATAATGATTTAATTGATATCCCCAATGATATGAAAGAATCAATTGTTAAAGATATAATTAAATTTAGATCAAGAATGTTATTAATTGAAAAAGATTTAAGAAAACGTGAAATTGAACAAGAAAGAATCAACACCAAAAATAAATTAAAAAGATTATTTGAAGGTATTAAAGAATCAAATGAAACTGGTAATAACAATGGTAACGGTTCTTCTTCTTTTTCTACTACTACTACTTCCAATGATGGTAATAATAAATCAATATTTCTAATGAGTAATAGAGAAGAGTTTGAAGATATGAATGATGAAGAATATGAAAAATATCTTAAAGATCAACAAGCTTTAAAACTAGAAGAAGAATATAATCAAAGATTAAAAGAATGGGAAATTAATCAAAATAAAGAATATAAAAAATTGAATGAATTGTTAAAAAATTTGCAAAATTATGAAAATCAATTAATTGATAATAAATTAAAATTTATTGATGATTTTAAAAATTATCAAAATTTATCAATTTCAAATTTATATAATCATAAATATAATGATTATTTGAAATTTAGAAGTAAGAAAAGATCGTTAGAAGAACAACAAGATGAATTAGATAGATCTCAAGATCATCAACCACAACCACAACTAGAAGAACAGCAAAAACCAATAATTAAACAAGATCAACCGGTGGTTAAAAAACTTAAAGTTGAATCAATAATCATAAATGAATTATCAAAAGAATTGAAATCAAAATTAAATGATAAAATAATTGAATTAGTTGAAGAATATCTTGGTGTTAAAGATGAATTTTTAGTTCAAGTTATTAATGACAATTTACAAAATTCTAGTCTTTCAAAGAAAAAGGAATTAATTGAAGAATTGGTTGAAGTATTAGATGAAGATTCTGAAAATTTAGTTAATGATTTATGGAAGTATATTGAAAAATTAAGTTAATCAAATATACATATGTATATATATATATATATCACATGATTCAATCACGTGATAATTGTATGTATAATTCCATTGGGTGCGAAAATCAAAGATTCTTTTTTTACAATCAGTGAACCAATCGAGTTATTGAAAAATAAACTATAACTTATATTTAAACTAATAATGATAATGATAATAATATTATACAACAGAATAACGAAAAGTAAAAAAATAAACAGGGTTTTATTGAGGAAAATGGAATGATGATCCAATAATTATATATATATAGAAAATAAAAACATTTATGGTAATAACAACAACAACAAAAAAAAAAATCAAACGAAAAACTTTCAAACATTGTTTCCTTAATAATAGAAATCAAACTGGTAAAAAATTTTAGACCAAATTCAAGATAATGTAAATGATGTAATGATTCATTCATAAAAAGAAGAATATTAAACTCATCAATAAATTAGATCAAAGGATAATCTCAATAAAAAGCAGCTAGTTACATAGTAAACATGGGAAATAATAATAATAAAAAAAAGAACATCCAAAATATAAAAAAAAAAATATGAATTGGTATATTCGTTTGAAATTTTCATCTTTTTCTTTTTCGTTTTGTATCTTTCCTCCATTTTTTCTTTCATTCCTCTGTATTATCCGAAATTATCTTTTCCTACTAAATACAATAACAAAGTATGTCTAAGTTTTTAAAAATAAGGATAATAAACTCTCTTTATAAACATCAAAACAACATCTCTCTTTTTAAAGATCTAAAATTGAAACAAACAGACTTAAAAAAAAATCAAGCATTGACAATCAAACAAAACAAAACAAAAATAAAAAATTAAAAGTTTCTAATATAACAAAGTGAAAAATCTATTACAAGAACTAAATGTCTTTCCTTACTGGGAGTATTTTTTTTTAATTATTATTATCTTTATTTTTTTTCTCTAATGATACCATCCCAATGAGTTTGAGGCCTGGACAGGTTGTGAAATATTATTTGGCCTAAGACCATCTGGTCCAATAGCTTCAGCACCTCCTGCTGGTGGAATTCCTCCAGTAGCAGCACCAGCACCTGTCATAACACCACCATGGTTAATTCTTGAGAAAATAGCAGAAAATCCAGATGATGAATCCATCATTGAGCTACCTTCATCAGAATATCCCAAATTAGATTCTGAATCGGTTGGTGGTAATTCTAATCTGTTGTTCTTTCTAAATTTTCTAAACAACAAAATCATCAATGACATGTACAAACCACAACCAGCAGCAGCACCAATAGTAATACCAGCAATTCTACCTTTATTGGAAACTTCTTTGTTAACAACATCATCAATAGAACCATTTGGATTGTTGGATCCTCCACTATTAGAAGAAGATGAACTGGAACCTGAAACTTGTTGATCAGTTGAAGTCAAACCAGTCAATGGGATTCTACTATCAATCAAAGCTGCTAATGATCTTGAAGTACTATCTGGGTTTCTGTAAATAGAAGATCCAGGTGTAGTAATCAAACTACTCAAGGCCTTGACACTCTCCTTAGGGAAAAAGACTTCGGCAACAGTAATGGTATAATCAATGTTTGAAGCAGAATAAGGAATTAATCTACTAACTGAAACATCTTCAAAATCTTTATCCCCATTGAATGGATATTTCAAAACACCTGGCAAGTATTGGAAAATTTGTGCTGATGAAATGGAATGTTCCACAACAAATGGATAATTCAATGCAGCCTTGAAACCAATAGTAATAACTTGGTAATCAGCACCTGGAGTAGTGGTAGTTTCTGGAGTAATGGCTCTTGGTAAACCTGAAGTAGATGCAGGGGTAGCAGATGCTTGAACAATAGAAGCAGAACTTTCACTTGGATCACTGGATGGTGTTTCAGCAATAATCAATGAAGATGGTAACCAGTTTCTAGTACCACTAGTGGTCTCTGCAGATGGTGTTGGAGCAACAACAGTAGGTTCAGATGTAATTTCAGTACCAGTTGGAGCAGAAGTAACGACTGTATCAGCAGGAGTATTAGGAGATGGTTCAAAAGCAGTAGTAGCTTCAGTTGGTTGAGTAGTGTCAGTGACTTCAGTAGCTTCGGTTGGTTGAGTAGCTTCAGTAGTAGCAGCAGTAGTGGCTTGTGATTCAGTAGCTCCAGTAGTTGCTCTGGTACCACTTTCTGTAGCTTGAGCTTCTGATCCAGTAGTGGCTGTAGTTCTAGCATCACTGTTGAGATCTGTTTCAGTAGCAGATTCGGTACGAGTGGCACCAGTAGATACATTTGTAGCTGTACCAGTGGTCTCACCTTGAGTTTCTGAACCAGTAGCGGTGGCAGTACCAGTGGTACCTGTACTTTCATCTTGTGAAGCAGTGCCGGTAGTAGCTGTGCCTTCAGATTCAGTACCTGTAGTAGCAGAAGCTTGTGATTGAGTACCAGTAGTAGCAGTACCTTCTGATTGAGTGCCAGTAGCTGAAGAACCTGTAGTAGCAGTACCTTCTGATTCAGTACCGGTGACAGAAGAACCAGTAGTAACAGTACCTTCTGATTCAGTACCGGTGACAGAAGAACCTGTAGTAGCAGTACCTTCTGATTGGGTACCTGTAACAGATGAACCAGTAGTGCCTGTGGTTTCGTCTTGTGAAATAGTACCAGTGGCAATAGTAGCCTCAGAATCAGTTCCTGTAACAGATGAACCAGTAGTAGCAGTAACCTCAGATTGGGTACCAGTGACAGAGGAGCCAGTAGTGACAGCAGCTTCGGATTCAGTTCCTGTAGCAGTAGTATCAGTAACTCCAGATTCAGTATTACTGAAAGTACCAGTTGGGGAGGAAGTGGCAGCTTCAGATTCCGTTAATTGAGTTTCAACTGCACTTTCAGTACCAGTGGTAGATCCAGTAGCAGCTGTCTCAGATTCAGTTTCAGTGGTGGAACCAGTATTAACAGTTTCAGAGCCTGTTCCAGTTGAAAGTTGAGAACCGGTGCTTGTAGCAGCGGTTTCATCAGATCCAGTAAGCAATGTTCCACTTGGAGTAACTGTTTCATCAGATCCAGTAGAGAAAGTGCCGGTTTGAGTAGCTGTTTCAGAATCAGATGTAGTAAGTGCTGAATCAGATGCAGTCGCAACAGTTGGGATTGCAGAGTTGGTTCCAGACACAGAAGTACCAGTTTGAATAGAGGTGTCTGTACCAGTAGCCAATGGTGATTCGGTACCTGAAGTGACAGCTGTATCGGTGTCAAGAGTACCAGTTGATAAATCTTCACCAGAAATATTGGTTTCCTCTGATGGAGTAGCAATAGTAGTAGTACCGCTATCAGTGGCAACTGTTGGTTGTGAAAAATCAGATACATCGCCAGTAGAAACGGTGGTTTCGGTGTTGATTGTTGGCACAGGGTTGGTGGTTCCTGACAAATCATTAGTAGAAGCATCTGTTGGGAAGGTTGAAACATCAGTCGGTTCAATAGTGGTATTACTTCCGGTTTCTAAAGAAACGGTATCATCAGAACCAGCTGTAGTAGCAACAGTGTCCAAACCAGAACCAGTGGTATCTTGTAAACCTGTGGAAAGTGATGAACTAGTACCAGTTTCAAAACTAGATGTGGCAGGAGATGGAGTGGATTCCAAACCAGAATTAGTTGGGAAGGTAGAAGCAAAAGCACCTGTTGATTGAGTATCGACAGTAGATGCATCAACAAAAGTGTCAGATGGGGTTAAACCATCAGTAGCTGAAGTACCTTCGGTAGCTGAAGAACCTTCAAGTGACAAGGTACTTTCGCCAGCACTGGCACTGGTATCCAATTCGGATTCAGTAGGGGAAACCAATGAAAGAGAAGAACTGCTAGTATCAACACTAGAAGCAACATCAGTTGGGAAGGTTGAAGCACCAGTTGGTGAACTTGTTGTAGCATCGGATTCTAATGCACTATCGGTAGGAGTAACAACAGTAGCAGATGAATCAGTTGGAGAATTCTCAGATGGCAAAGCATCATTTTGAACTGAAGTGCCAGCATTGGTAGCATCACTAGAAGTACCCTCTGGAGTCAAAACCGTTTCACTTGGAGAACTAGTCTGTTCTTCCACATTAGAAATATCATCTGGAGTGGTGGTTGTATCAGTTGGGAAGGTTGATAAGAAAGTTGGTGAACTGGATGAAGTTAATTCACTAGTACTTGGTTCAACCAATAATGGTGAAGATGATGTTTCGGCACCAACACTTGAAACAAAATTAGAATCAGGTGAACTAGTGTTGTTTTCAGAAACAGTTTCGGCATCTTGAGAGGTGGTGGTATCAAGTTCTGAAGTAACTGGTGTAACTGTGTCAGTAGTATCAGAAGTAGCTGGTGTTGGACTACTGGTATCAACCGGAGTTTGACTAGTGACACCAGAAGTAACTGGGGTTTGACTAGTGACATCAGAAGTAGCTGGTGTTGGACTAGTGACATCAGAAGTAGCTGGTGTTGGACTACTGGTATCAACCGGAGTTTGACTAGTGACATCTTGAACACTTGGAGTTTCCAAAGTAGGAGAAGTTTCAGTAGCAGTATCTCTAGTAGATGTAGTTTCACTAGTTACATCAGGCAATGTAGTTCCCGAAGTAACTGTTGTCTTTTCAGTAACACTAGTAGATGAAGTAGAAAAGGTGGAAGAAGTATGTGTAGTGGTTGGTTGAGGTTCTTCTGCTGATACTGTAGTGTCTTCAAGCTGGGTATCAGATGGACGAACTGCAGTTTCACTTGAAGTAGCTGGTGTGGTAGCTGGTGAAGGAGTAGTTTCGTCTTCAGGTTGTTGAACACTTGAAGTAGCTGGTGTAGTCGCTGGTGAAGGAGTAGTTTCCTGCTCTGGTTGAACACTTGAAGTAGCTGGTGTAGTCGCTGGTGAAGGAGTAGTTTCCTGCTCTGGTTGAACACTTGAAGTAGCTGGTGTAGTCGCTGGTGAAGAAGTAGTTTCCTGCTCTGGTTGAACACTTGAAGTAGCTGGTGTAGTAACTGGTGCTGAAGCAGTCTCTTTTTCTTGCTCTTGCAATTCTTGCTCTGGCTGAACACTTGAAATGGCAGCAGTGGTTGCTGGAGATGGAGTGGTCTCTTGTTCTGGTTGTTGAATACTTGAAACAACTGGAGTAGCTGTAGGAGAACTATTAGTTTCTTGTTCTTGTTGATGAATACTTGAAGCTGCTTCTTGTAGTTGCTGAGTACTAGAAGTTGCTTGTTGTGGTTGTTGAACACTCGAAGTAGCTGGTTCTTGGTTAGCACTAGTTGCTGGTTGCTGAGCACTACTTTGTTGTTGTTGGATACTTGAGGTGGTTTCCTGTTGTGGTTGTTGAGCACTTGAGGTAGCTTGTTGTTGAGCACTAGAAGTAGCTTGTTGTGGTTGAGCACTAGAAGTAGCTTGTTGTGGTTGTTGAACACTTGAGGTAGCTTGTTGTTGAGCACTAGAAGTTCCAGCAATTTGAGTATTGGCTTCATTATTTGAACTTGCAATAGTAGTAGCTTCAGCCGCGACGGATGTTCTAGTGTTAGATTCTTGTGGAGCAGCAGAAGTGGTTGGTCTTATACTAGTTTTAATGATACCTCTACCAGTTGATTCATCAGCAGTAGTATCAGCATTTTGAGTATTGGTGTCAACATTAGTTTGAGCTACAGCCGTACTATCATTAATTGTAGCCTCGGTTGCAACATCAGTTACACCAAAAATACTTCCAATAAAATCACCTATTGGATTAGCTCTTTTAGCTTCTTGATGAACCACGACTTTTTCATTATTAAAACGAGGAAGATTTAAAGCTTCAACGTAGGATAAGATTGCAAGTGCAGTGATTAAATTCAATTTGATGTTTGCAAACATTTTCTCTCTTTTGTTTTCTTTTTTTTTCTGTTGGCAACTATCGATTTAATTTAAGTAGTAATAATAAAGAATGAATTGTAGTTGGTGATAGTTATTAATACAAGTTTGATGATTTCACGGTAGTTGTAAAATGATGGTGGTACTTGTAACTGAAAAAACAAAAAATGGGAGTTATGGGAAGTGGTGGGGGTATCCTAACTTTGTTGATAAAAAAAAGAACTAGTTAATGGAAAAGTTATTACTAGTTAGTGATAAAAAAAAATAAACGAATGAATTTGATTGATATAGTTGGTAGTAGGTATAAATGAAATGAAAAGAAAAACAACCCTTTAGAAGGAAACTAAGACTAAGACAGGTAAAGTCAAATGATGTATAAAAAAAAGATGATAATTTGATTCTCTTTTTTCTTTACTTTACAAATGATATTAGTTGTTATTGATGGTGATGGTGGTGGTAATAGTGGTAGTAGTAGTAGTAGATAGAATATTTCTTTCTTCTTCTTCTGTAGTAGTTGTTGTGGTGGTGTTGGTTGTTGAACTAGGAGGGTGGTGTTGGTGATTGTAAGAAAGTAAAAATAGACCAAAAGAGAAAATAAAAAAAAATTTTAAAAAAGTTGAGCCAAAAAATAAAAAAAAAAGTAAAAATGGGAACAAATCGTGCGGTAGATATAAGACAAGACGATGAAGTAAAGAACAAAGTGCAAAGAAGTGGGTTTTCACATTCCAAACCAAACAAAGAAATGAATAAACCCAAAATGATTAACAACCACAAAAAAGTTGTATTGCTTAATTCACTAATTCACTAATTCATTCATCATTAGAGTGGATGGTTTTATTTTTAACAATAACAACAAACAGACATTTTTCTTTTTGTATTTCTTCATCAGGCATAACCCTTTCTACATTTAAACTCCTCTTCCTCCTCCTCCTCCTCCTCCACCTTCACCTTCACCTCCCCTTTCCTGTTTTCTATTTCCTTTCTACAGCATGTGGGAGTATATGTTTTTGGTAAATATCGTTTGATCTACATAATCATTGTCTTTCTCCACCTCTCTATCTCTTTGTGCATGTCTTGCTGTTTAAAGTAAGTATCAAAGTGTGTTTTCTGAATTATCAACTGGGAAAAGCTTGTTGATTTTAAGCTTAAGATGACGATTTGCTTTGTTTTATTATTATTATTATTATTATTGTCAGTATCATCAACAATAATAGGCATGCATGTAAACTGTAAAGAATGTTAAATAAAAATAGAGCAAGACGCGACCTTTTTTTTTGCACACAGGTGGCATTGCATTCCATCATGAAACATTCCCTTATTTCTGTTTTGTCTAAATAACAAATAGCAAATAACAAAAGGAGGAACACACACAGAGAGAGAGCACAAGTCTTGTGTAATAAATGTATGTATGTAAAATGATCAACGCCAAACATTTTTCATTTTTCATTTTTCATTTTTATCATTCCAAAGGATTAAACAAGATCTACAATGTGGTTGTTATGTAACTAGCCAATGAAATTAATACATAATCACCAATGTGAATGAGTTTACCATCCATAGTATAAATATACTTTGAAAGGATCATAAATGAAAATAACCTTCATAATTATTTGATTTTTATTTGGATGGTTTCTTTGAAATTGAAAGGGGTTAGAATCAATGGTTTAGAGTTTTTATTTTTTTTTATTTCTTTGTCTAATTATCATTAACAATAATAGTCCTTTTCCTTCACCATCACTATTACCGATCAATAGAAAAAGGGGTGATGACACCATTTTAATGTAAGGTGTTAAAAGGAGTAGCAGTAGTAATAATAGTACATAGTGGGTACCTGTGCCATTATTATAACTATTCTTCCTGTTGTGTCTACTGTACTATACTGTACTATAAATTCTTCTTTTATTTTATTTTAGTTTGTGCTGTTCGTTACTGACTAAGGAAACAAAAAATACAATACAAAACTATCTCTCTCTCTCTCTGGCTCTGGCTCTGGCTCTGGCTCTGGCTCTGACTCTTTGGAATAGAATATTTGTCAACTGCAAATGGTGTCGATAGTTGTGAATATTGAAGATAACTTACATATAATACTCGTACGCCACATCTTCCTGCCATACCATACGATCTACTCGTGGTTTTCCTACGTTTCTTTCCTTCTTGACGACAAAAATCTATACCTTTCGTGGTGACAGTAGTCGTCGTTGTTCGTTACACAATCTTTCTCTTAGTTTTGTTACCAAAGGGCTGTGTGCATATGTGTCCATTGAAGGAAAGAGGTACGCGCTGAGAAAAAAAAAATATTGCCCCTACTGTCTGACCGACTGACCAATTGGCCAACCAACCAACCAACCAACCGACACGCACACAAATGTGCATTTACTAAATATGCAGTATATTGTGTACTACTTTTACTCCATAAAACACTCTATTGTACATCGGTTTATGCTGTATGTACTCTCTCCGTCTCTTACACTTCCTGGTGATTAATTCTAGACTTGCCTAATTCTCTGTAATTAAACCTCTTTTTGGTGTTGAACTAGGGTGTTATTCAATATCATTCCCATCTTTGTAAGCTCAATAACATTCTACATTTTAAATTTTAAATTTGGATTTCCTAATTAGTATTTGTTTTGTTATTGGATCTCATCACCTTCGTCTACACTCATATTAACATTTATTACAACTACAAAACTCACAATTTTTTCTTATTTTACTGTCTTTTCGCAATAATATAATCAATTATAAAGGAGATTCAATCGATGATCCCTGTTATTAATCCCCAGTCCTTGTTCTTCTTTCTTTTTTTCATGTAAATTCATGGAACCGCCCATTTATTGATTTTAGTAAAGATTTCTCTGACAAAAAAAAGAAAGAAATTGAAAGGGAAGATCAATTTTCCCTAATAACAATTATGTTTTTTTTAAAGGGCTCCTTATTGCATTCAGTACATTGAATAAAATAGATCATCATCATCATCCAAATCAACATCATTATTCCTCCTCCTCGTCAGTAATTAACCAAAAGAATATTAGTGTGCGTGTACGAAATCGTGATTTTTTTATTGTCGTGCACATGCGTACAAAGGTGTGTGTGCATGTAGAATATCTTAAAACTAAAACCTGAAACATTTTTAGTCTGCGTTTTGATTCTTTCTTACAAGTATAGATGAAATTTTCATGTCTTTTATAATATTTAATGAATTCTTCCCATTGGTCGAATCTAAATTCACGTCATTGCTCTATTCGTATTACAATTGATGATTTGTCTCGTAGTATTACATTCATCGATAATAACGAATCTACTGTCTGACAATATTATTTTGTTTTTGTTTCGTTTTCAATTTATGTTTTCTCTTCAATGTATCACTACCAATTGCATGCATAAATACAATAAGTTATATTGCATCTAGACTCATTTTGTCATTACACAAAGTGAATAAGCAAAAAATGTTTAGTGAAAAGCCCGATTCCAGACCAAACTTAACCTCCTCGGCACACTCTCGACAAATAAACCTGGATCATTGCGAGGAAGTCAGTGGTTTAAATTCAACTATTGGTCCAATTAATATTCAATCATAAATCAATACGAAATAGAATTTCAAAAAGGTGTAATAAGTTTCATTAACAAATAAACACACAGCCTTTATAATTGTCAATAAAGTCATGGGTTTTCTTTTTATAGAAACAACTTGATTTACGCCCAATCTCAGGTTAAAATTCGTGTTTTTGTTGTTGTTGTTTATATTCTGTAAGTTTCAACCTGTATTTTATGTGTAATTCTCTTGCAGTACATTCTATTCTACTACTTTCATCATTTTCCCAATAACTGTTAGACACTATGAATTAAAAGTGTATAACCATTACGTTTACACATAGTGATCCATTACTTAGCACATAGTTCATACATATAATGTGATGAGATTGTTAATTTACTTACGATAATTGTATGACTTGATTAAATTTAACAAATCATCAGTTGTGACACTCGAACGGGTTTGATATTTTAACGTTTAAGATATCATTAATTCTTCAAATACGGCTGGATAATTCAATTTTACAATTACGACGGTATTGTTTGATCGTGTAATAGTAATCATCTTTAATGAAGTCTAGAATTCCTCTCTGCCTACTCTTTCCTTACCCATTATTACATCTCCTTTCAATTGTATGTACAACAACCCTTTCCTTTTCTTTTTACTTACATATGTCAATCGTTATAGAAGTATTTCTATAGTTTCTTTTTTTTCGTTTGTTTTGTTTTGTTGGACGCCAATCATTTAAAATTTCTTACTTTAAAGATTTGCAGTCATTTTTTTTTCTGCTGTCGTTGATGCTGCATGCAACAGAAAACGAAATTGATCAACAGACATTAATTTTCATTATTCTTATTCTTATTCTTATTCTTATTCTTAAATGTGTCATGTTATGTCTTCTTTTAGAATTGACAAATTGAAAACTGAAATTTTCACATAATTTTAGACAATAGGGAGATGAACCCTATGATATGAACTCATTGAAATATGTCAAAAGAATTTTAATACATGAAATGAATTGAAAAAAAATAGAGGACCATCACTATTTTTATTAGACGAAGGAATTTAATGATGATGAATTAAACAATAGACTTGATAATAAACAAAAAAATTACGATAATTAATGTAGGAAAAAAATTTTTATAACCTAATATGGATATAAAAACATCATGTATTAGTGATAATTGTTATTAGGATAATAAAGATAATTTATATACATAATTTCGTCTAATTTTCTTCATTCTCTACCAAATAAAAAAATATGATAAATTAATTTGAACCCTTTGTTTTATTTTAATTTAATTTGTGACTAATTACAATTTGGGAATGTTGAATGTAATTAATCCATGGATATCAATAAGAATTGATAAATGATTAGAATTATGATTTAATTTGTGATAAAATGATTGTGTTTTTCAATATGTATATATACAATACACGATTTCAATATCTATACAAACTGTAAAATGGACTTACTTGTAACTCTCGTGAATTAAACTTTCCCATATCCATAAAGTTAATATCCTCTATCTCAAGTAAGATGATAATTTCTAAAAAATAAAGACATGGAAAATCGAATTCTATACATGCTGAAAGCTTCCAACAAAAAGTATATATATATATCCATACCTCTTGAATAATAATCATAGTCTAAGAATTATTCTGGAAACTTTTTTCATTATTAATAGGATTCGCTACCACATGTTGTTACATTTATCTAACAAAATCTACAACATTATACTCAAGCATTCTCCTATTTATTTTTTTTTTTTTTTCAATCTATTCATCAACCTCGTCACTATTATATTCATCTTTCAATTTATTTAATTCTTTAATCAGTTGATTCATACTAGTAAACCAATATTTAAATAAATAAGGACATGACATATTAATCCAAGGCATAATACATAATAATTCAAAATCTTCATTTCTAATAAACCAACCAATATAATTTAACCATAAACATAAAAATCCATTGATTTCAATAATTAAAATATTTAAAGAATTTTTTGATACAAAATTTATAATTATTAAATTATAAATTATTGATATTAAAAATATAGTATATGGTATATCTATCATTCCAATAAATAATTGTAATAAAATCATGAAAAAAATTTGAATAATATAAAAAATATTCAAATATTTAATATGTTGATCAATATATTTTTCATCATCATTTGATTTATCTGAATCTTTATTATTACTATTATTATCAATTGATCGTTTATCTTCTTCTTCTTCTTGGACTAATACTTCATTTATTTCACCGATTTCTAATTTGTTAGTAGATTGTGATGAAGTATCACTTTTACGTAGTTTTAAACCCATGGAAACTCCGGTTATTTCCAATTCAAATAGAAAAAAGAAGGAGAAGAAGAACAATTCTAAAATTAACTTCTGAAAATATTAGTTTTTCAAGAACAAAGTGAGAATAAGCAAAAAAAAGATAATGACACCGACGAGATTCGAACTCGCGCATCTTACGATAGTAGAAACCTCTGAAGTAATTCAGAAGAAGAAATCATGTTCTTGAGTCTACCGCCTTAGACCAACTCGGCCACAGTGTCTTATTGGATGTTGGTTGAAGGGGGATGGTTTGTGCCACTGATAATGTAGGTAAACTAAATCATCAGAGATGAGTGTAATTATGAGGCTGGTTATTGTATTGTATGGTTCATTGTGTGTTTGCATACCGATTAAGATTGATCAATGAACTGCTAGAGTGGATACAGAGTATAAGAATGCATTGTTTGTGTTGTGACTTTTGATCAAAATTCTGCTTGAAATCAACAACAAAAAGTGTAATTATGATTGTGATGAGAACAATATGGAACATGTTACGTAATAACAATAGAGTATGTTTCAGAATCTACAATTTATCGATAATAAAGACATTAAAAGATGTATACATTTGAAGGTAATAATATATAGTCATAAGACATTGCTAGAATATTCAATAAACGTGAGTAAATTATCGAAATCCTTGGTTCGTCATACGAAAAAAGAATGGCGAATCCCGAATGTTAATAGATTTTAGGAAACTAAATTCCAACACAAATAAAGAAAATAGAAAAAGAACTTTGAGAAGAAAAAAAATTGGGCAAAGAAAGAATTTCCTCATCTATTTATACTCTTTGATTTTCTTCTACCTCCCCTCCCCTTTTCCCATCTTATTATTAATGACCTGCATATAAAACATGGATAATTGAACGATAAAGGTAATCAAACAATATTACAATATTTAAAGTGATGAAACAATACAAATGTACAATGGAGGTAAATGATATTAATAGAAGTCTCTCTGCCAATGTATAATCACTATTATTTATACACCAATGATATTTGTAATTATTAGTATTATTATTATTATTATTATTTTGACATTGTTTACTAATGAAAGACATATTGAAGAACTTGATAATATCAACTCTTGATTGTAATTAACACAAATATATATAATGCTGATTTCTAATAACTGGAATCTTCCTGGTTCTTAGTAAGATACATAATTAAGACTAAACTGTAGATAACCAATTGAAGGATCTTTAGATGCATAATGTCAATTCTTCCCATTTATTGATTTATTGTGATAAAGGTGTACCAGAAAACTGAACTGTTGTCCAAAACGTTGTTACTTGTTTCTCTAGTTAGATCACTAGTGATTATTTAACATCATAATTACTGGTTGGTTTATATTTTACTTTTTTTTTTTCAATATTCAGAATAGTCTGTCTCTTCAACGATATGTTGAGAATCAGGAGTACCAGAATCAAATAGACACCCTAATTGTCAACTGCCATGGTTTACTAATTATATAATGTCAGTAACTAGACAATAACAACTGGTGGCATAACATATTCAAACAGCAAATATGCCTCATATATTCGATTTAAATTAAACTAAATGCTAATGTAACTAATATTGCAAGTCCTAATATTCTATTATGAGAAGCATCACAGGAAAAACTTTTAGTACTATTAGTTGTATTATACAATGGATGTTTCGACCAAGTTTTGACTGATTCAAAATAATCCACATTATCTGAATTATTTTCAGCTATTGCAATAGATATACAATCAGTGGAATTAGTAATATTAGGTTTTGAAATACAATAAACATCACCTATTTCAATTGGATTATCTAAATAGCAATCAATATTAATTCTATTTAATTTATTCCATTGTTTAAATTGTCTCATTGATATATTTACCAAGTTGCAAAATTCTAAACATGTTAAATTTGATTGAGTTATAGTATATGAATTACAAAAATATTGTGGATATTCAAACATACAATTTGGTGTATAATAACAATCTTCATAATTTTTAGGTTGTGATATACAAATTTCATCACCTTCTGTGAATAGTTTACATAATTCATTAATCAGAAATGGTGAATTTGAAATAGATCCATCAATGAATTTAAAAGTTAATAATTGTTCTATAGTAATGTTGTATTTGGAAGATACGGATTTACATGTATCATTTGATTCCCAAATATATGTATCACAGAAATTAGATAATGGATCACCATTACAATTTCGACATGATTTAACTAACTGGATTAAAAAGGATAGTAGTAAGATGAGTTGAATCATTTGCGTTATCTACTATAAACAAGAATCCAAAAAAGAAAACAAAAAACACTGTTGATTGTCATAATTGGCATATTTTATACTTGAAAGGAACATAATCTCAAAATATGTTCATGAATGCCAAGATTAGTTTAACTTCCATTCAATGATCATTCACAATCGAATTTAATATGCCTCCAGTTTATTGTTCTATGATACATTGATAGTATTTCCATTTTTAACAATGGAGGAGATTATGTAACAGATATTAAATGGCAGCAACAATAAAAAGTTAGTTTTTCGTAGTTGCAAAATTTCTTATTATTATTACAATTTTACATGTTATCTACTCAAAACAATACCTGGATTGGAATAAATTATACACTAGTATTAGATATCAGTTGAATCAGGTTGAAATAATGTACAAATATTTATAATATTGATTCCCATCACTGGATCAATAATACCATGAATATCCAGAGACCTTCTAATAATAAGACAAATATTTTACAAAGAATAAATATTTGATTTCCACAATAGAAATGTACCAATTTGCAGTGTATTGTTGTTGAATATTTTCATCATGGGCGTAGAGTAAGGATGTTTTATATGCAGGCGGATGATTAGTAATAGAGAACAGGATGAATGAGAAGAAAAAAAAAGTATAAATAGAAGACAAGGTTCACCAAATTTTTTTTCAAAAATTTTCTTTTATTTCTCTTTGCGAACTGTTTTTGGATGCCGGGAAGTTTAATAGCCGGTAGTCGATGCAGATGCGTTATGTGCCATCTTTTTTTTGAATAAAGAGCCATGGGTTCCGATAATTTACTCACGTTTATTGAATATTCTAGCAATGTCTTATGACTATATATTATTACCTTCAAATGTATACATCTTTTAATATCTTTATTGTCAATTAATTGTAGATTCTGAAGCATACTCTATTGTTATTACGTAACATGTTCCATATTGTCCTCATCACAGTTGTAATTATACTTTTTGTTGTTGATTTCAAGCAGAATTTTGATCAAAAGTCACAACACAAACAATGCATTCTTATACTCTGTATCCACTCTAGCAGTTCATTGATCAATCTTAATCGGTATGCAAACACACAATGAACCATACAATACAATAACCAGCCTCATAATTACACTCATTTCTGATGATTTAGTCTGTCTTCATTATCTGTGGCACAAACCAGCCCCCTTCAACCAACATCCAATAAGACACTGTGGCCGAGTTGGTCTAAGGCGGTAGACTCAAGAACATGATTTCTTCTTCTGAATTACTTCAGAGGTTTCTACTATCGTAAGATGCGCGAGTTCGAATCTCGTCGGTGTCATTATCTTTTTTTTGCACCCAATTATATTATTGGTACAAACTTTTTTATTGACATCGGAGTTTTCTCTCCCTTTTGATTTCGAGGTAGTATATTCAATGATATAACAATGGAAATAATTCATACATTGATTGCTATGAATTGATTCATTCTATTGTTGTTATTATATTTGTAATCAAGATTAGTTTACTTATGATCATCATTCTTGAGAATCATCTTGAATACTTTTCATAATCCAAATTTTTCTCTCTTTTTTTTTTGACTCATTCATTTTGATGAATAATTAGGATGAGTCAAAAAAAAAAAATGAAAGATAAATTAATAATATTAATTTCAAGATATACACGTAAGGCTCAAATTACAAAAACAGAGATAAGGATCAAGAGATATACGAAATGAAGGATTTTTTTTTTTTTTTGAATATTTGAAAAGGTTGATAAATTTATCCTGCTTAGAAAGGTTAGATAAGTTCATTAATAAGAGTCAATACACATAGAAATTAATACACTACAAATCTATTTGAATCTGTGTTCAATATGATGAATTATTCTTACTCTGATTGTTTTTGTTTTGTTTTCATTACCACCCCTCCACTTTCTTAAATTTTCGAATCACAAATTGAAAAAAAAAATAATGAAGAATCAGTGATGAAAAATCGAGATTTTAGCAAGCAAGCAAAGCAATGAAGGTGTTGTATTTTTTGGTTCGAATTTTTAGTTCATGACGTAACGAAGCAAGGCGGTATTTCATACAATTTTAAAAAGTTGTAAGTAAAAAAAAAGACAAAGATTACAAACGTATGGATAGTATTCAAACTGAGAGAGAGAGAGTAAACTAAAATTTAAACATGTATAATCTTTACTATATTTCTTTTGTTTAAATATTAAATGTCGGTGGTTATTTCAAGGTAGTTAATTTCCTATAACGGAGTTGGATATTTAAAATTGCAAAAGTGGAGTTAACCTGATAATCATTTATTCATGCGTACAATAAAGCAATCAAAATGTACAGATATTTTTATTATTTCAATTCTCGAGTTTGATTCGTGGGGGGAAAAGAGTAACACATAGGATAAAGTTCCTACATTACCGATTTTGTGAATATCTCTTTCTTAACAAGAATCAAAAAAGTGGGTGTATAAAGAAAGAAAACATCCCACTCATCTTGTTCCTCTCATTGTGATTGAAATTAAATCACCCCACATGTGGAGTTGAATAAAATGGATCTTCTTTGTTCAACTTCGAGTAAAAAAATTTCTCTCTCTCTCTCTCTCTTTGTAAAAACTTTGTTTTAAATGATGACAGAAGAAAGAAATTGCTTTGAATAATGAATTGCGCAAAACATACTCTACACCACACCACACCACTTTTTTTTTATTTCCCCCATATTATTTATTGTTGGAGGTATTGAATGGGAATAGAGGAGGTTTATTACAGGGTAAGGGACACAGATATCCAATGCCCCAATGTAAGATGCATCTATCTTGAAGAAGTAATCAACTTAAATTTAAAGATGCAAGTTGATACATTCCTAACGTAACATGGTTAATCTTGAGTCTATTACATTATTATTATTATTTTTTTAAATGTATGAATGTATAAACCAAAGCAATCCAGGGTTTACCATTTCATTTGAAAAATTAGTTTACATTATACGACAGTGGGTGATGGATGGACGGGATAATAGACTACTATTACTCCACTTTCTTTTCAAAAATCCAGTTTAACAGTCGTGTGAGAGGTTTTCTATACTTTATAAAAATTTCACTTCCATCAAAAGTAAGAAAAAAATAAAAAAACAAACAAAACGTACAATAATTAATGTAATGTTAAAAAGTATAATGAAGAGGAGAAAGTGAAAATCTTAATTGTTAAAATTGTTTCTCCACCTTCTACTATTACTACACTGCTACTGTTACTGTCACAATCATAAATTTTTTTTGGGGATTATTTCTTTTTCTTTATTTACGTTAAATATTGTTGAGCTTGATTTATATACTATTCTGCCGCTCTTGCTGTCATTCATAGGCTGTATTTCAATGATTGGATGAAATTACTATTGGAATTCCGATAGTTCTTCCTTTTTTTTTCTATTTTTCTTAGCTTTATTGTTTTTTTTTTGGTGTGATTGTGATTGTGGTTAGGTTATATTGGGAGATTAATTAGATAAAAAAAACTGGAGCAATGCACTTTGACTTCGGTGATACTCAAACCTAAAACAAAAAAAAGAAATTTACGTAATCTTTTGGGTTAATACACCATGCGGCTTTTTAAACAATTACCACATTAGGGAAATACAGTATTTTAGGAAAAAAAAAAAAAGACCTTTGTTAAAATCAGGACACCTATTTTTAATTTTAACAATGAAATCCCGATTACGTAAAAATGTGTGACACCAAAATCTAACTAAAAAATGAAAATTTTTCTTTCTTAATTCACTCTGTGTAACACCTTCTATTTCATTCTATTTTATTCTATTTCATTCTATTTGCGCTTTTCAACTCAAGTTTCAGTTCTCCCGTTTATACAGATGTACACATTTCTATTATTGATGAGTAAAGGGGAGTGTTGATCCAAAAGGGTTGTAGGCGATGATGGTTAGGATGAGATGGTTTGTCCCAGTTTCATCATTATATCTAGAACATTCTTTTTCGATACTCATGTATTACGTACAGCACATCTTTTCTTTATATTCCTCTACATCATCATCATCTTTTTCCCCCCATCAGCCTTGACTATTTCAGTAACTTGTGTACAATACTGGAACTGAAAATCTCAGATCATCGAGTCTAGAATTGCGAAGTCCACAGTTTTTTTTTTTTTTGTATTGCTTACATAAAGTCGGTTAGATGCATTTACATTGAATGCAAACTCAATTCACAGGGGGTTGGAACGGAGAGGAGGGATATAGAGGCTTGATATACTACGGAAAGACAGATACAATTGATTTAACCGGTGGTGGTAGTTATGTGAATCATCAAATTCCATATGAAATGTAATTTTTTATGTTTTTAAATAAGCTCTACTAAATAATTTTATTTTCTTTCTGCTGCAGAGAGAGAGAGAGAGAGGAAGAGGAACGTGGTGACAGAAAATAATCCGAAATCGCAACACTAATATTTCTCACTCACTCACTCACTCACTTGTCATTAGCTATGAAAATTTTAGTTTCCCATATTTCGCAATTTCAGTTTATATAAGAAACCGTTGTGAATTAGATGCAAAATACTTGGATATACAAGGCCAAGAAATGATGATATCAATATGTAACAATTAATTATGAACAGATAAATATCTGACTCTCTGTACGAGCAGTATGTATTGACCCGATTTCCATTTCTTAAAATACCCATGAACGATAGAAAATGTAAGTGGCGGTAGTCGTAGTCATAGTGTTAGTGTTAGTAGTGTAACGGTTACTAAGGGATGATGATCGTTTATAAGAATAGTGTTCTATAGTAGAATGTTGTACAATAACTTATCCCCTTACGGCATTACTGGTTATAGAATGGAAAATCCTCGGAGTTGATGGATACTGTCATAATTCAGCTTAAAAAAAAAGAGGGAGTAGTCGGAATTATTTTCGTAAGATATTTTTTAGTGTAAGAGAATGTTTATTTCATAGAGAATTATGTAAGAGCCATGAGTTAATATCGACGTCGTTTTTTCTATATTTTACTCATTGCTAAAGATAGAATTAATGTGTAAAAGAAAGTTTTGTGTGTTTGTTTTAATCTGTTTCCTCTCCCTCGGAGGTATAAAAATAAATTTTGATACACTTGAAACTATGCTTGCTATATGTAACCGGCGCGGTAAGACTGGGACGAGCGTATGACAGCTGCCTGTACGAAAAACATATAAGAAAAGAACTGTGGTAATAATGGAATAGTTAAACTGTGGTGGTGGTGGTGGTGGTAAGTATGAGTAGTAAAACGTGGTGATGATGTTTAGCCGTTAATGGTTCGTGGTGGTGGGGGGATGGGGGGGGGGGAAGGGAGAAGAGTCCAATTGGTTATTATTATAATTTATTTATTCGTTACACGTGTTTTTAGGTTTTTCCCACAGTAAAAATTTTTTTCTCTTTTTCTTTTCTTTTCTTTCTTTATTTAATTTTTGTGTCAAAACATGAGTGATTCCTGGTAAGAAAGGTATGCATGTAAAACGTGTGTGAGTGAGTGAGTAATCCTGCTAACCAGGAGGAGGCGAGAGGCGAGAAAAGTTGTATGGGAATTACTCATAAAATTTTTTATTTCTACAACCCCCTCACTACCAATACACTTTCCGAGAATATAAAGAGACCTTGAATTTTCTTCTTTTCTTCTTTTCAACTTTTTTTTTTTGATTTTTATATTTTTCATATTATCTTTAATTTACTAATACCAAATCACCAAGAAGAAGTCAATAGTAATTAACTTTACTGTTATTCATAGCATTCTTTAATTATCATATATATTGCATTTTAGTATCTACTACTACTACTACTACTACTACTACATATAAACATTAGCATCAATGTCAGATTTTGCCTTTAACAACTATTGTATACATTGTGACAAAATTTGTTCAACCAGTTCGATATACTGTTCTGATGAATGTAAATCAATGGAATACAACCAAAACAACATGATTAACTCATCCACTTCTACTACTCAAACTACTACCACCACTAATACTACTACTTCACAATCAACCACCAATAACTCAAATCTACAACAAAGTCAAGTTTCCCCATTATTGACTCCAATGTTGTACATTCAACAACAACAACTACAAGCTCAACAAGCCCAACAACAATTGTATCAAGTTAATTCTCCACTACATTTCACCAATACTTCATCAAGTCAATTTAATGAAGATGATGATGAATTGAATTACTTTGATTTGAATTATTCTGTTCAATCAAATATTAATTATACCAATAACAACGATTTAATCAACTCAACTTCCCATAATTATCGTAAATGGTTAACTACTGCTTCTTGTGCTACCACTGCTTTATAATGTTGATCATTTTGATAAAGATAGGGGGACAAAGGGGATACATATATTAAAAAAAATATAACATTACAAACACATAACAGACGCTGATTATTTTATATTTAATAAACGAATACTTTTTTATATATATATTTGAAACGAGTATTTATTTGGTTATCTTACAAGAATCTCATTATGTGTTTAATTTGGGTTGGTCAATCGGTGAGGGATTTCTATTTATATAGTCTTTTTTTTTAACAAGGTTTAATATATATTTATACACGGGCTAGTTTATCTTGACTAACATATTATCTATTTGTAAGTGAAGATCATCTTGATTAACCAAGGTACTTCTAACCATCCATTTATCTATCAACCTTAGGATATATACTTAATCAATCAATCAATCAATCAATCAATCCTACCGCGTGTTGCGCTCCTTTATTTTTTCTACACGCAACTATAAGATTTCTTTTTTTTTTGTTTCCTTCTCCTGTTCCTCCTGCAACCCTGGCCCCGTGGTGCGTCCGCTCCGCTCCCATTTCTGTTTTTTTAGTTCCATCAATATGTCTAACCCTAACTATCCGCCGACCGGCATGCACCACCCCTCGTGGTGTAGTCACACGTTTTCTACGCCCACTCACCCCCACATTTTCTTTCTCTTTATTTCCCATTTTAGACAATTAACTAAATAAACAACAACAACAAAACCATGTGTGTACACCAAATTTTCTTGTTTAAAAAGTTCGTGATTCGTGTTTAGTTGCTAAAGTTTTAACTAACCGGACCTACGGTTCTAACTCAACAAATTTCACATAGATGGTCATTTCTTTAATACGAAAATATCTCTCTTGTTGTTGTCGTTTGAAAACTAACCATACTGCTTATGTAATGCAAAATTTTGTTTATATCTGAATCTGAATCTGAATATGAATGAACCTCTTTTAAAATCAGGATTTAATTACTTGATTTAGTTGTAGGATCAATAACAATAATATTAACAAGAAGTGCATTATACAGTGTATTATGCCCCCCCTTTTTCTCTCTGTTGTGTATTATCCTGAAACTTACATAATTTTAATCAATCAATCAATCAATCAAGAAATAAAGCATAAACGATTTTCTAAATTTAATCACTCCTTAACAACAACAACAACAACAACAGCAAACGAGGAATAGATAGGAAAAGGAGAGAATGTTATAAATGAATCTTGCTGTAATTAGCCTCCTTATAATTTCAGATTAATTATTTTACTTTACAACGTAGTTAATTAATTTCTACCTCCTCCCTTATAGTTGTTTGTTGTTGGGTAGATCTCACATGAGAAAATTTAACATCCTGTGCACATATCACATGATATGAAACACGTGATAAATAATTAACTTTGGTTTTCAATTAACAACATACCGTACACCAACACATCAAATATCGCTTAATTGATTTAATAATAGTAAATATTATCTCCTAAAATATTCACTATAGTACACATATAAACATTGAGTATTCATGTATCTATCAAATATCTAACAATCATAGTAAACCACACCAAAAAAAAAGACATGAACCAAAAAAGAAAAAAAAAAAAAATTCGAACCAAACAGAGAGAGAAAGAGAGAGAAAGGGAGAAAGAAAAATTTTCATGTTGAACCTGGATATCTACTAATATTTGAACTTTACTAGATAATTACAAACGGATCAATATGTTTGCATCATTAGTTAGATATGGGGGTTATGTATGGAAATACAATAAAAGAATTTCAACAGCACAAAAAACCAAATTAAGATCAAGAATGAAACAAGTTGATGAAAATATTGAAAATATTTATAAAGGACTTTTACAAATTCAAGGTAAATCAAATGGTGAATTAACAGGTATTGAAAAAGTAGATTATTTAAAATTTCAATTTCCTAAAGAAAATGAAATGATTGCTAGAGATAAATATACTACTTTTAATAAAAATTGGAAAGATTATAGAAAACCTGTTCATAGAGTTCCTAAATGGACTAAACTTTCATTCAGAGAAAATCCAAAATATTTTTAATCAATGGATTATACAAGTATGTTGTTATTCATAGTATTAGTGGTTGTTGTTGGTCTGTATATAGAAGATTATTCAAGATGTGTGTATATTTATAGTTTATCCCAAATATAATTTGATATAAAAAAATCACTTAATTTTGGTTCAACTTTAAGAATATTTGAAGTATTATCATCTTGATTTGTAATAATCATCATATCATCATTATCTCCATCATCACTATTATGACTATTACCAGTTTCTAATTTAATACCTAAATTTTTATATAGATTAATTTTTAACATTGAAGGATCTTGTTCAGATACAATTTTTGAATTATCTTCATCGATTCTATTAATTTTTTCAATTAATTCATTTAATTTATTAATTAAATTTCTTTCTTCTAAAGTTAAATTACTTATTGAAGTATGTAATAATTGAGATTCTTTAATAATTTCAACTTTTAAATTATCCAATTCTTGTTTTTTAATCAGAATTATATGAAATATATTTGATGATTTTCTAATAGGTGAAGTTTCAGGAATTGATAATTTTGAATAATTTTCATCATTTATTCGATTTAATTCATTTATTTCTTTAGTTATTATATTTATTTGATTTGTTAATGTTGTTGTTCTAGTTGATAATTCATTAATTTTAGATTTTCGAATTTGATCAAGATTTTTAATTGAATTATTGATTTCTTCTAATAATTGTAATTCATCTTGTGAATTTATCTCAGATGTGATTTTATTTAGTTTTTCTAATGATGTCATGTTGATCTAATCAGTTGATGATTGAATATCAATATATATGGATCTAATCTAATCTAGTCTTGTTGGTTTGTTTACATTTTGAATTTCATTTTTTTTTTTTCTGAATGTTCCTGTACGATTCTTCTTCTTCTTCTCGAATTCAGTGCAACAACAACCAAAAAAAAATAGAGAGAACGAAGAAAAAAAATTATCAACCCATTCTCACATAACGTTGAACAAATTAACCATCAAAGCCCGATACACATACTTCTATCTACAACACCCATTAAAGCATAAATGAGTTATAATAAAGATAAAAAGACATTTAACGATGTTGAGCTTCCAACTAATCCAAATTTACCAAGTTGGATAATAACTCCAAAAGAAGAAAAAGCAGTATTTGAAAGATGGAGAAAGAAAGCATTTGCCAAATGTGATGATTTAATTAGAAAATATATTGAATGTTCAAATAGTTATTCAAATCCTATAGAAGCCATGAAAATGTGTAAAGAAGCTAATGAAAAAAGTATTGGTTGTGTTGCCCAATATCAAAAAATTGAATATTTAGATATTGAAAAAGATGAATATATTAAAGAGAAAATGGAAAAGAAGAAATTATATAAATATTACTTACAGAAGCAAAAGGAAGAACGGGAAATTTCGAAATCGAATAATAATAATAATAATGAATAGTGTGAAATAAATTAAACTTGTAAATACATTAAGAGAAGGAAAATATACATATACATATTTTATTTGAATGAATAATAGTAGTTTAGTTGAAGTTTTCATCTTCAAATACACCATGACAAGCCATAAATATACTTGCATGAATTTTCCCTAATTTTTCAATACTTTGAAATTGATTACATGTTATACTTAATAAATCATTAAAATCACATAGATTAGCATTAAGTTGAGCCATTTGTGAATTTAGATGTGATAGTTTTCTTTGTGTGTTGCTATTAGAAGGTTGTTGTTGTTGTTCATGGTGTTGTGGCGTGTTATAAGTAGTGTTGGTATTACTACTTGCAGACTGTAGATTTTCCTTATTTAAAGAATTATCCGACATTCTCAGTCAATCTCTCTGTGTGTGCGTATATATTGTAATAGTGGTGATTGTTTTGATAATTTTGATAAACTTGATGTTGTTTTGATTTGATTTGATTTTAATTTTTTTTGTTTTGGCTGGAGCATTATCCATGGAACTTAAAAGCCGAGGTACACGACTATACAACAAACAATTCATCATGCACACGACCCAGGGGAAAAAAGTCAAAAAAATCAAAAAGACAAAAAAAAAAAAAGAAAATCAAAATTCATCTTTCTCTTTCACAGCAAGGAACCAATTTAACTATTCATTTAACAACAACAATAACAACAACAACAACAACAAGATTCACCACATTCATTCTAGTTATCATCACCGAAGAATAACAGAAAGAAGAAAAAAGGAAAGATTGACTAACAGATAAACGATCATCGTACGGATAACTTTACCTGATCTCTCCATCCCATCTTTCTCCTTTTTTTTTTGTTAGTTCCGTCTCCATATATTTTATACATACATTACATGACCCAGTCACTCTTTGTTCGTTCCCCCGGAATTTACTAATCACCACCATCAACAACAAAAACAACTACAACAATTTAAATAAAAAGAGTGGATACCTTCCTCGCATTAACAAGAAGAATTAAAACCAATCATAAGGATTATAAAATACTGGAATATTATCCATTATCATCACATTCCTAGTTATCGTTTTTAATTTAAATCTCGCTTGTTCAACTGTGTGTGTGTCTGTGTGTACAAAGTTTTCGTGTATCCGGTGCAAATTAATTTATTAACAGATTTTTTTCCCCTTTGTCCTGAAGTACACTAACCCGTTCTTTTTCTTTTTTTTTTTAGTCGTTAAAACCCACCTACCAAGTGTTCACCTATTCATTATCATCTGTTGGAATATTTGAACAAGGAAAAAGATATAGAGGGACTAGACATCATTGTTAAATTTCTAGCCATAACTACATAAGCAACTTAAAGATGAATACTCCACCGATAGAGAAGGACAATCCATCTCCTTCAAAACCACCACCTCCAGCAGCAGCATCAGCATCAGCACCATCTGCACCACCACCCACTTCTTCACAGTCATCTGTTGGAAAGAATATACCTTTGACTCCGAAACCTCCCATTAAGGCAGTACAACTGAACCAACCAAGTGGATCAGGTATCAACACTCATAATAAAGTATTATCTGCAAATGCCAAGCCACAACAAAATCCTCTGCCACATCCAAATCAGCCATTAAAACAAGGAACACCTCTTAAACTACAACCACACAATAAATCATCAGCACTACATCCCCAAGGAAATAATAAACAACCTTTACATTCTATAAAACCACGTTCCACAATGCATCCAATTGCACCCAAGTATCACAAAATCCAACCAGCTATTGCTCCCAAACCAATATCGAGTGCAAACAACAAAAACTCACAATCTCAGCCAAGTAAATTCAATCCTATCCCTACGGGTAAATTATCCTTACTGATTAATCTGCTGACGTTGGCAAAAAATGGAACTGGGAATAAAAATGATTGTAGTTCGTTGAATACCTCACGTAAATGGGTATTGCCTCCACGTCCAAGACCAGGTAGAAAACCAACTCATGAAAATGGAGCAAATCCTGAACACGATAAAAAATCTAAAAGTAATGGTACATCAGTAACGAAAAAGAAACCCAAATGTAAAAAAGACTCAAGTTCAATTACTCCTGATTTATTGTCAACTCCTAGCCCGTCTACAACAACAACAACAACGACTGCCACGACGACGCCATCATCTAAATCGTTATCATCAACACCATCAACAAGTAAGAAATCATCATTATCAGCTACTCCGACTATTCCAGAGAGTAGCGGCAGTATTCCTAATGAACCGATAGTTCCAGAGATACCCATTCCAACAATTGATGTGGACCCTAAAACTCAATTATTAGAGATGAAAATGTCATATTTATCCAAATTAAAAGAACAAGAACTTATTAGAAATTATGTTGAAATATTGACAAATCAAATTAAAGAATTAAGTTTTATTCAGAATGGTGTAATTACATTTGATGCATTGAAGAGTAATATCAAGTATAATAATAAAACTCCTTCAACTTTAACTACATCAAGTACGACAAATGCTACTAATGCAAAGTATGATCAATTGGAAGCTATAAATAATTTGAATGATTTGAATAAATATTTGAATTATTTGACAAAATCGTCGAATATCATCAATAGTGTTAAGAAAAAGAAGAATGTACTTGAAGGTGCTGACAGTGATTCAATTGATAATCAAATTGATCATTATTTGGAAATTAGAAATAAATTCAAATCTGTTAAGAGAATGGATGTTTTAAATTTCAAGAATTTCAATCAATTGGGTATACCAGTACAAGCAAATATTCCATCACCACCAATTGATAATGGCCCTTCTAATGATGAAATATTTAAGAATAATGATATTACAAGTATATTTTCTGGTACTACTTTCCATGATGATATGAATTCGGATGCTGAGAAATTTGTTCCTGATTTATTAAAACCTATAAAGGCATCGAATTTATTTCAAGATCTTCAAAGTCAACAACAACGTCAACGACAAGCATCACAAGTTTCCGCACAGCTACAATTGCAACCACCTCAAGAAACTGATTTACAATTGCAAACTGAAACGATTGAAGAATCAATATCAAGTGCAAGTTTACTTTCAAATACTTCAATGCCTCCAACAAGTACAAATAGTAATTTGGGAGGTAGTGATAGTTTAAACAAATTTTTAGATGATGATTATGATAATATTGATGGATTTTTCATGGATGAACATGATTTTTTGAATCGATTAGTTTTAAATGATAATGTAAATATGGATCAAGTTCAAGATCAAGAAGTTTATGGTGCTGTTGAAATTCATGGATCTCCCTCATTGAATAACAACAATATAAACACTACAACATCCATTTCTAATGGTAATAATGATAACAATAATGAAAAGAAAAATGGTAATGATATGATGATTAAGAAGAAAAAATTAAAATTAAATTGTGGATTTTGTACTGGTGATACTCCATGTTTATGTTTTGATACGCTAGTGGCCGACAAATAGATTATCATCAATGATTATCTACCTGAGTGGGCCATTATATGCAACTATACATTTATGCTTATATTTATTTATTATACTATTTTATGTTTCTCTGTATATATTTTTTATTTTCTTTTATTCTAATGAATAAAAAAAAAAAGTTTTCGGTATGGTTTTTTTAATTAGTATTCTTAACAAAAATCACAATAATGTAGTACAAGAGATGATTAATCCCCACTAATTATTCACTAGATGTTATTACTGTTTTTTTATTTCTTTTGTATTATTTTTTCTTTTACATATTAAAATTATTTCAAGAAAAGTATTTCAATTTATACAAATAGCCTATTGCCAGATAAAAGCCAAGTAACTACCGAAAACAGCAGTAGCAGCCAAAACAGCATAACCGGTTCTGTAGACACCTTTAATGGTCAATTCTTTACCGAAATCCCAAACCAAATGTCTAATACCATTACCAACATGGAAAACAAATGGATAAGCACAAGCAGCTTTAACGGCATATTGTAAAGTAACTGGTAATTCAGTGAAAGCAGAAACTAAAGTAGCAGTATCAAAATGAATACCTAAAATAGAAGTAGCAGCAAATGTACAAGTTAAAGCATAAAATGCACCAGCCATAGCAACACCAGTAATTCTATGGAATGAAGATAAAATCCAAGTTAATTGTGGTTGATAAATTTGTAAATGTGGTGAAGAAGGTCTATTTCTACGTTGAGCAACTAAAATTTCTTGTTCTGCATCAGAAGTAGTTTCAATAGTTGGAGTTCTAGTTGAAAGAAATCTAGTAATTAAAGTTGATCTTGAAACAACTGATGGAGCGATTGATGCTCTTAAAATACTTGATGAAAGAATTGGTTTCTTTAATAATCCAACACGGGAAATCATTTTCTAATGCTTGTTATAAAAATAAATAAATAAATAAATAAAAAAAAGGGTGGAAATTAAAATAACAACAACCTAAACTTGAATGTCAAATTAAAAGAAAAAGAGTAATATAAGGGAAAGAAAAAAAAATTCTCACCTTGTGGATTGGTTCTGTTTCGTCAGGTGTGCGGGTTAGAAAATCGTTTGGTAGAAAGAGAGAGTAAAAAAAACCCGGGGCAGATTTCTCTCACTGTCTCAAACGACGGGGGTGACGGGTTGGTTGTTAGTGCGGATTTGATAGTACACCACACACTTAAAAAAAATTTCAACCAATAGATTCGCGGTAATTTTTAATTCGGTGAATTTCGCGATTTCTACTAAAAAATACTATATTTCGGATATATAAACACACACACGTGATCTTATCGCACACGTGAAATGAACAATATGCACGACTTCAATCTAAGAAAGAGAGACAAAGAGAACGCTGTATGTAAATTTTTTGTTGTTGGGATTTTCAGAATTTTTTTTTTTTTTTCTGAGGAACAGGAATTATTAATAATAATCATCATCATCATCATACTTAAACTTACATCAGCATATTATTATTATTATTATTAATTATTTATACACATTCAAGAATACCCACAATAATAGTTTGACTGATTCATTCCCATTTATATACTACAATAAATCTGATATCAACCCATTTTATTTTTAGTATCAACTATTCCCACACACACATACCCACTCAGACACTACTTATAATTTCTACGGTTTCGGTTTTTCTTTTTCGTTTGATAACATATTCCTAAAACATCAATTTTTTTTTTATTTGACTTCTTTTTTTTTTTTTTTTTTTTTTTAAGTTATATTAGTAATTGCCCTTAATTTACTCCACTTTATTAGAAGAATGTCAACCACAACATCTATTAACACTATAGAAAATACCAATAATAATAGTACTATCACAACTACCACCAATAATAATGCCACTACTTCGACAAATTTTACAATTAAGGCAAATTTAGAGAATACCGCAAATCCAGCCGATGAAGAAGCAATTAGTTCAATAACTGATAAACCATCCGATTCAACCACTAAAAGTATAAAAGATAATGAGGTAGTTGAATCTCCAAGTAATTTATCTTTTACTAAGAAAGATTTAAGTAAATCAAGAACTCAATCTTTTCAATCTGTTTTATCTACAGCATCTTTAAAATCATTACATCAACAAGCATTAACTAATCCCATTATAAATAATTCCAATAATACAAATGCTTCAAATACTCCCTCACATGGTCTAACGAGAAACAATAGTACTATAAGTCAACACAATAATCTTAGTATTAATAGTTCAAAAAATTTCCAATCTTTCATTCAAGCCCCGGTGTTGTCATGTATTCAGAAAAATAATGATGATTGTAAAATTGGTCAACAACAACCATTTGATGATAAACCTTCAAAAACAAGAAAGTCCTCAAATACAAATGCTTCAACTCAAAGTAATGATGATGATGAAAATTTAACCCAACAGAGAAATTTAACTTTGAATGCTTTAAAGAAACTAAGTATGTCTCCAAGACCAGTAACTAATCCCGATGAATCGTCAGAAAAAGTAGAAAAAAGTGGTGAAGAAAGTATACAAACCAAGACAAAAGAACCTTATCAACCTGCTGAAGTTGACTTATCTTCATTTGCAAGTCTTACAAGACAGCCTAAACTGAATTATAAATTGCCTTCCCCAGCAACCCCAACGGCACCTGCGAATAATCATAATAATAATAATAACAATGTTGTCCAATCAGTGAGAAGACAATCTAAAGATTCCGTTGATTCCAATATTTCACAATACCATAATGATTTACAACAGCAACAGTTAAGTGCTATTCAACGTCAATTACAACCTGAGAAGTTTAATACTTCATCTCCATTTAGTCGGACAAAACTGCAAAACCATCAACAATTCCAACAACAACAGCAGCAACCACCACCACTACAACAACAACAGCAGCAAACAACAACTCCTCAAGTATATACCAATTTTCCCCAGCAATTACAACAGCATCATCAAGGTGGAATTCCAGCAGCTGTTATCCCACCAACCGATTTTAGTGCAAAGAGAAAACCACTGAATCCTGCATTGAGTAAAATTCCAATACAGCAACCATTGCCTCCTTCACAGCAACAACAGCAATTTGCAACTGGAGCTGGATTAGCAAACTTAACACCAGGCTCACCTTCAAAACAAGCACATCAACTTAATTCTAGTCGTTCATCTAAACATTTGCAACAGATTAAGGGTTTAAGGAATCCAATGTATGTTCCTGCAGTTTTAAGAATGACACAAAATAATGGATTATCAACACCCAATAGATCAACTTCAAATTCACCGGATGTGATTGCTACCAACTCTTCAATTGCTTCTCCAACGTCTCCACAACATCAAATTTCCTCGCATCCATCAATTAATGATCATTATGAATCACATTTGCAAAATTTCGGCAACAAAAATAGTATTCAAGATTCATCAAATGCATCTATAAATTCAATTGATTCATCAATATCCATGGAATCTAATACTTCAATGACAAGTGGAATCACTGGATTTTTATCTCCTTTCAATAACAATAACAATTCATCAACTACATCGTATGATTATGTTCTGAGAGCTCCACCAACTAGAAAACATTGGATTAAAGATGAAACAGTTATGAAATGCTCAATTCCATCGTGTCCAAAAGTATTTAATTTCTTTGAGAGAAGACACCATTGTAGAAAATGTGGTGGCATATTTTGCAAACAACACACTAGTCACAGTCTTTATATTAATCATTTGGCACAATTTACAACTGGTGGAAGAGGTACATTATCTAAAGTTTGTGATAATTGTATTGATGAATATAATCATAAGTTTATCACCAAAGAATTTGGGGTTAATTTGATACAGAAGAATGATGAGATCAATAAAGCAAATGGAGATGTTGCATCAAGACAATGCAAATCAGCAACTTATACTCCGATTGATACAAGAACAGGTATGGGTATTGGTTCTAATGATACGAGTAATTCGAATGCTATTACTAGTGGAATGGCAACAGGTGCTGGAGATTCTGCTGCAAATAATAATAATAATAATACTAGAAGTGAACAATTAGTAGGGAGTGTTCCTGCTAATTGGACATGGAGTTCATTTTAGATTTCATGTTTTGATTGGTTTAATTTTGTTTCATCTGTTCTTTTTTTTTTTTTGATATTTAATTCTTATCATTTCTTATTTTCATTTGTTTAATTGTGTATTTATAAAATATAGGCTATTCTTGTTGTCACTATTTGGCTGTGTGGCTTTTTTGTATGAAACCGCACGACGTTGTTGTTGTTGAAACTTGAAAAAAAAAAAAAAAAAAAATTCAAACGTGTTTTTTCAAAAAGCAAAAGAAAAAAAAGGGCGAACAATATAAAAGCCAATCTTCAATCAGTCTTTTCAACAGTCTAATTCATCAGTCAATCATGTCGACGACGAAAACACACACTGCCAATTCTAAGCAATTGAAAGTGTTTGGAATTGATGTTGAATCAATTCGAGTTTTATTAAAAGTAATAATTTTCATTTCAATAGCAGGTGCAGCTATTTCAAGTCGATTATTTTCCGTCATTAGATTTGAAAGTATAATTCATGAATTTGATCCATGGTTTAATTTTAGAGCTACTAAATATTTAGTAACTCATTCATTTTATGAATTTTTAAATTGGTTTGATGATAGAACTTGGTATCCTTTAGGTAGAGTTACTGGAGGTACTTTATATCCAGGATTAATGGTAACTTCAGGAGTTATTTATAATGTTTTGAAGAATTATTTAAGTATGCCTATTGATATTAGAAATATCTGTGTCATGTTAGCTCCTGTATTTTCAGGATTAACTGCTATTTTCACTTATTTGTTAACTAAAGAAATGAAGGATTCAAGTTCTGGTTTATTGGCAGCTATTTTCATGGGTATTGCTCCTGGATATATTTCAAGATCAGTTGCTGGTTCATATGATAATGAAGCAATTGCAATTACTTTATTAATGGCTACTTTTTATTTTTGGATTAAAGCTATGAAATTGGGTAGTGTCTTTTATGGTACTTTAACAGCATTATTTTATTTCTATATGGTTAGTGCTTGGGGTGGTTATGTTTTCATTACTAATTTGATTCCATTACATGTATTTGTTTTGATTTTCATGGGTAGATATAATCCAAAATTATATACTGCTTATACTACTTGGTATGCATTGGGAACTTTAGCATCTATGCAAATTCCGTTTGTTGGATTTTTACCAATTCGATCAAATGATCATATGGCTGCTTTGGGTGTTTTCGGCTTGTTGCAATTAGTTGCCTTGGGTGATTATGTTAGATCTAAAGTCCCAAGCAAGCAGTTCAAGTCATTTTTGATTGTTTCTACTGTATTGGTTGTTGCTTTAGGTATTGCCGGTTTGATTGGTTTAACAGCCCTTGGTTGGATCGCACCTTGGACAGGTAGATTCTATTCCTTGTGGGATACCAATTACGCCAAAATTCATATTCCAATTATTGCTTCTGTTTCTGAGCATCAACCAACTGCTTGGCCTGCATTTTTCTTTGATACTAGTATGTTAATCTGGTTGTTCCCAGCGGGTATTTATTTGTTGTTTCAAGAATTGAAAGACGAACATGTTTTCATTATTATCTATAGTGTATTATGTTCTTATTTTGCTGGTGTTATGGTTAGATTAATGTTGACTTTAACACCTGTTATTTGTGTCACTGGTGCTATTGCTTTATCTAAATTGTTTGATGTTTATTTGGATGTTGTTGATCTTTTCACCACCACCTCCAATGAGCAAGATGAAGAAGTTGACTCATCATCCAAGAAATCTTCTAAAAATTCCAAAGGTTTACCGGTTGCTGGCTTAGTTTCTAAACTTGTTGTTTTATTATCCTTCACTTTCTATCTTTTCTACTTTGTTTTACATTGTACTTGGGTCACTTCGAATGCTTATTCTTCTCCATCCGTTGTTTTAGCCTCAAGAAACCCAGATGGCTCTCAACATATCATTGATGATTATAGAGAAGCTTATTATTGGTTACGAATGAACACTCCAGAAGATGCTAAAGTTATGGCTTGGTGGGATTATGGTTACCAAATTGGAGGTATGGCTGATAGAACCACTTTAGTTGATAATAATACTTGGAACAATACTCATATTGCAACTGTTGGTAAAGCCATGTCATCTCCCGAGGAAGTTTCTTATGAAATCTTGAAAAAGCATGATGTTGATTATGTTTTAGTTATTTTTGGTGGATTATTAGGTTATTCTGGTGATGATATTAATAAATTCTTGTGGATGGTTAGAATTGCTGAAGGTATCTGGCCAGATGAAATTAAAGAAAGAGATTTCTTCACTGACAGAGGTGAATATAAAGTTGATTCACAAGCATCTAAAGCCATGAAAAACTCATTAATGTACAAGATGTCTTATTATAGATTTGCTGAATTGTTTGGAGGTAGGGATGCTGCTGATAGAGTTAGAAACCAACAAATTCCAGCTAATGATCCACCTCAATTAAACATTCTTGAAGAAGCATTCACTTCTGAAAACTGGATTGTTAGAATATATAAAGTTAAAGATTTGGATAATATTGGTAGAGATTTAAATCAAGCTACTGCATTTGAAAAATTGGGTGATAAAGCATCAGCTGGTGGTAAAAGAAGTAGATCAATTAAAAGACCTAAATTGGAAATCAGAGAATAATCAAAAATATGATACTTTTTTATTATAGATTGTATGTAAGTTGAATGAATATATTCCATACATTTTTGTTTTGTTAACTGATGATCAAATAAATTTAACAGAGACATATTTATTTCATCTTTTTTAAAATTGGTTAGTTGAAAATAGAAATTGCTATTCAACTTATTTGCTCCATACACGAAATATATGTTCATATCATATTGTCACAATTTCTTTCACAGTGGTTATAAATGAACATCATAGTTCACTATTGTTTCCGATATTACTATCCTTTAAAAATTTGAATATCATGCCAACATTGAACCTCTTTAAATTGTTTTTTTGGCTTGTTACCAGACACAAGAACTCGCCCTGTTGGCAGTGTTTTTTCAAGGTACGGTTCAATTCTATCATTTGTAAATTGTTTGCAAAATTCCCATGTAACAATGGCTTTATAAGTACAGGAGTTCATTAGATTAAAATTTCCAGCAGCAAATATGTAGAACTTATATGGATCCGTTTTCAAGACATCAAATACACGAACCTCTGACACTGACCAAGTCAAAAAGAAAGTCACAAACTCTATATGTTGAAATTTTGAAATTAATATAAATTGAAGTTCCAGGATTCGTTCACAAACATGATTCTTTAAATCATCATATATATCTTGTGTATATCGTGGTCCACCATATATTGTAAAATTTTCAGCTTGTACCAAAGCCTCAACTTCCTGTCTTCCATTGTAGTTTGGAATTTTGAACCATTTCCAAACGTCAAGATCTTGTTTCAATTCAACAACTGTTTTAAAAATATAATGAATGAAAAGTCTCCAATTATGAATACGACGATTAAAACCTGTATTCGTAATTAGAATGGGATTTGGTTCACATATTGTTTTCTCATCAACCATAAAGCTTAATTCCGAACTGGAATCTTCCTTTTCCTTGAGTACTTCTTGATAGTTGTCATTCAGTTCTGGAGTTTTCATGTGTGTAGGTTTTGGTACAGTAAACTAATGATCTAGAATCCCAGTGTATAAAGAAGAACACTTTTATCTCTTTTTATATGAATTGATTGGTTTGGGGTTTCCTATAATTAACAAAGTTTTCTGTAAGAATATGTAGGTTGTTGCTCTAGTTGGTTTTCTAAGTCTAAAGCTTTACCTCATTAGGTCACCTAACAAGAGTATTCTGTATTCTGGTGAACATACATGCATTATATCTATCCTTGGATAGTAGAAATTATGAAACTTTCGGTACCAATTCTTATTGTAAGAACTTAACAAAATATTTTTTTTTGAAAATATAATTGGTAGCTATGGTTTCTCAGAATAGGCATCAAATAAAGGCAAGAAGAGTAATTCTGGTGCACAAGGAAACTACAACAAAATAATCTTCTATAAAAGATCATAAAATTGTGCTACAGTAAAAAAATTAGGTATTCAGAGTCAATATGACTTCTTTTGTATGGCTACAATCATTCAAAATATGGGTATTTTCAGTCGCAGTTGGCTGCTTCAAAAACTGGTTAAAACAGAAACTAATTCATCACCAATAGTAATAAAGAGTTCTATAGAAGCTGTGCCCATACAGGGTTACTTTTCTCCAGACGAAATTATTAAAATGATTGTATTAACTGTGTTAGGAATTGTGGACCACATGGATGAATGAAGATGGTTTAAGAATCCTGGGTATCAAGGGAACATGCGTACTATGGAGACTGTAACTAATCAACATTTCATGATAATAGGTGGCCCCAAGAGTACTCTGAGGTCTTATGAAAATCTCAAATCACGAATGGGTTCAAGGATCCAAGATCTTGAATTCTTAGCTATATCATATTTTTGGAACATTGCTTGTGTATTTTCGTTTTGGAGCCTAGGAGGAGACATTATTCGAGTGTATTTTACAGACATTCGTTTCATGGACCAATTTTCTGTTTATGCTGAAAATAATTTCAAAGAACCTATTAAAGAACAAGGAATAGCATATGTCAATTGGAAACTTACCAAGGTTTTTTCTGATTATGAAAAGGATGACAATCAAACTGAAGATAAAATCTCGGTACGTTTTGCGCTGACGAATTCTTGGATACTACCGAAGGAAGACAGCCCTGGAAATAAAATTGTTTGGAGAAAGTTGGACTACCGACAACACCTCCACTGTTCACTCGTTAGTGATTTTCTTACTATTAATGATTAATGTGAAAAATATTCATAATACTAATGGGTTTAATTAAAACATGTTATTCTTTTTATTTTACCTTATGGTACCAACTGTCTATTTATTGACTATTTACAAGCCAGCATTAGCTTCCTTACTTTTTATGCTACTCACACTACTAAGTGAGTAGACAGAGTAATGGTAAAAAAAAATAGCTATCAGCTTTTTAACCATCAATAATGGAAAAGAATGTTTTGGGTTTTGTTTAGAAATGTGCTATTTTTTTTGATTGCCTGAATAACGCCATTTTTATTGCAAAAGTAATGAATATGAACCGATAAGTAGAATCATCAATAAATATATTAACACAGATTTGTTGGACTGATGGAATCTACATATTGCATATTAAAGAGGCACCATCAATCAAGCTTTGATATGGTAACGAAAGTGGGAGGAAATAACGAAACTACACTATCTCGCCACCGTGCACGACTTTCTTGGTTGCAAAACTACAAAAAAAAATAAGTTTCTCTAAAAATACGTTCAGACAACCAATTCAAATTTTAGATTTTAAAATTCCTGTTGTCTATTACTTTCTTTTTTCCTTTTTTTATTTTACCACATTATATTACACCAAACATAATGGAATCACCTCTATACCACCAGTCATACCAGAACGACCAAATTCAATTGGAAAATATTGAAACATCACAAGAGGCTATTCAAAAAAATAATGAAGAAACTGATTTAGAATTTCAAAATATTTGTGAAGAAATTAAGAAACTCAGTGTTCAAATTAGGGAAATCATTGTTCAAATTAGGGAAATCAACAATAAATTGGAAACTTCTAATCAAACTAAATCTGCTGAAGAAACCAGAAATGTGTTTCGTGATGTCTTGGAAGAATTCCAAACTAGATATAAAATCGCCAAACACCTTAAAGATTTAGTCAATCTTAGTTCATTATTGTTCTACAGCCAGTTGGGGTTTACCTTGTATTGTACTATGAAATATTGCGAGCTGAATGAGACCAAAATCCATGGGTTAGTCGGAATCCTACTGATTTTAATTTTTCATATCATGGATGTCTTCTGATTAAAATTTCCTGGCTATAAATTGTTTTGAATTACATCTTACTTTTGTTTATAATATATATATTAATAAATTGTTAGAATTATTACTTTGCTTTGTAGAAATGAGCACAAGAAGGTAATCAAAACTGAAATGTGTATTTATTCTTGTAATCCATTTAAAGATTGTGCATATTTCAAACTTTTCTAGAAACAACTTTATAGTGACACTCTACATGAATCTTAAATCAATTACCATGGTAATATTACCAGTCAGATATGACCCTGGTAATTGCTTTTGTATACGATAAATTGTCCCCATTGATACCCAAATAGAAAAAAGAAGGTTAATCAAAATTTGATGTGATTGTGGTATGGACGGAACAATTGTTTTGTTATATGCACGACTTTTTATGCACACATGGTTTTTAAATCATCAAATCATATGATGGATAATGAACTGATTATATTGCAAAATACAAAATACAAAAAAAAAGAAAACAGAAACGGCACAATTGCTTCACTTGTTAACAATTCATATTTTTGAATCTCAAGTTATCGAATGTAACTATTATTGAGAATGGGGTGAATTACAATGAGGCTTATCCCCCACATTGATAAAAATAAAAGTTGTGGAATAAATGGAAAATTATCCGCAAAAAAAAAAAAAAAAATACATCTATCCGACTCCATAATCCCCCTCCATTGATTCTTACAATAAAAAAAACAATATAAACCCACACCACTTTCCATATTTTTATTTTTCACATCTTACCAATTTTATTCAATAATACAATTCACAGTTCAACATCATCATCATGGCAGGATTATTTGATTTAGAAAGTCATTTAGTTTTTTACAGATCATATCATTTCAATAAAACAAATGTAACTATTCATTTAATTTGTATTCCAATAATTTTACTCTCCACAATTTCATTTTTAACTCCAGTTTATCCACTTTCAAATAATTATCCTTTTTATAATTTAGGAAATTTGTTAGCTTGGTCTTATGGAATTTATTATATTTTATTAGATTGGAAAGTTGGTATTCCTGCATTTTCATTCCTTGTTTCCTTTGCTTATTTAATTAATAATTATTATTTAAGTTTGAATCATGAATTGCAAAATGAATTTATTAAAATTGCAATTGGCTTGCATGTCTTTTCTTGGTTGGCTCAATTCTATGGATATGGTGTTCATGAAAGAAGAGCTCCTGCTTTATTAGATAATTTATTACAAGCTTTAGTTTTGGCTCCATTTTTTGTTGCATTTGAAATTGCTTTCTTCTTGGGATATCGTAAAGATTTAAAGAAAAATATGGATAATAAAGCCGGAATTAAGATTAGAGATTTTATTCAACAAAATAAGACAAAGAAAGAAGTTTCCTAAGAATGTATATTTATACATTTTCCATAGCTGTAAAATCAACTTCATGAGTTAGTTGATGTTGTTGTGTTTGTTGATTCAGCAGTTGCTGCTGTTGTTGCTCAATATATAAATCATACTTGTATTTAAGTTCAGGTTCATATAATGAAACACCTTGTAATTGGTTTCCAATTGTTAACCACCCTGGTCTTGTATTATGATCTCTACCGAATATTTCTAATTTTCTTGAATGTTTACCCACCAATCTCTCAACAATATCGTAAAATTCATCAGGTTTTCTTGAAGTTTCTCGAGTTGGACTAACCACAACATCAATGTCAATTTGTTTGTTAATCCAAATAGGGTCACCTTTTAATCCAACCAATAAATGCTCCTTTGAATGGTTTAACCAGTGACCAGTACGTCCCGTAACAATTGTTCTTCTCAATTGATTCAATTTAATCCAAATCATTTCATCGTAAATCTTATAACCCCATTTGGTCAAGGCTCTTCTTCCAACTTCAATGGATCTACCAGTGACCCATAGCATAATTATACCTTCATCTTGCAACTCATCCATTGGTAAAGACAACAATTCATCATCTTTACATGTCCCATAAGGCAAAGACATGTGAATATCCCAAGCTGGATCAGAAATTATAGCAGAAAACTTGCCTAATATTGAAAATGGTAAATGGCGAACATCACAATTGATCCATTGTGGAGGTAAAACTTCTCGAAACGATTCGGTAAAACAATCACCAATGGTGTATTCAAATCCTTTCAATTGTAAGTCTTTATCTTCGTTGTTGTATTCATTTGCAACTTCATCTTCTTTTTTTGACAAGGGATTAAGTGTATAATAATGCAAATAGCGACAGGTCTTCATCTTATGGCATGTATCTAAGTAAGAGCAATCCCCTAAATTCAAATCAGTATGAGTATTTATAATGGGCAAAAAATGGATCTTCTCCCTAAAACATTTAAATACTTCTTTACTGATAATATTTTTACACTTCAAAATTCTTTGAACAATCAAATCTTCAGGAATGGACTGTTTTGACCCAAAATGGCTATATTCTTTTTTATTCAACCCCAATGTAGCTAATATTTGATTATGATTATATTCATTACATACCTCATAGAAAGGTTCTTCAAGCGTAGTTAGTTTTGCCTTTTGTTTGTTGAGAATAGTTGTGGCACTAGTTCTATTAATCATGCTACGGATTGAATCCTTATCAATCATAAAGCTTGTTTCAATAATTTTGTCATGTGTATAAAATGGTGGTTTTAATGACTTTGGTGGTTCCAAATAATCCATAATATTTGTTGAAGGTAATAAGCTTCTTAATTCGTTGAGTGACGGAAATGTCAATTGTTCCTCTTGTAATCTTGTCTTTAACATTAATATTCCAGCAATATTTATCCATGTTAAACATGCAAATGGTTTTTACCA